CATAACAATGACAATGACGACAACCAAGCCTTCGGATCAGGCAGACACGGCCGACTGAGGCGTGGCGCTCGCTGTCCAGTGACACCACAATCCTCCCGCTGGTTGCCGCCGGCCGCTATATGGCGTGGCTTCTTTCGTCACAGAAGTGCGCAGAGCGGCGAGCTGGGGATACGCATCACGATGATTCATGCCCCCATCATTGTTGCCCGCGTGCAGTTGCACTTCTGCTCGCCCTTTGGCCCGTCAAGCCACCATGAAGGTCGCCGATGATGGGCAGACGGCGTACAGCTGAAGGCTCGTGGCTGAAAGCTCTCGGTCAATTGCTACGTTATGGCGCATTTTGACTTTGGGATGCCACACCAATGGGGCGGGAAGTCCCATGCAGCAGATTCGTACGACGGAAGGCCACGAGGTTGTTCTGCGGGCTTTCCGCATTTCTTGGCACTTTGATGACCCGATCGACGGGGATGCAGCCTACGAATAGGCTAATGACTATACGAACTACTATCTCGACCCTAACGGCTCACCGGGAAGGCGTGGCGTCGTGGGGAGCGGCCTGAAACAAACATCATGGATTTGATCATCTTGGCTGTGTTCAGCTGAACATCGGCGCAGCTAACTGTGTAGGTTACGATGCGCCGTGGGAGTCTAGATTTGGTCTTCTGCACATGTTATGGAAAGCGCCCTCGGCACCCGTGGGATTATACTCTAAGCGAATTAACTAATCTGCCCCGAAGGAGCGCCGCACGTATACAGACTTGGACCCGGCACCGAGCGCCCTCGGGTACCCTAAGCAAGGAGGGCCAGGTTGATTGGCGGGAAAACACCCCTACGTATAGAAGTCTTGGAGCGACAGCCAATTCTTGACGAGAGGTGGCTGATGCGATACTAACAAAAGAACAGCCTCAAAGGAGATGCAGGTATATTATTGTAGGCCCGCCGTGGCACTTTGGCCAAGCAGAGGACAAGGTCGGCTAGTGGTCGGGCGTTGCTTTCCATGTTGCACTCTGGTAAAGGCTGCAGCTAGTTGAGCATGTCGAGGGTAAATTCCTTCACCAATGTTACGGCGTCTTTGTCCTGAGAACCAGATGCCTCTTTGCGATGTACAGTCAGTGCTAGTGCAATGAGTTTCTTCACCTACGTAGACAGTCCGAACTCCGTCTTGCTGATCGTCTTAAAGTCCGCAGTGCTCCGGACTTTATGACATTCGCCCACCTGGGCGGGCGGCGGCACTAATCACACCAACGAACACTATTCGTAGATTCGTCCAATGATCGAACAAGCCCCTCGGGTACGAAAATCGAGGGATAGGGTGACCCATGGCGCCATGTGTCTTGGCTGAGAACGTTACAGAATAACTACAGCAAACCCCCCCGCCCAGCCCGCCCAGCCGCCCCGCGACCCCGTTCTCCAGGTTGCCAGCGACATGGCAGCCCGGCCAGGTCCGCATGCATGGCGCTGACGCTGTTGCGCCAGGTCAGAACCTTGTTCGCGGGTTACGGAGCCTTGGGACAGTGTGCAGGAGACCCTGATTGCGGAGTTCGTCGCAATCGATTGGACTCTAGATGATGTGGCATCCCCATATCGGACGGACTTACTCCTTTGCGCAGCATGTCCACATGTCGAAAAGTGGCCGCTCCTCGTCCGCAACCCAGCTTTCGTCGAAGCTATGGATGGATGGATTCAGCCAGCCGGCGCGCCTCGGTGCCTTCGCTGAATGCAACTACATAGAGATCAGGCTACGCACAAACAGTGCTCTCCGCTTAAGTCCGGATTAGAGACAGAAACTTGTGGTGTGGTACTTTGAGACTCGAGGATCATACGGATCGTACGGGTCATACGGTCTTGACGAGCTAATTAGGGTATACCTGCAATTCGATATACACAGTAGCGCATGTGAGGGACTTTCGGTCCCGCTAGTATAGGGCCCCACAGGAGCACTTCTGCTGCAATGGTCTTTTTTCGGCCCCCTCTCCCTCTCCCCTTGGCCCCCCCTGCTCCTGCTCCCCCTGTCTCCCTTGCTAGCCTTATTAGCCTTGGTCTGCGGGACTCACAACTTTACCAGCACCGCACAATGGTGCTGTTTTGCTGTGCAGTGAAGCTCGGTAGTTACCAATCACCAGTCGGCCGGTGCCGAGTCCGTCCTGCCAAGATGCTCCGCTCCAAGCCACCCCTGGGACTCCTTACGTGGGTAAAATACCCAAACGGGCAAATGGTGGTTTGGTTTCGCGATCGGTTTCCTCGTACCCACTCCAGTACGCGGCCGCAAGCGTGGCACTGTGATCCTTCGAGGCGGGACCTGGTGGATGATCTACAGAGACGAAGATGGATGTCTTCCATTCGCCAGCTCGGCTTGAACCCGCTGCCAAGCAGGCACCTGTAATTGCTGCTTCTAGGTGTTTTTGACGAGCGTGCCTCGCAACATACATAGTATTCTCGGACTTGAGACCAAGGAGTTAGGGGTTGCTACGTAACAGAGCGTTAACAAAGAGAAGCACACGCCGACTAATTGCCAAGCCCTGCTGAAGCTCAATAATAACGAATGCAGATTTCAAGGCACAGAGTAACCCGCAAAATGCGGCCGCGTAAAAAAGACATTGACGCAGGGTTATCATCATTCCCTTTCAAGCTTCGTTTCTCCGCTTGGCATCCGCTTTCCGTGCCCCTCCAAAGGGCGCTTTTGGCGGTTCCTATGATTGTTCTAAACTTGATGCCTTGATTCCGTGGTTCCTTCGACTGCCCGCAATCGAGGCCATGCAAGCGGTTCCATCAGGTAAAGGACCTCGCAGCAGGTTACACAAAGCCACGTCTCCACAGAGTTCAAAGGGACCCAGCACAATGTACCATCGCGTCTGCGCATTGGGGGGGGGATCCTAGTCCCTACATACTCTGAGGCATGAAAGCGGCGCAAACATATGGGAGCTCCAAATTATCGAATCAAAGCCCGCCGTCGCCGCTATTCCAGGGGCGTGTCGGGCCCGAGGCCAAGTTATAGGAGTATATTCCCATGCAAGTGCAGATAACGTACATGACAACACGCTTTCATGTAACATCAAATAAAGCACTCATAATAATAGTATTTGGACCGCCTTGCTTCCTGTATCTGTCCTGGCACTTATTGGGAATTCCTACATCGGTGTATTTCGAGCATCTCGGTCCCGCAATAAATTGCGATGGATGAGCGTGTCAGGGTCGTTACGTATACGAGAGTTGCATGGCTCAGGGACGGACCCAAATTCGTAGTGGAGCACGAAGTCTGAACTTACGAGTTAAGGGAAGATCGAACCTCTCCGTGCCGCTGGCCAGGATAGCAAAAAAGTGCAGTATGCCTTGCCTGAGGCCAGGCTCTAACTGATCAGTTGACCTAGCATGTCTACCTAAATTGCATTTGTGAGTGCTCGCAGGATCGAATGGGTGGCACAGCGTCACCGATATAGCCCCCTCGCAAGGCAGCAGACAATGCTGCGTCAAAAGAGTGAAATTGTAGCAAAAGCACAGCAATGCTGCGGTGCTTGTTGAGTAAAGTCGAAGCCGTTTGCTCGTCTGACAAGCGGCTCTGCGCGTGATGTGTAAGTGTTACCGAAATCGTGGAGACCTCGTGGGTTATGTAAGAACTCAATCTTGAAAAGGGAAATCCAACGTGCTAGCACGGGCATCATAGGGCTGACGGTCATCCAGGTCGGGCGCCATTCTGGGCTTAGTGGTTAGCCTGGCCATCTAAGCCGTCTGAAACATATATCTATCCTCGCGCCCAGTTGTAATCTTCGCATCTGAGACTTACAGGAACGCCGGCGGCGTTTGGGGCGTTGATTCGGACATCCCGAGCACTTGTTACTGGAAACTGACGACGGCTTGTTGGTCGGCAACCCCAGAAGCTGTTCACCGAACAAATCCTAAACTGCATGAGAGCAGGAGGAGATCGTCCCGAAGTTTCAGCTGGAGCCTTGTACACGACGAGGCTCGTGTGCTGCGAGCGGCATCACAGGTTCCTGTCGTGAGACTCTGATACGTTAAGCTCACCGCCACGGAATGACCTCTGAGAGCTAAAATTCAACAGGCCGCTGGAACCGCCAAACCAGCGATCTACCAGCTGTGAGTACGAAGACCGCCGTACGATTTCTATTGAATGTATGGAATGTAAGCTCTTTGTTTATCTACTCATCGGCGATACTCTCCCTGCCGGAGCTTCGTTCTAGATATGTTTTCCCGCCCGGCGACACTTTTCACGCGCGGCGCTATATTCTCCCGGAAATTTGGGCTCGCACGACGAGCTCGAGAACTTGAGGATAATACCAACTATGTGACCCTTCCTCAGCAAAGCCGACGTGGACAGATGTCAATTCTAATCGTGGTGATATTTGAGTTTCTCATGCGCTGGTGTTTCACCTCGATCGAGTGACCTGCAGTCGGAAGAGCTACCAGCATCCACCCAGCGTTCGAGACCGCCGCAGCCCTCTGGAGAGCCCCCGGAACTAACGCTTTGGTTTCGCTCTAGCCTTAGCAGCCCGCCCAGCCTTCCCCTCTCCCCAGTGTGTTCCCCTCACAACCCGGAAGCAGGCTTGACAAGGCCCAGCCTTTTGGCCTGTCCAGCAGAGCGTGGCACGGGACGACTGGCGGCTTGGGCTGGCAGTGCCCAGGCTGGCGGAACGAACGGCTGTCCAATTGCAGCACAGCGCTTCGGCTTGTGACCCACCAGAGCCGAGCCTCTTTCACTGTCAGTCCTCCCCTTACTCATTCAACGGCGTCAACGCCAAGAAGTGGTTGGCTGACCATGACCCAAAGCGCCTTGGCGACTATTGCGTTTGCCGTACACGTGAATCTTGCTGGATTGTAGTCTTATCACGACCTTGCTAGCCTCCAGAGCTCCCTCTTGGAAGAAGCTCGTCTGGTATATGCCTGCCGTGTCTCGTTGTGCCCTGTCCTCTAATCGATATCCGGCTTTCAAGACGCAATTGGGCTTGTGAGAAGATTGCCAACGGCCAACGGGCCTGTGTAGGAAGATGGCGACCGCGACCGTCACCGTGAGCTCGATCCTCACGACGACTATTACCGCAGCCTCTTCAGCCGCCTCAGCCTCCAGCACGAATAACGTCACTCCACAGGGAGGTATTCTTGAGCATGTTATGCCAAATGCATACAGCTCATCGAATCCCATCACACTCTTCATCATTCAAGTGAGTACATAACTGGTCAAAAGTTCTGGCTGGCAGAGCGGACTAAACAACACGCTCTTCACCGCTTCGGAACAATTGCTTATAACGTGTCCACAGGCTGGCATCATTATCATCCTATGTCGTCTGCTGCATTACCCGCTCTCCTATATTGGACAGCCCCGTGTGATCGCCGAGGTCATAGGAGGCATCATTCTAGGCCCATCTGTACTGGCGCGGATACCTGGCTTCAAAGATGCCATATTCCCAACTGCGTCGATACCAGTCTTGAACAACGTTGCCAACCTCGGGCTGATTCTATTCCTCTTCTTGATCGCCCTTGAGCTCGACGTTCGTCTCTTCACCTCCAATTGGCGTGTCGCTCTCAGTGTTGGTCTTGCTGGCATGGTCCTGCCCTTTGCCCTCGGTGTTGGCATTGCCTACGGCATTTACCATCAATTCCCAAGTGAGAACCCCCTCAACTTCGGTGTCTTTGCACTTTTTGTTGGTACTGCCCTCGCAATCACCGCATTCCCTGTACTATGCCGTATCCTCGCAGAGCTTCGACTGCTCAGCTCCTCCGTCGGTGTCACGGTGCTCGCAGCGGGAGTAGGCAACGATGTTGTGGGATGGGTACTTCTGGCACTTTGTGTTGCTTTGGTCAACAACGCGTCAGGCCTAACCGCATTATGGGTCCTCCTTGTCGCTGTTGGCTGGGTCCTGTTTCTCGTGTTTGCCGTCAGGCCAGTTTTCCATTGGGTCCTCAGAAGGACTGGCAGTATTCAGAACGGTCCAACGCAAGGTGTAGTTGCGCTTACCCTTTTGCTTGTTCTTACCTCGGCATGGTTTACAAGTTAGTTTCTAAACCCCCTACACCAAATTTACGTGATATTGATTTGCACCAGGTATCATTGGCGTCCACGCCATCTTTGGTGGATTTTTAGTTGGACTGATTTGCCCTCATGATGGCGGCTTCGCCATCAAACTGACGGAAAAGATCGAGGATCTGGTTGGTGCACTGTTCCTCCCACTCTACTTTGCTCTCTCCGGCCTCAACACCAACTTGGGTCTCCTGGATGATGGAAAAACTTGGGGCTACGTCATTGCTGTCATCGTGATTGCTTTCGCCGGTAAGATCATTGGTGGAACTCTTGCTGCAAAAGCCAATAAACTTGTATGGAGAGAGAGTCTCACCATTGGAGTTCTGATGAGTTGCAAGGGTCTAGTAGAACTCATCGTTTTGGTAAGTGCCCCTCAGATTAGCAATTTCGAATGGGGACTAATGGAATTCCAGAACATTGGACTGGAAGCCAAAATCCTTTCCACCAAAACATTTACAATGTTCGTCGTGATGGCACTCGTCACTACGTTTGCTACGACGCCAATTGTCAAAGGCCTCTATCCTCCTTGGTACCAAAAGAAACTGGAAGCATGGAAGCGAGGCGAGATCGATTGGGATGGAAAGCCATTGGCTACTGACGAGGCAAGCCCGTCAGGGTCAGGTTGTGACCTAGACAACACCAAGATCCGACGTCTCCTGGTTTATTTGCGACTAGACAGCCTCCCAAGTCTGTTTACCTTTATCTCTCTCCTTGGGGAGGATAAGGAGGAGGCGGCGCCGTCGACTGACCAACCTCAAACCGACAATGCAGTACAGAGCCCTATCACCAGGTCGCGGCATATAGAAGTTCACGCGCTGCGTATACTCGAGCTGACAGAGCGTACATCCTCCGTTATGAAGGTAACTGAAGCGGACGAGTTCTCCCGGAGAGATCCGGTTGTGAACGCGTTCAAGACCTTCTCGCAGCTGAACGATGTCGCCGTGTCTTCGAGCGTCGTCGTAGCTCCAGAAGATGCTTATGCTCAAACTGTCATTTCGAGTGCTTCTAATCAAGATTCGGATTTCGTCTTGATACCTTGGAGCGAGGTCGGCAGCAATACTGAAGACCAGTCTATTCCATTCCATGTTTCTTCCCAAGATAGATTTAGTGGTCGATCGCACTTGGACTTCATCCAGCATACGCTGTCCAAGGCCGTGTGCAATACGGGTATCTTCATCGGGAATGGCTTCAGTGGTATTGCACCTGTCGAGAAAGCCCGTCACACCTTGCCCCGAAGGCTCAGCACCATCTCGTTGCGGAGCGGGAAGGAGACTGCGCATCTTCCTGTCACTGACAAGTCGCATCATGTCTTACTTCCTTTTATTGGCGGCGAGGATGATCGTGCAGCATTCCATTTCGTGCTTCAGCTTGCCAGAAGCCCGCTTGTCACTGTGACTATCGCGCACCTTAACTGGACTTCCGAAGCAGGCAATGAAGAGGTGACTACGGTGGTAGCAGAGAGCTCGACAGAGACCAAAGAGGCTGTGAGGACTGAAATCACAGCACAGGATGCCTCTCTTCTCTCCTCTGTCCAGTCGTCGTTACCATCCAACCTTGTCGGTCGTGTCAACTTTACCGAGCTATCTGTCAGTACCGGTACTGCGGTGTCCAAAGCTATCGAGCTTGCAACGGAAAAGGTTGGCCAGAACCCTCGCAATGCTGGTGACATCATCATCGTTGGTCGGCGCCATGCGAAATTTTCAGGTGCAGCTAGTTCCGAGTCGGACATGGGCAAGACTATCGGTGTTCTTGGAGAGAAGTTTGTTTCAAGCGGACTTAGAGCCAGTGTCCTCGTCATTCAGGCACCGGAGGCCAAGTAGAAGGTTTCGTACTCATGAGCGGGTTTTCAGGCGTCACGTTCGTTTCTGGGTAGGTGACTAGCATTTTGTGTCACAGTGAGCTTTTCGGATATCTGGCGTCTAGCATTTGGACCAATGGTTGTTCAATCACATTACAGAACTACTATAGCTCGCTTATGATGCATTGCGCGTGAAACTTCAAGTGAACGTGGTCTGTCTGTGGTACTTTGAAGTGCTGCTCCAACCTTGACAAATTATCAATCGGTTCCTTCACCTACTTACATTGTCTAATGTGCTTTCCTTCCAATGACCAGGTTCTGTGACTGGCTGGGCTCCGAAGGTCGATGGCAGAATTGCTCCGCGTGTTCCCATTCTCTACCAATCCTCCCTATCCTTTCCTGTGTCTACATCTGTATGGCCCCGGAATTCTCAAAGCCTTCACCTAAATGGATAGGCCACAGATTTAGGCAGTGCTCAATCAACGCCATGTACTTATCTGCTCGCCAGTTGAAATACGTGTTATCTGCACATTCGAAGAATATGCATTGTTTATAGCGCCTGCGAATGTAGTGATTTGCGCATAAGGAACGAAAGCGATGATGTAGCTCTTATTGATAAACGTACATTTACCACGTGACATCAGCTACTCGCTTGCGGACAGGCAGAGGGAGGATGCCTTGAGTGCAAAGAAGCTGAGTTAGGGAGAAATTCCCTGCGCCGACGCAGGGCCTGTCCCAGACAGAGAGTGGTCCATGCCGAAGTCCAGACCCTTTGTCGCAATTAATGCTATAAAAACTTGCCCTAATGATTCGAACAACGTGATCCTCACCTCTGTTCGCATTGAATAATACAATCAGAAAGATGTAAAAGGAACTGCCACTGGAAGCACTAAGGGCAAATCTGTGTCTTTTGTATCCGAGCAGGCCTTTCATCTCTAAAGACTCGGTACTCTGTTGACAACGAGTGCGCATAAGATCCACGCGAAACTCGAGGAAGCGCGGCAGCACCGAACTAGAAGTTAATCCTTTGACATGTTTGATGTCAAGGCCAACATTCAAGAAGAAATCATAGCAGTTCCGCAACAAGACTAAAATGGAGGGCTATCATAGCACTTTCCTACAGCAGCAACGGGCCATTCTCTTTGGCCGGCGAATGCTTTTGCATCATGAGCGTGTCTCCCAAAGCAGTGTACGAATGCTTCTCGGAAGCCTTGAACGAAGAAAAAAAATTGAGGTTTGATGCTCCCCAGAAGTGATGGTGGTACCCGGGATGGCAGTCTTCATCAGCACCGCCAACTTGAATCTAGACTCCCCTCTGTCCATGAACAGACGAAAACGACTGTTGAAGGCATCAATCACCAAGGCACCGGTCCAACTTAGCATCCTTCCGATATTTGCACCAACGACGATACAAGACAACTATACTTGGCCACTTCTACATATTAACCCGGCGAGAGCACTTCGGGTCCGAACATCACGTCACCAACCACCTTGGCATCACTTGGCAACGCGAAGCATGTGCAAGATGAGGAAGGCAGAGCTCACAAACAAGAACGGCAACAACGGGGTCACAGAGTGACCGCGCTGCGGACTGGAGCAAATTCACAGAGCTTCGAATGCTGGGCATATCTATGTGTAGATATAAGGCGCGGGCGCTTCACTTGATGTACAATTACTATGCCATGAGTATAATACTCTCAATCGTTTTTAAACTGTCCGCTCATTTACCATGCACCTGCTTTTGATGCTGTCTATGGACTTGACACTATACTGACTTTTCATCATCGAACCAAAAGCTCAAAAATTGGGTTGTGATACTATACTCTATGACCATGCCAATTCATGCTCTGTGTGTAATGACGATGTTTCTGTGTCTGGGCTCATCACTGAAACTTAGCGAAGTTACTTCTCCAGTGAACGACCGGCCGTATCTGCCGGAGCTGCTGCCGAAAACCCATTACCGATGATCGACGCCCGGGGGCCGGCCTAAAGTGGGTCGTAGAGACACGGCATTGCAACCATGGCTACCTATACCTTCCGCATCAGGAACGATGTGATCTCAGCACGCAAAAACGATCAGTACCGTACAGCCTCAAAAATATTGGGTTTCTCCAGAATAATTTGTGTTGCCACATGCATGTGTGCTTTTGGAGCTAATTCTCCATACTCCCGTGCGGTTCCTGCATATTGTTAAGGGGAGAAACTCAATCCTGCCATTCCCCTGGCTAGCGATCGACTATGCATGCATATGCGGGGAAGCCGTGGAACCCCAGATTGGCTCTTTGGTTGAGGTGTAGCTGCATATGATCAAATGCCCCCTCTTCTACTAGCCAAAACCGAGTATATGATCTCAGCTAACGCATCCTGCGTGACTATATAGTTGAGGTTTCGTAGTACACGGTGATTCTCAGTCCACGGCAATCGAGACACCCGCCAATTAATCAATCAAATACTTCGCTGCCCTCTCCCAAGATAATTAACTGGTATGACTGTCAGTATGCATTCTCTCAAGGTCCTTTCGACCCTAGCCTCGGTCCTGCTCCCTCTCATAGCACGAGCCGCGACCCCCAACCCACCCGGACTCACATATCTTTTCACCGCCAACGCGTCCCTGGCCCAATCCATCGACATGGGAGTCGGCCCATACGGCGAGCGTGTGGCGATCCCCATCATCGGAGGCACATTCTCAGGGCCGCGGGTAAACGGTAGGCTCTCCCGCCCGCCAAACCTCCCCTGCCCCTCAGCCTGTCATTACGGGGGCTGACATTGAACACACTAACTCACCCCAGGCACGATCCTCAACCTGGGCGCGGACTGGGGCTGGACGGACACGCACGACCCCAACGAGCCGGGCCGGACGACGTTCCACCCGGACACGCGGTACCAGCTGCGCACGGCGGACGGGGCCAACATCTTCGTGCAGACCGAGGGCCCCGCGCAGGCCGACGGCACCATCCACCTGCGCGAGAAGTTCGAGACGGGCAGCCCGGCCTACTACTGGCTCAACAACGTCGTCGCCGTCGGCGTCCTGCGGTCCGGGGACGGCTATGTGGTCATTGATACCTGGCAGGTGAGTGCTGATCTGGACCCCTCCACCCTGTTTGCCTCTTGCTTTCTGGGCGCCGAGCAGACTATGGTGCAAGACGTGCATCAGGAGCAGTATCAACGGATTTAGAGGGTCACCCAACTAACCCGTAGCAGATCGACACGCCTGCCTCGTAGCGAGGACTGTTCAATTTCCCAGCTCCAGGAATTAACGAGGTGTCTGACATATGATACTCCTGTTCTGTTGGGACATGTCCCTGGTAATGGGTATTGACAGCGAGGAAAGTAATTTTGCGTACATAACGGACGGCTTTAGAGGTGCTCGCGCCGGGATTTACACCACATAGCAACCGCACAAGCCGCACTTGAAGCTCATCATACCAAGACGTAAAAGTCAGCTCAAAAGTAAATTGGACTTTCGTACACTATATTCGGAGCCAGACGGGTTTCAGGTCATATTCGCTCGTTGTCACCCGCTCCCGTCCATTTGCCCGCCCCCAACTAGCCGTCTTCCTCATTCAGCGTGATATACATATAAATACGACGTTTCCCCACCCGCCACCTCGCCCTCTTTCCTCCACCCCATTGGTCTTCTTCTCTCTCTTCTATACACGACACGGGGCGCTCCCGCTTTGTCTACCTACCGCCCGCGAAGGCGGCCTTGACCTCGCCGCGGGGCCACTCGAACAGGACGTCGCCGCCGTAGACGGTCGAGGTGATGGTGCTGATGCGGACCTCGATCTCGCCGTAGAAGCGCTCGCACTCCTTGAGGACGCGGTTGACGAGGGCGCGGCCGCTGGTGTTGCTGGGGTCGTCGGCGTCGCCGAAGTGCTTCTCGACGCGCTTCCGGAGCGCCTCGACGCCCTTGCGCACCTCGCGGCCGTCGTAGCCCGAGAGTACCTTGTTGAAGGTGCCCTTGGCGTTGCTGGGCTGCGCCGCGATCGTGCTCGGCGACTTGCCCGACGCGAGCTGCGCCTCGATGTTCTCGAGGTATTCCAGGAGCTTGCCCAGGGGCCTCCGCATGACGGCGTTGAGGTAGAGGTTCATGTGCTCGTTCAGCTCTGAGCCGGCAGCGTCCTTCCAGTCCTCGAGGATCTCTAGTCCGCGAGTATCAACTTCCTCCAGGAAGTGGTTCATGTTTTCGATGAGTAGGATATGATAGTTCAGTGCCTCCTTGTCCTCGGGGTCGGCCCCGGAGTTGGTGAGAGTAGCAGGATTCTCGCGTGCGATGACCTTCAAACTCTCAAACATTGACTTGATGATGCGATCGTACTCGCGATCGATAGAACGTCGAGCGGAGCTGGTCGTCTCCGCTGCTGTCATCATGTTCTCAACAGCTGCTGAGAACTGGGGGAATACACGCATGAAGGAGATGACTCCCTTGCGCTTCTTGATCTTGACCTTGGTGTCCTCGATAGCCCGAATCTGCTCGTCAACAAACTTGGTGAAGCGGGCTTCCAGGTTGTTGTGAAGCTTTTGCAGGATGTTGTTTAGGAAATCTTGATTTGACTGTGTCATGTCCGAGTGCTTGCGTTCTAGCACCGCGAGAACACCAACTCCTTGCCTAAGAAATGGTCAGTGAGAATAGTCAGGCCAGGGATTCAGGGTTAGCTTACAGTGGATCTTGAGACAGAACCCAGTCGACTGTCATCTGTAGTTCTTGCTCCAAGAACGCAAATATGGCTTCCATAGCTCGGGTCACCCTTCGAGCAAGATCGCGGTCTGGCTCCATTAGTCTATGCCGTCTCAGGTCACCACCACGTCGGTCTCGGGGTTTGGCGGCTGCCACTGCATCGGGGAAATCGGCCGTCTCCAATGTCGTGGCGTGGAAGAAGTCGATGACAAAGTTCTGCTCCATTTCAACCAAGGGGAGTAGATCGTCCGCAATGCCTGCGAATATTTCATATGGGACAACGCGGTCGCCACCCTTGTCAAGGTTGGTCCTGCTTCCCTCCCCAAGAGGAGACCGCAAACTCCTGGCCAGCGTCTGACTGCGCTTAACGGTAAGCTTCCTTGCCGTTGCCATGGTGCTCTCTTGCTGCTTCTCGACCTGTGCTGTGAAGAGAAGATCTCCTTCTTCGCCAGTAGGTTTCCTGGCATTGCGCTTCCAAGCACTGAGCACTTCCTTGAATTCGGTTTTGTACAGTGGGAAGTTCTTGTCTTGGTAGACTTGGAGGAAGGTGTTCCATCCCGTGAGGTCCAAGTCTCGGGCGTAGACCATCAGTGGACTATACCTCCACAAGATCTCACGGCCAACGTCGTGATGCCGTGGGTCGACCTTCTTAGAAAGCGCTCCATCCAATGCTTTCTTCACCTCTCGAGACGCATGATCGAACTGGTTTTCCATGAAATCTCTGAAGCGTTGTAGAAACTGTGCGCTGCTTGAGAGATAAAGATCCTTCTTTTCTTGCACAATGCGCATCTTTCCATAGTCAGTGTTGAAGCCAGTCTGCTGGTCGCCGAGGCCACCGTCTTCACTCTTTCGCTCAGATCCGTCCATGGTAGGGTCGATCTTCATCATGGCCTTGTACAAAGTCACTAGAGTGGACTCAATCTCTTCGAGGCCAGACATGGAGTCCAATGGAGCGACCTCGAGGGCCCGCAAGTCTTCACGCTGTATCGCGCATGTGTCGAGGAGAGACTCCAACTCCTTCTTGAGCAGCTTCTGATTTGCAGCCTGCACCTGCAAGCCTTGGCCTTGGGCTTCAATATAGGCGATATCATCTGAAAGAGTCTGTGAGATGTTAGCAGGAATTGAGAAGGCGCGGGTATGCAGGCAGGACTGACCGATAACTCGACGCTGTATAGGGTTAGAAGGTTGTCGAGTTCGTCACACTCGCCAATGGCAAGGTCGAGGCCTCTCTTGATGGCATCGATGCGCTCGTCTTCCTCCTCGAACCGTACCACCCAGTCGCCAGCTTGGGCCTTGTTGAGCTGGCGATCGACGTTCATCTTCATCTCTTCAAAGTTCTGACTACGCATCTGCTCGCCAGGAACCCAGCCGAAGTGATCCAGCAGTTTCGTGAACTCGGCAGTCTGTCCAGCGAGGATGCTGGGGTCAACGCCGAGCGTGGCCAGATACTTGGCGTCATTGCCTGTGACCGCCGGACCTCTCTCTGGCTCGGTCTTTTTGGCCGCCTCTCCACCCTTTGGCTTTTCCTTGGCAGGCGCCTGAAGACTGTTGGGCCGGCTGGAGTTAGGAACGGTGATCTTGACTTCGGGCACACCTGAGCCTCGTTTAGGAGACTTTGGCGGTTCGGCAGGCTTCGGAGGTTCAGGCTTGGGAATCGGCCGTGGAGGCGCTGGCACCACCTGGGTAATGCCATCCGGCCCTTCGCTGCTATCGCTCCGCTTGAGGTCCCGCAGCCTCTCAGCGGCACCGCCAGGTCGAGGTTTGAAAGCACTAGCGGCTGATGCAGCTTTCCATAGAGCGCCGGCCAGATCTCCCTTGGACTTCTTTGCTTTAATCATGGGGCCCAGACCGGGTTTCGTTTCTTCTTCGGGTTCCTGAGCCAGTGGCTCTGTTTGCGTCTCGACAGGAGCCGGGCTCTGGACTGCACTGACGAAGGGGGTCTCGGCAGGTGAAGGACTTCGCACAGCAGGTTCCGGTGCGGGAGGTGGCTTCTCCTTCTCCGCAATCGAGGCGGCCAGCGATGCGCCTTCTGACTTCTGCCCAGCCGACATCTTTCGCGGTGACATCCTTTCCGCGTTCCGTGGAGGTGGCTGGGGTTCTTTCCGGAAGCCTGGGCTCATGAGGGGCGCAGGTACCAGGTCATTGTCCAAAGTTGCGCCCTGAGGTCTCGTAGGGTCCATAGGTGGACGACGTCTGTCAGGCAAGTCGACCTGCGGAGGTTGTTGTTGTGGCGGCGGCGGTTGCGGAGGTTGAGGTGATTGTGATGGAGGCGGCGGCTGTTGAGGGGGAGGGGGTGTTTTCGTGGTGTCACGGTCGCCGAATCGCCCGTATGCGCCTGGCCCGTTCATTCCGCCTCTTGATCGTGGCGGCATGCTCGACGCATCGTCACTCTTGCCCGTTGCAAAGGAGTCCTGGCTGGCATTGTTGGCTAGTCGTCGGAGGACAGGCGGCTGGCTCGGTGCCCGACCGGAGTCTATACTGGAAGACGGCGAGGAGGGCTTGCCGTTCGGGGGTATCAGACCACGCGCTGGAGATGCCGGCAGCCTCGCCGGAGGTTGGTATGCCTGTATAGGAGTACCGGAGAGCGAGAGATTGCTAGGGCTATTCGCAAGCTCAGGCCTGCGGCCTTCGCCGGGGGGTGTTCTCCCGGGCGGCGGGCCCATCTGCGCTGGTGCCCCAGGAGGTGGCCGTCTTGCGCCGAGGACCTGGTCCATCTCACGGGGGTCGAAGCCGACGAGATCGGGCAGCTTGCCGCCAGTGTACTTGCTGTAGATCTTGATCAGACTGGCGATGAAGAACTTCTTCTCCTTATCGGCCTGGCACTGCCAGAAGTAGGGCTTTCCGATGTTGACGACAAAGCCGGTGTCGCCAGCGTTCTGGCGATTCCGCGGATCGACCGAGGTGGACGTGTAGGACTCGATGGCGCTCAGGTCGTTCAGGTCCCAGGTCTTTCCGATGGAAAAGGTGCCGTTGGCGTTCTCCTTGGACTTGTGCATGCGCACGCGGCCAGACTTGCGGACGGCGACGATGATGACTCGGGGTTTCTCGGTCTGCGGCGTGACGGCCTCGGGGGGAGGCGGTGTCGACGGGTGCGAGCTGTATTCCATAATCCTAATATGGGTGATGTATGTCTCAAGCACTGTCGGACAGAACAACACACGTGTAAGCTTGGTGGACGGCAGGAAGGGAACAGCAGCGACGGCGGCGGCGGCAGCGGCATCAGCGGCATCAGCACCGCCTGCCGCTTGTCTCCTCTGGGGGCTCAGACTCACGAGAACCATCGGTATCCTTCTTGTTGAAGCAGCTGTCAATGATGCGGCGCTTCTCTTCCTCGAACCTCTCGGCGCGGCTCATGGCCTGGCCGCCGGGTCCTCCTCCACCGTTCTGCCGCGGGGCTTCCATCGTGACGAGTGGTGATCAGTGGCGCATGAATGGAATTGGTGAAGCAATGTCCTAGATGCCCATGCGGCATCGCATCGTTCGAGATTGGCAGCCGTCTCGAAGCTCGTTCGTTTGTCCTCTGGGGGGCGTCGCCCTCGTCCTCGCCCTCGCCTCGCAGTCGTTCTCGGGGGGCCAGTTTACGTGTCCATGCACGGCCACTGGGCGGCGCAGGGAGGTGACGGTCGGTCTTCTGTCGCCGGCTGCGCGGGTCGGTCTTTTCCTCGTATCGGGCGCTGGCAGGATGTGCGTATTGGGTATCACAGTCCCGTCGTCTGCCGTGCCGACTGGCTCCTATGTCGTGTCACTGACTGGCTGTCTCCCAACAAGGCGCCATCCGCATGGCTGAGGTAAGGTAACGATGTCCCAAATCAATGCAGCACTGACCCTGGCCACTATTGTCTTGGCGCCCGGGTCGAGCTTAAACCCGCCTAGGGGACCCCCCAAAGGTGGCCCCCCAAAGGTGCAGCCGTGCAGCCGTGCAGCCCCCTGGCCCCCTGCCACCCCGGGGGCCAGCGAAACGTTCCAGCGTCGTGCTTTGGCCCTTGGGGCTTGTGCCTTGCCTTGGGCATGACGTATTGCACCGACCACAGCTGGCGGCCGGCCGGCCTCTTGACCGACTTACATTTATATACTATACATTGTACTTGCACCTAATAGACTGTGGTGGGTAAGTCAGGTAGTTATGGTTTCCGATCATAGCCCAGGTGACAGTGAATCTGAAGGTCTTCATCTCCCTTGGCCACTGACCTGAGCAACGCAGATTTCTTGGTTCAGACGGACGTAGAATAGACATCCATTAGACATCTAGATAATCAACCTGAGCTACACAGAATTAGTATGCATTCCTGCACTGATCTACCTGTATCATGCCAGTACATAGGCATCTACCAGAAAATGCGCACATGCTCCTACGCAGCCCCTAATGTTACAATCCGTGTCGCCCCTCCCCTTTTTGGCGCTCGCAAGCAAATCATGATTGAGCCTCCGAGATCATGGGTCGCGGTCCCTATAACTTCCTGAACGCCTGGGGTATCCCTGCAGAGATGATTCCTTCCGCATGGCCTGCCAAACACCTCCCTCTCAATCATTGCAAATCAAAAATGCACCAACGTGAAATTGGACCCCCAAAGTGCTACGTCCGCCAGCTGAGGCCAGGGGACCTCTGCGTGGATGCTGAAAACTTGACCAACCGCTATCGCTGGTAGATTCGGCATGGTCATCTATAAACAGACTGCCGCTGCTCTAATCCATCGCGGATAGAATGCCAGACGTTGCGCTCTGGGGATGAGGTCTCGTAAAGTGCTGCTGGAATGTGGTACAGCGTGCCAGAGGCTAAGTTTGAAAGCCCCATGTGATCGCAAATATCGATGCCATGGTCACAAGCCACTTAAATATCTTGCTGAACAAGCTGGAGGAGCGAAGCGATGTAGTCAGACTATAGCAATGTTAGTGTCAATTCACATGAGCGTTGTACCTGGACAGGGGGAAAGCTCACCATCGCGGTATTCTCCGTCATGACCTCGAAAAGCCGAGTCATGACGGGCCGGAAAAGCTTCTCGTTCCAACCACCCGTCTCACCACCAGCCTCCTCACGCTTCAGCAGCAACTCTTGCGACTCCGTCTTGACGACATTGCGTGCGATGTTGCGAAGCACCAGGACAGCACTCAAGGGAATACCGGCGGCTCGGATGATCTGAGGGTTTCGCTCATCGCGAGTGATCAGCGTCTGTTCCCACGTCACCGACATAGTCTTGGCTGGGACTATGTAGGACCTCTTCTGTCGTTTGGCAGACACCTCGATACCGTCAGTCAGGCCGCGCTTGTTGGACGAGTTGACGTGGGTCTTCAGGTGGCGCGTGAGCTCGGCAAGTTTGGTCCTGGTTGCTGTGGGATATTTCCTGCAGTCTGCCCACCGACACGACGCTTCGAGATCCTTGTTCTCAAACTTGCCGTCTTCGCCGATGCTCTGATCCAGATGCGCTGTAAGAATATGGTGCCAGAGCTTCTCGCCTCCGGGAAAGAAGCTACCGCATTTCTTGGCCGACGGCGCCTCACCAATGGTCCACTGGCAGATTGCGTATTCCTCCTTGGTCTCATAATCAAGAGGCAGCGTGCGCGCACGAATGCCCTCTATTATAAATCGCTGTGCCTCGCCTGGGCCTCTGATGATCTGGGCCCGGGCGTTCGTAAAAACGTGGCTCACATTGCGGATGAAGTCGGCAGCGCTTAGCGTGTTGCGGCTCTGCCCGCCGAACGAGGCCTGATACGCTTGCCAGATGGCAATCTGTGTGATGTGAGACTCGCTGTCTTCCTCAAAGAGGCTTTGCAGCCAGTGGAAACACCGCTGCGGCTCGTCGGTGCCCCCGAGCTTCTCTTGTAGGTCCAGCGGAAGCGCTGCCACGGATTCCGATGCATTCAGCTTCCGTTCTGCCTCGAGGATCAAATCCTCCTTCACCCTTTTCGCCCCGTGAGCGAGGAGCCGGACCAAGTGGGGAATGGCCCGCTCCATGTCAACGGATCTGAGTAGGGACTCGACGTTTGGCACGACGGCCGTGTATTGATAGAGGAAGTCGAGACAAGCGTCCATCAACTCTTCATCATTCAGGAGCAGCCAATTCATGATGTTTTGCAGAACCAAGACCGGAACCTTCTGTAGCTTGTTCGTTGCGTCCAGGTTCATGGAGATGCGACTGATGGCGCGTAAGGCCGTAAGAATGGTACCGCGGTCGGTCGAGCCCAGTTGGCCCAAAAGTGATTGGTACAGTGGATCCTCTGATTTCAAAACCAGCCAAGGGGTCAGTTGCTCAGCAATGTCGAGGGCGAAATGCTTGATCTCGACGAGCATCTCAAGGCTGGGCAGATGGAGGATGATGCATAGGAGATCCTTGAGAGGGTAAACCTCGGCCATGTAGATGGCGTTCTCTTGTAGCATGACCATGTTGCGAATTGTGAGTACAGATTCGGTGATGCGAGTAAAGCGGTCCAAAAACTCGGCGGTCTGCAAGTAGTCGAGCACAGGCTTAGAATCCAGCTTCTGTATTCTGTCGAGAATGTCGTCCATGCCGTTCACACCATCGAGAACGGCATTGTCCGTTGTGTCATCAGTGCCAGCGTAGTCGATCTGCCAGTCTACATGGTAGAACAAGCTGGCGATCTCGAGGCCTTTTTCGATCAAACCCTCGGCTAAGCCAAGAAATGACTCGAACTTGAACTTGTCGCCACGCTCAAACGAGATCTTGACAAGGTGATGCAGTGCAAAGGCCTGCTCGGCTTGGATGCCCGAGCGCAGCGATTGGAGACATCGGGTGTAAATGTTAGGTCCATCCGATCCAGCTGGACGAGGTCAGAACGGGGACAGGCTCGACAGGGACATGTGGCACTTACTTCCAGGCACAGCAGGCCTGCCAGGGACGATTTCGGGTATACCGGCGGCAGCTAGACGGAGTTGACGCTGACGCTTGGCAAACTCGACCGGGTTGTTTCCAGGTGTGTTGACGGGTCGCAGGGCGACAGTCATTGGCCCACGAGGCTCGATGGCCTCGCTCAGCCTGGACGCAAGGTCGGAATTGGGCGGGGTGTAGGCGCTCGACGCGCCCCGTAGCGCAGCCTGTTGCGCTTGGACAATGTGGAGCGGGTCGTGGCGCTGAGAGCCGTGGTGGTGCTGGCCGTGCTGGCCGGTGGGCGTGTGGGAGTTATGGGAGCCATGAGGCTGGCTGACGCTGTGCTGCGAAGAGCTGTGACGTGTGGCGCGGCTCGGCCCCGTCTCTGGCTGGAAGGGGATCCTCTGGGCGGGAGCCTCGCGCAGGCGGCCGGAGGCTCGGTTGCCCGAGATGGGGGTGCTCTCGGCCGGGCGGTCCTCCTTGACGGGGGTCTCGCTGCCGGGGCGCTTCCCCGTGGCCAGCTCGAAGCTCTCGAGAGTGCGGGTCAGGATAGGACCGAACTTGGTGGCGCACGACTGCGACTCGAGGATCTCCTTGGGCGGGGGCTCCTTCTTGTACTGGTCGTGGATCCAGTAGGCGCCGAGGTAGCGGTAGAAGTCCTGCTTCAGCTGGAAGGACAGCTGGCCCATGCTCTTGTTGTCGTCGGCGAACATGCCCAGCTCGGTGGCCAGCTGGCCCCAGGCCTTCTGCTTGCTGCACAGCTCATCGTAGCCGCCGCGCTCGATGACGGCGCGGTACAGCTTCAGCAGGTCGACGTTGACGTGGCCGCCGGTGACGGGCAGGCGCGGCTCGGGCTCGAAGCTGGTGCCGCGGTTCTCGTGGAAGGCGGCGAGCTTCTTGATGAAGTCGTCGTACTCGGCGGTGCGGTCGATGCGATGGACCTTGTCGGCGTCCCTGCCCGTGCCCTTGGGGGCCATTGTGAGGATCGGAGTGCGCTCTGGCACTGGCGCTGACGGACACCGGGGCGCTGGCTGATGTCGATGGATGTCGTCGAGGGCCCTGGGGAGTGGGAGTGGGAGTGGGAGCTGGGAGAGCAGCGACCTGTCTGTCGATGTGCGATGTGGGGTGGGAATATACGTGAGCGAGCTAGTAGAATCGTCACCTTTTGCGACGGGCAACTCAGTCGCGAAAATCAGCTTGGGTGGGAAGGCTGAGAGACGTGTTGGACTGGACTGGACTGGACTGGACTGGATTGGATTGGATTGGATTGGATTGGATGGGTCCGAGCGCTGCAGCCCGCCAGCCCGCGCTTTTCTGCCCGTCCCCCGTCCCCCGTCCCCCCGTGGCCGCGTCTGCTGGAAGATTGTCCCTTGCGGCGCGAGCCCCCGATGGGATTAGCGCGACTCTACCTAGGTAGGCTTTTGGGGGCTGGGGGGTTATGCATGTAACCGGGCGGGAAGTGCGAGAGGTGCCCCAAGTCGCTGTACTGTGGTATCTCGTGTTAGTGAGACTTCACATTGGACTTTATTCCCATCCGTACGGCCAATTGTCTCCGTGGCTCTTGCAAGATAAGGCACTTACCTAAGCTATCAGCCTGTGACTTGCCAAACCTCCTGGACTGTGGTGATTTCCTGGGTCCAGAGGTGCTCAAGTGTGAGCACATTGTCGTGCATGGGATTGATTGATGGGAGCGGTGCTCATTGCTGCACTCCACATATCGTACCAACTGGGACCAGGCACCTTTCTCAACTGGCGCATTGAGTAACCAAATTCCCGTCTTCTTCCTCAAACACACCGTTTGCCACATCCAGCTTGAATTTCATGCAACGGGAGAAAAGGATGCTTTCTATTGACTGTCTGCGGCCGGTTTTCTGGGGTAACTCTTCTCAAAGCTGTAGCCGCCTGAAGGAGATGGTCGCTCCTACCCCCAAGTTGCTTTCCGCATCACGAGGGCAGGAGCGTCGGAGCAAACATGTGACCTGCTCAGAACCAGAGACTAGAGTAGCAAACGGCACGATCTGGACTTGACACCCTCGACCAGTCTTCCGCATATGCCATTCACACATCAAGTTCCCCATGAAACATGCCCATGCTCACGCGTACACATATGCTTGCATGCAGTCTACCACCAACAAGCAGAGTATCCGAGACCGACCGTCACATCACCTCTGCTCAAATACATGTTCACTTTCACTCGTCTCAGAACATTCGAGGATGTCGTCCAAGCCCGATTTACAAACAAGGGGCAAAGAATTCAAGCTGCGAAAGTCGGGAAACCCTGCCGCCACTCGTCTTTACCAGCCAAGTGACAACCCCCGTCGTTATATCGAGTTCCTGTCACAAGGCTCGTCTAGAATCCAAAGACCAGTGAACGCCACACAAAGGCTGGACTCACCCGTCGAGCATGGAATCCCTATCAATTTCCAAAAGCCACCAAGATTCCGCCCGAGACAGCCTTCGCTTGCCGTCGTTGACGATGTGGGTTTACACAGATCTGAAGCAGCAGCACAAAGATATCAACAAACCCAGAATCGATGGTATTCGCCAGCCAATGTTCCACAACTCTCACAACGTATTTACTCCCACAGCCAGCCCTACGTGAACACCTTCAACGCCGGCCCGGTAAACAGGCTGGCATTATCCAGAGAAACGGATGGCGGCGATGATGACGAAGATGTCAAAACTTTTGCGCACAACAACCCCTGGCGGCATATATCCGCACCCCTAGATCAGAATCCAGCTACAGAAAAGCGAAGGCTTGCCGAGGAGGATGACAAGAAAGAGCCCAGACCATTCAAGTCCGTACGGTTGAGCACCGCCGAGGACATTACGCAAACATTGAGCATAGCAAAAGGAAAGATGGACGAGCAGCTGTCAAAAGCCACCCATGTGGATGACGTCCTTCTCTCGGGGATGGACGTGCACGAGTATGTCGCAAAGACTTTGACAACCAGGGACCAGACCCTAGTGCAACAAATGGTGGTTGATTTATTTGCGAAGAGGGCTAGTGAAAGCGAGTGGTGGTCCGAGGTTGAATCAATGTTCGATGAGATGTAGGGGCTAGCACACAACCAGGTTTTGAACCGGATAATTACATGGGTTGCCAGACTGGTCTATCTGACAACCCAAGGAGAGTTCTCTGTCTTTTGCCATCTTGCCTTCGCTGTTGGAGAACGCAGTATTGCACGTAGGGCGAGAAATCTTGGGGCTGCGTTGACAAACCATGAGCGTGAACACGAGGGAGGAAATATAAATTAGTCAAATTTCTCTTCAAGTCTGATCAATGAGTGAAGTCACATAACGCCTCCTGGCTCACGGTTGCGGATGGACTGCACGTTCTCGAAACTTGATTTCTACCGCTGTGACATGAAGTGAAGATATACGTGTATTCGAACAGATAAACCCAAGAAATAAAAAGTATCAGTACTCGTTATACAGGTATCTCATGAAGGTAAGCCATCGATGTGAACCAAAATTTTCCACCAAGGTTTGTACCGGGAGGAGAAAAAAGAATCCAAACTTGTTCTCTAGAGCCTTCTAGTACGAATTCGAAGAATCAGACAAACAATAAGCGAAGTATAATGTTGTAGGTACCCCCGTTCATCACACACCTGCCAGATCACCCACCTCGGGGCCGATCATGGCTGCACGTTCGGTTCCTCGGCAACCGCCGCCCTCTCAGAAAACACATTCACCGCTGAATCACCAAGAAAAGCTATACATCACCGGAGCGCCGGGTGTATGGTGGACGCCGGCCCCGCATCCAGCTCGTGGATCACCGTCCGGGGGATCTCGTTGGTGTCGGCGGGCAGCTCGGCCCGCATGTACGCGGTATCGGGCGACAGCTCGGCGGCCGTGATCTGGTAGTTGCCGCCCGTCTCGTAGGTGGCGGCGGCCTCGTCGAGCGCGAGCGTCTTGACGGCCGTGTCGAGCGGGCTGACGGGGCTCAGCGCGACCTGGGGCGACGACGCCGTTGCCTTGGCCACCTCCTCACTGGGCGTTCGGCTGACGGCCGCCGGGCGCGTATAGGCTGGCGGCACTTTCTCGAGTCATTAGTGAGTATTATTTATATTGAAAAGGGGGGCTGGGGGGTTGTCGCGGGCGCCGCACGGGACCTACCTTTGCGACCGGCGTTGTCCTCGCTGATCAGCTGCCGCGGAAAGCCGCTGATGGGCAGCACGGTGACGCCCGATGGGTACGGCTCATTCTGCAGGCAGAGAGAGATCCTCGTCGTGGCGAGCTCCCGCTGTGTCTGAACCATGAAGGGCTCCATTTCAAAAGAGCCCCGGTAGCACATCTCGTGCACGGCAGTCTCATTAAGTGGAATTCTGATCGGAGCCGAGCGAGGCACCTCTTCTTCCAGGAGGAAGTAAGGCTCGAACTCGCCCTTGAATGCTGCTCGTAAGAACTCCCCAAGCGACCTCATTTCGTCAGACGAAGCTCGGAACCTGCAGAGTATTGTCCCTGGCGCGAGTTAGCTGCAGAAGACAGACGACGGGCAGAACAACACCAACCCGAGCATTGGTACCCATAAAGCGCCGTCTGCTTGACAGAGCCTGCATTCTTCTCAAAGAAAAATGTGCTGGCTATCAGCCTGTGCGCTGCCTCCTTGACAGCGTCCGAGTTCGACAGAAGGGCTTCTCGGGCCTCGCGCTCCAGTTCATACACTTTTCGTGCCTGATCAAGCTTCGGGATTTTCATATTCAGGGCTGGGTTGATCCGCACATATCGTTGCCGAATCTCTTCTGTGGAGCAGAACGATTTGGGTAAAGACTTAGAGCGGATGAACCGATCCCATATCTTGTCGTTACTCGAGTAGTCGTCGAGTTTACTTACAGTCGCGGCTGCGCGTAGTGGCCTTGAAGTGTTAATAGACGTCCTTCGTGGCAGATTGGTAACCCCCGTGTTGATAGGAGATAGTTGGGCTGGAGTATTCAAATCTTTGACGTTCTTCCCAGATCCGATTGACAGAAGGATGTCTGCGGGACAGTCCGCCATGTCACTCCATATCAAGCTGGACTCATAGTCTGCCAACAGGGCCGGACAGTTGTAGCTTGCTGAGCCACCGGTGTAGAATGTCTTGGTTTCCATCTTCTGGAAAGGCTTGAAAAGGGGCGGTTGAGCCGATGTTGCTCTTGCACTGAATGTGTGTCAGTATCTCGAGCAGAACCGAGCAGAATCTGACTTACGCCTCCCATATCTTCATGCCATCTTCGGGCGCACTCGAGCGAGAAAACTGGTACGGAAGGCCTGTAATTGTCTCAGCGAACGCTTCACGAAGAGGCTGGCAAGTACTTACCTCCTTCTGCCCGATCTTGGCGGTTATAATTCGCGAAGATAACAGATTTCTGATCCAAGGCTGTTGTTCCCGCAACTGCGACCTTGGTGGGCATCTCGCGCTGGGAGGTTGCTCCTCCGAAAAGGGGCTGGTCCTGAAAAACCATCTTCAAGCCCCTCTCAAACGGTTTTGTCTTATAGATGCTTCCGTGATAGAATGTAGCAAGATTCTCGAAAAAAGGAACACCCGTCAGCTCGCGCGGAGAGAAGGCATCCGATGAGAGCTCTTTGAATCGCTTGATACACTCCTCGACCGACCAGTTCTTTACACCTAAACCAAGTGCGATGGTGCCACCGGTGCTTTTCTAGTCGTTAGTTTCGTTTCTAGGAAGGTCGCTGAAGTTTCACGTACCCGTTGCCTACAATGAGGTCAAAAAACAACTGCAGGGGTAATTTCGGACCGAGGACTTTCTTGATAGCCTTGAGCACCTGCAATTCAACGATACTTCGTACACCACCCCTAGATATACAAGTGAGCTGAGGCCTGATAGAAGAGCGTCCATACATACCCATCAAGACATAGAATGCGCACGCCAGCACGCGCAGGTTTGATTGGAATTATCCAGGGGGGATCTGCAATGACATCTTGGACGTGCAAAGGACATCTCGTCATTTCGATTGTTGATCGTGACGTGTTACGCCCATACGTCTGTACGCAGGGAAGACACAGTATGTGACCGCATGGCAAAGGGCACTCCGGAAGCTCCCGAAGACATGAGAAGCAAGCAACATGGCTAACGAAATCCGAGGCCGTTCCGAGGGATTTGTAGAACTCATTGATGCGCTCTCTGTGTATGAGTCCGGCGACTTGAAGCTCCGTCCTTCCGGGAAGCTTTTGGCCGAGCTCAAACACGGCATTCTGGAGGTTCAGCAAATTCGATCGGATGACTTGCGACCACTCAGCGCCGAAGGTTGTCGGATCAAAGCTCGACTGATAAGTACCATGACCAATCAGTGCACCTCGAGCATTCTGGTGACCCTTCGGGTTGTGGCCAATCTTGACGTTACAACATCGATCTTCTTCTCTCGTAGAGCTTCCCCTTCGAAAGGAGCAAGGCCAATGCATATCTGCAAATCGGTGTAGTGCTGCTATGCACGGCTCTGCATAAGCGTCGTCTAGTAATTGGGCAGCGGTACCTGGATGATAGGAGAGGTCAGTAACAATGTGTTGTTGAGAAAGCTCCATTACATGAGCAGACTAACCCATGAGACTTTGCCGAACCGCATCAAACATTACACAAGTAGCAATCATCGGTCCAAGTTTCTGGAAGATCTCTTCTGCGTTATTCCGGACCGACTCCTCCACGGCACGCTCTTTGATAGAAACAGCAAGACTGAGTATATTGCCTCCGAAATCGCGTGGTGATGGGCTGTATTTAAGAGCCTCTTTCACGAAGTCGAACGGGGTGCCCAGATCCCTGGTAAAATGGTCGTAAGCAGCTTGGAGGTACACCTGAAACCTTTCGGCATTTGCCAACATCCTCACTTGTCGCTTCTGCAAATGCGATGCGATACACCGCTGCTTGATGATATCAAATGTCTTTGCCGCCTGCTGGTCCATGAGCATATACGAGCCTCGCGACGGAAGACGAACAACTGTGACAGAGGCATAATAGCAGTGCAATAGCTCTTCTGTTGTGTTGATCGTTCTACCGCGGTCGACCCACGACTGGACGAAGGGTTTCAGGGCAGGCTCTCGGAATATCGCGCCTCGAATATCGGCCATGAGCATAGCGGTCGCTGTTTCTGGGTCCCATTCCCTTTCGTCAACGCCTTCACTCGCATTGAACACTATAACGGCATGAGGTAAGACAGGTTGGTTCAACGACTTGTCGATGGAGTCCGCGCCCCATCTTGTAAGTTTTTCCAGTACCACTGACTCGAATGCCCTGAAGTTGTTAGTAGCTTGATTGTGACAAGTGGTACAGAAGTGATGCTAACCGAGGATTACGCAATACAAATACTACGACATCGCTAAATGAATAGAGGATGCGCGGGTATAATACGGCGACAGCATATTCTCGTTTCTGTTTTTGTGGAGTATCGGCCCATGCGATATGCCGTGACGAGCTCTTCCTCATCTTGCGATTCTTCACTTCATCCCGGACCCGTTGGGGTATGGCAAAACTGTCCTGCATCGACCCCTGTTCCTCTACAGCTTGATATCGAAGTGCTTTGGGCAGCATCTCGCCGCCATTCAGACCTTCACAGTCAGCTAATAACAGGGGCGTGTCGGTGAAGTAAGACGATGGCTCAGGGTAGAGATGCACATCTCCTGTCGTCGGCAGTCGATCATATCCAGAAGATGTGACTGGTGTGCGGAAGGCTGTGCCATAGGCGGAGCTATAGTTTTGTCGATCGATCAACAACTTGATGAGTGAACTCTTGCCCGCCCCTGAACAAATGTGAGTGACCGAAATGAAGCACTTAATGGGGGCTACTGAGTAGTGTTACCTGTTTCACCAATAAACGTTACCAACTGAGGATATCGCTCGCTGCCTTCCCTGGTTCGACTTTCACCCATTATTCCGGCGAACCGCCCGTAATCTTGGAAGATCGGGTGGCCGGTGGCATCGCGAGCAAAGCCAAACCAAGCGGTATCCTCGTCATCTAGAAGCTCCTGTTGGTGATCTGCCTCGGTCCGCAACGGCTCGAAGATCTGGCGCAGCCGTGCAACGATGAACGGGTCGGCCCTCTCATGCGGTCTTCCTCCCCATCCAACGGCGCCTGGGGCGTGGAGGATCCATTTCGGCCAGCACCCGTCGCAAAACCACAGGTTGTTGCACTGGATGCACGAGTACCGTTTCTCCGAGACCGTACCGCACGTCTGGCAAGGCTGCGAGACGGGGATGAGCCCCGGGTTGATGGATTGCATTGGCACTGAGGGCAGTCGAGTCGAGGCTCAGAACCTGTCACCGCAAGGAAGAAGCAATACTAGAGGCATGTGGCCTGGGCGGCGTTGGATATCTATCCGGGTGCACACGAAATGGGAGGAAAAGAAAGAGCTCTGTAGAGGCGTCACGTTGCGCTGGAGATTGCGACTCCCCGCGCTTACAACCGCATGGTGGGTGTGTGTGTGTGTCCGGTGTCTGTCTGTCTTGTCTTGGCTGCTGGTGCAGCGGGTGAGCATTGTGGATTATAGCTGCATTGGATGCGAGAGGGCGGCGTGGTTCGGCCGGATATGATGTCAGGCATCCTTCGCTGCCGTCGCCCAATAACAGAGCAATGGTGCCGCCACTCGTCAGCTCGATCCTACGCTGGGGTCGCATGTACAGCGAGCAAGACGGTTCACCCGTTCGGTGCGCCGCGAACGCCTCCTCTCCTGGCCGTTGGGACCTCCAGGGCCGCCGTAGTTGGCCCATTCACTGTCAGACGTGAGATGTCAAATCGGGGCGCCCCGTACGCGTGTGCAGCAGAGTGGGCAGAGGGTACGACGCCTTGGGAGGCCCCTTGACGAGGCGGCCGAAAGCGTCGCCGCTGAAGTACCGAAGTGGATGCATGTCGTACAGATATGACTGGTTTCGTTTCGCGCGTAGCATTTAATCCTCCAATCTCGACCGGAAACATGCCCTGATCTGATGGCGGCTGCAGGACAGAAGCAACAGCCCAGCCGGAAAGCGGGACACCTCCTCACCTCCCGAGGCCCTGATTGATTGCGTATTGCGTCGCCTGCCAGGCACCGTCCTGTGCTGCCGGCTCTTCCCCTAAGCTCTATAATGAGCCAACCCTATAGGACCCCCAGGGTGAGATCCCGGGACTCGGCCAATGCTCGCTGGCAATTGATCTACATAGTAGCGACGATACGATGGCAACAGTATAAGTTAAGCCATCTTAGTCTGGCCTACAGGGACAGGCCTGGTGGTGGACTTCCAACGGCGCCCTGCGCTAATTGGGTCTCTTACGTCCCTCGGTACCTTGTTAGTGTTCGGGTTCCTGCCTGTCAAGCCCAAGCCCGTGGCCCCGTCTGGCCGCCAATCCTGGCTGGTCACTAACCAACAACTATTCCGTAATGCGCAATCGTCCACTTAGGGCAGATAGTGCCGGGCCGCTATGCAAGCCATGCGTCTATCGGTCAGTTTTCGCTAAACGAGCTTATCAAGCCGGGTCTAATTTTCAAGCCCCTCCACCGACGATTTGGGCCCTGAATACCTGGATGAAGCATATTTCGTCTTCAGCCGCTCAGCAATTACGGTCGTTGCACAGTCAAAGTGGCATCTTCCGATAAGACGGCCCTTGAACTGGCCTTGAACGGGCTAGGTGGATACTACGATCTCTTCGGCCGCTTGCCGGTGCCAGATCTCGCGTGCGCCTCTGGTGGGGTCTGAACATTTGGAGGGGCTGCGTTTACCAACTTACCTCTTGCACCACGCTTGCATGGTTATTGTGCTTGATGGGATCTCTGGGCTGACGACCCAAACCCCCTGAAGATGGCTGGAAATGGGGGACTGGACACGGATCCTCCTCACGCGTGGAGGGAGGATTCCATTGAGGAACGGAGCTTCGGCGCAGGGCTAATCTGCCTGGAGGGCCATTACATGCAGGCCCCAGTCATGGGGTCACAAACCATTACCAAGGTGATGAGTGTCATATCCAAAACTCTGGAGAAAACTCATACGTTTAAAGATGTTCGGTATGTTGCAACATTACCTGGAAGACTCCCATGCTGACACTAGGGTCGCAGAGAGGTTCTTTCGCGGAACCTGCGGGTTTGGATTTGGCTTCGGCGAGCAGTCTCTGCTGCCATATGTGATCTGAACGAAAAGTCACTGGGCGTGCGCTCGGAGCCCATGATACCCACGAGATTCATTGACATAACAACGCCTCAAATCACAGCTCTTATCATCAAGAATTATGCTCCCCTCAAAGAGGCACTGCAAATGCTGAACAAGCTCATGCACATCGCTCGAAACCTTCTTGTCACTACAGACCCTGAGGTTCCTCAAGACTTGTCCGCTGCAGTTAACTTCGATCATGAAGTCTATGAAGCTATTTGCCTGTGTGTTAACGTTACCAGCAAAGGCATTGATGGTGAGATGCCAGAGGACGATGCCTCAAGAGTCAAACTTAACGAGATCACAGAACTGTGTAAGTCCTATTCCCAACAAGCCTTGTCGCCTTCTAACTGTAGTCCAGATAAGAAAGTTCTCGTGACGGCTTTGCAGCAGGCACACAACTGGATCGCGAAGAATGACCGCAATAAGATGGCGTTCTGGTTTCGTGTTCTGATTGAGTCGCCCGATGTTGACAGTAACCCTGGGCCCGACGATAGACATGAGTCGGTGCTTGAGTACGCCGGTCCACGAAGCCGGCAGTTGCGTTCGGAGATTGCCAATTGGCTTAAGCGCAACTCGAAGATGTGCGATGCTGCTACGGCCATCTGCAAGGAATACTTTGACGCCCAGGATGAGGACCAAAGAAACCAATGGCTTCCGCATGACTGGAACCTTGCATGGAATTATACCCCTCCCAGGATGTGGTCCTGGAAACCCGACTTGTACGAAAAGGCAGAACAGGTCGTCTCAAAATGGGACCCTGAAGAGAAAGATGAATTTGAGCAAGACAGGGCGTACGGTCATGTGTCTCACGAACTCGACGAGTGGTGGGAAACGACACGCATCCCCAACAATAAAGATTGGAGCCTGAGCATGTATCCTCTAGACTTTGTGCCTGAGAGGATAAAGCAATGCGAAGCAAATTTGATGCAGCGTTATGCTGCTGCCGACCCACCTGATGATCCAGACGACGACCTAGATCATCCAGTGGGAGAAGCGCATAATCACGCCGACTGGCAGAACCAACCGGGGAGAGCCACTCCAAGTTATGCGCCCGAGTACGACGAATACGAAGAAGACCCAGATGATGATGACTCGTACGGCGAAGGGCCAATGACTGGGCTTCTCACAGAGGTCCCGAACATCCTCGATCCCAAACAGATAGAAGCACTCCACATGATCGTCAAGTCCTGCATTCTCGACTCAGCTGGTACTGGTCTTACCAGGTTCGGAGAAAACTTGCAGCAGACACGCTGCAAGATTCTTCTGGCGACAGATTGCGGCAAAAATCTTCTAAGGGAGATGCTGGTCTTTATCGCCGTCTGGGAGAAAGATGAGCAGTCGCTCATCTTCCAGATCAGCAGCCAGATCGTGCAGGCCATTCATGAAAGCTCACTGATTCCATACGCCTGGAATGCGCTCCGCAGTCCAAAAGACATCATATCGCCTGCGCAGACTGTGCTACTCCGCCTGATTACCCATCTCTCGCGCACAGCATTCTTTCCTCCCAAGGATTACGACCCTAACACAACCTCAAACGACAGCGCGGTTCCATCCGAAGACTTGCGGCTTGCCAAGATGCTCAACTTCCTCTACGGCATTTTCCGTAGCCGCATCGTGCCCGAATGTGTGGCCCTTATGCAGATCCAGGCCGATGTTCGGAAGGGGAACTTGGATCCTGCTGACTTCCCGGTAGATACATGGGATTTGGAGCGAGCCAAGGATGGCCTGGTCCAATATCTTGACTTCCTTTACACTATTGCAGACATCCACCCTCTTCGCCAGCATCTCATAGAGTATGAGACGGTCTACGAGCTTATCAAGCTGCTCGAAGGACTCGACGAAGGCGTGGAGAAAGTCCCCCTGGTCAACGGACGTCAAGTCCCCCCCGCCCCGTCCGCAAACCCGCAAGCTTCTGCTTACCAGACGAACCCTCCGCCACCGCCTCCGCCGCCGCTATCTGAGCCTCCATACGAGTTTCCGTGGTCTGGAATCAAAGGCCAGTTGCTTTCGATACTGGCGGCCCTTCTGCAGCCGCCGCCTGGACAATCTTCTCCGGGCAACCCAACAGTACAGCTACAGATTGTGCAGCACAATGGCATCGTTGCTCTTTTAAATTGTTGTCTATATGATGACAACAATCGCTTTTGTCGCGAACGCGTTCAGCTGTGCCTGAAATGGCTAATGGACGGATCTCCAGATGCCAGTGCTTTTCGTAAGTATCTACTGAGTTCGCAAGGAACGTTCTCCGAGGTTAGCTGAGCTTACACTAATTCGATTTCTACAGTACAAAATCTGGTCAGCGCAAACCCGGGGCCCATGGTCCGACCACCTGCAACAGGCGCACCCGAGACACAAAGCTTGAGGATTGACGGCGTACCGGGAGAGGTCCGAGTGCAAGTGAGAAGCTCAAGCGCACCAGTCGGGGAAGACATGCCCAATGTTGGGCTTGTTCCTGGAACCAGCGTCGGTTCGGGCCGGAGTCGTAGTGAAGAGTTGGTAAACGACATTATGGCACTGGCACTGGCAGACGATGCTGGCAGGCTTGTCGTGGGGCAAGAAGGCGATGAGACGGAGGACGATTTTATGTGATGCTCAAGGTGACGAGAAGTCGGACACAACTCGATGTTGTGGTGACATGAACAATCACTTCGCATGGACGGGAGTTGGTGGTGGCATTTGAAGCATAGGGTGGAGTCACGGTATCATCAAAAGTTAGGTATGCATGACCCAATATGTCAGGTGTGTGTAGAAACTGGGTAGATGGTAGTTAGGGTACGTGACTTGATGGCTACCTGTGAGAATCATCAACAGGGAGAAACCCATATCAATAGCAGAACCAAGACGCAGGCATGAGCAGACGCTCACCTCCTATACCACTTTTCCAATGTCACAAATGTCCGGGTCCTTATCAGGCTACTCACTCAGAGGCCATGATGTTCCAGTGCGAAGACTCAGGGTAGAAATTCGTATTCGAACATTTCCAGAGCGCAAACATTTAGATATATCCTAATTGAGCGACCAAAAGGAGGTGATAAATGTATAACCTGGGGGCAGGTGTGGGCCATCCGTGGGTGGTTGGGGGCTGTGCTTGGCGGACTTACAGTGCTGAAGATGCACCGCCGGGGGATTGTCAGGCACTAAACCACAGCGACCGAGAAGCCGGCGCCGATAAGCACATCCGAGCTCTTATCGCCTTACCTCGCCTACCTAACCCAAGACATCTTCCGTAGCGATCAAGCACCACGTCACTTCTTCCTCTTCCGCGGCGAGACTCACCCTCCCCCAGACCAACTCTCATGAGTTCCTGACATAACCGACGCCAATGTCCCACAAACGCTCACGCGCAAACTTCGAAGCAGACCTCCAAGCGCAGCAATCGCCCTACGTCCTCTTCGGCACGCCTCTCCCGCCGCTCGATCCCGAGGTCCGCGACGATGGCTCCTATGTGCCAGTCTGGAAGCAGGAGGTGAGGGATGAGCGGGGTCGCAAGCGGCTGCATGGTGCATTCACGGGCGGCTTCAGCGCCGGCTACTTCAATACCGTTGGCTCAAAGGAAGGATGGACGCCGAGTACCTTTGTGTCGTCGCGGTCGAATCGGTGGAAAGATGGCGCCGAGGGCCAAGGCCAGGGCCAGAGGCCCGAAGATTTCATGGACGACGAGGACCTTGCTGAGAAGGCTGAAAGCGAGAAACTCCAGACAGCCACCGATTTTGCAGGGCTAGGGTCTACGGGAACAGATGGGGTCCGGCGGGGAGGGCTGGCCGATGTTTTTCGGGCCCAAGGCGAGACCATGGGGGTCAAGCTGTTGAGACGCATGGGCTGGAAGGACGGGCAAGGAATCGGCCCCAAAGTGCGCCGAGGCGCCAGGCTCGATGTCGGCGGCCAGTCGAAAGTGGGAGGAGACTTGGACGGACAGACGCATCTCTTTGCACCAGAGAATGTTCCCATGATTGCCCTGATCAAGAAATTGGATCGCAAAGGGCTGGGGTTTGAGGGAGAGTATAAGCTTACGCCCATATCTTCTTCTACAAATAAGACAGTTGGCGGTAGCAGCGACGAAGAAGATGGCAGCGGACCGTTGATCCGGCCCTCGGCCTTCAACCGGAAAAAGACGAAGCCAAGTCGTGGAGGAATCGGCATGGGCATCCTGAACGATACTGGCTCTGACGATGAAGATCCTTACGAAGTCGGGCCGCAGATATCATACAACCGTGTGATAGGAGGAGATAAGAAGAAGAAGAAGGCACTCAAGGCAACCCCAGTCAATCCAAGCCTGCGGTCAGTACCAGTATTCATTTCGAAGAAGAACGCTTTGGCCAAGGCTGGCACAAACTTGCGAAAATGCCATGATGGCCGCTTGCCCTTAGATGGGTTTGTCTTTGGCGTCAGACCAGACAATTTTGCCTCGGAAATAAATTCAGAAGGCAAATACCCCCCACCAAAGATCCCCCCGGGATGGAAGTCAGCAAAGCAGCGGAATATGGATTCAGCCAACGGCGCATATACGTCCACATCTGATGCAGCCAAATCATCTCAACTAGATCCTAAATCCCGCGCTGCTCTTCTAGGAGAAGCGCAATTGCCTGGGAAGTCGGTGTTTGATTTTCTAGACCCTGCTGCACGGAATCGTCTTGCTGCTGCAACAGGCAAGGCCAACCTACCTCCAGCATTAGGCGAGGTCCCCGAAGGATACGCCTTGACCCCTGAGGAGAAGCAACGTCAGCTGCTTGCCCAAGTTCCTACACTCGACAAGAGCATTGCAATTTCTGCTCTTACTCGTGGTGCTCAAGGTTCGGCTCCTTATGCTGACGATGAAGCGAAAAGAGGGCGATATCGTACCTACTTGGAGTTCTCAGCAGGGTTCGGCAAGGTCACGTTGCCAGCAAAAGCACCCTTACAATCTAATGAAGACTGGCTTCGGGAGTTGCGAGAGTTTCATAGCTGCGCCATGATTTTCAAACCAATGACCGGGATGATGGCCTCAAGGTTCACAACTTCGACGTCCAAGTTCATCGCTGGAAGTACTGTGTCCAGCACAGATGTGCTGACGAAACCTGCACCAAAACCAGCCGATCCAGCTGAAGAAGCTGCCAAGATGGGTATGTATGGCACAATGACAAGGTCAACTACAGACTTCTATCCTACAAGGTTGCTCTGCAAGAGGTTCAATGTACCTCCACCAGCCCATTTGCAACCCGATGCCGATAGTGAGGCTGCCACGAGGAACTCGGCCAGTACCACTGCAGCACCAAATCCTTACACTCAATCCGGTTCCAATGGGACAAGCCATGCGAGCGGTGTGCCCATCACGCTGGATGAGCTGCTGCAACAAGCACAGGGCGACTCAAACGGTGCCATAGCTGTTATTGAAGGCGAGAAGAAGAGCACGCAACCAGAAATTGCTACTGCTGTTCCTGCCAAGCCAGAGGTTGATGCCAGTGTCAACGAGGCTCTCGAGGGCAAGCGGGCACAGGACGATGTACTCAAGGCTATCTTTGGCGATAGCAGTGATGACGAGGAATGAGCCACTTAGACATGAATATACCCCGCAATTTATAGTTGACAATTCAGAAAAAGGTCCTCTTTTCGTTTTCTACATGAAGTCATCCGATACTAAAGAACTGGGGTGTAAAATGGCGTCGTACGTTCAGGAGGTGTCCATATTGGTGATGCAACCTTAAGCAGGCTACTCCAATGCACCATCATCGAAGAGCCAATGATCGGACAGTCAATAGTTTATGCTGATGTGGCTGAGCCTCGATGATGATTGCCTGGAGGAATCTATTAAAAAGGCCGCCGCGAGGCACCCATCTAACTCCTGGCTTTGAACACGACATGCATCATTGGCTCGCAGTCCTTTCTGAATTGTTTTCAAGTACGGCAACATCGTTCCACTCGTCAGAGCCCCTTGTTCTACACCATTCTCCTGTCTTCACCATGCTTCGCTGGCATACAACGGAGTGTCGGCGGCCAGACATCAGCTCAATTGACGGGATCGTTTTTTGTTCTCGATGCGGGCAGGATTCGTCCAATGTTACATCTAATCTGAACAGCGAACTAGCAGACCGCATCGACAACCAGCCACATACGCAGCGCCCTTTGACGTGGCCTGCTTCGGTCAAGTATGTCTCGGCAATAGAGGAAGGTTGGGAGGAGGATAGGGCTGCAACTGTGCAACAAACCGAACAACAATTAGAGCGTAGAAAGCACTCGTATAGCCATGTTGGCTATGCACCAATGCATGGTGCTGGAATCATCCGCCTCCTACAAGTTGACCGACCGAGAGACGACGGCCTTCTGCATGGATCTCTAGAGGAAGCCCGAACTGGAGAGGGGAAGTACGAAGCGTTGTCTTACACCTGGGCAGATGAAAGCGGAGACAGCAGTCGATCCAAGAGCATCTTTCTTGGAGACTGGTGGGATATTTTGCCTATCACGGCAAACTGCGAAGCTGCTATCCGCAATCTGCAACGACGACACGAATATCGCCTTTTGAACGGCGCAGGCACCTTGACAGTCTGGATCGACGCGATCTGCGTAAATCAAGACGATATGAAAGAAAGGTCACACCAAGTCGAGATGATGAGAGCGATCTATTCCGGCGCACGCCATGTCAGCGTCTATCTGGGCGAGGATACGGGCAGCAGTGCTCACGCCATTCATACGCTGAACAAGTCTGACACTCAAGATATCGTGCAACTGCTAAGCAGCGATAGGCAAGACAAAGAAAGCACTATTCTCAAAGAAGCTATTAGTGCTCTTTTCCGCAGGCGTTACTTCTCGCGAATATGGGTTATACAGGAGGTACTGGCTGCCCGAGGGGTAAGATTCTACTGTGGTGAGAACACAGTCAGTCCGAAAGCTTTTCGACCCGAGATTCTCGAGACTCTCCACGCCATGAATCTCGGCCTTGTACCTCGATGGGTTAGCTGGTCTTCAAAGCCTCTCCCGAGAAAACCCACCGAACTGTTTCAACTCTTCCGGAGTAGTTTGCTTTGTGGCGCGTCAGATCCGCGGGACAAGGTCTTTGCCCTCCTGGGCCTGTATCTAGGGGTGTTTCCGATGGTTTGGTGCCCGACTACGAGTTATCTCTGCGCGAGACATATATTGGAATTGCAGCATATCTTCTATCTAGGAGAATTATGGAAGTCTTGGTCTTTGCAGTGGGTTCGTCTACCATATTTCCTTCCTGGGTTCCGGATTGGAGGAGATGCCATGAGTCTTCTCCGTTAGGAACCTCCACCAGACGTTTCCTAGGCAAGATCTCATCAATTTCAAATCAAGCGGCGATAAGACGATATTGCAAGAAATCTCTTGAAATTAACAAAGATATATTCGGGATGCATTGTATTCCAATAATCCCAAACTATCCCTGGAACGCTCAGCAGGGACTTGAGCTCGGTCGCAATACTTATTATAAGCCAGCAACGACTGGCTGGGCTCCTTATACTATCGAGAGATGGGGGAAAGAGTTTGAACGCGGACGTGTAACGACTGAAGGTCCTACCACCCGAACTATCTCCTCAGAAACAGCAAAAATCAGTTCTAATGGCACACTAATAGTTGAGGTTCTATTCGTCGCAGACCTCAGCCAATGTCACAGTTACAATCACCATAGATGGCGCGAAGAGACGAATACATACTACAGTAAGCCTGTCGGGACAATAGGATACCCTGAGATAGTCATTGAGTCGGAGTGCCCAATGTGCTTCGCGACAGATTTTGTTGCAATCATACGCGGCTGTAACGCTTTTTTTCACCTCCGACTCCTAACCGGAAGGGATCGCTATCAGATTGTCGGTCTCTGTGCGATCAAAATGAGATTTCAGCTCATGGAAGATTTGGAAGATATGGGAGACTTAAAAAGCGTGGCAGACAGTTTCATTCCCATGGCCAGATATGCAAAAGTGAACAACTTCCATAACCCCATGAGTCCTTGGGGAGTCCCAATTAGGGCTTGGTGTTCTGAAACTTACACATTCTTGCCCGAGCTTAAGAAAGAGGTTGCCAAAAGATTTCTCCATCTGCGAGGTGAGATAAAGGGCGATATGAATTGGCCAACGGCGAAGTATACGGAAAGTTGGAAAGCCGAATTCTTGAGCTTGCAATCGCTTCTTGGAGAAGCTAAACTACAGTTCAAGAACAATCATTCGCTTTCTACTAGGTCATTATGGGTTGGCGATCGCCAAGTCTTTTTGGCAGACTTTTTTGACAACGGAAAACTCAAAATTTGTTATGAAAAGGACACCATGAGGGCACTGCATCTATCGTGGAAAGAATTCCTAGGGTGTGCAGAACTGTCATGTTCGTTCAAAGGTTTTGATGTATCAGAGGCTACTAGAACCAGTCTTGCCCGTCGATGGACACAAATCACTCTCTCAACTCTTTCACTCATCCAGGATATTGCTTATCCATTCCATGGTAGTGCAACAATTCATCCACCTGGAAAAAGCTGTCTACCGTCCACTTTGGATGCTTCTGTCCCTACCTCTGTTTGGTACCCAGTAAGTCGGGTAATTGCGCGCTATACTCCAAGGGGGCCTTGGAACCGATATGATTTCATGGATTTCTTAGGATACATGACCGAGTACATACTCATCCTTGAGAGCTGGGAGTATGTACTGGATAGAGCATCGGCACTGGACATGTTTCCTTACATACTGGACAAGCCGGTCAGAATTGGGATTGTGTGAATCCAAGCATTTCGAACCGCCGGTCTCTTCAGAATTGCACTGGAGTAAGACGAAGCTCAGTGAATGAGAAAAGTGTGCTTCCAAGGGCACACAAGACCGCTTAAATTCGATCCGCTACAGCTAACACGACTTTGGGTGCGTGGCACTTGGCCCATGCCGTCGATAGCATACGTGCTGGCTTATGGCAATTGGGCCTATCTGCCGTGAGCCGTGATGCTTTATCCACTGTATTTGCACAAGCAGTTGGTTGGGGGTTTCCTGCAGTCGATGACAAAGAGTAATCTTCACAATTAATAAGGAACGTCTAATCTGCACCATTTCGCTTACCTCCATCTCATCCGCACTCGACATAGAGCTGCTGCAGGCGACGTCGTGTTACTGTTGATCCTTCATGCAGCTTGATTGGCAGAGCCAGAAAACTAAACGTACGTTCTTTGTGTATCCATACATCAGGCACTATCAGTATCTGGCAGCTGGTTAAGGATATCTGGTGATCGTCACTGGCATCTGCCCGAAAGATCAAGGATCGGCATCAGCTCAGTCGGGGCGCCCTTATCCTTGGGCTGATCTTGGCACTTTAAATGCCAGGAACAGCTGCATAGAATCAGGGACAGCAAGAAGCTTGTCCATGGACTCTTCAGGTAGTCGCGATGCCTATCGGACCGTAATTCCCCATCTAGTCTCTTCTAGAAGACGAAGGCGACAATGACTATTCTCCTGCCGTGATTCCAGTGCTGTATGTCGTCATTTGAATTCCGTAACCAGTGGTAGTGAGCCACTGCAGCATGCCTTGCATCTCCGGCGATGCTGTATAGTCCGAAGCTGGGCCATCCAAGTTTGTGTGGCATTATCCAGGGACACACAGGTCTCTGGAAGAGGAAAACAAAGGCTCTTGGCAGCTTGGCAACACCGCGCTTTATTAGTATCTTTCAGACCCGTACTCACATGCCGATAACACTAGGGAGCCCTCGCAGCTAACTTCCCCAGATTTGTCTTCATGCAAACTCGCGAATGTGGGGCCGCGCCGGATCGTTGGCCGCGAAACTCGGGGCTTGCTCCTATAACAGCAGACGGGGCCGGAGTAGAGGTCCTTAACTTAATAGACCGAAACCAAGTTTGCCCGCTAGGGCTTGATCAAGGCAGTACTCAAGGCCCCCAAACTCTATGGCCGCGCCGCATCGACATCCCTTTGCAGACTGTGCCTCTTACACGTCAGGGCATCAGCGAGACCTTTTGGCAGGCATCTTCTGGTCCTTACCCCGCTACTCATACATGAAAACATCCACACGCTGCAAGTAAGGAGTCACAGGATGCCGCCGGTTTAATCCACCAACCCGTGAGTCCGACCGGAGGTCTTGATACCCAGGTTAGGTAGTATCTTATCCGATGAGCCGAACAGTACTTTGGTTTCGCCGGCCAAGCAATTGTGGCTGACATGTCCGATAAGCGTACATGAGTGCCCACCGTGACGTTTCTTGGCTTGCGCCCTATCGCGTGCTCTTGGAAATCTGACGTGGTGACTTCCCAATAAGGAAGGCAATGATGGCGCAAACGGCCTAGTAGTCCAGTCCAGTGGCAGCGCCGCGCCAAGCCACGCCCGCATTTGCTCCTATAAAAGCCATCGAATTCGCTACAATACTCCGGCAGCCTTGGCATTTCTGGGCACTGCGGCCACATGATAAGTCTCCCTTCTCCGAACAGCGACGCACAGCTCAAGGGTTCGGTCTGTACGTGAGCCATGGCCACTCTGTGGCGTGGCGTAGCTGTCTGCGTCGCACGACATGAGGCGTATGGGGTACCGGACTGGACAGAGCCAGCCAGGGTGAGTGCAGGCCCGCCTTGGGATAAGATAAGCCGGCTCCCAAAAGCTTAGCATGACTTACACGCTCGATAGCCTGCGGCATTCAGGAGATACCCGCTGTATGGGCGGGTTCCTGAGCGGGTTCCTGGCAAGCCGCCTGCCAGCATGGAGAGACCTGTTCTCCACTTAGTCTCTCTGTAGTGGAGAGTATAGGGGTGGCGATGTGGAAGACCGTGGGTTGATCATCTTGCCATCCCTCAGACGACCTCAAGGTTCTCGAAATAGCTCACGATACGCCTGCATAGGCGCTCGACGTCCCTTGCTGCCATGATACCCTACGTCTTCCAGCATAGGTCGGGACGATGTGCAGTCTTACCTGACAAATCCGGACAAGTTCTCCTGAGATCCTGGTCCAATTAGAGTTGCTCCCAAGCAATGGCGATTCTTCTAGGTCGAGAGTCCGCTTTTGTTTTGATGCAGGCGGTAGACTACTGCCAAGAGCCTCACGGCGGCAACCGGCAGGCTGAGCTGGGCGACAATAGGCTGGGCTTTGCATTACCTACAAGCTCCTTCCAAACGTGAATTCTCCATGTCGCTTTGGTAACATCGCAAGGGCTCTAAGGTGGCTCTTGTGGTTCTTCCCTGGGTATTTCGGGCACTGTTGCCTCAACTACCAAGTTATGTGCACGGCTTAGCGGCTCCGCGGTGTTGCGCCGGATGAGGAAGGCCACGACAATATGCGGATTCTTCGAGATGACCGGCTTCATGGTAAGAAGGACCATCTTTTGGATAAATAACCATGGATTTCTCGAGTTGAAGGAAGAATCTCAACCATCCACCAAGTCCTCATCACTCAACATCACCACTTCACGGTTCTCGAGCTCAGCATCACAATGAAGGCTGCCACTATCCTCTCTCTGCTGCCTTTGGCAATCGCTGCCCCGGCCTCCAAGCGTGCCGGTGGCCCTGCCCCCCTCCTGAAGCCCCGTGATGCTGGTGACAACCTGATTCCCGGCCAGTACATCGTCAAGATGAAGGAAGGCATGAGCACCGCCTCCATCAGCGATGCCCTGACCCTCTTCCCTGGTGACGCTGAACACGAGTGGCACGAGGGTTCCTTCAAGGGTTTCGCCGCCAAGATTAGTGATGAGGATCTTGCCAGAATCCAGGACCACCCGGATGTACGAAGCGTCTCTGACTTTGATGAAAGAGATCATGAAAGCTAATAGGTTATTACAGGTTGAGTACGTTGAGCAGGATGCTGTTGTCACCCTCAACGCCTACACCACCCAGACCGGCGCTCCTTGGGGTATCTCTCGTATCTCCCATTCGAGCCGTCAGACCACCAGCTACACCTACGATGACAGCGCTGGCACTGGTGTCTGTGCCTACGTCATTGACACTGGTATCCTGACCACCCACAACGTATGACGCCCCTCGAACACCTATACTTGTGCTTATGACTTGCTAACTATAATCCAGCAATTCGCCGGACGTGCTACGTTCCTCCAGAACTACGCCGGTGACGGCTCCAACACTGACGGCAACGGCCAGTACGTATTGCACGCTCTTGCGGGACATCACATTGACTGACCAAACTTTTCAGCGGTACTCACGTCGCCGGAACCATCGGTGGTACCACCTACGGTGTCGCCAAGAAGGTCAGCCTCTTCGCTGTCAAGGTCCTCAACGCCCAGGGCTCCGGTACCAACTCCGGTGTCATCTCCGGCATGAACTTCGTCGCCTCCGACGCCCGCACTCGCAACTGCCCCAACGGCGCCGTTGCCAACATGTCGCTCGGTGGTAGCAAGTCGACTGCTGTCAACAGCGCCGCCGCTGCCATGGTCAACGCTGGTGTCTTCTTGGCCGTCGCCGCCGGTAACGACGGTGCCAACGCCGCCAACTATTCGCCTGCCTCTGAGGCTTCCGCCTGCACCGTCGGTGCCACCACCAGCGCTGATGCCCTTGCCTCATACTCCAACTTCGGTGCCGTCGTCGACATCCTCGCCCCCGGCTCCAGCATCCTGTCCTCGTGGATTGGTAGCAACTCTGCCAGCAACACCATCTCCGGTACTTCCATGGCCTCCCCCCACGTTGCCGGTCTCGCTGCCTACCTCCTGGCCCTCGAGGGTGAGAGCACCCCTGCTGCCCTTTGCACCCGCATTGGCACCCTGGCCACCAAGAACGCCATCAGCGGTGTTCCCTCCAGCACCAAGAACTACCTTGCCTTCAACGGCAACCCCTCCGGTTAAATGGCTGTCTCAAGCCTAACCTCCCATCATCAAAAGAGAAAAAAAAAAAACCCTGAACCGACAACTCGAGAAGGACTCTACGCCGACGTGAGGGCTAGGATGTGGAAGGCTCTGAAAAAGGACGGATTCTCTATGTATATATTTCATCTCGGGTAACTGCACCTGTTCGGCCCTTGACGACCGGTGTTAGTCCAGACTGCCACTTAGTGATATTTGTTGAATGCATTGCAAGATGACCTCGCATACTTTGGCTTGCGCGCACACGATAATTATGTGACCCATAATGTGAGATCTATTTAGTAGGCACTTTCTATAATTGGAAACATTGTCGAATTAAGTTCGAGCCCAGCTACTCTCGGCCATTGCTTTCGCCTTATTCCTCGCGCTTCTATATCAAAGTCTACCCCTGTCTGTAGCATTAGTTATTGTGCTTTTATATGAGCCATATGCTCCAATCAAAGACGACCATCTCGCATTAATTCGATAGAGGCACATCACGTGAAGAGTGAAGAAGAGGGCCCTAATAACTTAGCTTTGCCTCGTATAATTCCCGTATACTTCCCGTATACTTCCCGTATACTTCCCCCATGCATCGAAAACCCGAGTTTTTCAGAGGACTCCTCAAGGATATGCCTGGTGGGAGTGTCTAGTGCTAACAGTGTTCCTTACATATCAGGATGCTTGACTAGATCAACCGAGTGGGGGTCAGATGATTGTTTCGGTGTCTGCCGTCGAATACATCCACAACTACGTTCAAAATACCAATCACCATCCTGCCCATTCTGAATGAATGCACAGTGGTCATAACCCTTTATGTAATTTGTCTTTTCCTTGAACAGGTCTTGCCTGCTCGTTCTCGTTCACGCTCACTGGCTGATGCGTTCCAACTGACTTGATGCCAACCAATGGAGATGGAAGGCGCGACTTCCCTCATGCCTCTCCCGACCTATCGCTGCTCCTTCCACGCTTCCATCCTGCAGCGTCGTACTTGGTCAGTACTTGGTCAGTACTTGGTCAGTACTTAGGCAGCAGGGCGCTGCGATCTTTCCAGAATCGTGATTCCACCTCACGTTTTCAGCTCCTCCACATCTTCCCGATATTTGCCGCCCATACTAACAAGCACCATCAGAGGGCATCTTGTGAGAAAATTAGAAATTTCCAAGGCTGCTGCATCATACATCGTCCCCTCGGTGAGAGCCCATCAATTATTTCCATGGCGTCATACCCGACGGCGGCAAAGGCTTGGGCAAACGCAGTGGGGTCTGCCGCCCTGGAAGACTCCCAGGAAAGCTCAGGCTCGACTCACATGCTTTCACTCCTGGGCGACACGCAGACGTCAACTGCCTCAACGCAGATGCCGCCTCGTCTTGGAGAGTTTCATGATCATGCTACAAAAGCATCCCATGGTAGTCTCCTGGACCGTTCACAGTTCGAGAAGCCCGAAGACCTTACCGCGGAAGGTTTCACGTTCAAGCCAAACCAACTGCACCAGTCTGGTCTGTCAAACAAGGCCCTTCAAGACCCAAGGGGTAAGATTATTGACACACAGATATCAATGGAAGATCCTAGGTCCTCAATGGTGACTGAGGCAGACAAGCAAGCTGGTCATTCTCCTGCAGCGTACCAGGAAAGACGGGCCAGTTCCCTTCAGCTTGTGGGAGTGGAGCAACACACTTCTGCAATGGAGCATGGTGTCTCTTATTCAAAGCGAGATTCTGGTTCGAATCACTCATTCAGCACAGTTGAAGAATCGGATGCAGACCAAGACTCTGTCCGAGGTCAAGGCCAACCTGCTAGTAGCGATCGGGACTCTCACTTAGGGGAGCATGGCAGCCAAGTTCGACAAGAGACTAACAAAGGACAAAATGCTGCTGATCGCCTATTGAAAGGCCAGAGATTGGATGTGGAACGTCCACACATACTGGATCCCAGCACCCAACCGTCCCAGGACCGTACGCCTCAAGATGATTATTCACATGCACCTTTTCCACCAGAGGACATGGCTACTGATCAGGAAGAACAACAGCCTCCTCCCTTGAACAAGAGGTCTCTGACTGTAGTACGAGACAGAATACCAGCCTACCACGGACCATTGGAGGGACCAGCACTCAAGAGCTCCGCAGAGCAGTCTCCTGTGCAAACACCTGTTGGTGGAATTAGGCACCATCGTCGACACAAACAGGAAAGGTCTTCAAAGGGCATTGAGGTCTTCATGGAACCTGAGACCACACATCACATCCACCCAAGTGATGATAAAACAACTCCTGCGAGAAGACCAAGAGAGAGCTCTGTGATGTCCGATCTGTCATTCAAGCCACCAATGACAACTCGCCAGCGCCGGCAGATCAAGCCCTCAAAGACCAGTAGTAGGGGTATGGCAAATCGTCCCCTAGCCGTTCCAACATCGAGCCAGCTATCGATGAGACCCATCTCGCGAGGTTCGAACTTATCAAACATCTCGAGGCGCCGAACGACTCCTTCATCCCGAAAGTCAGAGCCCCTGACTCCTCTCAAGGAGGCTTACATCGAGCTTGGCGAATATAGGGAGCAATTTGCCGGATGTTGGAATGGCTACTTCTTCGCGGAACAAAAGTACAAGCAACGAGTGATTGATAAGATGGCCAGGCTAGAGGACACGGTCCAGGCATATGAAGATCAGCTTGAACAGCTGGAAAACGAGCGTCGTGCTCAAAATCAAATTGCGGAACAGCTACAGAATGCAAATCAAGACCTCACCCATCAGCTCAAGGCCAGTGAAGGAACATTGACAGCACAAGCCACCAATATTGAGCGTTTGATCAAGAAGTGCGATAAGTACAGAGGCCGTCTCAATGATGCTACCAAGGAGCAGCAGAAACTCTACACAAAGTCCAAGGAGCATGTCAATGAGACCATTGAGCGCCTCAAAGCTGAGCAACAAGAACTCGAGAAGTCAAGACAGGCATCACTGGATGCGACCGTTAAAAAATCCGAGGCTGCTCGAGATGACCTTCAGAGAAAGGTTAGAGATGTTGTGAACCTTGCACGTCAGCAGGCTCTAGAGTGTAAGTTTTCATGTCGAAAGAACGTCGTGTGGACTAATATATTGCAGTGGATGGCACAATCAAGGTCCTCAAAGCTGATCTCGAGTCGAGCCAGCAGCAGTTGTCTCGGGAGCGTGACCACACACAGAGTCTTCAGAAAGAACTGCAGGGGTCTCGCGATAGCAATGCTCACATAATCATGAATTTGAGAGACCAGAATAGTAAGATACTTGAGGCGCTGGAGCATCAGAAGATTCGCGACCAAGAGGCGCAGTCGACTGCTTCTAGACGACTTTTGAAGCTGGACTCCATTGGAGCTGTCATTGATGAGCTTAAGTCAAAGGCTACCGACCCTTCAAGTGTCACTCAGGAGATACAGTCGCTTCGACAGCATGTGTCACGAGATATAATAACAGAGATTCAGCACTTGGCCTCGAAAATAGCAACTGCGGGTGACAGCGGCCAGGCTCATGATGCAACTCTGAACGAGATCAAAACAATATGCGAATCAATCAGCGAACATAGTCACCACCATGGCCAGGAGGCCCAACGGTGGCAGGAGTTGCACAAGCAAGCAGAGACTAAGCTGCAGGATCTTAAGTCGAAAATGAGAGACACTCAGGAGAAGCTGGAGGAAGCCACGGAATTCAATGGTCGGTTCAACGAAGAGAATATTGATCTGAAAGATAGCATAGCCTCGCAGCAGGAGCACATCAATGAGCTCCAAGCCGAGCTCAATGTACATGAGGCACGCGGAGATTCGGAGGCAGCTGAAGTGGCTAGGCTCAAACAGCTACTCAAGGAAAATGATTCAGCTTTCAAGAGGCTGGAGGAAGAGGCGCGACAGAGCAAGGAGCAGCTGCAGGTCCAGAGCGGCTCCTTGGAGGAGGCCGAGAAGGCTCGTCAGGACTTGCAGCAGACCATTGACACTGCAGCTGAGAAACAGAACACCGCCATTCAAAATGCAACACAGCAGTTTGAGCAAAAGCATCGCGACATCGAAAGCCGCTTTGAAGCTTCCGAGAAGTCTCGGGCGAAGCTGGAGCAGGAACTGCAGAAGGCAAAGGAGAGAGCACAACGGCTATCATCGACGAGGTCAGATGACATCCCCAGGCTGATGCGAGAAGAGATCAACCGTGTCAACGAGCTCGTTAGCCATTTCAAGGCTATGAAGGAGGATATACAAGGTCTCGAACCAATTTCGCATCTGCATGATGGCCTCATCAATATGCACACAGTGTGCAAGAGCCTCGAGAAAGACTTTAGCAATGCCGCGCAAGTGAAGGAGAAAATAGTGGAGCTCATAGGCGTAGAGCAGAAGCAGCTTGAGGTATTGAAGACGCAAGCTTCAAGCCAGCAGACCAAGGATGATAACGTCACCCTACCAGAGAAACGCACCTCGTTTCGGTCCAAACGAGTTGCCTTTGAGGAGACCTCCACAGCAGCTCCATTGGACACGGTAGAGAACCAAAGTAGCCGTAAAGGTACCAAACAGCCTCTCAAATCGTGTATCAGAACGACGCGTAGCACGTCGAAAGAGCCTGAAGCCGCAGCACAGCACGTCTCAATGAACAGTACAGTGGCCCCATCTACGCAGCAGCGGCCAGTCGTCTCGAGTCACAGCAGCTTCAACCGACCTGTTCAAGGAGGTCATCTTGCGAACGCAAGCATTGAGAGCAGGAAGCGGGCCGCTACGGAGCTAGAAACCGAAGTTCCGAAGTCTGATGGCAAGCGTCAGAGACTGCCTTTTGCACCCCAAGCAATGGACACAGTACTTCCAGGTTCTGGCCGAAGCGGCTCATCCCGATCTCGCTCACAGTCCAAGTCAGATTACTTTCAGATTCGCAACAGCGTAGCCAGTCACCGCGAAACAGAACTCGATGAGGGAGACATGGCCATGCCCACAATAAGCGATGCCAAAGGAGCAGCTACACGTGGTCCGCTGGCAACACGGTCAGGTGGTATCATCACTTACGGAACGCAGTCAAGAACAGGATCGCAGAGCTCTGCGGCTTCCAGTCAAACTTTGAGGGGAGCCAGTCAAACGCCAATGGCTTCAGATACCTCCATGCCCTTGAGCGGTAGTCAGGAGCATAAGTTGCCATACAAGCTTCGACGTGAGCAGTAAACCACGTGTCACCCAGACATTACATGTTGCTCTACTCCCACTTGATAGCTTATAGTTCCGTGGACTGATGATTTGCTGTGATTGCTGAGAGAATGGGAGCTGAAAGCCGATAAAAAGAAAAGTGAAAAGGAGCATTGCTGTGATGTAGGTACAGGCGAGGGTCGGGGTATATGTACAGCCATTCAGACGAAGTAGTGGTGCTATTTGCAATAATTGTAGCTTCTCAGATGGCTCGAAAGCCCATATGCGTCTATCGATTCCATTGTCGTCATTTTTAACGCCTTACTATACATTTATATGTACAATGCTCGTTGCTCAGGTGGTGCCCACGGACGATGTGTCTCGGGTCAAGCTGCTCTAATCCCCCAACAAGCCATATCTCGATCGGATGCGGTCGTACATGTATGTGCTTTGGCGCCGCGGGATCACTTGCCCTTACGTTTCTGCTCGAGGAAAAGAACCTTTTTCCGTACTGCAGCGGGAGGTCCATGTGTTAGCCAAACTTGCAAGCTTGGGGTCTAAGGACGAGGGCGGGGGGCGATCGGGTGCTGCCACTCGAGGTTCGGGATCCTGACGTACTTATCGGGTCATACTTGAGCATGCTCATGGGGTTTGCCGTCCGTGGGCGCGTGAAGGAGTAGAAGTAGCCCGTCATGGCCATCGAGAGAAGGCGCACGTTGATGATGCGAGACTTGACTGTGGGATAATGTCAGCTGGACCCGACAGCCTGGTAGACGGGGCGGGGAGCTAGAATGCGCGAGGGGGTGGTGGGCAGGGACGCTGCATACCTTTCTTCGCCATGGTGGAACGCGCCTTGAGGGGGGGATTGACGGGGAGTCAAGGGCTTGCGGGATGCGATTTGAGGTTCCTGGGATGCCGGATTCGCGAAGGGCTGACGACTTTTTGGTGGAGCCGGGGTGTTCCTGTCGGTTAGGGGCATGGACTCAATTACTGCATAACTAGCGGCCCGGCCAAGATACCTAACCAGGTACACCTCACTCGCGTGTCTGGTGGGTAATTAGGCTCCGCATTCGGATCTTTGGATCTCTATTGACAGTTGCAGTGATTCAGTTATCATACGAACAATTGGCTGTTGAGTTTTATCATCTGCCTCAAATTCAAGATTGTAATAGTAAACGAATGTTGTCGTCTGGCCGTGTCCCATAGGAGAATATTCTGCATGTGCATCAGGCAGGGTATCCTTCTGTGGCGGTGACGCTGGCGACGCCACAACAGCTTGGCACTTTGAGAGGTGCTGAATGAGCAGCCAGGGACACCGAACGTGCGGTTGAAACAAATTATGGCTCCACCACCTATCCCTGGGTCTGGGCACTCGAAACAATATCTGGCCATATTCTTCCCAATACATCAAAGTCGGATGCTGGAGATGCAACAGCGGGCTGTTGGTTGATACCTTGTTGATTTCCATCTGACTTCGTTTCCCTTCGGTTTGTACAGAAGAGGTGGATCGCCTCAATTGCCCCCGTTCTATTACTTTCCCATTGTAATCGCTGCTGTACGACCATCGCCATGCCTCCCCGGAAGCAAGCAGCCAGAAAAGAGGCCAAGAAGCCTGTGCCGGAAATCAATCCAGACTCATCCTTCACCCCGGAGAGCTTTGAGGATGAGCTCAAGAAGCTTGCCGACCAGGCCAAGAGTGAGACAACGTCGAATTGGCTCATCCGGCAGGCCGTCATCTGGGGCAAGGCCACTTCATTGTTGGCTGTGATAGCCGTCTACGCCAATGTCTCTGAGCTGGCTCTCTCCCCCATCTATGGGGGAATCCCCTCATCCATATACCACTCCAAGGTCGTCATAGCCTCCGCATTCGTCGGCTGGGCTGCCAACCTGGCCCTGAGGCGGAGCCTGCCCATGAAGACTCAGTACTTCTTGCCACTTATCGCGGCATACATCCCCATGGCGCAATTCTACCTTTTCAAACTCAGTGGAGTCTTCACGGCGAGCTGGGGACCCCTTATCACGGAGGCATTGACTCTTTTCCCATTGATGGCCTTCTCTATCGCCTGTGTTGCAGACATTCTTGAGGCAGCAGACCTGGAGGGGCTACCGAAGTGGGCTGGTGATGCAGCACCCGGATTCGTCTCCTACGGCATTTACAAGTTTGTGGAGATGTTCACGGCTGAGAACCTGCAGTACGGGATTGGGAAGTCCTTCATGCAGACGAGGTTCGGGTGGGAGCTCGTCCTCGCGGGCACCTACACCATCATGGCGCCGTCCAAGCTAGCGCTCTACAGTATTCCTGCGGTCCTCCACGCTGCTTTCCTCAACACGCATATCATGACGCCCTTGGCAACCAAGTCTATCAACTCGGTGCTGAAGGAAGATGGCTGGTCAGTGCTTGATCGCTGGGAGTCGGTGACGGGTTATATCTCCGTCTTGGAGAGCGCGAACGACGGCTTCAGGGTCATGAGATGCGACCACAGTCTGCTGGGCGGCGAGTGGACCAAGCTCCCCAAGATTATCGTTGGAGAGCCAGTCTATGCTGTCTTTGCCATGCTCGAAGCCGTTAGGCTTGTTGAAGTTCCGAATAGGGTCGCAGATAAAGATGCTAGGGCCCTCAACATGTAAGTCTCCCAATCTTCAGGCTCACGTCTTCGTGCTAACGTCTCCCCCCCAGCGGCTTGGGTATTGGTACCACGCCTTCAGCATTGATTGCCCACGGGATTGACACAACCATTGTTGAGATTGACCCGATAGTGTACGATTTTGCTGTCAAGTATTTCGGGCTTCCTTCCAATCACACCGCGGCTATCGAGGATGCTGTCAGCTACACTGCGCGTATTGCCAAGGACCAAGCCCAGAGCTTCGACTACATTATCCACGACGTCTTTACTGGCGGGGCTGAGCCTATCCCTCTTTTCACTCTTGAATTTCTCCAGTCCCTCAACACCCTCCTCAAGCCCAACGGCGTTATTGCAATTGTAAGACAACCTATATATTATCCATCCTGACGCGGGAGACTGACCGAACCAGAACTACGCCGGTGACTTTTCCCTGCCTCCCCTGAGCACCGTGATGCACACCATCAGGGAAGTCTTCCCATCGTGTAGAATCTTCCGGGAGTCGCCAACACCGTCGGAACAGAAGGTGGACGAACAAGGCCGCGATTTCGACAATGTTGTAGTATTCTGTCGCAAGGTCGACGACAAGATTGTGTTCAGACCCATCGTCGAGGGCGATCTGCTGCAGAGCCGGGCTAGGGCGCACTACCTCATGCCTAAGAACGAGGTTCCCGAGTCAGCATTCTTGACAGGTGATGATGTGGGTATCGTGAGGCAGAACGACACCCAGACACTGGCCAAGTACCATGATCAGACTGCGCTTGGACACTGGGCCGTCATGCGAGAGGTGCTCCCGAAGAAGGTCTGGGAAAATTGGTGATCTGTGTCGAGGCACGTGTAGAAAAGGGCATTCTCATTGTTTATAGTATTATATTGTATCATTGTTGTGCAAAGAAATCCCGGCGCCTTGTGAACATGTCGGGACCTAGTTTCAAGGGTGGAGGCATGCCGAGTGGCACTCACCGTACTAGGCTGCCCAGGTGTTGTGCCAAGAGCTCGGGCATTCGACAATCACATGCGAAGAAGCCCGATCACCATCAAGCATGCTAGAGAGAGGCACGGATTGCGGTCGAAGAAATATCAGCGAGAGTTCTCTTTGTTTCAATTCAACAGGCCAATGACGGGTTGTAACGCCGATGGCGCCAGTCGGGAGACTGTTGTACAACCAACAATAAATTGAGCACCCTGGGTAATATTAGCACCGCCCGGTGATCCCATATACTACCAACATAACACGCTCGCCTAGGACTTAGACGCTCTGATGACGGTTCGAGCAGGTCGAGCAGTTGCACTGCAGTCCGTTCTACCTGATTTGCCGCCGGAGCGCGGTTGCAACGACGCAGTCTTGGACAGAGAATCTCTCCTCCCCTCTCATTGGCTACCGACGGGGCGGCTTTGGTGCAGCGTTGCGCGCTTGACGTGCGTTCTCTAGAAAGTACAGAATGCATCCAGGTCATTGGGGGGACGACCCGTCTTTTCGGTAGAGTATATGCGTGTTGGTTGCGACGTACGAATTCCTCCGGCCTGCCTGCCCTCCTCGTTCTTCTTTGCCCACTTCCTCCACCACCACCACGACCCGATTCTCGCGCCAGCGCTCCACTGCTTTATAAACTTGGCCGTGGCCGGTTGGCACTCTGCTATACTATGTAATATGATTCTCCTCCTCCTCCCGACTTGAACAGCAGCGCGAAGATGTCCCCAAACTACGTCAACCGCGGTCAATCAAGTCGGCAGGCAAACCAGGATTTCCTGACGACCTTTGCGCCGGACCTATCGGTTGGTTTTCCTGTCGTCGACAACAACTCAGATGACTTCACGCCATACGAGCGCAAGTGCACCGGCTCATCAGTCTTCGAGGATGAATATATTCTGGAGCACGGGCGGACCTACCAAGCCTACAAACCTGGGCAATATTTCCTACCTAACGACGGCGAGGAACAGGACCGCCTGGATATGCAGCACGTCGCCATCATGCTCATCATGAAGCGGCGGCTCTACTGGGCGCCGATTGAGGAGCCAGCCAACGTACTGGACATCGGGACCGGCACGTAAGTCCCTTTGGCCATGCTGCCTTCAGTAGCAGACCGAGACGGCGCTGCGCGATGCGGGTCACTAATGGGATTTGCTGCCATCCAGGGGGATCTGGGCGATCGACTTCGCCAACGAGCACCCTTCGTCGCGCGTCTTCGGCACAGACCTGAGCCTGATCCAGCCGAGGCAGAACGTCCCGCCCAACTGCATCTTCGCGCGCGAGGACGCCGAGTACGACGCCTGGACCTTCGACCCGGCCCTCTTCGACTACGTCCACCTGCGCATGATGTTCAGCTGTTTCGACGACCCGCGCGCCGTCATGGCTCGCGCCCGCGCCCACATGGCGCCCGGCGGCTGGATCGAGTTCCAGGAGCTGTTCGCCGACTTCCAGTCGTTCGACGGCTCGCACGCCGGCACGGCCCTCGAGCGCTGGACCCGGCTCCTGGTCGCGGGCGCCGCGGCCGCGGGATCCGGCAACGGGTCCGGGCCCGGCCGCAGCCTCCTGCGCGTCCGCGACTACAAGCGCCTGCTCGAGGCCGCGGGCTTCGTCGACGTCCGCGAGGAGCTCGTGCCGTTCCCCTGCAGCCAGTGGGCCGGCGACGGCGCCTTCAAGGACGCCGGCCGCTTCACCGCCACGCTGCTGTCGCAGCGCGGGCTCGAGGGCGTCTCGCTGAAGCTCCTCGTGGCCGCGGGCCTGTCGCCGGCGGAGATCCGGCAGCTCATTGCCGATGTGCTGAGGGACTTGAGGAATCGGAATATCCAGTAAGTTGCGTTGGGTGTCATGTTATCTTACTCCCGTTGGGTATTGGGAGCACAGGAACGAGTCCTGTCTTCGAAATCATGCTTAAATTCTGCGTGTGGACTTTCTTTTCACAGATACTGACGTCCGACGTTCCAGTGGGTTTTGGCCCTTCTTCATCATATATGGGAGGAAACCGGATGGATAGGAGCTGCGAGGAACTGTTCAAGTTTCAAGTCCACTAGACGATATCCAGCTACACGAATTTGCCTGGACCCGACCACGGCCAGTCTCACACCTGTGTCTGAATTCGGGTACATATATCTCGCTTCGGATCTTCCATTTGTTCTATGCTAACACAGGACATAGCTTTATGTCCTCCTTGTAGGTCAAACGTTGCGGGAGTTACATATTAAATATTTTGGCGCCGTGCTCTACCCTGCCTATCCCATCGGGAAAGTTGACGTGTTTATTGCTTTTATCATGGCGTTGGGGGAATTTGACGAGATTTTGGAAGAGTTCAGAGAGATTCTAAATCATTACACAAGAGATTTGAAATGGGCGCAACAAGTCAGCCTCAGCCGATTTAGAGTGTCAGCTTGAACTTAACGTCGTAGACTATAAGCGCCTAGAGTTACATAGTTGCATCAGTCCAGAGATACAAAATACAAAGTGTCAAGTCGTGGACTTCGCTTTCTCACGACTGGTGTACTAGCACTATTGGATGTAGGCACACGCAGGTGGTCGACCGAGTCTTACAAACCTATCACAATCGGCGCCAAAATCTCAATCATTTTATCGAAAATAAAGAGCGGACATGGCAGCATAGGATTATATAATGGTCTCTTAAACGACTATCTTGATCTCTGTGTGTTCTCGTATCAGTTCTACGGCTTGTGGGTCTGGCATCAGTCACTTGGCCTGATTGTCTATATGAAAGGCTTCGGGGGCAGCCCGTTCGGAGACGAGGCCAGTCGGCGTGTCTTCCGAGCTGCCTACCCAAACAGCAGAGGTGGTGCCCGCAACGGTGACTTCCGTGGCATTTGCAATTACAGAGAGCAGTAGAGTTGGTCGGTTTCGGGCAGGCCGGTGGATTAATGCATCCACATGAATGGCCCAATACCTGGCAACGCGGGGATCAAGAACGCGGCCGGGTATCTATTAATATATCACGGATTTTGCAGAACTGCACTTAGCAGACAAGAGAAGCCTGGCTGAGAACAGGCCCGTGTATCCGCTGCAGGTATGTTAACGGCAAGGTCTTTCTGAGCGAGGCTACAATGTTGGGTCGGTTGCGGGGGCCCGATCCAGTAAACATCACACGGATGGGACTCGATGTTGTTCAGAAACATGGAAAGCACGCGGATCATAGCACGGGTTCTGTGTTGCAATCTGCGACCATGACGATGCTCAGTTCAGGTTGGTAGAGCTTCATATGAAGGAGGAGCTGGCACTAACACGCTGGAAGTTAGTGGGCTGAGGTAACTCCAGTGAGTTGGTGAGAGCCCCACCAGATGGATCCGGGCCGCCCTTGAGCTGCTCACTGCCGGGAGTGGCTACCTAGACCTGCAGCTGGCAAAACCCGGTCGCCTGCCTGGATCGCGCCTCAGAGGCAGTTCTCGCTCTCAGACTGGGGGACTTTCACAACGTCACGGCCTACATCATGGACGACGATGACTTTGGCGCGGACCCCGACTTCTTGAGCGCCTTGGCATCCTCTGCAGGCGGGCAAACCACGGGACAGAGCAGACAGCCGGCGGCGAGCCGCGTCCAGCAGCCAACACCGCAGAGGATACAGCAACCCACGCCTCAGAGGTTGGACAAAGCGCCACCGTCCAACACTTCGGGCTCCAAGATCGTGCAACCGACACCGCAAGCCCTGCCCCAGAGGTCTTCGGGGTCTTCGATTCTGGTATCCCCGCGTCAGAAGGGAAATCCCGTTCTGGCAGCCCTCCGGTCTCTACCATGGGAGTATAGTGACATTCCGGCCGACTACGGCCTCGGCTTGACGACGTGTGCGCTCTTCCTGAGTCTCAAGTACCATCGTCTGCACCCAGAGTATGTCTACACGCGCATAAGGAACTTGCAGGGCAGATATAACCTAAGGATCCTCCTGACCATGGTGGACATACCGAATCACGAGGACACACTGCGGGAGCTGTCCAAAACATCACTGGTCAACAATGTCACCATCATACTGTGCTGGTCGGCCGCCGAGGCAGCCCGCTATCTTGAGCTCTACAAGTCGTACGAGCATGCGAGTGCTGCCGGCATCAAGGGGCAGCAAGCTACGAGTTACTCCGAGAAGCTCGTTGAGTTTGTCACGGTGCCCAGGGGTATCAACAAAGCCGATGCAATCTCCCTGGTGAGCGCGTTCGGGAGCGTTCGAAATGCTGTCAATGCGGAGGCAGAGCAGGTCGCCGTCATTGGAGGCTGGGGTGAGAAAAAGGTCAAGAGATGGTGCAGCGTGGTTGAGGAGCCTTTCAGAATCCAGCAGACCGGCAAACGGCAACTCGTCACCAGCGAGAGTAGCAATGCGATCGATCAGGCCATGCCGCTAAGCAAGGTGCCCCTCAGGGACATGCCGTCCCTCTCGGCAAGCGCCTCGAGAGGTAGTGAAACTCCCCTTTTACAGCAGCAGAGAGGCACGTCTCAAGGGGAGAGAGGCACGTCTCAAGGGGAGAGAGGCACGTCTCAAGGGGAGAGAGGCACGTCTCAAGGGGAGAGAGGCACGTCTCAAGGGGAGACAGCCCACCGGCAAATTGTGGATGCCAATACCAACGGCGACGACGAAGAAGAAGCAATGATCGCAGCAGCGATTGAGGAGTCGAAAAAGACTGCGGCGTTGGAGAGGTCGTCAGATGCACAACCGGAGGACCAGCTCAGTGAAGGAATCGCTGCAGCATTGGCCAAGCTCAGGGACAAGGGGTAGAGCTCGGCAGCCTGCATAGTTTACAGAGAATGGACCATTTCGGCGAGCTGGCTGCCATACCCCGCGCATGAGACTGACTACGAAAATAGTATGTAAAGTGCCATCATATTACCAGTCCACAAGATCTTTGCATAGAAAGGGTTGCGGTTGGACACAGCCTAATTTCCAGCACGTGCGGTGTGGTGTCTTCCACATTGCCCCGGATACACGGCCACGCGATGTTCTGGAGGTCTGTCTCCGCATCTAATCGTTCTTCAGGAATAAGATCCTCCTCTTGGCAACGGTAGGTCAGGCGATTGGCTTGTGTAACCGTCGACAATGTGCATGCGAGACGCAGGAACTCAGCGCCAAGAGCACAGCGGCAGCCTACCTTCTTCGGAGCCCCCCTACGTTCGGCCCTACAAATTTCCTTCGTATTCCTCTTTGAGCATGTAGGTCGAGGGCTGTGCAGCTAGGACGGGCCTGCCGCTATTGATGATAGGTGGTATATCACCAGAAGTTGTGCAGCAGCTACTAGTCATGCATGCTTGTTCCTGGCGATTCGCATGCAGGCCGAAATGACGGAACTCCAACAAGTGGTCAAGAGCGGGGGAACCCTCTTGGATATCGATGGCATCTCCAAAGCAATTTGCAGCTGCATATTCGGTATGCAAAGTGCATTTGGAGACAGGAAGCGAAGCCGTTGAGAGCCGCAGAATCAGTTCATAGGACGACCGTCCTTAGAGTCCCCCGTGAAGTAACTGATTCCAATTCTCCCAAGAACCCAGCCGGGACCCAAAATCATTCACGCAGCGACCCCATGATAGCTGGCACTCATCTGATGATGCGGAGACTTGGCGTGGTAAATCCCCCGCAAAGACGGGCCCCAGCCTGCCGCCGCTAACTCCACAATGGGCTGACTGGCAAGACTGGGGTCAGGGGGGATTAAATCAAGCGTAACCCCTTCTGTCCTGGTCTTGAGGTCATTTCTTGTCTTCCGGCCAATGTGGTGCAAGACATGATCTAGAAATGCCGACACCAAGTCTATCGCAATCTGATAGCAGGATGCAACCTCAAAACCGTCCAGTGCCTGGGTCATCCGGGTCGACAAACACCCACCCGACGTGCTCCCCCCCCCGACATGTCACTAACTCCTGTCATTTGTGCCGTCGAGACTCAGCTACCACTGTTCTGGAAGGTCGGTTTCTTCCGAAGGACTATGTAATATCTGATAAAGTTCCGAGTCTATGTTTGGCCCGTCGCGTCCACGCGTATTTCCTTAGTGACCCCATTCCAGCACGCCCATGCCCAGCACAGACTGACTCTGATTTCGGCGGGGATCTTCACGCCAAAGGATGCCCGAGTGCGATTCCTGCAGCTGACCCACTGCTCTGACCGACTCCTCAAGTCTGAATGCAGGTTTCTGCTTGGTTTATATGCATTCTCGTAGGTCAAGGTTCTTACTAGCTAGACTGGTTGCGGGTGACTATCTCCAAGTCCATGGCCCCTTTTCTTCCTCCCTCCCTCTCTCTCTCTTTCCGGCGCAAGCCATGAGGTCTGTTCTCAGAACTTGCACAAGGCCCAAGTCGTGGCACATGCCCTCATGGCATTGGTCCTCCCCCTCTGGACCTTAATCTCGTGTCTGTCTCTCCTGGTCAATCAACAGATGTTGAGTTACATTCTGCATCTGCAGCAACCCTGTCACGAGCGGGCCTTGCCCTGTTTCGCACCGGGCAGGTCCAGGCTCGCGACCCCGAGCAGATCGTTGCTTCTCAGAACCTAGCAGGACTTCTTGGGCTCCTGCTGCCGTCAGGCGAACTATCGATGCCCGCGGAAGGCATCTGATATGATGATGTGCTGCAGGCCGTACTAGCGGCGCTACCTCGACAAGATCCACCTGCATCTCCATGTAACCCATCCCAGGGGTCGTGACTGCCCATAAGATGCCCATTATGCCTCTCGCCCCAATCTATACCGGGTGGGACGGTTGTGCCTGCACCTTGCGGCTCTTTGGCAAGATGAACCGTCCCGCTATATAACTTGGTATCCTCCCTCCTGTCCACTTTTCGTGGGGACCCATTGCATTCATTCTGCCAGCCCACCGACAGCCGATCTTGGGTATATGTAGTAGGGCTTGTCTGATTATACAATCGCTTCTTGGCCCCGCTCTCTCTTTGGTATTCTCAATATGGTGTTATCAAGGTGGGCTCTAGGCCTGCTTGGCTCTGCTGCCTCGGTTCTCGCCGCGCCTGCCACATACGGCAATGGCACGCAGTATCAGTCTCACCCCGACAGACTCGCTGCTGTGCAAGAGGCATTTGACAGGTCTTGGGATGCCTACTATACCTATGCTTTCCCCAACGACGGCTTGATTCCGCTGGAGAAGACTTACATCAATGACCTGTGAGTGGTGACTGCGGTCTTCCCGGTGGCTATTGAGTGATCTGCACTGTGTGCTTGCTTCACGCAAACTCCTGATTCCTACTGGAACCTGGAAGCTGTCTGTGGCGATCTTGGAGCTATCATAGGCGGTACTCGAGTTTATAACCTAGCTTGCTAATTCATGGAATTAGGGGAGGCTGGGGTGCCAGTGCTGTTGACGCGTTCTCCACGGCTTTGATCATGAATGATGAGAAAGTCATTAAGCAGATCTTGGATTTCATCCCGAAGATCGATTTTGACCATGCCAACTATACCAGCTCCATCTCCCTCTTTGAGACCACGATTCGTTACCTTGGCGGTCTCATTTCAGGCGAGTACTCCATAAATAGCGGACAGCTTCTGTGCTAATGCTGTCCTCAGCGCACGATCTCTTGACTGGACCTTACAAGGCCATGGCTGAAGATGAGAGCGCAGTATCTGCAGTCCTAGACCAAGCTATTCACCTGGCTGACCTTCTGAGTGTGGCCTTCGATACCCCAACTGGCATTCCTATCAACAATCTGGACTGGGAGCCACCTCGGCCCAAGAATGAAAGCACCAATGGAATAGCCACCATCGGGACTTTGGTGCTGGAGTGGGTTCGACTCAGTGACAAGACTGGACAAGAGAAATACGGCAAATTAGCAGAGAAAGGCGAAGCCTACCTTCTCAACCCTCAACCGCAGAACATCGGAGAGCCTTTCCCGGGACTGCTCGGTACTGACGTCAGCGTTGCCAATGGTTCATTTGTCTCCTCGCAGGGTAGCTGGGGAGGCGGCGATGACAGCTTTTACGAGTATCTCATCAAGATGTACGTGTACGATACAGCGCGTTACGATACTTACAAGGATCGCTGGATCGCAGCTGTGGATTCTAGCATCAAGTACCTGCCTTCCCATCCATCTACTAGAGAAGATCTCACGTTTCTGGCCGCCTGGTACAACTCCACCACTCTGAAGTACCAGTCTCAGCATCGTAAGTTACCACCTCCCCCAGAGAGAAGTGGTGCACTAACTCTCGACAGTTGCGTGTTTCAATGGTGGTAACATTATTCTCGGCGGACTTGTCTTGAACAGGCCGGATTACATCGAATTTGGCTTGGAACTTGTCAACGGCTGCCACGGCACTTATATTGGAACCGCCACCGGAATTGGTCCGGAGGTGTTCAACTGGCAGGACAGCAAGACGGCGGCGAACGCTACCAACAACCCCGCCCCACCGGTGAACCAGTCAGCCTTCTACCAAGAGTCCGGTTTCTGGATCCCGGCCGGAGCTGAGTATTACGACCTGCGACCAGAAGTAATTGAGAGTTACTACTACGCCTACCGTGCAACCGGAGATTCCAAGTATCAGGACTGGGCTTGGGATGCGTTCTTGCGTATCAACGCTACTTGCTCAGTGGGCGATGTTGGATTCAGCGGCATTAAGAACGTAAACGTGCCTGGGGGCGGTGGCTTTTTGGATCACCAAGAGTCATTCTGGTTTGCCGAGGTGTTGAAGTACAGCTATTTGATCCAGGCAGAGGTCCGTCATACCCATCACCAACGTGAAATTCCCGATTTGATTACTAACGTAGAACAGGAGGCCCCGTGGCAGGTTTCGGCCGACCACGACAACCAATGGGTGTTCAACACCGAGGCTCACCCAGTGAAGGTGGTGGGCACTCCTATCTGAAAGGCTCCTTCGGGGATTGCGCGGGAAAGGGCGTAATTCAAGGAGTTTGACTGCATGGAAGGCGTTCTAGGTTTATAGTGCATTAATTATCTCTGTGAATAATAGTAATCATTCACACTTCTATCTCCTCCTTGGGTGGCAGGACATTGCATAAGCTATGATCAGTTCACCCCAGAGCTAATGGTTTAATCAGTTTTGCTAGGTAGGCGTTCAAGGTATACCATGACGGATATAACTTCCACTAATTGTTCCCCCCAAAAGTAGTACTACCTGAGCCTAAATCATGGGTAGTGGCACAAAAGTTTATAGGTGATGGGGCCTCCTTATACTGTGCCTCGCACGATTCCCAAAGAGTTGCCCCAGTATCTTGGTCTCCGTTTGATCTCCTGCCTTAGCGCACGCTGTTTCACATAGCTATTCTCAACCCACACTGGCCTTCTTTCGCCGCTGCTCACGACTCTGGGTGGCGCACCGAGCGCTTGAATGCCAGGAACTGGTTTACCCATGTGTTAGGAAGGGTTTAGAGCTGGCCCATATCGAAAACTGATCACGATACTGCTGAATGCTTGAGAATGTGACGGCCCGATGTCACCTTAGATGTGAGAGGCATGTATGAAGAAGACCTCTCAAGAAGAAAACAGGGCATAAAAGGGCGGATATCGAAAGGGAAGGCCGAATAAAAAGAAAAAGAAAAAGAAAAAAGTCGTCTTCGCTGATGCAGATCTTTGAACCTGCAACTCACGAAGGAAGGGGTGCCCCCAGCAACGCCCGAAGCGCTGACCCAGTAAGCCAAGTTAGCCGTTGGGCAATTGGGACTGGGGGCCGTGAGAATGTGTCAACCTATTGTCAGTTAAGAGGGTATGCCCCAGGCAACCACTAAAAGTTGTGATTACAGTGAGGTCGCCTGCCCCCCCCCTAAGGCGCACCCCGTAGTCGACCATACCGTTGCCGTGCCCACTGCACCGCCCTTGGCTCCGTGGTGACTCGATAACTGCGACTCCATCCGAGCCACACGCAGTGCCGCTGTATGCTGAGTCCGGCGGCCTGGTATCGTCCCGGTGTTCTACAGGAGCGGTGCCACACAATGAAATCCCACGAGTGTCTTGATACCCTGTGCAACCGTCATCGTGACTATCGAGCACGTCAAGAGGAGCAATTGGGGCGTTCCCAAACTTATGTCACAGATCTGAGAGCGCTTTCTATGACCTCAAAGTCCGGTAATAGTCAGGCAAGAGTTCCCGGTCATGAGGGCTGGGCAGTTGATACGGTGATCTCGTAAACGGGTTCCGTATCCCCCGTCCTGCAATTGTGGCCAGCCTCTCCAGTGATATGATAATTGATTATAGCCTACTTCCGAGTGCTGGACCACGCAGACACTCGCTTGTTTCATACAGTGTATCACCACCAATGACGACGAAGACGTTGCGTGCCTGCGAAAGTCACGTCTTGGTTTTCACTTGTTGGTCTTCGAAGGTGGGGATCGAGACCTGCACCCTGGGCACTTGAATCTCATAATTCAGAGAAAGGAGTCATAGGTGGCCATAGCCTCATTTGACTGCTTTTGAAGGTTATAAATCTAACTGGAGTTGTCTATAATCTAATTGGGTATCATGCTGAAAGTCTATAAACAAAGTGCCATGGCGGCTACTACGGCCAGACCCCATAACACGGACAGAGAGTTGGATGTCGATACTGCTACATTTTTCCGTGCCCCTCCACACTCGCCAAAGAAATCAGCGGCACCAGCCGTTGTGATTGCCTGCTCGTTCCTCCCGCAGTTGGCAGACTGCGCGAGGGAGATCTGTCGCTTGTCCTGATCAAACACGACGTACGCGGAGCGCAGGAAGTTGTCCCCCAGGATGTTGAGCCCCTTGAATCTGGGTTCTTGGGTGAGCGAGGCCACGTAGCATTTTCCTCCCGTCGGAATAATGCTCTCACGAAGAGGAACACGAATTGTCATATCTCCGAACTTAAAGTCCATCGTCGCCGAGGAGCGCTGGGCATCACACGGAACCTGAAATCCCCCATTGAGTGAGATCTTGCCGTTACCACCAAGGCTCAAGGCTATCTGGGAATTGGTTTCGTCCGGGAGAAAGTGATACGTGGAGCCAGAGTCGAAGATGACTGGAAGGCTGGTTTTGTTGATGGTTTTGGTGCCGTAACTGCCCCCGGACAAGCCAATGGAATCTAATTGAATCCAATATCTATTTACGTTAATCAGCCTCAATATGATGGTTTTATTTCGTTCATGAATTTTCACTCACCGGTCGCCTGTCTCTCCCCTCTGTGGAGGTAGAATCGGCTTGGTTGTCAGCGGCCCGCTGAACTTCTTGGTGTCTACTCCGCCGAAAATGATGGCACTTTCATTGTTGTCACGCGAACCCAGTGAGAGGGAGAATGCTTTCGAGTTGGTGACCTTCTGAGACGCCAGCTCATCGATGAAACTCTTGTAGCCGAGGTTGGAACCCCATCCTACACCCAATACACCCAAGTTTTGGTTTGACGAATTTGTGGCCACGCCAAATTGTACATCATTTAGTACAGTTTCTGCGCATGGTCAGCATGTTACTTCTTTATATGAGTATTTGACAATGTTATATCACTTACTGCTACCATAGATGCCTATGCGATCGGTAGAGAACGTCCCTGAAGCTCCACCAATCCCATATAATTGCTCAAACGGCTTGGTCAGGTTTCTCCACGTCGATGAAGCACTGGTGTTATACTGAACCTTTCCAAAGCACAATGACGGCTGCGACGAAGAGTAGAAGGAGCATTTGGGGTTAACCCATAGCATGTCTGACCCAGTATCGATGGTCACGCTGACCCGTTGACCAGGTGTTCCGATCTCAACTACGACTACGTGTTAGCGATGAGGTTCTGAGCAACATCCTTTCATCAGGAATACTTACGCTGAACACTGTAACTGTTAACTAAATCATGTAGGACCGCACTGGTTTCCTCTCTGCGATCCAAGAAGTGGTCTTGGTTTGCGATGTCGCGGCTTACTGGTAATGATAAAAACCCATTTGATTCTTGGGTTACGGGCGACGCCTTCACTATTGACGATGCCCCTAACACTGCCCAAAATACGGTTGAGTCTATGAAGGTCCTCATGATCAGCGGCGAGGCGCTGAGTCTGCTGTGAGTTTGAAAGCTAACAAGGCAAAAGTCTGAAGGAGTTGTTTTCTTTGGTGTAGTATAGACTCAGCTTTAGAAGAACATATCACGTTCAATAAAGGGCTTACATGCATCTGGTTATAAGGCCAGGACTCAGCAAGGCGCGGATCTTTCCGTCCGGAAATTCAATGTCATCAAAGTGCAGCAGGCAGGTGTCGAGGTGGGCTGTGTTTCTGTGCCCCAGATCCGCGAAGGAAGCGGCACGCACACATAAGCAGAATGACCTGATGTCTGCTGCGGCGCAGCTAGAAATCAGAACGGACCACCAGAATAACCCTCGACATGAAATAATTTACACATTTGAATGAATAGCCATGCGATACGCCAAGAGGGCTTCCAGGACTCACTGAATGTAGGTGATGCTGTAACTATCTATGTGCATAACTCTGAGCAATCATATGTCCAAACGACTACTGAGCTTCCAGGTTGAGCGGCACAGCAGAAGGCTGAGCGATCAACGTGAATAACGTAAGAAATATTAGGCCTCACATGACGGTTATTGGTTTAGTGAGTCGCGGAAGCCTAGATCCTGTCCGAATGTAGAATTTGAAGTAGTCCTATGTCAGTTTCTATGCCCAACATAATACTTGGTGAGAGTCACGTCGAAGGTGTACAAGACTGGCACCGGCCCATGATTGAAGTTTTATTCCGAAGCTGGCAATAACTTCGTCTGAACCGTAATTACGACTAGAATATTCCCTCGATTCCCACTCTGTTGTCCTAGGTAGGTAGCTGCCGATGATAAGAACAAGTCCGACCTCGTGTGCTAGTTGAGCGCCGACCCGCGATTGTCGTGATGGGACGCTGAATTAACGTAGGGCCCTGATGAGCTGGTAACTCCTCCCTTTGTTTACGATTATTCGAACTGGAGACACTTTGACGCTAAGTAACCAAATAAGGCTCGCAAAAGATATCCATGCGTTTGCAACCTATGAAACCCTGTCACCTTACAAGGCGGAGTGGGCTGTGAACCGTCTCGGGGCCTACCACGCAGTTCTAACCTCGCCAAATGGTGCAACGGACTAGTTAGCTTGTTCTTGTATACTTACGTAGATACTATCAAAAGTTGCGGATAGGCAACCTTGTTCGGGGCTTGAAAGCCTCCGAATAGCACCAATAAAGCCGATAAATGGCAGGGACGCACCAGGGACCCGATGTTGTTGGCCGTCGCCGTCGAGCAAATCAAGTCCAAGTGAAGATCGGCCGTCAGCATAGCCATCGCACGCTGTACATTTTTAGCATGAAGCCCACTGTTGACAGGCTCGCATAGGGCTGAGTGGCCACCCCACCTGCCCAAGCGCGCTGCCGGCCCCCGGTCTTCATTCGTTGTCCGAAACAGAGACTCAATGGCGTCACCACTTGTCCGCTCACCACTATACCAGCGCTAGCGCATGCGACTGAGCAACTCGTGGTGAAAGATTGTATTGCGCAACTCAGTCCATATAATATCACAGTGCCCTGAGCTCCTTATTTCTGCAATGCGACCCTCATGACCGACACGGCAAACACAATGGCACTGCTGCAGCACCTCCTCCACGTGACCAACTTCCGCAGCCCCTTCCTGCGGACGCTGGTCCCCAGCGTGTCGGCCGCCTTTGCCATCCAGACCGCCTTCGCCATCCCGTCGGTGCTCGCCCAGTCCGAGCGCTTCTACGATGCCTCGGGCGCCCTGACCTTCCTCTCCGTGACCCTGCTCAGCCTCTACCTGCCGAGCCTGCGGACCCGGTCAGCGGCCGCGCTCAAGGGCACAGATGTCAAGCTGCCGAGTCTGCTCTCGGCGTTCGCCAGAGGTGGCGGTGCCGCGTTCAACTGGCGCCAGGTTGCGCTGAGCGCTGCGGTCGCGTTCTGGTCTATTCGTTGTGAGTACTCATTACTTGTATACTTACCCGTATACTGTCTCCTCCGTGGTTGGGCAAGCACGCTAATATGCCGGTCCGTGGAAGTGGGCTCGTATCTGTTCCAGCGCGTGCTGAAGGAGGGCAAGGACTCGCGCTTCGATAAGATCAAGGTCTCGCCGCCCAAGTTCTTCGTGGCCTGGATGGCACAGGCCACATGGGTCTCGTTGTGCATGATGCCCGTGATCGCCGTGAACTCCATCCCGGCTGCCGTGTTCTCTGCCGTACCCGGGGTCAAGATCACCGACTTCTTGGGCATTGCGCTGTACCTGGGCGGCTTCACGTTCGAAATCATCGCAGACCGGCAGAAGAGCCAGTGGATGCATGAGAAGCGGACGAAGCAGCACGACGAGGCGTTCCTGACCAAGGGCCTGTGGAGCAAGAGGTAAGCTGATCTGATTTATCAAGTACCCAGAGTTTTGATATTAACACTGCTATAAGTCAATATCCGAACTACTTCGGCGAGTCGACCTTGTGGACAGGCATTGCCACGACTGCAGCTGGACTCCTAGTCTCCCGCCCGGTGCAGGTCGGGCTTGGGGTCAGCGGTGGCCCTGGCGGCCAGCTTTTGGCTCTGGGGCTTTCATACGTCAGCCCGGCGTTCGTGACGCTTTTGTTGACCAAGGTCTCGGGCATACCCATGAGTGAAGCGAAATACGACAAGCGGTACGGTGATCGCAAGGATTATCAGGAATGGAAAAAGAACACCCCCAAATTCTTCCCAAAGTTGTAAAACATGGTAGCATGACTGACTAAATTGGAATGCTTCATCAAGGCATGCCGGTCTCTTGGGAATCAGTTGATTTATTGGGTGAATATACAAAGTGTTCGAACTACCTATGTCCTATCCCACTGAACTTATGTCCCCCCAACCGTGGGAACCTAGCCCTGAATAACACCAACGCTGATGTGCACCGGAAAAAATCGTAATCGTCGATACCAAAGTGATTTAACTTATTTGTGGAATGATTTGACCTTCTCGACCTCGTCATAACTTCCCATGAAAATCCCGGATCTGTCGTGGATGTGCTCAGGTACAACCTCCATCATCCTCTTCATGTTGCTGTCAACGGCTTGGCCACCAGCTGCCATTTGGGTTAGCGCAAGTCTCTTCACAGGGATTACAGGGTTGTGAGATAAGCTTACCATTCTCAAACACCATGGCCATCGGAGCACACTCGTACAAAATTCGGAGCTTGCCCTTGGGACTCTTCTTGTCCGCGGGGTACGCAAAGATACCGCCATACAGCAGGGTTCGGTAAGCATCAGCAACCATGGATCCAATGTATCTGGCGCTATAAGGCTTGCCGTCGCCCTGCGGGTACTTCAAAGCGTTGAAGTACTCCTTGGTGTTGTCTTGCCAGTACAACGAGTTACCCTCGTTACACGAGTAGATGGCGCGGCTCTTGGGGATCTTCATATCGGGGTGGGTCAGGATGAACTCGCCGAACGAGTTGTCCAGCGTGAAACCATTGACGGTGCCGCCTCGCATGGTGATGACCAGTTGCGCCGAAGCACCGTACATGGTGAATCCAGCGGCCAAGAGCTCGGTTCCAGGCTTCAGGATATCCTCTTTGGTGCCGGTGGACCCCTCAGCCAGCTTGTGGATACCGAAGATGGTTCCCACGGACACACCGGCGTCCAAGTTGGAGCTACCATCAATGGGGTCGCAGGCTACGGCGTATCTGGCATTGGTCTTGTCCTTGAAGAAAATGACATCCTCCTCCTCTTCAGAGACCAACAGGGAGCACTTTCCAGAGGACCTCATGGCCTCAATGAAGAGGTCATTGCCAATGACGTCGAGCTTTTTCTGGTCGTCGCCGGTTGCGTTCGATTGGCCGGCCAGACCAGTCAGGTTGACGAGAGTGGCTCTGCGGATGTAGTACGAGATGGCTTTGAACGAGAACTGCAGGGCGTGGCATAGTAATCTGTTTAGGGCCGGTGTGTAAGTAGGCGGCCAGAACGCTTGGAACGCAGGGGAAAGCTGCTATACGTACGTGAAGTCTCCGGTTGCCTCCTTGACCTTTGTCTGCTCTTCCGTCAAGAAACGCGTCAAAGTCACGATGTTGGTGTTGACGGTCGCCGACTCGGCGGGAGGAATATCACCGTTCGAGGCCATTGTAACTTTTGCGTGCAATGCCGAGGTTCTGTGACTTGGTTCGGGTGGGAGGATGGGGACGGGAGAGGAATGCTGCGGGTTGTGGCGGGATGTGATGGCAAGAGGATGGGGGAAGCAGAGGGAAAGATAAATGTCGAGGAGAGAAGGCCCCAAGGTCTGACGAAACCGCTACTACTTACATAAGTCTGGCTATGATATCAACCGAGGGGAAGGTTGGGTTCACGAAGTGGAAGTGGACGAGGCAACCCGCCTTTCTTACTCCACACCCCTCCCGGCCTGACATTTAGCATTGTCTATCTCGGCAAACGGCGCGACGAAGATGGTCGGGCTGCGAAGCCGACTTTGACTTCCAGAGCCCCAGAGGCCCCTTGCCGGCTGAATGGCATGGCAGTGGTGGGATTCACGGGCTCGAAAGAGGATTTCCCGGGTGGCATCGTGAAGGCGCTGTGGTTTGTACCGAAGCGGGAGATCTCGGCCAAGCTCGGGTTAGGGAACGTCACCTAGGGGGTCTGGGGAAGCTTTCATTTCGCCCTGGGTCGTGTGAGCGCCCGCTGCCCCAGGTGGACGCTTGGGGGGCTTGGGGGGGCGCTTTGGGCGCCATCAAGGGGATGCTTTTCTACTCATGTGACTGCATTGAGTCTCAGCTTCTGTCTCCAATGGCCATGCCCAATTCCTGTACCGTAGGCAAATCTTACTTTAGCAAAACTCTTGTTGGCCATGCTGAAGATCGGCCCTGTCGGGATCACGATGAGAGCATTCTCCAGGCCTGCCAGGGCACACCTACCCCGCCGGCCCCGCTGTAGCTTGTCATGTCGGGTCCCGCCCCTCCAACTCTGCCCACCTGGGCGGTTGGCGGGAGGTGGAGCTGGAGAGACAGCCGGCCAATCTTTGATTGGCTGCTGGGCGCCGTTCGGACAAGCTTTCTTCCTCACATTTTCGTCGACATCGGCAGTCGGATTTTCCAGCCTCCGATCCTCTCGCTAGGCTGGGCCCACTGAAATGCGGCTCTCTACAAAAACAGTCCATTGAAATTTTAGTTTTCGGATTTTGCAAAGCTTCACAAGCTTCACACACGATTTTCGCAACCCCAAGTCGCGACGTGTGTGCTCTCTGCCGGCCATGGCGATGGTGAGTACCCTCTGCTTTCCTATCATTACCCCTCCTCCCATTGATGACAAGTTGTAAACCGCAAACTAGAGTCTTTGACCTTTTGGAATGAAACTGTTTTTACACGTCAGTCTGAGACAGCACACACAGCACGACTTCCTGTCACAACGCTCTTGAGGCTTCCCAGTGCTAACAGGACCTCAGATACACAGGCCTGCCACCTGATGGCGCTGTCTTACGCGATGCGGTCGAACATGGCACCTGGCAAATGTACCTGGACGTCAAGGGTAAGCTACATCTCCCTTCTTCCTCCACTCCTACCTTACGTGATGAGCAACTCTGTGCTTCGGCACAGCTGGAAATTACCGTCTGATTATCGTTGACGAAAAAACCTGGCTGTTTTCTGATTTATCCTTCCTCCCACCGCATTTCTTGAACCACAGTCGAGAAGCGTGTGCTAACGGAACTAGTCCAGGTGTGATCTGAAACCAAGGGTACGTGATTTCTAAACCGACTTCCCGATGCGTTCGCGTGATGAAGCGGCACTGGGCTCCGAATCACTTTCACATGAGTCGATACGCCAATTTGTGGCAGGCCTAGAAAACCTCGCCCACTGATTACGAACACCACGACCGCACTTTTACGAGCACCTCTTGATGGACCTTCATCTGACTCTGGTGTTCTAGTTTGTTCGTCGCAGATGATCCCATCTGTTTCCCCGGATAAGCGTTCGCATAGACAGGTACGTCGTGACGAGCATTAACTCTCATTATTTCCTTCACCTGATGACACCAGATGACGAGTCTTATTCGGGTCACCGTTGCAGACAACATATCCTTTTATACCATTCATGCCTAACTGAATTTGAAGACCCCCTCTGCTATCTACATTGTCATGATTATTGTGACCTGTAGCTAACTCATAATAGACTTGTTCACATGGTCTCCTTATCGGACGTCGGATTCTCGTGATTACCGAATGGTATGCTCGACCCTTTCCTTCTTTCCCACCGACCTGCCCACCCTCAAATGATGAATCGACTTAACCAAAAGACAAGCATATGTCCGAGCTTCACGGCGTAGACGAGATCTGTCATGTCTGACTTTTCCTCAGGATTTGATTCCACACAATGCAGCCCATTAGGTGTCCATTTGACTGACATCGACCCCTGCAACAGCATCGTGAATATACCTAACCAGTAGAGTCCCCATAGTACTCTGTACTATCAAGTTACCATGTAAGCGCCGCCCCTACCCCCATCTTATTTCATTCCCTTTTCAATGATGATCATATTATCACGACGGTCAACATAGCTCTATGGGCATTGATGATACCGCCTTTGACAAGGCACTTACAAAAAACCTGACACAATTTCCATAACCTCAATTTCTCGGTTGCTTTGCATCAACATGAACTAATGAGTGTTTTCAGATGGTCTTGCACGTGCAACCGCATAATAGTTGAAAGGCATTGGCATGCTGAGCCACCAAACCATCCATGGCTGTCTATAGCGCCAACAAGTACAACACCCAAAGGGCTTGTCAGGATTCGGTCATGCTGCATGAGTCGGCCAGTACCGAACTGCTCATGCAATCCAACTGTCGGTTCTATGGATGGGTTTTAATGAGGTAGGTAGTGACGAATTCGTCCAACGTAGTCAATACATTCATGTTGAATATACTTTGAAAATACACACAATTGTGCTCGTCCTCGTGCGGTCTCGGATGAGAAGTGAACAAGTCTTAGTGGAGCAAGTTCCACTGCGGCCTTGGTCTACGATTCGCGTCAAGTCATACTGTGAACCGGATCCAATGTTTCTATTTTGAATGATGCTTCATAACTCATATAGGGTATCACGGGATTACGCGGACCAGGCTTCTATTATCCAAGAAACGCAAAACCAAGCCCAGATGCCCATTGCCAAGCTAGGAGGCTTAGTATCCAACACTGCCGCCATGCTGCTGGGCGTTGCCGTTGCTGTGAATAGGCCTGTGAGTGGCACCGTAGTCGTGGCCGTGCTGGCAGCCGTGGTACCTGGAACCATGCTCGCACCCGACCCGGTGACGAGGGCTCCGTTCATAATCGCCACATTGCTCTCGTCGGTGCCCAAGTCGAGCAACATGTCTTTCTGATCCTCGCTACAGCTTCCCGGAATGTTCCGCACCCAGCACGTCTGCGTCGGCGTGGCCGGGAGGGCAAAGGTCTCTGTCGCATTGGCAGCGCCGGTCGTGTTGTACGACGCGAGGTCGACGGCCTGCCCGTTGGACACGGACGTCCCCATGATGATGCGCGCGAAGACCTGGAAGGCCGTCTCGGGCTGGTACGCGGGCACCGAGTGCCCCGCCTGGTAGATGCGGCTGAAGGAGAGGTTGCCGAACTGGCGCACCACGCCGCCGATGTAGGTGTCATTGACGATGATGGGCGCGTAGCCGGCGTTTGGGAAGCCCGATGAGTATCTCGACGACGACGGCGAGGACGACAACGAAGAGGCGAGGTTCAGCGAGATGGCCTGCCCGCCCAGCCAGTTACATATGTAGTCCCGGTCGCCGTATATCAGACCTATCCGGACACCTGCGTCGAGCAGAGCTGCAAGCTTCGGCACGAGCGCCTGGCGTTCGTAGTCCCCCGTGGAGGCGAACGCTTCTTGAACTGCGAGGTTGCTCTCGGTGTAATTCAGCGTCGTCCCGATAGCTTCCTGAAAAGAGTGGCTGTTCAGATAGGAGAGGTACCGCGAGGGTGGGAAGGCGTCCGGCAGGGGGGCCGAGATGTCGTAGACGCTGCGGCCGGCGTCCGTATAAGGCAGCATGACATTATTCGTGCAGCTTTTGTAGGCGCGGGAGCACACGCTGTTGACAAGGGGCATTGCACCCGAGTTGCCTGGATCATCGGCCTGGACGGCAGCCCGGCACTGCTGGATCAAGTCGCGGCAGCCACCTCGAACGTAAAAGCTCGCGTTGGCAGCCTGCGCGCGGACGGAGTTGATGGCGACCAGCCCGTAGGTGTTGTTAACGGCCATGGCTGGGTAGTAAGGCGCCTGGATCAGGTCGTCGACGCAGCCATTGACAATGCCCAGCGACGTCAGGTGGATGTCCACCGTGGTGGCATTGGACGCTGTGCCATTGACTCTGGCCGTGTTCATGTCCTCCCATCTCGCAGCGAAGGCCGGCCCGTACTTGCCGCCATAGCTCTCTGCGAACAGATTGACGCCCAGCGAGCCGCTGTCTGGCGGGTTTATCTGTGGGAACACGCCTAGGAACCCTTGCAACATGTGATATATCGCGGTGGCAGCCGTCTCGGTTGTGTTCGCCGTGCGGCTGCTGTTCATAGAACTGAATGTGCCGTTGAGAAACAGCTCGGCCGGGGTCGACTTGGGTGGCCCTCTTGGGGGACTGGATATTTCGCCAGTGACCAGGTTCAGAGACCCGTTCGTCGGTGTGTCGAAAGAGAAGCCGACCTGGTTCGGCTGGTCGATGAACAGCATGTTGGACGCTCTGTCCCAGCCCCATTCTCTCGCCACGGTCTTGTACTTGTCATCCGGCCCGCTATCCACGACTTCGCAGGGTCCTATCTCGGTGAAGAAGCCGAACATGGAAGAGGAGCCTGGCCCGCCGTTCAGCCATATGGTCAGAGTCGAAGACGGCTCCCGGGCCCCCACGAACCAGAAGAAGAGGTTTGTCGGGTAGTCGCCCGGAACAGTGACCCAGCCCGTGTACTGCTGCTGCGTCTCGAAGGCGGTCGTGCAGGCCCCCGAGGGCACCTTGTAGCTGATTGTGATGTTCGGGTCGAGGGGCGAGGCGATGGTCGTCAGGTTCGGGCTGACGTTCGGGAACTGCGCCAGGACTCCAGCAGCCGCGAGCAAGACATGGCCGAGGAGCTTCATATCTATGGCTGGCTGACGCTCTGCATTTTCCCTGCTTCCTTGGCGCCCCTCTTCTGCCTATATGCTCACAGTCCAAGTCGGACACTCACTCGCGAGGTTACTAAGCCGGACGCTCGAGAGACGCATGCGACGGACAACAATTGGGTGTGAGATCAAGGTTCAGATGCCTCAACGGCTGCGACCCAGCGGAAAGTAACAGGTAATGCGATGCATAGGACGGGCATTGATGTTGGAGACACAATACCATCTGGTCGTCATCCTCACTTCCAACCCTTAAAAATCAACACGCTGGAAGGATTCCTGCTGTTGCATCGCGCGGGCAGCTGCATTGCATATCTTGCCCCAAACAATTCGGCCTTGTCGCTTGGTAGAGCCAATGACGCAGTGGTTTCAATGCCGCTTTCCGTGCCCTGGGATGTCGAGCGCAGCCATCGACAGGGGGTGGCCCGGGGGTGTGTGCCTGGCGCTAGTTCAGTGCCAAGATATACGTTAGCGACAACGTTAATCGTTAATTAGCGACAAGCCAGCCCTGGGGTTCTGGGTTCCCTGGTTGTCTAAGTCAACGTTGTGCTCGGCTTGGACGGGAGACATTGACCTGCGCCACATGTCAGGAATCGGGACTTGAACAACTCTTTCTTGTACCCAGCCCATGCCGCCAGGAATGAATCGTGCACAACGATGGAAAGTCTTAAGAGTCCTGGGCCAGGTGGTTATGTTGTGTAGAGGACCGCAATTTCACCCTTGGCGCCACCAGCTGAATCTGCAGCACGCTAGCTTGGCCCGCTGCCTGAGGCTGAAGGGAGTCGACGACGAGATCTGCGGGCTCTTCTTTTTCTCGCCGAAGGAGCTCCTGCTTTGAGCATGCTTGAACATGGCTTTATGCCTGTGACGCTTGGAGTTGGGCTTCGATAAAAACACGCTCCAGCCATGTCCAACAACGACAGTGACCATTCGGCCACCGATATTATCACCTACATCGGCGTGCCCCTTGCCGTGCTTGGCGTGCTTCCCATTCTGTACAACACAGTCGCGACGCTCGCTGCCCTGTCCAAGATCAAGCGCATGCTGAGGCGGGCCAAGTTGACGGCTTTGACTCGCAGTGATGTTGTCAACAAGGTGATCGAGGTGGAACTGCCGAGATATGCGGTAACGCCCTTAGACCGGTTCGACGAGGGAACAGAGTATTGGCAGCTGTCGCGCCAGCCGAGCCAGATCCCGGGAGGCAGCTGGACGACCTTCAACTGGAAGACGAATACCATCGGCATCAAGACCCAGCGCGTCGAGTATGCCGATCAGCTGCGCCAGCCTCAGGTTGAAGTCGCGTTCGATGAGCTGGTGTCTTATCTCCTGGATCTCGGTGCAGTGCCTGAGCCCCACGGTTGGAAGCTGCTCCGCTCAACCGGCCTGTGGACGCCTATGGGCTCCTCTCTTATGAGCTCGCCGGACGGCCATAAAGCTCTCACGATTGGGCCCCTGGACGACTCGGATGGACATCTTTCTCTTGCTGTCAACTGGTCGTCTACATGGACGACACGCGATTCTTCATCGCTACCTCCGTATTGGGTCCGTCTACCGCCACCGCCGCCAAAGCGTCCTGAAACTGCAAATCCAGCAGAGGCTTCAACGTCCACTGATATAGAGGAGCCGGTGGAAACTGAAGATGGAAAAAAGAAGGAGTTACTGCCCAAGGAGTCACTGGACTCTATTCAGAAGCAGGTCCAAGCAAACTCATCTACTATAATCACCTGCCAAATTTCTGTCGATGGGCTCGTCACAGCACTTAGCCAGGAGACAGATATTATGAAGGCATCCTGCAACCCCCACAGTCTATACATTGAGCATCTCCGGATACGCAGCGGCAAGGCTGATGGCGTGTGGTTTGCGAGTGCTGCAACCGCCTATGGCACTACATCCCAGACGGTCCTGTGGAACTACAAGATCCCTGACGAGATCCTCAACTTTGCGCGCAGAGACACGGTGCCATGTGGCGTACTCGTCCTTCTGGGCGTGGTCGACGAAGAAGACACGCCTCAGTGGGCCACGGCATACAATAGTGGCCTGGAAGCTCACGAGCTCTTTGTCAGGAGAAATACAGAGCAGCGTCTCGCCATGGCGGAGGAAGCCAAGATGGCACCTGCGCAGCGGCAAGCTGCCGCCGCGAGTAGAATGCAGCGAGAGATGCAATATAGGCTGCAAGATAGTAAGACACACTCTCGTCCAGACGATGGAATAAAATGACTAATGTTCGTGTTAGTGAGAGACAAGATGCGTCAGGATTCCCAGCGGCGTGAAGCCCGTCAAGCCGAGGCACTACAAAGCCCCAAGTGGGACACGAAGCTGGTCGCGGAGCGCCAGCTTAAGTGGCTCAAGCAACGGCAGCACATGGAGGAGTCCCTCGTGCTGAAGGACGCGGTCGGCATGCTCTTGCACCGCATGATCCTGGACGGGCAGTTCACCTCGTCCATCTGCAAGATGCTGGACTTGTGGAAGGCGTGGGCCGAGAATGGCGGCATGCGCATGTCGGACTACGTCGCGCTGCAGGACGACCCGGAGACCTTTGCCCAGGCTAGTCTTCTGGCGGCCATGATCAAGGACACGACTACGGCTCATGAGGGGACGCTGTCGATGGACTTGCAGGAATGTATGAGAATATGGAGGACCATTAGATTGGGTTGACAAGGCCTCTTATCAGATAGCCAAATAAAATCGCGTTGTGCACAAGCGCTTCATGCTCCTAAACTAAGACTAGAAAATGGAGCAGTTTGGGCTGGTTAACGTTGTACACAATAGCCCCACTGTCATACGCCATCCAAGACTGGCTTCTATATAATTGTGATTTTTTGTGACCGCGGCAGCTTGAATGGAAACTGTTTGAGTTCCTCCAGGCCAGCGAGGAATTTGTCCTTGGCTGAACACTCCACTAAAAGGAGATAGAAAGAGACTGATTCAATCACCCACTCAAGACACTGAAATGACTCAAAGAGTCCCGATTGTGGTTCCTCGTAATTCGCCGTGATCTCGGTCATTATCGAAACCCATATATTTAGAAGGTCAGGGTGTACTCGTTCACTGGTATCACGGCCCATTTGGTCCTTTCGCAGCTGATACCACTGTACCCAGTCCAAACTAGCGTTGCCCACATGGAGCATGATTTTGGGAGCCAAGTCCTTCCAAATAGTCTGGAGTGCAATTACATTGGCTGATAGGTCATTGACCTTGTAATCAGGTAACTTGGGCGTGTTCTCATGCTGGCCCAGAGATATGGCCGAACTTTCGCTCAGAGATAACCCATTCCGAGCAGGGGCGACAAGAAATTTAATCCAATCGGTCTCAAATTGGTCAGAGGAGACAAATTGGTCAGAGGAGAGGCTGTGTATTTCCTCCAGAGAGAGTGTGATCATGCCGCCAAGTCTCTCGTCAATCTTTAATTGCTCTAACCTCCTTGTCCAACCGAGCGAGTGACGTGAAGAAACCGTGGCCACAAACTCGTGAGAATATTGAACCCAAGGGTCTATACCGGGCTGTCGTGGGAGATGCCGTGATGCTATTGACTCAAAAATCTCGTAATGATGGTTGAAATCGTTCGGAGTAGACGCGACCAAAACTTTCACGGGAAGTCCGTACTCCGTGAAAGCATATTGTGACTTGTTTATTCGCATGGATCTGCATGCCCGCCTCATAATATCGTTGTGATGACCATAGGTCTTGATGTCAACTTCACATGGCCCAACAAGCTTGTACAACTTGCTCTCTTCTTGTGGTCGCAGATGTTGGAACATTTCAGAACCCCATATCAGGGCAATACAATCATCTAAGTTAACTGGGTTCTGTGTGGTTAGCTCTAAGGTGAAGTTATCCCTGGGGATGATGACCTCTCTATAATTCAGTGTCGACGCCGTGTGCCACTGCGATTCAGCATCCAAGAGCAGTACAATAATTGCATCGATTGAAAGAGCTCCATTATCAGAAATTCCGAGTTTCACATGTTTATCCTCCAGGGTATCATCTGGCCACGAAGCAAGCAGTGGTAGGCTACCGGCTTCATTGTAATGTTGTGCCATCCGCCGAGCTATGTCTTCGCAATTTACGATCTTCAGATGGCGTGGCTTGGACCAATCTGGAACCCATGATGGCAAGGTGTCCGAAATGCCTTCTGCAATAGACAGCACATCGATGCTGCTCCTTTGTGTCAGGAAGTATGCCGCAACTCCAGTATATATATCCCTCACACTGAGAGTATAGATAGGCTCCAGGCCGTCTTCCACACTTCTTTGGTATAGCCCAAGCAATGCGAAGATTCTGTCTCGGCGGTCGGATGACGAGCATGAAGATGTGTCAAGGAGTAGGTCAAACAGATCTTCAGCAGTACGTGGAGGTGGCCGGAATGCCCAATTTGTCCATTTGGGGTTGATATTATCGGGAAGGGTTCTGACCATGTCATTCCAAAAGACGTTGAAGTCAAAAGTGCTCTCTCCGCAGTGGACTCGCAACTGACGAGCAGCCAGAACTTCCTGTACGACCCAGATCCGGGTAAAATACCGGCGGTCAACCAAGTCGCAGAACACTGCTTTCAGAGCTTCATGGTCAGGCAGGCTCTGATCACGAAGCGTTTCCAATACGGTCGACAACCCCATCGTGCTCAAGATAGAGGCAGCAGATGGGCTCATCCCTTGAGTTTTGCCAAGGTATACATTGACATGACTCGCGCCGGCGAAGATGTCTCGCATCATCGCGACTTGGTGAGTCCTTTCCTGCATGTTGCTCTGGTCGATACACACTGCATCTACCCAGATGAGGTATATTGTTTCTGTACTTATGTCTTCGTCGAAGCGGCGTCGCCTCTCGCGATCATTTCTTAATGCACGCAGCGCATCATCGCAGTTCTTTGTGATCATAAGTAGATCCCACCATTCCCCAAGGAATAGTTGGGTGCAGCGCCTATCGTCGCCGTTCTCACTTGCCCATGTATACGACAACGCCTCATAATCTGCGTCACCAACATGCGCATCTCGTAACCATCCGTGCAGAACTCCGCCGCCTCTGCATCTTTGGTCAAGGTGTAGCAGTCGGATCTGTCCAGCTCCAACCACAGGCGTATAGCCTCTTTTGCTGAGTATCTCGGCTCCTGCACTTGCTGTTGTCTCGATTGAGCATTGTTGCTCTAGGTTTTCCTCCTCCGATTGCTTGTGCCAGTCCTCGTTTTCATCTGCAGTTGTGCTAGTATAATGGACTGAAGAAGGCCATGATAAAGGGGTGTTTGGCGATTGGTGGGACGTGCCCTCGAGATTTGACAGTGCTGCTTCATCCCAGAGGCATCGTGAAGAGTCTTGTTCGCATTGGCCACAGTACACGATCCCTCCCGCAATGCTGATATCAGGACGACGGCAGTTCGCACGGTGCCACCTGAGCATCTTGAGATCTTACGGAAAATGGAGGTCTCGAGTTTCGTACTTTCAAATAAGGTGATCAGCTATGTGTTTTGTTTCTTTAGAAATTGGGCTCTTTGAATGAGGAGATTGCAGATGGTAGAGCCTTGTCCTCAAATCTGGAAGAATGGCGGAGTTCGGCACATCCTCAGCCTGACTTGGCCGATTGGATAGTTCAGTTACTTCAATATGCAGAGCGACGTAACATTTGTCTTTTATCCGCTATTGAAAGTTCAGAGTTTTCGCCAGTCTATCATCTTACAAGCGTTTGCCTATGTTCAAACCCGCAATTCTATGCAATCTACACAGCCGCGTTCCTCTTCGCCTCCTCCGGCAATCTGGCTTACAACATCAACAGGTTTCTCAAACTTTACTACGACTTGTTTCCTGCCATCAGAACTAGTGCACCATTCGACGGTGGCGACATTGTCCTTGCCAATGGCTACCTTGGCTTCAATCTCGTCGATCAATTGCAGACGTGGCTTGAAGAGAACCTTTGACCACCCAGGCGCGACTGGGCGCAATCCCAGTAACTCAGTGCAGTATTCATAGATCGGCACACTGCCCCAAGCATGGCAATCTGAGCGCTGCCGAACATCGTCCTCTTCCCACGTGGAAAGGTTGTTCTTCAGCATCTGTCGCCATGGGTCCCATACAGTTGCCCAGAAGCTATCATAAGCATCGTCACCGGCGAGAGCAAAAGCTCTCAAGGCGTAAAACTTCATGACATACGAGCACTTTGAAAATCGCGTGTCGGCAAAGGACTCGGTTAGGAGTCTCGTCCGATCTCCAGCTGGTGCTGCACCGCACAAGACGCCAAACACCTGGCAGTGTTGTGAATATGAGAGTTCGTCTGCCACATCTGCTGTAGAGTCGGTAAAAAATCTCCCATCGTAGCAATGTTTCTGTACGGCTGCCACGACGGATGTCGCCCGGGCTTCATACTCCTCAGCATATCCGGGCCTACCAACGTCGCGTACAAGTTTGGCAGCATGTCTCAGCACGTATGCGTACAGCATGCTGAAGTAGGTGTGGCGGTTGGATTTTCGACCAGAAGTAGGTACACCCTTGTCTGGGTGGTCGTCCGTTGCGCCCCATGTAGTGACCCAGTCAACGTACTGCCATACATCCTCGGGTATCCCGCTGACAAGACCCAATTGATCGATGTGAGAGTCGAAGAATTCGAAGACGCCGTCTATGCGGGGAAGGAATGAACGCGAGTATGAAGTATCGCCGAAAAAGAGATGATGGTCGCAGACTTGTAAGACCCAGTAAAGGGAGAAGCCAGCAATGATCTGTGGTACGTGTGATGGGAAACGGGACTGAGTCAGCCCTTCCGGGGTAATGGACGCAGCAAAGTTTGTGATGGCCTGGCGCATCAAGCGGTCGTCGCCGGATAGGAGATAATGGAACAGACCAACAGATCGTGAGTCACCAGAGTACCTGATGGGTGTGAAATTTAGTAACCATTTACTCAGGGTTTTGAAGGCTTACTTACTGAAGCTGTTCGTAGAATGGACAATCTGAATAGCCATCGAACATGCAGTTCCGCATTGTTCTTATCGATACATCCCATATCTTCTCAATATCTGAATCTCCTGGCGTTTTCAAGCTTGCCTTTGGCTGAATAGGGTAGTTGGTTTGACTTGCGCTGAAGGAAAACATTTCGATTGGTTCGTTTCCGGCAGTGACTTGCACGCGCATAACCCGAAACGTCCGAAACCAGAATGGCTCGTACTTGACTATTTGGCCAGCCGGTAGGTCAAGCAGAACTTCATCAAACGGGCCGATTACGTGGCCATTTTCTGTCTGTAGACGATCGGCTTTGGTTCGGAAAAAAGGGTATGCTCGCGGCTCAAGCTCGTAGCCTTCCGAGTACATTATCTTCAGCTTGACTTGAGACTTCTTGTGTGCGCGAAACCTCCAGGAGACGAAAGCGGTGGAGTGAACATCTGCTTGTATATCAAGAGTATGCACTGAACCGTTCACTAGGGTCAATGGTACAGCTTTGGAGAAGAAAGCGCTCCAATCGCCACTACTGCTGCTACTATCACAGGCTCGGATCGTGTGGACATCGACGTGGCTTTCTTCGGGGAGAGGAATGACGCGAGGCCGTAACCTCCATGGAGCTAGTTCTCCGTTCAACGTCTTGAAGCCATATGATACAGGCGTGACGAATGCGGTCGGCTCGCAAGGGGTGATGCGCTCGTTGATCTGTCCCATCCTTTAGTCAAGTCCCGCGACGTATGGCCGTCTATACTGACATGAAGAAATACATCGTCGATCAACCCAGTTGGGAATAGAATACTGTTGTCGACCTGGGCTAGCCAGCCATCACGGGAGTTGAGGCTCGCGATAGAAGCGCCAGCGTCAACATTGCCAATGACTGTAAGTCCTGGTAATGAAGTCCTCACGAACGGCATCGCCGCCCGTGAGGCAGCGAAATATCTGATGACAACGAACTCAATCTCATTATCACCAGCCTTCAAGTAAGGCGCGATGTCGAGAGTGTCGTAATACCATATGGTGCTGTGGCCTCGTGCCGGCCCGACCGCGGCCCGAACGCCGTTAATATACAGCTTATACCTAGTATCCGCGGAGAAGTGGAGCAGTGCTCGGTCCGAAGCGGAAGGCAGGTTGATCGTACGAGTGAACCTCACAACTCTTCCAGCTGTGTTCTCCTCGGAAGAATCAATCCAGTTGGGAACCCAGACCCAGTTGGCCTGGAGTTCATTGATGGTCTGCGCCTATTGTTCAATCATCCCGTTTCAATGATGTTGAGAGATGAGCTTCGGAAAAATACCTTCTGTTCTTCGGCCGAGACCATGATGAGCAATGCCCTAGCTGTCGTTGTTAGTTGGCTGGTGAGCTGTTGGCTTGAACCTAGGGGCATGCGTGGCGTAATTTGAGGGGGATTGCTTTCGACTTGTATTGGGCCTAGTATGCTATATGCATGGCCGGGATTTGCAGGTCGGCTATCTGAGGCTCGCCTTTCGCGTCGAAAGTCCCCGCTCGAATCCACTAGACAGCTGCGTACTGTTCAGACGACGGGTGAGCCGTTTTGTTCAAAGATTCGGTTTCGTTGATAGTTATAGCGAAAGTCTATCTCTATTGGTGGAATGTGCTTAAGCTTTTTAGCGAGTTCAGCCATCAGTAACTAGTTACCAAGACTAGTGGGCGTCACAAACTACCGTGCCCATGATAACGCATTCGTCACATGTCTTCCGCTTGGGCGTTCAGTTGTTCATCTGGTACGGATTGTCGGGTTCGCGTTCTGCAGGGTTTGGAGACGCGCAACATGGGGTCCCCGCATCAGCCCACGGAGGTTACCCCAAATCTCCGGGGCAGTCTTGTTCTGTGATGATTGAAATACGAGTTGGTGTGGCTGGACGCCAGTCATATATCAGTGAGCCGAACCCGCCACTGAAAGATATTAGACTTGGCTCAACTATATGCTTCTCATACTGCCATCATCTGCAGGGTTCAACATAGTTCAACGTAGCGTCTGGAGCGTCTAGGTCAAGATGAAGCCTGAAGCAGTTGAGAATGAAAATACACAGCAGACAGCATCTCAAGCCCCTCACGATGATGCACCTGTTCTTCGAGCAGCAAGTGATGATCTTTCGGTCTGGCAGAGTGTAGGCCGTTTCAGAAAGGTTGGACTCATTGCCATGGCAGCCGCGTTCGCCGCATCGCTCGATGGATATCGTAAGCAAATCCGATACTCCAGTTTGTTCCAAGCTGGCCTGTCAAGCTAATGCTCAATGAAAACAGAGATCAACCTCAATGGCGGTATTGTATCCAACAAAGGATTCATCCAGCAGATGGCCGCACCTGGCACCACCATCATCCCTGGGCCATATGTCTCGGCTTGGGGTGGCATTCAATCCACAGGCCAAACAGTCGGTCAAATTGTATGCGAATCACTGCTATATACTTGAAAGCCTTCATTTCTGACTTGCTGTTCCTTCAGCTACTTCCATATGCCACCGATAGGCTTGGCCGTAAGGCAGCACTTTGGATTATCTGGGTTATCCTCCTTGCTGTAAGTGACTGCAATTGCGACGCGCATCTAATCACAAGAACTCTAACTAACGGCGCACTCAGAGCATCTTTGCCGAGACTTTTGCTAGCCATTGGGATCACTGGTTGGTGGCTAAGCTCTTGTCTGGTATGGGAGTTGGTATGCTTCAGTCAACCATGCCTCTATATCTGTCGGAGATTTCCCCAACTCAGCTGAAGGGATTCTTCATCAACGCTTACAGCTTGTAAGTAGTTCGAAACCTATGCGGCTGTCGTTGTGATTTGCTGACATGTCCAGCTGGTTCGTGGTTGGCCAGCTCTTCGCCTCTGTAGCCCTCAACAGACTCGCGGCTGTGGACCCTTACGACTTCAAGGTCCCCATTTACACCCAGGTATGATCTTGAGAGCATGGGGTCAACAGACTGAGAGCTTTGGCTAATTAGCGCTCTAGTGGGCTATGATCGGAGGCATTGCGATCGTTTTCGTATTTCTACCCGAGTCGCCTTGGTGGCTGGCAGGCAAAGGCAAGCTGGACAAAGCTGCCCAGGTGCTCCATTTCTGCAACGGCAACGTAGAGGGATACGACGTCGAAGAACAGATTGTCAGTTGCAACGCACTAAGTCAGGCAAGGTGTCCGAGTATATGCTGACAAAAGTGCAGGAGGTCATGACGGCGACCATTGCAGTCGAACGACAAGCAGCGGAGGCAAGCAAAGAGATAGGCGCATTTGCAGTATTCCAAGGTCGCAACCTCATCCGCTTCCTCATCGCCGGTTGGCCGAAAGTTACGCAGCAGTTCGTAGGTCTGGCAGTGTTCAATACCTATGCAACCTACTTCTGTAAGTACCTCATCCCCACCGCTCCTCAGTCTGGCCAGCCCCTGACTGGTACAACATAGTTCAGGCAGCTGGGAACCAGAATCCCTTCCTGGTCACAGTAATCCTCTCCTGCGTGCAGCTTATATCCATGGTACTCACCGCGACGACGACTGATCGATTTGGACGGCGTCCATTGACCGTTTATCCATATGCCGTCACGGTCGTCTCTGTTCTGTGCCTGGGGATCATTGGCTGCTTCGATTATACGAAGCAGGCCACCAGCTCCCTACTGGTACGTTGTTCTCTACGTGCACGGAAGCACACCCTCTGAGGACATCACTAACTAGTCCTGACCAGGTCTTCTTTGCATGCTTGGCCACGTTTTCGACTACGGGTGCCTCTGCCATTGGCTACGCCTACTCTGCTGAGATCCCCCAGCAGAGACTGCGTGCGCAAACAGCAGGATGGGCGCTGGCAGGCTCGAACCTGATTGCTATCATGTTTAGCTTTTGCACTCCTCTAATGATTAATGGAGTTGTATCTGGCACGGCCAAAGCGTCAGCCTGGGGTGTGAAGACTGGCTTCTTGTGAATAGTCCCCAGCTCTCCACGTCTTGGTAAATGCTAATTCTATTGAAAATAGCTTCGCTGGAACAGGTACACTAGCAGTCATCGTGGCCTGGTTCATCCTTCCCGAAGTAACACGACGGACCCCAGCTGAAATCGATGAGCTGTAAGTCATCATTTTTAGCATCACCACCAACTACACAAATAAGAATACTGGGCACAATCGCTAACCCTTGCGCAACTTTACAGGTTCGAAAAGAAGGTTAATCTCCGCAAGTTCGACAAATACGTTACCGAGGTTCAGGTCCACGCGAACGATATGCATAATGAGAAAGGGGTGGCTTAAGTATGGAAATAGGGTCGTTACATGAGCCGCGTCGCTTCAGCCCGGGAAAGGCGATGCTCTTGCATGACAGGTACAAGATACGTCAATAATTGATATATCCTAATAAAAGACTGCTGTGTTCCGCTGTCATCCATGTTCATTCTCATGACCCGCCTGGCATAACTACAGTGACGCAACTACACGTAAGGATATTATTCTTAGAGAAACCCTTAACCAAAGCGTTGCACTGCGGGATAGTCTTTCTCCGCTGTGTGTACAAGGAGAAAGGAAGAGACGAGCCGTGTCGGACTATACATATCCACGTGACCTGCGGGCCATTTCGTTTAGCGACCCGGCAGCAGCACGATCCGTTCTATTTCAAGTAAGAACCCTGTTTGTATGCGTGTCCCAAGGGAAGGAATCTCGACACGACGTGGTGCCATCATGTTGTTTGATCGCATTTAGAATCCGGGGAAAACAGTGAGTATGATTTGATCTTATCTCGTCGTGTTTTCAAAGCACCGGCGAGCATACAATGTAGCCCCCGGCGGCGCGGCACCTGAGACAGGCCTCTTCCTGCGGCTTGAGACAAGATTCGTTGTGGCTTATAATAGACATTGCGAAGCGAGGCCGGCATTCGGCCTCGCTCCACAGAGTCTATATCGGCCCCCCGGCTTACGGTGAGCTTGTTTGCCATGAATGCGCAGGGCCGGCCATGAGATCTACGTAACTTAGTATACTCTCCTGTAAATACTGGCGCGGAATGCGTTGTAGTTATTGCGGGGTGCCCCACCTGCAACGCCCAGTCTGGAATCACGAGGCCGCATCGTCCAACTGCTCCCATCGAATGCCATCGGAGGTCCAATGCACCCACGTTGAGAAAATCCCCCATTCCTTGCATCTCGAGAGCCGCTGCAGAAATAAAGACACAAGGAAGACGAAAAGCCAATCAGAGCCGCGGGCGCAAGATGTGACGGCGCCAGGGGGAACTGGCACCAAAGATAAGTCCCGATCCCTGTCGGCAGGCGCCCCATTGGCCCACGATCAGCAGCTTAAGCGCTCGCAGCATGCAGCCTTCGCCAATGACACGGCAGCAACTCCGTCCCGGGGGGCCATACTCAGCACATCTTAAGGGCTGGGGTCCGGTACCTTGCAGGGTCCCATAGGCTGACCTGTTGTGTGAAACTGCCAGGACGTCCGTCTTTTTTGCTGTGTAATTCACCATGGTAGTATGTATGCAAGGCATGGGAGAGGGGAGGGGAAGAAACTACAGATGCAAATGCAAGGGTACCTGTACATGTGTGTGCTATGGAAGGAACAGTTGCCGTGCTGACTGGCCCCGCGGGTGACACGCAAAGTGTGCTATGCATGGGTGGCATAGAGAAAGTGCGGGATGGGATGAGATGTGCTCGTGCTGGTGCAGTGCAAGTCACAGTCACCGCTGGCTTTTTGGTTCAGCCTTAGTATCTTGGGTGTGTGCCCCATCACGGCGCCTGCAGAACGTCCTTGGTTGGCGAAGGGCTCCTTGCGGCCGGGAATCAAAATACATACATACTTAGGGGGCGGCCCTGTGATTGCTTTGCGTGGCACATGATACTTGCCATTTCATTTTCTATTCTCCTTCGACCTTTGGATCCGAACGACTTTCGGCTGGATTAGGTCCATTTTATCACCTTACTCTAGTTGCCATATCGCCTCAGCGGTAGTACAATAAGCGCAATAAGTAATACCAGCAATTCAAACCTCTCGACGCTTTGGATCAACATTCAGGTGCATCATTCACCATGACAAGCACGGCGGCCTTCCCTCTCGCGACGGCAGACCCGTATACGGGCGGGGACGCCGGTGCTGGCTCTGCGAACTCGGGGGGCGGAGTTGACACGGATGCTGGAGCAGCTGGCGGCACGTCGGGAGCAGTGGAGTTGTCCCACGGGGCTTTGGTTGCCATCATCGTAGTTGTCGTTATAGTGGCAGTCGGCGGCAGTAAGTTCTCTCCATATACACCTTTCTCCCACGTTTGCGTTTACTGACTCTCGCACCCAGTTGCCTCAGCGGTTCTCTTCTACCTGGCCAAGAAGCGGGAGTGGAAGATCAGGGAAAGCATCCGGCGTTCGGCCAAGAAGGTCGTCACGGCGTTGACGCCGCGCCGATCCGAGTTCCCTAGATCAGTGAAGGAGTCTACGGGAAGGACATCCCGCGGCCGCGTTAGATTGGACGATGTGCCACCCACCCCTCGATTAAGACCAGAGGACGTCGAAAAGGGACTTGCATTCAAGCCGAATATCCGTCATAGTCCAGAAGGGCGTAATCTGAGAGACAAATGGGCGAGGAAGTAATGCAGGTGTTACGGCTTACCAAGCATGCCCTCCGCTGGAATCGATGAACGGGGCCAAACTTGATGCAACAAACGGGAGTTTTCGGGTTGTCGACAGTGATGGAGGCCTAGGGTCTCGATTAATTGTTTCTTTCTCGGGAGCGAAGCGGGAAGACGAGACGGATCTTTGAAATTTTTGTATCATTACGTCGCCATGACTATATGAGTTCTTGTAAATGGTTCGGGTATCACATTTTTCTGAAAGTATTTGTGCTAGCGCTCCGCCTGGCATCAGATCGTCTGGGTTTGGCTGCTGGTTCCACAGTCTCCTCAAACTTCTTCTTCCTGGATTCCGGTACAAAGGTTACCGAACGCTCCCCTACGACATCCGCACCCCGGCTCTTTGTGATCCGGCCGGACTTCTGGGCTCGTGATCCGAAGGCTGTGTCCCTCGCTTCTCGACCACCGCCCCGGCTCGACGAGGACACCTTCATCTCTACCTTCTCTTTCGGCTTCGGCTTCTGCACAATCTCGTCATCGCTTTCCATAGAAACATCTGAACCGTCTTCATCATCCGAGTACTTCGCAGTGAGTTTAGCGTGAAGTTCGGCGTCATTGTCCAGAAGCTCGATATTTGTGCTTGGGTTGAGCGCCTTGAACTCTCTACTGGTCTCATCGATCTTGTAAGCCTCATCCTCGAAGATCTTGGCGAAACGCTCATCGCCCAGGGCACCGGCCTTGAGGTCGGGCTCGATTCTTCTCTCCTGGCGCTTGAGCAGCTTGTCGGCCAACCGCTGGTTGACCTTGACCTTCTTGTTGCCACGAATTCTGCTCTCACGCTCCTTGTCGATCTTCTCCTTGATGCGCTTGTTTTGCTCGTCCTCCCAGGCGTAGGGGTTCGCAATCAATCTAGCCTGATCGTACAGCTTGGAAGCCGCAAAGTAACCATGCATATACGGCCGCAGCAGGCTTGTCTTGCCAACAAGATGATCCAGGCTGAGAGCTTTGAGCTCCGGCTTCGTAAGGAACTTGTAGTTTTCGTAGGTCTCGGTACGGACCTCCTCGGCCATCTCGTCGACCATGTTGTCGAGGAAACTTGCCCACTTGGGCGCCGGGCCTAGCTCCGGGATGAACCATGCATGCTGCTGCTTGCCTTCGTTGGCACTCAGCAACATACCGGTATCCTTACACCAGGCGACGGAGTTGATGTCGACAAGCGGCTCCACCGAGGTCCAAGGCTTTCCGTCCGACTCGTCCCAGATCTTGACCACTCGCTTGTCTGCAGAGAGCACCTTCTTTTCCTGCGAAGCAGTCGTCATGTGCATGAGCTCCTTGACCGGGAAGCCCAAGCCCTGGTCCTTCTGGAGCAGTGGCACCGGGCTTCGGAGGTCAAAGAGCTTGATGAGACCGGTCGAGGTACCGGAGGCGAGAGACAGACCTGAACTGTTAAAGTCCAAAGCCGTCACCTCACCCTCCTGTCCTCCAATGATGCTCACGCGACTCTTCGACCGTGGATCCCAAAACTCAATAGTGCCAATGGAAGTTCCGAAGGCCGTCAAGTTGTGGGTGTTTTCGGCCTGTGCTGCCACAAGGACTGCACCGACGCCAATGCTGCCCTGTAGACCGGTCTCTACTCCCTCATCGGCACCGATGTCGACGTGGTAGGACTTCATGAACCTGCCAACCTCGAGATTCAGACGGAAGACTTCGCCATTGCCTTCGGCGTCGAGGCCCACGGCGGGAATCAGCGCCTCGGCAGAGTGGCGGTCGTAGATCAGATCTCTTCCATAGCGCGGTATCCTCGTCTCGTAGTGGCAGGCGCCTTGGGTGTGGAGCTCGATCTTGCGATCGCTCTGGAGATGTATGGACTTGGTGTAGTCGGTGGACAGGATCTGGAAGGTCGTGTTCAACGAGGTGGTGTGGCGGGCGAAGGATAGTGACAGGTGGGAGAGCTGGTGGACGTGGATCTGGGGCTTGTATGTGCCCGTGGACATCAGCCACTCGCCATCGTCGGAGATGCGGATGCACTGGCTAGCCTCCTCGAACTCGAAGTCCTGGAGCAGTTCTATGCGGTTCTGGTATTCGACGTCGTTCTTCAGACTGCGCTTCCTCCGGCGGGCCAGCCAGTCTGGAAGGGGCCGGGCGGTCTCAGCACCCGCGACAGTGTACACGGACACGTCGCCGACGTTTTCGGCTTTCATGGCGGCGCGCGACGATGATTTACGTCTGGCAGATCTGCGTACGGGCTGCGAGGGCAAGTATTTCCAAAAAGTCGGCGGCGTCTTTTCCGCTGCTGGAACCAGAAAAATTACAGCGGGGCGGGCGATAACGATAAGATAGTTGGGCGCTAGAAGAAATTAGGCACAGTTGGCCATTTGGTTGGATGAGCTCCGCAGCTGCGGGCGGCCGCCCGCCTGGGCAAATGCCTTGCTAATAGGTATTGAGTATAGGATGCACCCTCATTGTCCTTCTCTGCTGCCTTTGCAGCTCATCGTGGCTGCATTAGGTTGTACGTATGGAAGAAGTTAGATAGACGTCTGTTAGTTTGGGAATCATCAATATCGAAGGCCACCAGCGCCGGGAAAGCGACATTCATTCCATGATGGATGGCAGAGCTCATGAAAGGAAAGAGTTCGAAATCAATCAACGTGTAAGAGTAGTCCTCTTTCCGTTCGAGGACGGTAAATGAGTTTACATAGCAACGTTAGCCCGTGAGCTAAGCAAGATCGTACGGGGGGTTGGAGGGGTCCATAGCCAGAACGTGCGCCCGCTACGGCTTCGGTCTGGTGGCCTGCTGGCCTGCTGGCGAAAAAAAAGAGGTGGGGCAGCCTATCGCGACATCTGCCCGTGTCACGTAGTGTCACTCTGTGATCCGGAGGGAACGGATTCTGCGCTTCGAGTTTGGTTCGACTTCATCTTGAGTGCCCTGAGAGAAGAAGAGTTGCCAGTGGAGTTTTTCGAGTCCTTTATTCCCAAGTGTTCACTCTCTAGTCAACTAGCCAGGATGTCGTCCCTCCCTGAGACATTCGACCGTGAGTTACTCGATCTGCCCCTCCAAAATTTTATGCCCGCCAAACTACCCCGCCATCGCGATAGCTTCGCGCGGCTGCTGCAGAATGCGAATCTCTGAAGGGCCTCACCAGCTTTCTGACCGTCTTCTTCTGCAGGCCCCGTCCACATTGCCGTCATCGGTGGCACCGGCCTCTACAAGATCGATGGCTACACCCCGATCGCACAGCTGAACCCAGACACCCCTTGGGGCAAGCCGTCGGCCCCGATCCTGATCCTCGAGCACAACGGCGTTCCCGTCGCTTTCCTGGCCCGTCACGGCGCCCACCACCAGTATGCGCCTCACGAGGTGCCCACGCGCGCCAACATAGCGGCCCTGCGTCACATCGGTGTACGCTGCGTGATTGCCTTCAGCGCCGTCGGCTCGCTGCAGGAGGAGATCAAGCCCATGGACTTTGTCGTCCCTGACCAGATCATCGACCGCACCAAGGGCATCCGCCCCTTCACCTTCTTCGAGGGCGGCCTCGTCGGCCACGTTCCCTTCGGCGACCCCTTCGACCCCAAGATTGTTGAGGTCGTGAAGAAATGCGCGGCCAGCATGGAGGGCGACGGCGTCACTCTGCATGACAAGGGAACCGTCATCTGCATGGGTAAGTCATATTTTTCTCTTAGCTTCACAAGCAACGTCGTGCTAATCCTGTCCCTACAGAGGGTCCCCAATTCTCTACCCGCGCCGAGTCCAACCTCTACCGCTCCTGGGGCGGATCCGTCATCAACATGTCGGCCCTCCCCGAGGCCAAGCTGGCCCGCGAGGCCGAGATGGCCTACCAGATGATCTGCATGGCCACCGACTACGACTGCTGGCACACCAGCGAAGACGTCGATGTCTCCATGGTCTTCCACTACATGAACACCAACGGACAGAACGCCAAGCGCCTAGTCGGCGCTGTCTTGGACGAGCTATGCCTTCAGGACAACAGCGACCTAGTAACCGCAAAGCACTGGGAAGGCCAGAGCAAGAATGCCGTATCATTTATGACCAAGCCCGAAGGTCGAAACCCCGAGGCCTTGAAAAAGGCCGAGTTCCTCTTCCCGGGTTTCCTGGACAACTAGGGCGCTGGCGAGTGGGTGGGCCAATGTGATGAGAGACATGTTTGGATTGATGTTTTCTGTGATATTCTACACCAGATAGACCGTTTTCGCAGCGCCAACTCCTTATGCCACCAGGAGGCAAGATACGTTTTATAGACCTTTACGATTTTGAGCACCTTTATTTCAAATTGCTGCCGGAACACTCATGATCTCTCTTCGAACACTCCCATACTTTACACGTTTCGCTCCTCTTAGTCACACCCTCTTAGACAACAGCAGCCCGTCTGTCGATCTGGATCCACATATCCTCAAAGTAGCTGAGGCCGCCCTTGTAGATGTAGGTACCCGACTTCTCGATGTTGGGCCGGAAAGTACGGAAGAACTGCAGCGGGGCCTTGTACAGCTCCATGTTGGCGATGTCGCGGCCGAGGCAGACGCGGGCGCCGTAGCCGAACGACATGGAGTACTTGTTGTACTCCTTGGCCTTCTCCGGGTCCTCGAGCCAGCGCTCCGGGCGGAACTGCTCGGCGTCGGCGCCGTAGATGTTGGGGTCGCGGTGCACGATCCACGGGTTGCACGTCACCTCCATGCCCTCGGGCACGAACTGGCCGTAGAGCTCGAGCCCGCCCTTGGGCGCCAGCCGCGGGAAGATGTTGGGCGCCGACGGGTTGAGCCGCATGGCCTCGCGCACGCACGCCACGTAGTACGGGCAGTGCGCCAGCACCTCCTCGTACTGCGGCATCGCCGACAGCTTGCCCGCCCGCGTCGCCATGTCGATCTCGGCCATCATCTTGTCGTACACGTCCGGGTGCGACATGATGTACTTCATGAACGCCTGGAACGCCGTGCCCGTCGTGTCCGCGCCGGCCAGCAGCACCAGCAGGATCTCGGCCTTGATGTAGTCCAGGTCCAGGGGCTTGCCTTCCTCGTCCCTGGCTTCGATGAACCTGGTTTGCGTGTCAGTGCCGTTACGCGTTCGGTACGAAATCCAAGACTCCAATGAATTTCACTTACACTTGCAGCAGGTCGATTCGGCCAGTGGTTTTTCCTGCCTCGATATCCTCAAAGCGTTGCTTGATCAGCTTGTCACGGAAGCGCATCAGGATGCCGATTCCGGACTCCTGCTCGGGAGTGGCAACCAGGTATTTGCCCAGGAACGTGCTCTTGACCCAGTTGGTGAAGGGGTACAGGCGTGCCATCAGACCAAAGGGGACCAAGCCGTCGTGAAAGCCCTGGATCAGATTCTCAACGTCCTTGCCCTGCTCGACGAAGCCGAACGGGGCGCCGAATCCAACCTCGGAGATGACATCGTACGCCATGTAGACGGCCCAGGGCGAGAAGTCGAACTTCTCACCGGACTTGGCGAAGAGTGTGTCCAGCTTCTCGATCCACTTGCCGATGTTGGAATCAATGAGCGGCTCCATCTTCTTGATGTTGGAGAAGGCGTACGGCGCGGCCGCGATCTTGCGGAAGTGCGCGTGCACCTTGTGGTCCTGCATGTTGAAGAGCGACTCGGTCTCGCCAAAGCTGCCCGTGATGTAGTGCTTCGACTTGTTGGCGTTGCGGCTGTAGATCTCGGGCAGCTTCTTGGCGTCGCTCACCAGCAGCATCGTGGGTGTGATCCGGATGACGGGTCCTGGCGAGTATTGTTAGATGAGTGGGCTCGGCTGGCAGAGGCGAAGGCATCGAATAGCATCACTTACCATGCTTCTCGTGGAGGGCCTTGACAGTCTCACACTCGTCTGCACTCGCATTGTGATATGCAAGCCAGAGGCGCGTAACACCTCCCCAGAATGGCCCCGGGAACTTGGCCAGAGGGTGGAAGAAGTGGTAGTACACTATCTGGCCTACGACTTTGTACACGATATACGCCAGACCGAGGAGGGCGAAGTTGCCCACACTAAGCAGCGCCATGATGACTGTACAGATCTCTTCTACTCAGGCGCGGCAACGGTTGGATGTAACTGCACGAGTAGTGCTAGTGTAAGTCTTCTGGCAGGAGAAACTCTATTTGGACAAAACCTGAGGGACTTGTAATAGAGGAACCCCTAGACTGAGGCAGAGGCGACACCGACTTCGTCAGGCACATGTCAAGAGCAGAGAGACAGGAAGGGCGAGAGATTTGCCATGGCGATCATATTTCGAGGAACCAAACAAGAGCTGCAGCTCCTTCATGCAAACCCCTCGTCCAATGCCAGGCCATGCATTACGTGGTAACATGCCATGGTCCTCTTTTCCATACTGGGTTGAGGGGATCAAATGGGGCAGAGGGGTGATGGGGTGACGGGTAGCTAACGATCGATAAGCCCGTCCGCGGGTCCTTGTCTGTCTCTATGGGGGGTTTCCCCTGCACATTCGGACGATCTACGGGCCTTCCTGGGATGCATTCGAGATTCAGCAGGAGAAATGCGGTGGTGCCAAGCATGCCACCCAAGAACCAGCCAGCCGGGGAGTTCTTCGTCAGGCAAAGAAGGCAAGCTTCAACAACAGCTAGTGAACAAAAGCCTGCAAGGCTAGAGAACCAAGCCAGGGCCGGGACGCATTCCTGGTCGGGTGCCGGGGGCCTTAGTGGCCGGACATACCCTCCTACCCTTGACTGCCAGCCTTTTGGCCCCACTGCTCCAATTCATTGCGGAAGGACGCCCGGGACTGAAACGGGGGTTCGGCTGGGCGATCGGGGCTGCTTGGGGATACTGTGCCAGAACGGGCCGTAGTCTTGCTTACGCAATTGCCGATGAGCATCAGAGTGTGCTTGATCGAGCTGGGGCATTCCAGCAATCGAAACTCGCCCAGCTTCGCCAGACCCTGTCTTGAACTCGAACCTTGAAACCGAACCACGAGAGCATCTTGTATACTCAGAGAGGGAATTGACGTACAAGGCTAGAGCTGGCGAAGGAACGTCGTTGCACCTTGGAGGGCCGCTAAATAGGGGAATTTTGGTAGCGCTTGGCGGGTATCTCGCGACTAGTGTATTAGACTTTCGCAGTGCTGCCCCTGAAACCTTGAATATATAGAAGATCCCAGCTGGCCAAGTTGTCTAGTTCGCTGCTCATTACCTAAGACGACAGACCTGCCCTGCCCGCGCTTGCGACGGGTTTGCCATTTTCGTACTGCCTATCGAACTGGCGCCCGCAATCTTGCGAATCCACCAGAGGGGCTGAATAAGATGAATTGCATGCCTTCGTACGAAATACAAAATGGTCGGAACGCCTCTCAGAGGAGCACGGCTCGGGTAAGTTCCACCGTATACGAACGGCATGGGCGAATCGCAAATATTCGTTCAATAAAGTGTGTAGCCCTGCCTGCAAGTGGAGGCTCGTTGACAGATATCCACAAGGCGTACCGGTCACCCATGGCTCTCATCAATTTCTGCTATCCACTGACTAAAATGACGCATTGTCCCTGAGCCCTACCATAGTACCCCGAAGATACGCGTTTTGACTGGCTTACTAACGACGTTCTGGGTCGTCGGATAACCAAAATCTGAGTAGTAATTAGATAATAATAAGCTGCCGAATCTCCATCCGCAGCCCTTCGGACGGGTCCAGCTCATCAGAAAGCGGTAATAGTATAAAGGCCAGTACACGTCGTTGTGGAGTTGTCCCGACGAAATCCAGGTTCGATTCCTGGTTACCGCATCTTTTTGTCTTTGTGCCGGCTCTTTTTGTGATCCTATGTGGCCTCTACCTCCAGTCAGCCCGGTGCAACTCAGCATCATGACCACCAAAATTCTAGAGGCCCCAGTGATTGCCGTTGAAGCCCTGTCCGGCCCACTAGACAGCTCCCCGCCGGGCTAAGCCCGCTGGGCAGAACAGATCGCCCTCTGGACGACCCTGACGACCCGTCCCCCGTCGCCCTCTCGTCCGACCCTTGCGGCTCCGCCAGTCAAACCCCCGGATCGCGAATCCGGTGGAATCCTGATTGGCTGGCCGGGGTCTATAATGCTGGCAGGCCCGGTCCTTAGTGCTGCGACGGTGTTGCATATGCGTCTTGGTGGCGCAGGTCTGCGAAAGATTGGTTCGGCAGCTTCTTCGAAGTTGCATCGAAGTTGCATGTAAACCATGCACCGAGATGAGTCGAGGGGGAACATTACAACCAACGATGGATGGCCATTCGTCTTCCCTTTTCTCGGCTTTCGCACTCTTGACACGTGCAACATGGGCATGAGGATAACGAAGGTTTCCCCTTGATTCACACAATGTCGTATCAAGCCTTGCTATGCCTAGCGTCGAGAGAATATCTCTCCCAAGGTTCTCCCTTGAACCGGACTTCTGGTACTAAACCTGAATCGTGGCTACTGAAACGCTCTAACTGGCAGGCTGAGACTAGTAGAAGAAGAGGTCACAAGTTGACTCGTGCCCCCCACACGCGACATACATTTTCGTCATCGGATTATACTCTAGCTTGCCTAGATTCAGCTACTAGCGATGGATGTACGAAGTCCCGAGAAGCCTTCGGGTGGAAGTCAGGCTATACCCCCATCGTTCGATCAGGGCTGCAGTTGAATGCCGATCGGCCTAGTGATTACCTCTTTGCTTTGTAGTCTCACATAGTTGCGACGTACTATGCCCACCCCGTCCAGCGCGGCGGGTTCCATTGGCCACTTCTTCTGATACCCGATCTGGCAACCCTTGCCTGTCTGTTCTAGACCGAAAACCGAATACCACTGTTGCACCAGCATAATTGCTTTTCTGGCCGTTGACACGCGAGTGGATGAGGTCCAGTCTCCATGGCGTACCTCTGGCCCTTGACTGGCGGGCAGCTCCTCGCACGACATCGTTTCGCCGTCATTGCCAGAACCCAGAAATACAGGCACGACGGTACGATGGCACATCACGCAAGCAGCCAGCGAAGACCCGCGGGGGTGGACATACCCACCAGCGAAGGGACAGGGGAGAATCCACGTCCAAAGAACCCTTGGCCGATCGCCAACCTGGCATTTGTGAGAACCATAATAACTTAGCAGGGTTCCATTGCTAATGACACTCAGTTTCCGATGTCATTCACCCATCATCGTCGCCCTTGTCGTGCATTCCATGGGTAGAAACCCATCTGGAAGTTTGTGATACCGTACATTGCATGTTGATAGGCTTGCGTCGAAGGATTTTTTTTTTCCGTCAGAGCAAGCATGCTGAGTCAGGTGGCCAACCGTACCTGCAGGCTGTCGAAAAAGGAGTGAGTAAGGCATGCAGATTATGCAGGCGGAATATGGCCGAGAGGCGCAGTTAGCGACCCGGACACTCGGGGTCGTTGATCTTATCTGGTTGCGTGTAAGGCTTGGCTACGAACCGTTAGTTGCCTGTCACATAACAGTCTCCCCTAATGCCGTAACCGTTTGCCCATCAGTGAGCAGTAACATTACCCCCTCGTAAGCGAACGCAACTGTTGTATGATCGACAGTGGAGAGCATGCCCAGACTTTCTAGTCGGTCCCGGCTTCTATAACTTGGCTTCCGAGGTGAGAAGAGAATCAAGTGGCCCCTTGCAGATGTACCCCCCGTACTCGGGATTTTAGTTTGCCAATCAATATCCCCAGTTGGGCCTGCCGGGTCGTCGCGCGGTTATGAATAGAGCAACGAGTCCACCTTGGAATACTGGAGCCATCGGCCTTGACTGAACTCTCTTTCTTCTGTTCTAGATTTCCTAGACTTACGAACTCCAGTCTCCGTCGAACCTGGCGTGTCTGTTGTTGTCGTTGTTGTTATGATTTCATCGTGCCCTTGATCTTATCCAGACACCATGGAATCTCAAGGGCCTCTAGTTACGGCGGTTGCGATTGTTTTCGGTGTCATCACGGCTATTGCTATCTCGTTACGGTTATGGGCGAGGTTATTTCTGGTGAAGCGTATGGGGGCTGATGACAGTATGTCTCCTATTATGCAGAAGCATCATCTAGGATATTATGTCAAGCTAACAATATTCTAGTCCTCGTCGTCATTGCAGTGGTAAGTTGGACTTCACGTGAATTTTGAAGATCGAACTCGATCTCTAACTGCTGGCAGCTGCTGTCTTGGAGTTTCATGGTTGTCACCATCGTGGGTGAGTAGAGAATCCCAGCTCAAGCCTGGAGCCATATATCCAACGAAGCAGACACTAACACCAGCTGCAGCCGTCCAACATGGTCTCGGAAGCCACTTCCCCGACGTTATGGCCCGCGGCATAGAAAATCTGAACACATACCTGCAAGCCGTGTGGCTGTCGTCCATCTTCTACAACGCCACGCTCGGCTTCATAAAGATCTCGGTGCTGGCGCTGTACATGCGCCTGGGCGACCGGCTGCTCCGGCGCCTGGCCATCGCCATGATCGGCGTCGTGGCCTGCCAGGCCGGCGGCAACGTCTTCGCCTGCATCTTCCAGTGCTCGCCCATCAGCGGCGCCTACGACCAGACCCTCGTGCCCAAGCCCAAGTGCATTAACATCAACGCCTTCTACCTGGCCAACGCCGCCGTCAACATCTTCACTGATATCCTGACGTACACGCTGCCCATCAAGTTGATCATCAACCTGCAGGTGCCGAGGAGGCAGAAGATCGGATTGGCTGTCATTCTGTGTCTAGGTCTCTTGTAAGTTTTGACCCCTGAATGGCACCTTGAGTGTGCGAAACGAAACATGTACCGCAGCGAATTAATCACCTTTCGTCAACACAGTGCCTGTATCTCGTCCATCATCCGCATCACCTTTATCCCGGCCATGCTAGTGTCCGAAGACGCAACGTATGTCATCTCGCCGGCCATGTACTGGTCGGTGATCGAGATCAACATCGGCATCCTGGCGGCGTCGATCCCATCCTTCAAGCCCATCGCCTCGCGGTACGCGCCGCGCCTGCTGGGCTCGTCGTACAACAAGTCCAAGACGGGGACGACGGGGTTCCAGAAGTCGGGCGCGGGCCGGAACCGCAACAAGTCCGGGACGATGGAGCTGGCCAGCATGGAGCGCAACGACCGCTTCGGGCTGCAGAGCACCACCGAGATCAAGAGGGGCCACACCGTCACCGGCAAGGGGCTGGATGACAACTCGAGCGAGGAGGTGCTGTACATCCCTCCCCAAGGACAGATCGGCGTCAAGACAGACATTGAGACGAGGTACGACCAGCGGATCTGATGGACCGCCAAACTGCGGCCAGTGTGCACGGCAGGCTGGTTTGCAGCATGTCTTGCTCACCAAGACCATCACAGTATTGCGTGGCGTAACGGAGCTCGTTATTGAACTTGGTGTACATATGTATTATATTTGCACAAAAAAGATTTAGCGAATCAGGATCAGTGCTTGAATATATTTAGTTTTTCACCCGAAAACACCTAGGCTGCTGCTTTTTAAATAAATCTTGTATAATATTCAACACTTCATACACCATTCGTCCGGAAAGGACATGGTGCTTTCTCGATTGCTAACGGCCGAAGCCAATCGTACATAACATTCTTCGGCTACTGGGATATTTCTCTTGCTCACATGAGCATGTATAGCGTCCTAACGCCCTTCTCGGCGGCCGCAATGTGCCAAGGCCTGACATCGACCTCCTTATCTAACATCCCTCGGGCCCTTGCGAGGGTTCCGAGGCCCCGGAAGTAGGCCAGCATCTCCCTGAGGAGTGTTTCATATGCGCGGGGGTTGCCGTCGCTATGTACAATGTTCACTTCCATGACCGCTGGTGGGTCTTCCACTCTAACCCCGCCACGCTTGACGAGATAACCGCTCACGATGGCAGGATTAAGCTCGGTCAGTGATGTTGAGTTATTGAGGCGATGAGATAGAATTGCTCCCCACGTTTGGTCGGTGACATCCGTGAGAGTCGCTTCAGCATCAGAATCCTGAGCGGCCTCATTGCCGCCCGGAGTTGGTGCGCTCGTAGAATTGTCTCGTAAAGATGGAGTCGGCGGATTACCTGACTGCTCAGGCGATACCATTGATGCCTGAGGCGTGGAGACAGGAGTAGTGTAGAAGACGGCCGGGGCGTTGCTGGGTATCTTGACCTCCGGAGGGACTAGTTGAAGCGAAGGATCTGTGTCGACAGTCATGACCGTGAGGGTGATATGAGCTTTGGATTCAGCACGCGCTAAATCGGCCCAAATCTCAATCTCAGACTGGTCCATTATGCCACATTTGGTGATGATGACCCGCCAATGCACTTTCCAGTTGCTGATGATATCTCGCGTGGCATCCCAAATCTCCTGGGCTACATCACTGAATGGCGTGCAGATGGACTTGCCTTTTCGGCCGAGACAGTACGAAGCCGTCATTTGCTGGCTACCCCTGTTGTCGGTCCATGCAGTAGTGATCCATCGCTCGTCCACGCTCTGCGCATAGGCAACGTGCATGCAAGTGTTCTCATGGAGAAGAGATGCGGATGGTGCAGTGGAAAGCTTGAAATCTATCATCCGCGGAAGCGTCTGCTCAAGCATGATAGATGGCGCTGGCATGACTCCCCCAAATTGGGTACACCGGTCATAGGTTTCCAGAGCCAGCTTCATGTAGTCTGTGGGCGACGGGGTTGCAAGCGAGCACGATGACGCCACAAAATCCATCGGGATTAACTGAAGGACGATATCGTTTTCAGCCGGTTTCCTACTAGCTGAAAGAAGTTTCTTGTATCTCTCGAAAAGTTGGTGAAATGCGTAGCATGACTCCACTATTGGCCCGGGTGTGCTGGCGGAGAAGACGAAAAACACCACGAAATTCGTCTCTCTGACCGTAAGATGGGACAAGACCTCGCTGAGCTTCGACAAACCACTGAGGAGTGACGTACTAAGAATCGACGCCGTGCCGTAAAAAGCTTCGCTCGGCTTTTCCAATTGATATGGTAGAAGACCACCAGGAATGTCGAGGGAGGCTGACATACGACTGAAAGAGCCAAGCCGGAGAGCTTCATAGACGCTTTGCATCTTGTCCATGAAACAACTCATATCGTCAGAGATACCCTCATAATCAGGGAAGATACAGACAGCGTTGATCGCTTTACTGCCATTGGACGCCCCCAGTCCCAGGCTCTCCCAAAAAGAGACTGCTGAAGCTAGAACAGACAACTTTGTGTCGGACCGTCGCATCTCAAATCGCGGTGGTGGTATCTGGAAAGGGTTATTCGGTCTGACTTGATCTGCCCCGGGCAGGCGAGGCTGCATCCTCGTGGGTTGACCCAGGAGAGGCACGTCCTGAACTTCGAGGAAAGGCCGGAACAAGTATCCCGGAGCATCTCCAAACCATGTAGGGAGCACAGAGCGCAAGTCGTGCAAATACCGGCCGGTCAGAGATAGCAGCTCGCGACGCCGGTCCAAGCTCGACTGTAAAGACAGACGAGAATCGCTTCCGAGACCCAATGTACTTGTGCTTGCTTGTTCTGTGAGTATTTGTGCAGCTATGATGAAATCATTATCTGGAAGCGATATTTGTGAGGTCGGAGGCTCTGGGTCCGCAAAATATTTTGTCAACGAGAGATCGACGTCGGATTTCGAAAACCTGGGGAAATCGACTGATACGTTGGGTGATGCTGCGTCAAAGCCTTCGAATTCCCTGAATGAGGTAGCCAACGACTGTTCGTCCTCATCCATTCGCCTTCGCCGGAAGCTGCCAGCCTTGAGAGGCGAGGTTGGTTCATCACTCTCGTAACTAGAGTCATCCTGATCAGAGACAAGGCTGACCTCATCGGCATCTGACGATGGGTCGTCGACTTTGGTGGGGCTGGGGTGTTGTGAAAACGTGCCCTGACTGTTGGTCATTCTTGCAAAGAGCTCGCCAACAGTGGCTGGTGGGTTTTTGAGGCCCTTACGTCCCTTGCCGTGCCGTTGAAGGTAGTCTGTGGTCGGAGGTGCGTTGAATGTGAATGGTTTTGCCTCTTGAGATTGATCCAGCGAGAAGCTGAAACGACCGTCATTCTGGTATTTGCGATTAACCATGGACAGGCCTGGCCCAAAATCTACCTTGTCAAATATGCTGTTAGGTTGGGATACACTGATTTTGGAATTTTGCTGAACCGCATGGTCGAGAGACGCCTTGATCCGTTTAAATACCGTATCTGGGTTGAAGGGGCTAGCCTGTCGTTTCGCAACAACAGTTCGCTGTGGGCCAGGATCAGGTCCCGCCTGCCGCCTTGGCTGATCTGTCAAGGAACTTCGTGCATGCTTGAGTTCAGGCTTTGCAAAGACGGGTGTCTGAGGAGCGTACGCCGGCGGAGGTTCTAAACTCTCTGGTTTGATCTTGGCATTCGGCGGCCCAGAGGAGTTGATGGTCATATCGAGAAGTCCGTCTGTGTTGGTCATATCGACCACATCCAGTGTCAAGTCCATGCCGCCAGGTTGCTCGTCGAAGAAACTGAAGTCCGCGTCGGTGATATCATTGTCGCCAAACATGTCCGGGCCAAGATCCCCGAACAAATTTTCGGACTCAAATGATTGCCCGTTCCGTTCTCGCTTACTTTCTGAATTTTCCCAGCCCTCACTGAATGCGTCGCTCGGCATATTCATCGTAGTGTCAATGTCCACCATTGCTGTAGTGGTGGGGTTGTTGCCAGGACTGGACATGGTTCCATCTATCGATGGTGTCACGCCAATCGGATTCTGAACCCCGTCAGGCGGTGTTGGATACATTGCTCCTGGAATGGTTCCGGCATTGCTAGGCCTATGGTGTGCCAGTGGAGACAAGCCATTGGCATGCTGTCCTTGACCATCTGGTAGGCTGGCTTCCTGGGCAGTTGTCGAGTCTCGTTCCCGCTTCTTCCTGGCGAGCAATTCCTCTCGCTCACTACTTCCCAAGAACCACGACTTGGCCGAAGAGAGCGGGTCGTAAGTTTCGTCTGAATATGTAGGTGGAGGCTCTATCTGGTTGCCTTTGACACTCAACTTGGAGAATGCCTTGCAAAAGCAGAGGCTCGAAGGCCAGGATATCGAACTGGATGGATTCAACATAGGCGTTCGTTTTCCGTCATATCTCTGTTCGACGGGTTTCCTGCGAACGCGTTGCAGGCTGAGCCACTTTTGTGTGCCACTGATAGGGTAATGCAGATTCCTGGCCTGCAGTAGCTTTGCGCAAATACCACGCCAGGGGCCTGTCTCCTTTTCCGGCCGAAGTCGAGAAACCTGGGTGTCGGGTGATTGTGCCAACGCACTCTGGGACGAAGAATGCTCACTATCACCGATGGCTTGGCATGTTGCAAATAGGCCCAACGGCGCAGTTAAGACAGTGAGGCCGAGGGGAGGGAGCGATGTGTTTTCGGACAGAGCGACAAGGCCTTCCACCTGAGATAGGTTTAGTAGAGCAACCAGAGCACCGGTGGTCGTCAGATAAACACGCAAGGATGCTAGCACCGGGACAGGAAAGCCGCTTTCGCTCTCGAGGTGCTGGGGTAGCAACAGGGTGCGCGAGTTTAATGGGGTCGCGCCGGTTTTGGCGCAGAATGCCGACGACAGCGCTGACAGGATGGCAGAAACGAGGTGCTCGTGGGCTTCCTTGACGGTGGTTGACGTTGGAGTCTTGTTGTCTGTCATGGCCAGCGTCTTGGACTCCTGGTCGATAGCGGTACCGGGAAGCACAGCCGACTGGGGGGCGCGAAAGGCGGCGTCCAACGGATTGGACGCACTGGAAGAAGAGCTGCTAGGAGTGTTGACGGAATTTCCACCGTAGCCCTTGTTCTTGACCAGACTAGAGGGCTCGAAGGTACCCTCTTCGGCCAGCGCAAGACTGTAGCCATTGCTCTCCAAGGACTTGGCGAAGGCAGGCGTGTCCTGCTGGATGTCCTTCCGGTTCAGTTTGAAACACCACAGACCGCGCCGGGCGGCATCGGCGTGAACCAGGTAACCATCCTTCCTCAATGCGCCCTCCAACTCAAGGGCGCCCGGTCCGACGAAATCCAGCGGCGGCGAGACGGGGTCGTAGAGTGCGTAGGCAACGGAGGCGATGTTATTCTGGTGATGGGAGGTGCCGTTGTTAGCTTGTGATTCTTGACCAGGGCCTTCCACCAGAAACAGGAGGGCAAAAGGGGGATGACTTACAATAACTAGAGCATTAGTCTCATATTCAGCAGTATCCATGTCGTAAGTCGTAGCAGTCGTCAGTCCTCCAGCCCACCCAGTGATGGAACGTTCCGGCTCGACCAGACACCTGGTACCTTGGCCGAGGCTACCAGCCTGCCGTAGTAAACAAGGACTCGAGGATTGGCGTCGGCGGTTCGATGGCGGCTGCAGTCATGTGGCTGCAGGCGCAGGCGCAGTCGCAGTCGCGTTCGGTTGTCACGTTTCGCGCACTCGAGGTGCCCGGCTCCATCTCAAGCGAACCGGCGAGTGGGCAAGCTGTCGACGCGTTGATAAGCCAGGCCGAAGGGGGATATGCGCCAGGAAGAGGAAGGGGATGCCTCGACAGATTGGACCTGCGGTGGTCTTGTGGCATGGGTTGGGGCAGAGGGCGTTGTCGACGTCGTCGTCGTCGTTGTCGCACAAGGCCGTGGCGTTGGCTGGAACTTCTCGCTGACCCTTGGCTCCGGATAGCAGCACCCAGGCCAGGTTCCAGGCTCAGGTTCAGGGCCCGAGCTCCATCCCAAGGGGCCCCCCTAGCCTCAAGAAGCCCCGTGGACATCCGGGATCAGGCGGGTCAGGCGCCCCGTCCCTCCACCGAACACCTGGAGGCAGCCAATCAGCTATCGCCTTCCTCAGCCGGCTAGCACGACATATGATTCAGCCCGCTTGACACGCAGCCGCCGGAGAGGGGCAGGGGTCCAAATGATCGATCCATCCATCCATCCATCCATCCATCGCCCAACGGCGGCGGTACCTGCAACGGATAATGGGACCGGATGTTGTGTTGTGTTCGTACATACAAAGGCCCATGTAGCTGGTTGCATCGGTGCGCTCGATGTCTTTGAGCTGCTCGACTCTGACCAGTTGATCAATCTCGAGAACGCACTCCCACCTCGATAGGAAAGATATGCAAGCGAACTAGATAAACACTTTACTACTTCACGTACTCTACTTCAAGGGCTATATCATCAGTCGGGTTTCAGGAGCATCATTAATTATGGGAGTAGTCAGTATCTCTAGTGCACGAAAGTTGGCATGAGTTTCACAGATATCGGTGCTGCCTTTAGCTGACTCGGATCACCATTAATCAGTACTTACATAGGTACCTACCTGGGTATGCAGTCTCTATATCATGTCTCAACTCTCCATCCAGCACAACACGTTAAGTCTCGGGAGTGTCCGTTTGCCTACTCGTGCTAAGCCGGGGTTTCGAACAACTCGCGGACTCTTCCAGCCCCGAGGGTCGTCTCGCCAACGGCACGGAACCTGGGATTCACGCGCCGCATTGCAATGGATTCTACAGACTCTCCGGGCCCAAGATACGACCACGTCGTGAACCTCACCGCCGGGGGACTTTTATTGTAGACTTCAATGCGGATATCACGGTTGCACACTTCACAGCTATGCAGGCGGTCGTTATGGTGCTCCAATCCGAGGCTTGTGTGGCTGTTATAACGCCGGCTCATGGAGATGCCGCCCGGTAAGTCGCAGCGGATTCTCTCAGGCTCAATCTGCGTGCGATTGTGCGTGCAATGGTGGACATGCAGACGATTATTGTCTTGCAGGTGTGGCGCTGCGAGGACAGTCTGATGCTTGGCAAAGATTCCATTGTCCTTGACCCTGATGCTGACATGCGTCTGCGGCGTGTTAATACCACTGGCGGGGTGATGGGATATCTTGCCTACCGACGGCAACAATAGCCACAAGTGAGATGCCTGCCGTCTTTCCCGATGATACTTGGCGATGCCGTAAAGAAGGACCGGGTGCATCTCATCGACGTAGCTATCGGCCCGCATGAGAGATAGAGACTGTGTCGATTGGCAGGCGCGGCGGCCTTTGTCGCCAGCGAGAACCGACCTTTCCGGCATGTGGAGTTTGTCGCACCACGGGCAATACACTAGGGGTGAATTGCGCTCCATTATCTTCAAGAACTCGGCCCGCACTTCGCCAGATACGTTGGCATCTACAGGGCCCAGCTGGTGCCTGAGAAAGTGACTTACGAGAGACAGGCAAGCCAGTGCCTCCGGTGGAGCCTCGTCGCAGATCATACGAAAAAGCTCCAAGGGTATACCTTCGAGGTGTGGCTGTGGAGCAGCACTGGTGGTCGACATGTTGGATGATACTATTTGTAACCTTTTACCGTTGTGGCTTGGAACGTGGATCGGCTGAGTGTGACTCTTTTATACAGGAAGTCTATGAACAGATTGTGAGCGGGTGTGGTTGATACAATGGAAACCTCGGAATAGCACATTGTCCCTATGGGTAATACAATATGTTAGCTTAAGAAGATCGTTGTGGGAGCATCCAGTACAAAGGAAGTGTTCATCAGTGGCGCTTACTTGCTACCCCGTTGCCTCGCTAGGCTTTGTACTGTTGCATTGAGATGACGAACATGGATGATAACTTTATTCAATATATCAGAGCTATGACAATGGCTTCCTATGACACTAGCCACTTCCATATTTGAACTCGCGATGCCAAGCTCATGAAATCAGTGTTGAAGGGTCAAGAGACTGGTAAAAGTATGTGACCCATGATGGCCGTTTTCTTAGGCATTGAGGGCAGCAATCGTCGTACCTCCAGCCGTTATTACTCCCCGGACAATCAAGCTGAGCGGGTTAGTTATAGACAGAGAGTAAGATGATTTTACACTGACGCAAACCCAACGATACTTTTCCCAACGATAATCTCCGCGGTGTTTAATTTCGGTGAGAGCTTCGCTTCCTGAATGCAGTTTATTAGTTCATCGAGAATCCTGTCTCTAATTGGACGTCCATCGCCATATCTCCAGGGCCGCCTGAGCCAGGGTCACCATCGCCATCGTCAGAACCCCTACCCGGGTTGTTTCCTCCTGGAGGACCTCTGTTGTTGTTGTTGTTGTTGTTGCCCTCTGGAGAATCACCATTGCCTCCGCCGCCGCCGGTAATACCAGGCGGTGCTCCTGGCCTTTGCAGACTTGTGCCACGTTTGCCTTTGCGAGCAGCGGTTCCGCCCCAGTGTGATATCTCACAGTCGCAGGGGATGGACTTAGCTAGTAGCATGGCGATAGCAGCTCAGCACCGAAGAGGTCCAAGATAATAAGTATGATCGATGTTCTGGTGACATGGTAGCAAAGTGGAATCTTGGGCAAGGGCTACATCTGGGGAAAGAACCAAGTCGTTCGCTGGCTGCGGAGGCTGTGCTCCAAACCGTGCATACATGCTAGCCCAATTATGCCCTGAAGGACGCCTCGCGCAATCACCGCGCCCAGAATGGTTACACGACATTAGTTTGTCTGGACGACATTACTTATATGTACCTCCCGGAATATTTCTGGTAAAATTTCCGGGAAAACTATAGTTCTTTGGATCTGTGCACCAAAGCGTCTATTCCAGGACGCGCAACACCCACGATATGTCTTCAGCTGAGCGGCTGGATCGGGACCTTGAGCTTGATATCCTCACTCGTGCTGACCTTGATCTGAAGCCTTGGTTCGTATTCTGGAAGCGTCACATGCCTGGCTGCAACTGATGCATTCAGGAAATATATCGGTTACAAAGGTTTCGCTCGATATGCCTCTTCATCGGACGATTTCTTCGCTTTGAGACGGTACGACCAGCTGCATTGCAGAATATTGTTGATTCAGCAGGATCGCATAGCTGAACTAGAAGAGGAGCTTGACCATCTTGACGGCAAACTAAGCCTCAAAGCTTCGCCCGATATCGATAATGGTAGGCTACGGGACGAGCAGCAAGAAAGGAAGGTTCTTTGCCGCCGCATTTCGAAAGAGCTGAAATACTATGGTGGGCTCTGATTCCAGCTTAAGGTGAACGATATCTCAAAGAGATTCAGACGAAATGCTCAACAATTACTTCGCGCTGAAGTCGAGACCACGAGCTTCCTCGAAGATTTCGAAAAATATCAAAACATGGCTTTCCAACAACATATATCCGATTCACGAGAAGGAAACCAAGTTCCTTGATGCTGAGGACCTTATAACTACGGCTGCATCGCCCAAATCTGTTATTAGAGAGGTGTTTGAACGCTGGGTCTTGTGCCGTACAAGAGGATTGTTCGGCCTGTTTCGGTTGAAGCCGAGGCCTAAATCGGATGATCTTGACCCTGATACAGTATATGGCAAAGATGAGCCGGTCGACATCTTTGCGTCCATATCCGTCTTCGTTGCCGCTTTTGCCATGCTAATTGCTCCCCTCTGGATTCTTGCAGTTCTAGATGACATGTTCAAGAAACTTGGTGTTATTACGGCCTTCATAACTGGGCTTCTTGCTGCGCTGACTTCGGCCACTTTAGCGAAGCCCTTTGAGATTCTGGCTGTTGCGGCAGGGTATGTTTGAGGGTCTAGAATACAACCACAAAGCACTTGCTGACTTAGATCTTCAATGTAGATATTCCGCTGTTCTCGTCGTGTTCTTGCAAATCGGAGGAATGACAATTGCTACTTCCGGTAGTTGATACCTGGCTTGCATGGAGATTGATGGTCCAGAAGCAGGCTGTTGGCAAGGCAAGAAGTGGAACGAGCCAGGAGACGATTCCCGAATGTTTATTACACACTATAAGCTCTAGTTTAGATGACAGCCACATCAACTAGAAGACTGATTCCAAGTAATAAATGAATCCCGAAGACTGCTAAGCTGTTTCTGTGATCGCAACCCACATATTCTTATGGGTGAACAAGGCATAAGACTCCTCATCTACTGGCTTCGTCGGATATATGGGCTGGAAGTCAAAGGCTCGCAGAAGCTTGCCTCTGTTAGATCACCAAGGACAAAGTAGAGCAGTATTCACTTGCAACTTACCTCAAAGAAGATCTTGTTCAACTCGACCCAAGCCACGGTCCTGCCAGCACACATCCAACGGCCGGTGCCAAACACCAGGTCGACCGTCCGCTCCATCTCGCGCCTCGCCTCCTCGCTACACTCCAAGAAACGCTCCGGCCTGAAGAGATCAACGCCCGCGCCGAAGACCTTCTCGGACCTCATCATTGCCACAGCGTTCTGGCCGACGGCCGTGCCGCCTGGGATGAACACACCGTTGATCGTCTCCCCTCCGGGAGGCGCGGCCTTGTACTGGCCGTAGACAACCGGCGGCCGCATGCGAAAGCCCTCTAGAATCACAGCCTAGGAGTTATCAGCACAGGTTGCCACATGAAGAAAAGAGACTGCGTATTCGTCACCTGTAAGTACGGGAGCCTTTTCGCCTCGTCCACGCCTATAGGTGACGAGACCCGGTTGTCGCTCGCAGCCTCTTGTATCTCAGCTTTGAGCCGGTTATAGACGCGAGGCGTCGATATAAGGTACAACATCGTAGAGCGGATTGCTGTAGCAGTGGTGTCTGAGCCCGCAATCAAGGTTAACATAGTCTCTGACACACACTCCTCCCGGGTAGCACCATGCCGCATGAACGACCCCTAGTGAATAATGAGTAATGGTTGCATGATGCGCGCTCAAGTGGTCGAACAACGTACTAGCATATCTGGCGCATGTTTCTCGTTGTCCTGGAACCTTTCATTGACAATTTTCTGGCCAATGCTGCAACCACCCTTTTTGTCAATTGCTACTCATGCCCGACAATGTGATCTGCATTACTTACCCTATAAGCTTGCCCATGCCGCTCTTATCACTCGCCTTGGGCATAATTCCAGTAAGGAGGGGGGAATACGCGATCCAGCGGAAGAGAGGAATGTCAACGGACAACGTTATTGCCCTTATAAAACGGTCTACCGAATTAGTATAGTCGTACAAGTCCTGCTCGGCGGCCAGAAACCCGAAGGACGTGCCATAGGACAAGTGTGTGATCACGTCCAAGGTGAAATAACGGATGACTTGGGCGAGATCGGTGGGCTGATGGCGGGTGCTCGTGGAGAGGTAGCGGCTCCGGATGGTCTCGACCAGGAACTCAATCTGTGTGTTCACGCCATTCTCAATCTGGACGTCGCGGCCCGAGTACCCACTGGTTAGTTTTGCCTTAATCGTATCGTGGGCAGCAGTGTCCAAGAGGCTCAACATGTGATAGTTTGGGTCGAACCTCGAGGACGTGTACCACGAGTCCCTCGGCCAGCTACTTCGCGCCCCGTTGATGCGTCGCAGGATGTTTGGATCGTCCGTGACGACGTAGTTTGGGCCAGTGCGCACCAGGGACCCGTACCTCTTGAGCGCTATATGTTCAGGACTAGCACATCCGAGAAATATGTTTCTCATGTGCCAGAGGTATGAAAAGGAGGCAATGAATGGGCCGGGTATATGGCGCAGTCGATACCAGGCCACCACGGAGGACAAGATGTACCACAGTACAAAAAGTCCCAAGCCGGTTCCTGTCAGACTTGTCGGACTAAGCAGGACTAGGTAGTTTGATGGGATAGATGACATTGCTTGCTAAATTTAATGGGTAGACAATTAGACTTTGATTCTGTTTTGGAATCACAAGTGTTTGGCGTCTTGAGGTATTACCTGAAGGGACAGCTACATAGGTATCCACGGCACTTCATCCGTCCCATTTCAAAGACCTTTATACTATCAAGAAAGGATTTGCCGGCACCGCGGGGCTGCTGTATACCCCGCTGGGGTGCCGAGTGTTTGTACAACAAGCAAGGTGATATAATGCATGCCGAGCCAGGTCTAGACCAATCAACGCTATGGGTGCAAGGTGACCAAGTACAATCTACATCAAAAGACAACGGAGACGCTGTGCGACAGCCCATAACTTACTCAAGGCAGTATTTGCCGAGTATAATCTTGTCGCACACGTGATATAGACACCACCTCAGCCAGTTGTATAACGTGAAGATCGACAGTCCATATACGCCGTGGAACCGACAACAACGCAGTGTGACGGCACGAGGCTAGAGCAAGATACATACATTTGCCGACGGAGTTCCTTCATCTGCGGGCGCGACAGATGCTATGTCGAGCATGTGAGCCACAATCACGGTTGGAATGTCACAACGCCAACCTTGATTTAAGGCGTTGATTGGCAATGGCATACGATCCTCTGAGATTGGTAAAACGGCGTTGACAAGTCATGGCACTCACAAACGCTACTTCCACATTTGCACCTGGATAGAACTCAGCCTGTCTAAGCTTGGAAGACAACAAGGTCTTGATTCTAAATGAAGTCACCATCCGGTGACGGTGATACTGAATCTGGCATCTATCCCGCTCTAACGCTCTCCGCCTTCTCTATGCCATGCTTCTGCTTCTATGATGGTATCTTCCGCAATCCATCTATCGCTCCCTCCATGCAACCAATAGCTAGCAGGCAGTGTTGAAGCGCAATAATCAAAGAAATAAACCCGACGAGCATATCCAGCTTTTTGTGGTCACGTACCGACCAACGCAAATGAAAACAATCCAAGGAAACACGACGACCATGTCCAGCGGGAGATCAATAGCCCTGATCAATCCCTTATGTACCGTAACCCGAGAAACAAGCTCCTGAATCAAGAAAACCCGACCCTCTATGGCGCGGAAACGGCAGACAAGCAAAGAAACAAGGGGGTATGCCAAGGCATGCCACGTAATCGTGGCTACCAAAATGCTGCTAATGTGCAGGCTCCAATGCTCCGATCTTCTCGAAGAATCCCTCTATAATCCCATCCTCTCATCTTACATCTCTAAAGCTTCGACGCGTTTAGTAGCAGGTGTAGCCACCGTCAATGATGACGTTACTGCCAGTCATGAAGGAGCTGGCGTCACTGGCAAGGAAGACGCAGAGACCGTTCAGGTCGTCGACGGCACCGAGGCGGGCCTGAGGAGTCAAGCTCTTCCAGATCTTCTTCTGGGCCTCAAGAGCGGGGACACGGTTGAGGGCAGTGTCCATGTAGCCGGGGGAGATGCAGTTGACACGGATGTTGTACTTGGCCCACTCAGCAGCCAGCGACTTGCCGAACTGGATGACACCAGCCTTGGAGGCGTTGTAGCAGGACTGCTCTTGGGGGTAGTTGACGATGCTTCCGGACATGGAGGCGACCAGAACGATGGAACCGGGCTTTCCAGCGGCCATCATGGCGCGGCCAACGGCCTGGGACATCAGGAAAGAACCAGTAAGGTTGATGTCGATGAGGCGGCGGAACATGGCAGGGTCGTAAGTCTCAGCCTTGATGTTGGAGTCGGCAATACCGGCACTGTTGATGAGGACGTCGGGAGCGCCGTAGATGGAGGTGACAGAGTCAACAGCGGCGTTGATGGCAGCACCGTCTCGTACGTCGACCTTGAAGAAAGTGACGGGCAGACCAGTCTTGGCGTGAAGCTCAGCAGCAGACTCGTCACCAAGCTCCTGGTTGGCGTCGAAGATCACCAAGGCCTTAGCACCGGCTTCAGCGCAAGCGCGAGCCATGTAGTTACCAAGACCACGGGCGCCACTATTGCATGCGTTAGCGAAGAATGGGCATTTGCGTGAAAGTATTGCTTACCCAGTGACAATGACGACCTTGTCCATAATCGACATCTTCTGCATGGTCGGGGGCATGGTGTTGTAAACCTTCTGGGTCAGGGGGGTGACGCTGTCGTCCTCAGGGCCGGTAGGGAGAGGAGTGGGCTTTGCATTGTCGCGAGAAACGGGAATTGAGAAGTGGTCGCTGCTGCTGGTGCCGGTGCCCTTGGAGTCAGAGGCGTAGACACTGACGGGAACCTCAGTCTCCTGGACGACATCGCTCTTCATGCGGATGGCCGACTTGGTGAAGGCGCGTGTGGCGGCGGGCACAGCTCGGGGAGCGGTCGCGCGAGAGGTGGAAAAGAGAGGCGCGGCGGCCCTGGTGAGACGGAAAGCGGTTCTGGAAGACATTGCGAATGTGTTTGTACTATTGAGGTCGTAGGTTTCGGTACGGTCGAAAAGTTCAGCAAGTGTTCGCTATGAACTTCAATAGAGATCCCAAAACGTCGATTGGCTGTCGGTGGGAAGAGTCTGATTGGTGAAACCTGAAAATTCTGTGTAACGAGACTTTGTTAGCTTTGCGTACTCGGGGTGAAAATAGAAAACAATGTCAGAATTGGGTAATTCAGGGGATCGGGCGAGTCAAGATGGCACTAGCTGCGAGTGACGGGCTCTCTTACCTCCTCTAAACAGAATATTGAGCACAGACGATGGTCAAAAAGTAGAATGAAGAGGACTGAAAGGCGATCGATGGGCCGTGTGCAGATTATATAGCAATACCGATGTCGGGGTAAGCGATAGGGTACTCTGGAACCACTGTCACAGGACAAGTGTTTGATATGGCTTGGGAATCGATTTCGTCAGAGCGTCCAGTCAGTTACTCGAAAAAGCAGGTCTGTCCGTAATCTGGTCTCCTTTGACGGCTCAGGGTTGCTGCAAGCTCGTCTGCCCGTTGTGGGGGATTATGATGAATAAGAGGGACCTAAAGATGGTTGGGGGTCCAGCGTCTCGATGCGACCGGGGCTGCAAGGCACAGGCGCACACACGATACGATACTCGTGCTTGATTCTGCCAGTCGACTAGTTGCCTTGCGGAAGGTCCGGAGTAGGCTCGTCTCGTCGATCGTGGGGTGAGACGGCGGTATTACACACAAAACTTGAAGTCTGACGAGGGAGGACGCAATAGGAATCACAGAAGTCAAGAGGGAGCTCAGAGAGAGACAGAGGGTTCTCAGGGTCCTTTTTCTACTCCAAGCTGTGGCGGCTATCAGAATGGTTGCTGGTTGCTCAGCTTACGGCTGTATTGCCCTCTTCAGTAAGATAGTCTCGTATCTCGTAGTCATGTATCATGCTCTGGCGCTCTAGACTGACCGCTCACCCCGAGCCTGCGGGATGCAGCTGTGTCTGTCTGCAGATCAGGTCGCTGCTGTGTGTGAGAGGTGTTACGGCGAGCCACCTTGCCTCTCGTATCAGACCAACGAAACTGGCTTTTGGGTGGCGGAGACGGCGGAGAGCTATGCAAATCCTTCTTGCGAACCAGGGTAGCTCTGTAACCCTGCATCTTTTTTGGGAACCGACATCAGGGACCCAGAGCCCGTCTTGCCCGTCGGGCCTTAGCTCGAGAGGCGGTCCCCATCCAAGATCCATCAGGGCCCGCTGTGGGAACGCGCCAAGGAAGACAGTGATGCTGCTGTTTGCACTTGCAAGGATGTTGCAACCTTGCTTTGCAACGAAATGGATGCTCATCTTGCTGGTGGAGATCTAGGCGCTCCCAAGCAGATTCAGAGTTCTAGCGATGCAATAGCGCGTTCGGCATACAGCCGGCAGGCCTGGCCGGTCGTGGCGAGCAGGGGTGCGTCCGTCAGAGAAGGCCAAAACGTTCGAAAATGCCTTCCATCCAGGGACACGAGGGTGGGGTGTGCCGCATACCATGGTAGAGTGTCGCCGTGCCTGACACCTGCCTGGGAGCTTGGGGGTTCACTGTTCCTCGAAAGCGCCGAGATGGGAAAGCCGACTTGCTCGGAGGAAGCGCTGTCCAGTCATCACGTCGTAACGCGACACGCGGTTACTTGACGCTCAGTAAGTCGACGGTCCTCCGTCAGACCACAAACGGTTCAGGCGACAGGGTCCTCTGATATCACCGTGGAGCATCTGGAATCCCAGCCGAGGACGGTCCCAGCGGAGCGGTGAGTGTCAAGTATGGGCCGTGTTGCAAGATCTTCCAGATTGTGGAATCGTCGTGTCGTCAAAGCCGACGGCGACGGCGACGGTCCAATGGAGCAGATGCGTGGGAGCAGAGAGCTGCAGGTTGATGGAGCAAATGGCCAAGGCAGAGGAAGCTACTGCATCCCACACACCCACTGGCCAGTGGGCTTTGTTGCCGCGGTACTGCACAGCGCTGACATCGAGTGACGTGACGTCGAGTGCTGCATGAAACTTCCTGAAAAATCTCCTACATCTTGGTATGTCCACAATTGATAAGGCAGGTGTCCTACTGTGCAGTATACTCCGAGCTATGCGCAGCACGGCACTGAAGGCTTCGACAACCTTTTCGCCAGGTGCACGCCGCTTCGGCCCATTCCTGACTCGGGCACTTTCTCACCGTTCTCACTAATCCATACTTTACCAGACACGCAAAAATGGCCCTTCAGTCCGTTATGGAGACTGTTCCGCCACCAGGGTTTTCCGTCCTCTGCGACGACTCAGCCAGTCCAGCCCGTGTCGCATATCACACATGACTTGAGTCGTAGTCCACCAAAGGTACAGGCATTCCCCGTACATTCATTTTCAGGCCTGAAACGATGCTATCTAGCAGCTATGGCCACAGAACCCAGGGCTGAACATCATTGGGCTCGCTGCGGAAATTGTTTTGCTGTCATGTGGACAACAGATATCGACATATTCCCCGTCCGGATGTTCAGCTGGCCGCAAACACGCTGACCCCTGGAAGCGCTTCCTGAAAACACACTTTCGGATCGCAAGCCGTGATGAAGCGGTGATCCACTTGCCGTGGGCTGGTAGTCGCTTTGGCAATTGCCGCAAATTTGATGGGCCTTTTGGTCGGAGACTATTGGAGAACCCCAGGTTAATCGCATCGTCTATAGGCTCACCGCCAGAGCTCTCACGATATTTTTGCTGGTCACAAGGTGAGCGTCTCACCTGGGGTGACTGGGGGTAGAGACCGGGGCGGAGATTGTGCATCAGATTAAATTAGAAACCCAGGACCCTTCTGGCCACGTTGGACCTTTGCCCCTGACAAGTATGGCACGAACATCGTCACAAGCTGTAGTATATCATCTCTTGAACATGGCCGACAGAGGTGACAAGCACACTGAATGCCTGCCTGTCTTGATGTCTTCGGAATGCCCGTAATCAGAAAGGCCGCAGAATGTCACCCGCTGCTATGAACTTGCTTGGGGACCTCGAGGGCCTTGCCCACGGGATCCGAAATGTCTGATCACCCACCCAGACCACGTCGTTGTCTCCGATAACCGCTGCTCTGCGCATCAAAGGGGCCTATACAATGTTCTGACCGCAACTGCATGCGAGCTGGACGCGTAGGTAATGAAAACGACGCTTGCGCCATGCGGCTCTGTCATGGTCATGCGAGGCGCTTGGACGTGACGGATCCAATCCTACCCGATCTCCAAAGCGGAAAAGGCGAAAGGCGCTGCGTTTCTCGCATTATGGTCCACACGCTGGTCATCCCGCAGCAGACACGCGGGGAGACGTTTGTCATTTCGAAGACGAAATTCGATGTGCCACGCAGAATCCCACCCCAACACAGAAGGACCCTAGCTCTCTGGCCATGCAAGCACCCTGGCCAGGGCCATAGCGTCTGCCCAAGAATGGCCAAGTCGCTGGCAGGGCTTGATCCTAGGGCGGGCTGTCAGTTCCCCCGCGGCATGGTGCCGGGTGGGGGCTTGCCCCCTTGGAACCAAACCCCACGCGCCTGGACACTTCCAGGTTCGAGTGGACCTCACCAGCGCTCTGGAAGCTTTTGGTCACATTGTACTGAGCGCTTGTTCACGATGGGTCAGTTTCTGGGGAGAGCTTTTGCGGGGGGCGCCGACATAGGCCCCCAGCCCACGACGGGAATATTCTAACCCCCACCCAGGATAGCTGGGCAAGTGATCTGAACCTTCGCATTCGGCTGTGTGCCTGTGTAGTGGACTAACACAACGATTCCTATTTTTTTTTTTGGGACGGAAAAGGAGGTAACGACTTTGGCAATCGTAGTTAACAACGGGGGAGTTCATTCGTAAATGCTTTAATGGGCAGCTTTTGCGAAGGTTATTCTGAGAATCTTGCGGATGCCAGGGAGAGTAACTCTTGGTCCTTATGTCGTGCAAAGCCGATCCAGAAGGCGACACGCGATGACGAGGCAACAATAGTATATATGACTTTGGCAGTCTACAGCATAACAAGGAACCGTCTTCCAATCTTTCTTGCCTGAGATAAAACACTTCGAAGTGCTGGCTCCAAGATAAAAGCCGTACTTTCGCCCCGTTGAAGGCTCCCCATTATTTCCAAACCTTGCACAGTCTGTATGCGATCTTTCGAATAAGATCATGAGCCAACATTATGACTGGCTGTCTCGAAACCGTCCATTTTCTAATGTTGGCGCCAGGATAACTGGTGGCAGTCAGCGCCGCAAATGCTGATCAATCATGGCCATATCATCCCCGAAGGAATGTGGTGTGGAGCAGGATAGACACCTGAACGCCTCAGCCAACAGCCTGAACAGCACTGTAGATCCTAGATCGGAATGCTAAGTTCACAATGCCAAGAGACGATCACCTTTATATCCGGAGGCGATGCCGAATTGCGGGTCCGCGGAGACTGCTAAACGACGTAACTGACCTTGCTGCCGGCTTCTAGCATTACATCCTGTCTGCAGGTAGACCCACCAGATCTTTCTGGCCATCATCCTTAACTGCAGTGGCGAAATACTTCACTAAGCGAAGATCTTCAGGTTATAAAGTGGTAGGACCTTGGGGTTTCAAAAGAGAGCTAGCGCTAGTAGGGATATATGTTTCTTATCGTCATTTAGTATAGAAATATAATGTATGCAGGCTGTGTTTAACGATGGCTTGTAAAAGCTAGAATTGAAAAAAGAGTGGGTTGGATAGTAAAGCTATCCAGCTTCATTATTAAGAAAAGCAATGGCATATCAGATGACTCAAATTAACCATGCTCTATATGTATATATAAGAACAGCGTATGCTAGCAAACGTGAAACTGGGAGGCGTGAGACGCGCTATATATAAACAGCTATTCCTATTAAAGGCTCTTAAAGGAAACGTTTCTCTCGTTCTAGTGAAATTACTATCGTCCGAGCTTTGACTCGACATGCAAAATCACAGACAGGCCTGACGGTAGATAAATCAATATTCAACAGCGCAAAAATTTAATACACGACCTTCTCTGATAGTAAGCCGGTAGACCCGGCAAAAGTATTCACCTAACAAGCTGGCCAGGCCTGTCGTTACGAGGACGGGGGCTTTTCACGTCCGCCACGACGGGGTTGTTTACTTGAGGTCGGCGCCTCGGACTCGGACCTGCTTTTAACGTCTATCAGTCGCGGACGATTAACCACTGAGCCAAGTTGCCCGCTCTCTGTTGAAGAATAGCAGCTTGTTTGCGATCATGCGGCGCCGACGACGTGCATTGGTGGCAGGGCAAGCGGGAACCAGGCAACAGTAAATTCACTTTTTCATTTGATTGCGTGGTTCCAGACCATATCCATCCAATGGGCCCAATTTTGTGGTAAGTGCAGTCTATGCCCTCCCTTACTGCTTCGCCTGTCATGGAGCATAGCCCCCTCGAACCGCCAGCTTCTTTTCATTCAAGATTTCATAACACAAGACACCACCTGAATAGCATTGCCTACTTTCCCGAAAGCCTACTTATACTGCCCACTGGTGCTGTCACTGTTATGGCCTCTGTGTAGATGCTGTCTTGATCACATCGCTCATTCATGAGGTTGAAAAGTCGAGGGTCTCGACAGGGAGGGTTAGACGAGCTATGATCAGGTGAATGACGAAGGGCAAACAACATGAATCGTGTGGTGAATGTAAGGGATCCTTATAAAAGTGACATGGCCTCCTCTCAAGGCATTGATGCTTTCTTCCTTGACTCTCATCACTATTGAGTTCATCATATGACGACCACGCCAGTCCACCGGAAAGAACATACACCATGTACTCGCCGAAAGCAATCGCTCTCCTGGCCCTCGGCATGGCATCAACCACGCTGGCGAGCCTCCCCTACACCTTCGAGCTGCTGGTCTACAAGGACCTGCCACAACGCGGCCTGAGCCGCGTCGGCTGCATCAACGGGGCCGGCCACTTCGTGACTAGCCCGAGGGCGTGCCTCCCGTTCCACTCCAACACCAGCATCGAGCCGACGACCATCGAGGGCTCCTGGAAGTGCGGCACTGAGAAGGGTGTGATTGATTGCTCGCAGCAGGGGAGCAGTGGCACAGCCATGTTTGGTGTAAGTTGATTCACCATTCTCCTCCCTTAGCCGACCCCGAACCTGGAAGCTGGCAGATTGCTAATTTGGAGGATATATCCAATAGCTGTCGGGTGCTGATCTGGCTTACAACGGCTCGACTGCGTTCTCGCAGGACTCCTGGCCGCACTCCACTGACGATCTTCAAGGCGTGCCTACCAAGATTGGAAGTGGTTCGAACGGTACTCTATTGCTTCAGGTTCATGCTATCAGTGGCTAGGCAGAATCAACCCACGGCACCACTTTCTCCTAGACGGCCACCGTGATGGGCTACATATCGCTCAGCCAATGGAATGAAAACTTTCAAGAAGTCCTCGGGTGTTCCAGTGTTCTCAGGTGTGAAACATAAAATCGTCGAGTTATATTGAGTGAACGTGTTGTCAGTATGTGAGAATTTGGTAAAAATTAGCGACTGTTAGTGGGTCTCATCCAAGATGACCTCCTCAGTGCCAAGCTATCTCAAATCGTATTTAATACCGTGTTTGTCGAACATATACGGATTAGATTGCGGTCAAATTGTTGGCCGTTTTTGAAGATCATATGGACATGATGTAGAGGTGCGCGCTTCGTCACGGTTCGAGATATATTCCAATGCGTCAGTGAATAGATCCGTGTCGGTGTCATCGTCAGAATTCGGTAACGACTCAAATTGCTCGAGAAGTCCAGACTCAAGTTTGCTGTCTAGGCTGTTGTGACTGGTTGCCTTCAACACAGATAAGAGATCCTCGAAAGACTCGACTAACGCATCCGAGGCATCAAGACGTGCTTCGAGTATATGTGTATAGTGGTTCATGATATAGGACTCATCCGTCCGCGTCCTCAAGTGCTCGGTTCCAGTAAGTATCATGATCGTCTCGATATCTGCAAAGCGTGCAACAATATCCAGCAGATTTGGCCCTTTTAACCTCGGGCACTCGTTGTACTCGAACCACCTGCCTAGTAGCAGCTTAAGAACTGCGTGGTTGTTAAATTGAATAGCAGCAGTAAGCGGGGTTTGGCCACTCTTCGAAGTCGCATTGATGTTAGCGCCATACTCGAGTAGAAGCATTGCGTGCGTGGCACTATTTCCACGGGCGACGTGAAGCAATGGTGTAACCCCATCAACACCACTCGCTTCTATTTTGGCATCAAAGTCCAGGAGTGTTTTCATCAGTACAGGATCACGAGCATTGCGAGCTGCACAGTTGAGGGGTGTCCCAAATCTGACCCCCTGGGGTAGCTGCGGGTCTGGAAGAGCGCCCGCTTCCAAGAGTAGCCGGACACATACGGTATGGTTCTGGTTTGCAGCCAGCGTCAGTGGTGTGTTGAGCTTATTATCCATGTTGTTTGGGTCGGCTCCGAAGCTAAGTAATGTTATGACAGCGCGATCATCCCCTCTTGCAGCTGCCCATTGTAAAGCTGTTCGTCCGCCAGCGTCTGCAAAATCGACTCCTTCTGCATTCGTTTGTAGCTCTTCTTCCAAACTTCCAGCGCAAAGTCTCAGGACAAGCTTATGGATTCGTGCAAACCTTTGCCGCTCGATGAAATCACTGCCTTCGGCGATGACTTGTAAAATATCCAAAACCTCAGATGGGAGGTTTCCTCGGAGGATAATATCGCAGACCTTATCACTGGGACAATCGTCGCTGGTGGCTATTGGTCTGATAACGTGCAGGTTTAGTACAATCGATGCTCGCGCATGAGTTGGTGGTAACCTACCGATATGTGGGATCTGCGCCAGCACTCATGAGAAACTTGCATGTCTCGTATTGTTGTCCATACAAGGCCCACTTCATACTCGTTAACAGTGGTCTAGAAGTTTTGCAGAAATTGACCTTACTCGTAACAGGGAATATCCCCTCGTGGAGCTTACATCCCTAGGCGAAGCAAATCCTTGGGTGAAGAGGTTCTTCAGTCCATCAATGTTGCCATTAAGTGCAAATGTGACGCACTCTGCAGAGTCAGACACTTGTCGAAGGGTTGACAACTGCAATGATGGCCCTAGGTCTGTTCCATATGCAAGCTGAAGTCGGAGTATCTGAGAGAAGCAAAATGATGCTGGAAACCAATACTCCACACTCATACTTGACCCCTGCGATCTCTCGCACATTCTCGAGTCGCAGTTCCTGCCCAGGAATGGAAAACCCGTGTATCCGATGAACAGCTGGCCAAGTAGCTTGTTCATGAACGTTGGCGAGGCAGCCCGCTGTGTGACATGGCAGGCACATGGACAACCGGCTCGACAAGCAGCGACATGTTGTCTCAAGCGGAGCCTGACTGAGCTGGAGTCGAGGTGTCTCTGTTTTGCGCCCGGGCTCATCGGTCTCGCCGGGCGCATTCGTGCAGGGGGAGGTAATGGGTTATACAGAGAGCCGAATTGGGATATCTGGGAAGTTTTCATCCGAGACGTTTGTGATTCAAGAAGGCCTTCCACACGACTTAATCTGTCATCGACACGTGAGTATTGCTGAGAGAATAAGCCAGACATAGTCTCGTGGTGTCCGTTGAGCATTGACATCAGTGCCTTCTCCACGATGAACCCATCGTTGTACTGCGGCGGAGACTGATTCATGCTTAGTCTATCCAATTCCAGCCTGATTTGCATCATGTCCCGACTATATTGATGTGAGTGGTACCGTTCTCATTCTTGTATACTGTATTGGTTGTAGAATAGTGTAGTGTATACTTACGAGTTGGACACTCCCAACAAGATGTTGAAATTGGATTTGACGCGTTTAATATCATCTTGAATCGAAGCAATGCGGCTTTGCTCACGTCTCCACTGCAGGCTGCGGAAGAGCAACTCACGCTTCTTCGATGCTGTGACCACGAGCGCGCCGAGTATCTCCTCTAGCGTGAGAAGCTTTTCTTCTCCGCGACGTATCAGATCCGGGATATTGCTTTCCTCATCCGTATCAAGCTTCAACCTCTCTCTGTCATTCGAAAGGCTCGCAACCCGATGAAGAACGACCCTGAGATCCTCGACTTCGTTGCCGAGCGCGTGAAGCCTGCCTGGCAAACTTGTATAGTTTTCTCTGAGCTCGCCAATAAGGTGCCCCACCTTGGCAGCGAGAGAAGCCAGAGCTACCACGCTTGTCGCGATCGTTAGTGGGTCCATCTGTGAACATAAGCTGTGTAGTCTTAGTCTGCAGAGTAAATGGCTGTTTCTGAGAATACTGGCATCGTATATCTGAATCGAAGAGACAAATCGCCAGCAGATGAGGGGCGGCCACAAGCCTCAGCCACTGTGCTAAGAGGCTCGGGGACAGCCTCTTTCGGGCCGCCCCCAAAGCCCGATCGCTAACACCCCTGTCGATGTGAACACCCTCACTCGCAATCTCCTACCCTCCCTCGGTTGCCACAGTCATAAAGCAACGAACGCGTGCAATGTGTTCATCGAAATTCCCTCTCAGATCAACGCAGGGACTGACATGATGGAAGCCACCTCTAGCCATTTCACTCGCGCCATCTGATGGCTATCGATTCGATGCTCTCGAGACTATGTTGGCAGTATCCCTGTGCCTGGCCCGAGGTGATGGAGGTGTAGTGATGCAGCCCCAAGCGCCGACCGCGTGGCTGCATATCATGTCACACAACAACTGCATTGATTGGCTTATGATTGGCTTATGATTGGCCAAAGAACCCAACTTCGCGTGACTTCTGTGTTCTCACCTCGCATGCTTATATGAAGCCTCTGTGCTTTGACCCAGCTTCCATAGAACGTCATCAATTCTAGCTATCGCTCAACTATTCGGCGCGCATACCCAACATGCATCCCGCTGACTTTGAAACTGCTGGAACTGGTGGAGGGGATGCAAATTCGTCCTTCGGCCACGCGATGCGTAACAAACACTTCTTCTTCGCACCGAGCTACCGACCCCTTAACCATGGTTCCTTCGGAGTCTTCCCGCGCATGGTTCAAGAATATCAGCAACGACTGCAACTTGAGAGTGAAGCCCGCCCCGATACATTCATACGTTACACGTATCCGGCACTGCTAAAGGAAGCTCGCGCATCAATAGCGCCCCTACTCGGAGCAAGCACCGACGAGGTGGTTTTCGTCCAAAATGCGACGTCAGGCGTCAATACGGTGCTAGGAAATCTCATATTCAAGCCGGGCGATGTCATACTGCATTTCAGCACCATCTATGGAGCTTGCCTGAAGACAATACAATACCTCGGATCCAATAACCCCGTGGAGTCATACCAGATAGACATCGAGTACCCAATGGAAGACGAGGAGATCGTACAAGTCTTTCTAGACTCTGCCCAGAGAGTTCGGTCGCAGGGGAAAACGCCAGTGGTAGCCATGTTCGACAGCGTGTTGACATTTCCTGGGGCTCGTTTCCCATGGGAGAAGCTGGTAGACATTTGCCGCAAGCTCGGTGTAATGAGTCTGGTTGATGGTGCACATGGTATTGGTCACATTGATTTGACACATCTCGGCCGAGTTGGACCGGACTTCTTCATCAGCAACTGCTACAAGTCTGTCATTCATGTTTCTTTTGATTCAACATGATCTTTACTGACATTCCATAGATGGCTTATGGTTCCTCGTGGATGTGCGGTCATATACGTGCCTTTTCGCAATCAACACTTGATACAGACAACCTGCCCCACGTCCTGGGGATTTCAGACCACGATTGATCGTGCAAAGCTGAACAAATCTGAGTATTTCGTGAAACTTTTTGAGAAAATCTCAACCACCGACAACACGCCTTACCTATGTGTGCCAATTGCGTTACAGTTCAGGAAGAGCCACTGCGGCGGGGAGTCTACAGTAATGTCATATTGCACCAAGATTGCGAAGGACGGAGGCCGCAAAATGGCTGAGATTATGGGAACGGAGACTCTTACTAATGTAACAGGCAGCCTACAACAATGCTGCTTTGTAAATGTACGACTACCAGTCACCCTTGCCGACCTCGATGCGCCAGATTCGAAGGGGTTGCATATCGCAAAATGGATGCAAGAGAAGACGCCAGCAGAGTACGAGACTTATATACCAATCAAATTCTACAAGGGTGGATTCTGGTGCCGCATCAGCGGCCAGATCTACTTAACGATAGACGACTTTGAATGGGCAGCAGAAACATTGATGGACCTATGCAAGAGAGTGAAAGGAGGAGAGTGGAAAACGGTATCCAACATGGGGTAGAGAAAACCACCAAGCCGTCGTATCCGCGAGGCCCTGATAGAAGCTGTAGAAGACTTTATGTCCAGCATGACTCTGATAGAAATTCATGACTTGATTGCCCGTTCTCATTTCAGTAGGAATCATGTCCAGCTATATAGAGCCTTATATAGCATTTCTAGGTGCCCATTACCTTTGCGGAGGTAAAGTATCTACCTTCAATAGAACGCATGTATGAAATCATTGGCTGTAATGTGGTTTGAACTCGACGACTTGTACTCTCGCCCCTAGATTGCAGTTCATCCATGCTAGTTATATTATAGAACTTTGTTCAAGTTTGGTTAATCGGTTCCCAAATTGTGCGTGATTCCTCAACGTTTCGTGCGCATGAATGACTCAAGAGTGCAGCCCTTTGACGAGCAGCTGTGAAACAGGAGCTCAGCACGGCGTAATCTCAATCTAACAGTAGACCACAGGTAGGCACTCGGCACAAGCCACAGAAGCTGAATGTAGCAGGCATTCAAAGAGACATCCCCATCCTGGTCTGCATCTCCATTCGTTGCCGAAGTCTCGCGCTCACGATATGCTGGGGCTCCGATCGGGTCCACTAAGACACGACATTGATGGTCTTGAACACAATATAAAGCAATTCGATGTAACAGAAAGTGGCGTTGATTGAAACGGGAGGAATCCTAAGCAACTCAGATATTCTTGGGTACGAATCGAGTTACGATAAACATCCTGCTCCGACCATGGTTGAATCAAGTATAATAGCATTTGACAAAATTGATAATTTCATATAATTTTTCAGTTATAGGACTAGTTCGATATACAGCCCCTCCTAAAAGCAGTTCGTGATCCCAGAGCTTTTGCTTGACCTTTTTGTTGTTGCACACGTAGCACTCATACATAGCATACCCCGTATAATTTTTTTTTTATTTGGTGCAACCTCGTCACCACGGATTCACATTTCCGTCATCAGCCCGCGAGCCGACCCTCTCACTCGGTATCCGGGATTCCTAATCACGGTTGCGCGAGGCGACACCCTCGCGTACGGCCTCGAGGATCAAGTCCTTGGCCTTCTCGCAGCCCTCACGGGTGCCCACGATCTCAATGGCCTCGTCAGACGCCTGGTCCTTGGGGACCTGGATCTGGCAACCACTCTGCTTGCGGATTGCGTTCACCTTGGAGCCACCCTGGCCGATGACGTATCGGTAGGTGGATGGGTCAGCGAGGATCAGGTAGCCAGTTGCGGATGGCTTCTGAGCTTGCTCCAAGGCTTTGGAGATAGCCTCCTTGGCACGCTCAACGTTCTCAGCAGCTCCCTTCAGTACCCAAGGGATGTCACCTTCTTCAGTCGAGGCATTGTCGACAATGTTCCACGAGTGTGCATCTGCGACCTCCTCCGGATCATCTGTGATGAGGGGTGTAGCCCCATTGCTTACCCGTGAGCTGGCAGGCTTCGACTTGCCCGGTGTTGAGTGGCCGGCATGATCCACAGTGACCTTGAAGTCGTTGCGGAGTCTTCGGAAGAATTGACCATTGTTCGCAATGGCGCTGTGATACTTCCGCGGAACCTGAACCGTCTCGGATGGCTCTTCCTTGAAGGATGAGAGGATGTGCTCCTTTGCCTTGCTGACATCATCCGGCTTGCCAGTAATCTTGACACCAGTTTGACCTGACCCTTGGCGAGGAATGTCGATAGAAACGCTGAACTCAGACTCCAGCTTGCGCTTTGCGTCACCGCCGCGGCCAATCATGGAACGATGCTTCTCAATGGGAACATCGATGGTCTCGGAGACCTGGCTAGCCCGCTCTGAGACCATGCTCTCAATGGTAGCAATGATCTTGTCAACCACATCCTTGCGCCCTTCCACCTTGATCGCATTGCCATCGGCATCCTGCTTGGGGAACTGGATGTACCGGTTCTGCAGTCGTCGATCATCAGGACCACCGGCCTTTGTAATGATGTCGCGCAGAGTGGAGCCTATTAGTTGTGTCAGTTTGTGATCGCACCTAAAGAATATATATAGAGCCTACCTCCGGGTCCAATCAGGATCTTGTGCCACTTCTTGTCAACATCGACAGTCGTGGTGATGGTGTCATCGAAGACTGCCTTCTTCTCTTCAATCAATTTTTTGGCCTCGGCAACTTGGGCCTTGGTTCCCTTGATCTGGATTTCGACTAGAGCGTCCGCGGGAGTGTTGCGGTCGTTGGGGATGTCAATCTTAGCACCAGTCTTCTGACGGAGCTCATCCATAGCAGATCCGCCAGCACCGATCAGCGACGGGAGCTGCTTTTGCTGGACGGACACGACAGCGGCGTTGGAGTGCTCCTTGAGGTAGGAGTACAAAGAGAAAATCTCGTCACGAGCCTCATCCGCGCCCTTCTTGGGACCTCTGATGACAACCTCGTCGGGACCTTGTTGCCGCTGGGGCTTTGCAACCTCGCTAGCCGCATCGGCGGCTGGCTCGTCGTCCTTGGCAGGACGTGCACTTCGGGGGAAGTTGATGTGAACCTTGTAACGGTCTTGTAGACGAGTGATCTGGGCACCAGAGGCACCAATGAGCTCTCGGTGGTATTTGGGCTCGATCTTGAGAGTGTGAGTAGTCTCATCGGCCCAAGTCTTGGCCAGAGAAAGGATGTGTGCCTTGGCTCGCTCAGCCTTGGCCTTAGGGCCCTTGAGCTCGACCTCTCCGTTCTGGACCTGGATGTCGACGTCAAACTTCTCGCGCAACTCGTTGATGTGGCTGCCACTCTTTCCGATGAGGTGGTTGGCATGCTTCTGAGGGAAATCGAACTTCATGGTGAACCCGCGCTCCTTCTCATCTTCCTTCTCCTGAGCAACGAATGCCTCGGCCTTCTCGGCGAGAGACTCGACGGCAGAGGCTGTTCCCCGCATCGTGATGGTAGTGCCCCTGACACTTACACGAACCGGAATCTCTCCAGCTTTGCGGGTGGTAGCATCTTGTTCCTTCTTGATGAACTTGCGCAACTTCTCGTGGAACTTGGTGGGGACTTCGAGAGTCTTGACCTTGATCTCTTCCTGCTTGCTGATAAGGTCGAGAATGTGCTTTCGCGCATCCGCCAAGCCCTGCTTAAAGGCGTTCAGCTCCTGGGCGGTCGGTGCCGCCTGAGGGATCTGGTAGGTGTCCTCTGCACCTGATTGGCCCTCAAACACCAAGACGACAGGGAGCTGTGATTCAGCAGCCTCGGGCACGACGATGTGCACGCCGTAGTCACTCTGGACCTGAGGCTTGATATCGGTGCGCAGGTAGGCGTGGAAAAAGGGGTCCACCGAAACGGTAGCAAATCGAGAGGGTGGGTGGCCGCCAACAATGGACTTGACCTCCTTTTGGGCCTTGAGAATGTTCTTTCCCTCACGGCCGAACAGACCCCACGGCAGGCCCATAGCATCCGTAATGGGGGTGCTGATGTGAACCTGGTGCAACTTCTCCAGCCGCTCGATCTCCTTTCTTTGTCTGAGGTATCGTGCGATGTCACGCATGTACACGGGGGCGCCGCCCTGGGCGTGCTTGTGGTCCCTCGAAACATCGTAAGAAGATGTGTTGAGGTTCATGGCAAGCTCCGCAGCCTTCTCGGAACCACGAGCCAGGTCATCCTTCAGTCCGATGACGGTAACGAGGTCGACGGTAGGGTCGCTTGGGAAAAGGATTACGCAGTTCGTCTCGGCAAAGAACTCCTCGGTCGGGATACCACGCTCGCCGATGACGAACTGGTGCCTGTCGAAGGGGACAGTGTTCTGTTCCCACAAGAGCTGGTTTTGAAGCTCCTGCGCACGCTTCTCGATGGCAGCACGAGCAGCGGTAACAGCAGCGCGCTCACCGGCGAGCGAAATGAAGTTGTCACTATTGGTGGGTGCGAAGAAAGGACGCTCGCCGTTGAGAGCCTGGGGGAATGGGTGGGCCCAGGGTTCGTGGGAAGGGACGCGGACCTGGACACCGTGCTCGGCCTCGAGAGCGCTGAGCGAGCTGTTGTTGGGTCCAGCAATGAAAGGGTAGATCTCGGCGGGGATAGACTTGAGCTTCAAGTTGGCGCTGGCCGAATGGTCACCCGCAATCTTTCTGATAGCATCGCGAGCAACAGCGGCAGTGACGGCATTGCCCTCAACGATGACATCGACAAGAGCATCTTCGTCGTCGTCGGCCTGGTTGTCGTCCGTCTTGGGCAGCTGGATTCTGGCACCCGACTTCTCCTGGATCGACTTGATGGTGGCGCCTCCCTTGCCAATGAGGTGAGCACGGGCGGAGCGAGGGATGGGGACCTTGACGGTGGACTTGGTGCCAATGACGTTGACCAGCTCACGGATGGCCTGCTGGGCCTTGTCCTGAGGGCCGACAGCCTCGACCTTCAAGTGACCACTGCTGAGGAAGGTGGCGGAGAGGACGGCGCGAGACTTGCGGTTGATGTCCTTGACCAGATCGGGGATGGGGCGCTTGAGCTGGTTGCGGGGCATGATGTACTGGGATTCAATGACGACGGACTCGACGTGGCGGCCGGGGATGTTCACGTTCTTGGGACCGGAAGCAGGAGGGCCGGCGACGGCGGGGCCGGTGCCCGAGGCCGGGGTGGAAGCGCGCGAGGTGCCGTTCGGGGTGTTGGCGGCGGTGGGCACCTTGGCCATCCAGATGGAGGGGCCGGCGGGCTCCTTGGCCTTGCCCTTCTGGCCGTTGCCGTTGGCACCCAGAGAGGGGAAGGCGTCCTCGTAGTTGACGGGGGTGGAGGACTTCTTGGGGGCGAGGTCCTCGTCGGGGGCGTCTTCGACAGTCACATGGTGGTCTTGGGTGTGCTGCTGCAGCAGACGCTCGGCGGCCGAGCTGCTCTCAGAGGTGGTAGCCATTATACCAGGAGTCGATACCGATAGGGAATATGCGAAGCCGGGCGACCGAGAGGGTCGAGGTGTAGGAGCTGATCGTAGATGCGGTCGATGAATGTGTAGACCTGCCGATGTTGTTTGTCAGAGAGGAGTGACTTGGCAAAGAGTCTGACGAGTCCAACAGTCCCTGGGAGCACGGTGACCAAGCAGCAAAGCAATTGACATTACCACCAGGCTCACCGCAGGCCTCGGTGCTCAGTCGATACTCCACGATGTGTGGAGAGTCTGCCCAGACAATGCAGGGGGGAATATCGTCCACAGCGAGAGGGCCAGAAGTGGCCGAGGTGGCACGATCAGAGGCGGTGGCATGACTTACTAGTAGTATATACCTAGGTAACCTAGAGATCCTTGACACTCTCCAGACACGGATTGAACCGGTGGCAGCGTCAGAGACAAGGGAGGAGGAGGACGAGGTAGGGTTTCGAGAGGCAGGAGAGAGAGGGAGAGCTGTGTAGGGGGTGACCTTTTTGAGCTGAGAAATGTCAGGACGGGACGAGACCGCACGTGGTGGTTGTGGGGGAAGTCTTGGGGGAGGTCGGAGTTCGATCCAGGGAGGCAGAGGCACCAGCCAGTGCACCAGTTGTGGCACAGAAGCTCCCGAGTCGCCGACAGGGGCAGCGAGACAGCTGCCAGAAGCGTGCTTACATGACATACCTCCTAGTTCATGGCTTGCACCAGCACACAAATAAAAAAGCAATGGACAGACAGAATAACTGCAGACTCTCAGGGGGGTCGATTTCAGCGTGTGCTGTACGGATCGGCAGATACACGGGGGAGTAGAGATGCGTGCGGGATGCGAGGCAAGCGGCGACGTGGCGGGACAGGGAGAGCTTCCGTAGCGGATGAGGTGGTCAACTTTTCTCACGATGTCCAGGATAGTTATGTTATGCCCATACCGATGCCAATTGCCAAATGCCAAATTCAACAGCTTGCACCATGTCGCACCCTTGGACGGATGCCCAGGGTTCTCCGACGCCTTGCCTGGACCGAGCCTAGTGCTGGCGTCCTAGAACCCGCTGGCCGGTGCTGGATGCTTCTGGGCTGCTGGGCCGGGGCCTGGGGCGCTGCTGCCGGACTTCCCATTGGTGGGTAGCCAGCCTGGCCTCTGCTTCCAGTGGTGTGGCTCTGCTGGGCCAGGTGCTGGGCCAGGGAGCTTGGGTCTTCTTGATTGCCCAGGTGGCAAGCTCGAGGCTGGTCCGTGTCCAGAGCTTTAGTTTAGCCACAACGTGCCATGCCATGGACGACAGAATCTCTCTCCCTTTGCCGGTGCTGTCTGCACTGCCACCAACTGAATGGGGCTGATGGGCTGTTCATTCCAAGAGAATAACGTTGCGCAGTGTTTTCCTGTCCTGTTAGACCTGTCGTTCCCATGACTGGCTCATTCAAGCGCGGAGCTTTGTTGAGCTATGCAGCGTTCGATACTGCACCGAGTACCATATTCGTCCGGCCAGTGGTGTTCTCTCGTTCTTTGAGATCGCTCATGTTGGATGGAGTATCTACCTAGTTCAGAGACTGACCGTATCTGTTCCTAGGATTTCGAGCTTTGTAATCTGTTAGGTACGAATCCAGAACAGCACGTGTGGATTGATCCGTGGCAGCGTCTTGTACGATAGCTTCTGGTCATTATTTTCTCACCTTTCTTCGGAAGCCTGGAATCCCCAAGCGCAGACAAAGAGAAGACCCATCCAACTAGTGTATCGCTGGAAATCGAGTGTACCAACTCAAGCTGACATAACAAGAGTAAGCTTGCCTATAGCGTCATTTGTGACTTGCTCCACGTGAGATCCGGAGTCTTCCGGTGGTGTATAGTCTAACTACCCAAGCCAGGCAGTTCCCATGCTAGACAGGCAGGAGAAGCTGTATGCAAAATCTGCAAGACACAACGACCGCGGACAGAGCAAATAGCTGTGACAGTTGCACTGGAAGAAACACCATCGGGCTGAATGCATGGAGAAATCAAGTCCCAAACCCCAAACTGCATCCGAAGAACTCAATTGGCAGGACGATGGGGGGTTTCGAAACAAGTAAGGGATGTAAGGGAGCCGAAGGCTGTTGTGTCGGCCCCGAGTTATTTTTAGCCTCCAAAACCATTCCGTGGCAAGTGTGCGAACTCCCGATGAAATAGACATATATACGGCTAAGGAAACGATGCAATTCGGGCGTGGGGGGCCGGACGTTTAGGCCGGAGCCGGCTGTACGGAAGATCTGCCCAGCCGTGGACGGTGTATTGTTGAACGTTGAACTTTGGTGGCAGCTACACGAGGAGGCATTACATCATTGTAGGTGTGTAGCCACGACGCTTGTCCATTAACGTGTCATGTTTCTGAAAATATCCTGCAAATGGGTTATCAGTGAATATCTGCAAGGAAGCCGTGAGACTTGGACATTTCTGGTAATGTTTGCTTGCTGACAATCTCGGCGGAACGTGCTGCAGTGGAGCCGCAGAACGTCCTGTGCTCCATTCTCGGAGAAGGCCTCAGCTTTCAAGGAAATGAGGGTGACGAGCAGCTTACCTTACCCGAGCGATGCTCACAGCAGACGCTGGTCTGTGAAGCTTCATCAGATACATCGTTGGCTCGTCACAATTCCATAGGCTTGGTGAAGCGCCAGAAAATTACTATACTTCTGTCACATGCTAGCACGCACGCCACTGGAGCACTTGCATGTTGACCTGGGGCACCGTGCCGAGCGGCTGCAGGGGGCAGACCCAGCTCGTACACCAAGCATCATGTACGGTCAGCAGGCAAGGCAGGTTGGCAAGCACTCGTAATAAGACCCTTTGCTGAGCCAAAGGGAGGCCCTGATTGCGGCAATTCAGGGTCCGGCAAACCAAGCACGACGCGATCTTGGACAGTGTTTGGGGCTCTATGTGCCCCTTGAGCGCCCCCTCTCTCTTTGATAATGACAACCGACGCGGACCCGGCGATTGACTGGATGTGGAGTTGCTGGAGCTGCCACACGGGGGTCTGGAGTTGTTGAAACAGCCCATGACCCGGCGCTTGGCGGCTTCTGGCTACTGACAGGAGCTCTGGGGCGGGTCTCGGAGACATGTCTAACAAGAATGTGTACCTGTGTGCAGCATGATGGATTTACATTTGGCCAAGCAGGCGGCGTCGATTTCGTCCCTGTTTTGGAGAGGAGTTAATATACTCTCCAGAGGGACAGGAGGAGGCAGGTTGCGTAATAAAAGTAGTTAAAGGTGGGATCTGATCTCGGATGGAAGTGCAAAGCAACGACGAGGTCGTATTTGAATGACGCCAGTGGGTAGGACCCCGGACGGCAGCTCAAGCCGGGGTGGCTCTGGGTTGAGATGTCGTGTTGTCTCCCGATTTCAGAACAGTTCCTAGCGCGATGGCTACCTTGCAATGGAGGAGGAGAAGTACCCCTAGTCCCGAAAAACCTAATACGGTTCGAAGTGCACATTGCTGAGCGAAACAAGCTACGGGCATAAACCAACGCCAAAAGGGGTCTGAGCTGCCCCCCCACGGCGACCAGAGAAAAGCTTGGCCGGAAAGAGGGAATCCTACCCAGTCGTACGGCTACGCGGCGATAGGACGTCATTGCTCAAAGCGTCCATCTCGAGGGAGCATGAGAGTTGGGGCCAACGCTCTGTGATTGCGATCCATGCTTTCCTTCCCTCTGAGTAGAGCACTCGCGCCAACAGCGATCATCAGGGACCAGGTCGCGTACAAGCGTGTCTGCCAACTAGGCCAGTCGCCTTTGTTTGATATCTGTCTTGGAGCACTTCGACACTCGGGAGTGCCGCTGACGAGCTGTGCCCACTAATTTACCGCGGGGCTTCAGGTACTTTGCTCGGATGGGAGATTGCTCGATAACTGTGTCGACAGCTGCTTCCAGCAAAAAAAAAAGCCACGGGCACACACAAACACACGCGCACACAATAAACTATTGCATACATATATTTAAATACATAAACGAAGCACAGGAGAAAAGACAGACAGACATCTCGACCTGGACAAGTCGCAGAGGCTAACAAGTGTTTGAGACGAGGACACAACAAACTACTATACTATAAACCGCCACTAGCCCCCCGCGCCGCCCGTTGCAAACTGGCAGCTAGATACGCCTAGTTCCTAACCACGCCCTGCTAAACGCGGCACCGGCGTGTCAGGGAACGGTCCTTGGTGACGATCTCTCGAAGCTCTCCCGGGCTAGAACACAGCCAAGCAGGTCGATACCTTAGGTCGATAGCAGCGTGGAGAGGTAGAACCGACGACGCGTACGGACTAAGTGACGATTAGGTCGGACGATTCCAAACACCAGCATCAGCACCAGCACCAGGCCGCATTTCGCGGGGCCAGCCCCGACGCTGTAACTACTGTCTCATCTGCTGCCATTCATCACGCTGTCAGGTTACACAGGTCGCGCAGGACCAATCTCGTGCTGCAAAGGGGGGACCATCGCAAAGGCTCAAACAGCCCTTGGCCGTCGGCGGGTGCTGCAGATTGGGCACCGGGTCAATCTTTTTATTTTATTTTCTTTGGGTCCCCTGCTTGCTTGGGTTCGCTGCCACCAGACCAGAACTGCTGCTGCTAATCTGTACATGCATGCGTGTACGCACGCACTTTACATACATACCTACCTGCATACGTATATGGAGGTACCAGGGCCCCGGCCGGTTTCTTCGAGGGTTGGCAAGATTGTTTTGGGCCCAGCATCTGATTACCGTACCTACCTAGAGAAAGACTGGATACAGTAGGCGGCGACTAGCAACCTGTTTGGATAGAAGAGTTATTGATACATTGTTTTAATTTTCTTTTTTTTTTCCCACCTCCCCTGGCAGACATCCCAGTCTGCAGACGGCTTCGCATCGATCAATAACCCCTCCTGGAATTTTTCCTTGGTTCTGGCTCTGGCTCTGGTTTCGGTCCTGGTCCTGAACCAAGGCCTTGTTTCCAAAAGGAACGGACGAGCGAGCGTTGAAAGCCAGCCAGCCGGCCAAGCACAGCACAGCACAGCACAGTACACACAGCACGACCAAGCAAGCAAGTCAACAACCCTACTCGCGCCCCGACCGACGGGTTGACGGACTCGCCATTCCTGGAAGCTCAAGGTTCATGCTCTGCCCTGCCAGTCCAGTCAGGACGGCGGTGGCGAGTCTAACACGGCCGAGCAAAAGGCAAAACAGCTGAGAGAGAGGTATCCGCACAGTAGTTTCGCTGAGGGAGTGGGCCGACGTCAGGTTAAGGTCGCAAGGTCGAGACGAGGCCAGTCAGTCAGCAAGCAGTTGGAAGCGAAGCAAGCACTGCGCTCCGGGGACGAGAAAACGTGATCCCAGGACAGGATGGACAGCCGAAGCATCAGCAGCGCCAACGGCAGCTCCCAACGTCGCAAACTCACCAAAAAGCCGCCCGCCCAGTACCAGGCGCAAGCGCATCCGCATCCTCATCCTCCCCCTCCTCCTCCTGCCACCACCGTCCATGCGAATGCGAATGCAGACGCTCGCTTTGACGCCCTCAGCAGCAGCAGCAATAACAGCAGCGGCAACGTGAACGGCAACGGCAACGGCTACGGCAACAGTAATACTACTAAAAGTAACAAAAACGGCAGCGCCCACAGCTACGCCCACGCCCACGCCCACTCCCACTCCCATGCCCACGCCCATGCCCAGCACGCGCCGGGCCTGCTGCAACTGCACGGCAAACGGAGCTCCACGAGTCTGAGGCGAGCACCCAGCGCTCCGCCGCAGCGTCGTCTGGACGGCACCACACCCACCCCGTCCTTCAGCGCGTCCACCAACTCGTCGCCCCGTCATCCTCCCACCACAGCCAAGTCCCCGTCCACGTCCACCGGCAGCAACCAGCCATCGCCCATCCTGTCGTCGGGCGAGTTCCTGCCATCGACTTTCTCACCCTCGCATCAGCCGGCCGCCTCTACACTGCAGCAGCCGCACCACTACTTCCAACGCCCCGCTGCTGCTGCCGCCGCCGCCCCCGGCCCTACTGCTGCAGCGACAGCGACAGCCACACCCGCAGCAGCCGTCCCCGCCGCTGGCTGGCCACGAGATCGCCGTTTGTCTGACCCGCACCTGCGTTCTCTCAACTCCAAGACGTCCGAGGACCTGCTCGGCGCGCCCTTCGACGGCACCTCCATCCTCAACCACCTCGAGGCCACAAAGGCCGCCTACCAGACCCAGTCCCCGTCTCAAACCACCCAGCACCAGCACCAGCACCAGCACGGCCATCGTCACCCAGCGCCGCCCCCGCTCACCCACGCCCTCACCAGCCCACCTCTACGCCAGTCGGCCAGCTTCTCCGCCGACTCGCCGCTGGCCATGTCGCTGTCCGAGAAGGCCCAGCAGGGCGCCCCGAATCAATTGGCCGGCCCCAAGAGATACTCGGACGAGACCAAGGAGCCCAAGCCCGGCGTGCTGAGGAAGAAGTCGGGCTTCTCAGGCCTCATGAGCACTCTGGTGGGGTCGCCCAAGAAGCCCGTCATATCGGCCCCAGAGAACCCCGTTCACGTAACGCATGTCGGCTACGACAGCTCGACGGGTCAATTCACGGTTCGTATCTCGCTATTGTCCTGGTCATTTTCGTCTTCTCTGCTTCCTGTTCGGCTGTTGTCCTCGTTTGTACACGCACCCGTCGTCGCTTGTGACCCTGCTGTATTCTCATCTCTACCTCGTCGCGCCTTGCCGCCGTGTTATGCCCCCGCCCTGTCTATTGGCGCCCGTCCCGTTGTCGTATCTGCTTTTCCTTTCTTTTCTCCTCCCTTTCCTCTTGTCTCTGCCTCGGCCATCGATCGCATAACATGTACTGGGTACTCATCCGCCGATAGGGCCTGCCGAAGGAATGGCAACGACTCATCAACGAGAGTGGCATCCCCGAGAATGCACGAAGGGAAAACCCTCAGATGATTGCAGATATCGTCACCTTCTATAAAGAAACCACCGAGAAGCCACATGAGGACCAGGTCCTGGAGAAATTCCACGATGCCAGAGCCCCAGAGCTACGCACCCCCTCGGGAGGAATGTCGCCCGGCGTCTACGCTCCTAACTATGCCGGTATGTCACCTATGATCAGCCCACCAGCAAGTCCGAGATTTCCAATCGTGAATAATGAAGGCACCTTCGAGAACCCCCGCGCGCCCCCGCCTGTTCCTGGTTTCATGAAAGGCCAAGGCTCGATGACGACCAAGGACATCAACCTAATGCCGAGCCGACCGGCACCGAAACCGCCAACCTCGCTGCCGTCGCGGAGTGCTCCGCAGGCGTCGTATCCTGCCAAGGACTCGGGGATCGGTATGGCCCAGGCTGGTGACGAGCTCCCGGCAACCACCTATAACGCCCACAAGGACAACGTGCCCATGCTTCCCGAGGAACACCGGTCGCGGTCCAACTCCCGTGCCAACAGCAACGTGCCATATACGCCTGGTGCCAGTCAACCATCACCGGCGGTACAGCAGGCGTACCAGCAACAGCTGATGGAGCAACAGCAGCAGCAGGCCATGGCGCAGGCGCAGGCAGCCATGAAGGGACAAATCAGCCGGTCTGCAAGTCATAAGCAGCCCCAGGGGCACCCGACACCCCCGACATCTCAGAACCAGTTTGGACGCCCGCCAGAAGCTAACGGTGCAGGCCCGCGACAGCCACCAGCCGCTGCTGGCCCTGGTCCCCAGGCGCGACCACGCCACCGTGCTCGCCAGAGCAATGCCTTTGATGTGGCTGCGGCACTGAAGAGAATCTGCTCCGAAGGAGACCCGCGAGAGATCTACCGCAACTTTACCAAGATCGGCCAAGGTGCGTCGGGAGGAGTGTACACCGGCCATGAGAGAGGATCGAACCGTCTGGTGGCTATCAAGCAGATGAACCTGGAGCAGCAGCCGAAGAAGGACCTTATCATCAACGAAATCTTGGTTATGAAGGACAGCATTCACCCCAACATTGTCAACTTCATCGACAGCTACCTCTGTACGGGCGAGCTCTGGGTGATCATGGAGTACATGGAGGGTGGAAGTCTCACGGACGTCGTCACGTTCAACATCATGACCGAGGGCCAGATCGCATCCGTCTGCAGGGAGACGCTTAAGGGGCTACAACACCTGCATTCGAAGGGCGTTATCCACCGAGATATCAAGTCTGATAACATTCTCCTCTCCCTGGACGGCAACATCAAACTAAGTACGCATTGGGCCCTCTTATTTACCATCTGACGAGCTAACATGACTGCAGCCGATTTCGGATTCTGCGCTCAGATCAATGAGGCACACAACAAGCGTACGACAATGGTCGGCACACCGTATTGGATGGCCCCTGAAGTCGTCACACGCAAGGAGTACGGCAGAAAAGTTGATATCTGGTCACTCGGAATCATGGCCATTGAGATGATCGAGGGTGAACCCCCGTATCTTACCGAGTCGCCGCTCCGCGCCCTGTGGCTCATCGCTACCAACGGTACACCGCAGATCAAGGACGAACAAAGCCTATCGCCGCTCTTCCGGGATTTCCTATACTTCGCCCTCAAGGTGGATCCGGAGAAGAGAGCTAGTGCCCATGACCTGCTTCGGGTAAGTTGATTTGGTTTACCCCTTCGTGGTTTTGGCCTCATTCAACGGGTGCGAACGTCGAGACGCTGTGGTAGTTCAGCCAAGAGGTCCCAACTTTCCACCGCTATGTTGCCCCGTTGTCGTCGCCTTCGCACACGTTTTTGAGATTAGGCGTGCCTGCTTCGCATTCCATGACAAGGTTAAAGCTAATGCGTCCACAGCACGAATTCATGAAGACATGTGTTGATCTTGCACAACTGTCTCCCCTTGTCCGAGCGGCTAGGGAAGCTCGACAGCAGGAGAAGGCTCGAAAGGGTCAATGAACGATGACGAAAAGCTTGTTTGGATTATTCACATCATAGCGGCCTGCGATTTCTTTTCATTTTGAACATCTCCACCCTGGATCTGATCGTAGAAGCACGATTCTCCTCACGAGTGCGACGACTGTGGCAATATGTATGCGACGCATTTGCACTGGAAAGTGCCGGCAAATCCATCTGGAGTGGGAAAAGAGCTCCAGAAGGGCAAATATAGGCATCGAATCGAACATATAATACCCTGTTGTCGTTGAATACGAGGGCATCAATGGAACACTTGAGATATGGCAGCACCACATCAGACCGTCGGCCAGAAAATGCAGTACTCATGCACCTTTAGCTTTGGTGTATGAATGTGATCACAGGAGACATGAGCGAGCTGGGAGAGGAACAGTTCTAACATCGACACGGATTTGGGGATTGGTAATGGACCGACCTTGGACGATTCGTTGGCCAGTCCTCCTTGGTACGTGTCGAACTCCTCGCCACGCAACAGCCTTTGCGCAAGACGTACAAGATGATTTGGTGGGCTGGCCCAAGGACCAAAGAGTGGCTGTCAACCCCTACGAGCGCCGATCGGATGCCGATAGGACTGGCTGAATCGAGCTTTTTGGTTGCAGTCGAACGCGCAGTGAGCACTGCCGAGTCCGGCACGGTGGCAAAGGGATGCCATGATTCGGCCTCGCCAATATGTGCAGACTCAGCCATATCTGGTGTGTGCATTAGTGGCCATTATGATGTATTGGGTGCTTAGATACTCCGTCTACCCGCGTGCTGATCGGAAGTACGTCGAGGTAGTGCTCGATGAATTCAAAGCAAGGTCGTGAAACCGCGCTGTCCCGTCTGGGAGCTGGTTTGTAATGCGTGACTGACTACTACTACTGTATTACTTCCAACAGTGCGGAGCTCGTCCCTACGCAATCTCGCTTCAAGCTCCCCACGGTACATCTTGTACTCTAGAGGTGCCTAGCCATGATCTCCCTGACCCTATCCAGCGGCAGAGCTTTCACCTTGCGCCCCTTGAACCCGACCATATCCTCCGCCATGCACAGCGCATTGTAGATGGCCTCCTCGGTGGCGTCGGCCGCCGCCTCGAACAGACCGTTGATGCTCGTGTCGTCCACGACCTCGACCCGCAGCGGCGTCGGCTTATACGGGTCGGCGGCCCCCTCCTCGACAGCCAGCGTCTGCACCGGGATCTCGTTGCCCGTCGAGAAGGCGACGAAGATGTCGCCCGACGGGTTGTGGCCCTGCCCACCGACGCGCGCCAGCCCGACCGTCGCCCGCCGCGCCACCCGCCGCAGCTGCGCCGGATGCAGCGGCGCGTCCGTCGCCAGCACCACGATGATGGACCCGTCCTTGCGCGTCTTCTCGGCCACCAGCTCCGCCAGTGCCGCTGTTGCCGTCGTGTCCGCCAGAACCCGGCCCACGCCCACCCCGCCGATGCGCAGCTGGTGCATCTTGCCGTAGTTGGCCTGCACCAGCGCCGCGATCGTGTACGTCTTCGGCCCGCCCGCGCCGTCGAGCCCCGGCACCAGCCGGCTGGCCGACCCCGTGCCGCCCTTGAAGTAGTGGCAGATCATACCCGTGCCGCCGCCCACATTGCCCTCGCGCACGGGCTCGCCGGCCGCCATGCCCGCCGCGCCCTCCAGGCCCCGGACGACATGCTCGGGCCGCACGGCGAAGGCGCCAACGTCGTTCAGGTACCCGTCGAACGTCTCGCCGACAACGGGCAGCAGGAACGTGTCGACGGCGCCGTGGCCGGCCTGCTGCACCGCGTACCGGTAGACGCCCTCGTGGGCGGCGCCGACGCTGACGGTGCTGGTCAGCACGATGGGCGAGCTCAGGATCCCCGTCTCGTTGAGCCAGTGCGACCCCGTCAGCTCGCCCGCCCCGTTGAAGCTGAAGAGCCCGGCGTAGCACGCCTTACGGGCCCAGCTGTCGCGCGGCAGGATCGCGGTCACGCCCGTGTTGACACCGCCGTGGTCCGCGCCGCCGTCCGCGCGCGAGTGGATCTCCTGCATGTGCACCTTGACCCCGGCCACGTCAGTGAGCGAGTTCAGCGGGCCCGGCTCGTAGTCGCCGAGGTACAGGGCCGGCAGCAGCTCCCGGACGCGCATCCGGGGTGTCTTGGAGGACGCGGCGGCGCCGGAGATGGAGGACATGGTGGCGGAGGCTTATAGAAAGAGGGTCTGTTGATGAATCCTACTCACATGGAGGATTGGCTCTCAATTGAATGCTCTCACGCCTAAACAGCAAGACTCTCTGAGGGTTATAAGTACCTACCTAGACATGTAGTCATTTCACTGTGCTGCTGCTGCCTGCCGGTCTCCGCGTCACCAGCTTTACGACTTATGCATGTAAGATGACGACCCGCAAGGGCAACGCGTGTTTCTACGAACGAGACTAGATCAGGTATATCGACCGCGCTGTCCGCACACAGTTGAAGGATCTTTCAGATAGCAAACTGCCCCATCCAATCGAACGAGCCCGTTCGTCGTCTGCCAAAATCTCCATTTCATATAGGCAGTCATCGGTGGTGGTTCCACGAGCGGATCACAACCTGGCTTACCAATGCAGACACAATGCGTGTACAGGGGACTGGATTTGTGTTTGGTTATGTCCACTCTATACCTAGGAGTTATGCCCCTGAAGAGAAGGTCCCCATCCGTAAGCAAACGATGGCATTTCTCTAACTTACATGCCAAGAATTGCAATGGAGTACTTCACTGTCTCGGGATCCATTGTCTTGTGTTCCGCGGCCCCGGGGTTTACTAGCCGAATTCTCTCCACACTCCGACTTACCTACCCCACACATTCCCCCAAGCGCTGCTAGCACGTTAGCCATGATCCGCTCAGTTGGAGATCCCCCTCATCTTTGGGGTTCGGCTCGGCTTCTTTCCTATGAGATATCTGGAAGCGTCTGAAACCTTGCATGGGCTTCTTAGTTATCTATAACAAACAAGTTTTTCCTGTGACCAATTCAGCATCATGGTGGCCGCTGTGAGAGTGGCACCGAGTGTAAGTCCTTGGAGAGCCTCTGTGAGGACGTCCTATACGGGCACGCGACTGATCATGACAATGCCTAGGCCGCAACAAGGGCAGTGAGCCTCTTGAGGACAGTCCAGTACGCGCACCCGCCCAACTGTCCTTGCCACTCCAACCCGGGCCATCACCACCACCATGCGAAGCCGCACGTGGACAGGTACGCCCAGCGGCAGTCGAGCCGGAGGTTCGCCTCGGCGCTCGATCCCTCGAGCCAGAAGGAGTACGCCTTTGAGATGGCCGCCTCGTCCATACGCTTCGGGCCCGGCGTCACCAAGGAGGTTGGCATGGACTTTACCAACATGGGTGCCCGGAGGGTCTGCGTGGTCACGGATTCGACAGTCAAGCACCTGACTGCTATGAAGCAAGTTGAAGAGGCGCTGTCGGCGGAGGGAATCGAGTTTGAGGTTTTCGACAAAGTTAGGGTTGAGCCGAAAGACAGCTCGTAAGTGTAGAGCCTGAAAACTTGCAAGGCGTCATGGCGCTGGACTAATGGAATATGAAGAATCAAGGAGGCTATCGCCTTTGCTAAGCCATACCGCCCGGACGCATTCCTGGCTGTGGGCGGTGGTTCCGTCATCGATACAGCCAAGTTGATGAACCTGTACACAGAGTACCCGGAGGCCGACTTCTTGGACTTCGTCAACGCCCCTCTGGGTAATGGGCGTCCCATTGATAAGAAACTCAAGCCACTCATAGCCATTCCCACCACAGCTGGTACTGGGTCCGAAACAACAGGGACCGCCATCTTCGATCTGGTTGCCAAGCGAGCCAAAACGGGCATCGCACACCGCAACCTGAAGCCGACGCTCGGCATATGCGACCCGCTCAACACCAAGACGATGCCCGCCGCCGTCAAGGCGTCGTCTGGTCTCGATGTGCTGTGCCACTCGCTGGAGTCGTGGACAGCCATTCCCTTCAACGAGAGGACACCCAGACCGACTAACCCGATTCTGCGGCCGGCTTACCAAGGTGCAAACCCCATCAGCGACATCTTCTCCCTCAACGCCCTGAGGGCTACCGTCAAGTATCTCCCGAGAGCAGTCAAGGACCCGGAGGACTACGAGGCCCAGAGCGAGATGCTCCTCGCTGCCACCTTGGCCGGCGTCGGCTTCGGCAACGCTGGTGTGCATTTGTGCCACGGTATGTTTACCTATGTTCTGACTACATTATATCTGTCTGCATTGTCTTTGTACATAAGGTACTGATCATGGCAACCAGGCATGTCCTACCCAATCTCCGGGCAGAATCCGGGCTACAAGCATTCCGGATACGAGGTCGACACGCCCATCATCCCGCACGGAGTCTCTGTTGCCGTCTCGGCGCCCGCAGTGTTCCGCTTCACCGGGCCCTCAAACCCCGAGCGGCACCTGGCCGCGGCTGAGGCCTTTGGCGTCGACATCAGCAACGTCAAACGCGAGGATGCTGGTGCCGTTCTCGCTGACGCCATCACCGCGTTCCTTGCTGAGCTCGGCGACCAGCCAAAGGGCCTGCGGGAACTCGGGTTCGGGGACGAGCACATCGACGCGCTGGTCGAGGGCACCATCCCCCAAGCCAGGGTTCTGATGCTTGCGCCGGGGCTGAGGACCGAGTTGGAGAAGGAGCGGGAGCAGCTGAGAGGTCTGTTTGAGGATGCTATGGCACATTAAGAGTGATGTATATAACGAGTCTGTGGACACTGAATCTATATAGCTTGCATCGGCGCTTGATTATCATTTATTTCATGCTAACTTGGTTGGCGATTCGAGAAAGGCCCCACCAAATGTATCGTCCGTGGCTATGATGCTCTTGAATCTACTTGCACATGTTTGGTCCTTGAGTCTTTAAGATGATAGAATAATGTTTCTTGTGTTACCAAGGCAAGCCATCCGGTTGGCATACCATTTGACAGAACTCGAGTCTCGGTGAAGACTTTGGGTAGTGCTACCGGGGAGGGAGCTGTTACGATAAGCCTTGAGTTGTGGCCTCTGAAGCTGAATTTAGCCTTGTGGTATCGTGAGAGAAATACGGACAGTGATTCCTGAATGGCCAGATGTTGGGTGGCACAGTCAACTTCCAAATAGTGTAGAGGCAGCCTAGATCAACGCTGGTTGGGCAATATGATTGAATAGTGTGTGTTTCTCTGGCTTGAACTTTCAGCCCATAAGCAACGGTTGTAGCCAATGTGACCGTTTTGACCGTCGCAGCCTCACGCCTTCGCATCAGCCCCCTTTACTGGATTGAATTGCGGCAACTTTTAATTCGTGCCGTACTTCAAAGAGGGAGCGTGGGACTATGAAAAAGAACGGGTGCCATCTTTTGGGATATACCATTGGAAGTCCCTCTAACTCAAGTCACCGCACCATGGACGGGCATAAGATCACTGAGATATACGATGTCAAACGGAATTCGCACCGAGTTTCCCGGAAGACTGACAATAAAGCAGATCGATTCAATCCTTTCTGCCACATCGCTTGGGATACGAACGACGAGCCAGAAGCTAAGCTTCCGACAAAACAACCGGGTGCCACAAGTCTGTCCGCCACCACTTTTTGGATCTTGAGAGACATTAGGCCAGAGAGGCCATTCAAGGTAAAGAATCAGATACAGCGAACGTTGTTCGTCTCCTGGATCAACGTCTTGCTGGTGTTGACTCCCATTGGTTTCGTCCCCAACTTTGTTTCAGGCCCTTCGGTGGCGACATTTGCTGTCAGCTACATCGCTGCTTTCCCTCTATGGTTTCTGTGCGACTATGCTCTGGAGGAATTGCAACATTGGCTCGGGGAAACTGCTGCCGGATTGCTTTATGTCTCGAGCAGGCATGTAACAGCGATGATTTGCATGTGGGTTTCCATACTGACATAGAAGTAGCAATACTGTGCAGTTAATCTCATGTATACTTCTAATGAGGGAGGGCCACGTCGGAGTTCTTCAAACGATGTTGATTGGGGGAATTCTGAATAACATATTCGTTCTTCTCGGTCTCAGCATTTTATTGGGAGGTATGGTCCAGTCAGAGCAAGCGTTCAACCGATACGAGGCGCAAGGGTCATCAAGTCTCCTTTCCATTGCCGCAACCAGTCTCCTCATCCCGTCGGCATCCGACTTGCTAAACCAGGCAACCCAGAAGAACATTGCGAACCAGTCCCGAGGTGCTTCTATCATCTTGATTCTCGTGTACCTTGCCTACCTATCTTGTCAGCTAGCAACGCACCGGGACGCCTATCACGCCAAAGCGGGTGAGTCGGTCAGAAAACAGCAAGTTCCCGCAAACACAATAGAAGCTTTGGTGACTAGGACTGGCGGGACCGGTGCGATTCCTGTGATCGCACCCCTCATCAGCACGTATGAACACGATAAACTGCCGATGCTGCCGGGGCAGAAATTGAGCAAGGACGAGAGCGACAACGAGGTCCACGGGCCGCAACTGCACTTTGGCGTAGCGATGGAGCTGTTCCTCACGACCATTGTGCTTTTGTACTTCTGCATCGACTCCGTCGTGAATAGCATCAGCGCTCTGGCGGCCACAACCCAGCTTTCCACAATGTTTATCGGCTTGATTCTGCTCTCAATACCCAATTGCGACTTGGCTCCGATCCCCCTCGCTGTCGACAACCGTCTGGAACAGACGATGAAGTTTACCGTGGGCCGAAGCATCCAAACCGCCTCGTTGGTTGAGCCCCTTGTAGTTTTGATCGCATGGGGCATGGGGGTTGAGGGTGTCACCTTGTCCTTTGGTGGGTTCGAGAATGTCAGCTTGTTCACCACGATATTGCTCCTGAACTTCCTTGTGGTAGACGGCAAATTCCATTGGTAAGTCGCGCTCCATGGGCAGCAAGGCGCAACCAGTAGATACACAGCCTGACATTGTTGCATAGGATTCACGGCATCTTGCTTCTTGCAGATTGGGCCTTGATACCAATAGCAGCCTACTTCATGTCGCCCGGGCATGGAGGGCCGTAAGAGTTCTGTTATGCAGTTGATAATCCAATCCACAAGGACTTTATGGTGCCGTGCACTGCAACTCGGCCATGTCGAGGGTGTAATACATGTCAGGCACTGGGGCAGAGCCAGTGGGGGTGGGGTCTTGTCTCTTCTCGTCCTAGTCGCTGTCCACCGCAAGGTCCAGAATATATGCTAAAAACCCAAGGGAACCACCGATACGCGTATTGCTCTCTTGACCGACCCCATCCTTCCAGCAAATGTATGCTTGTGGACTTCGGGTCGCCAAGTCGCCAATGCACCCTTGAGCAATTGCTTTCCGACATACCAAAAATAGTCCCACTTTGTTGCATACTGCCTCCTTGCCCGACTGCAAGTGGCGTCAATCGACGAGGACTAACCTGAGTCGTGTTCTCTGAACGCGTACTGCACATGCGCTTGGTCAGGGCGCGGGAGGCTTTCATCCTGGTATAGGTATGCTCCGGCGGTCACACCGGAAATCTAAGAGGGGAGCGAAATGTGATGAATGTCGCCGCCGTCATATCCGGGTATGGGCAACTTCATCCCGCCTCAGCGCATGCACAGTAATCGTTGCGGCAATGCTGACGTGATTTGACGTCGACCACAGTGTGACCAACAGCGGCCGGTATGTATGAACTGCATCCAGGCCGATCGTGACTGTTCCTATACCGGTCACGGCACGGCGCCAGACCCGTCGAGCTCGGTACCGCAGCCAGAAACAGAGCCGTCCTCGGAACGGTCCTCAGCTTCCACAACACCATCAGCAGCACCACCCACGTCAGTTCATATCCCGGCTGCTCCTGGCAGTGGCATGTACAGCGCGCATGATAACGTGTCCGGCCCTCGGAATGATGACGCAGTCAATGTCACTCATCTTAGGCTCTTTCATCATTTTGGAGAATTCATTGTCCCTCTCTTTGCAGGTAGCAAAGATACAGACCTGGGGCGAGAATATCTCAGAAATTACCACAAGGCAGCATTCTCGAGCGAATATCTAATGCACGAAATTCTTGCCTTCTCTGCATCACACTTGGCTCGTACTGAGTCTCATCCTGCAGCGAAATCCTATGCGCACCTGGCGACCTCGTTACAGACGAAAGCGATTTCTCTTTTCAATGTATCCACACAGAATCCAGGTCTTAATACTATCGTTGGCACGTTCCACTTCTCAAGTCTTCTGGGCACCCATCTTCTCTCGGACACAATATCGTTGCGAGACATCAGTCTTGATGACTATCTCAACCACTTCGACAGATATCTCAAGGTGGGCTAGCATGCGATGTACCAAATGAAGCAGTGCTGACTATGAGAGTAAAGGTACACCGCGGGATTAGGCCCATATTCAATGAATACAGATCCGTTCTTCTCGCTTCGAATCTGAAGCCATTCCTTGTTTGGGGCTGGAATATTAGCACTTCTAAGGGAGGCGGCGCAGAATGTTCTCCAATCCGAGACATGATAGCTACAAGCACAATGACTACTGTGTCGGTCGACGCGTGTACGAGAGCAACTGACGTTTTGCAAGCTTTGATAGACTTGAATAAGGCCCATCCGACCTTTCCTGGACCCGCGCCGCATGTCACTGCCTGGCTCTCGATGGTGCTTCCAGAGTACACCGAGCTACTTATGGCTCAACAACCGGAGGCATTAGTAATATTGGCTTACTACGGCGCGATGATCCATTGCTATCATAGAGAGTTATGGCTTGTTGGTGACGGTGGAAGGCACATGATTGAGCTGATTACGAGCTCTCTCGGTTCAACTTGGCAACCATGGCTTTCATGGCCAAGACAGGTGGTGGAGTTTTCAGAGACGTTCAAATAAGAATGATTCAGCCAGGAAATCCTTCGTATTTGGGACCGAAAGGCACTGCTGCCTGAAGTCATTTCCAACGACTGTCTCGTGACGAAAGCACATTCGGCAATGATATGAAAACAAATTTCTCGATAAAGACACACATTGGCTGTCGCTGATACACTTTCGCTTCGTGAACTGCAGTTCTACATAATTCTTCTAACTTATAATTTTGAACTGCGATATCCAGGTTGTGAAGGTGGAGACAGCAACGTAGTTAGTCGCTTAATGTTGTCTACGTTCTCCAAATCATCCACCAGGTTGATAAGAGCTTCACGGGACGCTTCAGGTAGTGGCTCAGCAGCAAATTCCCAGCACCGTCGGAATTTAGCCAAATGTTGCTCCCGTGTTAGCCTCCGACTGGGACTGGCCAGCATCTGGTCGCATCTCCACGTTTTGATTTCACCATCCACCGAGCACAACTCAACGGAGATTGGAACAAGCGCATTGGGATCGGCTTGACCGTCCGAGAGCATTTTGATCCGTTTGGCGAGACTGTGTGTTGCCGGGTCTGTCAATTCCTTGCCGCGGTAGTGCGCAAGATCGACGAAACCGTTCAAAAGGACCTTGGCAGCTATATATGACATGCAAAGGCGTGCGTAGTTAGGGGTCGGGTCTGGCAAGTCTGGTCTTGCACACAGCCTAGCCGTGACAGGTGGCCCAGTGATTGTAACGCTCTTGATGTCATCTGGTTTCAGAGTCGAGCCATCAGTCTTCTTCATGAGGACCTGCAACCCCTCCACACCACCATGGGTAGCCCGTCCGGCTGGGTATGGCTTATGGCTCAACTCGCTCACGAGCCAACGCCTGCCTGCTAAGCAGTCATATGTCCCAGATAAGTCCCATCGGTCCGGTCCTTCGAACAGCGGCAAATAACCGTAAGGTCCCTCGAAGACATCACGAGGCCCAGGTAAGCCTGCACTCACCCAGTCACACGATTGAAGTGCCGCGCGACTGTTCAATCCGACCTGGAGTGGCAACGCTGCGCTCCCTTCAACGTGAGGCTGCAGAGTGCCACTCGTTTGTGCGTACTGGAGACCAAACGCCTGCACCAGAGATTCGTGTGAGAGTCCCAGCAGTCGTCCAACAGCAGCCGTGGCACCGAACCCTCCAGCCGTGGCAGGCCGAAAGAACCTCATTGCGGACTTCGATGCAATACCTAAGCCTGCTGAAATGTTGACCCCCACAGCGACCGCTGTGATCAGATCCTTGCCACTGATCCCTCCGGCCCTCTCGGCGAGCGCTATCACTGCCGGTAAGGTTGTAGCCAGGGGATGCAGAACCGCACCTTCATGGACGCAATCGTACTCCTGACAATGCACTTGATAGCCATTCACCAAGGCGGCCAATGTAGCGGGTACTCGTTGCCGACGACCCCATAGTGTAGCCTCATTCCCGTTCCCCCAACTCGCGCCTGCTTGTATGACTGCCTCTGCTCCGAAAGCTGAGGAACCCGCGATTCCAACGCCAAAGGTATCCATAATAAAGACCTTTGCTTGGGCGACTGCATCTGGAGTCAGATCTTCAAAGCGCGTGTTCAGTGCATGGTTAGCGAATGCCTCCGCAAGCAGCGGTGCTGGTGCAGTCAATTCCGCCATGGATGAGGAATGGGACTTGATGCCGAGGATGATTGGAAGGGGTATATTCACACTCGCCGTGACGTGCTGTAGGGTGCAGTTCGGGAAGCTCCGATGTAGACTCAGCTCGTTCGTCGGACTCCCGCACCCGACGGGAGGTACGCGCGGAGCCGTAGGAACTCCACATTTGCGGAGGTTGTTGCCGAGGCGGCGTTTAAATACGATTTGTATGTAAGCCGCAGCCAGGACAGTTAATCAGATATAAGTCGCATAGTTTCTGGCGTAGATCCTTCCAGTTCGCGGTGGGCATGTTTAGGTATGGAAATCACTCCCCCCCTTACTGCTGATAAAAGAATGTAATGGCAATATCCGCATGCATAACTCAGGCTTGTGCTGTGGCGAGATAATGATGATAGCTGAGACTCTCGCTATATCACCAAACGGACAGCCACGCAGTCTTCTCTCAGGAAACCTATGTGATGGAAGTTCATCGAGCTCAATAAAGCCGCGGTGGTTTTTAAGACCCCCTTTCTCTGACCATGATCCTCAAACCATAATTAGGTATCATGTATTTGCCAAAATACCTCTTCTGAACTCGCGTGCCTGGAGCTAGTTTCATGTCGTATCTTACTATCATCTCAGCCAGGACAAGCTTCATCAAATTAACGGCAAAGAAGCGACCGGGACTGTGAACCAATCGTAAGCAACCCGTGATCTTGATGACATCGCGGCTCGTGCCTAAAATACTCACCATGCGTTTTTGCCGTGTCCAAAAGTCAGATAGTCTAATCCGGTACGAGCAGGGTGGAATCTGTTCGTATCCGCCAACCCACCCGACGCGCCGACGAAACGAAAGCAGTCGACATTCTGTGGCTCGGAATACAAGGTTGAATCGTGGTGAATGCTGATAGTTGGCACCCCGATGCGTGTTCCCGCCGGTATGAGCGTGCCGTCTTTGAAGTGGAAGTCGCGGCGGGCTGTGCGCATGAGACCAACTACAAGCAAATACAGTCAGCATATGCTGGTAGCGATTGGAATGAACGATTTCCTACTCATTGAGTTTAGATTCACGCGGCCGGACTCTCGTAAGAAGCTGTCGAGCTTGATGGCCCCGGCCATTGTCCTCGGCGTTATATGCCCTTTTTCGCTGTTCATAGCAATTTCCTCGCGCATTGGTGGGATATATCGCTCTGAATCGGCTGCCAGAAGCGCCAGAGCTGACACCAAAGACTGGACGGCGGAGTCAGTCAAGGACATGGATGAGCGAATATACAGCCTCACCGAAGTGGTCGTATGTATGGCAGCGACGTTCAAGCCCATGATCCTCTCCACGATATTCTTGACGGTTCGTTCTTTCACCGGCGAGGCATCAACGATCCACTGCAACAGGTCGTTGGGCTTACCCTTCACCTTGTGGCTGAGCTGTAGCCTCTGGAGCACCTCGTCTTTCATGAGGTCCTCAGTCAATTTTCTCTTGCGCCAGCATGGAGTTAATCGAACTGCGTAGCTGTAGTCGCATGTCCCTTTTAGCATGTATTTCAGTCATGGACTTCAACGGTGATCAACGTACGGCTTCAGCCATACTGGCAACAATCGGATCATCTCGGCTGATACGACGACGGCGTTGGTGAAGGACATGGCGTTATTCAGATACTCTTCATTGTTGCCATTGGGACTATCAGTAGTCCGCTTGCAAGACTATCTGTCTGGTCACTTACATAGGGGAGACCCGACGAAGGCTTGGCTAACTGCACGTGTTACAACTCTAGAGACAGTATCCCAGACTGTGACATCGGTCCAATCTGAGGTTCCAGCTTCATTTAAGGTGAACTATTTCATGTGCAGTTTTGTGGAAGAGTCCTCACCTGTTGGTGCTCCAATATGATATTTCAATTCCTTGCTGATTTCAACAAGCATACCAGGGATGTTATCGTTGATGGTTTGCGTGAGCTTGCCTGAGATCAACTGCCGGTGCCAAGGGGGGTTGTCCCCAATTGTCCATATCGATTGAACTTCCTGGAGGATCATCAACCTACTATGCAGTGCCAGTCGCAGAGAAACAAAGATACTCACATCAGCCCCTACATCCATGAAGTTGAGAACATCCTCAGAGGCCGCGAGATACTAGAGTTCAGTGAGAATAGGCCTAGTGAAAGTCTATGCGAGAATTACCACGACGGGTACTAGTGCACGTAGCAGTGACCTGTGTCTGTGTATTTTGAAAGGCAACGAACCTCGGAGATCTTATGCCTGTCCGATACCAAGACATATTCCTCCCTCAGTGTGGCGATCTTGAAGTATGATTTCCTGTATTTCCTGTATCCCTTCTCTAAACACTGCCGGGGCCGCAGCATGAACTCGACCGCCCCGCGCCAGGAGCCAAGGACGGGGTAGTGCCTGTATCCTAGACCGGGCACGCGAGCCTACACGAGTGACATCAGTACAGCGAACTTCCTGATGTTGAAGATGAAAGGAAACCGACAGTCTTTCTGGAGCCCAGAGTCAAACGTCGTATCGCGAGTACGGATACCACCGCTAGTAGCAGAGTAGATAGGGAGAAAAGCCCCATGGTAATCGTGGTGCCAATATCAGTTGAATCGCAATGATCAAGCTGCAGATATTGCCCGCAAGACCAAGTGGTCTGCGATCGAGAGCACCCAATATCTGATCTACACTTTCCAACTATTATCCAAGAGGGCCAAAGGTTGAAAGCCGCAAGCGTTGCATTGCGATAAGATAGAATTGGTGAGACTAGGGAGTCAGCCAATCGGTGATTTGCCCAAGAGCGCGTGATGAACCGGGGCAAATCAAGATTGGCAACGCGTTTCTTACCGAACCAGTAGCCAGAACGCGCCAATTAATTCACATACACCAGCACTGCTACGGCGCTGCTACAATACTGTGACAGGGCTGCTAAGATGAAAAAAGGAAAGACAAAGACTAAGTAAGGGAACGGGTGATGTTAAGCACAGGCGTTGCAGGATGAGCGGAGAGGGCACACGCCAAGCGAGCGACGACGTAAACGCGGCAATGCCCGCCGATTAAGAGGTAGATGTCTGATCTTGGTTTTAGAAACTTTAGATCCATTCATAACATGCGAGATACAGCGATCATGTAAATCAAAAATAAGAGGAACAGAGAGACGGTAAGCAATGAGCCCTGTGTGTAAACATTCACCAGTCTCCCAAGCGAGTCTCGTCCCTGAGGCTTAGAGGTTAAAAATGACTAGTATAACATCGCTCTGCAAACTAGCCATGTTACTTTCGTCCAGCGTCATCTGCCTTTGCACCACTGACAGGCTTTCGATCGGTGCCACGGCTAGCTACAATGCCTATTGCAGAGTCATCTTCAAGCTGGCCGAGTCTTACAAAGCTGTCCTTGCCCTCGGAGAATTTATGCTTCTCGACGACTGCGTCGCTTGCATTGTTGGCCTGGGTCATGGCGTCGTGTAACTCAACACCGAAAAGTTGAGAGACGGCATGCCAGATATTTGAAACCCGGGAGTAACGCACACGGACAGCGTACATCACTGCTATTGCACAAACCGTCACCATGTGAACTCCCAGCAGCGTCGCGACGGATATGAAGCCAGAGAAGCTGTCTGTAATGCAAGATCCGGGCGCGCGAACCGTGCTTGTGGACGACATCTTGACCTCTTCTGGCACACTCAGGCTACTGAGTAGGTTATCGTAGGAGGCGCTAGCCAGAGCACCAATTAGATTTTGAAAGGCATTGGCCGATCGCCGCGTGGATCTAAGGGTGTCCTCAAATATATATACAAGCTCTGGATGCATGACGCTGCCATAAGCCACGCATTGAATACAGGCTATGAGAGTCATATTTGGGGTAAAAAGGTCGGTGAGCGGCGTTATCACCAAGCTCATAAGGATCGCCGAGGTATTATAGCCCGAGCTTCTCGTTCCTGGAGAATCGGTATCGAAAGTTGTGTTATTAGCAGGAATCCAGCCGTCTGAGCCGGATAAAATATCCATCTCGAGCAGACCTCGCTCGCTGGGAGTTCTTGGAGTGTCTGTATCAAACATATTGAGGACCGAGGAACTACTGTGCTCATATGAAAGCTTGCCCCAGGTCATCACTGGCTCGAGAGTTGGGCCATTTCGGGACAGGTCGACGAAGCGTCTATTGACCACAAAGCGTGTAAAACAGAGGGAGATGTCGACGGATCGGCCTTCCACGGGCTGGAAGGTTATCCATTCGTCGTCTGTCTGGCTCATAGGGACCTCGTGGCTCTCGGACAAGCTGTACCAGTCATCTTGGGTCATGTTCGATGAGAGCACTAAATAAATTGACGAGTTGACTGCCCAAGGAGGATCATCAGGTCGCCAGTTCAGATCATGTAGGGTTTTCAATGTGCCCCCTACGTTCCCAATAAAACAGAAGACACTTTGAGTACTGCCGTAAAGGCTGCTTCCGGTCAAACATTCGAACGGAGTCGATTCGCACTCGCCTCCGCGACAAAGAGGCGACGTGTCTGTCCCGGGGCGAGCCTCTGTCAAGGCTTCTCCGTAGTGCAGAGTTCCAGTGATTCGGCCCAAAATAGCACTGGCATCGGAAGTGTAGTTGCTGAAGGACGCTTCCATCTTCGGAGCAAGGCAAGAAACACGAGAGCTTGACACTAGGGTGTTCCCACGGTATTGGCGGACTGAGCTACGAGCATCTTTATCCGGGACGGGGATGTAGCCGCGCTGCACAAGACCTGTGTCACTGAAGCCATTGGGGCTCGGTGAGCTGTCTACACTGGATTCCGATTCCCCAAAGATGCCATATATGGGACTTGTCTGGAGCATGACACCGAAGCCGCTATTCAATTCTTCAATTGAATGTCCATGAAGCAGGTTGGCAACGGTTGTGATGCTGGCATCGCCCGCGACCACAAAGTCCCTTAGATCTGACAGAAGTATGGTTGAGGAGAATTGTAAAACCAATGTTAGCATGCCTAGTAGCATCATGAGCCAAATCTCGAAGCTTGCCAATACAGACAAGGTTCTCGAGGACAGAAGTATCTGGATCAGTTTTCTTGGCCCGTCATTGACGCCTCTGATTACGGAGACATAGGCAGCTTGAGACTTGCGAATCAGGGCGTGGTGGTTTTCCAAGACAAGGGCGGCAATCATAGAGGTGCATATGCCGGCTTGGATGGAAATGACGAGCCGCAAGACGAGGGCGCAGATGGTAATGGTCCGGGTCATCCAGTCCGCCAAGGCAATCCGCCGCCATAACCATGAAGCCTTCGCAGCTTCAGGCACAGTTCCCTTGCCGAACCAGAGAAAAGAAAGGAACCCGATCACACCTAGAACCAGAGCAGAGCCACCAAGAATGCCGGAACAGCCATAGAGTCCAACAGACTCCTTCCAGGGTAATGGAGAACTAATCTCTTTATGGGGAGGCGTGTCATGTATTTGAAATGTCTCCGTGGACTGTCGCTCGGGCAAGTTTTCGCCTGAGCGCGTACTGTGAATAATGGTGGTCGACTCCGGAAGGCCTTGGGTGGTTTGTGAGCTTGATCTATCCTCTAGTGCCTCAGACATGGCCTGGTGTGTTGTGTTCTCCGACGATGTAGTCTGTGGTGTATCGCTCGTCTTTGCCGTTGTAATGGATCCTCCAGGAGTCACTGGTGTCTTTGTCGTTTGAGACGGAGAGTATGTATGAATTAGGGTAGAAGTGGACATCTCCATAGTCCCACACCCGCCTATTGTTGAGATGGATGAACGGTCTTCACCGGATTCTTCCCCAGGAGATTTGGCCCCATTCGATGTCCCCTGATCTGAGTCACTCTCAAGCAGCTGGTTGCAATTGAGACTCATATTCCTATGACTGTCCAAACAATTAAACTGTTGGGCATGAATTTAGGGGCACACCACTCTGAAAATGAAGTGATAGGGCTTGAGCTCGAGTGCTCACATGTAGTTCTGCATCTGTGATATATATACATATATCTAAGCTACATGCCTGAACGTTCGGTGAAGTTTGACAGCGGACCCTTCTAACGTATTAATCATGATTAGGCGTGCGTTGACAGATCAGATTGGAGAATACTGTTAAAGCAGTAAACGATGTCGGGCTGCACCAAAGGAGAAGCAACGAATGGACGTACAGAGACTGGATTGTTTCACAACTTACGCATGACATGAAGTAGGCTGACTGCAGAACTTACCATATAATTAGTTGAAAAGTGTTATTGATGTGCATATTGCAGTGTTTTAGCCCTTTGCATGACATCGGGGGCGGGGGCCAAAGAGTTATCTACTTAGGCCTCACATGCAGACCCTGTCTATGCACCAAAATACCTTGAAATTGTTTTCGGCTGGTGCTCAAGATGTCGTGTAACTACTTATATTCTGTTTCGATGATGGACACCGTGGCTATGCTATATTTGGATCAAAATGCGCCCCCAAATGAAAAGCGCCCCCCAATATCATGCCTTTCCAACCATTGATGCATCCGTGTTTTCCCCGAATCTTCATACAGCCGCCCCAGTTGCAAGGATACGAGGATGCCCCGTTTATCCTCTAACATGCCGAGCCAGAAGAAACAGGTGGAGTTGGTGAATCCTCTTCAAAGCATCAAGATGATCAAAACCGAAAACTGTATACAGATATAGTAACACCGCTTGGTTGCTGTATATAGGTTCTGTATCAAACTGCCTGGGGCACGTGCTTAAACTTGAACCCGAGACTCAACTAAAGTGATGATTGAACTGGTCCGAACTCAGCGAAGGGATGCTGAACTTGACCGCCTCCCACAAGAATTCTGAAACTGGAGCATAGGGAAACCATCTCATTCAGAGTATCTATGTACGAAGCTATCGCTCAATCATGCCACCAAAAACCAGATCTAGTAAACCTCAAGCACATATCGTCCCTCTTCCTTCAGACGATCAATCTCCTTCTTCGAGTCAACCTTCTTGCCATTCATCTTGGCCTCAGTCTCGATCGCCTCCTGGAGCACCTCCGTGACGTCGGGTACAGGCCATGTAGGACCACACAGGTAGAACGAACCCTCCTGGGTGATGTAGGCTTTCATGATCTGGGAGATGGTCTGGCGCATGCGATCTTGGATATAAATCTTCTGAGGCTGGTCACGCGAGAATGCGGCACCAAGCAGGGTGATGACACCTGAGTCGAGGTATGCCTCCCATTCTTCGCCGTAGAGATACTCCTCGCGCTGGTGACGGGAGCCAAGGTAGAGTAGGATGTCACCGATCTGCTTGCCCTGTGCCTTCTGCATGGCTCGGTATTGAACAAAGGCGCGGAATGGAGCAAGACCAGTACCGAGACCAGCCATAATGAGCGGTGCGTCATCACGGGTAGGGAGCTTCATGACGGACGGCTTCACTGAGGCGGTGACCTCAGTACCGACCGGCAGGCGGCTTAGGTACCGGGTGGCTTGGCCATAACGAGTGCGTCCCTTCGTGTCAACCCAGTCGACAACAACAATCATAAGAGCAACTGCGTTGGGAGTGACAGCTTGAGCAGAAGCGATCGAGTATTCACGGCGCTTCAGCGGGCCAACCAAACGGGCGATATCGGTGAAAGAGAGTCGTGCCGACTTGAACTCTTCCAGAATATCAGCGTATGTGATAGTGTCAACCTCGCTGCGCTTCTTAAACTCCTCGGCACCTTCCGCGGCACCAAGAGCGACCAGCTTTTTCTTCTCCAGCTCATCGGTAGCAAATTCAGCGAGAACTTCGTAAAATCGCTTGGGGGGTTTGCCAAAGATGTCAATATTCTGCTGGAGAGCCTGGAAGACAGTGCGCGTTTCAACAAAACCGGCTTCCCTGCCAGGGATTTGCACAAGTTCGTCACCGTTGAGGCCATAAGACTCGATAAACTCCTGAATAAGTTCTGGATCATTGTCTGCGTGTATACCAAGCGCTTCACCGATCTTGTATGTAAGACCCGAATTGCCAAGATCGAATTCGATGTGGAAGATGTTGCGGTCGTATGTGGAGGGCGTGAGCCTGCGGTTCTCCTTCACGTGGATCGTGTAGGTCTTCACAGTAGCCTCGGGGCGTAGAGTAATCTCGGTGCCATAAGCCTCCTTGAAGAGAAGACCCTTTGCGGCGGTGTGCCAGTCGCTAACCGACAGCTCGGTCTCGGTCTCCTTCTTCTCGAAAGGCACGAAGCTTGTGGTCTTCAAGGCGCTAGGAAGAGCAGGCGCTGGGGCCTCTTCCAAAGTTTCTGCCCACGCTTCTGGCACCTCGAGCTTGGTCAAGGCCTTTTCAAGCTCGTCGGCACACTCTTCGACGCTGGGTGAGGTTCCCTCCAGCAGGGCAAGCTTCTGCAAGAGCTCAGGCTTTGCGTCGGGCTTCGCAACCTTGAGGAATGCAAGCTCAGCCAACAATCTAGCGGCACTGTCATTGCTCTCAAAGGCTGGAGAGAATGCTGAGTCAAGGATATAGAGTTCCAATCCACGGGATTGGATGTCTTTGCGCACAGCGGCGGGGATGCGTTTCTCGATATCCTCGGTCTTGAAGTTGGGGAGGTTGACCACAAGCTTGCCACCAGACTTGATAATCTGGGAAGATGCGACTTCTTTCAATAGCTTTTCACTGTTGATGAAGACAACATCAGCCTCCTCAATAGGGTAGGGAGCATCAATGGACTTCTTCGACGTGCGGAGATCAGTCCGAATAACGCCGCCCTGTACCAGGTTATCGTGAGACTCGCTAACGTAGACGTTGTTTGTAGAGTCCCGAGAGAGGAGGCCGCTGATGATAGTAGGCACCACGGCAGACACGGAATCGTCCACGTCCCAGAAGATGTACTGGCCGACGCTGTCGAGTTGGGAAAGTTGCACCTCCACTTTAGCAGACGGGTCCTTGCTGATGTACTTTGAGAGACTGGCTGCGAAGCTAGTGGGTGTGAAGCTCTCAGCGGCAGGATACTTGACGTCTTCCACTGCCGGAGCAGTAGTCCACTTATCAGCGAAGGAAACGGCAGTGAGAACATCGGCGTAGAGTGCCGACTGAACGGAGGCGTCAGTGACAGCACGAGAGTCGATAACTTGGCCAAGAACGGCGACTGTCTGAACTGATTCCGGTAGGGCCTTCAAGAAAGCCTCTTCGACGAATGGGCGGTACACGCGAACACTGACTGCACCGACCTTGACGCCCTTGGATGCCAAAGCGTCCACGACCTGCTTAGCCACCTGAGACTCGACGCTGCCGAAGACAACGAAGACCACTTCGGCAGCCTTGTCGCCCGTGTACTCAAACAGCTCGTAGTCGGTGCCAAGCTCGCCGTTGAAGGCGTTCAGAAGCTCGACTGCCTTGCCTGCTTCGTCCAAGCGCTTGTTGAGATCATCCGCCGTGGCAGAAATCTTCTTGTAGACGTCTGCGATGCCGTTCTCGCTCAGCGCATCAATAACTCGTACCGTCTCACGGGAAGTGCGCACTCCGTCGTAGATGTGGAGGGTTGGCAGAACTTTGGCGAGCAGGGTCGCAAACAGAGACATATGTTGCGCCTCGTACACCGACGTGCTCGAAACCAGGGCGAGTCCAAGCTCTTCAGCAAGCTGCAAGGCAGAGCCATACTCAGAAACAAGCCCGGCATTGGCAGAGTAGTCGGCAGCCGCGACGTGGGCAACAAATGGGCTGGAAACTCCGTACAGCAGGGATAGCTGGTCGAGGGATGAGCGCAGGTGGCGCAAGCTCAGGGAAGGGGCCAGCAGGGTCTGGGGGATGTGCCTCTTGGACAGATCAAAGTCCTTGGAGAACATGTAGCCAAGGGCGAATGCGCCGGCCCCGGTGCGGGTCTGGAGAGGCAACACATTCGTAGTATATCCGTGGATGTTTCTCTCCTCGTCATCGGCCCAATCTTGCACGGCAACATCGAGGTCGAAGGTCTCGGGAGAGTACGAGAATATCTTGTCGGAAAGCTTGTATGCCACCTGCTGGACCAGGAGCTGGCCAGTCACGTAGGTTGGGCCGGATATCGAGTGCAAGGGCACAAGCTGGCCGAAGGGCAGGCTCGAGGACTGCTTGGTGAACTCGGTGCGTTCGGCGCGAGACTCAGGCACAGAGACCTGGTCGACGGAACCGCCGCTTTCCTGCTGCTTCAACTGCATTGTGTGTATATACCAGTCGATAACGGTACTTGGTCCCTGATTCGCAGCAACAAATTTGAGCAACACAAGACAAAACAAGCAATTGGGGAAGAAGGGAAACGAAGGTCGTTTCCTACGGCAAAGGAGAACAGCCTCGGACGATCAGACAGGAATACCAAGACCGGAACAGAGGGAGAGGGTCAGGGTCAGGGTGTCTTGTACCGCAGGCTCACGATGCAGAGGGGTATCTTGAGAGCAAGTACCAGGTCGCCAGGACGGAAATTGCACAAAATTCGAGAAAATACCTACCATGGCCACCGATGACCGGCAGAAGGCTGTCTGACTCCGGTATTGCGCCATCTTTACCGGCCGCCATCGCGGGTGTCGGGCATGGGATGGTGAAGTTTCGCTTTGAAATGGAGCGTCCGACAGTCGAAGAAGTGATCACGCAATCGCGTGCTAACCGGGAACGGCCTAGCGCCGAGTCGCGGTTCTGACCTCACCACCTCAGCCGCCACTAGAGAAACGTCTAGCCTTGAAGGCATTTGGAAAATTTCGACCAGGGGGGCCCAGAATCAGAATTGGGGATGGGAAAACCGGGGGTCCAGCCAAATTCGGCGCCCGCACTGCCGGACTGCAGGTGGTCGCCCGAATTCCTGGGGCGCTCAATTCCGAAATGCCTCCGTGGCGTCGGCTCATGACAATTGACTCCATGACAGAGCCTCTCTTCCTAGCGGTGATGCACGACTCACACACAAAAGAGATCAGGAAGAGATCAGTGTGGCATTCACGTATTCCAGCTGTCGCGACGGCCGTCAGAACCAATTCACGCAGAGAAAAAAGGCACGTGTCAACTAAGACGGAGATCACTCTCTTGCCGCCAGGCAAGACAGTGCTGTATCTATCATACGAACATACGGCTACAGGTCCAGTATCTGTGTACACTAACTTGGCAACATCGTAGCTACAACCTTTTGCCAAGATTCAATAACGCCGGCTTCTCATCCGGGACTCATTCGATGTGTTCAACATCCACAGGTTTCTTCTCCCTTGTTACCACCTCTGGTTCTTCAGCCATGTCTGCTGCCGTTTTGGCCCGTTGCGCTCCTATGTCTGCCAGACTCACACCCTCCTTCCTCAGCGTCTCAATGTGATCAGCAGCAGCACCGTACTCCGCCCTCTCTGCCTCGCTCATTTCTGGCCCCAGGAACAGGAATAGGAGCATATACACCCAGACGGCGCCCATAAAGATGCCGATCACCCTGCCGTAGTCGTACCGCTCAACCCCGTTGGCCGGCGGCAGCGGGAACTCCTCGCCGATAGTGGCCTGGATTGTAGCTGAGGCAGATGATGCCAAGTTTCCGAGCTGATATGTCAAGCCGACCGCGGTGGTCCGCAGTGCTGGGGGCGAAAGCTCGCTGAGATGGATTGGAATTGGTCCCCAGACGCCTCCAACCCAGATTTGAAGGAAGAAGGCGCTGGCTATGAGCTTTGTCGAATGCGGTATTACATATGCTGGCAGTATAACACTGCCAAAGATACAAGCCACGATCATGGTGAGCCGCCGGCCAAAGAACGTCGAGATGTAGCCTACGGTGCTACCACCAATGAAAGCTCCAATCTGCCCGACCACACTGATAACCGTCACATCTGTGGCACCAAGACCAACCTCTGCAGAGCTGTCAGAAACTCTTTCGGTGCGTGATCAAATATTGAAATACTCACGGTTCTTCAGGAATGTCGGATACAAATCTTGACTGCCGTGGCTGCAGGAGTTGAAGCCAGTCATCAAGACGACCATGTAGATAAAAAGGAACCAGTTCGATTTGATGGCCGTACCCAGTTCCTTGAACCAGACCCGAGCACCTGAAACGACAGCCCCTCTATTATTTCGAACCGCGGTAGCTTCTCTTTCAGCTTTCATGACCTGGAATGTATTGGTCTCAGGCAAGTACCACCGAAACGCAATGATGAAAACAGGCGGGCCAGCACCGAACCAGAAAAGAGACCTCCATCCATGAGTTGTAGTCGGAACAAGCTAGACCGTTCAATCAGCTGAGAGCTACATCAGCACGGTATGAGACCTACAGCCCGATAGAATATGGCTGCCAGCAAGTAACCGAGAGCATATCCCTGTTGATATATGCCTGAGAGTATGCCGCGTGCATCGTACGGCATATCCTCAAGTGCAGTTGCTGCCGCGGGCCCAAACAACCCGCCCATGGCGATGCCGTAGAGAGATCGAATAGCTAGGAATTGCGAAAGATTCTGTGCAAATCCCGACGCCAGCTCTAGCACAATGAATAGTCCCAAGTTGATGATCATCGGCCATTTTCTACCATACCGGTCAGACAAGCCCCCGAATATCAGGGCGCCGACGGAACGAAGCATTAGGGTCACAGTAATGCCCCATGATACAGCTGCGTTCGATTCCTTGAATTCTGTAGCGATTTCGGTGACGCAGAGCGATACCGTAAAGAAGTCAAACGCATCCCAAGTCCAACCCAGCAGGCCCACTGTGAACATGAGCCATTGGTGGCGATCTAGCTCACGCAGGACTGCTACTGGATTCCGAAGCTTTGTCTTCGGCGGCTTGAGACTCGTAGGTCGTGTCAAGAGATAGCGTGCGATCTGCTCGGGTGAGTAAAACCACCCAGCTGCCATATGATTCCGCATCCTTGAAGTGGTAGCCTCGCAACTTTTAAGAATGAAATTTTCGGCGCAGAGAGCTGTTTGACTTCTCGAGAGATCTGATCCTCGTCAAGGCATAGCCATTTTTATACGCCATGACGTTGCCCCGACTTATACCTACACACTCCGCGACTCCAACGCGCGCGGGGAACCTTGTACCCATCACGCTCTCACCACCGGCAGAACCAATGAAGTGAAAAGGATCTTGTCAAGTTTAGATCGAAGGATCGTATTGAACGGCAGTCGGGCTTGCAATAAATGGTACTTGGGAAACCCAATCACGGTCACTGGCGCATCACCCTCAATGATACGTTTCTGCGCGCGACGCCGCGACGCACGATATCCCCGGGCTCACAATAAGCATCCATTGAGATAAGTCCTCAAAAAGACTGTCTTGCTCATCAAGGCGCCCAATAAATCTCTATCTTTACCCTGAAAAGGTGGGCCTTCATGCTGATTCGAGTCGTCAAACATACACTTATGGCAATCTGGACAGCTCTGGTCCACCCAACTGACGACTGAAACTTGGTTGTGCGATTAAATGCTTACGACCATAGTACTGGGTGCTTAGTTGTGAGGATTTCTTGGGCGACAGACGATAAGGTTTGCTTTCTCGAATCCGCTCAGTCAGGAACGTCTTGCCGCTCTCAAGGCCTCGCCCGCGGGAATCTAACCATCACGACATTGCCTTCTAATTTATCAATCCCATTGAAGTAGTCTCGCAGAAAGTCCTACACGCTCACGAAGGTCAACTTTTCATTTGATGGCATCCTGTTGGCAGACCCTACTCGCCGATATCACACTGCAGAAAAGCCATGATGGCTTTCGAGTTCTGGCTTTGTACTCTTCTCTCGTTGATTGCTGCGTACCATTTTCTTGGCAGACCCCGAAGGACAAAGATAGAGAACCCTATCCGCGGGGAAGTCCTGGACTTCCTCATGGCTTTGGATGCTAATTGCGGCACAGTCCATCCAGGGGCTGAGCGACTGCACCACCTCAAAACCGACTTCGATCTTGGACAAACTGATCTGAACGGGCCAGGAGATATTGCAAGAACGAGGCTTTACCTTGAAGTTGCGAAACTGGAAAGGGAGCGGCTGATTATTGTACATGTGCGTGAGAGCTTGTTCAACCAGATCTGGCAGGCAATCGCTAGGGTGCCGGATATGATACAGGAAGTCTCCCGACGAGTCTACCTATATCTGGCTCTACAATGAACATCAGAGCAGAGAGGAGCACCCCGAAAGGTTAACTGAGGCCCATGGAACGACTTACATCAACATAGCTTTTTGAGAAACCAGCTCTTCCGTAGATGTTGTTCTGGTTGGACGACGCATTGGGCCCAGAGCAACGGACAGTAGCCTCCGCCGAGAGGATAACGCGAACGGTGAAACAGTGTATAAATATCTATCAACGTAAGTAAAGCAGTCCATCATTGCGAGCAGCTCGGGCGTGGCGGTCGCTCACGGTAGGATATTCAAGGCTCATGATCCTAGGTCCCAGTGGCTGGCTTTTGGTCAATTGAACGTGAACCGTGGGGGGAGTGAGAGACCGTGCTCTACCGGCCCTGCTCGCCTGCTCGCCAACTCAAAACTAGAGTAAACTCCAGTACGCAGCATGAATTATTTATATGTTTCCGCTTATGGACAACGCGACGAGACAACGCAAACCCTCATGTTGCAGACGATGGGTTGGCAAAACGCCGACGTCGCCCCTCTCACGCTAGCAGACTAAAGTTGCCTATTTCGTCCACTGAGGTTGCAAAGTTGCAGTGAGGGGAACCCCACTAAGTGGGCAGCTTCAGCGATGGATTTCTAATTCAATGGGCCGTTCACTTCTACTACTCCTCGGCCATGGACCGAGCAACTCATGCCTTGGTACATCAAACAAATCTCGCATTCAGTCGAAAATGGCCCCCGTGCACAAAGTAGCCCTCGTGCAGCTGAACCCCAAGGTTTGTAGCTACCTTCTTCGTAGTTTTCGCATAGGTCACCCTGACCTGAAGTGTGTTACACTTACGTCACCCCCTAAGCAGGGGTAGCTTCAACAGGGGTCGGGGCAATGTTCGGTGCCAATCTTCCTCGACGGATTAGAGCTTTGCTGACGCTGTACAAATAGGCAGTAGACCCAGCTGCGAACTTCGCAAAGGCTGAAGGCTTCATCAGAGATGCGGCCGCCAAGGGTGCCCACCTAGCCGTGCTCCCAGAATATCATCTCACATCATGGGTTCCAGACGACCCTGGTTTCAAGGCATCATGTGCAGACTGGAAGCACTATCTTGCCAAGTATCAAAATCTAGCGAAAGAGCTCAGCATCTGTATCGTCCCCGGAACCATTGTTGAGCTGGTGAGAGAGGGGGAGAACGAGATACTCCGCAACATCGCATACTTCATCTCCTCGGACGGCGAGATTGCAGGACGCTATCAAAAGAAAAATCTTTGGCATCCTGAGCGTCGTCACCTCGTGTCATCTGCTCATGAGCCCCATGAAGCCTTCGATACGCCACTGGGCCGAGTGGGGTTACTCATCTGCTGGGACCTTGCATTCACCGAGGCTTTCCGGGAACTCATCTCGGATGGCGCACAGCTTATCATTGTTCCTACGTTCTGGACGATGAAGGACGTGACAGACGAGGGATATGCGTTGAACCCCGATGGAGAGGCGCTCTTCCTCAATAGTACGGTTATCAGCCGGGCGTTCGAGAACACTTGTGGTGTGATATTCGTGAACGCCGGCGGGCCGCCTGAGAAGGAGGAGAAGACGAACTATGCCGGGCTGAGCCAAGTCGCTCTGCCACACGTAGGATCAGTGGGCAGAATGGGTCGAGCCGAAGGAATGAACATAGTCGACCTGGATATGGACATCCTCAGAGTTGCCGAAGACAATTACAAGGTCAGAGAGGACATGAAAAAAGAAGGCTGGCATTACGCATACACTCGGCTCAGAGACGAGAGTCGACTGTGAATTCCACAGCTTCGAGAAAGCTGCATCGCAGTCAGTTGCTGGGTGCCCGATCGCGAGAATTGGTGCACAAACTATTCTTTTTTGAAGGGTTTCATTCAATGTCGCCTTGGCGAAGTCCATGCCCGTGGCCAGGCCTCTGTAGTTCGGAAGGTGGAATGCCAATCGATTCTGGAGTGACGTCTTCGTGATGCGTAAACCACGTTGCCGCATGATCTAAGTCAGTGGCGTGACTGCCGTAGCAACCCTCTAAGTCGGAACAGCCGTGTGAAACATGGGCTAGATCCCCGCCTCCCTCGTAGACACCGACCATCATATATCGTGGCTTCCCTCTGGGCTTGTCCGCACTCTGACCTCGCGCACAGCAATCTCCCTACAACCTAAAGATGTCATCTACTTTGGCGAGCCTTGCCGCCCTGACGACAGTGTTTACGCCTCCTCCATCTTGCGCAGGTCGGTACGCTGTCTTCATCGGCAGCCCAACACCAATTGGAGGGGCCCTGAGCACCAACACGCCGAGTAGCGGGTGGATAGACCCCTCATTCTCATCATGCGTTCCACCAGAGTACACAAACACGTATCCAACGTTCAGCCCAGGCGTATGCCCCTCGGGAATGAGTATCATTTCGTCGGCCTCAGATGTCCAGGGCTCTAGGACGATATGGACTGGCGCGTGTTGCCAGAGGTATGTTCATACAAGAGCCTGCCTTGGAAGGAGATCTGACAACTCACAGCGGGTTTGAAACCATGGAAATCGACCCCAGATATATCTGCACATCCTCCGTCACCACGCCAATGGGGTTCTTGTTGGACCCAAACATCTCGACTACAGACATCTACACCACCATGTCCAACCTCCAGATTGAGCATGACCAGTTAATGGTGGTGTGGGAGGAGTCGGACCTCGCAGCTCTGCCAACCAACGTCGCAGTCCAGTACGCCTCCATAATGGGTGTCGTAGTGCCAACTCCAAGCTCAAGCGAGGAAGAAGATACAACCAGTTCCCTACAACCAGCTGGCACAAGCGTCGCTCCGCAGGTAGCAATAACGACAAGCTCATCTGAATCTCTAGCAGGAAGCCAAGGAGCATCGAGTCCACGCTCTGCTACGGGCGAGCTGACTGATTTTCCACAAGCGACCGCTGCCAAAGTTTCATCTTCCGTTTTTGGCAAGGAAACCAATCAGCTGGTCATTTGGACGTGCTTAGCACTCATTTTGAAGCTGATGTTCAGCATCGGATGAGATGCAAAGGAAATACCGTCCATAGATCGGAATCAAATTGCAATGTTCTGAATGTAGCACATTGCCTCATTGTTCCCATCCCACTAGTGCCCGCGTACATGACGCTACGGGTGCCTGCAACTGGTTCGCGATTGAAAGCAACCATAATATGATTCCGTGAAAGCCTGTCTATGACTTCAAATTATACCTTGTTTGAGCCGTGTCTCATCCGAATTGTCATAGTGAAGAAGCCTCGAGCTATCCTGCCTAGGAAATACTGTTGCTGACTACTCATCCCCCAGGGTCTTGAAATGCCCTCGCTATGAGAGCGTATGTATAAGTTGGCATTTTATCGTTGGTGGTACAAGAGGCGACTGACAGCAGCGCTCGACAAGCCGTACCTTGCCAGAAGGGGGTGACGTTCTATCAAAAACACCGCCTCTCGCAGTGTCGAAATATCACCGTTGGCCGAAAGATAGGCATTGCTTCCAGCGTACTGACTACCCACGGGTGCGAGCGGTTGAACCGATGCAGCTCTTCGTCAACCAGTTCTGGATCAAGGACAGGAGGAGATGGAATCCCTGGTCTCATTGAATCTCGCCATCTCCAAACTTCTTCCACCATATCGATCTCGCTCAGCGTCCCCTTCTCAGCCTCGCCCGCCCAGACATGGCCAAGCCAGTTGTTCTCCACCAGCTCCCTCCATTTCGCCAGTAGCTTGGCAAATAATTCTGGGTTCAGAAGTGCGTCAAACATCTCTGTGTAGTCTGCTTGCTTCGCGTCGCCCGGGCGCCCCTTCTTCCACAGTTGATGCAATGCAGCGATGGCTTTGTGGTCATCAAACGGGTCGAGAATCTGGACTGGCGTTTCGAGGCACTCGAACGTAGCCGAAGCCCGGACTTGCTCCATGGTAGCATGTATGACAATTTCCGATAGACATATTACATACTCCCTTCGTGGCTCTAGAAATGTGTTCACAGATGAGTCGAACATTGGGCGAAAGAAAGTTGGCGCTTTCCCGCTCCAGTCAAAACCCACGGTTGCGTCTGCCATGAACGAGACGGCACGCGACACAGAGCGATAGGCATTGAGGATGGACATCGAGTACGGGTCATCTCCATACAGACCGTACGCGTCGTTCCAGTTCAGATGCACAATGTCTGAATGGCGGTAGAACCAGGTAGCTCTGATGCGGTTGAAGGCGCTCAAGCCGGGGATGCTCTTAGTCTCCGGGGTTTCCCAGAGAAAGCCGCCATCTTCAAAGGCCACCTGGCGGGCCTCGCGGCAAGACCGGGCGAAGGCGGGCTGCCTGCAGTTGCGCAGTGAGACGTGGTGGATGTCGCAGTCTGTTTCGACTATCTCCTTGATTGGCACGTCGAGCTCAGTGACTCTGGTGCGCGCCTCACAGTGCCTCCAGATTTTGAGCCGGAGCTCGGTGGGCAGCTGAGAGAAGCAGGTGAAGCGGCGCTCCATAACAACAGATCTTTGATCTCGGGCTGGAGGCGAGCAGATATGCAAATGCCAGGGAGGACAGATGGCCGTGGGATGCAGAAGAGATGCGTGAAGATTCAGGCGTCGACCCACCAACGATGGCGCTAAGCGATACTGAGAGAGCCCTGAAGGAAGTCACTAAGTCGCGAAGTGGGTTGTTTTTAGAAGGTTGTGCAAGAGATGCCAAAATCACATTCGCACTAGAGCAAATCAGTAGCAACTGCTCTGTATCGCTCAACAGTATGATAATAGATAATGTACATAAAAAGCCAATGTACCGAGTCGTTGGCTTCAAGCCTGGGCCGAGCCGATTGGAGGAAGGGGTCTGGTCGCTACAAGGTTAAGTTTAGCGCACTAACAGTAGATGGCTTGCCAGCTTTTGGACTACTGTGTATATCGCTTCCTTTTCCGCTTTTCGGTTCACATCCTAGTATATGTGGAGGACGAATCCCAAACCGAGTACACAGAGGAGCAACTCGCTTCAGTGCAGTTTCTGAGAGCGATCGAATTCCCACATGTGATCAAGAGAGATAAGCGGACAATAAAATGTCTGGAAAGTCAAGAATTCTTGTGTTCATAACAGAAAAGAATGTATTTAGATGTATGCGCCTCTTCCGTGCGCGAAAACATCAAAGAAAGATTGACACTCTGCAAAACAAACATAACTCCACGCCGAATCCTCAAACAGAGAAACTACTTCTGGTTGGCCTCAATGACGTCATCCACCTTGGTATCTTTGCAATGCTTCTTCACCCAGTTCTTGGTCGTGCTCATGCAAGAGTCGTCTTCACGAACAGAGTTAGGTATGTCGGTTTCCAGTAATTGTGTTGGCAGAAGAACTTACTCGCAATAGTAAGGCAAGCCGTCCCTCCGACTTTGCCCAAACCTGCGCAATACAGATTCTGAGCCACGTAGCATCCATCGAACTCCTTTCTGGCCTTGCACCCGTTTGCGTCCTTCCAGCCCCCGATGCCAAAGCTCGGCTTCAACTGTTTGAAGAGAGATTCGTCGTGCCCCTCGTCGATACATTGACCCACAGTCTTTCCCTTACATTCCCCGAAGTCAATGTTTCGGCGCTCATTCGGCTTCTGTGGCGATGGAACAGCAAAGGCGACAGTGGCCAAAGCTAGAAGAATGGTGGACTTCATTTTGTTCTTGTTTGTATAGGTATTTATTCGTGCGCAATAAGACACTAACGAAGGCTCACTCGGGGATGTCTTGTGATGAACTGATTTTATTGATCTCAAAAAGCTTCATAGGTGTCGAGAGTGTTTGTCTTTATATAGCGCTTCTGGCCGTATCTTTCTCAGTCATAGCAGCCCATCGTCACTGCAGATACTAAAGGTTGTATTCATCGGGCGAATCTTTTATATCAATGTCACGTCATGACGTTGAAGGATTATAGGTCCTTCGGAGGATGGTAGAGGGAAGTGATTGCTAGTACTTTTTTCGCAGTTGTGCTGGACATCATTCAGGGTAGAGCATTTGGACACACGTTGTTTGGAGCAATAACCGAATTCCTTTGACTTCAAGTCCCACTGCTAACCCAGCATATCACCGGAAGCGAACATGATATCATTTCAAACTCATTTGAGGTAGTGCTGTGATCGACATGAGGCAAACGGCAGGGTGCTGCGCCGCCTGCGCCGCCATGGATCAGTATCCTAGCGAGCTAAATATACTTACCAGTGCTTCAAGCCAGGTGCTGCCAGGTGCAGCTGATGGCTCAGCTCTGGACTAGTCTTTGTTCCATTGGTCAAAGGTGGCAGTAACGACCCTTTACCCTTGTCCTGACCCACTACTTAATTACTGAGCGATTGAGCAAGCAGAAGCTTCTCCTTGCATCCAGTGTAAAAATGGGAAGGCCGTGACAATCTTGCTGCCCTATAGCATACAGCATAGGCCTGATCACCTAAGGAATAATCCCACCATGCCTATCTTAACCTCTTACAGCCTTGTGTCTTGCCAGACTTGAGGCACACCAATTATGGGGCCATTGATTGAGCTTTGAAAGTCATAGACTACCCTAGATGGGGGCCTAGGATTCGTCCATTGCATATTCGCGAGCTTGTCCTTGCCTGAGATGCCTGTTGACGCATGTATAGCCGTGAGAACGACAGAGTTACGTTTCTTGAAATCTAATTTTAGAGGTTCGGAGCGTCATGCAAACGTTGAGTTTTGGCCCGGTTCTATTGGGTTGTGACGTGGGGCTCAATAGTATACCTCCTACTGCATATATCTCTGTCTCAGAACCTAATATGACCTGAGATCACTGTGTTTGAGGTCATTAATCAGTGGGGCCACGATAGAGTATATCACTATACAGTATCCATATTGGAGGCCATGAAGAAGTTTTGGGACTGTTCAGAACTATGACAGTACTGTCTGTGTGATATTGGGTTTTGGTTTTTATTAAAGTTTCCTAAGCTATACTTATTCAACCATTATATACTGCGCAGCACTCCTACCGTTCGCCGCTTTCGCGATGACAGTGACCATTATGTGATCTCTCGGCAGCTTCACTGACGTAGGGTACTTGTCATGTCTGATGGGACGCGCAATGCGTCCATCAAAAGACCATTGGCTACCATCGACGAGCAGGTTATCGACGGGCTCGCCATCAACATATGCGGACACGGTATCGACGGGGTCGTCGAACTCCACAGAACCCCGAATTGAGACATGGCGAACATGTTGCTCTGCGGCATCTTCCTTATCTGAGGTCACAGACTCGACCTTCAGAAGCGCCTTTTGGCTGGCTCCCCGGTTTTGTGCTGGAGAGTCACCTCGAATGGCGATGAGATCAGTTGGCAAAGATGGGGCCAACGGCGGCGATGTGCGTCGTTTCGACGCAGTCTCATACGCAAAGGCGTATCGTAGCAAATCCGAATCAGCCCAACCCTTGTTGGCAAATGTGATGCCTACAGGAATCTTCTTGTCTTTGATCTCTCCCATCGGCACCGTAATGCAAGGAACGCCAAGGTGTTTGAGAGCCCTCCCACCGTTCGAGTATTTGATGCCATCCTGGAGTGCGTGAATCATTGACTCCATGTTCTCGTCCGCGTCAGCAGCTACAACGTCGCCGTTTGTCGGGAAAGCCAGAAGGTCATATCTGTTCTCATCCATCCAATCTTCATAGAACTTTTTCGTCATAGCCTCCAAAGCCTCCAAGGCTTCTGCACAACCAGGCAGGGTGCTTGGTGTTGAATTCCGCACTCTTACTGAGTCGATCATCTCGGGATAACGAACTTGGTTTTGAGCCTCCGAGTGCGCCGACGGATCATCCAGAGGTGCAATGTGAGGATGTATTTTTGATGGGTCCACAGAAGGTAGGTCGGGATGTTTTGGATCCTTGTTATCGCGTAGGAAATCGTCCCAGCCCATGGCGATAAGTTGGCACCTCTCAATGCTCATCCAATCGTTGGTCAGGCCGGGTACATTGGTCGCTTGGCCCGGGAAGTCCTGCTTTGTGTACTGCGCATACAATGGAAACGAAGTCTCAACAACCGTGGCGCCGAGAGCTTCAAGATCTCGTAGAGCGGCGCGAAATAGGCGAAGCACTTCCTCAGAGCACATTGAGGTCAATCCATACCCTTCAACCCCAAGGAAGCATTTCGGCACTGCAATGCGCTTTCCTTGAAGTGCTTTAGCGTCTTCAAGGCTGTGGAAGTCGGTGGGACGAATGCTTGAAGCCGCAGGGATGGAAATATGGCTCTGACTTCTCCAAAAGTCGAGGCCCCGAACGTCGGCATCATCAGCGACTATGACATTCAAGACGTCGAAAAGATCGGATAGCGATTTTGTGTGGGGCACAACCACGTCGCAAGTGGGATACAATGGCCACTGGCCCCGGATGGGGATCACGCCACGCGAGGGCGAGTAGCCTACTAGCGCATTGTTTGAAGCTGGGGAACGTCCAGACGACACAGTCTCGCCTGCAAACCCAAATGCAGCAAACGAAGCTGTCGTCGATGTACCGCAGCCGTTTGATGACCCAGAAGCGTAAGCTGTTGTGGAGAAAGCTGGGTTATAGGGGCTTTCTGCCCTGTCGTATAAGCCACGTTGGCAACCACCGTCTGCCATGGCGGGCATATTGGTCCTGCCTAGGACAATCGCCCCGGCCTCACGCAGCTGCTGAACAATGAAGCAGTCATCGGAGGCAACCAAATCTGCGAATGCCGGCGAGCCGGCGGCGACAGTCATTCCCTTGACTCTAAAGCTGTCCTTGACGGTGAACGGGATCCCCTCCAACGGACGAGGAGTCTTTCCAGATGCGCGATAGTCATCCGATGCTTGTGCGTCCTCCAAGACATGAGGATTGATAACAGGGATGGAATTGAGTACGGGCCCACGCATGTCATATTTGGCAATTCGGTGCAGGTAGCGAGTGATGAGTTCAACACTCGTGAGACTGCCCGACTCCAGGGCGCGCTTCAGGTCGGATATGCTGGCGTCAACCAGATTGATGCTTTCCGAAACGGCCATGGCGGACGACCTATTGGGGCACAAGGATGAAGAGAAGAGCAAAGGCAGACCTGATCAAACTGAAAGATGCTTCATCAATTGGCAGGAGGACAGCAGAGGTACGGACGATGAGAGGCGGTGTTATATAAGAGCACCAGGGAGGGAATGACCCGCTCTCGGAAGGCCCAATGTCTAATCTCGACCAATATATGCTACTTGACTTCTACCAGCTACATTGGACAGGAGCTGCAGTTGTTTTTAGTCATGTAGGGACCTTCTCACTCCCACGATATCTGGTGATAGCCTCCGTCGTGCCCCTTTAGTAACCACATGATAGTTGCTTCATGTCTGACCTCGATTCCAGACCAGATGCACTTCCTGGCAAGGAAAGTCGTGACGAGCGCTAGCCGCCTGCTGGGAAGGGAAGTCGAGCCGAGAGCTGGCTAAACGCCCAGTGATTGGCTTTTACCTAAGCAAAATTGATACAGTGGACCCACCTCTGCACCGCATACAGGAACCCCTCTTGAGTTCAACTGCAACGCTTGACAGTTACGATTGCCTGATCGAATTGAGGTTGGCAAGGACCTTGACTCGGAATCCGGCTTGGCCATGCTTCTCAGGCGTGAAACGGTTTGTGCCGGCCTGTTCTTATCTTATCCAAGAGCTGAATGTGTCGCGTGCAGACCTATATCGGCCATGCGAATCGGCATGCTTTGCGCTAGATTGTGCCAGGATATCGGTGCATGCAAGACCATTCGCCGATCGACCTGCTTGTCCGTGGGACCTACTGTAGATGGCTTGCTTCGGGTTATCGATTGATCACCCTGCTGAATATAAAGCCTCCGGTCATGCCTGAAATGGTGATGCGTCTGAATCTTCCCATCCATAGATACCCCCCCAACTGGTAACCACGTACAAACCTCACCAAAACCGCCCCTTTGGACCCATCCACACCACACTAAGGTGAAGTACGAGCGCATGCCCATTGAGGTCGAGTCGCCGGAGGAGTACGGCTACGAGAAGATCAAGAACAACCTCTCCGAGAGCTCTGTGACCGATGCCACTATCGAGTCTCTGGGGCTCAAGATTCCCAATCTTACCCTTCTATACAATGAGCACCGCGGCAACACGCAACTACGCCAGCTGATTGCGTCCGATGCCAACGTGAGCGATGGTGACGTCCTAATCACATCGGGGGCTGCTGGTGCGCTCTTCATCATTGCAACTTCCCAGCTCGGAGGCGATGGCATTCGCAAGCAACCCGGCAGCGCAACCGCGGCTGATAGCCACCTGGTCGTTGTTCGCCCAAATTATGCAACCAACCTTGAGACCCCCAAGGCCATCGGCTGCGAGACAACTTTCATCGATGTCACATTTGAGGCAGGGTTCCAGCCTGATCTTGCGGAGATCGAGGCTGCTATTAAGCCAAACACCAGATTAGTCTCCGTCACGTGCCCGCACAACCCAACCGGCACAAGCATGTCTGCGGAGGCTCTTACTCGATTGGTGGCCATTACCAAGGAACGCGGCGTTCTGCTTCTCGTCGATGAGACTTATAGGGACATCAGTTATACTCCGAAGCTGCCTGTAGCAGCCTCGTTGGCAGATCACGTCATCAGTGTGTGCTCTCTCTCAAAGTCCTTTGGAATCCCCGGGATCCGTGTTGGCTGGATCATCACAAAGAACAAGCAGCTCCAGGAGACGTTCCTCGCAGCCAAGGAGCAAATCAGTATCAGCGGAAGCGTGATTGACGAATGGATTGCTGAGCAGGTCTTGTCTCAGCGGGAGTCCATCCTAGGCAAGACCCAGGAGGAGATGAAGGCACGGCTTGCGCTGGTGGAAGCATGGATCAGCCAAGAGGAGCTTCTCGAATGGGTCAAGCCGACGGGTGGTGTCGTCTGCTTCCCCCGTATGAAGAAAGAGCCGGCGGGCGGCCTGGCAAGCTTCTACGAGAGACTGTTGAATAAGTATGGCACATACGTTGGGCCTGGCCATTGGTTCGGTCTCTCAGACACCTACTTCCGTCTGGGATACGGATGGCCCTCACGGGACCAGCTGGAGGCTGGGATGAAGGCGATTTCCCAAGCATTGAGGGATGAAGATACATGAGTACCGTACCTCTACCTACGCCATACGGATTTGAGAGTAGATAGTCCAATTCAATAACTACGATACCACCAGCATGCCTTTGACTCCAGCGGGGAAATCTTGGAACGATCGAGTTTACTAGTGGAAGCCACACCAATAGTGTTTGTAGCGTTGATAACAAGCTTTGCTCCCGTATAAGGAGCCATTTCCTCGCGATTTCGTTGCAGGACTCGTTGTGTGGGTCTGGTACAGGTCACACCACCAATCATAGCCTTAATCCTCGTACAGCGCTTTCGGCGCCCCTCTGATCTGGCGTCCCGCTAAAACGTTCGTGCTCTCCCCCGCATTCACTGCAAACGGTACCTCCAGCGATTGCGCAGCGGCCTTAATGGAGCACCTTACAGGCTGACGATGTCGCACAGCTGCCAGAGACCAGAACCTCTCGCACTCCAGCACCATGGAGCGCAGCACTGGTGGGTGCTGGACGTGCAAAATCCGCCATCGGAAATGCGACGAGACTCGGCCCAACTGTAGGGAGTGTGGAGATCGGCAGATCTCTTGCCATGGCTATGGGTCGAGGCCGGAATGGCTAGATGATGGACCGCGGCTGCAAGCCGAGTTGGCTCGCATCAAGCGAAGCGTGCGATTCAATGTTTCCCGCAAGAGACACGCCCGTGGCACTGCTTCTGCAAGTCCTCCCGATACTGTCGCTCATGATCATACCCCTGCCCATCGATCAAGGGTAGACGGGGAGCAAGAACAAGTGGAGCTGCCCTCCCTTCCCCATACCGGGTTTACTCTGCGCGAATCACAACTCCTTATACACTACCTCGATTACATCTTCCCTAAACAGTTTCCATACTACCAAGATCAGCCTGAGCTGGGCGGCCGGGGATGGCTGCTCTGGTTGGCGATGCGAAACGGCCCGATGTATCAGTCAATCCTATCGCTGGCAGCGCTGCATCAGTTCATGCTGCTGGGCTCTGATAAGCAGAATGCGGAATTGCAGCTCATTGAGTACCATACGGGCGCCCTGCGGGCTCTGCGAGAATTTCTTGGTAATTACGCGAGCGACGGCCATGACAGCAAGGAACAACTGGCCGAGTTCATTGGCTCTGGACTATTCCTCATCAGCTTTGAGGTGGGTAGTACAACACTCCTTGATTCCTAGCTCTGGCCGGACGATTGATATCAACAAGGTTTTCCGAGGCGGTATAGATAACTGGCAGTCACATTTAACTGCGATTTCTGCCGTAGCCACGAAAACAGCCCAAGTGTCGCTGGCGGCTGCTTCGAGTTCTGATGATGACGGCTTGATGCACGTTTTCAAGTTCCAGTTTGCCAACCTCCTCTGGTTCGATATCTTGGGTAGCTCGTCCCGGGGTACAAGTCCGATCATCCCATATAATGACTGGACCAGTAACCTGGGGGTTCAAACATCCACGATTATGGGCTGCCACAGCTGGATCATGAATACTATCGGCGATCTTGCGTGCCTTGGTTCAAGGCAAGACACGCAGGTCCTCGATGATGCCATTGAACTTGAGAAGAAGCTGGAAACCATTCTTGCCGGTTTAGTGGAGGACGAAGAGGTAAGCATGGTGTGAATGGCTATGGACTCTCGTTAATGATTATTCAAGGATCGGACACAGCCAGTAACTCCCATGATTACAGCAGTGTCCCGGGTTTTTGCCAGCGCAGCTCTGGTAGAGCTTCATGTAATCTGTCCAAGCCTACACACTGCGACATCGCGAACTTCTCTCCGGGAAAAGATTGCGCAGGTCATTGAAGCCATTCGCAGCGTCCCAGAGCCAGTATCATCACGCGGTTTCCCTTGGTCACTCTGTGTAGCGGGAGCTCCGGCGGAGGAAGACCAGCAACCCTTTTTCGAAGATATGCTCACCAGTGCTTCGAACGGCGCGCTACCGGGATTTACCAACTGTGATACGGCGCTTAGGATCTTGAAAGAGTGCTGGAGGCTTCGCAAGACATTCCCCGAAGAGCGCTGGACTTGGAGGGCCGCGATGAAGTCACTTGAAATATGTGCTCTGCTTGTGTAAGGCAAACACATCTGACAGCCGTGAAATCAACCGGAAAGACGGGCGGTCGCATCCCTCATTCCGAGGGAGAAGTGCTGTTCATCTAGCGACAAATGATGCAATACTTGACGCTTCGTCTTTGTCTGTGAGGCGCAGCTTCTGGAATGCAAAATAGATCACTAGAGTCTCCTCATTGATTAGAGACTGAGTAGGCAATTATAAACTATCCTCGTAGTTTCCAGCCAGTCGAGTCGTATTTGATGCAAAGGCGATTTCCTCGAAACGCTTCTCAGCACTGATGGGTTTACCAATAATGGTCTGACGATGCCAGGGGATGGAAAATGTGGCGGCTTATTGCCAGCCTAGCGGGTGCGCCATGTGTCACCTCTGGCATATATTGGCCCAGCAACTGTACTTCCTAGATGTGGCTTGAGGGTCCTGATTCCTCAAAATTTTATCCAAACCTGGACAATCTGAACTTGACATTTACTGTTGTCACTGTGGTAACTGTGGTTACCTGTGTCGCATATCTCCTCAATTGATTATGTATGTTACACCGGAAGATTTCCCATAATATTGCATGTAGCGTCATGCTGTCCAATGGGACTAGGAAAAGGAACTGATTTCCAGCCCAATCGCGAATTAGACAGCTGTGAGAAGCTTGCTGGTGTTTAATAACTTCATCAATTGTTTTCGGTTTTCCATCCTGCTGGAGCAGCGTGCAGCAAGACGCCGGATAACATGCGCCAACTTTATGACGCCGTCATAGCGGCCCACGTGTAGGCGTTATAGAGATACAAGTTGCTGTTGAATGTAGTCTACGTATCGAAAACCTTACTCCTAGATCGGCTGTCAATCCCGTATACAGTCGTTCAGTTAAGCTCTTGAGGCTCTGCCGTTTTTACTCGAGCACGGGCCATTGTGGCATGTGGCAGTTACCCAAACCTGAATCGTCATTGGTAGCGGTCCCAAGCTTTAAAAAAGCATCTTTTGACCAGCTGCGAACGCTGGGGGGTCAAATCGGATGCGGCCTCGCTTTGGAGTCTCGGCGTGATTGCAGTATAAATGTCGCCCTACTAGCACGTTGGAACGACAAGGCTTCGACTCCGGAGGGCTGTGGTGCACTTTGAACTGCAGGTATCGGAAGGGAACGCCTGAGAACCCCTACAGGGAGAGCCTGCAGACTTTGCAGATCAAATTTGAACTTTGTGCAACGTTGATATTCGAGATTCCAAATTTTTATTTTTAAATTTTCAATTTTATAAATTTGGTTTGTGGTGTTGTACAAGTTACGGCGTTCCGACCAGCCAGTAAGGACACGGACAAAACGCGTCAATCCTCCCTTACCCTCGGTTCCTCGTTAACGGGCTTCGCACTCGGCAGGTTCGGGTGCTGAGGCATTTGCAGTCCGGGCCAAGCCTTGGCGATCACTTTGCCCAGAAGTCTTGGGTGGTAAAGATGAGAAGAGGCTCATTTAAAACACGTTCTTCGACCGTTGCATTTACCAGGTTGAATGTCGGAAGGTTTCATCGAACCTCTCGCTTGTGGATCCCGGAGATAGGGCTATCAGGCTTGGCCCGAATTATCTTTGCTGTTTTCAACGACCTGGGGCCGAGCATTTGGACATCTGAAGATTATTTCCTCTCGCGACGATATCCACCGTAGCTAGCCCAAGGTCCGGTAGGCGGACTTTGTCTTAATCTCACTATCGTTCTATCTACACGTCAGTGTTGTGTCGGTATGTGGGTTTCCGAGATCTTGCCCGCAGACTACTCCCCCACTAGCGGCCTAACCGAGGAGACTAACAACCCCCTAACTTACCCTGCGGGCATTTGTCCATGTCACCACGGCAAGTCAGCACGATGACCGTGCTGACCTAATTCCGATCGTATCGTCGATGGGATGTCTTCATTCTTGCTTGTTCTGACGCAGCTCGAATAAGTGGAAAACGCGGTCAAGCGGGGTAAGAACAAGTCCGCTTTGGATTGGACTGAACGGTCTTACTGCAGTTCGCCAGGGTCATGGATTCATGGATTGATTTGGGTTGACTAAGGTGTAACCCTGTCAACTCAGCCTTGCGCAGTCGAAGGGATAGCATTGCAATTTTTGCGGTTCAAATCTGTGACCAGCTCATTAAACTTTGATCCGAAGGGGGTATAGAGCCAATCAAGACATTTTTGTTTCACTCTATAACATGCTCCTCAGTATTCTATTGTGGTAAATTTGAAACCGCCGAGACTGCAGTATGAACCATTAGAGCGTGGGTTTCTTATCCCTCTTTAAGTGTATGCACGTTGCACTAGGTGCATACAACTGGCGTGACCAGGCGCCACGGTGCACGACACAGAGCAGCTGATCGGCGAGCTGAGTAGGCCTGCCAACCCCCAAAAAGAACGGTGCCCTGGGCCAGCAAAACAAGCTGCTCGATCGCCATCAATACGATCCTTGGCTTCACTTGGCGTTACACCCTGCCCGACGCTCCCACATACCAGTTCCGGGTGACTGGTCCAGCTTGGCAGCCAATCCCACCATCACGACAGCGCCGTGTAGCCGCGTCGCAGGGGGCACTTCCCTATCTTTCATTGGGTGTATTGCTGGAATCCCGACGCTACGCCAGTGGGATTCTCGTGTCCAATGCCAAGTAGGTCAGACGGTCAGACGTGTGTGCTTGAGATTGACAGCTCTAAATACATCACTCCACATGGTCATGCACCCTGCGGTATGTGGCGCTTTTCAAGCGGTGTTGACCCTTGTTTACTTGCGAAAGCTGGAAATTGCTATAAGCAAATAAGGCTGCGTAGCTAGGGGTATCTAGCGGGACTTAAATAGCAGCGTTCGAACCGCCTCTTCTAAGGTATCTCTGCCTATCCTCCCAAGACTCCGTGACACCGAGTTTGTAGCCGTACAACATGCGTGCATTTGTCTTCAGTGCCATTCTGGCCGCCGCAACGGCCTCGCCTGTGAGCCAAGTACAACAGCGTCAGTCTTCTGTACCTGTTGGCACGATCATATCTGCTTGCTCTGTCCCAAACACGGTTGCTCTCACCTTTGACGACGGCCCTTACATCTACACGGAGGAGCTGCTGAACATACTGTCTTCGAATGGCGTGAAGGCAACATTATTCCTTAATGGTCAAAACTGGGGCTCTATCAAGTGAGCAGTTTCGCTACGGAAATGCTAGGGGTTGATGACTAACTAGGTCACGTTACAGCTCCTTTACCGGCCTTGTCCAGAGGATGATCAACGATGGACATCAAGTTGGTTCTCACACGTATGTCTTCTCAGTGAGACTCAAATCGGGAAATGATGTTCACTAATGCTTAACAGTTGGTCACACGCGGATTTGGCCACGTTGGACGCCGCTGGAGTAACGTCCCAGATGACCCAGCTGGAAGACGCCTTTTCCAGTATCATTGGCAAAATTCCGACTTATATGAGACCCCCTTACTTCAGCACAAGCGGTGTTGCCTTAGAGACGCTTGGAAATCTGGGCTACCATGTCATCCAGTAAGTAAATCTGCGACTTCTGGCCGAACTCAGTGGTCTACCAATAGGTTCACGCAGCGAGGCTATGATCGAGACTTTCTGCGCATGGCATATGATTTTGTTCTTACATGGCCAACAGCGCGAACATTGACACCTTGGACTACAACCACAATGATGACACCATTGGTGTAGCTGTCCAGAACTTTGAGGATGGCCTTAACGCAGGTGGCTCTATCACTCTTATGCATGATGTCCATGCGCAAACAGTGCACGTTCTTGTGCAAGAGGCCATCAACCGCATTAAGGCCAGGGGTCTCAATCGTAAGTGAACCGCAGTTCGGAAGAGATTGCACCAATTGCTGACAACTACTCCAGCTGTCACTGTTGGAGAGTGCCTGGGAGACAATGCTGCCAACTGGTACCGGGTTTCGGGATCAACCCCGAGCCCGCCTCCATCAACGGGTAATCCGAGCCCGGATGACACCTGCGGTGGCGCTAACGGCTACAGTTGCATAAACAACCAATGTTGTTCCCAGTGGGGATGGGTACGTGCCGCCTATATGCCCCATTACAATGATACCTTTGACAAGTATACTGACAACCTCGACAGTGTGGAACCACATCAGAGTACTGCGGTGCTGGGTGCCAGAGCCCCTTCGGGCGCTGCGATTAATCGGCAGCCGATGCTTGGATGGGATAAGATACTGGGTGTCAGGCCGGCATTAGTGGGCTAGTCACGACTTATGATCCATTAATACTTCATAATATTATTATTGCCAGTGGACGGCTGTCCAATCATTCTTACACATGTGCCCTCTCAATATGGGATCGGGTGAAATTTCCAAAAAATATGAAGTTGAGGATAAAACTGTGAAAGTGCTTCAGAATGCTGGTCGTGAATATTGACTTATTCATTCATAACATGATATACTAAGCGAACTCAATGATGTGCGGTCCAAAGAATGTTTTGCATAGTCTATACAATTATGTAAGCACTAAAGAGAGCATTCTGTCCATGCTGCAGTGTCATCACTATTGAGATTAGTAGCGGTGAGTCGAAAACATCGAGCCACGTAGAGGTCATAAAATGGGTTGTCAACACGCTGAGGGTTTTTACTGGAAAAAGGGACGTTATTCTAACAGTCGACTCTGCATCGCCCTGAAGCTGTAGCTTCGTCAGCATAGGGGGAACATTGGTTAGGTGGGGCCCATCTCTCGCAACGATACTAGTTTTCTTCAAGACTCCTCTGGTAAGAAAACAATGCAGAACATTGCGGGGAATCTTTGGGGTAGAACAGGATCCGCTGCAGAGTCAGAGTCAGCTGATTAAGCCCTGCGAACTGTGAAGAAGTACAAATTTGCAAGTATGACTGAAAACTTGAAAACGTCAATAGCTAGACCGCTTTTCCATGCAAGTCTCAGCACCATCACACGAGGCATTCCGACGCATTCACGAAATAAGCATAAACCCTGTATTTCGCATGGAACGACCAGCAACGCCATGTCTTTTGGGGCTGTTGTCATCCTGCAAATTGGAGGGTGCTGATGTCAGACGGGCTGGGCATTGCTTCGGAGTATGATTGGTCGAGATAGGCCGTGGTTGCCTTGGCCCTTTGAATCCTGTTTCCATGCGTTCAGAGTCCTATACGGTCAAACTACAAGGAAGTGTGTTGAAGACGCTTTCGATACTAACTAGCGAGGATGTTTACGCACGTGAATGATTGAACCATATTTGTCTGATGGGATGATCAACAGACCCATCTGTCTAGACTTGGATACTGTCCGGAACTGAGACCATATACATGACGCCTTGCATGTCACATGAAGGCCACTAATAGTTCTACCCATTTGAACATGTTCATTGCACGTCTCACAAGTGAGCTGCAATGCTGTGATAATTTCAAACAAAGCTCATGGACGAAGGGATGATAAACAGATGATCAAGGTATGATACCCTCATGCTTCGGCTGTTGGAATATTGGTAATCTAGCGGCTACTGAATTGGTCAAAAGGAACAAGCTTAAGCTTGTAAAATTATTACGCACGAGACCGTATATAGTAGCCCGTGAGAACTTCTTACGGTGTAAGGTTCAGACTGGTTGTGCATATTTTGACTGGCGGGAATTAATGAAGTTAACTGTGCTCTTTTTGAAGAAAATTAGTGATGGAGACGGAGACTTTTCATAGCTATCCTGTCATATCGGATAATGTTTGAATGTGTACGTGCGTACATGGAGTAGCTCCGGTTTAACTATGTCCCTGCATGTCAACCAAGGTCACTCACTGAACCCTTCCCCTCCTTGTACAGCTAGAAGGAATAGCAGGCGGTACAAAACGTCGGCGCCACTTGCGATATGAGCAAAATCCAGTAGGATTGCTGGTTGACCCTATTGAGTGCCAGCAACCTACCACTCCACTGGATATTCCCCGCCTATGTCTGTAGCAAATGCAGGATGCTGTTGCTGTGGGTGCAGCTTGCGAAAATGGGATTTCGCTAAAACTACAGCGGTTTCAGGGTACTTCTGCTCGTTCAGGGTGTTCGCTCTGTCTACAAAATTTGATTCATATGCAGACCCGCCGCGATCCAAACAAAATTTGAGGACATCGTGCCGCCGATCTAACAGCGCTTGCATGGCAAGCATTTGCAACAAATACGGAACCTGAACCTCATCCATTCCGTGAACAAAGGATATGATGCATTCAAGATCTTGCGCGCTGTAGGCCTTGAAGACTTGCTCGAATGGGGTTGCATCTGATAATCATTAGGTATCTGTGCATTACACGCAAAAGTCACAAAGATCAACTCGCCTTGAATGCGGCTCATATTTCTGGCGCAGTCTAGGACAGAGTATGCAAACGGATCGTGCCTCTTAAGCTGACAGATCTCTTCGTCTATCTCGTCAGCTTTGTGAAAGGTCCCAGTGAGGTGTGCGAAGATGTGGCGATAGTATTCCTCTTCGTTGATCTTCTCGTGATGCTTCGCCGCGTACGCTTCTAGGAAGCACATTGACGCAGGGAGCTTCTCGGCAGCTGCTATATCAGCCATAAACTTCGGCGTGAAAAGGCTTATGGTCGGGGCCATTTCTCCAATAATTTGGCAGTGATATATGTTCCTTGATGGCGTTACTGGAACTTGCCGGTGATTTGTATGTCTGAAACGCTCAGAGCTGGGTGTGTTCACAGATACAGACGGGAAAGCTAGGTCTTGTTTATAGAGGGACCTGAAACCCTCGCAGTGCGGGAGGCAAGTGGGGGGCTGCAGCCTGGAGTCGGTGCTGCGCCTCCTGAAATCTACGAAAACGGTGGCCGTTCATCGCCACACCTACATCATGGGAGTCGCAAGACCGCAATTAGCCAAAAGCAATAAGTGTTTAAACTATCTGTTACCACATCGAAAGATAGAGGTACTACGTTGAGAAGCGATACTGCATTCTACATTCTCAATGACTTGTTATTCTTAGATGTTTTCTTGTGGTACTGCCTAACATCACAATACCGTAGTACGCTGTCCGAATTGCTTGCTATCGAATATCTATGCAATATACTGATTTGCATGCTATCAACTGTTATATAGAGTGTATTCGAGCGAACGTACGGCGAAAATATTTTCCAGAGGTTCCTCGAGAATCATACAAAGCCGCAAGATAGATGCTGCGAGCTCCTCCGCACAAGGGGCTCAGCAAGCCGGCAACTACCTTCGCAACATTTCGGCACGTGAATAATAGAACTCAACAGAGCTAACCTAAGATAAAATTAATGGACAAAGGTGAAGCACGAGTTTTCAAGTATTCATCCACTAGGACAATTTTCCGAATTTCGACTTCGACTTGCGGGTAGCTCCCTCAAATTTGTCCTTGTCGCTAAGCTGACGTCCGGAAGACAATGAGATGTAACATCTCCATGCTGGTTAACAAGTATTATTAGTTTCTTAAGAACATGGCCCTGATCAAAGCCCAAAGTACAAAAGAAATCAAACATTTAGCCTCATGGGTAAGCTTGCCAAGAGTATACGATCGTATTCAGGCCGTAAGCGCTGCCAATTAGAACAATGCGGTCACCCGCTGCCCCATGAGAATGATTACAAACCTGGCCAAATCGACTAGAAAACCGATTTCATTTTGAATCCCTGAAAGCAAATATTGTACACGTGCGGAAGAAATTGTGTATAAAGGTAGTTCAAGATCACTTCTTTTCAACTTCATCAACTCACTTCCGTACCATTTCTATTTATCACTTCACTTACATAAATCACATCATGAAGCTCCTCAACCCTTGCTCGCCTATCTTGCTTACCGCACTGGCTTCGCTAGTCGACGCGACATGCTACACCACTGGTCTTGAGGGCGACAGAACGTTGGCGCACCAAAAGGTCGGGCGGATGTGTGACTTCCTAGCTGGCGACTATGCACCACTTCAGTCGAAGCACCATGCCTTTACATACAGAGATGGCTTTTGCTTTCCGACTAACTGTGCGAGGCGCTGGGACTTCTGGGTCCACAACACTCGAAATGCGCCAGCATTCAATTCACACGAGGGTTGTGTTGAGTTTCTTGAGAGAGAAATCAATTGCCTCCAAGGCGGTTCAACCCACTATGAAAATCTTGGGTGGACGTTTGAGTGAGTACCCAGCAGTTCCATTAGTGACTGCAAATAAGAATATTGACGTTGCCAGGGCGGACCCGAACGATGGTGGTTGCGTACAGAACTGCGAGGATTAGGTGATGCTCAGAATTTAAGCATGAGAAGTTCGCTTAAGCTCTAGTGGATTGGAAGTAGCTAAATAGAACAGACGACAAAACGTTGATTCTTATGAATAAATGAAGAGTTCTCTGTTTGAGTTGTTCCTTACAGCTTCTCCAGTCGCCTGCCTACAGGTGTGTTTCAGTGATATGCTAATAAAAGCTCAGTGTATTCTTACCGAGTGTTAGGGGCCGCAGTGACCCCCAACGATCATATTTTCAGTTGCGTAGAAATAGCGTGTCCTGTTAGCTGAAGTGGTGCTACTGGGCCATATACCCTAAAATACACACCCTCAACCGACACAGCCCTCTTCGTCAGTACTGACGGGTTATATATGCATTGTACACGTGGTAGAGTCGAAGAACGAATCGAAAACCGCTAAACTATATAAGAGTCGGGATCAAACATTGAGATGCCTTTGTAAAATCTACAAAAAAGGGGAGAGCTAAATAAATAAACCGTGACGTACATAGCCACTAGCACACCCTCAAACCGGGGAACTACAATACTATACCACGCCACACCATTCCTAACTCAATGTTCATATAGAAGTAATGATGCGCCTCGGAGTGTCTGGTGGGCCATTATGGCCGGTACTATGGGGCTCCCGTTACAGAGCAACATCTGAATGTTTCATAACCTGTCCTGGTACCATTGGCGAATCAAGGCTCTGCTGTCAATCCTGTAATTCTGCGAAATCGAAAGCTGGAGAGGAGAGGAAAGAAGAGCTCCCTACATAGCGCTTGCAAACTAACTCAGACATATTAGGTAACTACCTTCTAATATATGGGAAGGCGCCAAAGGATAATATGAGACCACGTTACGCGTGGAATGATATCAGAGAGAAATTGCGGATCTGGGTCTGGTGTGGCGTTGCATTGTTCCCCTAATAAAACTATTGTGCATATTCTAAAAGAAAGTTTTGTAGTATCACAGTATACCACCAGCTGTGGCTCACAATGGCGTTCTTTGGTGACAAAAAGACCCTTTGTTCCTTGTATAGCTGGCGGAGCGAATATAAAAATCGTGTCGACAGCCATCAGATTCACCGGCGTCCAAGTCCAAAGATACGGTGCATATCTGTGGGAAGGATTTAGCCTAGCCAGTGACTAGAAAGGCCATCGATCATGGCTTTCTCGATTCGAATCAAACCTGACTACTACGAACGTCTGCGCGTGGGCAAAAATGCCTCACCTGATATGATAAAAAAAGGTTTCCACAAGGTGGCCTTGAAGTATCATCCGGATAAGGCAGCTAGAACAGACTTGCGCACAGTCACCGCCAACGAAACAGTCTTCAAATCTTGTCAAGAGGCGTAGGAGGTACTTATCAACCCGAAGAAACGAAGGCGGTACGATCAATGGTTGACCGAAGCATACATGCATAAATACTTAGAGTTAAAGGGCTTTGCAGGCTTGACAACAACCACCATTCAAGACGTGCGTAAGTTTTTGAGGGACGAGGGTTTTATCGAGTACATGGAGGACGTTGGCCTCCCTGTTACGGGGGTTCTTCTCACTTTGGGCGGTAATAATTTCACTTTTACCGAGTCAGAGGGGTCCAATACCACCCGAGCCGACAAGTCTATCAAGTCCCACCGAAAGAATCAGTCCTCATCGCTTAAAAAGTGGCTTATTTTCTGGAGCATTGTTGCTTTGGTGGTCTACCTAATCCTACCTCAGGGAAAGCCTCCAACTTACTACGACATTTTGGGAATACCGGTCAATGCCACCACCAGCGAAATTAAACAAGCATATCGCGTGAAGAGGCAGGAACACCACCCCGATAAGACAAGCAGCGAAAAAGCAGCCAAAGAAGCTCACTTGATGATGTTAGAACTCGCTGAAGCGCACGAAGTGCTGTCCAGTGAACGCCGATGTAACTATGATTTCATTCATGTTCACCGAAATTCAGAGCAACTACGCGACTGCCATAATATGTTTCTTCAGCAAGAAAGGAACAGGCAGCGGGAGGACAGAGAGGCTAGAGACACAAACCGTCAGGAGGAGAACGCACATAGACGACGAGAATCGCAAAAGCTTGATGATGCCCTGCGGGAACTCAGGAACCAGTATCTGGGAGAGACTGGGATAGAAGTAGTCCACAGGCATATGGAAACGGTCGTGGCGCTGAGTGCTTCCGCAGCGGTGTCGATACGTTCTGGTGTTGTTGAACGCATGGTCAGGCTTGGAGAGACTTATCACTGGATCTGTTCCAAGGACCCAGTGATGCGGATAGCATCCTTCGTCGCTAGTCGCTTTGTCGGATTTGATCTGTGTGCATTGGCATGAGCGTTTTGGAAACCTCGCTATAGTTAGTGTTTCAATGCAATTCGTGTTTTTCAGACCTTTTCGTCCCCGGCAGTAATTCCTGTGAGAAATCTCTGTCAAGTTATTCAACATTGCCACGGCAGTGCATTAGGTTTACAGAAGGTCCAGTGAGATACGGAAAGGAGTCCACTATATAATCTCTATCTTGTCCGTTCTCCTTGAAATGGGGCAAGATTCAGTCTCTTCATGAATTGAACCATACGTTTGGACTTCTGATTATACCTGACCTCACAATCCCCTTGACAAACATAAGGCTTACAGGTCATATATTATAATGATCATGAACGCGAAACAGATTGAGCCGAGTGTAAGAATGGCAACTATACACCAGGCTATTAGCTTTCATATTGTCGATGGTATCAGTGATCGCAGCTCAAGTTGACGCGACCGTTGACTACATAGGTACCCGCCACACCTAAATTCCAATCGTTGCCGAGGTAGGCGCTTTGTGGGGCATCAAGCTCGATCAAGTGGAAACTTTCCGATGCCAAAATGGGGTGTGGGGAAATGACCAACATGCCAAAGAGCCAGTAGGATTGATAGCGTACTGACATATACTTGTATTATATTTCAAGGGGATCAAATCGGTTACCCTTGTAGACAAGCTGAGAGCTTTGCTTTGAGACGCCCATCCCAACAAAACCACACTTACGGTACTTTGATCCAGAATGACTACCTATACTATCAATGAGGGAGATCTCAACATACTCAAGGGCAAGACAATTCTCCTAATCGGTGGATCCACTGGCATCGGGCGCGCAGCAGTCCAGATTGCACTAGGTAGGTCCCCAATCAATCTATCGATCCAGTAGTTTAGATGAAGAGTGAAGCTGATTGCACCTCGCCGGTTACTACAGACTATGGGGCCAACGTTGCGCTCGGTGACTGGAACGAAGATGAAGGCCGTAAGGTCTTAGAGCCGTTTGGCGAGCGGGCACTGTTCAGAAAATGCGATGTTAGCAACTGGGATGACGTTCTCAGTCTCTTCGAAGCGGCGCATGCCCAATTTGGTGTGATCAATAGCGTGCTGTCCAACGCAGGTATCAACACCCACGAAGGTCTTCTCAGAGACGAATTTGATACCGAGACTGGGAAATTGCAACCGCCAGACCTCAAGTCAATCCAAGTCAACTTCATCGGCCACTTATACGTGACCAAATGTGCAATGCATTATTTTGGCAAGCACCCCGAGGTACCATGTCAACTCGTCCTAACGTCTTCTGCGGGCGCATTTTTCCCAGCACCACCTATCTACTTGTACTGCGCAGCAAAATCCGGCATACTGGGCTTGATGCGTTCACTTCGTTCCGAGGTCATCAAGAAGAACGTCACGGTCAATATTGTGGCGCCATGGCTCACCGGTAAGTACATGGATCCAACTTGTCACCCTTTGCAATCTTTTAAGATTCTCTTTGGATTCTTGAAGTGATCTGATCAGGATCTCGCAGTGACACCCATGCTACTGGATGATTGGTTGGCAGGATGGACCCTACCTAAGAATACCGCTGAGGGCGTGGCTCAAACTCTGTTTCTTCCAATTGTGCGAAATCAGATCAATGGCAAATCATTCTTTGTGGCGGGCGACGAAGCATATGAATTTGAAGATACGTTGTTTGAAACGGAACCTTCATGGATGGGCGAGAGATTATGCCGGGACGTGCGCAAAGGGCAGGAAATCCTGTTGGGCTTGGGTGAATAAGTAGGGGGTTTGAAAGCCAAATGGTTTGATGCTTTCCGTTGACGAGTATTCTCACTACTCCAATTTTCCACATGAACTACTTCAGATACCGTGCTCTATTTACACAAGTATCTGAGAAGCAAAGGAAAAGGGGGAGAGGACCCTAGGGTGCCTTCGGGTTCGCTCCGCCTTCTCGCAGATGCCTGTACTTTTTGGGCCAGATGCCTTGCTTTCCTGGTGATAAGATGCCGTTGGGGTCGACAGAATCCTTTAATGTTCACCCGTTAGAGCCGAACCACATCTTAGTTGAGAATAGGAGGGGAAAGCTTACCTTGAGCGTTTCGACAAACCTCAAGTATGCATGGTTGTTAAAGTCATTGTGCTCAGCAATAAGATCTTGACAGTCATTGTGAGCGCGGCTCCTGAGCAGATTAAGAAAACCCCACTTACCCATATGATTCACGTGGGCTCGATACATTCCGTAGCCCCTCTTTTTGGCCTCCAAATGCATTCCATCGTATAGCTGCTTTATCTGTTTGCATTGTTGTGGGTCTCTTTGATCAAAGGCAAACATGTTGGTGAAGATGGAATGCCGCTCATGCATAAAGAAATCGCACATCAACTCATTGCCTGACGCAGCATAGAGCGGCTTGCAGAGTTTGACCCACTCCAAAACTTTCTCGCCAGAGTGAGGAATGACAGGAGCATAGTCTCCATGTGCGCCTTTTCCAGTTGCATCGTCTTTTAGAGCCCAGTCCATCAATGGGAGACTAAACATGGAGGGGATACCCACCATGTAGAGTCCATGTTCGAAGGGAACCGAGGCAGCATCTAGGGGCTCACCGTGGCTTCCTGCATACAGATGCCCGGTCACCGTACCTGTGGGTGCCTGTACTTCTAGTTGCTGCTTGATTTCATTGAACTGGGCTTCGATAACTTTCGCAGGACCATAGAGACCGAATGAGGCAGTCCAATAATCTTCTTTCAGTTCTTTTTGCAACTCGAGCAAGCGCTCCGCGGGGATGGCACCTTCACCCTGCCAGAAGTCTCTTCGTTTGCCTCGAATACATAGCCGTTCTATGAAGTTTCCCACCCAGACGACGTTGGGTATCAAGCCAGATCGACGCATTCTTCCAACAGCGTCAATCAAAGTCTTGATATCATCTTCTTCGGGCATAGTTAGGCGGCAGGACATGAACGCAGGAGGCGCAGGGGTCAACCATATCGCGAGTTTCGTCACTATCCCCAAATTGCTCTGTAGGAAGAGGCCTTCTACTGATGGCCCAAAGGTAAACTTCGACAGGAATGCCGAAGGAGAGTTTGTGATGCCGAACTGGCCGGTTCGAACCAAGTCTCCGTCCGCGAGCATAACTTCCATGCCTGTGATGGATTGGTTATGGTTCGAGTTCGATCCAAAACCGGTACCACGCTCAAGGGACTAGTGCTCTGGTCAGTAGAGGGCTCACCAGGGCAAAGAAGCTCCGACATTTACTAACATTTCCTACCACGCTACCCCAGCCAAGCGAAGGCGTGCTTGGCCATACCTTCTTTTTGTTGGCCACACAATACTTGTAAAGGTCATGAAATGTCACGCCCGGCTCTACAACAGCGTATGCATGCTTGTCGTTGACCTCAATGACTTTGTCCATACGATGAAGGTCCAGAGCAACAGAGCCATTCACTCGGGGAGCAGGTCCGCCGTATCTATATTGGCATGATGGTTAGGGAGGTCTTAACTTTCTTAGTGTCTTCGATAATGCTTTACTCACCCAAGATTTTTTCCCCGAGAAAAGGTCCATACGGGAATCCCAAACTTGTTTGCTGTTTGGAGCACAGCACGTAGCTCGTCCATTGAACCAGGGCTTCGGGGGTTTCAGCTTGCGTGAAAATTGGCGGGTAATTTTTGAGATTCACGGAACTTACCATACAGCTGCGCTCGGCACCTTTCGCTTTGAATTATCGTCGTCATGAAGGTCATATGGATCGATGTATTGGGCCAATGCTTCCTTGACAAATACTTGATCCTTTCCGATAGCCAAGGCGAATTCTTCGACCGCTTTCTCGAAGGTTTCCTGGTTGATCCCGGGTGGCAGAACCAAACTGATTGGTCGGTCTTTACGTGGTGTAAAAGTCCGAATGTGAGCTTCCTCATATTCTAGATCGGGGTACGTGTTAGTCGGCTGGGTTGAAGTCATCTTGGTGAGCTATTGTGTATCAGCTGAATGGAGTGCGCTGGAGACCAGTCCTTTGCAACTCGACCGTAACGGAAGGAGTAACCCATGGAATGACCTCGGATTAATATGAGAACTCGTGAATCCTTGCGGTGCCGTCAATGTGGGCTACACTCCGTCCGTGGCAATCTTGCCCCCGCAAAGGGCAAACCACAAGGGCAGCGCCTCCACAGTTCGATCCGGTGCCTGAACACTACCCGCCAATCATCTGCTATGGGGCTATTTGAGGATCTTCTAACTTCGCCGGATGATTAGAATACTTGATGGGCACCTCGAAGGAAATCTCAAATCTTTGTGACTCGTTGGGTTCAATTTTTATACCGTATTGAACCCTACTTGGAGAGGAGTGGTCATCAAGTGGTGGAGTATGCTCTTTGTGATCACTGTGATACGGGTCTGATCGTTGAGTACTGTCATCCACGCGAGACACTGAGAGGCTGGCGATGTTACAAACGTAATTTTCAGGGAGAGTGGAACAGACCTCAAGTAGTCTATGGTAAAGAGGCAAGATATAATGGGTACTTTCAACATATACCATTCGGAAGAAGTGTCCCCAAGACCCCAAAGCAAGCCTAATGGTTGTGAAGCGCAGAAATGTCGTGCATAATCCCTGATATATTGGATAGATTGTGGCTTACCATTTCGGATGATGAATCGTAGGGTACGATAGTCTAGACAGGTTATTAGGGTCAATGGAAATGGTGCAGTCAAGTGAAACTGCATTGTTCATGCATACAACTGAAGTAGCTTCTATTACTGTATTTTTCAAGTTGTGCCAGTTAAACTGTTTCCAATCTGGCTGAGAAAGCGGAGCAGCGTTGCCAAGCATGTATCAGCGGCTTCATAGTAGATTTCGTGACCGCTGGCCTCGATGAATTCTACTGTGGCGGTAGGGACCCGAGCAGCGAGTTCGCGGACAGATTCGGCGCTCAGTACAGCGCTCTTAGTCGGAGCTAGAATCAACATTGGCGCCCGTACACCATCTACATAGGGCCTTGCATCGAATCTGCTCAAGAATTCGGCATATCCCGCCAAGCCTTCGCTATCGCTGGAGCAAACGCGGTTCATCCACCACTTGCGGTACCCAGGATCATCAACCGCCATCGTTCCTGGAGATGCGGCAATCCGCTCTGCCCACCCACGGGTACCAAGCTTGCGTAACGCGGTTGGCCAAGACTCTTCACCAAACGCCAGGAATTGCTGACCAGCAGGAGGCAGGTACATCGGCGACGAGCACAGAGTGATGGAGCTGAGGCGGTCTGGATAGGTCGCGGCGAAGGCAACGGCTAACATACCACTGGTGGATTCCCCAATAAAATGTACCCGTGTAATCCCTAGTTGGTCTAATGTATCTCTGATCTCCTCCAATATGGTAGTTACTGAGTAGTTGTACGCCTGATCTGGCCGAGGGTAGCTTGATCCGCCGTGACCGCGAAGGTCCCGCCTGATAACATTGTATTGTCGTGCCAAAGCCGGTACCCAATGATAGAAATGATCAGCAGTGCGAGCGAACCCGTGCTGAATCAGAATAGTCTCATTATCCTTCCACGGGTCTGCATAGGAATCGTAGAAGTAGGCCGTCGATTGCCCGTTGGGATGGACTATAGTTCGTCTCTTTTCAAGAGTTGGGCCCATGGTATCAGCGTTCATTTTCAAGAGGTAATTGGCTACAAAGCCTGTGATTTAGAGGCAAGTCGACTCAGCATCAAGATGTCTCTGAGCTTCAGCTGTAGCCAGTGGCAGTACTGTCGTCATATCACGCTCGGAGTACCTGCCCTGCAGTTACTCGCCCAGCTACACTGCCTCTTGCCCAATGTGTATGAGAGAACAATTCACACTATGCAGGTCAAACGGCTTGCTGGACGTTGCATGACTTACCTGCCCCCCCTGCCTGCTCTATACCACATCGTGTGGGGTGTAGAACTACTCGGTGGGAGAGCAGCATCTGCAGCGACCGAGGAGGGAATGTGGGGTGTGGAGCTACGGATGTGGGAGCGCTAGTCCTGAAGCGTATCCAAGATAACCGGCTCTGGAAGGCAATTTAGCAGCGCTAGGCGGCTGGCCCTTCTGTGGAGTGGGCGGGGTGCAGTAGCCCGCCCGCTGTATTCGTGCCCACGGTTCTTGACTACGGCCCGTAGTGAGGGGCAAGAAGGGCAAGCAGGGCAAGTGGCGGCCTCGGTACCTAGGTAACCTGCACTGACCCCCGAAAACCGATGTTAGGGGCTACCTAGGTACCAAGTGCTGAAAGAACCCTTCCACAGCACCCAAGCTTCACCGCTGCGTTCCAGCCAGACTTGCAAAATGAAAACAACCTATCAGCACCGGGCCCTTAATTCGACAGTTAAGGGTCTAGTGGAACAGGAGTCAGGGCTCGTCAAGTTCCTTGGAGTCCCTTACGGCACAGTGTCGGAGCGCTTTGCTCGGCCGCAGCCCATCGAATCCTGGCAAACTTCATTGGATTGCACTCGGCATGGGTAAGTTCCTCGACAGTCAAGAACTGCAAGCCGACTTGCCGTAAAGGTGGCTAATTGCATGAACTCGATATATTGTAGTCCTCGATGTCCGCAGACGGTAGTTGATGTAGGCCACTTACTTCGCATACCCCTGGACCAGTCACTGCCCGTGGAGCACGAAGATGAATTTCGTTGCTTGAATCTAGATGTCGTCCTCCCCAAAGAAAGTCTAGCTCAGCACGCAAAAGATCTACCAGTTCTTGCATGGATTCATGGTAAATGAACGAGCACCCACATATTGGGAGCGCATATGCTTATAATGTTGATATAGGAGGTTCACAGGCCAACACGTTTGGAAGCGCGGCTTCAGGGGTCTGTGGTTAGTAATACAAGTTCTCTACATATGCACATTCAAGCGGCCGCAGACGGTGTAAACAATATAGCAGGCAGAGTCTGACTCCGAAAATATTCGTTGCCAAATTTGGCCTACCCCTAGTCGTCCGGATCCTGGGTAACAATCCAGGGGCAAGTTTGCGCCATGCTAACACGTCAACACCAGACATGACCACGATAGTGAAGCATGCGGTAGCTGTGGAGAAACCGATTATTGCCGTTTCTATACAGTACCGGCTGAACATCTTTGCATTTGGTGACAGTTCGACCATGGCAAACCTCGCGCTGGAGGACCAAGCTTTGGCATTGCGATGGATTCAAAAACACATTAAAGACTTCGGCGGCGATCCGGTAGGCCAACAACCAAGTTCAAAGCTCTATGGGCATCGCTGTGCTTAGCAGGTATTCGATACTGACATGCGCAATAGGAACGGGTTACATTGGCAGGGGAGAGTGCCGGTGCCGTGTACACTCATGCGCACGTGGCCATCAACTCCCCGTTGAGCCAGGCCATCCTGTCATCTGGGTCCTTACATCTTTCTCCTCCCCAACCACCAGAGAAGGCTGCCGCTATGCATGATCTAGTCTTCAAGCACCTACAGGGTTCCTCAGACCATACTCTGAAAACCGTTCCGGTCTCTGAGCTAGTTGAGGCGGTCGAGAAGTCTGGGATCAAGTCGTGGTTTCTGAAGATGGAGCCACCTTTCAAGAATTGGCGCTCAAACACTGGATGTGCGCAGCGCATCCTCATCAGTGATGTTGAAAATGAGGCATGTACCCAAAAGTATATCGCAGTTGAGTCACAGTTCAGGCTAACAATGGATAGGCGGTCATCTGGCGCGAAGGAATCTGGGCCATGAAGGGAGATGCTATCACGGCCGCCTTTGATATGGCGGGCGAGCATAGTCATGAGCTGAAACGTATGTACGCCATTTACCCAGAGAGACCGTCTTCGTGCAAGATTGGGGCGCTCGACTTCATCAACGACTGGAAATTCCTCTTGCCTGCCGAGTCGATAGCACAGCAGTGGCGAGAGCAAGGCAAAGCAGCATTTCGCTGCCTCATAGACGAGAGGAACCCCTGGCAGCCATCGAACGGGGCTCATCATGCTGTTGATCTCGTTTTACTTTTCGGTGGGTTCGACCTGTCGTTCTCTCCTGGAGCCCAACATGTGGCAGAAACGATGCGAACTAGATGGATCGACTTCATCCATTCCGGAGATCCCTGGTCGCCTAAGTCATACTTTGCATTTGGACCCTACGGCCGATGTGAGGAGCTGCCCCGCAATGGATTCAGTCTGCGTAGAAGGGCAAGACAGCTTGAATATCTGGCTACGGTAGACCCAAGCCTACTAGACAAAGTGTTAGTGACATTGGCTGCTGGCAGAATTAGCCTGAACAACTAAGTCATGAGACGCGGTTCAGCCGATTACAAGACGTGAATCTTCTATCGGCTGGGAAGGCCTCCAGATACAGAGACTCTACGGCTACCAGGATGTAATTACAACGTTCATATCACATGAGATACAGGCATGGTATTTGATTCATATTTGACTGTATATTTAGAAGACCAACATACTGCGCACCCTAGCCTAACCGAAATGAGTTTGTCGTGATGTCTGAAAGACATGGCCGCTGAGAAGAAAGACAAATGGGACCATGACGATGCTCACTGAGAGTATGAACCGAAGAAAACATGGACTCAGCCATTTTCATCCTACTTGCGGTTGTTCTGCTTGTACTCCAGCGCAATTTTGTGCTTGGAGAAATTATCGACGAGATTGTCCCACATCTTAGGATCGTGCTCGTGTTTCTGCTTGCTGTTCCATGCCCAGTCGGTGATGGTGAAGGGACGACTGCTCTCGAACATGAAAGCGATTGAGCCCTTGGAGATCTGCATCTCTGGCGGAGGCTGCTTTGAAGCGGCAGCAAACTCTTCGTATGCAACACCATGGGGGACGTAGCCACACTCGAACGATATGGAACCGGGCTTGAACTCGTCAGAGCGGCCGCCATATTCACCGTAGATGAGACCCATCAGCTCCGAGGCGCAGTTGCGGTGGTAATAAGGTGGCCGATAGGTGTGAGACGCGACGTCCCAGCGCGGCGAGAAGATAAGGAAATCAGCAAGAGGTGCGGCAGGGTCTCGTGACTTGGCAGTCAAGACACAGAAGATTGATGGGTCGATGTGGTCAACTGAGATAGATCCCACATTGACGAATTTAGTCAAGTCGTATTTGAAAGGAACGTAATTGCCGTGCCAAGCAACGACGTCGAAGGGGCAGTGATTCTGGGTGCTTTTGAAGAATTTGCCGCCCAGCTTGTACACGATCTCCCAAGGATCGTCGGAGGTGACCTCGAATGCTGCGACAGGGTGCAGGAAGTCCCGGGCGTTGGCAAGGCCGTTGGCGCCAAGGGGGCCCAGCTCAGGCAGCTCGAAATTGGCACCCCAAACCTCGAGGATATAGCCACGCGTTGGTCCTTCGACGTTGACCTTAAACCGTTGTCCACGCTGGATCACGCAGATCTCGCCTGGCTGAACATACATAAATCCGAACTCGGTTTGTATGTCAAGAGCGCCCTGCTGGGGGACAATGAGGAAATCTCCATCCGAGTTTACGAAGGCCTGCTTCTCCATGCTCGCGTTGGCTAAATAGACGTGAGTCGCCAAGCCCTCGCGCAGGGTGGGATCACCCGATCCAGCTACAGTCTTCAGGCCATCTACAAAGGTCACAGAGGAACCCTCTGGAATAGGTTCCGGCTTCCACGCGAGTTGAGTTGGCGAAATGTGCACTCTAGGATTGATGGGAAGAAATGTAGACTCTGTATCCTTGTTGTCAGGTAGTTCCGTCTGCCGGGTTGAAATTAGCACTTTGCTCTGAGTTGCTTCCGGGTATACTTACGAAACCTTGGTGGGCAACGGCCGGGCGAGAGCGATAGAGCCAGGCTTTCTTGTTCAGGTGGCGGGGAGCAACGAAGGCGGATGCCGTCATCTGCTCCGCATAAAGCCCATAGCGAATTGCCCTTGGGTTGTTCTGCCCCCTGGGAATGGTGCCAGGGATAGCCTCGGACTCAAAGCTGTTGTTGAATCCGGGCTGATACTTATATGGGTCGTTTGGACGAGTCGCAAAGGACGGGACACTGCCGTCCTTCTGGGTCTCCGCCCAGTGGAAGGCATGCTGGAAGTCTTCGGGCTTAGAATACTCTTTGCTCATGGTGGGCACAGTACTGGTGTCTTCCGGGTTGAAATGTGATACAGAAACTGAGGAGGGAGAGAACGATATTAAGCACCATGATGTCGAGCTCGGAGGTTATTCGACAAGTACGCTAGGCCCGCCGATCGCCCCTCCCAGAGTTTCGCGCCCCTGGATACTGACCTCTTACTTTCAACAGCTTGTACATGGGGCCGTGGGGACTGGGCAACCCACTTCGCACGGGTCTTCTAAATGCCGTTTCAGCATTGGGGCACTCACTTGTCAGTGAACGCGACATTGTCAGCTCTCGGTACCCGCTTGGCGGGCCGATTGGTTCACATTCAGGCCTAGATGCCGATGGTCTCTCATTAGTCCATAATCCAAACAATACGTGGGCAGCACAGCAACTAGTTAATAATTGACTCGAGCGATTAGAATGAATGTTTTCGCTTCTATAGAAGTACTCTTCCTCTCTACATTGTCTGCCGCGATTGTAAACCTTAAGTCGCTGCCACTTACCTAGGTACCCGGGTTTTGGGTGGTCTAGCGTGGGTGCCGGGAAAAACACCGGCTAAGCTGGGCTTTGTCAGTCATGATCAATACTCGCCTAGCGCCACTCGATGGCTTTCTCCGCCTTTGTAAGATATCCCTAAGCATTGATTGCGTTTTGCGTCGACGAGCATCGTCAGACTGTTGTCGGCAAGTGAAAGTCGCCAAGAAAACCTTGGTGGCAGTCCCCATCTCGCTGCTGAATCTTCAACTCCTTGTCACGGATGTTGGGTGCAGCGCTACTTGGTCAGCGCTTCTTGTCTATTACAGTGCACAGATCTCCAGGCTGTCGGCAACGCTATATCTGACCGGCCCAGTTCCCATCGACCAGCTGACACGTAATCTCTCCTTGGAGGACGAAGCGGGATGACTATTGGTCCATTCTTTACTCGTATGGTGCTATCATTGAATGAAGCTATGTAATGTATGCAGAATGAGGAGGAGGACTTGTGACTTACCGCACCGTGGCCACGCGCAATACTATAATAATCCGGGGAACAGCCATTGTGCATATAAAACTAGACTGATACTTCAGCCACACGCCCAAGCCTGACATCCACGGCGCTCCTGTGTTCCGTTCAGTGGGGAACATGTCTTAATCTGCTGGTGAGAAACAGTGCTGAAGGCATTGGTATAGATTCAGAGATGAGCTCCTCGCAAGTTTAGGGTGTAAACATATCCCACATGCACGGGATGCTATAACCCAACCAGCCATTCTCGTCAGCCACAATTTGAATGAGGTCACTATTCTGAGGGGCTGCTGACTAGTGACCCCACACTCGTGGAGTGGTGGCTAAGGTGTACCTAATTCGAGACTCACAGCTGCTCTGAGTATTCCCTAGCAGTTTTCGGAGAATCAAGCAAATGTTTCGAGCTGGTCTGAACGCGTATCTTCCCAACAATGTCTACTCAGTCATTAGAATGCAAGGCCATTGGGTTCATCGGTCTTGGTACTATGGGCTTGCCCATGGCTATGAATCTTGTCAAGAAACTGCCAGACACCACATTGTACGTCTTTGATATCTCTGATGACGCCGTCAGACATGTCAAGGAGTTTGATCCTACTAGAGTGATCGCTTGCAAGAGCGCCGCACATGTCACGAACCAGACGGTAAGTGACGGCAATGAATGGCTCCCGCACGATCTAATGATACTGGCTGGGCACAGAATATTCTCATCACCATTGTACCAGAAGGCAATCACGTCCGCGATGTGTACCTCAATCCAAGCGAAGGCGTGGTTACTGCAGACCTCGGAAACAAAATACTGATCGACTGCTCTACCATCGACACAGAGACATCGGCTGCAGTCGCGGAGGAGATTAAGCGCCATGAAAGCACGGCTTCGTTCTACGATGCCCCGATTTCAGGGGGTAGCCTAGGAGCGGAGAAAGGAAGTCTCACCTTCATGGTGGGCAGCTCCAAATCAGACCCTCATTGGGCCTTACTGGAACATGTATTCAGCAAGATGGGCAAGTCAATCTTTCCATGCGGAGCTCCCACCATGGGCTTGTATGCAAAGTTGTCTAATAACTACTGCTCTGGTTTGATCGCGATCGCAACTTCAGAAGCTATGAACATTGGCATGCGGGCCGGGTTAGACCCAAAGGTCTTGGCTGGCATATTTTCAGCATCAACGGCCCAGTCAACGATTTGTGACAAGTGGTGTCCAGTGCCTGGAGTCGTGCCAGAGGCGCCATCAAGCCATGGCTATCAAGGAGGTTTCAAAGTCCAGTTGATGAGGAAAGACTTTGCTTTAGCCTTGGAGGCGGCAAAAACAGTCAATGCAGAGACCTTCCTGGGGAAGGCTGGTCTAGATGTCTATACTGGAGCTTCTAATGACCCTAAATGCCGAGACCTAGATTCTCGGGTTGTCTTCAGGTATATTGGTGGGGACGAGCAGTGGGCAACTAAATCCTAGAATGCAGATGCTTAAGGCTAAATCGCAAGTATCTGAAGATTTCCAGATCACGAGTATCACGAGTGTGCTCATACATACCCTGCGCTTGAACACAAGGGAATCTTGTTGCGCGGTATCAGTCATGCAGGTGCCATCCCCGCATTTACGCAGACATAGTGGGGGAGGTGCATTCACAGGCACGTGTGGGATAGCCTATAACAAGCCATGGAAATTGAAGTGCCCCTCTTGATGGCCAAGCATGTGATTGGCTTGCTATGAATATGTAGTTACATAGGGTGCCCTTGTTTACGAACGGCCCAGGTAAGGTTTTACCAACACTCGCTTTTGTTTACTTCAAGACCATAGACACTTGCAGTCACGCTGATGTCACCCGCCTGCGTGAAGCATCAAGCCATAAGCCCTGTACAATGTCTTTTCTTACACTGATCGAGGAAGTCCTTCGACTTCAGACCAAAAATGGCTACCAAACTTTGTTGGGCATCGGAATAATGGTGCCATTGGCTCTCTTTGGCCTCTACATTTTCTACGTGCCAAACACGATAACAGTCAGTTGTCTCCGATAAGTACTTGCAGGCTGCGTTACTTGACACTAACATTCTGGCAGGACCGGCGCAGGTTGAAGCTACCGCCAGGCCCTCCCGGATGGCCCTTGATTGGCAATCTGTATGACTTCTCCGACTCCGAACAAGTCCGTTACAAGGTTCGTCAATGGCACAAGAAATTTGGAGACGTATTCTACACTAGAGTCGGTGGCGTGGACTACGTCTGGCTCTCCTCACCCAAAGCTGTGAAGGACTTGATGGACAAGAGATCATCTATTTATTCCTCTCGGCCATATTTGCCGCTGGCACAAGATGTGGCAAGCGGCCGAAGCCGCCAGTTATTCATGGCCTATGGTCCAGAATGGAGGAATCTCCGGAGACATAGTCATGCCCTTCTCAACTACAATGCGGCGGTCAAGTACCAACCCGTACAGGATTTTGAGTCAAAGGTAGTGCTGAATGACCTGTTGGAGAACCCTGAAGAGTTCTACACCATCAACCGTCGCTACTCTGCCTCTGTCATTATGCTGGTCACTTACGGACATCGCATCCCTTCTTTCAAGGATCCGCTGATCACCAAGATTTACTCGGTGCTTGAGCATGTGTCAGTTGTGATGGCTCCAGGTGCTTTTGCTGTTGAAAGCTTTCCTTCACTTGCCGTCTTACCGGAGTGGCTACTGGGAAACTGGTATTCATTGGGGAAAAAGTTCTTCGCTCATGATAGTAGAGTATACCTCGAGCTGTGGGAGACGCTCAAAAAGAACACAGATGAAGGCTCTGCCCCAGACTGCTTCTGTAAAGACTTCTATCTCAACAAACCTGAGAAAAGCGGTATCAACGACCTACTGGCCGCTTATACTTGCGGAGGTCTCATTGAGGCCGGCTCAGAGACGACTGCTACGACCATCAATAATTGGACATTGGCCATGGTTCTATACCCAGATGTGATGAGGAAAGCGCAAGAAGAACTCGATCGCGTCATTGGTCCAGGTCGTATGCCAGATTTTCAGGACGAGGCCGACCTACCGTATGTTCGCGCTCTTATCAAGGAAACCTTACGGTGGAGGCCCGTAAACAAATATGGAATGTACCATGCTTCATCCGAAGACGATTGGTACGAAGGCCATTTCATACCGAAGGATTCTGTGGTGGTACTAAACTGGTGGTTAGTGTCCTCCGATCACCCTTCATATTGACTTTTTGGCTACGCCACTTCGACTGGGGTTTTTGATTGCTAAGTACCGATCTGTTGCGTTATAGGGCTATACATCGTGATCCCTCGATTCATTCGAATCCAGACGAGTTCCAGCCAGAAAGGTATCTCAGCAAGCCGTTGACGGCTGCAGAGTATATCAACGTGAACGATGCAAGTGAACGTGACCATTTTTCATATGGAGCTGGTCGGTACGTGCTTGCCTTTATCGCTAAGTTAACACTCTTTGGAGGTTGAGCTTGAGATCTAACACAACAATCTTCTAGCCGCGTCTGTCCTGGGGTCCATTTAGCTGAAAAGTCACTCTATCTTGTCATTTCTCGTACACTCTGGGGCTTCAATATCTCCAAGAGGAAGGCGCAAGACGGGTCCATCGTTGAGCCCGAAACCAAGATGATGGAAGGGTTCTTTAGTGTTCCAGTACCTTTTGAGTGCGATATAAGCGTTCGTTCGCCGCAGCACGCCAGTATTATGAGAGAGGCATACAGATCGTCTCAGGAAGATGGATTGCACTATAGGGAGTGACAACACTTGGTGATGCGGCCCGACGGAGGATACTATCCGTGAAATGCTTTAGATCCTATTGCTTGAAATTTTGTCGTTGTCTAGGACTGGCAATACATTACAAACTATCAATTTTGATTCAACACATTCTCCCACGCGCCTCGATTTGTTTGCAGAAGTCAGATGACTTGGAGAGACTTCTTCTCTAAGGAAAGTCATCGTTCATTTAGTGACACGGGTGTGGAATGTATCCGTGTTGCAATAAGGTCGCTGAGTCGCCCACAGACTCACATTACACCACATCCTGGTGTTATTCAAAACCTCGAATTAGAAGATTACTCAAATGTAGGCAAGTACATGAATTTGATTCTGATCATTCAATACCAATTCTCTAACTTGATATCAGATTGCTCCGAGACTGACATCTCGAGCTGGACAGCGCAATTGCTCTCGCTGCGTGGTTGAAATTTGGTAACACTCTTACTGGATCGATCACCTTTCGTAAGCACTGTACACCTGACACGATAGACTGGTCAACTTTTGGTATAGCGCAGGCTTAGTGAGTGTGAGGCAATCGCTCCCTCCACCAGAGAGGTCCCCAGCATGCCACATTCCCCACACATCCCACAATGTTCGGCAGTCAAGTAGGTGCTTGCTTTGATCCCACGCCTCCGCTCAACTTACTAGGGCCCCCACATTCACTTGCGCTTTTGATGGGGGGTGGGGCGTGTATGATGCCAAGAAGTCTGAGAACCCGGTGGCTCTTCGAGAGAATCCTCGTTGGGCATAGCCACGTCTGGCAGTTCGTAGAGCTAGTCAAAGTTCACGCCTTCAACTAATACTATGGAATGAACAAAGACCGAGTTGCACTTCCCTAGAAGTCTCCATAGCGGCATATTCTGGTTGTGCACCCATCCAGGCTTTTGGTCATGCAGATGGAATGACTCACTAGAGCTGTGCTCATACGGCTGCTTACGAGTATCGTAGATACCATTTCATGTTCTTAGGACTGAGCAGTGGGGAACATGCGATAAGATCTGTTAGATGAGAGTTTCAAAGCAATTTCTACACGAGAATATTTTGAAGCATGAAAGTTCATAATGAACCAACTTAAACTTGTCTATATCCCAGGCAGTTGAATTGAGTCTTCAGAACAAATAATTCTGAAATGAGGCTTGAGGCGGGTGACATAAGTCTGTGGCCCCTGGTAAGTAATGGAAGCTTGAATTCCCCTAACCACATGTGGGGTTCTACAGTCATCAACTGTGTGAAACGAGCACTGTCTGAGGTTCGAGCCACAACTCAGAAGCCGAAGATAGAAAAGCAACATTCATTTATCATTCACAAGGCTTGAACCCTTGGTGTCATTCTTGTTCATGGTTGATCAGGGTTTGAGTATTTACGCAGGACTCATCGAAAATGTCATCTAGTACAAGCTCAACCCCCGGTTTCCGAAATGTACGTTATGCGAATTTTCACCTTAAAGTTTCTGATCTCTAACGCGCATATCAGGTGATCGTAGTCGGTGCAGGTCCTTCGGGTCTTCTCATGGCCCTACTTTTGGGTAAAAGTGGCATCCCTGTGACCCTCCTGGACATGAGCCCCGAGCTCGATAAGAGCCCTCGAGCAACGCATTATGGCTCTCCAGCCATGTATGAATTCAATAGAGCTGGAGTGGGTGATGAGATCCGAGCTCGTGGGTTTCAACCTAATGGTGTGGCATGGCGCAAAATGGACGGAACCCCCATCGCAAGCATCCACAATACTGTGCTTGGAGAAGACCCCCTCCGAATGACGGTCTTGCCATTAAGTGACCTCGGCAGACTATTGAGAGAACATATCGGCAAGCACAAAAACGTGGAAGTGCTCTTTGGACACAAGGTCGTAGGTCTCGGTCAAGACGATGGCCAAGCCTGGGTCGAGGTAGAAACCAGCGAGGGTCCCAAGACTATGCGAGCTGACTACATCGTCGGTTGCGATGGCGCCAATAGCCAAATCCGCCGATCGCTCTTTGGAGATGCCGAATTTCCTGGAAGAACCTGGGATCAGCAAATTGTAGCCACCAATGTAGGTTCCTAGCCCATAATGTGCTCTCGAGCTTGGTAGGGGTGGAGTCGCTGACTTGGCCCCAGACATATTACGACTTCGACCAATTTGGTTGGACGGACTCCAGCTTCATCGTGCATCCTGAACATTATTTCATGGCGGCCAAAATCCAGAATGATGGGCTGTGGCGCGTGACTTACGGCGAGACCCCGGGGCTAACTCCAGAGCAAATGCGCGAGAGGCAGCCATGGAAGTTCAAAACCATGCTCCCAGGACACCCTGACCCCAGCCAGTACCGGATAGTAAACTTCAGTCCTTATAAAATTCATCAACGCTTAGCGAAGAGCATGCGTGTTGGTCGCTTTCTTCTTGCTGCTGACGCTGCACATCTTTGCAATCCATTGTGAGTGTGGATAAAATGCCACCCAGTCAATGAGTACATGTCTCACTAACAAAACGATGTGATTTAGTGGCGGACTTGGTTTGACCGGTGGACTTGTTGATGTCGGAAATCTCTATGATTGCCTCGTTGGGATGTATGAGAACAAGGCGGATCCGTCCATACTGGACAAGTATAATGAGATAAGAAGGCAAAAGTATCTGGAAGTCATCGACGTTGTCTCAAGCTCCAATATACGACGCCTGTTTGAAACCGATCCAGAACGCGCACTCGAAGTTGACCCGTTCTTCCAGGTTATCAAGAAAGCAGAGACTGACAAGGATCTTTCTCGTGAGTTGCAACACGTAAGTCGCACAGATAGTTCTTCCAACCGAACTGGAACTAAAAGGATCTGACATCGTTCTAGGCCACAAACAGCATCATGCATGACTTCACCCAGTATTACAAGAGTTAGACACAGGGTGGCACAGGGTGGGAGAAATTTGGAAAATAGGTCGCACGGTAGCTAACTATGACGCGTCGATCAAGGGCATTCATAAACTTCAATAAGACCTATGATAAAATTTTGACAGAAGAGTTTTCGCATTGAAGCAGATACTGTGCTCGTGGCTATATAACCTTCAGAAGACGATTGGCAGGATACTAACAGAGTAGGGTTCAATCTTTCCAAGGGTGTTAGCCAACAGAACAATCAAATATCAGTACAATGCAAACATTGCAAATCCTTGTGAACCATCCCCAGAAGTCGAGGCCCCAAGAAGAGTTAGATATGTGCCCAGAATTGGTAACCACCCTCCCTTTTGGGGACATAATGTCGAGTAACGAGTATGAATTTCCTGTTGCCATTAGCTACCAGCATACTCAAGTGATATGCAACCTCATTGGCACTACCTGTGTGTGGTGAAGATCCACCAGATCAGGTGACTAATGCGGAGTACAACACCTGCTTTGAGGGACTATGATGTGGGGTAGGTATTGCAGCAGCGACAGATCTGGTTCCTGGGCCTCACCTTATGCACTTGCCTGCAGCAGTCCTGTCTTCTGAACACTAGGCTTTGGACTTCTACGCAAGGGGAACTTACAACATACACGATGTCTACGTCAAAATCCTTTCCACCATCAAGCGGGTCGGTCGAAGTAACATTGCTTGACGGGGGTGGTTTTACCACAGCTGAGGACGCCAGGCTTCATCAGGATGGTGACCGACCACCGTTTTACCTCTATGACTGGTTGTTTCTTATTCATCACCAGTCGACAGGCAAGAAGGTCTTATGGGATCTTGGAATTAGCAACGTACGACCCAATACCTGAAACAATTACATGACTAATATCTCCAGAAGGACCGCGACTTGTATACTCCATTCGTTTTGGAGTACCAATGGGGTAGCTGCAATCCCGTTGGACCCCGAGTGGAGTTGGGAGAGCAGCTCAAGTCTGTTTATGTCCATCCCAATGAGATCGACTCCATCATCTTCAGGTAGGGATATCTGCCAATGGCCTTATACAGTCGTTCCGGAGTTGAGTGGAGTCATCCAAGCTAACGGCTAGCTATTCCGACGAGCAGCCATGCTCACTGGGACCACTGCCGTCCTTCCAAAGGAGAGTTCCCTCATGCAAAAGTAAAATTTGGCCCTGGTACAGGCGCTTATTGCCAACCAGGCCATGTTCAGACTGGAAAAGTCGTGCCCAATGTTCAATGGGATGCTCGGATCTTTGGAGATGATTATATCAAGCAAATTGAGTACGAAGAACTTCAAGGTCCCTGGGTACCATGGGGACCGTTCGAGCGCGGCATGGATTACTTCGGGGACGGAAGCTTCTGGATTCTAGATGCCCCGGGTCACATGGTTGGGAACCTCGCAGCTGCCGCCCGACTAACAAACGGTCATTACGTTATACTCGCAAGTGACTGTTGCCATTCAAAGTGAGCCTCTTCAATCTATAAGCGCCTGGGATAAAATATACTGACACTTGGATTTCGTTTCAGAGAAATCCTCAATGGATCTAAGGAGATGGCAATATGGAAGTTACCGGATGGGGGGACGTTCTGTCTTCACGAGGATCCTTCTGTCGCAAAAGACACGATACGGCGGTTGAAGGAGGCTTCGGACGACTATGGCGCACACATTGCAATGAGTCATGATGCTTCATGGATCCAAGAAGGGAATGATAAGGTTCTCATGTCTATTCTTCACCCCTTGTTTGGTAGTGAGGGAGTTATATCAAGAATCAAAGCTGGGGAGCAGCCATGATGCGCTGATAAGGGGCTACCACCTAGACCCTTCAAACCGCTAGTCTTTAGTTTGATGGAGAAATGCAAAATAATAATGACTCGACTGTAGTATCATGCCAAGGTGACATATGAAGGAGTAGGCGTATCATCTGACATGTCTGCAAAAGCGCTCCAATGCTTTCCAATGAACTTTTGTGTCTCTGCCTCGTCTGCAATAGCAATAGCCAGATCTGCCGCAGTAATACCATGAAGTCGATTCTCTAAATCGGTAACATCGCCATCTGCGTTACTTGGTTTCAGAGGAATCTCGTCAAGTATCGTCTGATAGTTGCCTGTACGCTTCCCCGGACGGTATAAAGCTGGTGGAGACACAAATGTCCAGCGGAACGATGTATTGCCATCGAAAAACATGAAGCATGTGCGCGCTGCAGTGACAAACTCGAGAGCCTTGTCGCTTCGTAGAACCGACTGTTCATAATCGTGTATAGCTTTCTTAATCTGCTCATCCGCACCACCTTCGCGTAAGCTGATACGATTGTTGCGGAAGTGGCGCAGGTCGACACCTAGTGAACCAAGCCTCTCCTCCATATAACACACATGTGCATGACTGTCTGAGATGCCTCGACGATAGTTCAGCCAAAACATCTTACTCTCGGAGCAAGTTTGCAGGCGGTCACCAGGTAAATGCAGCGAGCCGCAACCACCCACATTAATAAAATAGGGTAGCTTGCTCTCCTTTACCGCAATGATGATTTTGCGTGCCAGTTCCACGGTGGGCTCTGAAAGATAACGACCTTGTAAGTACCGATACGAAGCAAACAAAGCTTATTCATAGAGAGACAGGGATTGATTTACGGTAACGCAATGCATGTTCGCCAGCCGTATGGGGACCGTATTCATTGACTAAGACATCTAGTCCGCCAAAGGACTCTACAAGCTCTCGCAAGGAGCATGTTTCGATGTCGAGAGGGAAAGATTCATAGGCCGAGTGACTGCCCAGCCTTTCGGGATGGCGGGATATGCCACGCACAAAGTGACCACGACCAAGAAGCTCGACGCAGAGGTAAGAACCCCCAAAACCCGTTGGACCAATTACTCCTATTTTCAGAGCCATAATCGCCAATCTTCGACACCAAATGGCGCTAGCTATTTGAAATATATGGAATAACAGCACTGGTAGATTTCATGTACAATCAGGTTTCGGTTGATGTCGCGTAGTATGGTCTTATGGTGCCCTGTCAAGCAGCCCGCCACAAATCAAGTGCAGAACCAGCGACAACCCACCTCCAATTAGAGAAAATGCGAACAGTTCAGATGCGGGGGCTGCACAAATGTGCAAGGAAGCAAGTCTGGGCAGTTCTCGACGTCAACTTGATGTGGAGGTCGAACTGCCGAGGATGCCACACGACCGTGATGTGGGGCAAAGCCGTCGCTTGGCCTCGATCTGATCGACGAAACAAATGCAAGCTTAAGGGCTTTGCAGCATCAGTAGTTTGGCTTGTAATTCAACACGTATCAGACAGGCACACATCATGGAGAAAAACGTGGGATTCATAGGTAAAGCATGCTTGCAAAAAGATCAATGTCAAGTAACAAGCAACTGACGCAGAGCCAGGGCTTGGGGCCATGGGTTCCCCAATGGCGTTCAACGTTCGGAAAAATATGCCGCCAGATGCCACGCTCTTTATCTACGACGTCCTTGTGGATCCAGCTGAGAGACTAAAAGCCGCCTGTGAAACTCTTGGGCCTGTCAAAATCGCCAAAAGCCCACGCGAAGTAGCCGAAAACGCTTTGACAATAATATCGATCGTGCCAGCCGCCCAGCATGTGAAGGCAGTATATCTAGATGCGGACTCCGGGGTCACAGCAGCAAAAGATGCCACAGATGTGCCAACCAACTCTAGGCGCATCTACCTTGAGTGCAGTACAATCGATATTGCTACTGCAACAAGTGTCGGCAATTCACTCAAGCAAGCTGGGATGGGAACATACGTCGACAGCCCAGTTTCTGGTGGTGTCCCCGCTGCAGAAAGAGGTGCACTATCGTTTCTACTAGGTCTTGACAGCAACAGCAAGGACCGATCGTCGAGCGACAGAGTACTCTCCACAGCCCACTATATGGGAAGTCCGAGCAAGATATTTCACTGCGGTGGCCTTGGCAAGGGGTTAGCAGCCAAGCTCTGCAATAACTACCTGTCGTGCACGTTCTTGCTTGCTAACTCAGAAGCCATGGCGACTGGCCTAAGACTCGGGCTAGATAAGCATGTGTTACACAAGGTGATACACGAGTCGACGGGTCAAAACTTTATGCTGGATCATGTCTGCCCAGTGCCGGATGTAGTGCCGCATGCGCCGAGTAGCAACAACTATAAGCTGGGCTTCAAAGCCGAGATGCTGGTCAAAGATGTTGGCCTTGCTGTCGACGCCGCTAATAGTGTGGGCATAAAGCCAACTATTGGCGAAGCCGCCATGAATGTGTATAGGCAAGTGGCTGTAGACGAAGAGTACCAGGTACGTTTAGCCAGTCACATCACATCATGCTTGAACTAGAGAGCAACTGGCGGAAAGAATACTGAACGTTAACGACTTGTCATGATAGGGCAGAGACGGCTCGATTGTTTACAAATTCCTAGGTGGACCAGACAATTAGTTGGGCCACTCGCGGCAGAGAAACATATGGAGCTTAAGAAGGGGTTCATAGCACAGTATGTTCTAAATGGTACCCCTGTCTGGTAAATACTTGCGCTGAGAGACGGCATCCGCGCAAGACAAATACTCCTTCTACTATCCGCGTGGGATAGACGATTCTATGTCCTATGAGCACCGTGACTATGACATACCCTTGCCTGAGGAAATGCGTTGATCGCCGCATGCTCCAGCGTATCCTGGCTGAAAGATCTACGGGGGTGGTCCTATCGGGGTTAAACAAAAGCCGAATGCGCTATATATGCAGATGCTGGAGATGCGTCGGCGGCCCAATCATTAGAGTTTGGTCCCGCTTCTATACAACGCCAAACCGCTAACTGCACAATGCTGGGCAATGAAAAGGAGGCAAAGACCCAGTTTTACCCCATGCCCCGCAATGAAGACCCGGCTGCCCTGCCGCGTGCCGCTATAGTTTCGTTAGTGCGTGTGCATCAAGCGCTCGAGGTCGCCCTGCGTTTCTCACGACCTTTTCCCAATCTTCCGAGTCTAATTGCGGCTTCGTCCAGGTCCGCCCGTTGCTGAGACAATGGGCCCCAAAATTTGCATCACATGCAATAGGCAGTTTTCGAAAGCGGAACATCTGAAGCGTCACGAACGATCCCGTACGGCCACTCCTCTCCCATGTACTAGGCCCCGTGCTCAATAGCTCTACAGATTCTCGAGTCCGTCCGTATCGATGCCACATTTGCCACAAATCCTATGGCCGAAGCGACGTGCTTCATCGCCATAGCAAGCAACACGAGCGGGATTCTCTGCAGGCTCAGACCGAGTCGGCGGCGAGGGCAACCCAGCCGGCGCTGCATGACAGGACATCAAGGGCGATCCCAGAACCGCCAAACTTGGAGACGGTGCCCCTCACTGACCAAGCGCAGTCGCCCCAAGCTGCGGATTCGCAATCGGCTGCTGCACAGATAGGACCGGTATCAGATTCGACGTCAAGTATCACTGTTTGCACGGGAGGCACTACTCAACAAACACGACCAGGGCCCCAGGATGTTGCGGGCGGTACCCGTATGGAGCTTGACGTCGAATTTTCGAGCATGACTCCGCTCGTTGGAGTTTCAAATCACAGCGCAGACGCAGGCATAGATCCATCAAATCACACTGTGACAGACACAGCAGCACGCTCTGAGGTCCAAGGCACCACTTTCCCAGAGACATACATTGAGCAGCGGCAGCCAAACGGGGAGCCCGAGTTCTCTGTGGCTCCTTTTGAAACTATTGTTCCACCTGAGGACTTTACAGCGCCAGGATCTTCAGCACCTCAATTCCACGATAGAATTGAAACAAACCACTTTGATATGGACCACCATTGGTGGTTGGAGCCGGAGTACGACATCCCATTGTCCTCGCTGTTAGACGGATCTTTTGAACTGCACTCAGCCGGCGGGGCTCAGGCACAGACACCTTCACGCGATAATGTGGGAGTCCGTGACCGCCGGATATCCACAAGCAGCACCCTATCAACCATGTCTGACGCGCATCTTTCCCGTCTACAGCGGTTCTGGGCCAGAGAAACAGACAGAAAAACGAAGCTGATATCCACACTATGGCAGAGTTTGATCAATGGTAATGGTCTGTACGGCAACTGTGGCGAGACTTTGACAAGTCTGGGTCCTGGGTCTGATGGGTGGTCCCTGGATTCCGAGACAAAAGTGAAGATATACGCAGCCTTCCATGCCGCCTTATCAGTCAATGGCTTGAGCGATTCATCATATGCGGTGATTACACCAGAGCTTCTCGAAATCGCTTATACACAGTATATCGACCACCACCACACCACGATGCCTGTCATACACCTTCCTACATTTCTGCCTAAGAATGCACCGATATCTCTTCTCTTGGTTATTTGTACCATTGGCCTAAATATCATGGGCACGGCCAAGTTTAACAGGATTGTCCGCCAAATATTTCCGGTATGTTCTTTATATCTTGCGGGTTTTCATTGACACGATGATGGTGTTGATTTTTCTAGTCTCTTCTGAACATGACATCCGATGAATTGTACGCCTCCCGCAATAGTAAGACGCCAGCAACGCGGTTGCTAGCGATGACGACCGCACTGCTCGTCTTGACCCTCTCCTCGATCATGGGTGTAAGCACCTTCCTCCTTTCCCTGGTTATTCATACGCTCACGCTTTTCTAGAATAGTCAGCCTGTGGCAGAAGCTGAGCCCTTATATTCGAGTCTTTTGTTGGCAAGTCCCTTGGCCTATCGACTATGAAATTGTAAGCCTAACACTTTGTAGAACGCACAGACTGATGGCCTTTTCCTGGCCAACGAATACCCTCAATCTCCTGATCTTCTGAAGTCTGTCCCGACAGAAGAAAAGCGATGGAAAATATGGGCCAGTTTTGAGGCTGTTAAAAGGTTACACAAACCCCAGCATGCTTACCCACATTGTTCTGTTTGTTAACAATTGAACCTCAGACTGATTCTACACTTGGTGCAACTCGACTGCTGGTATTCCTCATTCCTTGCAACGGATCCAATTCTACGCCCGCAAGTCGTTCAGGTAGTACCTGCTTGTGAACATGCCCTTTTCCAAGCGCGCTCGCTCGATCAGTGGTCCAAAATACGACCTGACTTCGAGCAGATGGTGTACCCTGTCGTCTCAGGTTACCGCATGGTGACAACAGACATAAGAGGTGCTGATGTAGTGTCAAGTATCATGATTCCTGTTCAATTGCGGTGTAGATGGGCCGTCAGTCTGGTAAACCAGTCCAGGCCGCGTGGTGGAGCTCATTACGTATTGCTTCCGTGGCAGGTCTTACGAGAAGACGCCGTCGAAAAGCCATTATCTGTTCTGTTAGCTAAACTCTCTGGCTTTCCGAGCGCTGGGGACGCGAGTGTGGATATTAATGCGGCTGTCTCGTGGCATGCTGCCTGCATGGCATTGGGTGCCAACATCAACCTATTCGAAGATGCCGTCGGCCGTACAGACCCAAAGGCAGCAGCCCAAGCAACGAAAGAGATCTCTGCTTGGGCTTTGACCTCATCTGCAAGACGTTGCTGTCTCCATGCTGCTCACATCTTCAAGCTGTTGTTGAATCGTAGATATTCTCAGCCTGTCCAAGCGCAGAGCGTCTCTGCATTGTTTCAAGCCGCCATCATATTCGGGTTCTATATCTGCGCAATGCCAACCGGCGATGATAGGAAAACAGGCAACCCGATAGACTTGTTCGATGATATTGACTGGGAGTCGCTAGGGGATCTGGGCTTCTCTGATGTTTCTACGGAGACGACGCGGGCTGAAGACAGCTTGAGCCTTCCTACCAAGTTTATCATACACGGAGGTAGCATGTTGTTCTTTGGCTATCCCCTATCTAGTGGCTATGGCGAAGCGCGCAAGAGTTGGCTGCACTTTGCGTCTTTGATGCTCGGCCTCGGGAGATGGAAATCGCGGCACTATTCTCGAATACTGCACGTTATTTGTGATAGCCTATCGGATCTAGATCCGAGCGAAGTAGGGGAGGACTGATCACAAAATTATGTAGACCCCATAAACGTGCAGTTTCTCCAACTTCGCCCCATTTCAAACTCTATACGTGGCAAGGAAAATGCTTTGCGCGAATGGCGAGACCAAGGAAGTGCCGAAGAGTCCTATCTCTTTCACGTAGGTGCCGTTCTCTACATACGTGTCCCCCGCCTTGGTGAGCCAGCGTTATGCCGACTTGCTTTCTCCATTTCAGAGTGGGTGGGTATTACTAGTGAGGTGAACTCCCCTCGATTAGAAATATAAAGCTTCACAGTCCTTCATGTGCCACCCATCAAATAATCTAAATATTCTATCATCAAGTATATTGAAGCAAGTTTAGTTCAAAATGATTCTTTCTTATATCGATACCTGGAGTGTTGTCTACTATGGTACCGTGATCTTCTTCATCCTGGGGGTGACTGCGGGGTTTGTAGACTGGTGCCGGATGCTATGGATGCGCCGGAGGTTGCCCCCGGGACCTTTCCCGTTTCCAATTGTAGGAAATCACTTCCAGACACCAAAAGTACGGCCATGGATTACTTGGGCTGAATGGGCAAACTATTATGACACCGATATGCTGACGCTATGGATCGGCCGGCATCCACGTATTATTCTTTCTGACGCCTGGGCCGCATCGGACCTGCTGGAAAAGAGGTCAGATATTTGCTCGTCGCGGCCACGGTTGGTCGTAATGGGTGACGCCATCAACGCTACAGAGAGCAACCAGACCGTGCTAAAGTATGGCGATCGTTGGCGGCTCCACCGAAAAATCATGGTATTCAAACCCCCCCTACTCTTGACTGCAATTTTCAATGAGCTAATCATCTAATAGCATATGGCCGTGGGTTCCCAGGTGATTCGCAACTATCGCCCATTCCAAGCAGACGAGTCCAAGCTCCTGATTCGTGATTTTTTGACAAACCCCGAAGACTTCGAGCTCTCTATAGAGCGATACTCGGTATCTACAGTCTCCATTATTGGATGGGGGCGCCGCATAGACCAGAAAAATGACTACGTCGCACTTCAAGCTCTAAGTTTCATGGAGGCTGTCGACTTCATAATACCTGGCGTTTTTCTCATGGAGACGATACCTGCCCTGATGCTGTTACCATCGTGGCTATATAAGTTACCAGCATTACTTAGACAGGGTGCTGTAGTTTTATCAAAATACTTCTACATGCTCACCCTAGAAAGTTCCGAAAACGGGAAAAGTGCTTTCAACAATTATTTGTTGAACACCCAGAATCAACATGGTCTATCCGATTTGGAGGTGTCTGGGTTGATGGGAAACCTGATAGGCGGAGGAGTGGATACGACATCAAGCACAATGCTCAGCAGCATCCTGGCTATGGCATGCTTCCCGGAAGTCCAGAAAAAGGCGCAAGAGGAGATGGACAGCGTAGTTGGACACTCAAGATCACCGACATGGGACGATATTGATGGCGGTCGGTTGCCATACCTGACAGCACTGGTCAAGGAAGTTCTTCGTTGGAGGACCGTTACTGTGTTGGCTGGCATCCCTCATGCCAACACCAAAAACATATCATACAAGGGATATTATTTCCCTGCCGGTACAAACTTCACCGGAAACATGTGGGCTATACACCGCAATCCAAGGGACTTTCCCGAGCCAGATCGGTTTAGACCTGAGAGGTTCTTGAACGGACTCGAGAACCCGTATCCAAATGCGAGGGGAAGTAATCCGTTTGGCTGGGGTCGGAGACAATGCAGTGGTCAACCCTTGGCCGAACAGGGTTTGCTCTTCTCCCTTGGTCGGATGATCTGGGCTTATGACAAAAGACCTGGTTTGGATAGCTCAGTAAGCCTTTGAATATTCGCTTTTCTATTGTGTTTTACCTATGTCTCCACTACAAAGACTTTGAAAAAGCCCTCGCTGACAACTCTCCCTAGGGCAATAAAGTGAAACTGGACAACTTCGCTTACACCGAAAGCGAAAATACTCGTCCAAAGCCATTCAAAGTTCAGTTCATCCCTCGTTCCGAGAGAATACATGAAATCATATTACAAGAGGCGACAGAGGCTCGGGAGGCCTTGCGAATCTATGATGGAGAGACAAAGCTTACCAGAGAGCAGGCTGCAGCCGAAGCGTTTTAGCTGGAACCGAGAGCAAGGTAAACTTGGTTTGTTACCTAGGTGAGGAGTTATCATGAAATGAGATCATTTGTCCGGATACGAACTAGTTTAGGTATTCTGGTTTTCCATCGTTATGCAACTTGGGGGCATTGAAAATCCCAGTTGTCAAGTTTAAGGGGAAGAACGGCTTTACACATTCCTTTACCCGTCGTACCAGGGTGGCTGAGAGACTTATCGTAGATAGTGACGAGAAGAAAAGTATCTTCTGGTCAATGGTTGTAGAAATCCCTGACTGTGGCCCGATTGATTTTGTGAATAAGATACCAGGATCCATAGCTTTGCCTAAATCGACCGAGGCGATTTCGCACTGTACGAGAAGGATAGCCAATACCGAACTGGATCCTATGTGGCAGCGAGTCAGAGGAGCAAAGTGGATGTGTGGGGTGAACCCCACCATGTGAAGAACACAGTATACTGTACGGTCGCTCTCCATGTATGGTTCGACTTGCGACGCAACACATTCATCAACCTGCTATAACTCTGAAAATAATTCCTTTGACATCTAAAACCCATCGAACCAAACATAAGAAATCACGATGGCTGCACCAAATTTTAGCTTCACGCATCCACAATTGGGCAAAGTCACTGGGACTGATGGCGAGGTTGTCTGTTTCCGCGGCATTCCGTATGCTACAATCAAGAACAGACTTGCGGAACCTCAATTGATGAACCAATACTCTGATTCGGTCATTGCTACGTCGAATGGGTTAGTAGAACCTCCAATCTGATCGATCTCTGCGCAGTAAGGCAATGGCTCAGGCAGATAGTATCTTGCAGCCCAACATCTCTTCTCCCTCCCGGTGCCTTTCAGCTCGAGATGCTGCTGATGCAACAATCGCAACCCGACCCTCAGCGCCCTGTCTCGGACTTAAATGCACTTCACCTTAACATATACGTTCCAAGGATCAATGGCCAGCTACCGGTGCCGGGAAACCTTCCCATCTTCGCCTGGATACACGGGGGTGGATTCGTTTCTGGGGCTAACTCTTGGCCACATTACGACATGCAAAACCTCATACAACTCTCAGCTAGCCAAGGTCTACCGGTGATTGGTATCGGAATTAAGTAAGCATCTCTATTCTTCTCAGTGTAGCAATCATCTGGATACAGTATGACGCGACTTTTTTCATACCTGGGATCCCACACGTACGGCCACATACTGGAACAAACCCCTTTCATTTCAAGGGCTGATAAGCTTTCTCCTAGCTTCCGATTGGGGATGTCGGGATTCCTGACGTCCTCCGAATTGAGAACTGCCGGGTATAAACCCAACAATCAACTGCGGGATCAACGTGTAGCTTTTGATTGGATTCGCAAGTATATCGGGGGGTTTGGAGGTGACAGTAATAGACTTACGGTGGCGGGAGAAAGCACCGGTGCGGGTAAGTATCGTTGGCCGCCGCCTTTGGGCAGTTGCAGCAATGACTGACTTGATATCATCATAGTTGACGTGGGCTTGCACCTCCAGTCAGAACAACCTTTGTTTGACCGAGCTATAATGATGGGAGGGTCATCATTACTAATGCCACCTGCCACGGCAGAGTATCAAGAATGGATCTACAGCCGGGTATTGGAGCTCTTGGGGATCAAGGAGGCAACTCCTTCAGAGAGAATCCGCGCGCTTGTTGAAGCCCCAGTTGAACAACTCATCTCGAAATTATCGCCACCTCTACCCTACAGGCCAATGATTGATCACGACCTAATAAAGTTCCCAGTCACTTATGACATGGTATCTCAACAGAGATCCAACGCCACGGTTCCCGGTCATACGTGGCTCAAGGGCTTGATGGTTGGGGACTGTCAATTCGACGTAAGTTGTGCATTCTGTTCATAATATAACGGCACTCGGGCCATGATAACCCTAAATACATACGTTGATCGTGGTCCAGTCAATATTTTACAGTAGAACTAATGTGTGTATCAGGCGTCGAGCATGGCATTTTTCATGGACCACAAGAAGCCCGGTATTGCACAGTCATTTCCGACGCATCTCCGCGGAGCATTTCCCGATAATCCAGATGATATCGGAAAACTTCTGGAAATTTTTGGCTTCACATCCGAACCCCTGGATGATGATATGGCATTCAAGAATTTTCTGTATTTTGTAAACGATCTCTGTTATTTTGGGGCCACGGCAACGTTTGCTGAGGGTTGGTCAAATAACTGTTACACGTTCTTTATGAACGAGCGTAATCCATGGGATGGTCGTTTCAAAGGAGAAGCCACGCACGTTATAGACGTCAGCCTCTTGTTCCAAAACTTCAACGACCAATTACCGACGGCCATGCAAGCATCTGCAAAGGCATTCGCTACGGACCTATTCACATTCATGGCTGGTCGTGCACCTTGGCCTGCCTGTACTGAGAAAGCGCAGACAGCGAGAGTATACGGTCCATCATCCTGGGAAACCGAAGTCCAGAACTCAACCCTGCATGTTGTTCATAGTCTGGTCGCGCCTGAAACAGGCAGAAGAGGTGCTATTCTTGATATAGGCCGGCGGCTTGGGCTGGATAATCTGGCCGCTGCGTTTGGTTCCTTTGCTGCCTCCTAAAAGTCTAAAAGAGGCCATAGAAGATGGGAAACTAGGTACTGACCAAAATCGTCTGGCGTTGCTGTACACCAATATAGTTCCAAGTTCTGCTGCTTCATGAGGTTCGTTGTCTTCTTAACTTTGGCGGTGCAATTTCACATCGGTGTTCCTGGCATCGGTGTTCCTGGTTGCTCTCACTTCATTGCTGGCCCTCCCAGGTCTTACAAGTTGCATATGATATAGCAAAGATCGCACATATGTAATATCGTATATCTAGGTCTGTTAAGGAGACGTGCACCTAGGCCTACCTGTTCCCACGCTGCAGGACATTTCACTCATGATATTTAAATGGATGGAATTCGAGATTCTGCATGCCGTTCGCGATCACGCCTTCCCGAGTGGATCATACGACATCGCTCGGCCGATACCGCGTGCCCCGGAGACTCACTAACTGCCGTAGTTGCAGGCCCCCAGGCGAGTCTATGAGCCACGAAATGAGCTCCATGGAGGATTGCCATGCGCAAATTATATTTCTTTTACCACAGCATAGACACTCATTGCGTACCAACGTGCCGGTTCCTGCTCGCGGGTAACGGATGCTTGCCACTGCACCATGCTTGCGACCATGACGTCGGTACCCGGTCCTTCGGCGGGAACGCACTGGCCCACAGCCTCAGCCCATTCCGCAAATGCCCCACGAACTTCCGGTAACGGCCCCTCCGGGATCCTGCACCGCATGGAGACAGGACAACGACCATCATCCGTATTGGACAGCGATAGCCGGGGTCGTTTGATGAGCTGTACACGCATAGGCTCTCTCGGTCTAGAACTCGATATTCAACAGCGCTGCCACATCACGAACCTCGCCCCATTGGTTCCGGCACGGCGAGTGGGACCTCACCGCTTCGGACAGCTGGATCTTGGGCTCTTGACGCCTGAATACGGCGCAACAGCTCGGCGGCCCGTCGAGATTGCATGCAACTGGTCTATATCTGCGATCCGATTGCCAGTTCAAGACTGGAAGGAGACACATCATATCTCTCGCCAATTTACTTCGTCACGTCCCAACCCAGAATCCCCTCACTCACCACAGGATGTGCATCGGGCTCGTCGCAACCTCGCACCCCAAGTATGCGGTGATCGCGCTGGACTCGCGCGAGGAGTACATCTTGCGGCCGACATCACGGCCGCACTTCTGGACGCACCAGCCCTCAGGAAACGTCGTCCTGTCGTCACGCGACCTGCTGCGCCGCGAGCACGGCACATGGATGGGCATCACGCGGTCCGGCCGTCTGGCTATACTGACCAACTTCCGCGAGACGGTGCCAGACTCCGACTCCCACCAGGTTTACGGGCTCAAGAGCCGTGGCGAGATCGTCAACGCGTGGCTCGGGGCTCCGGCGAATGAGGACCTGGATGCATTCGTGGGGCGCATGGTCGGGGACCGGGTGTTGACGGGCGTTGGTGGGTTTTCGCTCATCTGTGGTGACTTACGGCCTAGAGGGAAGGATGTGAAAGAAAGCAATGGGGATGGCCAATCTGGACGCCGTGAACTTCTACCCATGGCTGTCATCTCGAATCGTAGCGAGGCAGTGGACGGTGTGCCCCGGATCGCAGGGAAAAGGGGCGATGTGTGGGGCTTAAGCAACACGATATATGAAGACCCGCCAACGTGGCCAAAGATCATCCACGGCAGGCGGCTGGTGAAAGAGGCTGTTGATACTGCTGTCGCTGAGGATGCGGACGAGGAGAGGTTGGTGGACCTACTGTTCTCCGTGCTCGACACGAATATGATGCCTCCAAGAGATGCCGGGGTGGAACACGAGAAGTACGTCGACCTGCTGAAGAACTCGATATTCTGCCCAGCCATCACCGATGAGCAGAGAGACAAGGACATGGCGGCGGCGGTTGCCCGGGGCAAGATGAAGCCCGCATTTGACGAAATTGAAGACGAGAGCCGCGAGGCCGCAGAGCAGAACCCGCCGGGTGGCGCTGCGATATTTGATAAAGGGGCATATGGCACGCAGAGGCAGACGATCATTCTCGTGGACTGGGAGGGCCGAGTCACATACATAGAAAGGGCGTTGTGGGATGCCCATGGAAATCCCATAGAACGTGGGAAAGGCGATGTCAAGATCAACTTCGACATTGAAGGGTGGAATTGATTCACAAATGGGCAACATACAGATAGTAAATACCGTTCAAGTGCATTGCTGCGAAGGTTCGGATTATGTGAACTGATGTTAGGCTCTCTCAAACGTCCACCATCCTACCAGCAGCAAGACTACTCCTCACTCTCAACATCTTCGTCACCGCTGTCCTCTTCATTGTCTGTGTCTTGCTCCTCTTCATCCCGGCGTGCTCCAACATTGTGCATGCTGAAATGCCGACCGACCTGCTGTTTCCTCGCAAAATATCTGCCACATCCAGGCCAGTTGCACTTGTACATCTGGTTATTGTTCAAGCGTGGGTCCCAATGTTCCCAGAAGTGGCTCTTGACTTCTTTTTCGTTGTCGAATTCCTTGTTGCACTTGGGCCAGTAACAAGTGGTTCCTACATGCACCTGCTCGCTGTGCTGCTTCAAGGTGTGCCTGTTCTTGAAGGTTGCTCTGCATTCATCACAGTCAAAGGTGGCGTTCTCTTCAGCATCGGCATTACTCTTGCTTGGGGCAGCGCTGGAATGTGGCAGGCTTTCCTGGTCTCCCTTATGGCCATGCGCTGGGGACGGTGTTCTTTTCTGACTGGCTTGCCTGTACGTGCTAGGACTGTCCGGTTCTGAGCGTTCGTTTGAGGTCTGGAGATTGGTTGATGTGCCGCTCTCTGCCGTGTCATGGTCATCGGTTTCCTGGACTCCTGTAGGAACACTTTGATGGGGGTTGTCTTCTTCATCAATGCTGCTATCCTATAGCAGCGCGTCAGATGAGATGTTGGACAAGAAGCCAAAGCCAGGATCATCCGGAATCAGAGTTCCACGTCCGTGATTATCTGGGTATATGACGTTAGTTTAGGCCGAGTACAGGTGCAATCAAGGATCGAAACCTGCCGGTAACAGGCTGAATCCAGAGTAAATGCTCACCAACTGCCACTGGATCGGCGCCATTGTCTTGAGATTTATGGCACCAGCGGTTCACCATCTCACGCAGCTTAGCTACGTCGGCGGCAGTGACGGGTGAGTTGGAGTCTGCCAGGTCGTCAATGTTGGGTGGTGCTATGATCCCGTTCATCTCGCAGATCAACTCAATGGTTGACTGTAGATTTCTCATCTTTGGAAGAGACATCGCGACTTATCGATGAGGCCGTGGTTCGATATCTGTGAAGAATATGAAAGGTATGAAAGAACGAGAGTTCGCCGAGGGTATTGTCTTGTGTGCTGCACTGTGCTGTATCTTAGTAGCGGATATAACCCAGTTCGCCTGGGTGGAGTGAGAAATTGAGCCTTTTCTACTGCAATGTGAGAATTCCTCTTTATGTAGTCTTGAGAGGACGTGAAAGCCTGAAACACAAAGCCAACATGTGGTTAGTCAGCTTCCTTGTAAGATGCATTAAGGCGCCGTTGCGCAGAGTAGGAGTAGATTGTAAACACATATATGGCGTGTGCGACGCGTCATAGTTCACGCGTTTGCCTCGATCATATCAACAAACCATAACAACCAGGTCATGACTACACTCCAAGAGATTCATGGGGCAATCTGATAAGACTTTGTTTGTACTAGGGGCTGTAGAACGGAGACCGAGCAATATGTCATACTACCTAACCTGCTCATTCCAATCAGAGGCTGGAGTAGCACTTGGTGTCGGTGTCATTTGTTCATCTAGGCACATGTGTGGTGCATGATCCTCCGAGCAAGATACGCGACCCCGTTTGACTGCCTGCGTTGATGACTTTCGTGACGCTGCGCGTCCGGATATAGCGCTAACGGTCGTTTTTGCTGACACAGTTAGAGAACGTGCGAGGATGTCCTCTAGCAGCTCTTTACTTGAGCGCTTCCGCTGACCTTGGAGCGGCAGCTCCTCTTGTTGTGACGTCTTCTGCCGATATGTTGCCTGACGAATGATCTCAGGTGTATGATCCTCCAAAGGAATAAAGCTGTATCGACGCAGTCTATCCATCAAGGGTAGATACGACTGGCTGTCACGGAGCTCTGTGCCTTGTGAGCTACCTTGATGTTTTTGTATTGGACTCCCACTTGGCTGGCCTTCTTGCTCCAGTATGCCTACAGATCCCCGGAGCTCGACTGTTCGTAACATCGATGTTTCTGCTACTAGGTTATTGCCAGCCTGCATATTTGACTCAAGAGTCTGCAGGTCAAGCGGAGGCGAGCACACTCCGGTATGAGCATCAATTCCGTACTGATATAGCGATGCTACGACATCTCTGTGCTTATACAACTCTTCTTCGTCAACTCCGAGAGGTGATATCCACTCATTGGTGCAGTGGCGTGATGGAAGGGCTGGGAATGACACATGCGTTTCACTAACGGAGTTGGGAGGTATGTTTTCTCCGCAGCTGCCTACACATGAACCCCCAAACTGCCCTTGAGAGCTTGCACGTCCACGTAAGGTTGTGAATGTGGACTTTAGGCTAGACTGTGCCGTGCTACTTGCCGAGTCTATCCGTGCGTTCTTTGGGTTCGCCTGTAGCGTGTCATGGATCATGGGAGACACCTGGTTTGCCGCCGTCCCAGAGGTGGTCTCCCAGCTCACCTTCGTAACACTTTGCCTGGAGACAATAGTAGCCTTGGTACATTGAGTCTTGGCGCCAAAAGTTTGAGCCTCCAGAGCGGAGAACAAGGGCTGGACAGAGCTAATCGTTGTTGCTGGATCAGCTAAACAAGGTGCTGGAAGCATGATCTTGTCAGGATTTGTAGTAGGCCTGGCGTTGAGGTCACGCGGTAAAAGTACCGAACTGCAGCCAGTCGGCACATATTCTTCATGGAGATGCCGAAGACCAGTAATCACAATCTCCAGTATTCCTGCAATGTCACTCGTAGATACAAGGAATTCACCAAGACCGCCGTGTGACGATCGGTTTTCGTTTTGTGTCCGTGAACTGCGATAGCTCCCCTGTGCCGGATGGCTCTGATTTTGTACCCAATGGTAGGAACAGCTATCGTGACGCCGGTCAGATAAATACGCTCGGATGCTGGCGACGATACCTTCAATCCCCTGTTGCGTGATAATAGGCTCTTCGACGCAAGGCTCCACAACACTTGCTGCTCTTATTGCGTACATTGAAGAGCTCCGCCGATCACCAATACCAGTAGAGCTCCAACGCTTTGTCGTGACAGGTAGCGCCGGAGGAGCTACGAGTTGCTCAATAGCCAAGGGCTCTTCGAGGTCCATGGCACTGGCTGAGAATTGCAAGAAATCCGGGTGCGTGACACTCCTTACAGATGCCGAACGTTTTCTACTTGGTTGATCCGGACTTGTTGTCAGATCGAAGTTGTACTTTTCAGGTTTGATCTGGCGAAATGGGATCAACCATCTCACCCCGCTGGAGGTTCTTCTCACGGGCAAGAGAAGGGGCGGATCATTGTCGCCGACGGGAAGCTTCGCAGAGTCCAGGGCTGATTGAAGACTCATCAGCTGGGGGCTGGGCGATGGACTGCCGGTGTTGTGGAACGCGACGGCGCTTGCATGCCTACTTGTGAGTTGGGATGATGGAAGGCTATAAAAGTAGTCTTCATCGACGTTGGAGAGGGAGTGATGGTGCTGCTTAGATGCCAGGGGATCCATGGACAGGGGCGTGATATCATATAATAATAGGAATCATTGCTAGTAGATGGGAGAAGTAGAGGCAACCCAGACGGCGATTTGATATTTGAACATCACCAGGTGAGCTCGATAAATGCTGTATGGGAAGCTGCTACAAAGTGCAGTTTCGCAAACATGTCCCGAAAATCGAAGGGGGAAGCGCGGCCTCGCTCTCGCCAAAGTGGCCTCTGCTTGAAGCCGCACTAATGAATTGTCCACGACGGCAGCCGGATGCCGCATGCTCTGAGATGCATACTTACATATTTTGCTGCAGCAATCTACTAGCCAGCGAGTTGTAAACGAGGAACGCGAGACGTCGTTATAGTTACGTCACATATGTCCGACAGCGGTGTGAGGCAAAACCCGACCTCGAGCTGTGCAAAGTCGCAAGCCCAGCAAATCACGGGTGACAGTAGATGGCTCGCCACTACGGCATATAACTTGGTACATACCGGTACTCATCGGTATTGCGAAACAAAGCCCAAGCCATGACCTTTTCCCTTGCAGACTTTTAACCGTCTCACCGCCGGCCGTCTAGATGACGCGCTATATGATACGCCTTTCGAATGCCCCCCCCAAACCCTCAAAACGCCGAACAATGCTTCCTGGATATTGTGCATCGATGCCTCGAGCCCACATATTGCGTGCATCACGGGTTTTCCTTGCGCCGATTCTTCATGAAATCTTTGATCTGCTCCACCTTGTTGGCGAAGAACATTCCCTTTCGGTCATCCGACCATTTGAGCACACCCACATCCTCGGCAAATCTCTTGACCTGGTCGTACTCCTTGACGCTATCAAATTCCATGAACAGGAAGCCGGGGGTGGCGGTCATACGCTCCGTGTCGAGCTGCCACAGTCTGATCTGGTCCACGATGACGGGTGGCAGGAGAGGCTTCTTGGTGGCAGCAGCCACTCGGTGCATTTGCTCGTGCGCATGCGTCGCTAAGTAGGAGATGATCTGGTCCGACGTGATCCCCATATCCACCGCCCGACGGATGGATGCACGAGTGAGGCGGCCCGAAACCAGCTCTCTGAAGCGCATCTTGAGCTCACAGAAGAGGGCAAGGACGGCGATTTGCAGTGGCGAGGATGTGTACGCGTAGATTCTGAAATTTGTTTCCAGAATAATGGCGTTCTTGTCTTGAGCATCGGCAACACCCTCGCTGGCCGCGGTGAAGCCCGCGCTAACACTGCGGAGACTGCTTTCGCTACTGGTGAGAGTGGTGGCAAGCCTGGTGGGGAAGAATTGCTTGTGGTCGTGGGCGGGAATATAGACCAGGCCGAAGTCTACCAAAGACGGCAGCATGTTGCGTCTCGATTCGGTCAGAGCATCCGTGCTGTACGAGCGGCCAAGCTCTAGAGACGCGAGCAGGAAAAGGAACGATAGCATGTCAACATGGTCCATGCCAGCATTGGCATTGGCCTCAGCTGCCTCGAGCCAGAGGAGGAGCAGAGTCCACACCTGAGCGTTGGCTTCCTGCAGCAGGAACGTGAAACCGGCCTGGGTGATGTGTATGGTGGGTGAGGTAGGGCTCTTCCGCTCAACGAGACGACCGCCAATGAGCAGCTCCTTAACTGAGCCCTTGGGGCCATTGCTAGTCTCCCCAGACATGCGAGAGCCGTCCGTTATACCGACCGAGTTGACAACGAAGTGGAGGATGTCGTCCCACTTCTTGCGCGCGTACTTGTCGAGGAAAGGGATATCGAGGTCTTCGGACACGGGCATGTTGGAGGGCACGCCGAACGAGTTGTGGTCACCGCCGCCTTCGAGGGCAAGGCGCAGACTGTTCTTGAAGTTGGTCGTGAGCGCCATGGCGGGCTGGGCGTCCTTGGAAGCCGGGATCGACGTGATGATGTGAAGGGCGCGCAGTATGGAGAGTGCCTGGTCCTTCTGGCGTTTGGCAGCGGGCTTGACCCAGACATCGAGGTCGGAATAGAGGAAGGGAGTAGGCATGTAGAGTATGGCCATGACGAGGGTCTTGGCCAGGTGCGGGAGCATGCGCCGGAAGACGGCGAAGGCGGCGGATGGTTGCTGGTAGAGTCGCCTAAAGGTCATACCAGACATGTTCTCCAGGTACTCGGAGAGCTGGAGTGAGTTGACCGACATGATGAAGGGATGTCGAGTCAACAGTCGGGGATCGGATTATGCCATGATCGTGAATGCCCCGGTGTGCAGTCGCTGCCAGCAGAGACGCGGGCGACGGGATCCTGGGTGATCGGGATAGCCCTTCGAGCGGAGGCTCAGTCAAAGATGCGTCGAGCAGTTCTGAGAATGCCGGAGATGGAAGCTCGAACGAGGCTCGAACGAGGAAAAGGGAATTCGGCGCTTGAGATTGTGCTGCTGTACTTCAGCTGCCGTAAGCTGTCGTGAGCTGCAGCCCAGTCAGTCGTCCCTTTGGCGTTAGGCTGGCATTCCCGAAATTCGTGCGTTACGAGCCGTTGGTCGGCGGCCGGAGACCGGAGGCCCGACTGGCAGCCCTGCCAGCTGCCGGTCATTTCGCGCTTAATTACGAGTTACCTCCGTACCGTCGTAGTACCAAAAGATCCCAGGGCAGCTCATTTACCCCACATCACTTGTAGCGCATCTCGGATCGACTTTGAAAGCGCCTCGGGATGCGCAAGCCGAGGCGTCAGGGGGCCAAGTTGGAGCGTAAGATGCCTAGCATGAGAGTGTTGCACTACATGCATGGCAAATTTGCAGTGACAGGCCCCGAGTCCGTGTCCATCCGGGCATTGGTATCGTAGTTGGTAGGTAATGGGCGTCGAGATTTCAGGACGGCAAGTGATTGTCATTGCCAACATGCAGTTGCACGTTGCCACCCAACTGCTCATATGAGCTGGACCCCGGCAAGCCCCCCTTTAACAAGGCAAACGAGCAGGGGCAGCTCGACGACCATCACAAGTGGCGGAGGCTCTTGAGCTTGTAGACAAGACTGGGCGAATCAACATTGTCCGCTTGGCCAGCCACCCATTGTGGATAGTTGCCAGCAGATCGGCAGTTTTGATACTGCCCATAGACTTGGCCCCGGTCCCTTGATGGTCTCTCTCTTAAATCTGTGTGTAGCTCTGGTGACGGAGTATGTCAACAGGCATGTAGGCAAGGGTAGTCTTATTAAAACCATAGTGGACAAGTAGAGGTCTTAGTGCGCTTCCAAAGTCATTCTTGGAGACTGCATCGTCCAATCTCCCTCGTCCTTTGACGTAGAAAGTTTTACATTTGTGTGGGTTCAAACAGCGAAGGTGATGGGATCATTGAACATGTGCTTTCCGTGAGGTGAGAGCCTCTGAATCTATTTTCCTTCGCACCACGTAGGACGTTGGATCGAAACAAGATTCGCTTTCAAGGGATCCGAACCTGCGGGTTGTGACGCGCTGTGTTTCAGCACGAGAGACCAGTTCGCTGACTCCATCTTCAGGATGCTTGCGTATATGTATCTCCCTCCTCCGCAGAACCTAGGGCTATAATGGGTCTGAGCTTTGCTCGATATGTAGGTCACCACCTGCCGGTGCATGCAAGCCACGTGCTGGGAGTCATGATCAGCTTCATCCCTGCGCCGCGACTTCGGTCCTTCGAACGGATCCCTGTTTAACGCTCTCACATCCGACTTTTAACCAGTTCGAGAGATTGTGGCGCTAGAATTCGACGATGCTACGTAAGTTAGTACGATAGTATGCACCGGCAGCACGTAACGCTAGGCATATGCCAGATCCACTCCCGCCACTGTGAGAACGTTTTTCACTATTGCGCAGTGGTCGCGCCCTAGCGTGGCCTGCTTTGGTCAAGATCGCCGGCTTGCAATGCACAGGGGCAAACTAAAGGCCCGAGGTCGATGGGGCATGTTAATCCCCTTCTACCACAGTTGTATTCTCTGTGTATTCAATGCGTAGCAGACTGCCTCGAGCCCCCTCCTAGGCTGAGCTGTCAACTTGCTGGCTTGGGGGTCAATTATCGTAAGTCGAGTTTCAAAGAGCTAATGGCCCCTGCTTTCATCGGAACGATTAGCGACGATGACTATCGGAATATTGCGGTGTCCGAGAGATTGCACAGCCGGAGTCCCGCCCGTCCGGACTGGTTCTGATGGAACTGACTCCACATAGCACAGCCCTAGCTCCGGCGTTGATCTTATAAATGGGGTAAAGCACGTGTGTCGGAATATAAGCAGTCGAACTATGCGCTCGGACCTCCACATAGACAACTCCACACTGGTCTGACAGGCAGGATAGGCAAGTCAGGGATGTCCAGGGGTTGAAGACCTTGTTGATGGACCCAAGTGCGGAGGCCAGAGCGTGTAGTCTTAGTCTCTTAATCTTCTATGGGACTTCGATTTTCGTGACTTCCTTTGGCTTGCGTTGTGCGAAAGGACGTATGTGATGTCCTGTTGACGTTAAACGACGGCGCCATGAACGACGATGATCGAAGCGGCAGCGTGTTCGCCGTTGCGGTGACATTCATGGTCCTCACGTGGATCATGGTCCCGCTTCGGGTCTACGTGCGAGCAATCATGACGAAATCCTTCGGTCTCGACGACTGGCTGCTGGTAATCACACAGGTAAATCGCCACTGCTCTGAAGAGTGGAAGATATTGGCGGAGAACCCTTCTTAATCGATGGCGCAGGTCCTCTTTACTACGTATCTCTCGAGCCAGCTGGGGGGATGGTATTATGGTACTGGCAGGCACAGGAAGGACCTTACCCCGGAGAACAACACCAAGGCTTTGACTGTAGGTGTCGACTGGAGCAATGCTAAGTCGTATGCTGATATATTGACAGTTCTGGTTCGTCTGCGAGATATTTTACGTCCTTACCGCCACATTCATTAAGCTCGCCGTGGGAGTCTTCCTAATTCGACTATCCGTCGTCAAATTTCATGTCTGGTTTCTTCGCGTCCTCATGGTTGGGAGTATTGTTTTTGGAACGGCATATCTCTTCGTCGTTTTGTTTCAATGCCAGCCCATAAGCACATTCTGGACAGACGCGCCCGGCACTCCCGGGAAATGCCTGGAAAACAACCCAGTCGCTATCACTACATATGTGGCGTCGGCAATCAACTGTCTCGCGGACTGGGCTTTTGGCATATTGCCCATGTTCATCGTGTGGTCGCTGAACATGAAGAAAAGACTGAGGATCATAGTCATGTGCATTCTCGGGTTTGCCTCTATGTGAGTCTCCCTGGAACATAGTTGTGGCCACGACGAGCATCATAAACTAGCCAGACTGACCACGTACGTTTAGTGGAAGCACTGCAACAATAGTCAGAATGTTCTACATTCCGGACATGCTTAATGGGCAGGATTTCTTGTGTAGGTTTATTAAGACATGATTCTATGTCCTACACTAACACTGCACCAGGGGCTACTACAAACTTTGCGATTTGGAGTACCGTCGAGCCGGGAATCGGTATCATTGCCGCCTCATTGGCAACCCTCAGACCTTTGCTGCAGCTCGCCTTGGGCAAGCTAGGGCTTTCACGAACCTATCGACTAAGTAGGAGCTCGCCCTGGACGCCCTCCCACGGCTACGTGAAGACGGACGAACATTCCATGTCTGGCCTGCGTCCGAAAGATGGAGTAACGACCACGACGGCTGCTGGACCGACCGAGACGGCCCCGACACCATTCAGATATCTACGTTCTCGTCCAAGTCTTGAGTCTATAGAGTTGGCCGGCATTACAAAAACAATGGAGGTTTCATTATCGAGCGACGCAGGTGAGATGGATGGACATCGAGCATCACTCAGGTAACCAGAAGACGAAGTTCTGTTGTGGTTACGTCGAGGGGCCATGCCTCCTGAACTGGCGTGGGAGCGTAGAATCCATGTAATTTAGTATCGAATGACGAATGAAAAGAAGATTAAAGTCAAATCTACATACTGGGGATGACTGTGATGACGAAGAGCATGGGGCAGCACACGGAGCATCAGGTGACAGTGCAATACATTGGTAATCGCTAGGAGCACGCTGTCCGACGGTTACAGCCCAACCCAAGCAAAAGTGGTAACGTACTAGCCTCTACCTAGGTACTACAGGGCGTAGAAGTCTAAAACGCGGGTTAACTGCCAACGTGCAGAGTTCTGGATCTGGCACGACTGGGTGTGGTTCTTGCCTAGAGCTCGGTCCCTGAAGCTCCAGGGCTGTCGCTGGCCATTGTCGGCCCGTTGTTGGAAAGATTAAGGTTGCCCGCTAGCGCAGTTTCGGTAGAAATAGTGGACAAACAGTGAACAGACAGCGCTGGGCCGAACGCATATTTGAGGCCAAGACCGGTTGCCGCCAATTGCAGGGCAGGAACAAGCATCATCCCTCAAAGCTCGCCCACCTCAAATTCCCATGTAGGGAACCCATCTGCGGAAAACACGCCGGCTGGTAGATACGCGAGCAGTGTATCGGCCCATTGGCATATATAGTCACGGTTGGGAATAAGTCACCGATTTTAAGATTCTGAAACTTTGAGAGCTTCTCTAGAATCAAGTCGTCGCTGGGCATTCTTCCTTTCATTATTCGTGGTCGGTTGCCATCGTATATTGAGGGGCAATACTATGGGGCACTTCGAATGCATTACGCATTGTCCCTCGACACATCGCATGCGATGGTTTATTTGACTCAGGCGAGCAGGACGGGTTGTTCCTCTTCTTTACGTGGACCTGCATCGCCAGGTCAGCCCTAGATACGGAGTTCAAGCGTTCCGGTAGTACCTTGCGACGCCTCAGCAAATACCATTGGCCCATGCCAGACACCGACTTTCGCTGCATAGGCGCTACACCGCAAGGGGTCAACAACTAGGTTGTATGCACCATGCAGAGGAGGCTCGCTACGGTTGTGCTACAGAATGGATGTAAGTCTTGGCATGGGCAATGGTGCGTCGCTGCAGTTGGTCACCGCAAAGTCGTTGATTCCCTCGCTCTAGTTGTAACGTGACTGTTTTTGTCGTCTATTCCAACCCCCTCTAGCTATGCTTACCTCTCAGGCCACTTGAAAGCAGTCAATAAAACCCTTGCCGCCGCCATGAAGCTTCACCATCAACACAGTCTTTGGGCGCTAGCTTGCGCGGCAGCACGGGCGAGCGCTGACTATCCTTCACCTGAACCCCCTGCTGACGACTGTTATTGCCTACCGGGTGATGATTGCTGGCCAGCACAAACTGGGTGGGATGCATTGAATAAAACTGTCAATGGACGCCTGATCGCTACGACTCCTCTGGGCTCGGTTTGTCATGACCCAACATATGACGAGCCTGCGTGCAGAGCGTTGAGAGGGGCATGGAGAGAACCAGAAGTACAGTACGTACTTATGTGCTTTCAATGATTGCGAATTCTTAGCTAGATATGCTCGACCCGGATCACTGATGAACATGTTGTTTTGGACCCTCTTACTGAGTTCTGAACAGCTACGAGTCATCCTCTTCAACCATGGAGACGTTCTGGCAGAACAACAGTTGCAACCCTTTCGGCGATCGCTCTACGCCATGTGAGGTTGGAAACATGATCTCCTACGCAGTCAATGTCTCAGCGGCTGCAGAAATAGCGGCCACAATCCACTTTGCAAGAACACACAATGTCCGTTTTGTAGTCCGCAATACTGGCCATGACTTCAATGGTCGCTCAACAGGCGCGGGTGGACTGGCCGTTTGGACACACCACCTTAAGAGCCTCGAGATCATCCAGAACATCGAGATGAAAGGGGACCCAGATAAGGGAGAACAGAGCTACCAAGGCCCGGCGTTGAAGATGGGGTCTGGTGTTCAAGGAGTTGAAGCTGAGCATTTTGCTGCCGACGCCGGGCTGGTTGTAGTCGGTGGTTGGTGTCCATCTGTTGGGATCGCTGGTGGCTTCACACAGGGTGGTGGACATAGTCCACTGGGTTCTCAGTTCGGCATGGGTGCTGACCAGACTCTCGAGTTTCAAGTCGTCACCGCGAATGGTTCTGTCGTCACAGCTTCGCCCCAAGAGAACAGCGATCTCTACTGGGCCCTCTCCGGCGGTGGACCCGGCACATATGGCATTGTTACTAGCGTCACAGTACGCGCATATCCAAACATGCCTGTTGGCGGTGCGTTCGTCTCCATCACAAACGATTTGTCGTTGCCAAATGCCTCAACAGTTCTGGAAAATTACTGGGCGACAATTCAGACGTGGCACACCCTACTCCCCAATCTGACATCGACCGGAATAGGCGCAACATTTTCGTATAATAACTCGCTGTTTTACTTGATTCCCCTGACCGCCTACAACAAAACGTCAAAAGATGTCAGAGCAGCACTCAAGCCCTGGATTGACCAAATGGACACTCTCGGAGTTAACTACAGTGCCAGTTTTACAGACTTTCCAAGTTACTATTCGCATTGGACGACATTTGCGCTGCCCGGCCCTGTAGGAGCCTACTGGCAAGGCACATCAAGGCTCGTGCCAACTGACATCTTCGACGACCCTACAAGTCTGGAGAAGTTCATTGGTGTCCAGCGAAAACTTGCGGATCAGGGCGTTTATGCCGGCGCTACAGCTGTTGCACCGAGAAAGCTCACTGGGTTCGCCAATGCCGTTCTTCCCGCCTGGCGCAACACGGTTAGTTTATTCGGGCTTCTGACCGATTGGAGCGATGATCCTACCCGATGGGAAGAGATGCAGGAGATGCAGCACTACGTCGACCAGGAACTAAGGCCCTTACTTAAAAGCGTGACCGGTGGAACGGCTGGAGATGGCAACTGGGCAAGAGGTAGCTATTTGAATGAGGCCAGCGGGGATGATCCGGCTTGGAAGCAAGAGTTTTTCGGGGAGAACCTCCAGAGGCTCGAAGAAGTTAAACAAAGGTGGGATCCCGACGGCCTATTCTGGGGCCTGCGATTGGTGGGTAGCGAAGCTCGGGAAATACGCGGCCAGCCCACCGGGATAGGGAATGGCAGGCTGTGCAAGGCTGAGAAGTAAGGGAAATTAGTCATTAGGAACCACAGAAACCTGTCGTTGGACGTTTCTAGAGTTGTTGTCTCCATGCTGGACAAGACTCAGCACACGACGAACGTGCCTGTACCTGACCCAGCAAAATGGTACGCTAAGATTACCTAGATGTTTGCCACAACCAACAACCATTATAGCAATCTCGCTTTCAAATGCATGATACTTCAAGTACCAACGCTCATTTCAAATTGATGTTGGTCATTTGACAGGAAGTGTTCCTGCATTCGTGTTCCGCGTGTGCGAATTCGACTCCCGTCTGCCCCAATGCCTCTTAAATATTTAAATGTCCATGGTCAGTCTGCCAGCCTTCACGAAAGGTTAATATATCGTATTGATTTTCAGCTCATTCTGGTGGTCTCTCACTTTGAGCTCTACAGTTGTCCAACTATTTGACCGCGAAGCTTTGAGCACGCATCAGCCACCACTCAATATACATACGCTCGTCATGCAACCACTACGCTTCTCAGTCATCTTCGTTGCTGCTCTTTGTTCGGTTGCTACACCAACGACTCCTGTTCCTCATAGGAGAGATATGGGGTTCATCAGGACACCCATACATACTCCACTTCCAGTCGTGGCCCCACGAGATTTCCCCGTTAGGCCTATGCCTACAAATGCCACCATCAGCGCCATGATTCCGCTTCCTACCACAACCGGCTCTCACTGGACCAAGAGACATTAATTAAGCGTTGAATACAATCTAGCCTCCAAGCCTGCCTGCTCGAAGTGCCATTTGTGGTTCCATTAAGCCCTGCTGGGGCTGCAGTATGTGGAGTGCAGTGGGCCTGTACAGACGGTAAATGGTGAGGTTGGAAGAACATCTGAAATGATGGGGACTCCTTAGGATTCAACAGATGGCACTAGACATAGAACGCTATCCATAACACTTGAAGGCTCTCATTCGACATGGCATCAAGAAGATGTTATTTTATGGAATTTATTGTCTACATGTACCATCTGGAAAGTGAGGAGGACGGCTTTCCAAACGAACATGCCTTTCGTCTAACACTAATCTGCGCGCTGAGGTTCTATAACAAACTCCCCAGAAATACATCCTACACATTTTGGGTGCTCAACCCAAGCTGAATCCTCATTTTGTGCAACGGTTGACCATCAGTTTGATTTGGGTAACACGCGACGTCCAGCACGTGAATAAACTTGTTTACTTCGTCTCAGAGGTGTGCCTGCTTCCAATAGGGCCTTTACCCACGTTGAGTTTTATTGGCTGATACAAGTCATTCACTTCACTTCAGCACCATGCATTCACAGCGCAATCACTACCCCCATAGGAGCCTGGATAAGGTCGGCGTGCGGTGGGGTTGCCATCTCAGCGCGCAAACGGACGACTCTCAAATCCAAAGCGGTTGCCCTATCATGCAGCTACCACTTCCAGTGTTGATTTTATAAGATTGGCCTTCGCTTCGTTGAGGCTGTCTATCAACTCCTCCCAGTACTTCACCTCATCATCAGTTTTGCTTTTACCAGCCCTCCCCTCTCAGAATGACAACGGGTTTCGTGATCTCGGGGTATTTCCTCCCCATAGTAGGAACTCTGCTGATCGCCTACCTCTTGGGTACGATCGTGTACCGTCTCTGCCTCCACCCTCTCGCAGGCGTACCTGGACCCATACTCGCAGCTCTCACTTACTGGTACGAATTTTACTATGACGCCATCCAGCCTGCACAATATGTCTTCAAGATCCAGAAGCTACATAAAGAGTTCGGTGCGAATACCCTGAGCAGGAAAGTCCTCTCGCACCACTACAGAGTACTGACACTTTGACAGAACCAGTAGTACGCACCACACCCGCGGAGGTGTCAATCGCCGATCTCGACTTTATAGACACGATCTACTCTCCTGGCCCAAGCCAAAAGCGGGACAAGGACATCGAAAAGGTCAAGGCCTTGGTGCTCGATAGTTCCATCGGAGGCGCAGTGGGCCACGACCTCCACCGGAGGCGACGCAGGGCTCTCAGTTCCTTCTACTCGCCTCGCCAGGTCCTACGAGTTGCTCCGGAGTTGGAAAGAAAGGTCGCGCAGCTTGAGTCTCACTTTCGCTAAGCACTGGAGAGCGGAGAGGTCCTGAACCTTTCAGACCTTTACTTCGGCTTTGCCAATGAGTAAGTTGCCAACCTCGAATCCATATGCAGCACTCACTTACACGAAGCTAGTATTGCGTGTAAGTACAGCTTCGGGTTTGATCAGAATCTTATGGCAGGCCTCCCAGGGGCACATACGAGACGCGAGAACTTCAATGGTGTCCTGAGAGCTGTGAAGCTCAACTCGCAGTTCACGTGGGTCAGAGATCTCTTGCGCTATCTTGCCCGCTCCCTGCCTCTTACACTGTCAAGCTACATTACTCCACGTGGTATTCGCGATATGATCAAAGCCCGTCTTCACATTCGCAAGAAAATTGTGGCCGTACTAGAAACGGACACAGTCGGTAGAGTCGGCCAGGAAAACATAAACTCCATTTTCCACGAGCTACACAATGACCATAAGCTTCCCCAGTCCACTGCTGAACTATTGCATAGCCACATGTCCTTTGCATATGAATTCGAGCCGCAGCCAAATGACATAGGTCTGAAATAACCCAAAGACAAAAGGGAGGGAGGGAGGGAGGAAGGCATCCTTCGTGATCGTTGACAAACCTTTCCAGATGTCCATCGTGTTTCCAAGGTTTGTGCGTGAAGAACCACTGACGCACGATCGAAAAGGTGCTTATTTCCAGGTTTGGCTGAGATTCAGGGGATTCTCATCCCAGCCAACTAAGCAATTGCAGAACGAGTGAAATACAAGTTATTCCCATATGATGCTTCATTAATAGGCTTGTGAGATAATTCTGGAGACTTTGCGGTGAAACCCCACCTACACAGTGGCTGAATGCAGCCAGCTTCTCTGACCAATTCAGATTACATAACCTGCATATCACCAGGGAGTGCTTTGAGCCCTAAGATAAAGGTTAGCTGGTGTAATCAGTCGATGCGAGAATAGGTTGCATTTTGTACAAGTAGACGAGCCAACATCTTCCTTGGCTAATTGTGACTTAGTGCATCCAATCGCACTTTTCCCAGCTTGGATATTTAGAACCTTTGTGCAATCTTCGCTGGCGCATTTGGTCCCAAGGGCATCCATAGCCCGCTGGAGGGCGTCTCCTTTCCACCCAAAGAGATAGTCGCCGTGGGCTCCATACCCGGTGCTATAAGGTACACAGTAAGTGTAAGCAACAACATAAGATTGTCCGCGACAGGGATGAACTTACGGATCACCAAAGCTGTACACAAATGGCTGCTTGCCATTTGTCCAGTAGTTTGGATTGTTGAATGGCGTAGTATCGAACATGATCTCATACATGACTTGAGGGATGCGCACTGGATGTGTACTTGGGCACTTATCGCCTGCCAGCGCGGAGCCAGGGGCGTATGTTACATGGCTCTTGTGGTCTGGGCTGTCTGGGTTCTTGCCATCCCAGCACGAAGGGAAAATGATCGTGGCCCGAATACCGCCGGGGCACATCTTGTTAGGGAAGGCTGCTGTGTCGCTCGAGTCGCACGGAGCGCCGTTGCCGCCCATCACGCGTTCGCTTGCCTTGAGGCATCGGTGGCAGATGTTGGCAAAATTGCCGGTTTTGTTGCGGAGTGTTGGATCCCCTGCGAGCATTCGGAAGCCCTGATATCACGTTAGTTAGATATTAGTAGAATATACACGAGCGTAGTATGAGGTAGTCTATGCACTTACGGGTTTTGGTACAGTCGTCTTTTTGTTACTGCCACTGAACGGCCGCATGTAGTAGATGGTAAGTCCCCCTTCCTGCTCAAGTAAAGTTCCGTTCAGGCGACCGTTCGCCATTTGCGGGACGCGTTTATATGTCCCATTCTCAGGCGACTTGAAGTAAATCGGGGCCGTCCAGTAGTTACTGGTGTCCTCGGTATAAATACAAGAAGTGCACGTAGACTGAGCAGGCGGGTCGATGGTATTAGGATCCATCTATGATACAGTCAACTATTACGTATCGTGAGGAGCGCAAAATGGTTCTATACAGTAGTATTGAAGGAGTTCCCTCCAACGATCTGATGGGTATGCGGGGAAGGGTTTGCGCCCGGGGCAACGAGTGGATCGATTCGCTCAATAACAAGTTGGGAGCAACCGAACCGAAGGAAACTTGCATCCCCTTGGATTTGAGCGCACGCCTCCTGCGCTAGAAACACAGCCAAAGCGATGAGGTTCCAAAACATGGTTGATTACCGATCTGAGTTATTCGTTGGAGGAGGTTGTTAAAGCACCAAATGGCATCGATTGAGTGGGTAACTATCCAGCGTTGAGACGTGAAGATTTCGAAACTTGAACCCACGACCTGAACTGACAGTCAAGCAGGCCTGGGGAACTTATATCTGAGGGATTGCCCGCTATATGAGAGTCCATGGTAACATAAATGGCTTGGAGAGTGGTGCTCGATACCGGTGATCGGCTGCTAGCCAATAGTGAGCCTCCCACAGTCCGGCAGTTGTGCAACTTGAATAGAACTCTTTTGATTCGACCATAAATGACTGCATAGAGACATGCTTCATTAAAGTTGCAGTGGTGGCGTGCATGTGCCTCTTGTGTTTGGTCCCTTCCACGCGCTGGGTTATTTACCCCGGATAATTGTTCGGGTGATATCGTGACGATGAGTCCAAGCCGCTGATGGTCCGTGTGTGATGTATCAGAGCTACTATTACTTTTCATATTGCAGCCATAAAGGCGCCTTGGCTACTGTGTTGAATCCCGTCGTCTTCTTAGATCTTGTACCCCATGTTTCCCAAACGGAGTATTGGAAAGAAATGGCATCTTGACTTTGTTAGTCCGCGGTACCTATAGTTACTAAAACTGTATGCGCGTCTTGTTCAACACTCTCAAATTTTGTCATTTTACTTTCTGTGTTTGACTTATCGGTTCCTCAACGGAGTCTACAGAACCGTCATTCTATCTCGAACAAATAAGGGTGAGGATATAAAGTATGTAACATTTGAATGATGGACTTCGTTACATTACTATACGGAAATGGAGTGTTAATATGTGAAAAACCTTCTGGCCGTTTGATGGACTAAGATCATATGCCTTGTGCTTGTACCAGTTGTGTCTCCATCAGCCAACCCACCCAACAAGCGACTCCGTGGCATACGGGGACTGGTAGCGAGTCGTCAACGGCTCAACCCCTTGCCCGCGGTTTAACTCTTTTGAAACGATGGTGGTCGCAATTCTCGTTTTGTGTATTGCACAATCAAGAACATAGTAAAGACAGTCCTCGGGAAGCTGCGTCTTTCCTTACATCTAATCAAGTGGTCCATAGCGAAGGGGTGGCTGGAAGTTGGAGTGAATCCTGTCCTTCACATCTGTTGGTATAGGGGCCATTGATTCAACACCCTCGAGAATCACCACCTGTTGCCCTGCCTTAATCAAGTTAGACTTGTCTTGTGCCTACCAACCACCCAATAACTTACTGCAAAGTGATGTATCATATGACAATGTAGCATGCTTGCTGCTGGGAAGGTTATCTGATAACGAATAACGGTCCAGTCCCCAGTTTCGTTACCCAGCCTGCATCCATCTCTAAGCGGTGGATCGACGAAGTTGAAACGATCTACTACCCCGCCGTTTTGGATGGCATCCTCAACAGATGCCCATGGAAACCCGCCGGTGCCAGTTCCAATGATCCAAGCCTTGTTATTGTGCTTGTGAAAGGGATGTTGCGAAGAGACGTTTGCGCCGTTGCTGAAGATGATGTCGACAACTGATCCATTCTTCATTAGCCCCTGAGCCTTGTCACCATAAGTTGTGACACCCCGAGAACCTTCTTCCCATAGAAGTGGTGGCAGCTGTTGGCGAAACGCCTGATGAGGGCCAATATTCAACGCCCAACTACTTTTACCCGTCATATTGACAGAGAACTTCAAAGTGTGGTCTGCTGTGGGTGGCGGTGGACGTTTTGGGTACGGTGCAAGGTTCATCTCGTCCATCTTCACGAGTGTGCGGTCAATGAGACTGCCATTGAGATGAACCCACGGCGTTGTATCCGGAGGTTCAGCGCCCCTATAAACCTGAGCCGCTGCGTACCTCAGAATTCCAATTCCTTGGATGACTTGTTCTTCCCGAAGGGAGGTAACTCTGATCGCATAGTCCCCTGGGGTTTTGTCCAAGCGAACGAGTATGCTAGTAAATATTAATGTCTACGCAGTTGCCCGGTAGTGCAAATAGGAACTCTTACCTGATACGTTCCCCCAAGTTACAATTGGCAACGTGGACTTTCTGCGGATGAACAAACTCGCCGTCGGCAGCTACGACAAAGAACTCGTGTTCGTCCACGCTGATCTGCAGCTCGTGGTGTGCACCAGAATGGATGAAGTTGATCCAAATCCATTCTTGGCCCTGTTTCGGCTGAACTATCTCTAGGTCTGTTTTGGTAGGCTCACACGTCTGAGAATTTGAATATTGGGCTTGTAGTGGTTGAGGGAGGCAGCCCAAAGAGTTTCTCCCCTTTCCTCCGACAGAATCTAATGATTCTTGTGGATGGCAATACGTTCTACCCTTTCCATTCAAGACGATGGAATTGCTGCACCACGGCACTATTCCAGTGTCTCGATACATTATTAGCAGTATATCCATCGGTTCAGCATTCCAATCGCTGATCACGATATGGAACGGTTGTCTTTCAGCATCTCTCATATGTTCGATTTCGTTTGGTAAATCGGATATCAAATTGTAAGGTCGTGGCCGCCAAGCGGCAGGGACAATCCATACCGGCCCGCGCATACCATCCGCAAATGCTGGACCAAAATGTCCGTGATAGAAATAGCTTCCATACTGCTGCTGCACAGTGAAACGATAGAGATATGTATCGCGTGGTTGTATCGAATACTGGGTTACACCTGGAACTCCGTCGTTCCATGGTTTGTCGACTTGATAGACGCCATGCCTTGGACAAATGAGCAAGTTGTTTCCCATTGATGAATAGAGATACCAGACCAATGAATTGTTGTCTCAGCACCCAGTTGATTGTCTACAAAGACTTCAATTTCATCACCTTCGTCAGCCTCAATCAGAGGGCCCGGACTCTGACCATTAATCGCAAACAATGGACGCCCATGACCATCTGCGGCACTCCATTTGCTGCTGATTGTAAAGTTGTATCTTCTGATGCGACTAGCAATAGTGAGAGTAGTAAGGGAGAATATGAAGAAGATAATTTGTCTAGCATGTAATGCCATAATGCCGAAAGGGAGCTGTACATGCAAAACGCGTTGAAAGAAAGTAGTGTTAACGATGTTGAGAGATAAACCCGCGTCGCAATCTGAATTTCCAACTTTTGAAGGCGGTTTCTGCTTGATGCGGATCCACAACAGCCAGGGTAATTGCCGACAACGGCATTTAAAGTTCACGAGGACGACTTTTGATGGCCGCGATTGGCCAGCGAATCAAAGAAGCATCTTGCCGCGGTCATTTAATGAAACACGTGGATGTCGGTAAGTTCTGATCCAGGGGGAAGAGGACGATCCCATCCCGAAAGCATGACGCAGTTGCCAGGAAGCCAACATCCGCCACGGTCGGCACTTGGCATGGCATGAAGGTGCCCGCGCACCCCGATATCAACGGCTTCTCACCTTGTCTCCTTCTCGTATCTACTATGAACAGAACAAGAAAGTATAGAAACATGTTGACATTCATAGCGAAAGGAACGGAAGTCAAGGAGGCAACTCCCGGACTAAGACCAGCGACGAGAAAGTCGAAGTTGGCTTGGGCAACGGTGTTCCTGGTCGTGTTCCTCGGATTGCTTGCCAATCACTACGGCCTTACGCCATTTCGTGGCTGGCACACGCGTACCCGAGTAGGGCTGCCATCAGAGAAGGACGCAAGACTCGTCCGAAAATATCATCTTCAAATTGGAAGCAGATGGATGAATCCAGGTTCGAAAAGTGCCATGTAAGAGAATTTTCAAAATGGATAACTGACAAAAAGTGTAGATGGCGGCCGCTGGAGAGCTATGTTTGTCTGTAACGGGCAGTCCCCATGCCCAACTTTGTACGCCGAGGAAGGGGATATTGTCGAATTGACTGTCCACAGCGACAGCTACTTCCAAGGCTCGATTCACTGGTAGGCACCATATCCCTCGAAGAGGTTCAATTACTCATGCTTGTAACAAGGGCTGGAGTCGGTTATCAACGGTAATGGAGCAGTCCCTATCCCCTTCATTGGCTACTGGCTGACATGACCGTAGCACTGGAGCTTGGAATGATGGCACAGCTGGCGTTTCTCAGGTTAGTTTCCCAATAGCAGTAGAGACTCAGTCTATCACTAACCCAAATTGAACGTTTTAGTTTCCGATCTTACCTCGAGGTAACTACACGACTGTTCATGATACTACCGGCGCGTGGGGCCTCAGCTGGTACATCGACCATACGACCGCCGCATCTGTAGATGTGAGACTGCGTTCCCATAAGGATTTGTTGAATGTTCGGCTGATGCCGTTGAGCAGGGGTTATACGGAGTGGTATATGTCGCCCCTAGCCCGTCGCGCCTACGACCATACAGTCTTATCACCAGACACCAGCTCGAACTGCAGCAAATATTGGAGTCTGAGCGGCAGATACAACATGTGGTTATTAAAAACCACCAGCACCGTGATACCAACTGGAAGGTGCTCAGAATGAGAGCAGAGGGCTCTGAGATGCACTGTTACGATTCTTTGCTCGTCAACGGTTAGTCAAGACATTTTTCATCTATGGGCCAAGTTCACTGATAGCCACAACTTCTAGGCAAGGGACGCAACCTATGCCGTCCTATTGGGTTTGAACGACTTAATGACCATTATCTAGACGAGACAGGCTGCATCCAACCGCAAGGTCTTCCTAATCAATCGTGTACTCCCAGTGATGCCGATTTCGAGGTATTCAAGATATCACCTAGTTCGTAGCAACGACTAACTTCGCGCCATGACCAGGTCATTGAGACGAATGGTCGGCAATACATCATGCTTAATTTAATAAATATTGGATTCGAGCATGAAGTCAAAGTCTCGGTGGATAGCCACAAGATGATAATTGTTGCCAATGACGGTGGTTTTGTCACACCTGAAGAGGCGGATGTAAGTTGCATGGGTTATCTGCTCTTCATCACATGGCTAATCTTCCATAACATAGGTTCTCTATATCCCCAGCGCCGCACGAGTCACAGCACTTATCAAACTTGACCAACAACCTGCTGATTACGCAATACGAATTGCTTCGACAAGTCAACTTCAGAACTTGCAAGGCTTTTCCCTCCTCAGGTACCCAGTACGTACTCATCGTCGAAAGACACAACGAGGAACATTTAAATACGGGTCTGACCTAGTTTGAACCAGGCGAAACATCAGCCTATATACGGTGAGCCTATGAAGCTCCCGGGAGCCGACCCCAGTTCAATGTGTCTATATCCCGACGGATCGGTGAAGAATGAATGCAAGACCATTGACGGGCAGCATACCCCTCCATTCCCCAGTATGCCTCCACCGCAGCCTAGTGCGGCTGATCTTACATACTACCTGTCTGCTGGAGTGCAGACATCACGCACAGAACGCTTCGCTCCTGAGTTTTTCCTTAATGAGAGACCTTGGCAACTGTTCCGGTCTTCTTTGAAGCCTCTTCTGTTCGCTAACTTGAGTGACCTCCACAGTCGGGATGTCCTTGGGAAGCCGGTGATTCATGGCCTTCCCATGGGTGCAGTTGTTGATTTTGTCATCAGGAATGAGCTCAATGACACCGTTCCACTGTATAAGCACGGCAATCCTGCCTGGCTCTTGGGATCCAATGCTCATGAAGAATTTTCAGCGCGCAGCGTACAAGATGCCATTCAAGATGGAGATAGCGCCGCCAGATCTTTGAACCTGTACGACCCAGCACTTGTGATCGTTCATGACTTGCCGCCTCTTGGTTGGAGTGTTATTCGCTTCCAAATAACGGCTCAAGCTGCAACGATGATTCACGCAGCAAAGCTTCGGCACTTCCTGGTAAAGTGGAACAATCTTGACACAAAAGGCTTATAATGGAGTTGCTAATACAAAACTGAAGCTTGGCATGTCAGCTCCTATTTTGGAGGGCATTACGGTTGATGATCCTATCTCAGTACCGAGCTCTGCCATGCACCGCCCGCATGTACAATTTGATCCGAAAAATGACGGCGTATTTGGATGATCAGGATTGACAACATGGTGACAAAAGAAAATGAACGGGAATGAACTTCGAACGTGCTTGAGGGAAGTTACGGTCTACTGTCTTTACTGAAGCCCAATACTAAATCCTCGGGATTCATTCTTTTATCTAGAAGAGGAAAATGCATGGATATGAGACAGAGAACTACTTTTCAAGTAAATCTCATCCTTGACAGACCCTATATGAGTTATCAATTGCCATTTTGACCCATTAGCGGGGATGCATGTGGCACATAAGACCCTTCTGCCTAGCAAACCAACTGGCGGTAACGTCCCACTCCCGACGGGGGTCAGTTAACTCAATCCTGTATCGGGCTACTAAAGTAGCAACGATCTTGTAGACCTCCATTAATGCGAATGAGCGTCCAATACAAACACGCGATCCCCCACCAAAGGTAAGATCACTAGCATTGAAAAGTCTGAGACGCTCGCGGTAACTCTCTTCGGTTTCGGTTTTCGTACCTGGGGTATGCCCTCGAAGCCACCGTTCTGGGCGGTATACATCAGCATCGTCGCCCCATATCAACTGGTTTCTACCGACAACGTATGGATTAATGCCTACCGCTGTTCCCGGGGGCACGTAGCTACCATCCGGAAGCGAAAGACCTGACTCGGGAACGTAGCGTTCTAGGAGCATACAAACAGCTGGGTGCATCCTCATCGCTTCACGCACCACGGCCTCCAGATCTTTAGACGAAAGTCAGCCCAAATGGATCTAAGAGATGGAGTGTTGAGGATACTCACATGGAAGAGCTCGAGCAGCGCCAAACGATGCCACCTCTCCAAGTTGGGCAGCAAGGACCTCGTCCTCCAGTTTGCGGTACGCATCTGGATTCTTGAGCACATAATAGAACACAGCGCGAATTGTTATAGCCGTTGTATCCGCTCCGGCGATAAGATTGACGAGCAAATACCCCATAATAACACCTTCATCGACCACGTTCGGGTGTGCTGCCTTTGCGTCGATGAAGTGTTGCAGGAAGTCAGGAACCTTAGGGTCAAAATTGTAATCTTTGCCTTGCAATCGGCTTGTGAGATAAGCGTGTGCCTTGCTTGCGACATTACCCATAACTGGAGGGCCGATGCGCAAAATCGGATTTTTTTCCAGCAGAAAGTCAAGGAATGGCATCTGACCAACGGCTGCAAAACTAAGGAAGAAAACGTTTAGTGATGCGTAACAAGATAGAGAGTGATGCTATCTTACTAATCTAGCGCTTTATCAGCAGTATCAATGGATTTGTCAAAGTCAGATCCATTATCCATGTAACCAAATCGTTGGCTGAAGGAGGCGGCGCCATTCATATCCCAGGAGTCTAGACAGGATCTTGCGTCAGCGTACTGTCACAGGAGTATCACCACATTATTCAGTTTCACGGCTTACAGAAGGCGATCCATTGTCCCAAATCGAAATGCTTTTGTTCTCCGTCCATGAATCGTGTTTCGAGGTGTTTGCAAAAATCGCCGATGACCTTGTCCATCAGAGGCTCGAAGGCCCCAACACTACTTTGAGAATAGTACTTTACTATAGGACGCTTGATGCGCGCATGTTCGACTTGGTCAGTCTCGCTGAAGAGGTGATACGTTGTCTTCCCATTAATAATGGCGCTGTTGTTGTGATAGAACTCGGTCTACCGGCACATGTAAAGTGATCAGCACATGTCTAGCTTATCGCGAAGTTGAGTTGAGTTTACCTTGCGCCATTTACCGTCGGTATTATACAATGTCTTGATAAGTTCGGGCAGGTCGAGATCTAAGAGGTTAGGCCCGATTCGAACGACAGGGCCGTACTTATCATGGAGCTTTTTGACTTCAACATGATAGCTGCCTGTGCGCACTAGATATAGTCGCCAAATATTTGTCCATTCTAAAAGGAAAATTAGAGACTGCCCAAGGACCAACAGAGGTGACTGACTTGCGAAGAATGGCCCCTGGTATCGCCGCAAAGGAGACACCGTCTCAGAAATAACGGAAATGCTAAGAAGAACGGCCAATCCAACGAAGAGATTCACTAAAACAATTGATCGCCAGTCGGGAGGTTGCTGCTTGAGATTCTGCAAGAAGCCGTATGGCCATGCACCATCAAACGCGGCTGACATAGCTCTAGTATCACTTGATTCGCCGTTTTGTGCCTATCAACAGACCTTTCAGAAGGCGATGCAGAGCAGCTTCACAACGCCATGTCCGAGACACGGGTGATATAAGTAAAACAGGTCCTTTATTTGAGGTGCAATATAATACAAGGAATAGCCGCCGTTATGCATCGCACTTTTGCAAGTCACACCCTCCCACTTTGATCCTTCCGTTGACAAATGTAAGCGCAGGGCAAGTTTGCTAATGGCTGCGCCAACTCACATGCCATTTACCAGCCACATTGAAATTACCCCATGATGTGCTGGGCTGCTTAGTCGTTTCCGAAAATAAACACTTATCACCGGGTCAGTTAGAGGGCCAACATCCCCGTGGTACATGCTGGGAACAAATTTCCCCCAATCACGACGATCTATCTTCTTCCGGAAGGGTGGGATTGAAACGAATACGCATTGACAGCCCCAAGCAAGCTATGGCCATCCAGCATTGGATTCTCCTTGATAGTCTGCATTTCTATGTTGTGGAATATGCAGAACATGCAGGTGACCGAAAAAGGGATGGACCCCGGTTCCCCCGCGGGCCGAGTGTCTAGGGCGGGCCGCCATTGCAAGGGTATACATATGTGAGTTGTTCACTCTAGGATGCTATGTTCAAGATTTTTGAAGCTCTGATTGGACGCATGCACCAAGGGAGTGCACTCCGGCCGCACTCCGGTGTATCAATGTGACCCTATCACTCGCCGTCGGGCAACTTGCTACCGTCGCAATTTTCAGGAGGAGGCAGTATAAAGAAACCTGCATGCTCCCGTCGAATGACTAATACTGCCAGAGTCGACAAACGGGGCTCATTGGGTACCTGTTCGTTGATAATCTCGCTCGATTCTAGCTACACCCACATCCGCGAAGCCGTTGGATGGTCTTGACCCCCCTTGACCCCCCTTGATCCCAGCCCCTTTTGTGTAACCACATTCAATCGATACTTCAATCCGTAGCCAGCATAAGGCCATCATTCCTTGGGGTGCGAGGATTGCCATCGGCTACAGCTGAAGCGCCTGGGATTCGCATCCCAGACTGTGTCCAGGACATATTCAGAGAGTACTGCCGTTGGAGGGAACCTGCATTGAACTTGTCAACTCTCAATAGGCACATATTTTTGGGAGGGAGCTATTTTTCTTGGATACGTTGTGTGATCATTGATTTGAACAAAAACTTTTGAGTGGACTCGTCACATTGGGGTTCGTGAGCGGGCTTAATATCAGGTCAGCCATCAACCCGTCACCAACCATGAGACATCAGTTAGACACTCAATATTGGAAAATCTTGATCGGCGGAATGCAAACGCCTGAAGCCATAGAGAATTTCACCGAATCATGATCTCCAAGTACCTATGCCAAGATCGCAGAGCAGTGGCCCTCATGCACATCAAGGCTAATAGCCACAGACATCCATTGGGCTGCACGCAGCAGGCCGTCGTGACACAGAACTTGACCGGGGATTTCTTTACCAGAAATAGATCATGAGAAATCCTTCTAGGTTAGTCTTAAGTTGCAACATCGGTGTGTCAACCCAATCCTTCAGGAACAGGTAGAATATGCACAGAGGATCGAACCGGATAATCAAAACCGAGTTCAAGATCCGTGGAGATTTCACAAGTGCCTTTGCAGAGATTTAGCGAAGTTCAGGCATCTGACTTGTCATTACGATCAATGGGTGATCCCGCTCTTGCATCGCATACCCAAAATAGCGGTTGAATTCACCTCATCACTAACCAGGAAACTATCAAGCGCGCAGTAAGGGTCGGCCCTGAAAACCTTCGCGCTTTGGATACACGGAGGATAAATCTCAGGTCCGGGAGCCAGCGAGTGACCGGTTGCGAGTTTGGCTTTGCTGCCTTTGCGAGGTCCACTTTCTTCAAAGAAAAGAAAACACGGAAGCCAAAGCTTCAGGTGTTGCCAGAGGCCCGATTATCCTGCTGCACAGCTAAAATCAAATTGTGATTACTCTAAGATTCGTTCTCGATGATATGTTGGTGGAGTCCGAGAGCGATGATACATTACAATAGATGCGTCATCAGTCGCCTGCGTCTTGTACTCCCCAGTGTTCTGGTGTTGGTCGTGCGACTGCACCCCGGGTTTGGGGGCCCTGCATGGCACAATCCAAGAATCTACTGGTATAAAGAAGGAGAAGCGTGAGCCTCGAATACCAAACATCAGATGTGACATCGTATGTGACTTTCTTGTCCTATAAGGACTGCATAGCGTTTTAACACTGGACATTCTGACCTCTTTATTCTTCACGGCTTACCCGAATAACATACAGAAAACAGGATGGCTTACAACGGCGCCGGACGAGAGGCTGTCACAAATATGTGGATTTTGACAGCTGTGACGTTGATCTTCGTTGCTCTCCGCATTTACACCCGAGTTTGGGTAGTGCGTTCTTTCGGAGTTGATGATCACGTGTACAATATTGCTTTCGTGAGTGTGGAACCTCATACTTTTGATGAGTCTCAAGTCTGACCTTCATAACCACCATCCCAGCTACTTCTAGTTTGCTATGTATCTTTCACCACAGTTTCTGCACATTACGGATTTGGTCAGACCGTATCTGACATACCCACCGCCGATGATGTGGTATCGGCCATACTGTTCGAGGCTATCGGCCAAACCTTTGCCGTCATTGGCATGGCCGTGGCGAAATGGTCTCTAGGACTATTTCTGCTCAGGCTTGTTAACCAATCATGGCACAAAGCTGTGATATGGACAGCAATGCTTCTTCTCATGGGGGCGTCGATCTCTACATGCTTCGTGTTCTGGTTGCAATGCACACCGCCTGCCTACCTTTTCGATCGAAGGATCCCTGATGGGTACTGCCATGTCGATTCTACGCCGGTTTCGATGCTGTTATGCAGTCAGTGATCTGTATAACCCCAACGGGCGTCCTGTCAAGCTAATGTTCGTTTGTAGTCCTTTGTGTACTGGTTGACTTCTTTTTCGCCCTATTTCCATGGCTATTCATCTGGAAGCTTCAAATGAACAGAAGAGAAAAGATGGTTATTCTCCTCAGCATGAGTCTGGGCGTGATGTAAGCATGGCCCTTGAACCCACTATTGCTCTCTATGGGATTTTCATTAACCATCTCTAGTGCTGGTGCCTGTGGAATTAAGAGGACGCTCGAAGTCCCAGAGCTAGCGAGCGCGGATTACCTCAGTAAGGACACTTCAACATTCCGGTAATCCATACTGACAGTAAACCCCCTCGCGCAGGAGATACCGTCGGTTTGATTGTTTGGTCAGCAGCCGAAATCGCCGTTACGATGATCTGCATCGGAATTCCCGTCTGCCGCCCGCTATACAAAACCTTTCTAGATCGACTGAACTCGAGTATCGGTAGTGGATATTTCAAGGGCAGCTCGGCGGCTGCTGCACCGTTGGCGTTGCACACATTCGGCGGAACGACGATGAGAAATAACTACGTCAAAGCGGACGATTTCGAAGCGCCACAAAAAGATCCTTACAGCTTAAACAGCTACGCCGGACAGAGTACAGGCATAACGAAACCCTCTGCGAAATGTTGCGCTGTCGCTACAGCCAACGTGCCTCCTCACAACACAAGCGAAGAAGAGATCCTGGGGGGTAGCTCATGCTGGGAAGTCGGCAGTGAACGACGTAGCAATCAAATTCGAATTACGGAGGAGTATCAGGTCACCAGTAAGCGTCTAGGCTGAATGATGAAGCCGTAGGTGGCCCCTGTGGCCCACGGAAGATACGCGAGAAACAGGATAGCTAGGGAGGTCTCCCACGCCAAAGAACCTGCTGGAGCAGGGAATCCTGTGGAATACATGCAGTTTCGAGTTCAACTGACATATACTACTGTATTAAGTGGCGGGACGCTTTTGATATTTGGAGCAATGCATAATGCGCAATTAAATTGTGCTTGTCTATACCCTATGATGGTTGGTTCGCACAAAATTGTAACTTGATATGTGCATAAATTTCATTTGAAAGTGTATCTTGCTTCATAGCCCTGTGCTTGAGAAGAGAATGGCTGCAAAGCTGTCAATTAGCAACAGAGCGGATAAACACCAGTAACGGCTTGGACTAAGAATCACAGATTTCAGAATCTTTACTTGGCCGTAGTTCTTCAATCTAGATTACCATCACGGGACTGATTTAGTCTCAGACTCTTAAGATGCTGGGCAGCTGGGCTGGGCGGGGGTGCATGCATACGGTCTTGCGATAGTCCGAATGCCAAAAAAGACTGCATTGCACCTTCAACAGCAATGAAGACTACAGTTCAGTTGATGACCTGGAATTGATGACGGTAGGTTCAGCAGTTAGCGGAGGTCAATGACACCCTGCATTTGGATGTGCGAATCATGACCTCATACCAGGTGGGACCGATGTCATCCACACATTGCTGCTAGAACACGCCCATGTGTAGCGCTTCACGCGTATTAACGCCTTGCTACTCACGAACCTCAATTATAATTATCTTCATCTACTTACCCTTTTGGAATATCTCGTGGAATTCTACCCGAAAACGATCAAACAACCTCGCCAAACGCATCCATAATAATGTCGGCCCACGGTAGTTCCAGCACCGGCTCCAAGTCAAGCACCGGTATGGCATCAGCCACGACTACACCCGCCAATGCGGCAATTGGCCAGGACAAGCCCAAGGCTTTCGATGCACAGGGCGCCATTGGCAAGCAATTCACTGGTAAGTTCTCCATAAGTCAAAAGTGGCAGTGGATGGCGCTTCTGTATAATTAATGTGATACAACAGAACAAGGCGCACTCGGTGGCGCTGCTCAGGCCGTTGGCGGCCCGTTTGATAAGGAGGGGGCCATTGGCAAGCAGTTCACGACGGAAGGTGGCATCGGAGGCTCAGTACAGAACGCCATGGGAGGAACGAAAGGGAAGAGCAACTAACGGGAAAGAAGATATTGCCCTGCGACGATTGTAGTGATAGCATTATGTGCGCACACTGTGGCCATGTGTAGAGAGTTGACTACTATCTTGCTGGTATGCGGCACTGTCGGGACAAGGTTACAATATATCCACAGTGAATTATGTTTCCATTTCTTTGCCGGCATGATGTCTAAGTCTACGATGGTTGTAGCCCATGTTGTCACCTTTGTGCATTGTGCAAAGGGGTTATCGTCCAATGCAATCCATGACTGCAGAGAAGTAGTAGTGTTTGCTAGTGAGGCTTTCTACCTCGTCATAAAGCCCGTTACGGCGTCGAAACTCAATCAATCGGGCCTCCCTGCCCTACGAACCAAGTCCTCTTCCCCTTCCCCCCCTCGAGACGTAGCTGGCCAGAGAAGAGCTTGGGTTACCTCGGCGGGCACTACCTCTGCCTCGTGAAGAGCTGCCTCTTGAGGTGCCAGTTTTGCCGATGTGCGTACTCGGCGCAGCTGAAGCCTTTGGCCCCTCTGAAGATTCATACTTGGCGGATTCGCACGCTTCCGTGAACTCTTTCAAAAGAGACTGTACAGGTTAGTACATCGGACGAGAACGTCTAGGCTTGGCAATGGTATATCTTACATCAAAGTCGTGGTCTTCTAGAGAACCGAAAACAGCATGGTTGCCCAGTTTGAGCTGGGTGACTCTTGGGCTTCGGATGCCAAATGCGACACGCGCCAAAAACCGTGGGTCATCTCGTACGTCGCAAGCGTCTAGGATTGCCGAAATGCCGCTGTGGTTGACAGGTGGCTTTTCCTTGGGCGGAAGTGCCAGTGCCTTCCTAGTTATACAGAAAGTGCAGTGCCCACACTGACTCTTTCCATCAGGAAGTCCCATGCCAAAATGCTCCGCAAGTGCGAGAGCGAAGCATTTCGAGCCGGTGATAAGATTGGATACTTGATGAGTCCGTGCGAGGGCGTCTCTTTCTCGATCTTGCATGTCCGAATACAACTTGTCGGTCAGCTCATCAAGCTCAACGTCCTCGGTTGGCAGCTCCTTCAGAATCCGATATCGATTTTGCACGCCAGACGCAGTGACTTCAATAACGCCCCGATTATGCCACTCGTTCAATTTGTTGATGATATCTGAGCGTAATAGTCCGGTCTGGCGCATTGTTTCCTTGATGTCAAGATGGTAGAGTTTCTGTGCCTTGGTTGCATGGGCGTATATTGCTTTCCCTTCGCGGGACTTGTCTTTCGAGGCTATTGGTTGGTAAGTTTTCATGTCCAGGAACGTGTACTTGGTAAACTCCGGTGTAATGGCCCGGAGCAACCCAAATCTGAGTTCTAGTATCGCAAATAGAACCGATAAAGGGGACGGTCGAATGTCATAGGCTCTGGATAGTTCCGTGTGTCCCATTTTCAGAACATTTCCCTCTGGTGTGTTTTCCGTCTGGCGACTAAAGACGTCCTGAAGTAACGATCTAAGTGATTGGCGGGACGGGAGATCGCCGCGTGCGAAATTCTCCCTGATGTAGAAGTCATCTGGGCATATGTACATCATGCAGGTACTGGGCAAACCGTCGCGACCAGCTCGGCCGATCTGTTGGCTATATTCCTCAACCGTGCTGGGGATATCCCAATTCACGATGTTCCTGATATTTGACTTGTCAATCCCCATACCAAAAGCTATTGTTGCAACAACGATAGGAATCTTGGAAGCCATAAAGCGATCTTGGATATCAGCCTTCACCTCGGCCTTCATGCCGGCGTGGAAAAAGACTGCCTCGAACCCTTGGCCCGCCAGGTCATCCGCAAGAGACTCCGCTTGCTTCTGCAGCGTGACGTAGATGAGAGTAGAACCCGGGTGCTTTCGAAGAAACTTGAAAAGCTTCGGATACTTTTCCTGCTTATCCCACGTCACCTCAGCTTCGAGTCGCAGATTCGGTCGGTAGGGCGAGGTTCGGTATACATGGGGTTTTGCCACATGGAAAGCGCCGCAGATATCATCCACAACGCGGGGTGTTGCTGTGGCAGTCAAGCATATCACTCTTTCCGCCTTGATCTCGCGTGTAAAGCGCGCGACCTTGAGATATTCCGGACGAAACGAGGCGCCCCATTCGGATATGCAGTGCGCCTCGTCCACAGCAATTAATCGGATGCCTCCGGGCACATGCTTCATGCTGGCAACAAACGACTCATTGTTGAGTCTCTCAGGTGCGCAGTAAAGTAAACGCAGGTGGCCTTGGTGGATATCTGAGTAGATTTTCTGGGTTTCCTCATAGCTTTTGGTGGAGTCCCAACACTCTGCAGCGACCCCTTTCCGCTTGAGCACGTCGGTCTGGTCCTTCATTAAAGCGATGAGAGGGGATACCACAATGGTGATACCTGCACCAAATTGGCGCTTCTCGTCGTTCTGACGATCCATCTCCTCAAAGGCGATGGCAGGTATCTGTTGGCTTCTGTCAATGTCGGATGTGTGCATGTCAGTTGCGTGAGACTGACCTGATAGCACAGCGACTTTCCAGCACCGGTAGGGAACACTACCAAGGTATTGTTGCCCTGCAGGACCGCTTCAATGGCCTTCTCCTGCTCGTGGCGAAACCCATCATATCCGAACTTTTGGCGTAGGATACTTCTCGCCGTTTCGACCTGTGTGCTGTTACTCTCAGCAGGGCCGTCGACTTTCGGTCGCTTGGTTAGGTGGGAGTTATCCTCTGAATCTTCAGCGGATCGCTTGACAGCGCCAGTCAGCCCATCGAACTGAACATCGGCCAGCAAGTCATCCCCAGAATCGTAGTCGTCCATGGCGCAGCTGAGGTTGGCGACTATTGTCGCCGCTGACTGGCGTTGCTCGTTTGTTGAAAAAGTCAAGTCAATGTCAAGGAGAGACCGGAAACGCGAAACAGGACTTGTGTACCCGAAGGAATGGCTGTTCGTCAGGAGATAGATTCAAGATGTGATGTTGACTAGCCTGCAGTTTCTAGGGCATGAGTTTCGAATGCCCGACTGGGCACCTGTATGTAGTTGTCGCGCTCAACGCGTTTCATCACTGGTATCCACGGTCTAACCAGACTGCCCGTTTGTCCAGGTGGCGCTAGGCCACCAGCCTGCCACATCCCACATCAGCTGCAATGCCCCGTAAAAGTTGGTCCCGGCATCTGGTGTGTGCTCTACCAGGGGTGCGGAAAAGGAACGTGACAATCGGCTCAGAGCTGCCTTTTTCTGAGTTAACGTCATGCCAATTATCGCCAGCATGCGGCATTCATGTTCTGTCGCAAAGCTGCGGGTTCATCCACCTCCGCGACCGTGTGGAGACGGCTTCAACCAGCGAAATTGCCTACAGTTGCGAGATCGATTACAGGACACCGCGAATGCCCACTTGCAGGTGTAAACTTGAGCCTATTAGGAACACGCAGCTTCACCCATATCACCCCAAAGTCGTTAGGAAGTCATCGAGACACTTCAACCGCTGTATCTAAGCCCTGCATCGTAGGTGTCTTCAAGACGCCTAAGGAAGGGCTGTGGGGACCCGTAAGTTGCACGCTTAACGGACAGAGCGTCGTTTGTGACAACACTTTAGTTGTAGAGAGCTATCTCCGGATCAAGAACAGCCCACGACTAACAGTTCCAACGGTTCGGGACTTGGTCCAGTTAAGGTTTGGGTACCGAAAGCTTGTCAAGAGGTGTGACCGTTCAGCGCCACATGAGCGAAGCACGCCTAAAGCGTTCGCAGACGTAATCTTACGAGATGGAAATTCAGCAACGCAGCGCGCCGTGCAACGTCTCCGTGGGGGCATCGAAGGTCAGATAAAGCTACGCTGCCCTCTGTCTGGGCATCACTCGAAGATCCCCATGGCCTCCTCGAACCATGCCTCCCTCCAGCGCTTCGGGTTCAGGCCCAAGGCTTCGGTCTGACCTGGTCGCGCAGGAGCATCGCAGACTCGGTTCAGGAGAAAGGGAGAAGGCAGAGGCGACACCTCTCCCCGGCTTGCAGAGTACAAGTCGAATAGCACTCAAAAATATCGACTCGCCGTGGTTTCTGATACCCCAGGGGACCGGCGTCTTGGCTATCGTACTCTGGCAGCTGCCTTACCAGTTTCGGGGACTACATACCATCAGTATCGTTTTCTGGGGCATGACAATAATTCAATTCTTTACAATTCTGTTTTTGTATGTCCTGCGAGCAGTGGCGTATCCGTCATGCTTCCTCTCACTGCTCTCAACTAGCAATACCGAGGTAGCATGCCTTGCCAGTATAGTGGTCACTTTCACAGCCATTGTGCAGATGCTGGCTCTCTTACTTGGGGAACATGGCTGGGAGTTTGCCGTGTATGCCCTATGGTGGGTTTGTGCTGTCTTATCTCTGCTCATGGTCATCGGTGTTCCGTATGTGTTCGCGAATATCAGACCCCCAAGCATTGCTCGCCTTCTCCCGAATGTCCAGCTTCCTCTCGTCACAGCAATGACTACTGCCACAGCTGGCAGTGCTTTATGTCAAGCAACGCCGCTAAGCCCCAAACTTCAGGTTCCGCTCATCTTGGTTTCGTATCTGTTGATTGGGCTGGCAGTACCTCTAGCTTCCATACTCGATACACTGTTCCTCGGGCGCCTATACAACGAAACCAAGGACGACAAGGCGAACCGTGGAAAATCTGAGGCACTCAACCTGGCTTATCAATCCCTTGTCTTGGTCGGTCCCTGGGGGCAGTGTAGCTCAGCTCTCCAGGGGCTCGGTCAGGCTGTACTCAGCGGCAGCTTCAGTCATTACAATACTGGCATCATCTTGACCAGTCAGGCGGCACCGGCAATTGGCTACCTCAGCCTCTTTGGGGGCATTATCTTCTGGGGCCACGCAACGTTCTGGTGGGCTTTCACAATCATCAGTGTCGCTCAGGCTGCCTTTGGGTATGGGAGGGCACAGCACAAAGCCGGCTTTGATCTGGCTGCATGGTCGATGGTCTTCCCCTGGGTACGTCAGAAGCCAACCATATTCAATGTATTTATGCTGACTGCCGACAGGGCGTGTATACATCCGCTGCGGAAGACTTAGGTCGGAATCTTGATTCGTCGGCATTCAGGGTCTGGGCTACGGTTCTCGCGGTACTCATGGTAGTGATCTGGATACTGAATACTGCGTATACCATCAAGGGATGTGTCGCAGGCACCCTCTTGGGACTCGAAAACGGGTGGAGAAGACCACAGCAGGACGAAATTTCTTGATTGAATCGCGTTATCGCCTGTCTATCTCTCTTACATCGAAATCTGATGAGATTGCTCTTGCCCAGCGTCGTCAACCATACACTACACGACGCTCGCGGGCGTCGTCATGTCAGGCGCTGAGCATTCTTTCAAAGTGTAGCTCTCGGTTGCAGAGTCCTTGCAAACCGGTGCCATGGCAACATCAGCCCTGGCCGCGATGTTTGATCTGCATAGTCAGTACAGGTCTAGCATACTCCCACGACCCCCTCCCCAGCGAAGTCAGAGGTCACCTACCGCTTGTCAGCAGCGTCATTACTGCAGATCCACGTCTGGTTCACAGCCATTTTCCATGCATCCCAATGGAACTGTGCAGTGGTCTTGACCATGTACTTTGACCCATTTTCGTCAACCAGCGATCGATCGCCGCAAGGAAACCACTTCGTCCCAGCGTCAGTCCACTGGCCCATGAAGATCCCATTACTAAAGCTACAGGCTGTCTTGATACCGTTGGCGTTATTGGTCACGTCGAAGGCCATTGTGATGGTGTCTGGGGATTGGTCTATAAAGCCAGGCTTGTTGGTGTACTTCATATATGCCACATTGTTGATCGCAAACGCACATGAGGACGTCGCGGCAGCGCATTTGGGGATCGTTTGGGTGCTGTCCAGGACATCTCGAACGATAATTTTACTGCCTCCGAGGGGGGCAGTAGGAACTGCGACTGCAGTAGCAATCACGAATAGAAGGACTCGGGCGAGCGCCATGTTTTTGAGCATTGCTTCAGGCTTAGCATTCCAAATAGTAGAAACCAGTTCATATGGAGAAACATTAGAGTCCGCATTGTGCTCTTAACTTGTCTGATCTAGATGGCCCTGCATTTGGAAACGGATATTCTGCTCCCTGCTATAAGTAAGGATCTTTCCTCATTGATAAGCTCGGAAGATGAAAAATGTCTCCATGTGTCACCAACTGCACCAAGTGGCGACTTTTACCCGGTTCACGGTTGCACGTCGTGATTTACCCAGATGAATCGGATACCACTTTTGCAGGGCACAGCACTTAAAGATTGCAACGCGACTACACGTGACTCCTGCGACGATGTCAGATCACACCATTGAAGACCATATTCTCAAGAGGAACGTTGTAGTGTGGTAAACGTCTGCATTCATACCGGGCGAGCTGGGATAGGGAGTCTGACTTGGGAGACAAACAATCACATGGTCATAGCAAAGTCAGGACTGAGCGAGGGTCCTAACATCAACCTCTCGTGGTGCAAAGTTGGGCGACTTCGTTACCGGTTGCGTAGCCTACTTGTCCTAGCTTGCGTTAATGTATTGCGATAACCTTGGTGAGAGTCTTCGAACCACATCTTCCACTTGATTATGTATGAACCAACGTGGATCATGAAAGTGAGCCTGGCTTGTTGAATTCCGATAACACCTGCACTAGCCGGGAGGTCGGTGGGTGGGGCCAACCTGCTACATCCGTCAAATCTGGGGCGCTGGTTAAGGTACCTGACCTACAGAATAGATAAATAATCTAGCTTACCTGGAGGTAGCTACGTCTTAATGCTAATCTGGGGGTTAGCACCGAACGCACACGCGTCTGTCTGCCGTTGGGTCTGTCTGGTCATTCCAAGTTTAGGACGGGTGCAATGGAATGCGGGGACGCACAGCAATCGCTCAATGTACGAGGACCCTGGCGACTGATCAATCTGCAAGGACCACACCACTTTCTTCAACTACAAAGAGAGAAATTGACGACTCGCATCTTGGAGGTTGCGTGTTCATGGTAACACGATCATCGATGGCCAGAGGTGGATCGAAAGCAGCCAATGCGCCAGTGCCGCCGTGGGCTACCAGCAGTACGCACAGTGGGCAATGTGTTGGGCGGGTTCACGTCGTCCCTAGGTGACACGGAACATGCAGTACTGTACCAACGTGGTGGTTATCAGTGCACCTCATCAAGCGAGCCCCTGTCAAAGTCCACGGGTGTTGGTGCCGGGACATCGATGGCAGAACGGCTCGCTTGCAGTAGGCTCGTGCACTGCTGTCGCGTTGATAACGACAGTGAGAACTCTATTTTGTCGTGATTGGGTTCGCGACGGGCGTTGATTGGAAGCACCCCGTCAACCCCTGTTCGGCCCCTGTCTGGAAAGGTGTTAGTGATTCCCGCAGCAGCCAAGAAACCACAAGACCTTGGGATCGTGCTATCATTTCCGCACCAAAATACCAAGCACGCACCAAGGAGAATAAAAAACCCCATGCCTTCAATGGCAGCATTTGATTTTCAACGGCTGGAGCAGCCTCACTTCTGGGCATGGTGCTTAGCCCACTGGGCTTACAGAAGCTTAACTGGACCTCAGTCAACACGGTCAAATGTCGCGATATCTTGTTCGCATAAGAGAAAAAAAGTCGCTTCTCTTCTGGCTCCTCAACCCCCAGCGCCTCCCCACCGGGATCCTGCGTGGCGTGCCACACTTCATCCTAGAGGACTCAAGGAAAGCCTGGGGTACCAACTCGTGTGCTCTCATGTCCATTAGGTACGCGACCGCATACCTGCTTAGCCCATCACGAGCGCACCAGCGCAATCCTCTGGCGCCTCCTTCCTCGGTATTTAGAAGCTTCTGATAGGTGCAAGTTGGCACTTCAAGGGCCACCGCTGGCTCAAAGAGAGGCTCTCCTCGGTGCTCTCACCCATTCGCCAGTACGGCTTTGCCACTACTCTCCCTTGGCTCTCCTTCGTCCCGCTTATCGTTGTCTAATCTCGCTCCTTTTACAACGTTGCATGCTTGGGACCATTCAGACCCAAGTAGTCTTAGTGTTTTCTCTGATTAGTAGTTTTCGCTTTCGTAGATGAGCGCACAACTGCGCCAACACAGCTGCGAATACCGAGTGTTTGCACAGTCCCTATACCTAGCTCGCTTCACGAATCAGCTCGTGCGCCACCTGCGCGAACTCTCTGGCAAGACCTCACCTTGATTGAGGTAAAGGCGGATAGATAAAATCAATCCGTTTCTGGTACAATGTCCGTACTATGTATATGCGCCGACCGCCATCCGTGCGTCCGTCAACGGATTCTCCCTCGGTCTGAGATTAGCGGCCGATGAATTTGGCGTAGATCATTGGGCGTTCGCATCCCCGCGTGCTAACTTGAGCTGGCTTCTAGCCCTCCTTCTAGAAGCAAATGCGACCACCACCCAGTATTCCCGTCGTTTTCCTCGCCTTTGCGCATCCAGCCAAGAGAGCGTGGGCTGTTTCCTGGCCATGCGACTTGATCCCTCGGGCGGAAGCGTGCCGAAAGGACCAGCCCCAAGACATTTTTTACCTTGTCTAAGCAGACATCACAGAGGTGATCATGAACTTGCCCAGCCTTGTCCGTCAGCCTTGGCAGTCCACTGTGGTGCACAGCTCCCTAAAAAGGACTACTCGCTATCGCCTTATCTCGCGCCATTCATTGTGCCAAGGTCTTGGGTCAATTGACGACCATGGGGGTAACGGCCGATGATACCTAATGCAGCATCCTTGCCGGCATCAACCCGTCGAGTGGGAGAGCTTTGTATGGCTCCTCTCGGCGGAAATTATCTTCGCGGGACTCGCCATTGGCCGTATCTGCAATTTGTGTCTGGGGTCGAGCGAAGTCTTGGCCGGCTGGAGACGAGGGTTGATGCAGCCGAGACTTATACCATAGTACGCAGCCATGGGTCCACTGGTCGAGAGCTCCCTGTCCAGAACGGCCCAGTAGAATATTCAGGGTCGCGGTCGCCGCGATGTGTGTTCCCATCCCGTAAGTTCCCAGCGCCACGGGACTGGGCGCTGGAGTTAGTCTCGAAGTTGCCCGCTTCTGGAAGCTCGAATGTATTTTCGACAGTTTTGTCGACACCCCCGGTGCCTTAGGGCAATCCATGAATGTAACATTGATCCTTCTGCTTGGCACCGTAGAGAATACATAACTAGAACGTTGGGACCGTCCCCAGAGAGTTGTGTCCTCGTTCCTCTCTCGCAGGCCGTCTCCTCCACCTCTCCGGTTACTTGAACCTCAAACGATCGTCAAGATGGGTAAGAATATTTCTCTTCCTTTTCAGCACATGTCGATACCTACTCTGGTCCCCCTATATGCGATTCAATGATAGACTGATTCCTTATCATAGCTGACGCTGGTACTACCATCGCCACTATCCCTGCGTCCGTGGGTGCAATTGGTGAAAAGAGTCGCGCGTCTTACGATGCAACTGCCCAGGCGGCCATTGAGGCCGAAGTCAAGAACATCTCAAGCGCAGACAAGACTGAGCACGATACCTTCCATGGCTTGGTCATTCCCACCGAGGAGGAGAAGTCGACCTTGAGGCGTGTGGCCGGAAAGATGCCTGCCAGTTGCTACTATCTCTGTGCTGTGGAGTTTGCCGAGCGTGCTTCCTACTATGGCTGCAACCAGGTGTACAAGAACTTCATCCGTGCTCCTCTACCGCCTGGCAGTACCACGGGAGCCTCTGGTTATTCCGAGTACACCGCTGGTGCTCTAGGCAGAGGTTCTGTCACTGCCACCGCCATGACGGAGGCCTTCAAGTTCCTCGCATATGCCCTTCCTGTCTACTTCGGTTGGCTCGCCGATACCAAGTACGGTCGGTTCAAGATGATCTGCTGGGGTGTGGCCATTTGTGGTGTTGCACACGTAATCATGATCATCTCGGCTCTCCCGCCCGTGTTGGTCTCCGGACACGCTATCGGCCCGTTCGCGTTGTCTCTGTACATGCTGTCCATCGGTGCTGCTCAGTTCAAGCCGAACATCTCTCCAACTGTCATGGACCAGTCCCCCCACAAGATAGCCCACGTCATTACCGACAAGAACGGCGAGAAGGTCATTGTGGATCCCGAGGAGTCCATCAACAGTGTCATGCTCTGGTTCTATCTGCTGATCAACGTTGGTGCCTGTACTGGTATTGCAACAACTTACCTGGCCAAGCTGGTCGGTTACTGGGCAGCCTACTTGATCCCAACAATTCTATATCTCATGCTGCCCCCTCTCTTGTGGTACCTCAACCCTCGCTTGGTCAAGCAGCCCCCTGGCGGATCCGATTTGGGCAACGTCTTCAAGGTTTTGGGCGACATCTTCGCCAACGGAGGTCTCAAGCGCATTGGACGAAAGGGATTCTGGGAACTCGGCAAGCCAAGCGTCCTGACTGCCGCTGGCAGCACCAAGACTTTCGCATACGATGATGAGTTTGTTGAAGATGTCAGGCGCACTTTCCAGGCTTGTGGTATCTTCCTCTTCCAGCCTATCTTCCAAATCAACGATGGTGGTCTGGGTGCTGCTGGTAACGCCTTGACGGCGGGTATGGACACCAACGGCGTCCCGAACGACCTTCTGGACAACCTTAATTCCGTCTCTATTGTCCTAGGTAAGTTTTCAACCATTTTAGATGAGAAGTCTGTCCAAGCATGATATGCTGACTCCCTAATCTAGCGGTGCCCATTATGAACCACCTCGTTTATCCTCTCCTGCGCAGATATGGTATTCAGTGGGGCGCCATCTCCCGCATGACCTTTGGATTTGCTCTCTGCACAATCGGTTCAATTGGATATTCTATCCTGCAGTATAATGTGTATCAAACATCGCCCTGTGGTTACAACGCCACAACATGCGCTGAGATTGTCCCGGAGGGTGAGACTGCAGTTTCGACCGTCTCATACGCACTCTACTCAATTCCCGTCATCCTGACGGCTCTGTCGGAGATCTTCATCAACGTCACTGCCTACGGTATTGCCTACTCGCGTTCCCCCAAGAACATGAAGGGTCTCGTCGCCTCGATCAACCTGTTCATGACAGCCATCTCGGCCGCAATTGGTTTGGCCACTTCAGCCGCTGTCGCTGACCCTTACCTTATTTGGGTGTTTGCTGGCCCCACCATTGCAGGCGCTGTCTTGACTGTTCTTTTCTGGTTCACCTTCCGCAACATGGACAAGGATGAGTTCGTCATCAACACAGGCTTTGGTGATATGAAGCGCGACTCCGACGTGGAGAGTGACGCAGAGCGTACCAACACCGGCGTCCTCCCTGATGAGAAGGCCGCCGTCAAGGCATAAATTCGTACCGGCATAGGTGTTGGCTTAGTGGAGTTTATGGCTCAGGATGATACCCGTTGTAGTGAATTGTAATGGTCACCTGTCATGCATTTCAGTGAGGCATCCGTAAGCGGGCGCAAGACGGCATTACTATATGCAGCTTTATATAAAACAAATCCAAGACTTCAAGCTTGTGAAATAACGCTATGCGAAAAAAGAAATCAGCTGCTCCGACGCTGAGTTTATAGTTGTGGTCGTATATTTTCGTCTGCGAGTTACTTTGGCCCATGCGGCATGACTGTTCAGGACATGAGGTCGCACAACGTGAAACGTAAGCAAGAAAAGAAATTGTAGTGACTGACAAGTTTTCAGCCAACGAGATCTGTGTGATGGTTATAGAGCTGCAAAATCAGAATGCTGACGTGATCAGGACGACTGCATCCTGATTGGCAGGCACTCAGCCTACACTTTACAACGAGATTACACTTCATATATATAACCCGTGGTGCGGTATTTAGTCTCCTCAAGGTTATTATTAGCACCATCACCATACATATCCTTAATGAACTGCACATAAGTCTCAAACCTGATGCTCGGCAGATGTAACTTGCTCTTTATGCTTACCGTCTACCGAGGTGGTGAGCGCTTGCGTGAGACCCCTCCTCAGACACGAGGTTCAATTAAGCATAGACTTCAGCTTCACAGCCATCGTGACGCACATTTCTCAACGTTGGTGCCAGCCTCCGCTCAGTGGAGCCAATGGCGGCGAGTGGCGTCCGCGATCCGGCAATCCATTAGCCCTTGTGCGGGCTAGTCAGTTCAGCTGGATCAGTACAGGACTTCGTATTCCTGGAAAGAGTGATCGTCGTTAGGTAAGCTAGACGCCAGCCATGGCAACACATAGTCAGACTGAACAGAACAATGTTGGAGGGACCAGCGGTTCGTGTGGTGCCTGACGTCGTCCGCCCTTGATAAATTGGCGTATAAAAGGCGATGCCTGGCCTGCGAAAAAAAAAATCGAGAAATCCGCATTCACCACAATAACTCACTTCGGGCAAATAGTCGAAGAAATAACACAAACATGAAGTTCACTTTGTTCGCTGCTCTGAGCCTTGGTGTCACTGCCAATTCCAATGCCACACCACTGGATGCTCGCGATGGCGTCCAGACGGTTCACCTGACCTTTCATGGCGGGCCAGCTTCATATTCCCTAACCATACCTGCGGACGGCAAGATACACCAGACAAGTACGTGCAATCTTGAGTTCCGGGTTGCCTCCATTGCAATAGAGTAGCATTCGATGCGCAAACCCTGTAATACTGACCCGATGCTTGGATAGACAACGGCATTTCCGTCAACATCATCGACGCCCCTGACTACAATGCTATATCCCAGTGCACATTCTACACGGCTGGCCAGAAGACATTGGTCAGCGGCATCACCGATAAAGGACTTCAGCAGGTCATCGTCGGGCCACCTCAACCTATCACTGCCGTAAGCTGCCAAGGCATGTGTGTTGGCATCTACGGAGATTGCTACGACCATAATGGTCAGTTTGTTGGGCCGTGCTGTAATGGCTTCTGTGCGGCTGACAAGTGTCGTCCATGGGTCACTACTTTCTAGTAATTTGGCACGTCCCTAGGGCGGGATTGGAAGCTCGGAAGCTCGGGTTTGGGATAAGGCGATGATTGAAAAGAATCAATCTGGATTAGTCTGGCTGGTAGAGAAGTCAAATTTATTGGGGTTGCTATCTCAGACCTTGACCGCCATTCTGTCTTTTCCGGTGATTTGCTTTCCTCCTTGGATTGATCAAATCCCACAGCCGAATCTGAACATCAGCGATGGCCTATGTACCAGGTTGGTGTGTGTTGGGGATGGAGTCAGTGGCCAAGAGCCAGAACTTGACGAGCACGTAGTTATTTCCGCCATCCGTGCAATGCCGATCACCACGTCCTTCAACCTTGCCATCCTTTGCGTGATTGGTGACAGCATCGTCGACAACGTCGCCGACGTCCTTGTTTCCGAGGTAGTATCCGTTCGCGCTGGGGTTACCGGGCGAGTTAGTAACGAAAGCGCAACCATCCGTCCAGACTAGCGGGGTCCAGGTCTGAATCTGTTGCATGCCATCATTAACGTAGAATCGCCCTTTATTGGCTCGAAGCCAGTCGCGGACACGAGCGCACTCGTCAGCACTTGGAGAGTTCTTGTCGTGACGGTCGAAATAGAGGTAGTCGTCCTGGCATAGATGCTCATCGTTGTTGGTGTAGCCCCAATTAGCAGCCACCAGGTCCCTTTCCCTGTGGGGAGTGAAAGAGCCAGCATTCATGAACACGGCAGTGGGAACACCATCAGATCCAGTGAAGTCGAGACAGCTAACGCCCTCCACCTGTGCAACGTCTTTGCATGTTGGGTGCTGGGTTTGAGGAAGGGCGGCACCAAGGCCCAGAGCGATGGCGATGGCAAAGATGACGGTGAGGGTCATTTTCACTGTTTGGCAGGAAAATCTGTGTTGTTCCAGGCAGACCAGGATGCACTGCCTACAGCTTAATGCGTGTTCGAATATCAATTTGAGGTGCAGGCGAGATGTTTTCGACGAGGCCGTAGGTGTTGCAATAGAGTGGGAGGCTTCGAACATTCAGGCGTTTTAAGTAGTTGCTACGAGGTATCAAGTACGATCTTTACTGGCAGAAGCTCCTTCCCCGAAATTCTTTGTTGATATTGAACCTCTGTAGATGTGTGGGCTTGATCACGCCTTCCGCATCTATGGACGTCAATTAACTCTCAGGTGACACAAGTGAATACATGCACGTCAATCCACTAATGACATTGCTCCTTTTTCACAAGGTAGAGATATTGGACATGGTATCACTTAGAAATTGCATCATCTTCGGGGTTTCTGATACTCCAGCAGTGAGGTATATACTCTTCAATTTGGGTGGCTCGGTTATCCGAGTCGCCAGATAATTCAATGACCGGACAGCACGAGAAACGCGCCAAGCGAGTTTGCAATCTGGTGAACGCAACCAATAAATTAAAACAAGAGAATCGTCCCAGGCTCGTTTTTCTCTACAAGACCAGCAATGCCGGATCATTACTGCATGCTCATTTTCTGGCCAGGAAGCTCTTTGAGCCCTTTTGAATGAATTGTCAGTCAGGTTTCCTTGCTACTTTATAAAGGAATGTGGATCTTACAGCCTTGGGTCTCCTCAGTTACTGTGTTCTTGATGCTGCATTTGTTCTGCTGAGCTGCCGTCTGCGACTTGAGAGGGCGCCCGTTCCCGCAGGCCTGGAACATGCAGGATGAGTCCATGGCTTTCTGCAACGAATCGCCCTTCCAACCGAAGATGTAGTCGCCATGGGTCCCGTATCCCTTTCTGTCATCGTAGCTCCAAACGAAAGGTTGCGAGCCATCCTTTGGCCACATATTGGCGAACATTGTCGTGTTCCAGAGGGTTTCATAAGCGAGCTGGGGCATTTTCACGGGGTGGGATGCTGGGCAAGGACCAGCGGGTGTAAATGCTTCTTTGACTGTATTGTACATGTGCGATTGGTGGTCTGGACTGTCGAGGTTCTTGCCGTCCCAGCAACTAGCCAAAGTCAGAACAGCGTATGATTCTTCTTCATGTGGCCACTCACGATGGGAAATGGTGGACAGTCATGATCCCACCAGGACACTTCTTCGTTGGAAAGTCGGGAAGTTCAGGGAATCTGGTCAGTGCATTGTCAAGGCAGACATAGCGAAGACCATGGTGGCCCTTGGCTGCGTCTAATGTACTGGTGGTTGGACTGCCCACAGTCATACGGAAACCCTGGACACGATCAGTTATGTGGTCATATCATAGTTTCTTTGCCTTGGTTGCAACCTACTGGCTTGAAGGCGGTGATCTTTTCATTCCCGTTTGAGTTGAAATCTTTCTGTGTGTAGTAGATTGTCATTCCTCCCTGGACAGCAGCCGTGTTATCGCCTATCTGGGCATTTGGATATATTGGGACACGATGATATGAGCCGTTCTCGTGTTTAAAGTACATGACCGCGGTCCAGTAGTTCGAGAAGTCCTCAGAAAAGGGACACGTCGTGCAGGTGGCTTGCTCAGCGATATCGCCTTGCATTGTCGCGTTGAAAGCATTTCCCCCTACAATCTGATGGACATGGCCAGAGGGCACGTTACCAGGTTCCACCACAGGGTCTAGACGCTGAATGCTCAATGTCGAACATCCAAATCGAAGTCCGGCCTGAGAAGGCGCAGCAAACGCCAGTGCAAAGAGTAAAGATTTCATCTCAGTGATTCAGACTCTGGAACAAACTGATAGCACAAGCCAACCGAATGCAACAGCAAAATTCAGGAAGCTGCTGCGAACGTCATGGTGGTTCGGGGTATATCGAATTAAATAGACTCCCGTTGTCGCTGAAACTTGAGATTACTTGGCCCTCCAACTTATTGCCAAGCAGTCAGATCCTCGGTGCACGCCTGTCATGTGGCAGTAGCCCGACAAACTGAGGCTAGAGCTTGAAATTCTGACATTATCCTAAATGCATAGCTTGCCAATCTAGGAAAAGGCCGAGCCTCAGAACATCACAATCCTTCGAGTGTCAATTGCCTACCATCGGCATATGTGGAAACCGGTCTGTGCTAATACTGCGACATCCCCAGTTGTTGTGTTGCCAAGATGCACCGAGGTAAGGTTGGTTAGGATGAATTTCAGTTGAAATAAGCTGCCCAAAGGTGCATGTATGTTCTGGTTTGATGTCACTGTTGACTATGACTTTGAAACTGCCGGCCGCAACATAAGGGATAATGTCATATGTTTAAATTGATCTTGCGCTCAGGTTGTTAATGGCCCTTGGTGGATTGGCTGAAAATTCGGGAACTCCAGCAAGCATATGCAGTTACTTTCAATAAAGCCGCGGGTATACCCTCCAAAAGCGTGCTTCTTCGCCAGAAGCTCGCGGCACTTAGGGACAACGTTGATAGGCATTTTCCAAAAGATCACCGCCGCATTGGGAATTTAAGCTAAAAAAAAACGATACACACATGGTTAAGCCACTTCCAAAAACCATGACCGTTTGGATAGGGCGACAATAAAATGAAACTTACCAGCAACATGAAGGGTTCAGATGACGACCCCACAACTTTACCTGCATAGTTGGTCCTGAACGGCTCTTGACATATGCTTTTCTCCAATGTATCCCTATTTCGGCTCTAAGCCGCGCAGGCTGCTGGAGCATTCTTCTAGGTATTACAAAAATTGGCCGTGGACCAAGGGCGCTCCCACCTTTTTACAGGCAGTTTCGCGCTCCATTTCAATTACGAACTTTACGGCAGGGCTTTTTTTTTATTCTTTGGGGAGGGGGGGGGGAGGGCGGCGTGTTTAGGGTAATTCATCTCAGTCATGCACTCTAGAGCTATGTCTTCCTTGATATTTTTTTCTATGGTGCTATTCAAGGCTCAGTAATGCTAGTCCATATGGGCCATCTATCGGGCGTCTATCTCCACTCAATAGCTTTGAAACATGACAGTGAGTTCATTATTAGAGCGATGTAGTCTCTTGGGCATGACAAGGCTTCATGGTTGTCTGAGAAGCAGCAGAGAAATTGCATGTGAAAGGAGAGATTGTAAAAATCTACCTAAGTCTTGGCTGACTATGAATTAAGCCGACGCCGACTATCCCTCGAAACCCACCCGTGGGTACCTTTGTAAAAGGTCGAAAACTAGAGCACGCACGAGCTACGCATGCAGATGCGAAATGACCCTACAACTCTTGCGGCGCAAGTCCATCAGTGTCTCATACAGCTCCATGGCTGACAATTCAAGCATGTTTCAAAAGAGTGGACAACCAGTGCTGTGAGTCCGGCCGCTCAGTATGAAACCCACAAATGACAGACACCGTGCTCAGTGACTGGTGGCCACTACACAAAGAATGACCAGCGCAACAAGGATACTCTCGATAGCAAAGGTCATGAAGAAGATTTTGATGTAAAGCTTGTACAAGCGACCCCAAGATCCCTTCATAGATTTGATAGCATTCAGGAATGAGAGCGCGCCATCCCTCTCGACATTGTTCATGCCAAAAGTCCGGTCAACTGACACAATTGTCTCTTCCTCGGCGGGGAGAAGTGAGGCTTCGATGCGGATCAAGGCAGCTTGGGCGGGGATATAGCATGTGGCAACAACTCCTAGGAAAATTGTATAGAAGAGTGCCAAATGGTATCCGGAGTCTACCCCTGTCACCTTGGGCACCTTATAACCCATGCCGAGGGGTTCATCGACCTCGATCCTGAGAAGCTGGAGAACGACACCGGGTAGTTCGACCGCAACCTGGTTTGCGAAGGCAAGAATCATAGTTGGAATGGCAGTCGCTTTCAAAGTCGACTTGAACTCCGGTGTACGGTACCAGGCTCGGTGCCTGCCTGGCGTGGTGATCGCCCAGTGAACCCACGAGACGTGAATGGGCACGGCGATCAGATCGGCAACGAGCGAAGCGACCGGCACAGGCATATAGGGGATTAAGCTGAGGACTATGACTATCAAGGCGGTGACTGAGTTGTAGTACATCATAATGTTGATTGCACGGAAAAGCGATCTGAATCCAGAGAGAGAATAGAGCACGCGGTGCAGTGCCCGAATGCCGGAAGTCAACTGTTGCTGATGTGATGCACTGGGTTCCTCGATGGACGAGCTCTTCTCCTTGCCGCTTTCGTCATTTTCGGCTTGCTTGAGGGGGACGTAGTCCGAGTGGCTTTCCACAACGGTTAAGACGGGAAAGAGAGCAGATAGAGTGTATGTAGTCTACCTCGATGAGCAAATTCACTTGACTGATGATGTACCTGAGCAACTCACGTAAAGAATGGCTGGCACTATGGATGCGATCGTCAAAGCACCAAGTATCATGAATAGAACTTGGCCAGTTCCATTCGCGTCTTCTTGGCCCCGTTTGATGATGCCTGAGGGCTCAAGACTCGCCCTCGCGATCAGGGCTGCAAGCTTGAGATGCTGCATATTGCACGTCAAAGGAAGTGTGCTACTCAAGAAGGGTTTTTGGGAGGTCCCTAAAACAGAGGAGAGAATATGGTCAAATAAGATATGGATGGCAAAGAAAGGAAAGAAAGACGAGCTGCTTTGGATTCGGATGGGCTGAAGTGCTATCGTTGGCTCAATCCTTTGGGGCTGAGCCAGGCAGAGTGGGGTCATGAGTGCCTGGGCGCACCACTGCGGCGCAGTAGTACAGGCCACCTGTGATTTTCCCTCAACACAGGGCAAACAAACTGATCGACAGGCAAGAGGAGGTTAATCGTTAGGTTTAATATCAGCTTCTGGCTGGGTCCCATAGCTTTGGTGTAAGTGTACATGGTCCAGCCAGGTGATATCAACCATGACTAGTACTTGAGAAGAGCCGCATTGAGATTCGCACGGGATGAACAGTTGTAAAGCAACTTGGATGGCTACGATAGGACCAAATCAGATCTCATCGGTTTCGAAGCCTGCCCTCGAGCGCGTGGCCGGATTTCGGCCCTGCTATACCACAACGAACCTACATTTGACGTAAAAGGAGCTGACTTTGAAGTTTCGGTCTAGAGGGTGTATCATGACGCGACTTGCTCCTTTTCAGCCATCCATGGAGCACTTTTGCGTGACTTACATTGGCCGTCAACACGAAGAGCGAGTTGGGTCCTGCTTGTATGACCACCTCCCGAGGCGTCCTAAATCTCACGACTTCTATGTTAGATGCAGGGTGTCAAATGCTAAGGTAGAAGTGTATCTTCCTAGACGCGTATTGGACAGTTATAATGAGTCCTGCGCACTGCAATAAGCGAGTTGAACCTTAGGTTTTCAACTGATGATTCTACCTGGCTCAACAAGGCCCTTCGGCTTTCACCCGAGCATATGTGTACTACATGATGCGCCTCGATGCCGAAAAGTCAAATAGTCCTTCATAGTACATATGGAGTGATCTTCGCAGTCTGTTTGCAAAAATCACCACAGTCGCAGCACAGAACTACAACGTTGTAAATGGTTCGTCATGGTCGCAAAAACAGCCGCAAGTGAGAACCGCCTTATCGAAAGTGTGTCTTGGTCAGGCAGCTCAGAGATCCGAAGCCCTATCGATAAAGGCGGGGTTATTCTTGTTTCTGCGGCAATGGTTGGCCAGCCCCCCCAGGTTTTGCTGACTAAAACTGGGCCGTCTCTTCGCGTGATTTTGGACACCGCCAGGCCACGTCAACTTGACCGAAACCTCAATATCAATACCACCCGCCAGCAAGCACACACTACGTGACAACAAAGTCCCAGCCAGCATGGATGAAAACATTGACGCCAGCTTGGATGGTCCCATGGATCCTTCGCTGGGCAACATGCAGATGCCCTCCGAGATGCCAGCTTACCAGCCGCGTCAACTCTCAGGCAGTCGACGTGCAGGCATCAGGTACAAGGCATACAGCACTGAGGACTTCGAGCGTGCTATCAAAGCAGTGAAGGAGGAAGGGATCTCTCTCAGAAAGGCATCCATGACGTATAACGTGCCCAAGACGACTCTCGCCGAGAAACTGGGAGACTCCTGCCCCAACCTTCCCCCGCTGCAGGCATCAAGGAAAAACAGGATTGCCACCCGCTATACCTGGACCGAAGCCGACATGGAGCAAGCTGTAGCTGCTGTGCACGCGGGCACCCATGCATCGGAAGCTGCAAGACAATTCGGTGTTCCGTACAGCAATCTAAACTCGAGAACACGCGGCCGCCCGCCGCGGGAGCTCAAGGCTGAGCTCGCGCGCCTGTCATTGAAACAGGAGAGCTTGATGGTGGACTGGGCACATGCGCAGTGCGAGCTGGGCTTTCCTCCGACGAAGGATCAGGTCTACGACCTGGCCCAAAAGGTCCTGGCGAAGAGCGGTACTGATCAGAAGCTGGGAAGACAGTGGGTTGGCCACTGGCTACGCAGACACCCGCACATTAAGGTACTCGAATGGGCTCCGAAACAGAAGGCAGACAAGAAGCTCCCACCCCCTTTCGTGGCGAGCACGTTTGCACCTCAAACCCTTGCGCAAGCCCCTGTCACCGAAGACTCGTTCATCCATGAGACAGGTCACCTGGGCGACGATACTCTTGGTCACAGTGTCGCCGGATCGAATGCGGACATGGTTGGTCTTGATCAAGGGATGGGCGAAGTTGCCAGTTTGATCATACAGACTTGATCTCAGTAGTCCCTGTCACTCGTAACAGATTGGCTTGACTACGATCGCTACAGCCTGCCTCGGCCTCGAGTGTTCTTCACCAGAATACACTCAACGTCAACCGCAGTAGATCTCGAGCGTTTGAAATGGGTCTGGACCGTGGACAGAGTTCGCGCGGCCATAATGCTGCTTCGCGCTAGCGTCTCTGCCTGATAAGTTCAAATCAGGGGTATGGCCTGTCGTCTTGACCGCCGCGCTGAGATCACGGGCAATTGCCTATCCCCCACAGAGGCCGCCCATAGCGCTTCCTGCCCTCCTATCGTGTCAAGGAGACATGATGCGAAGATATTGGTCGCGGCCAGTTCAAGTATCATTTAGACTTCATACTTGCGCCTTACCCACACCTGTGCAAGAGAATCAGAAGGGGGTCTCGAAAGGTGTCATCAGCATGTCGCCGCTATTTACTGTGCGTGGCCGACGCAGGGAGTCTACACGAGCAATTCGATGAACTTGTAGTGCAGGTTTCATTAACAATCGGCAACACCTGCAGGTCCAGAGGCTTGGCGGAAGCCTTATTTCCATTTACTGGTATGTGTCGGGTCAGAAGTGGGGCACGGATGTCGACGTTGAGGCTCGTACTGCATTCGATTTGGCCTGCGCGTGGGAAATTGTCAACCTCATACAACAAGTATATTGGTAAAAGAAGAGCTGGCCCTTTTTGATGGTGAATCAAAAGGATATTTGAGATGACAATGAACAATTCATTCTGACATCCACGAGGTTGAAGGCCTGCATCTCTGATTCCTAGTTATGTGAGCAAACAAAGTTTTCATGCACCCCCTTCTGATTGGATCACCACCCCAGTGAACTTCCTTTCAGAATCACAGAGATTGACTCAATTACAAGTGTCTCAATACATAAAATCCTTTCTCGACACTGATCAAGTTTGAGCTATCTTTTGAACTCGCGAGCCTGCACCTCACCCACGTAAAATGGATATAAAAAATCATGACCCCAGACTCCTTTCATATCAACATGGCAGTCCTAGCGTAGCCCAAGTTGAGCTAAAAGACCTTCATACTGTTGCTGAAAGAGGCTTCGCGGCCACCGATCGGTAAGAATTTTAGCGGCTCACCGTAAACAGTCGACGATATGTCGCAGCTGACAGTATGGTTTAGGTACGGGACGTCTATAGTGGTTATCGACGAGGATGCGGAGGCCAGACTTCGAAAGAAGATCGATAAGATGATCATTCCTATTATCTCGGCACTCTACCTGTTTTGCTTCATAGATCGTGCTAACCTAGGTATGTCCAGTAACGGTTCTCCTTCTGCGTTGTGATATTAATGCTTAGACAGGAAACGCGAAAATTGTCGGGCTCCAGAAAGATCTGAATATGACGGGTATCTATGACTACAACCAGTTGGCATCTGTCTTTTACATCTCTTATATTCTATTTGAGATTCCGAGCGGCCTTGCATGCAAGTGGATAGGACCCGGATGGTTCATCCCTTTCCTCACTATGGGCTTTGGAGTTATGTCCTTGGCTTTCGCATACGTCCAGAACCTTTCTCAGGCATGTGCTGTCCGCTTTCTCCTTGGCATCTTCGAATCTGGCGTCATGCCCGCAATGACCTACTACCTGTCTCGATGGTGAGCATAAGCATTATTCTTAACACTGCAGTTTACTGCGACAATCTCGAATTTCCTGCCGGGGAGTTGAAATAGAGCTCACCTTGTTCTAGGTATCGGAGATCTGAGTTCACATTCAGAGTCGCTACCTTCATCGTAATGGCGCCTGTTGCTGGTGCTTTTGGCGGCTTACTCGCTTCAGCCATCACGAGTCTGTCGAACATAGGTGAACTACACACCTGGCGAATGATCTTTCTGGTTGAGGGAATCATAACGATCTGTCTTTCCCTCCTGGGATTTGCGGTTCTCACCGACCGGCCCGAGACTGCTCGGTGGTTAACGCAGGATGAGAAAGATCTCGCTACTGCTAGGGTGAAGTCAGAACGCATCGCCCAGGTCGCTGTCCTTGATAACTTTAGCAAAAACAAGCTTTGGCTGGGCTTTTGGAACCCGGTGGTGCTTGTCACATCCTGGGTGTTCTTGCTTGACAACATCACGGTGCAAGGCCTGGCTTTCTTCATGCCAACGATTATTGCGAATATCTTTCCGTCAACTAGTGGCTACACCAGCATCCACCAACAACTGTTGACCGTTCCGCCATATATATTCGGGGCATTATTCACACTATTGCTGCCCTATCTGGGCTGGAAAATGGACAAGCGCCAGATATTCTTTATCATCGCTGCAATCCCTGTCATACTCGGCTTCATCATCTGTCTAGCCACCAGAAATCACGTTGCCCATTACGTCGCTACCTTCATTGTGGCAGCTACTACGTTTAGTCTTGGTCCGCTCACCAACGCGCAAGCAGCATGTCAAGTGTCCAGCGACACGTCTCGGAGCGTAGCTGTCTCGGTGAACATGTTCTTTGGCAACATTGGAGGGCTCATATCCACTTGGAGCTATCTTGACTGGGACAAGCCCGACTTCTTGATTGGGAACGGTCTCAATTTTGCTGCATCAACACTGATACTCCTATCTAGTATCGCGGCTCTGGTTTGGATGAACCACGACAATAAAAAGAGAAATGGCAGGAACGTAGACGAAGAACTTAGAGCCTTGGCGGAAGAACAGATCGAGGATCTCGAGTGGAAGCACCCCGCCTGGAGGTGGAAGCCATGAATATCAGGATATTAGTAGCACTTTCTCTCCATCAGACGAGTCCTGGATGTATTGGCTTGTATCCAAGCAGGAAAATTCGCAGGGAATCTGATTATATCAATCTAGGAATCATTTTAGCAATCAGTCCTTACTGTCTCAATTTCCAGTTCCTTGCAGAAGCTTCCTAGGTCTGGTCTCTTTGGACCACTTCTCTGTGACTTGAATGTGTTATTCGTCTACAAGGTGAAGATAAGACTTCTCGCAATCATGACAAGATCAAGTGAGTCTATAATACAAGATCGTGCGCAAACTCTGAACCTAGTACCGCAGGCTGGAAAATTGGCCGACATCCGCGGTTTACCGTAGCAAGATCGACACCATCTCGCAGTCACTTTAAATCGGCCCAACACATGATCAAAAGAGGTCACCTTGGCACCGGAATTTCAGCAAAACCCTGCCGCTGTGATACAATGCACCCCGGATTCCGACAACACATAGATGAAGGCTACCGTGTGCGACTCAGCCAATCGGCACAACAGTGGACAGCATGATGGTTACACGCCAACCCAAGTGGGCACGCGTGGAAGCATGCGGCCTATCAGGAGCCGCATGGAAGAAGTCCGCAATGCCTGTTCCATATCTGCCTCCGTTAACGCACTTTACCGGTTGATTAGATCCAGATCCGCAAAACGGCCGAACCAACCACTGATGGCAGACTCGTATACACGAGTAAATTGAAAAGACTACGACCAGCCCGTCCCATGAACTATCGGCGCAACGCGCGAAGATGCCGAATGAATATCTTACCAGCGAAAAACGTCCGATGAGAAGCAGGTAGAGGGTGCAGCTCCCGTGTTGACTATGGCTCCTACACATTGCCCGGCACTTAGATGAACTATACTCATGCATCTTGCCCCTGTCCAGAGGTGCACACCAACGCCAAGAAGATAATACCATATCTATATAAGCATCAACAAGGCATCTCGCAATCATTTTCATTCTTTGGTCAGACTTTCATGAGCCGCAATTCGCCATAATACCTGTCAACCGTCATTCACTCCATAGCAAAGCAGCAAGATGAAGTTTTCCGTGGCAGTAGCATTGGCTTTTCGCCTCTCCGCCGAAGCGCACTGCATCTTCCAAGTACGTCGTCTCATCGCACGTATTCAATATCATTTCACACATCCGCTAACTCTTAGCTAGAAAGTCTCCGTCAACGGTGCTGACCAAGGCTCTCTCGTGGGGCTGCGCGCACCGAGAGACAACAACCCGGTCTACGATGTGACGGGCTCCGACATCATCTGCCAAAAGTCGGGTAGCACCTCCGACAAAGTCATCACGATAGCAGCTGGTGACAAGGTCGGGGCCTGGTTCCAGCACGTCATCGGCGGCGCACAGTTCTCAGGCGACGCTGACAATCCGATCGCCAAGTCCCACAAGGGCCCCGTGACGGCATGGCTCGCTAAGGTTGACAACGCGGCTACGGCGAGCAAGGAAGGTCTGAAATGGTTCAAGATCTGGGAAGACACGTTCAACACGGGGAGCAAGAAGTGGGGCGTTGACAACATGATCTCCAACAACGGCTGGGTTAACTTCAACATGCCGACCTGCATCGCGCCCGGCGAATACCTTATGCGTGTGGAGATCCTGGCCCTGCATTCGGCCAAGAACAGGATGGGTGCCCAGTTCTACATGAGCTGTGCGCAGATCAAGGTCACCGGCAGTGGGAGCTTCAGCCCGAGCTCGACTGTTAGCTTCCCCGGTGCATACAAGCAGGACGACCCGAGCATCCTGATCAACATCTACGGTGCTCAGGGACAGCCCGACAACGGGGGCAAGGCATACAACGCTCCTGGAAACGTTCCGGTCATCCAGTGCTGAAAAGGGAATGTCATGGGGAATAGCGAAGGAGGGTTAGCATAGTCGGTGACTTGAAAACACCCCGATGGATGCCACATACACTGAATGAGACAATTACAGTCATACCATGGAATGTGCTCATGCACGCGGTTGAATTAATGCCCCAAAGCAGCCCTCATTGTTTGGGCTGTCATTTTGCCACTTTATCCTGAAAACACAATACGAGGTGCTCTAGTCTGTTTTGTGTTTGTTGAGAAGAGATCAGAAAAATAGCAGCCCGAAGACCCAGCTACTTACGATGACTGCAGACCTGAGCATGTTATAGCCTTTGTTGAGACGAGGCTTACAGTACCTGCATTAGCAACGTGTGGAGAATAGCCGCTTGCTACCAGTGCCTGCTACGGAAGTGTGACACATTTTGGGCCCCAGAGGCGCTACCATGTTTTTAAGTCTCAGAGTCGTACAGCTTTCCAGACGCTGGCGGAAAAGAAGTCGTCAAATCGATTCATTCTTGTCAATGCTGACTGTAGGATATTGCGGCCCGGATCCGAAATCTCAAGTTTGTAGTCCGTAGACTGGTTCAATCAATGTAAGTGTTGCTGAATACCGGCCAAGTCAAAAGGGGGAGTCACGGCTGAGATTTACGTGAACCTCTTTAGTCTTGAGCGGGGTTTCCCTCTAGTCAATACTAGCATTGCTTTACTAGGAGCTACATGCAGAATTTCCACGAACCTCAATGCAATTGAGTTACATCGGACCGTGGAATGCAACTCTACGCTTTGGCATGGGCATATGGCTGAGTGCACAGAATTCCTGCAAATGTCTCCCTTTGCAGATAGTTAGCCAAAGTCAAGATGGCCATATATTTAAACCCGGTTATAGAGCTGGTCTGAGAAGCTGGAGTTGTCCATTACAGCAACATATCATAGCAGACAGTCCTGCTCGACTCACCTTCAACTTCCCACCTCCCGAACTCACAGCCCACCAGAGCAGTTAACCGCGACGAAGGTATCATGAGACTTCTGGGAACGCTCCTTTTATTCCTGGGAGCAGCACATGCTGCATCTCAACCTGCGGACATCATCACCACCATCAAAAGTTTCGAAGAAGATGCTATTAAGCTGCACAAATCTGCGAGAGAGGTGAACTGCGAGACATCACGGCTGTTCGTGATCAAGAAGGGCCCTCTATACGTGCGTTTGACACCCAATATACACGCATTTCGTCAAGAGGCTAATATTGTTGCCTTTTGATAGGAATGCATCAAGGGACTCGAGGCGGCAGTGGAGAAAGGCAAGGCGGTTGGCTCGTCTCTTGAAGGAACGGAACCCTATGGTCCAAACAAGCAAGCGCACGAGACGCACAAGGCATACGTCAACTTCTCACGTTCGCACATCCGCCTTTTCGACCTCCTGTCCGAGGGTGCAGACACTTTCAACATATCAGCCAATGGCCACGAAGACCGATCCCATGCACAGCCAAAGATAGGCAAGCCAACGTACGACGTGCTCCGAAAGGTCCAAGAGACCATTGACGTGAGTCCTTGCGCCTCGATGTTTTAGTGCCAGCCTCTGTAGGCACAGTCATTGACCTTTCCACTAGGACCTATCGGCATTCTTGATCAACACTGTTGATGTCGCACCGTACGACTTTGACCGCTTTGTTGGTACTCTGAACCACTCGTTGAATACTTGCATTGGCAAGTGGAAGCATGTGTGTGGGAAAAAGTGCTCTTGAGGTACGCTATGGACTGAGGATAGCTCCTCGGAGATTGCGAAAGTCGACTGTTCTGTCTTGTGAGAAAGGGACAGGATTCCGCCATAAAACATGTACACGATACATGACTTGAAAATGTTGAATTGAGTCTAAACCATATTCCTGCTGCCTCGTATTATCCAGCACACGTAAGTTGCCATGATCGTGGAGCACGTGTCGTTATATTGGGCAGAACTACTTGGGAAGACGGATCCACTTCGCGCGTTTCTCACTGTCCATTTTGGGTAATTCCTGCAGGTACCGAGGCTTGCTTACGTACAGGCGCGGCGAGATGTCGGGCTTAGCTCCCAGTGTCATGGCTACGCAACCGTGACCGACGTGTGTGTTACGTCCTGGTCGTGCCGTTGATTACCTACACGCGCCAAATCAGGGCAATGATAATGGTGAATCATCATTCTAGGCGACACGGTCACACTGCCATATTGCTCCTGGCCTGCAGAGATATGGTAGCAAGGAGCTTTACAGGAACAGAAGAGGCTGTGGCCAGTGCGAGCTAACGGATAGACAGGCAAGAACTTGGGGTAAAATGAAGCAGAGTCCCTACACTATACAAGATACTCTAGTCGAGACAGCCTTTTTCGGTGGTGAGGCTTCCCACTTGGACTGCAGATGCCAGAGAGGGAATAGGGCGGGGAACTCAGAACACGCAGGACAGGGGATCTGGAGCCCTGGGAGCCCTTGGAGCCGCTCAGCGGGGCCTAGGCTCAGCTACCCTGGCACGGTAGCCAGGTAGTGGGCTCCCAAGCTCTGGGAGCTTTCATGGGATTGGCGGGGCCTCGCTGCGAAGCCCCCGTCTTGGTAACCTCCCCGCCGTCCGCGGGCCGCCTATCTCGGACGATCACACACCTTGGTTTCAAGCGCGACTCAACCTCATCCCATCTTGCTTCACCTGGCACGCCTGGGTCGGACAGCGGGAGCGATTGCGCTGGCGCCACGCCCGGACCGACCTCTGTGCTGACGTTTTGAGACTGGAAGCCCAGCCCGTCGGCCAATGAGGCCCTCGACTCGTCGGAATGACGGCACTTGTAACGCATCTAGCAGCGCTCTTACTGCTTGCTGTTCTAGTGCGGTGAGCTGCAGCTCGGCTAGGTAGGATACGCTCAGTTTCCCACACCGGGAATCTTGTTGCCACGAGGGGCCTCACTGCCCTCTCTTGTCCTCCTTCGTTTTCCTATTCCACTTTATTGTCATCTTCTTGCGGCCCGGTAGTCCTTGTCGATCTCTCTTGCTCGCGCCCTCATCTTCTGTTAGAGTACATGTCGTGAACCCAAAGTCAATTCGTCGATTACCTAGAACGGACAGTGTTTCTTTCGGCTACACCCCACGATACACGTGCCAAGGCATTTTGACGTGTCTCAACTTTATATATACCGGTACTCCAGCGATATCGTGCAACTTTGATCAGCTCTCGTCGGGAAATCAGAGCCTCCCAAGCGTCAAAGGTTGGCGAAGCTGTTCAACAAGAGGGCTGAGTAAGAGCCGGTACCCTACACCCGCAACGAAGTCATCTGCTGGATACAGAGCGCTGGTCAGATCGAGATACAGCCGCGATGGCATCAACGAACAGCTTTGGGGAGCTGGGTCTCTCCATTCTCGGGGTGGCGTCACAGTACCCCCCATATGGGCTGAAGCCCAACGAGGTCGATGCCCTGGCTGAGAAGTACTATCCAGATAGTCCGGCGTAAGCTCTGTCTCAACACTCACGTTCTGTCGCGTGCGCTGACTGATGGCATACTCAAGCATGAAGAAAGTCCTCTCTATCAACCGGTACACGGGAATCGACACACGAGCCTCGATCGGCACATCCACGCACCCGCTCGTCAATGCCGACCAAGCCCCCTCCATCGCCGAGCTTCACCGCACATTCATGTCCGACGGGGTGCCATTGGCCGTGGACGCGTCGAGGAAAGCCATCGCCGAGGCTGGCGTAGACCTCTCCGAGATCACGCATGTGGTTGCGACCACTTGCACAGACAGCGCAAACCCGGGGTTCGACCACTTCGTGGTGAAGGCACTCGGCATCACACACCAGGTTGAGAAAGTCCTGTTACACGGTGTCGGATGCAGTGGGGGCCTGGCGACTCTGCGCACAGCGGCAAATCTGGCCTTGGGCCACACTGCAAGGCGGAAACCGGCCAGGATCCTGTGTGTCGCGCTCGAAGTCAGCACCACCATGGTGCGCAGCGAGCTTAACAGCATCAACGAATTACAAGAGACGCGCATAGGGGTATGCTTATTCTCAGACTGCGGTAGCGCAGTGGTGCTCAGCAACGGTATTGGCAAGCCAACAGCACCGCCCGTCTATGATCTTCTTGGCTGGGAGCACAAGGTTATACCCAATTCCGAGGAGGACTTGGGATTCGATGTAGATCCAGTGGGTTGGAAGGTGGTCCTATCTCCCCGCGTGCCAAGACTGGCGGCAGGCGTTCTTGTGCCGACCTTTGCAGAGCTCATGCGCGATGTACCAGACATGGGGCCTGAGTACCAGGAAGCTGCCGACTTCGACTGGGCCATGCACCCTGGAGGTGCGACCATCTTGACGGGTGCCGAGAAGTCCATGTCCATAAGCCCTGAGCACATGCGTGCCAGCTACGATACCTACATCAACCACGGCAATTCCAGCTCTGCCACGATTTTCAGCGTCATGGATCGATTACGGTCCAAAGACATGGATGCGATCGCAGTAGGTGGCCGTGTGAGAGATTACGTGGTTGGCTGCGCATTCGGTCCGGGTATCACGGTTGAAATGTGCATGCTGAAGCGGAACCTAGGCGCATGCGGGATCAGTGGTCTTCAAACTCCCCCGGAGAGTGATAGCGACGGGGGCAGAAGCGAGCCGGACGAATCATCAGATTGGGCCAGCATCGACCCGAAGGAGTCGGTACCTGACTCTCCAAAGTCCGAGTACGCAGGCAGTTCAGCCTCGGCCTCGGGCTCTGAAGAATTCATAGCTGAGGCACTGGCCAGCGTGGAGCTCGACTGATTCCGGCAACCACAAACCAGTAGCGTCAACTAGGCCTGCTCAGAGATGCGGAAGTGAAGAGTATGTGCTTTTTCAGCATGGCGTTAAGAGGTAGATACAATAGGAGCAATATACCTACTCATATTTGATTCTATGAAGCCAAATCGACCTTAAAAGGCATGATTTGCTTGGGTTTTGCAAATACATCCATTTTCGCTGAGGCGCAAGCCTTGCTTCGATGCGACCTATAATTCGGCAACCTTCCAGACCACGTTCTCCCATCCCTTCCTTCTGCGGAAGGACGAGCTCAGGTCTGAGCCCGCCACTGGCCGTCCAGTTCCATGCGTCGGCAATGGCATCGTCCGTTCCGGCACGACCAGGGGCGTGCCCTGTGGCGTCGTGATGTCGAATCCCAGGAGGAATGCGATCATCGTGCCCCAGTTCTCGGCACTGGCAAAGCTGCGCCCGGGACACAGGTGCTTGCCGCCGCCGAACGGGATGAAGGCGCCCCTGGGCACCGGGGCGTCGCCGTGGAACTCCCTCTCGGCCCCGGTCCGCGGGTCCGTCCGCAGGAAGCGCTCCGCGTCGAACTCGTCCACGCTGGCGCCCCAGTGCGCCTCCAGCGTGTGGTTGACCATGCTCGACATCAGCAGCGGCGTGTCCTTCTTGAGCAGGTAGCTGCGCTGCCCGTCCGATAGCACCGTGTCGTCCAGGACCCAGCGGTTGATGACGCCGACGCCGACGACGCGCTGGTTCTCGCGGAACGCCGCCACCAGCAGCGGCGCGCGCTCCTCGAGCCCGCGGATGTCGACCAGCATCTCGCGCTTGCCGTTGGGCAGCGTCTTGCCCGCCGTGACGAGGCGCTCGGCCTCCACGCGCAGCTTCTTGACCAGCTTCGGGTTGCTGACGATGTGCATAAAGTACCAGTACGATATCGGGACGGTGTTGTTCACAGAACCCTGAAGGATGCCGATCGCCATGGCGGCCTTGTCTGAGGTGCTCCAACCGTGTTCCTCTTCGACTTTGCTGGTGGTCTTGATCATTCCGGATGTGTCTGGCGCTTCATAGCCTCGAGTCTCGAAGTCTGCTCTCGGTCAGTACATTGATGGGCTGTTGGGTCGAAAGAGGAGCCGCCATAGAAACCCTGTTGAAAGTTGTCAGCATAAGCGAGTTGAAGAAAACAGCGCGGAGACCGCAGGAATACATACTACATTGCATGAGAGCCTTGTGCATCTCAGCGCGCGCTCTGTATGCTGCGGGTGCTGTCACGCGCGGAGCTGGGCCAACCACAAAGTGGTGGACGGAAGTCTCGTATTCCCTTATCCCCGTTAAGATGCCATCTGATTTTGTGCCATATAGTTGACCTACCAGAATTTCGCTACCATGGATCGATCCTTCTTCCACGGATTATCCCGTCCTAGAAGCGTTGTTATCGTCGCTACGGTGAGAAGGTGTCTCCACCAGATGAATGTGTCCTCGATTTCCATGTTCTGCGGCAGATTGTTAATGTTGTTGTAGATATCTGTCAGCGCATTGACATTCATCTTGAGCAGATCCGTTCCGGTCATCTTGCTGTAGACGATGTTGACCCAGGGGTGGAAGAAGTCGTCTTTCGCGAACATGTCCATGGCCTTGTTGGAGATGGGGATCATGTGCTTGAGCGTCTTGATCAGGTACGGGTCGAAGCTCAAGGTGCGGGCTTTGAATGCCGCACTGACGAGTTCGGGAGAGTTGATGATGTACATCTTCCCGTTCAGCATGGGCAGCGTGCATGCCGGCATAGGGTTCTGCTTGCTGGTCGATAGTAAGTCTCCTGTATGCCCGCAAAACCCGCTTTTCGTAAGACATACTACAATATGGCCCAATATCGATGAGACTCCTTCAGCATCCCGATGATGTGCCCAATGACTGGGACATCGGGTTTGAGAGCGGCCGGCTCCCTTGGGTCCAGGCGAAGAGCGAACAGGCGCCAAAAGAGGGCGGCCACGGACAGAGCCAGAATAAGAGACAAGGTGAAGCCATCAAGGCTGCCCCTGAGCACTTCAGATAAAGCCATGATGAAGGCGAAAGCTGAAAAGCATAACTTCCGCAGAGACGAAGGTCGGTAAGTCGGTAGATACGATATGTATTTTATATATGAATGTCAGTAAGCTGAATCCGATGGTCCCCTGGTGGGGTGTATTCTGTTGGTTACTAACGTCGACTCAATTGCAGCAAGCAAGGGTCGAAACCGCTTGAACAATTTCCAGTAAATTGGAACTCACCTGATTGGCCCGCTCGCACTATTGTAGGGTCGTGGCTCCAGGAGGATCCATAAAGTAAGCACTAAGTGAACCAGACAAGCAGCTAGGATTCCCATTCGTCTGTACTGCACAGGTTGCACAGCTTGCACTTGGATGCATTTGTTTATCACCCAGCTCCCACCTCGATAAGGAAAGGCACAAACCACATTTGCCCACTTTTCAGCGCCAGGTAGGCTAGGGTGGAATGGTTCAGGTCAAAAATAGCAGACGCTGAAATGAAATGCAGTATATATTCCTGAGGAGAGCCGTAATGTTGTGGAATGCAGACTTGTTGTTTATCGCCACAGAGTATGACTTTTCTTTATGAATTCACTGCCTGGATGACTTGTGGCTGTAGATTTGCAACATATTTCTCACAATCAACGGCAGAATGCAAAAGGCATACTTTACTACCCGTTTAGAAACAACTTGGACGTAGAAGGGAACCTAAGGAGGCTTGTGTAACTCTGACTACCAACCCGGGTAGGCGACTACTGGCAGCGCGCGCGCGCGAAAGAACGAGGTCAAATACGCATGTAACACCAAAATGGAACTGTTATAAGCGATAACGGTGTGTGCGATGATAACTCGTGTCTACATCGGCCTGTGTAGAGGGTATGCCGTCACTGAAATTATGGGATATAGGCCACCTGTTACATAGCTGAACCGACCCAAGCAAAAGGAGATGACAGAGACAAGAAGGAAATAACAAGACACAATCTTCATCTATCAATATGCACCTGACAGCGAGATGCAGCTTTCTTGGCATTAGGTGGAAGACTAGTCTCGCAGCATCGGTGCTAGTTCGCTTTGTGGGAAAACGTACAGCAACGCTGGCGTCTACAATGTCCGACACAATTCGCAACCATCGCCAACGCGATGACACGAATCGGGATGGAAAGCAATCGAAGTCCATCTCGGCGTCACATGCAGTGCAAGTAAACAAATTTGCTTCTGAAAAGCACCGGCGAGACTCGATTCTGAGGGCGAATGCAGATTGGCCTAGAATGCCGGCGGCCTGCACAGCCTCAGACCCCATGTCGTAATGGCCACGCCACAGCTGCGGCGCCAGGAGCTTGCAAGCAATGACGTGTTTGTTGCCCCTCGTTTCTGGGGCCTGGGTCCGCCAAGCATCACAGCTTCCCACCACAACCACCGCCCACCGCATGAGACTGCGGGCGGCAGGCGGGCGGGCGAGAGCTGGGCAGCTGGACCCAGGCAGGGCCCCAGAGAAAACGCGTCAGGAGGAAAGCTGGAGTGTGTCCAAGGCATTCCATTCCACCAAGCGGGCAGGCCTCCCTTCTTCCATTATTTGGACCCTGATCTTAGATAAAACACTTGTGACTACCACCAGTCCCGCAGCTTTCCAGTTCCTCTGCCCAACACACCCATACCCTTCACATTCCATTCACAGACAGACAGACTCCATCGTCCGTCTACACTGCCATCCCACAAGCAACCTACTCTGTATACCCCGCAATCGCTCCAAGCACCACCACCACCACCACCACCCCCCGCTCTCATCATGGCTCCCAACTTGACCGTCCACGTCAAGAACATCTCGGCTAGCACCGATGACAAGGAGATCAAGGACTTCTTCAGCTTCTGGTATGTTTTGACCCCACCCACCCTGTCCCATGCAGTCGCCCAAGTTTAGCCCGTACTAACAGGGTTTGAAGCGGCAAGATCACAGATCTCAAGGTCACCAGCGCTGCCGACAACACCAAGGAGGCCACTGTCGTCTTCGAGAAGGAGACAGCCGCCAAGACAGCTCAGCTGTTGAACAACACCCAGCTTTCCGGCAACCAGATCACTGTCACGCCCGAGCATGACTCGGAAGACACCGGCCCTACTACCAACGCCGAGCGAGACTCTGATGAGATCACCCAGGAGGAGAAGCCCCGCAGCCGCATCCTCGCCGAGTATCTTGCCCATGGCTACGTAGTTGGCGACGTCGCTCTGCAACGCGCCATTGAGCTGGACCAGAAGCACGGCGTGACAAATCGCTTCGTCACCACCCTGCAGGGCCTGGACAGCAAGTACCACGCCACCGACAGGGCCAAGGCCGCCGACCAGTCGTATGGCATCACCCAGCGCGCCGGCACCATGTTCGGCGGACTCAGCTCCTACTTCGAGAAGGCGGTATGTGTCCCCCCATTGCATTTATTCCCAACTACCCACCATCCGAGCCATGTTTACTGACTGCTACTCTCTGCAGACTAACACCCCTACCGGCAAGAAGCTGGTCAACTTTTACACTCAGGGCCAGCGCCAGGTCCAGGACATCCACGCTGAGGCCCGCCGCCTGGCAGAGCTGAAGAAGGACGAGCACGGTGGAAGCGCATACAAGGCATCTGGGCTTGAGCGCGTCTTCGGCAAGGAGAAGGAGCAGGAGAAGTCTGCCGGCCTCGACGGCGCCAGTGAGTACACCCCTACTACCACACAAGACGGCACCCAAACGTGCGGCTGCAACGGCCAGAGCAAGGTTTGCGGCTGTTCAGAAGGCAAGTGTGCCTGCGGCAGCTGTGCCAAAGCCAAGCAAAACGTTCAAACTTGCGACTGCTCTGGCGATAAGGCTCAGTGCAAGTGTGAGGCTGGAAAGTGCGGATGCAACAAAGGCTCCTGTTAAAGCATCGGTCCCGAACCAGCGTCTCGGAAGGTGTTGCAACAGAAGCTTTCATATGGAGGATCTCTGGCAGAGAATTTGATAGCTGACCTGCCTTGCCCCAGCTTCCGCTTCTGGTGTTCCCCAACCCGGTCCCAAGGCCGGAACCACAGAATCCACCCCCATTGCACCAACGGGCGATGCTATCCCTTCCAAAGCCCCTGGTTCCGAGAAGTCATAATGGTCAAGAGAGGAGGAGAAAGGTCGCTGGAACGACGGATGATGAGTAATGAACGCGTTATGATACTCCTGTAGTTTAGTTACCCTAAAATGACGAAATTTGTCATTTAAAAGTCAATTCCAATTACTGTGAGCTGAGTTATGTTGACTGACAGAAGACCGTGAATCAGAGCAACTCGCGCCAGGTTACCAATACCTTTAGTATACGGCTCCCATTTCAAGATTATGTTACGGATGTAAAAAGTAGACATGGTTACTGGTTCTAATAAAAAATTTTCGGCAAAGCTTTTGGCGTTTATGGTAGGCGACAATGATAATTATATACTAATGGCAGGCACATTAAATCAAAATATTTGGCTTTGCTTCAATTCAATTCATTCCATTGGAGGGATCTAGGATCCTCCCCTTGCCTGTGTCCGGTTCTATTCATACATGTGGGTAATGTCATTCCATCGTAATAGTTTCATATCGCCCGTGTTATGTACAGTCTGGACGTTTATTTGGCCGTCTTGGCGAACTTGGCCTCGACGGCATCGTCTAGAACGCCCTTGGGGTTTGACGAGAGGTTCTGTTTCCAGTAAGTGTCAGCAATTCGTGCGCTGCGCAGACTCCTTGGGTCCGGGACATCCATACCTTCAGCTGATCTTGCTGCTCTTGCTTCTTATCGCCCGAGTTGACGTCCTCGACTCCCTTACCGGATCCGGGGGTGTCCTTGAGCTGAGGGCCCGACTGCTGCTCCGGGGGAGGGGACTGGCGGCCTTGGTTGGAGGAAGACATGTTGTGTTGTGTGTTTTGTGGGTTGAGGGACGTTTGCTGTAGATTCACAGAGTCAGTAATCGAAATCGTAACACATCTCGGGGCACCTGTGAGGTGGTTAACATACTTGTGTAGTTGAAGATTAGTCGTGATTCGTTTGGTGATGTTGGTACGACTATTAGGGGACGGGAAGCTCTGAGGACCAAGTATTTGTATCGAAAGTCACAGACGAGCCCCTCTCCGGCAGCTGCTTATTCATCTGACACTGGCCTGCCCCTCTGTCACAGCGGCTGCTGTCAGGATTGCCAATTGACATCAGAACGCGGCTTGATGAAGTCATGGCCCATATTAACGAATTCCTACGTCATATGATCGCGATTTGGCGATAGGGGATAGCAACGGCGGGACAAGAGGCCGTGGATAGGAGCTACATGGATGCTCACCTACCGCGGCGGGGCACGCTGCAGCCCTGCAGGCGCCCGCCGCCCCAAAGGTAACTATAGCTCATGTGGGGGCTTTGGGGGGCCTTCGCGGAGCTCTTTGGCCGGGCGTGGGCGCTGCAAGTCCCCGAGCCTCCTATGTACACAATGTACAGTGCCTAGGTCACCAAGCCGCCGCGGGAGTCTAACAGCTTCTTTAGGTAAAGAAGGAATCGTGTAAGGCTGAAAGGGCGGCCACCGCGCACCGGGTCGACCCCATCGTTATCCATGGATCAGTGCTCGAGCCAGACTTCGCCAAAGTTGCCCTGATAGTCGCCCGGATAGTTGCTTCCAGGTTCGGTGTCCCCCTACGCAGCGCCAGAGCCAACAGAAACTGCCAGCGAGTGGTGGCCGGTGAACGGCCGCTATTCTTTGTCGAGAGGTGCTGGTCCAATGGAAGTCCCAAAGCATCTGCAGCTGGCGTGGACCTACCCCTTGTAGTACCCAAATGACCTAGGTATAGTTATGTAGGTACCCAAGCAGGCCCAAGGTTACCTAGCTAGCACTGGACTCCTTGGGGCAGGCAGCTGTCGGCCAGTCGAGCCAGCCAGCCTGGGGCCAACGATGCGACCACTAAACGCGACCTCGTCTGTCGCCCGTGAAACACGGGCTCCCTTCGACGCGGGGTGCCATTCATTCATTCGTTCATTCGTTCATTCGTTCATTCATTCACCCATTCCAGACAGACAGCCGCGACCATCGCCTTTCTGCGACGATACCCAGATAGATTGGACTTCTGCAACAAAGAGTCGCTCCTTGCACCTCACTGCGCCTGCTTCCCCAAACGTCCTGTGTCTGCCTGTCCTTCGTACTTGAAACTAGAGTGCCTGCAACCCCATACCCATACACGCTACGCTGCGCCTTGTGGCCTGACCTCCCTCCATTTCGGGCGGGCGCGCGTTTGAGGGCTTCCCAAGACGCCAGCCAGACCGTCCTTGCGATCCACCGCCCATTCGAGACCGAGAAAACGTACGATAGCCCGTGAGCCATGCCCGACATCAACTCCATTCCAGCGTCGCCATCCACGACGCGCCGCCCGTCGGCCAACCTCTCGTCACAAGCACAGCCAGGAGCCGCTCCGCCTCCGCCCTCCTCCGCCCCGGCACTGAACATCCTCCCCTCGAACCAGCAGTCCTATCACCAGAGTGTCGCCGCCTCTCTTCCTTCCCCGTCGTTGCCATCCGCGCCCGCCCCAGCAAGCATGCCGCCGCCGCCGCCGCCCGCTCCCGGCCATGACAACACGGGCGTCGGAGCCGGCCCCGGCCCTATAAGGCATCCGCGCCCCTTGACCGCTGCCGAGCTGCACCATCAGCTAGAGGCCGAGCAGGAGTTGCTGGTAAGGCGATCCGATGCGTCCCGGCGAGAGGGATACCGGGCGGTTCGATAGTACGGGCTAACTTACTCCTAGGTAAACCGACTTACACGCGATCTGCAAACACTCCGCGCTGCCCACAACTCGTCCGCTGCATCCAACGGCTCTTCGGCGTCTGCCTCGACATCCGCAGACCAGCAGTCGTCCTTCGTAGATACACACCTGCTCTCCGGCCCGGGCTTCCCTCTGCCCAGCACAAGTGCCGACCGTCGACACCACCGAACCAGTTCGAGCACCAGTGCGAGGAGTTTCAGCCAGGCCGCCACCGCAGGCTCAACACCTTCCGCCATCGCCACCAACCACCCACCGTCAGGAAATGCTGGGTCGGTATTGGAGGCCGCACGTAATCCTCGAGGCAGCATGTCCATGTCACGACAGAATAGCACCACTTCTCACCGCAGCGCCAGCAGGTCTCGAAACCGCTCGCCGCACCCTACCGGTTCTGGTTCATACTCCCAGTCTCATGGCTTTCCCTACGCGGAACATGGCTCCGGTCCTGGCTACTTCCCCCGCAGCCATCCCACCTCGACTCCCCACAGTACGGCTGCCACACCGGGCTCAGAACTTTCTCCTGGTCTGATGCCTGCAACGTTGAGATACGAGGAAACCGCATATTATCGTCAGGAGCTCGACACTGCCAAGAGGGAAAATGACGCCCTCAAGCGACGCATCAAGGAGCTGGAGAAGATGGTACGGGAGAGGCGCGAGAGCGATGCCTCACAGCGAAGCACCGGTGGCGCCAGGATCCGAAGCGAGAGCGTAAGCACGACGGCCAGTGTGAGCGTCAGCGGCGCTGCCGGCGTCGGGGGCGGTGGCACCGGCATAGCCGGCGGCCGAAGAGAACCCAGTGGCAGGGCGGGCGCCGGCATGGAGCGCGCGTTCAGTACGCTCAGTGTCGCAGGCAGCGTGGGTGTTGGTGTGCCCGAAGAAGAGTTGCAGGTCGGAGAGAGTGCTGCCAGTGCCGGGTTGGGGGCTCCAGAGGGCAAATGAGGTCTGGGCCTATGAGGAACCACCCTGAGCCGGTATCACCTGGAATGAGTAGTCTCTTCCATGTTCGAACACCTGGCAATGGCTACATGTCGGATGCCATGATTAGATGGGATTGGAGTATTGTCGTGGTGGTCTGGGCCGATAGGTCGTTTCCGCCTCAATTCTGTCAGCGGGTTTATTACAGATAAAGCGTAGTTGGCGTTATGGTAAGCGCGTTCATGAGCATTTTGTGTCGATAGACTCTTATGAATGAAACGATTTTCAGACACAGGTCAAGGCCATTCATCTAATACAGGTATCGACGTGAAGTAACCGCTGGATTGCGGGCATATATATAAGTGAGTTGGACCTTCCAAGGTTTGTAAGTAAAAGGGGGATCAATTAATATGTACAGTCGAAGAGAAAAGAAACCCAAAAACACCCTTGACTGGGCTTCAACTCAACAATGCCTCTGTGAGCCGGCAGCCAGAAGGCCAGCCAATTATTTATATCGAGGTCATTTGATGGCCCGGCGAGTGGCTTCCAACAGTGGTCCCATCCAGGACGCCGTGGCAAGTGCAGCACACCTCCTTCTTGTTGCGCCGCTTGAACTCCCACTCCCAATTCCAAGTGGTCCACGGGCGGTTATCCAGGAACATCTTGAACAAGAACCCCAGGCAGATTATGACTCCGAGCGAAGCCAGCGCTACGCCTGTCCACAGAGCAGCCCGATACCCACTCAGCACTGCATCGTACGAGACTGCGCCGTTGGTCACCTGCTGCTCCACGGTCCCTCCGATGCCAATCCCCACCGAGATGCTGTAGTTGATGACCGTGCTGACGAGACTTGCAGCGATGCCCTGGTGTCTCCTGCTCACGGAATCAGAAAGCAACAGCGTCGCCGCCGGGAAGCTCATGTCCATGCCCCACGAGATGACTAGCATGCAGACAAACGTCTGGCCCCAGTAGGTCTGGGTGTCCGGGCACGTGGCAATGAGCAGCGTCCCTATGGTGAACGCCAGCATGGATATCGTCATGACGACCGGCGGCCCGAGCCGGTGAAGCATGAGCCCCGTGGTCAGCGACGCCAGTATGCCGACAATGACCACAGGGCTGAACCAGGCCGTCGTCAGCAGCGGCGACAGGCGTCGGATCACCTGCAGGAACTGCCACGTGTAGAAGGACCAGATGCCGAAGCAGCCCCAGCCGCAGGCCACGGCGCCCAGGATGAAGGAGACGTTGGGCTTGAGCGCGTTGAGCGGGATTATGGGGTTGGCCGCGTAGTGGCACTCGACCATGATGAATACGCACATGAGCAACGCGCCCACGACCAGCGCCATCCAAATGTACGGCTCGCTCCAGCCCGCGATCGGCCCCTGGTTGAAGGCGAAGCTGACCAGTGCCAGCGCCGACACCCCCAGCACCGCCCCGGGGATGTCCAGGTCGCGGATCGCCGCCGGGAAGCTGGCCGGCGTCTCGTACCGGTGGCCCACGGCCGGGATCACGTAATACCCGACGGTCGCCACCACGCACAGCACCAGCGCGAACGCCCAGTAGGCCACGGGCCACCAGACGAGGGCAAAGACGCCACCGCCGGCAGCCCCGAGGATGGAGCCGCAGGGCGCCGTGGCGGCGAAGATGGCGAAGATCATGGACTTGCGCTTGCCGGGCGGGTAGGTGGCGCCCAGCAGGGCAATGGCGTTGGGCAGGCACATGGCGGCGCCCAGCCCCTGCAGCACGCGGCACACGGTGAAGAGCACGTGGGTAGACCAGACGGCGGTGCCCGCCACGGCCGCCCACAGCGCCGACCATGCGAACCCGGCCAGGAACACGCGCTTGTACCCGTACGCGTCGCCCAGCCGGCCCGCGATCAGGATGAAGGTCCCGATCGACAGTGTGTACCCCGCGATCAGCCAGCTCAGGTCTCGCGGGTTGCTAATGCCGTACGTATCGCCCACCACGTGGATGATAGCCAGCGTCTGGCCGAGGCCCGCCTCTGAAATTGGCCGTGTCAGCTTGGTTCATTCGTCTTGGGCGTACTGCAAGATCAGGGGGGGAACCGGGCACCGCTAGAGAGTGGCACTTACGGGTGCACAGCTGCGCCATGCAGATGGTGCTGACGAAGACGGCCTCGCGGGTGCGCGACATGCCGTCCGCCGCCGAATCCTCCGACGTGGGACTGGACTCCTCGTCCTGCTCCAGGGGCCGCAGCCGGGCGGGACCTTTCAGCTCATCCGGCAGCCTCCAGATTCGGCCGGCAGCGGCGGTCGCCGCCGGGTTGGCATTCCTCTGGTTGTGCTGGTCGCGCGCTGCCTTGTACAGAGCCTCGTCTTTGATGGGCACTGGTGGCGCAATCGGGATCGTGTCCATCTCCGGTCCGTGTTCCAGGTCGTCCTCCGGGTACTCGCTGATGCTGGCCTCGCCGCGGGTGGCGTCAAAGGGGGCCAGGATCTCGCTCAGGCGGTTCAGCACGATCTCGTTGCTGCTGAAGCTCCATCTCGAGTTCCGGCGGGGCGGAGCGTGGTTGTGGTGGTGGTGGTGCTCATGCTCGTGCTCGTGCTGATGAGAGTGGTGCGGCTGGAGGTTTGGGTGGTTGGGCTGGAGAGGAGACATGCCGCTGTTAGGGTGAAGTGACGCCATGGTGAAGGGGTCGCTGTCTCGCCGCGCCTTGAGCTGCACGCAGGAAGAACATCCGGCGTAGTTGCACATGGGTGCAGACGGGGGGTAAGTCCTGGTCTCGCAACTTCAGCAATCGAAAGGCTCTACGCCGCAAGGACTCTACTTCTGGAGCCTTTATAGACAAGAGTTCTATGCTCGGTCGAACAAGACTTGGCCAGGATGCGCCTGCGGACTTCCGCTGGAGATGAGGCTCGCTCGTCGCTTTGCGCCATTGGGACGGAGGATCGATCCTCTTTGAATAGGGAAGTAGAGGCAGAAAGATCGGGTCAAGGTTGCGGTTTGGCTTCATGCCTCCTGGGAACACGGGATTCTGAGCTCTGATGAACTAGTCTGATTCTTCTTGGCATTGGAAATAATCCCATCGCAATCAGCAAAGCGCGAGGGTGCAGATGCCTGCCCGGTCCTGGTATTAGAGTCCGGACGTGACACTTTGCGTGTGCAAAGTCAGAGCATATTGAACGAGGAACCAAGCATGGACGGATGAATCCTCTAGATTCATGGGTGAATGGATGAGCGTTGGAGCCTGAAGCTCCTCGTGGTGTCGTTGCGGAAGGGCCCGGTGCAGAACCTTAAGTTCACTCCCTGATTGGCCGACCACAGTCCTTGATATCCCGATGAGGAAATGTACGCCAACCATCACAATGTTGATCCCCGCAATCGTGTATCCTACCCAAGCCACTGTACCTATGTTGCTCACTGGATCTCCTCGAGACTTGTCGCCATTTTCAATATATTTTCAATTTTCTCTTCTTTCTATCTCGGTTGAGAAGCAAAGCCGACCTGAGAGCAGTTGCTTGGGTGCTTTTGTCGCAAGGGTCCCTGCGCCGAGCTGGTCCCAACTCACTCCATCCTGAATTATGTCAAATAATCTGACCAGACGAGCGAGAGCTTGAGCCCTGAGATCAGGACCTGAAGTTTAATTATTACTTGAAACATCTTGTGCATTATTGCCACACTAAAGCACGTCCCATCGTGACAACTAACTATAACCTGCACGCTAATGGATCTTTAGCAAGAACAATGGCCTGGTCTAATAAATTAGTAACCAGTAACCAGCATTCAGCTACAACCCCGTGTGGCTCAATAACGCCCGTTGGAATATACTCTGCGATGAAGACCAGTACGTCCTGCCCCTTTTCATCTGCAACATGTGAGCCGCTAATGAATGACTACCGGCTTTGGTTTAAAGTAGGCTGCCTTTCTCTAAGGTCCATGCGCATCGAGCAGCGGGCGCGTGGAACGCCACTCGCATTTCAAGGTGGTGGCGTCAGAGCCGTGAACGAGACTGTCTCAGCCTCCGCAGATTCGCACCCGCGGTGTTCACTCCCTCCTGAAGCTTTGTGCTATCCCGAGCCAGACCGGTCTTGGCAAAGATCATGTCGATTTCTCGCAGCGACTGCTTGTGTGGCGCAACAGAGACGCTTGCCAGACTCTACGTTCTCTGTCTCGTAAGTCACTAGATAGATTCATCTTTGATTTTAGAAACCCTGAGATCATGGAGCACCGAATAGTCCTTCGGACTCCAAATTCAGGTGCTACATCATTGCTCAATACCCATTGTGCCTCAAGGAGCAAGAAACCTCGCTTGCAGACGGCAGAATCGATGCATAAATCTGCAGTAGTTGTGTGTTCATAAGTCTCAGAAAGGTTATATCTGTCGATGCCGTGCATGATATTGCGGTCGGCTTTAGTGAACGGAGCAAAGGGTATGTAGATACATGTATTCAAAGAAACGATTGTGACTTGGCTTCGTGCTGAACCGGCCGTTCATGACCTAGATGCCAACAGTTTGGCCCAATATCTTTTCGTGTCGCTCTGACCGTAGATATTGCCAAGACTACTGTGTGATCCTTCATTTGCTAAATTCAAGACCAGCGAATGGGAACGGCTAACAAAATGACCACTAAGCGACCTCTCGACGATGCGAGCAGACCGTCATTTGAATGATCAAGTCATGTTTCCCATGACGTGCGCTGTGTGCTGAGGGGACCTCTCAAATGTGTGTTTGGTATAATGGAGTAGAAGATTGGTATGGACGGTGAAGAGGATTCTGTCATCAAAGGAGCCCTTTCGTCGTAGAACTCAGTCTCGCTTCGACAACCTAAGGGTTGCCTAGCTAGGTTGGCAGAGAGGGGGATTATCATGTATTTCAACTGATCATGAAGTCTTAGCTGTGAACGTTCCATTCGCGGGTCCAGTTCGCAGTCATGAGATTTATGATATCTAAACTTGGGTGCATTGCAGCACTGTCGCTTCTTGGCATTCCTCCAGAGCACTGCGTACTACCTCCAAGTAGAATTGGTGCCTGGGAAGCATCATGGCGCATGTTAGCGCACTCTTCGAAGCGGGGCAGATTCTAACTGCAAGTCAGCAAATTGGTTGTCTACATTGCGATATCTTCTGCCCTACGATGGGCTTATGGTGTTTGCTGACAGATCCTCAGGGGGGCTCGTTCTACCAAGATCTGGCACTGTTACCCAAGTTAGCCAGGCGAGTTCGGGGCTGAACATTGAGGGATTCGGGGCTTGTAGGGCTCCCCTGGCGTGAGCTGGCGCAGGTGATTCGCCAATAAGCCCTGCCGCGGTGTAGCCACCAATCACAATCCTTTCCCACTAGGCGTTAGTGCCTCGCCTACGCCCGCTAAATTTCTATTTACGGAGCGCAAGCCGCTAACACATCAGTGCGCCAGGATGGTATACAACACTGCGCCTCGAAGGCTTTCACGACGATTCTCATGAGGATGGTATCTATAAGATCTCCGGGCTGGCGTCCCATTCGTTTGATTTTAATTTGTACGACAGCTTAATCTCTGCAATCAATTTCTCAATTACAACTATATTTCCTTTGTATCTCTTCAGAGCGAATATACCCGACTAGAACCCCCAGCGCGTTGAGTGTTCAGTTCCTGAATAATTCCCACCATGTCGATAAAAACCGCCGCAACGATATTTGCAGGCCTTTTGGCCTGCCAGACGGTTTCCGCGTACGATTTCACCATTTCGTCAGGGAACCGTAATTACACCAAGGACAGCGGTCCTTACCGTGTGTCCGGCAAGGACATGAAGGCAGCTTTGGCAAACCCCTTCGCAAGTCACAACTGGACCGCGGCGGGTCCCAATGGCACATCGGACTATACCTACACCATCACCGTAGCCGACATAAACCTGAACGACACGGCTGTGTACAAGAACAAGACCATGGCTACCGCCGACGCTATCATCTCTCTCTCTGCACCAGCAGGAGCAAACCTCACGGACTGGAAAGTCAACCACAAAATCTACATTCCTGAGTACAACCAGACCTGGATCGACCTGTTCAAGCCTTCGGACAACGGTGATTGCAAGACAGCGCTCTCTGATGCGTGCCTGGCCAAGCTCACAAGCAAGCCGCGCAACGGCTCCAATTGGCCCGAGGAGTGCCCGCCTACTAACAACATGTCGTCGTTTGCATGGAGTAAGTCTTCCACTCATAGTACCGCTTTCGTGTCCATCCGAGTGATGATGCTGACATTGCACCCTAGACAGCACTGCAAGCTCGGTGGTCAATGCCGATGCCTGGGTGAACTACTACAGCCGGCCCCACGATGCTAGCAACAAGACGCTGGTGGAGAAGCTGTCGAAGCAGGTCTTCCCAATCCTGCTGGAATGGAACCATGCCAAGACCAACCAGTCCGTCCGGTCGATGCGATGTGTGCGTGCGACTGTGCCTTCGCCAAGCCCGAACCCGGGCACCACCACCAGCTCAACTTCTGGTCCCACTTCGTCTGCAACCGCGCCGCCTACAACGACAGCAACGAGTGCTCCCGCTTCCACTACATCGCCCGCCGCTGGCATTGCTGGCTTGAATGCAGCAGTTAGGAAGGACTACTTGCTCGGTGCAGCAGCTTTGGTGGCTGGGTACATGGCGTGTTAGGTTGAAAAGTTGTGAGCGGCGATGCTTCCCAAGGGAAGATCATCATGATTAGAAAAAATAGAATCAAGTTCAAGTTCATTTATTCGTATTGACTGTACACGTGTTGAACATAGGCCGGCAACTTCCTTCAGGAGGCTTGGATGCTTTGCATGCCAGCAAACGTGCCAGTGCTTGGAGAAAGAATCCCGGGTCGCTACGAAGGGCGCAAAACCTCGCTTTCAACGATGCCGAATGTTGGCTAACTGTTGAAGATCGTGTGATAAGAACTCCTGCACCTGCAGATGTAACTGGCATGTCGTATTTTGATACCACATTGCGCTCCCACGAATCCGGGATTCCTGGAGATAGAGTCTTGGTGACGTTTTCTAGTGCTTGTGCGTTCTTCTCCATACTTGCAGTGGCTTTGGATGGCACCAGCGTCAACAGATCAAATGAGACACGATCCAGATTGACGTGTGCTCTGGCTCGCTGCCACGAGCGATTTGAACACTCAGACGTGAACACACACTATAGCTACGGAGACAGGAAGGCGCCAGAGTACGTCTTCTTTAAAGTACAAAACACAGACTGCTGCCCAGGCATGCGCCTAGGGCATCGTACCTACAATACTCAGGGGAGGAGAGCGCGAAGTGGGCGAGGTTTGTGGTTGACGCGGTCTGGACCAACAAAGATATCGACAATAGAGTACACTTGCTCTCACTCTCCAAGTATAATTTGGCAAACCATATTAATCATCATTCTTGTGCTTTGTACGCGTACAGGACCATTATTCTATGCAGAGGTGTAGTTGAGAGCGTTTGAACTGCCTATATCCCAACCACTTCCAATGGTCATTTAATAGCAACCCGAGGCTTCCCACAAAACATTTGTGCAATTAAGACTGGCACGGTTAGCCTTGGCTTATGGTTAACAAATAGAACGTTTCTATTTTAGCGAATGGTGAGTATTCATATTTATATTCTGTGTCACGAATTCACCATATGGTGGCAATCAGCAACTCTCGGTTAAACCGGGAAACCAGTAAGCAGTTAGCAGAGCGCACCTCAAGCATGCATCAAACGAAAATGGCAATGTCCCACGTGAGAAATAAATTGCTCAGCCAGAAGCATAAAATGTGGTTAGCCGGGCAAGGTCGATACCAGAGGCGTGGAAGTCCTTGGTTGAAAATTTGATTCATCTGATACCACTTGTCTCTCTATGAATTAGTTGATTCATCTGTCATTGTTCGCATGAATATATTAATCAGAATTACACCAAAGTGTGCTGTGGACGCGGTTCACACAGATGTTGACGGGATACGACTTAGAAGGCAGTGTCCATCTCCATGTATGAATCCACAGCAGCACAGAGTAAGCCATGAATGCTGCCGCTTTCGCTTATCATCCTCGTTCCAATATGCCGAAAACAATGCCCATTTTAAAATGAATATCTGGTGTCGTCTTTCCTTCACTCCTTCACTCCGAGTCTCCCTAATCTGATAGGCAAGATAACGAAAAACTTGTGAACCAAAAACTAACACAGCACAGAAAAGTCAGCTGTATAGTGCCGCCTCGTAGCTCCGAACCACTTGCTCGAGCACGGAGCTGTTGAGCTTGGCAGCCTGTTCGACGCTCTCGAGGACCCTCTCCATTATCTCATCCTTCCTACCGGACTCATGGCCATTATCGGTCACGAGTCGAGCCAGATACGCCGGTAATGCATTCTGCAGAACAGGATGAGCACGCGACTCCCAGCTCTGAGATCCGCGCCGCGTTGCCTACGAGTCTCGGGGAAGTACCGGTCACCAGCGGCTACTTGGGCCGCTTGCTCCAGGTGATCAGGAGACCAGTTGCAATGCCGACGGTAGCACCAGTCGTGATCAGACGTATGCCATACTCGGTTGCGCTTATCAGTAGCATGCCTTGGAGGTACGGTGCCTTTATGAGTGCCAATGAGTCAGTACCGGTGAATATAGCTGTCAAAAGGACATACTCAAGAGCAAGGAATGCTCATGTGTTGAAAAGAACCGCGTTCCAAATGAATGCTCCTGGAAAGTTGGCGAAGATGATGTTCACCCTCGGCGGGCAAACCAGAAGGGTCAACGGCATAATCGGGTGTTTGGCTTTTGATTCGGCCCACAGACAGCTCAGCACGCAGATGGAGACGATGACGAATGAGGAAATGATACAAGGATGGGACCATGAGAGGATGTTCCCTCCGAGATTCTGGATAGCACAAAGTGTTGAGTGGCATGCCGCATAGTTTCCTATTACAGTGTATGTGAAATTTGTCTCTTCGCAGGACCATCATAAAAGGCGTTATGGATATTGTCAGTAGAATAGAGCCTTTGGTGTCTAAGCCGGTCATCGCCTCCATGAGTGTATCTCTATTTCCTTGGGTTCCAAGGTCGCGGGGTACCAAGGCAATCGCCGCGACGAGACATATTAGGATCGCTTGCACCTGAATGCCGGCTTCCTGTCTCCAGCCGAGCGTGTCGGCCATACTCACGATAGCGGCAACGCTGTTAGGTGTGAATGAGTTAGTTATCTCGGCTCAAGGGCTGATCAACTCTGTATGGGAGCAGTCAGGGCCGTGCGGCCGCCGACCAGAAAAATACTGCTACTGCTTCTGTAGGTCGTTCTTTTGCCAATTGGTGAATTACTTTTGTGTTTCACCCCTGCCGTCTTGTCGCTGTTGTAGTCATTCCAAGCATCTGTTGCCTCGCCGCCGGCGTCCACCATAATTGTACGTGTCGCCTGGTGCTCCCGGGTTTTATAGTATGCCCGATGCAGTGTATTGGCGATAGGTGATAATGAAGTCAACCGGTGTATCGGCGATAGGTGATAATTAAGTCAACCAGTGTATCGGTGAGTATTAAGACTGATCGCGGTGGAGAAGTGGTGGACTGGCCAATTGGCTTAGATTAGCCAGGTCCGTTGATGCAAACACAGAGTGTTGAATTGACGAGGATTTGATCAGGCGGCCGACTACTAAAGGAGGGGAGGTTGGCAGCTGCAGACTGTTCTGGCAGTCCGTCTAGAAGGGATTGGATAGAGCGCCTATGTTGAACCCTCAAACCGAGAATCTCCAATCCAGAGCACTTGATTACCCCTTGACTTCTACGGTCTCTCAGTTCTACCAATCCCAGAATTTGTTCATCAAACCCCCCAACACCATCATGCCTCCTGTTTGGTTCATCACCGGGGCTTCCAACGGTTTTGGCCTGTCCCTTTGCCTACGCGCCTTGAAAGCTGGGCACAATGTCATCGGCACGATGCGCAACAAATCAAAGGCAGCGCAAGCACTTAAGAGTATCGAAGATGCTGGTGGCAAAGTCTTCGAGCTAGACATGACTGAGCCCCAGGCTAGCGTAGCCAAGAAAGTCCAAGACGCCGAGGCTATCTACGGCAAGATCGATGTTCTCGTAAATAATGCCGGTTACTCTCTTCTTGGCCCTATCGAGCTCTTCACGTAAGTCAGCATGCCCATGCACGAGATACTTCTTCGGCACTAAAGGATGTACCTGTAGTGAGGAAGAGGCCAATCGCCAAATCCAGACCAATTTGTTTGGCCCGCTGTACGCTATCCAGGCTGTCCTTCCGGGCATGCGCTCTCGCCGGTCCGGCACTATCGTCAACATCAGTAGCGTGGCTGGGCAGGACGGGCTGGCTACTTGTGGTCTGTACGCAGCTAGCAAGTTTGCTCTCGAGGGTCTTTCCGAGTCCCTGGCGAGGGAGGGAGCCGAGTTTGGCATCTCAGTCCTGATCGTCGAGCCGGGCGGTTTCCGCACCAACTTCCTAAATGCCATGGTGGTGAATGAAAAAGGCCTGGGCGAGAAAAACGAGTATCAGGGCACTCAGGTGGACAAGACGATGCAGAACTTTGCTGCCTATAATGGGAAGCAGCAGGGTGATCCGGAAAAAGGCGCCGAGAGAATCTGGGGGGCGGTCACTGGGGAAGGTCAAGGCGGCCAAGTGAAGGGAAAAGTCCTTAGACTGCCGCTTGGGAAGGACTGTTTCGAAAGAATCTCCCAAAAAGTCGATCAGGTGAAGAAAGACCTCGAGATGACGCAAAGTCTGGCATTTTCGACGGATATTTAAGGTGTAAAGAGCCGAGGAAGCGATACTTTGAGCAAATTGGTGGCCAGCCAGAGGATGTTGGCAGTGCTTGGATTTATACCATGTGATAGAGGCTGGTTGTGTCTCCAAGAAAGAAAAACTTTTAACGGGATTTAAGTGAAGCCGCATACTTGCTTCGTGCAAGACAGCATAGTTATACGAAATCTGAGTTGAAGTTCATTAATGTAAATATGTTGCCTTGTTTAATAATAAGCCTCCTTTAAAACGCCGAGTCCTATGTATTTTTACTAACTAAGCGTATTAGAAGTGAGGACACCATAAATACAAAACGGCCGCAAATCCGTCGAATCTGCCTCTCTGGTAGAGACTTGAGACGGATTCAATCTGTTCAATTTAATGCATCTGATTCTTTTCCTTTGGAAAGAGAATTCCCATTTTATTCACCTGTTCGCCTATTGGAGTAGGCGAGTAACCAGAGAGAATAGATATTAAGACAGTAGATGTGGAAGAACAGAGAAAATAGTTTATATAGAAAGGTTATGGTATTGTATAAACTTGAAGTGTTAACGAATACCTCAGGTAGATATATACGATACCAGCCATCTCACTCTCTTGCTGCATCTCACCCGTGAAATCAAGCTGTTGATACTAAAAACCACTTACGCTGGTATCATTCAAGGAAACATTCACGCCTCCATCGTTTGATATATTCTCTGAGCAGGTCGTGGCCAATTGCTCCCACCCCACGCAAGGCTCGTGACACAGCCCTAGCATTGGCCGTATCGAGAACCGCAGAGCCGTGTCCCAGGCTCCGGAAATGATCTAGGAAGAACGCTTCCAGCGAAGCAATGGACCCCGTCTCGGAAGCTCGCTGGAGCCACTCCTCACACGGCAGCATCTCTGCACACCTCCCAAAGCCCAACTCATGTGCCATGATGGTAGCAATGTCGTCTATACTCTGCCTGATGGGGTTCTCGAGGTGTAAGAAGCGTGGAAGGCTCACAGGATGAAACAGCATTGAGACTAGCGACTGCGCGGCGTGGTCGACTGGGAGCCAGGACACGGTCTAGAAGCTAGTATTAGTCTTCCGGATCCACGACCTGTACGTTTTTGCTGTATAGTAATGGATGCTTGCTTACCCCCTCTAGCCGCGGGAATGCCCCGACCGCCTGGCTGGCGCGTACCAACGCTGGGATGTGCTCATTGGTCTTCCACGTCCCCTGCGTCATCTCGGGTCCGCTGAGTTGACCGATGCGCACAATGACGGGTTCCAGCTCCTCGCAGAACTCGACGCCCACCCGTTCGAGCATGCGCTCACACACCCACTTCGCCCTGGCGTATCCCATCGGCGTAGACACTCTAGGGTCGTCTATCGCCGTCTCCGGAACCGTGACGTTGCAACTCGACCCCCTTTGGTCGCCACTCGAGCGTCCATGCTCTGTGTAATGCCGCACCACAGCAATTGATGACGCGAACAGCAATCGGACCCGCAGCCCCGGCCGGGCGACATGCGCGTACTGCATAAGCTTGACGGGGGCCTGGACCATGTCTAGATGCGGCCGGAAGCTCTGCAGCGTGCGCTGAAAGTCCATTGGCCACGCCAAATGGATGATGTGCGTAATTCGGGCGGCGAGGCCAAGCCGCAGCAGCTGATCGCCAATTTTGACGCGGTTGCCATCACTTCGGTCGAGGACCTCATCTGCATCAAGCAGCTCGATCTTGGTCCACATATCAGAGTTGAGCACGATCCCGGCGGCCGAGAGGGCGTTGCGCTGGCGTTCTATGAGCCGATTATGGCCCCCTCGCTGGTTCCGATCACTTTCCTCTGTGAAAGCAGAGCGAGAGCTGTGGCCGAGGCAGATAACCTTCTCGGGCTGACTCTCCATGTCTCAACCCGCATAGCTCTGCCCTTGTTAAGAGCGGCAATTCAAAATCCAGCCTATATTCTGCTGCCAACCCTCAAGCCCTCAGCAAAGCCTTGGGTGACACTGGCCTCTTTGCTGCAGTCACTGTACCTTCAAGGCCACGAAATACGCTGGAGAGAAGTGTACGACGGCACCTCTCCGAAGTTCCTGCGACCATTTCCAAGCTATCCGCTTTCTGGGTCAGAGTTTGTGATCCCTTTTCGCGAGCGGCAGTGTTCAGATGCCCTACTCAACAAGCATCAGACTGAAGAGCCACATCCCTCCTTCGAGTTTCTAACCCCCGGGTGCACATCTGTTACAGCCGCAGGAGCAACTTTCGTAACTCACATGAAGAAGCTGTCAAAACTCATCAAAGCCCACGCTGTAGGCGAAGTTCCACTGTGCCCTGCCTCGGTGTACATGGAGTTTTCCTTAGAAGCACTTGCTGTCCTCGAAGAAATGCCTCAAGCAGTGTATGTCATGGAAAATATCGTCTTTGACAAGCCTCTCGTCTATTCCGACGGTAGTGAAGACACTGTACGATTGGAAATCGCACGGAGATCAAGCAACGAATCTCAGAGGCCGTTCGGATTTTCCTTCAAATCAGAAAAAGGTCAAGTGTATTGCACTGGAGACTTTGCAGCCCCGTCTTCTCATATTGTCGACGAGATATTCGTCCGTCGAGAAGCCTACGTCAAGAAGCAGAAACTTGCCTCTTTGGCCCAGATAACACCAGGTCTACGGAAAGATTTTCACGCAGAACGATTTACGAGGTTATGTTTCCCCGAGTGGTAGCATATGCCGAACCCTTCTTGACGCTCAACCATCTCACCATCAGCGCGACGGGACTGGAAGGCCATGGACGGTTCAAGCTCGCCACGTCGGCTGTGGAGGGGCGGTTCATATGCCCCCCTGCCTTTATTGACACGATGCTCCACTCAGCCGGGTTTATTGCCAATACCAAGATTGAATCTGAGGTGGCGTGCATCTGCACCAGAGTCGATCGTGCGATGCTCCCTAGCTACAATCAAGAGCTTTATCTTATGGAAATGGAAGTATACTGCAGCCTTGTGGATATTGGGGATGCCATTGTCGCAGATGCCTATGTCCTCGACGCTGGGCAAAAGGTGATCTCTTGCGTGGAGGGGATGTACTTCAAGAAGCTCCAGTTGGCGACTTTCAAAGCTCACCTCTCTCGCGTCGCTCGGATGCCAGACGAACGACACCGCCCTTCAGTGACTGCAGCGTTATCATTAGTGGACGAGATGAGAACCAGGCCCACAGTTGAGCAAGCTGCGCCTCCTAGACAGATTCCGAATGTCGAAGAGACAGTGCATTCAATCTTGCGCAATGTCTGTGGAGCTCATGAGGACGTCAAAGCAGGTAGCACACTGACCGAGATGGGGGTTGACAGTCTCCTGTTTATCGAATTGGCACAATGGATTTGCAACCACTACCCTGACCTTGGTATTCTAAGGTCGGACTTGGAGAGCTGCGCAACAATCAGAGACCTCGTCAATGTTGTCGCCGAGGCCGCCAAAGAGGCCTTGCCATTGACTTCGTCAACCCCACGACTTACAAACGGGAGTACGCCAAACTCCGTGGGCAGGGTCGTCCATACGCCCGTCGAGAACGTCCTTCCGCCTGGCTCAACAGGTGGAGGGTCTCCGATGGAAGCCTTAATTCTCGACATCTGCGGCTTGTATCTCACGGAATCCGACAAGAATGCGTCTCTGTCTTCGCTGGGCGTAGACTCGTTGCTCTGCTTGGAACTGTTCGCGGAGCTCCACCACAGGTTTGGGATTATCATCCACGAAGGGTACGAGGTGATCTCCGACCTAACATTCAATCGCCTGGAAGGCATGCATAGAGACAAGCTCACGAGTACTCTCTCGCGTGAAGAGGCGCGCTCGTATTCTCGTCATAACAGCGTCCCCGCGCAGCAGCAGCAGCCACAGCAACTACAGCAGCAGTTGAATCCGCTCCTCGATGAGATGTGTAGAGGTGGGTTCCCGATGGAGTTGCAGGTGCAAAAGGTAGGTGCGCATAAGGCTAGCTTGTATCTGTTCCACGACGGCAGCGGTGTCTGTAACATGTACTGCCGCCTGTCTGACATGAACCGCACCGTCTGTGGTATCTTCAGCCTTGATCTGGCGTTGATCAATCCCTCAATCCAAACAATGGAGGATCTAGCTCGCTTGTACATAGACCGGGCCCACCTGGCCTCGGGGTCCAACTTGATCCTCGGAGGTGAGTAGAAGCCCAACTTAGCAGCACGAGTTTCCACGGTTCTCCACTGACCTTCATTCCTCAGGTTGGTCATTTGGTGGCGTCTTAGCCTTCGAGGTCTCGCGGCAGCTGCGCCGCCTCGGTACGGCCGTCCTGGGCGTGGTGTTGGTCGACTCGCCGGTCCCTAATGCCCACCAAGCACTCCCGCGCGAAGTGGTCGCGCACGTCGTGGGGACGGGCGTTGGCGACCGGGCGAAACTTCCCGGGACCGCGGCAACGCAAGAGGCCCTCGACCGCATCGAGGCCCAGTTCATCCGGCACGGGCGCATGCTGCAGGAGTACTAGCCGCCGCCCGGCGAAGGCCACGACGTGCCCTGTCTTATCGTGAGCTGCACGCGGAACATGGACACCGAGCGACTGTGTGGAGTGGCTTATCCGTGGCTTAACGACTCGGCCGCTCGGGAGGCGTCGATTGAGGGCTGGCATCAGCTCCTCGGAAGCAAGATCCTAGTGCTAGAGATCGACTGCAACCATTTTGAAGTGTTTGATGCTGCTCATGTAGGTTCTGATTCCGCTCCTCGCCGTCGTACTTGTCTTTGCCATGTCCAAGATTTACTGACCGATTGGTACAGGTCGCTGATGTTTCTAAGAAGCTAGAACAAGCATGTCAAATCTTGTGTTCGGGTCAGCTGAGTTAGAGCCACCCAGTGCTTATTTGGGGGCCTATGCCGTTTTGCCGGATGGGGGGTCGAGGCAGGGGTTTGGTTTGCCAGGGTAACCTCACAATGAATGACCATTACCAGCTATCACGACCAACGTGCCTGCATATATCTGGTATCACTATGCTCTGTAAGATAACTATGACCAATATGATTAAAAGGTGGTTATAGTGATAGATTATATATAGGCTAAGATGTCTGTGGTGGTTATGCTTACCACGGCGAAATGGTATCCAGCGACGGCATCAATGTTACGGGGGCCGTAATTATGAATTTTATTTCAAAAAGGGTTGATATCGAGAGCAAGTAGATTATGCCTCAAGCTTGAAACCAAGTAGCAAAGAAAGCCTCGAAGAGAGGCTTCTGATAAGAGAAAAAAAAAACAGCGGGCTACAAGGTGGGCCAAGCTCTTGTGCAAGCTAGTCTTCAGGAGTCGGCGGCATTACGAACTCTCGTTTATGCTACACATAAAGCAGTCGGTTTATTTTACTCTTTATAAAGTCCTCGATGCCAGCGGTTGTAACACCTTAATAGAGTCGGTTGCGTCCCATTGCTGGTATCTCTCGCGAACCCACCGAGATGGATGTCCTAGTGGCGAACAAGGTTTTGTTATATACATTTGAGTTGAGGGGTCCGTTAGAGGCATGCGAATCCGTTCTGGCTTTCCATCGATATGCATGCCATCTGCTACGTTCGTCGCTGGAGCAGCCTCACAGAACTGGCGAGAAAGCCAACGGCTTCAATTCGGTCGCAATGACACTAGCAAAGCTGCTCATGTTGAACCCTTCCATGTCTTGGGCGAACGCTGCACTTGCCATGTATGCTTCTGTGACGGCGACTGGATCATCGCCCAGCGCATACTGCACAATTGCGATAACCTGCTTGTCGTCGCCTTCGTTGCGCCAAACGCTGCGGGTAGTGACGTTGAACCCCGCCAGCGATACAATATGCTTTTGCCAGATCTGGGCGTACTGGTCGGCTGCAGCGGTTGTCGTGAGCGTGTAAGTGCGGAGCTCAGTCGGTGGCACTTGGCACGATCCTGCCACTGCGGAGAAGACGAGGGGAATGAGTGACGCCTTCATCTCGAGAGAAGTTCGTTTTCTTTTGGTATGCTGTTGATCGGGCTGACAGGGTTCTTAGCAAGAGGGCTCAAAGTGAACTCTCAAGTATAGAACGAGCACTAAGTCTGGTGGAAAGCTTGAGGGCGAGCTAGACACTGAAGAGGTCAAGGACAATCGACTAATCTGCTAATTTGCTAATCGATTAGATCTGGGGTATGATGAACTTAAATAGTCGTTTGGATGGAATAGCAGGCAAAGGAGTTGAATGCCAATTCTGGATTAAAGTTTCGGGCGAAATTGTGACACCCTGGCCTGGTTCAATGCCAACCGTCATTTCGTGCCCACAACCCGGACCACAATCCGATGGCGACCAGGTGGTCAGAAAAAATCTTTAAAAATCTCCAGATGCGGAATATGAAAGTCGCGATCTCTATATGGAGAGCGATATATTTGGTGTCGCTTGGAATTAAGGTTCGTAGTGCCCTGAACTGTTACTATTATCCCATCAGCTCCTGGCGGCTCTGTTGCCAACTAGCTCCTTGCGAGGACTCCAACTAGTCTGAAGAACACACGCTGCACACATGTCACCATCGTCCGAAAATGGCACAGTTGCACTCATCCATATATAAGCATAACCCACTTAGTGACAGCAACGTGTTGTCTCGCAATCCTGGGTTTTGGGACGTGGCCGATCTCTTCGTGGCATGACTCGGGGAGCTAGCTCTGATCCAGAAAATTGAAATTGACTTTCTCCGTGCGGGCTTGGGATCAATTGCCTACTTTAGATACCGAATAGCCAACCGAGCCTCGGGATTGGTCATGGATGGCTGGGCGTCAAAGCGTGCTTTGTCATGCAAAGCATTAATTAGCAATCAAACATTGTCGTGAGCCATTAGTCGTCTTGTTTTACAGATCCCTACAGCTTCCACTCGACCCAGCAACGTGGCAGCAGTCCTATCTAGGTCCTTGCTATACACGGTAATGTCACTGTCTGCTACGCCGGCCGACCAGAGGCAGGAACTACGATCCGGCAATCGGCATTATGGAGTGGGGATGCGGAGCCTGAGAGCGGGCTCCAGAATGGATTGTGTTGTCCCACTCTGAAAGCGAATGGGGCGCAGGCACCGATAGCCTACTCGGCTTGGAGAGATGTCACAAATACCGAAGACAAAGAATCAAATAAAATTACTTGGTGAAAATGCACTTGCACAATAAGCTCATGTACTTGGATCACGGGATATGTGTTCGATACGATCTCTATATTCGGATGGCGTCATGCAGTTGCATTCGAGACTGGCAAGGACGCCCTATCGCTTCAGCAGTTTGGGGCAGGCCTCAAGTAATTCCGTCTCTTTCTAGGAATGCTGAATTCTAGAGAAAGTTATCATTCATGAGAGGCATGCTCATGTTCTCATAAGACAACACGGCTAGTCACAGCTGGAAGAGATTCCAATATGCTAAGTGCAACCATACTTTTACCGAGGCGCCTTCCCTTTTGCGAGCATCACATTATGCATTGTTGGAAGCGGGCAGCAAATCCCTCCGTGGCTCGACTTAAATACATTTTTCGGATGTCTTGGCTCGGCGAGTAGTGACTACTCAATAATCTTACGAATTGTCTTTTTCAAGTCGTACGACAGCGCAATACCTGACAAGATATCTTCACGGGGAATGCGTTGAACAGTCCTAGACAGCACAACCCAATTTTAGCACGCCAGAGGTTCCCTTTTCAATTTCTGGACAATTATCTGGGCTATGAACTGAGCCCAGAATTATGTGGACGTAAAGAGTTTTAGGTATTCGGGAGACGCATAATCGATGTCGGACTCCCTTATCAAAGTTTTCTGCGTGTTGCCGTTTAAGCCCCATTTTTTTCCGTTGATTTCTCTTTTGGTCTGACCTTATTCTGTGTACATGTACAAATTCGGGTGTGATGGCATAGAGCGGCTGTCCATTGGCAAGCAAGCTCTTAGGCACACGCCTTCGCTATACTAATGTCTTAATGTCGGGTTTTACGCTTATGTAGGTCTGAACTTTAGGTGATTAAGGTATTCCCAGCCCACGAACAAATCAGGATATCAGGGCTACTGACTATTACTTCACTGGGGCAGACATTATGTGCGTTCTACATGATTCAAATGGTACTTTTGCATTATATGTCTCCTTCAGGTTTACAGAAGATTAGCAGGCGCTTCGCGCCTTGCGGCCGCATTGCTATGAGTGCGGACCAGGAACACTGTTGTAAGCTAGTGATCGCAGTTAATGCAGAGTGTGTAGCCTGCTGAAGCTCACCAACCTCGGTTGCAGATCCTATTCCTTTTGCAAATTACAATACACAAAGACATCCTAAGTTTATTGGTCTAAATTATGATGAATACGGATCAGCCTATGGTTTCGAACAACCGGTAATGCAGCGTACAATGTAGTATGCGAACGTTCAACCCGTCGTCCAAAATCAGCCGAATGGTGAACATCCCTCTGCAATGTTTCCTACCTCTCCATTGGAAGCATGTAACGGCAGAATGCAAAATCTCCGGCGCGGGCCATTTGAAGATGGAGGTACCCAAGTCTGTGCCTGCTCAATTGTGCACGCCAGACAGCACCTATCCTGTAGAATATAGATCTGGCAATTTGTTTTATCTTTCGAATTTGTGGCATTCGCGATTGATAACCACTGAGCCAAAGTGTGGCCTCCCACGGCAAAGTAATGAATGATTGTGGTTATCCGAGTATCCGATGGATCTTCATCGGTTGGGAGAGGCTCCGTGCTACAAGGAACAACCCACACGTTCCCCGAGCTATCTTCATACCAGCACCTTGTACCTCCACCGACAGTAGCAAGATTTATGCGTCGTGCCGATATGGGGCGATCAACAGAGTGGTTGCACGGCCTTGTGACCCTCAGAAGTTGAAGATTGTCAAGAATATTTCCGACCCGTACTTGAACATTTGTCTCCTTGTCAAGACTGAGGATATAGTTAAGGCGGATCTCGCTTTTAGTGATGGATGCTTCGATTGAGAGCGGATTCTCTGTGTATGGGTAGTTGTTCGTCGGTTTCAGAACTACTTCCCCATCACTAATGTTGTCGTCGGCGGTGGCCCCTTGACTAGGGCTACTCAGATTGATATAAAAAGGGACCTCTCTTACAACCCTCCTTATTTCTCCTGCAAGTGAGAAGCATCCTTCTCGGATCATGAAAACTGGTCCATAGAGGAGATCAGGTTTTATTCCGCGATAGTTCATCAAAAGTATCCCATCCAAGTCGACCCCGATGAATTTGCCAGGCGTTATCTCCAGTCGCTCTAGAGAAGTCGTGGGACCCGTCAACATCGTCACAAGTTCTTCGCCCAGAGTGCTGTAGTTCAGTGTGAGTGCTTGGGGTTGCTGTGATGACGAAATTATCTCTCCACTCAAGTTTCCCCTGCATTTCTTGGAGTAGACATGTTCGAAATATTTTCTGCCAAAATTCGCAACTCCAAAGGCCATTTGTTTGCTTTCATCAGCCCAATCAGTGAACGCCAGGCAGGAGGCACGGTATGCAACTTCAAGTAAGGCCTTCTGGATCTTGCAGCGGACGCAAAATTCGGGAATGCTGTCTAGCTCTGTAGGCTGAAGCATTCGGGCTCGACCAGGGCATGAATTGCACCTCTCTGACCCTTCGGGAACCATCATTGTTGAGAATAACTGCAGTTTCAATGCCCATCTTTTACTTCCATTCTCGAAGTATTCATCAAAATGAACATTCCTCCAATCTTCCGTGATGGTGAGCTGGCGATGAAAGCCTAGAAGACTTAATACCCGACGAAGATTATGCACTATCTCTGTGAGATGACATGTGTAGTAAAGCGTGTGGTGGTCTGACCCTGCCCAATTCCCTAGGTAGGCCCGTTCATACACATACTCTCTCGCAATTGTGTATGCCAAGTTGCCGATTTCGTGCCGGTCTTCCAAATCCCACCCGCAATTGATTGAGAAGAAGTAGACACCACCTTTCTCGCAGGATAACAGCCAATTAATATTTTGCTGTTGCTATTTCCGCTCAGACGACATTAGTATGTCTTTTGGTGAGGCCAGCGGCCGAAGAACCTCTGTCTGTTGGGCGGTGGCTGCTGTTGGTGTTACAACAACCGAAGCAGTGTTGTAATCACCTTTGATGGGGTGAACATCTCCACCCTCGTCCAGGAAGCACACATCTAAGCCCAGTACCTCCTTGCTATACTCAATAACCCAAGATGCACCCGTGATTCCGTAGTATACGAGCTTCGTCCCTGCTGCTGTTTCAGTGACGATGTCTTTGAGGAGGATAACCAGCCTTGCCATAGTATCACTATCTGGCAACGCTTCTCGATATTGAAATCTCCTTTTTCGGTTGAATGCCCTGGTGAGAATCATTTCATGTGTTCTTGCCACGCGATCCTTGAAGTCCATCATTCTTGAGAGAGGCACGCATGTTGATCGAACTTCCTGGAGCTGACTGATACCAGGCGTATGATCAAAGGGCGTCTTCAGTAGATTGAATATGCCACCCAGTACTTCTACTGCTCCTTCGTCAAGCACAGACAACAATGCAATAATAAGGGACAGAATGTTCTCGCCTGCGCGTGTGTGAAGCAGTTGGTCAATTACCACGTTCGTGCCAGAACCGTATTCGATGACGGCGTTTAAAAACCAGCGGCGAGAGCGCTGTTTACTACGGCATTCCAAAACTTTCTTTCGGAATGCATCTGATGCTGGGGCGATCTCCGCGAGGGCAAGCAAGCAGCCGATAGTGTGTATGTCGAACCCGCTCATCTGCAGCTTCTTCAATCCTTCGGCGCCTATTCTTTGTACCATATGTGACAGAAACGGAATATCAATTTGCCACTATACGTTGGCCATCGTGGGTACAGCTTTGCTTGATGGTGCTTGAGATTCCATGTTTGACAAGTTGAATAACAGGCACCAATCGAGCCTTAAAAATGGCCACCAAAACTATAGGGCGACGCAAGGCTGCAACCCGTGATCCGGCATGATTGGGTTGAAGCAATTTATGCCGCAGGTGGCTTGCCACGTCACACTTGCATTGTGATGAACAGAAAGGGTGCCTGCTCCGCCCTATAGAAAGTACATATGTTATTGCACATTGCGTCACCACCAACCGGCCGTTCTCAATTCGTTTCAACCTTACGATCAACGAGCTAGGCTACATGTAAAAGGTCCTAATATTGATAAAATAACTATGCTGGGCGTAGAGTTAGGTATCAAATAAGTGGCAGTGGTGAAAACGGGCTATTCAAGCGTTTTCTAATCAATAAACGCCCCGTCGAGTGTCAGGTGCGTTGTGCACCAATGTGGTACAATCGGGGATGAATGATACGTAGAAACGAGATGCATAATCCTCCAAACCGCGCCTAGGGCTGAGGTTTGCCGTTTCTAGGCCCGTACTGTGTGACTGACAGTGTTTTTAGCCACCCTGTGGTGCATCACTATGTAGACATTCCATCTACGTCGATTCCAAAGACCGTAGTGAATCGAGTGTCATGCTGACTGGGGCCAAGACAAACAAGCAACCATAGGTTATTCGCTACAACTAATCACCAGAATCTGTCTGTAGTAAGCAAGTCTCATGACTAAGCCAGATGGGTATATCTATTAGCTACCCTTCGGCCCATCCTCTGAAATATGCGCAATTCTCATCGCACCAACGCCATGGATAGTGTACATTGACTGCATGCCAATGGGCGAGAAGCTGATAAGCTTTACAATTGACCACGAGGACCTATTTCATAAACCTCATAAGTTGCGACGAACCCACTGACTTATCGCTGCGTATAGATCTTGGGTGACTTTGTGAATCACAAGACATGGCAGTAATACAACCTGATTATTTCAGTATTTAAGGGTATAACTAAATTATAAGACTGAGTGTCAAAAATCCACAGCTGGTGATTGAGAGAGTACAATATATCACTATATTTTCAACATCACTGTCTCCCTATGGCTGAATGTCATCCCATACGCCCAGCTACATGATACCCCCCAACTTCTCTCTCAAGTCTTATCAACAAAAAGAGCATGATCATAAACGTCGTGAAGGACCCAGCCGACTTGACGCCTGGAGTCCGTGTAATGCCAACATGTGTCAAGCCCACACACACGAGACCCAATAGAGAATGAAAACAGCGCCAGGCTCGTCGTATATAGTACGCCATGTCTGTCCCGTGAGATTGGGACGCAAATGCCAGGTGATGCTGACAATGACGGACCCGGGATATCCAGAGATCCTGTCTAAATCCATTGATAGCCACGACGGTTTAGTATCGCCGTGCCGCCTGTTGATCCGAGCCTGCCCTAGCTGTTTCCCATGCCAAACTGAGTATGAGTCTGTTCTTGATACACATCTTTATTCCCAATAGTCAACCCATAACACCTGAATGAAACGCCTGAAGTTTATCTCAGGGCGGAGTGTTTATGTGAGAGTAGCCAGCATCGCTCGCATAAGACCAGGAGGTGGGCCTGCCGAATCAAGTCAGTTATACTGCATCTTCTTCAAAACAAGCGGCGTCCGTACCTTCACCTAACGATGCTTCGGTACGCTGATGGACATCCTACCTTTCTTGTCCTTCTCAATGCGCACCCCGCGCCGCGGTTCTTCAATCTTCTCCACCTTCTCCTCGTATAGGATAAGCTCTCCAGAGCTCAGTCGCTCTGCCCTAACCAACTCTCGGGAGGGGCTGTGGCTGTGATGATGGTGGTGGTGGTGGTGTCGATCACGTCGCATCATTTCACGCTCAGCCTCAAGCCGGGCAATCTCGTACTTGATGTCCTTCTCACGTCGTCGGTCGCTGGTAACGAGAGCTAATGGGCCAACAGGAATTTCACTGCTGATTTCACGGGGGCCAGCTTCCACGATGAGTGGTGTCCTGGACGTTGCCGAGGTAGAGTAGCTGCGGTGGCTCCGGACTGGCGACACCTCACGTACAACTGTCTCCTTCACGACCTCGACAGGCGGCGGTGGCGGCGGTATGTGATGAACTACGGGCGGTGGAGGTGGAGGTGCCACGAAGACTTCGGTGCGACGCTCCTCGACAATATTACCGGCCTCCGACCGAGCATTGAGAACTTCGAGTTCGGCCTTCTTATAATCTTCACTCAGCTTGAGGAGATCATCGATGTTGTCCTGGCCCAAAGCCTTCTGAACAATGATAGTATTGCCCTATATCTCGTTAGTTTATGAGATTTATCAATTAGAGACAGTTGCTTACCTCCTCCTCAAAGGGGTATCCCAAGTCAATCAGTGCGCGCTTCGACACAAGCCTGACGGGAATTCTGGTCTTGCCCTTCTTGGGATACTCGCTCTTTGCGGTGACAGTTGTGCCGCCGCTGCTTGAGCTGCTTGTCGAAGAGGTTTTGGAGCTGCTTCGTACGCTGCTGCCGTGGTGGGTGTGTGACCGGCTGCTCCTCGAGCCACTGCGGTTCCTCCGCCGCCTCGTGCGTGTAACCTCGCGCTCTCGAACGCGCTCCGGATAAGAGTGGAATTCTTCATCACCGTATCGCTCGGGCTCAGCGATCCGGATCTCGTCGTAGTCTCGCTCGGCATAGACTCTTGGGGGAGGCAGGGCTCTTGACCGGGGAAGTGGGATGGGCTGGTATGGTTCAGGGCGGTAATCCCCGCGACGGGCGGGGGGCCCATATTCCTCACGCTCGTAGAAACGTGGGGCGGGCCGCCTGTCGAACGTGTCTAGCGACGACTGGCGTCTCAGGAGGGTGCCAGGCCTGCGAGGCGGAGAAGGGCTGCGATACTCCCTCTCCTTCTCGATGATCACCTTGCGGTCAAACTCGGCGGGAGGTGAGTGACGACGATGGTAGTCGTCTTCGTAGTACCGCCTGTCGCGGATGGGTTCGTCCTCCCACGGACGGGATGTGCGACGCTCATATCTGTCGTCCACCGATGTTTCTCGTACCCTTCCACCAGGTCCCCGGACGTAAGAGTCGTCGCGCTCCTCGAAGCGCACCCTTTCGTCGCCGTACCTGTCGCGGTCTCTCTCGTACATGAACCGATCGCGGTCCCACCTGTCGCCGCCACGGGCTAATTCGCCGGTTGAGCTTCGGTAGGCCATTTTGTCACAGAGCGTGTGCAGGCCGAAACGGACGCACAGGGTCGGAAAGACGTAGTTAAGATGTAGTTAAGACGTAGTAGATGGGCTACGGGGCCAAAGTCGCTGGCCCGGTTGAGGCAGATTTCAAATGCCGCTTCCAGGGAGGGAATGAGTGGGATGGACGGTGAGCGGCCGGGCGAGTCGTGGACTATGATGACGACAGAGGGGTCACTACTTGTCGGAACCGCAGCAAAGCAATCTGCAATCTAGGCCCCAAGACGCAAGCCGGGAAAAGGGCGATGAGTGGTCTGTGCCGGTGCTTTCAGCTGCAACAACAGCCCCGCTGGCGACGAGTCCGGTACGGGATTGGGTGGTCGTGGGCGTTGACTTATGCGCAAGTGTGGTCTCGTCTCTGGCTGGTGGGTTCCAAGTTTTGTCGCACCCCGCGCTTGCTGCGTGTGACCTCAGGCTGCCTCTTGGTCCTCGTCCCGCAGCACGAGGTTCTGTGATCCCTTTTCGCCGTAGTTGGTGCTGGTCGAGTGTTGCGTTCGTTGCCTTTGCGACGACACGGGGGCGTCGGAAAGATTTTAAAAGAGGTTGCTCCCGAGACCTTAGCCCGTTAGGCCACAACAACCGGGAGGTTGGGCAGGTTTAATTGTCTTCTAACGGCCGACGGGAGATGAGGACGAGACGAAGTGGGTGGTGGGAGCAGGCTCTGGGCTTGTGAAAGTTGCCAGGATCGACCGTCTATTCCAGCTCCAGTCCTCAGACTAGTTCCCCAGAGACAGGTCAGATGGTGCCATACCAGGTTACGGCTATACATGATGCATCACTGGCGACGCCAGCCCAGCTCGCGGGCCGACTCTGGCAGAAAGAAGTATCTCACTAGCAAGTTCTTTTCCGCTCCCACCGGCCTAGCTGGGGTGGTCCTTGGTTGGGCACATTTAGGTAACCCGAGTGGCAAGGATATACTTGCAACCAAATGAAAGCAAGCGATGTCCAATGCCCAGCTGCCTAGTAACGGCCTCCCGCGGGATGTCTCGTGCCAGAAATGTCTTGATATTTTTGTGAGGATTAGGGTGCAGCCGTGCGTGGAGACAGAGGTGCTGCTCGGCGAACGGCCGATGCAACTGGCATGTGAGCGACTGCCCAGCTGGCCTCGTGGTGTCTCATCTCAGTGCTGGGACGAAGACACGAGCCAAAGTGTGCGACTGCATTACAAAGTCAGTTGCGAATGGTCTGGTCCCACGAACGGCCAGTCCGCCCGTCGGGTGACGCTAGTCCCGGATACCGCACGACGGCGGCGTTTTACAGGCTTGACAGGAGCATTTACAGTACTATGGTAGGGTCAGGGGAAATGCTCGTCGTCGTCGTCGTCGTCTGCGACGGTGCTGCGACCCTGGTCAACGGCCCACGGGAGTTGAGACGCGCGATGACGTCGAGCCCCAGACGCTTTAGCTTGCCCAGAGCTGAAGACCCACTGTAGGTCCGGCAGTCTTCACTGTAGTTTTTCCAGAACACGAGAAACGTCGGTAATCTCTTTGGGCGGGTGAATACGCTCAGTGGCCAGTTGCAATCTCCAGATCTGGAATGGGACCTTGCCCAACTTGCCAACCATCCTCCTTGATCCAAAGCTAGTGTCCAACGAAGTCAGGGTTTCCTGGCCACAGGACTAGTTCCGTGGCTCGGGGGCCTGGTTTCGCTTCGGTCCGCCCTATCATCCATGCGAGTTCCTGGTTGTTCTACATGGGCCGACTAGTCTCCCTTGTTCCTGGATGAGCCTATTCCTGCCCAACCAAGGCCCTATCTGCACAATGGTCAAGGTCCCAGAGCTGGGGAAATCCTATTTGATTCATTACTAGCGTAAGAGATGACATATGGCCTCGCATCCGCAGTGGCTCGACACGACGCGTGAGACTACGAAAGCTGGAGCCTTCCAACGGGCTAAGTAGGATCCTGTTTCTCGGCTCGACGTTAATGGACTCCAACTCGAGGGTGATAAGCACCAGCGAACAGTCTCCAGGATACACAGACCGCGGTCATAGTATATTACTCATCGAAGCTCGAGCGTAGTAGAGGCCAGGTTCAGTTGATCAGCACCACCAGTGTAATCCATGTCTATCACAGCAACCTTTCTGCAACCAAGGCTTGTCTTGATCAGGTGCGTATATCTCGCAGATCAGCCTGCACTACTGGGATCCGGACTGCGAACCGTTCCAGACAACCCCGTGAAGCCATTCACTCAATAGCTTCTGGTACTGTGCCGTCTTGATCTGCGAGTCCTGAAAAGACCCCGCGTCGCCGAACCAACGCTCAGGTAGGTGATCAAACCCGTGTACTTGATCGGGAACGAGGAGCCATCCGACATTTTGACCGCTTGACGACTTGTGCTGAAATGCGTACCGCTCGTTGTCCAATATCAGCGCGCCTTTCTGCACCGCTGGTTGTGCTTGTCCGACCTTGTCCTCGGCTTTCGGTTCGGGACGCCCGCTCAGCTTGCAAGCCATCCGCCAGGCTTCGTGCCCGAGCTGGTCCAGTTCCGCGGCTACGATATAGATATGTGGCGGCAGACTGTCTCGTGCAGCAAAGTACGGCGACAGCAGCGGGTCCCGTAGGTCCTGCCCCGGGTTGATATAGCTCCATTTGAAAATGGGAGTATATGGAGCGAGCATGTCCTTGGATTGCCCCAGAATGCCCTTGAGATCCGGTTTGTAATGCCGCCTCTTGGCCCTCTCGCCTAACAAGATACTCTGGTCTACCGAAGGGTAAATCGGCAGCGCTGCGGTAGGCTTAACCTTCTCGCGGATGGTGGGCAATTGGCAGACACTCAGGGCCAGATTCCCGCCGGCACTGAATCCCGTCACAGCAACACGGTTCTTGTCGAACGGCAGACTCTCATCAGCGACAACCGCTAGCATGAGAGCCTCTAAATCATAAGTCGCAGTCGGGAATGGGTACCACGGTGCTTTACGATAGTTGAGCTCCACGACAAGGAATCTGTGCTCGTCTGAAAAGCGTCGGTTCCAGCGGTCGTCATCTTCCGGGTCGCCCACGCAAAAGCCGCCACCATGGATGCTGAAAACCAGAGGGAGGGTTTCGGGTGACGTCTGGTCGTAGTCTTTGGGAAAGAAAATCCTACCGGAGAGTCTCCCAGTCAGTCACGGCACGCGAACTTGATCCTGGGGGCGCAGGGCGGATAGGACATTGCAGGCGGCACAACTACAACGACATACCGGATGGGCAAATAAGGACGGCATTCGTAGGTTTTTACGATGTTTGGCGCAGAGCCGGAAGGCCAGAACCATTCGTTCCAACCTCGGATCCACCTCACCGGCGCCGACACGCCTTGCACCGCCGATATCGTGAAGCCATTGTACAGACGAGAGAAGATGGGATACTGCGGATGCAAGGCGGACTCGTCTTGCGCCATTGTCGTAATCTTAGAGGTTTAATGTGGCACTCAATAACGATACTGTAGCCCGATCAAAGCCACAAGGTGAATGTGGGTTGAGGCTGGTCTCACGCCTCTGCCATCACGAACGACGCGAATGTGTACCACCCGCGGTCGCATGACGTTCGTTGGGGTGCTGACGCAGGTCTTCCGCGCGTTTCAGAGAAAGCGGCTGCGGGGGAGCGCAGGTACGAATACGGAACGGATGGCATCCTAACGCGTACCTACCTACTACATTAGAGGCTAGATTACCTACCATCACTCCTTCTTGGTTCTTCCACGGCTGGCCTTGCATCGGGTCAGTACTTGGGTAGTGGCACACACAAAATCAGTTTGGAACGAGATGTGATCGCTGGCTCAATGCCCCGACTTTGAATACATTCAGTAGACTGGCGTAGGGGCGGTGAACGTGCTGGGATTCCAGGCGGTCCAGGCCCATGTGCGAAGCCGAACGCCGACCTCATGCTGGCCAACTCCGAACAACCCACAGCGCAGGAGTGACGGTCTCCGTCCTCGATTCAATAGCTGATCAGAAGGGCCTGTCGCAATTCTACTGCACTCACCCACTTATAAGTTGGGCACACTCCAATCGGTAACTTCCAGCCAATGCTGAGATTAGCTGCAAACTTGATAACTCATTGGCAATGCTGGAGTTGTCCTGGTCGGAACTCGCAGCCCAGTAATCGGACCTCAGTGAGTTCCCTGGACAGCACTCACAATTATCTACTACGATGCATCACATCACCTGTCCGTAATGTCGGCATTCGTAAATGACTCAGGACCGTGACTCAGATGCACTCTTGAAGTCTGCTGTGTGGGATAGTATCGCCGGTGTGAGCTTCAGCGCACTCAAGGGCAGTGGCTAGTTGCACCCGCGAATATTGAACGACCTTCCTACTCGGGTCAGGCATACTATAGTATACGCTGATCCTCTTGATGACAATGCTGCTCGATGTCTACGACGCCTGTCGCTTGGCGCAAACAAGGCTGGGGTACAATGCAGCAGCCTCCAGGCATATCATTCCAGCGATTGATACGATTTGTCGGTCTTGGGGCTGCCAGGCAGCCTTCCTTTAAGTGCCCCAGACACCCCCCGAATCGGCCTAGGGAGCCGCCAGATTACGCAAGTGCTGTCGGAATTGGCCTCGGAGTCGCTAAACACATTATGACTGGTCGGCCTGCTTACGCCCATTGCATGTTGATGAACGTCCTTCCACAAGACTTATTATCAAGAATCCCATCTCGACTTGCTTCGTGCACATGGTTGCAACAGTCCCATTTCAGAGAATCTCAACCGAGGGCTCACTATTTGCCCAAGATGTTATTCTCTACCTGCAACAATGACGACTCGATCGGACCCAGTGTTTCGGGTTGTCGCGATGAGTTCGACTTCACTGTTGTCTTCGAGCTGCTCTTCTTCACCATCGTGCCTTCAGCGTTATTTGTAGGGCTTTCTAGTTGGCGGGTAGCCTTGTTGATCAAGCGGCCTGTCGTCGTTAATGCACCCTTTTTACAACTTATCAAGCTAGTAATTCTCCCTCTATTATTGGCCACAAGAACCGCTTGCTAACCACTGCAGTGTGCTATCATGCTCTACATCGGGCTCCAGCTTGGGTTGGTTATCTTGGTCAGCGTCAGCTCATTCAGTCTCACGAGGCTCTTCGTTGCTTCCGCTGTCATGCAATTTATTGCAGCTTTATGGATGGTGATCCTGTCCTTCTTTGAGCACAGCAGATCTCCACGTCCCTCGTTTCTTCTGAGCAGTTACTTGTTCGTTACGCTATTGTTCGATGTTACCGAGACTCGCACGTTCTGGCTAGCATCAGCAACCAAGCCAGAAATGACCTTCACAAGTGTCTTCACAGCGACGATGGCATTGAAAGTCGTCTTGATGCTGCTAGAAGCACAGCATAAGACTAAATGGGTCAACTGGGACACGAAAGAGCCCCACAGCCCCGAGGAGACTTCTGGCATTTTCGGCCTCGGGGTGTACTTCTGGCTGAACGCGCTCTTCGTACATGGATACCGATCTATCCTACGAATTGAAGACTTGTATCCGCTAGACCGATCGATGAAGGGAGCAACACTCGACGAGCGATTTCAACGTCATCTTGACTATAGAAAACTCCGGCGTAGCAAGTATGGCCTCGTGAAAGCACTCTGTCGTACGCTCACAGTACCACTGGCTCTACCGATTCTTCCACGACTGTTTCTCCTCGGCTTCACATTCTGCCAGCCCTTTTTCATCAACAGTCTCTTGCAATATCTTGCCAAGGATGAGGCTCTTGTCTCGCCAAATGCCGCTTACGGCTTCATCGGCGCGAGCATTCTTATCTTCACTGGTATTGCCGTCTCAATGTCAGTTTACGAATACTTACACCATCGGTCACTTCAAATGGTCCGCGGATGTAAGTTTAACCTTTCGTTTTTCGGGCGATGGTGAAATAATTGGTGAACTTGCTGGTTTCATCTAACCCGAACCCATCGTTGTTTTCGAGACTGATGGAGGTCTAACTTGCCACATTATAGGTCTTGTGGCTGCTATCTATACAAAGACAACAGAGGCTGAGACCAACACAAGCGAAGAGTCTGAATCTGTAACCCTCATGAGCAGCGATCTAGAAAGAATCCGAATGGGCTTTCGGAGTTTGCATGACATGTGGGCGAGTGTCATTGAGGTTGGTCTTGCCAGCTGGCTTCTGTATAACCAGCTCGGCGTAGCCTTCATTGCTCCAATCATCGTTGTCATTGCTTGTACTGGTGGTACATCGTTCGTCATTAGGTTCACGGGAGACTCTCAGAAAGCATGGATGGCTGGAGCCCAGAAACGTGTTGGACTTACAGCATCGGTCATTGCCAACATGAAGAACCTGAAGATCTCCGGCCTGACCTCGCCTGTTGGCGAGTTCGTACAGCGTCTTCGTGTGGACGAGTTGAGAGCCAGTGCGAAGTTCCGCGTCCTAATTATCATCTCTGCAGTTATAGGGTTCTGCCCCCTATTTTTCTCTCCCGTCTTTACGTTTGCCTTTGCCCAGAGATCGCTCGATGCGACAAGGATCTTTACATCACTGTCATACCTAACTCTACTCGCCAACCCCCTTTCGCAGCTTTTCCAGGGTATACCACAACTACTTTCCGCGGTGGCATGCTTGGACCGGATCCAAACATTCCTTGGGTCAAAGTCACGAGAGGATTTCCGCGAGGAAAGCATCGTCGTGGGAGGTCTTCAACAGAAGGGGTCGGCTGATCGTTCAGTTCATACAGGCTCCGAGCTAGGCGCACGCTCTGCAGTAGTGATCAGAGGCGGCAACTTTGGCTGGGTTCCGGAGAAGATGGCTCTCAAGGATATCAATATGGACGTTCCCAAGAATTCTTTCACCATCATTTGTGGACCAATCGCATCTGGCAAATCTACACTATGCAAAGCTCTGCTAGCTGAAGTCCCATTTCAGGAGGGCTCTGTTACCTTCGGGATGGGCATTTCTCGGATCGCATACTGCGACCAATCACCATTTTTATCGAACGGTAGCATTAGGGATAACATTACAGGTTTTACGGCTTTCGATGAAAATCGATATTCTGAAGTTATTGGCGCTACAATGCTCGAAGCCGACTTGCGCGCAATGCCCTTGGGTGATCGGACCAACGTTGGCAGCAACGGAATTACGCTATCTGGGGGTCAGAAGCAGCGCGTGGCTTTAGCTCGAGCTCTCTATCTCCAAACCGACCTGCTTATTTTCGACGATGTATTTAGTGGTCTCGATGCTGATACTGAGGAGCAAGTCTTCTACCGCGTATTTGGCCCAGAAGGACTGATCAGACGGCGACAAGCAACGATTATTCTATGTACCCACTCTGTTCGTCACCTTCCAGCAGCGGACTGTGTTATTGCGCTCGGTCCTGACGGTGCTATCTTGGAGCAAGGCAGCTTTGCTGAACTCATAAAAAACGAGGCAGGCTATGTCAACAGCCTGGGAGTCAAATCATTGAGCAACAGCTCCTCGGAAGCCTCGGAGTATGGAGACGATGCGGGTGAATCTCGACCAGAGCTGCTCCGGCGCTATACCACCGCATCATCTATAGTCTCGGAATCTGCAGATAGCAGTCGCCAACTGGGGGATCGAAAAGTATACAAACTGTACTTCAAGTCCATGGGTTATACTCTCACATTTGCAGTATTCTTTTGTGGTGTTGCACTCGGATTCTTCAACAACTTCCCTACGATCTGGTTGAAATACTGGAGTGATGACGCCTCCACGTCAAACCCAACGCATTCGTCTAGTTTTTACATCGGAATATACGGTCTACTCAATGCCAGCGCCATGTTTTCGCTGCTGGGGCTAGGTATTGGCATTTTTGTCCTGGCCATCAAACGGGCTGGCGCCAACCTACATAACGACGCATTGAACACATTAGTCAGAGCTCCGTTACGATTCTTTACGACCACCGACCAAGGCCAGATTGTCAACCTGTTCAGCCAAGACATGAACCTCGTCGATACGGAGCTCCCGAATGCGTTACTAAACAGCATCTATGCAGTATTTGTCGCTATCGGGCAGGCTGCTGTGCTGGTGACTACTTCACCTTACATGGCCATTAGCTATCCATTCTTAGTGGCCATTCTCTGGGCCGTGCAGAAGTTCTACCTGCGTACCTCTCGACAAATGCGGTTGCTGGATCTAGAGGCCAAAAGTCCCCTTTAGTACGTGTGAATGTTTTATCGCTAGTGTTGTGGACCACAGCTCACCTGAAATCTAGTACCCATTTCCTAGATACCACGAAGGGTATTGTAACCCTGCGTGCATTCGGCTTTCTCAAAGAAGACCGCGCGAAGAACATTGAGCTGCTCGACACGTCACAGCGCCCTGCTTATCTGCTCCAAATGATCCAGAACTGGCTGAATCTCGTTCTTGGTATGGTGGTCATGGCCTTGGCGGCAGTTCTCACCGCACTTGCGGTAAAGACACGCTCCAACTCTGGATTCACCGGTGCATCATTGGTAACTTTGATGCTTTTCGGCGAAAATCTCACGTCCATCGTGCGCTTCTTGACACAATTGGAAACGAGTCTGGGTGCCATATCTCGTCTGAGGAGGTTTAATGAAACTGTCAAGCCTGAGCACCGGCCAGACGAAGACATTTTCCCACCAGAGGAGTGGCCGCAAAACGGAGCAATCGAGCTGAAAGGTGTGTCTGCTAGTTACGGCATTGATGATTCCAACGAGGGCGACGAGAAGGCAGATCTGGCGATTCGGGATGTCAATCTCAATATCGCACCAGGGGAGAAAATAGCTGTTTGTGGCCGAACTGGCAGCGGCAAATCTAGCTTGATTGCTCTCCTGCTCAAGCTCTTGGATCCTACCACAGCAACAATCACTGGTGCGTACATTGACAACATTGCTCTGTATAAGATAGACAGGTCCGCCCTCCGCCGCCGGATCATCGCTATACCCCAAGACGCCATTTTTCTGCCTGATGGGTCATCTTTTCGCGCGAATCTGGACCCGTTTGATGATGCGACCTCAGCCGATTGCCATTCCGTGCTCCAGGCTGTAGATCTGTGGACCTTCGTTCAGGAAAGAGGCGGTCTCGAAGCGGGAATGAGCCCTGCCACTTTCAGCCAAGGGCAGAGGCAGCTGTTCTCGCTTGCGCGCGCGGTCCTTAGGAGACGCCTCCGAGCCAAGAGTCTCGGCCTTGGAGGCGGCGGATCCGAAGGCGGAATCCTCTTGTTAGACGAGGTCAGCTCGAGTGTGGATCGGGAAACGGAGAGAGCTATGCAGGAAATCATCAGGGTTGAGTTCAAAGAGTACACTGTGGTTGCTGTCTCCCATCATCTAGACATGATATTCGACTTCGATAGAGTGGTGGTTATGGACAAAGGAGAGATAGTGGAGATAGGGGACCCGAAGATACTATCTCAGGGATCAACGAGGTTTGGTGAATTGTGGAGGGCAGGCGGGAATTAATGTAATTCACAGATCTCCTATTAGAGCTGGAGAACCAGTCTTAAAGATATCTGCCTCACGGCCCGATATGAGCTATGTTAGCGTCGGTCAAACATCTGTTTACGATACCTCCGGCCTCCAGGGCAATTAAGAGCGATCGTCAATTTCTTCAACTGCCAGTTGTCCGTCCATGGACCTTGTTTTCTATCCAATTGAACCGCCCAGGTGGTCGACACCGCCCTAACTAGAGTGCCCCGTTGGCCCCATAGCCCCCGCTGCAAACCGGCGGCGCAGCCCCTTGGCACTGGTAGCCTTCGGCTTCACGGCTCCGCGAAAATGAGCGGAGCAAAGTGCTTGGCTGCTTACCAGCCTCCTCGTGTTTGTTTGTTTTATGCTGGCTGCCGGCTTTCTTCGCTCGTTCGATGGCTCCAATTGCTTTGGTCAGCTTTCTGGAACGCTAGTATGGAATACAACCTAGATGAACTAGACGCGTCGTTAAGTTCGGCGGCGATGCACCAGCCGTCCGGAGGCGGGCGCCGGCCCAATCCCGTGCGACGGGGCAGCATAACCCCCAACGTGCCGGGCACCCGTAGGGGAAGCCTCGTGCCGGGTGCCGATCTAGGTCCAGCGGCGACAGGTCGACGCCGGCAGCCACGGCTGCATGAGCTCAACTTGTTCCACTTCGATCTCAGGGAGTTGGTTAAGGATGTGCTGCTCGCGGATGGCGAGAGCCGCGTGTCGTACCACGAATACGCGGTCTTTTCGGCTCCCGACGCCATCGGCGAGCCCCATTCCCCGTCTATCATGTCTTCGGGCGAGGACGGGCTGCGCATGTTTCGGGAAGCTATAAAAGATGGACATGGTCTTGATGATGACGTAAGTTCAATTTCTTTCGTTCCTTTCTTGAGTTATTAGATCCAGTTCGTCAGACGCCCTTGCCTGTCAAAACATCAGGCGTAATAGCCGCACCGTTGCGAGCAATGTTAACGCACTATAGGGTAATTTCACACCATCGCCGAAAGGAAAGTCTCGTCTGCAGGGCAGAGTGAGGCAAGTCATCGCTGAGCGTCGCCTTGGTCCTGAGTCTCCTGATTCGAGTAGTGGTCCAGATGGCCTCTATCTTACAGTTGACGACTATGAGTCATTGGGACTGCATTCAGGGACTCTTCCCTCAGCCCAGCGAATTACTGTCGAGTCCATGTTCTGGAACTCACGCAGAGATAAGTTGAGTCAGTTAGCACGTGCCCAGACTAAGCCAACCGACCTTGACTGACCTACCCTGCTACAAGACCTTATACTCAGTTTCTCGAACCACCCACAACCGCCATACGATTTCTTGTCAATGGAGTATAACTTACGGTCTCGTACTACTACTGCACTGATCAGACGATCCTTTAACACAAGGTGGCACGATGAGGATGCGTTGGATGAGTACGAGCGCCGTTTGGATGCGAGTCGAGATCGATGGGCTCATCCTCTCGTGCTTCCGACTGTTCTACTGCAAGTACAACTCTTGCGCACTGAAGAGGCTGTAGTCTCAAATAACGGCGAAGTTCTTGAGTTGGAAGGCCGTGTAGACGATTTGACCGGAAGCCCAAGACGCGCTGCCGCTGAGGCTCGCAGAGTCTCGAACAGAAACGACAATGCGCCTTTCAGTCCACTTAGAAGACTGAGTACTTTCAAAGACTATGTCGAGGATAAGGTTGGACGACGTCAAGATGAACGGCCCAAACCCGAGTTTCTCGAAGAGCTCGACGACGATTATGTACCACCTCAAACCATCCACTTGATGAAGGAAGCGCATGACGTTCTTAAGGGCGCAATTCAGCTTCTGGACACGTTGCGTTGGATGGAGCGTGCAGTGAAGCTCTTGATCCAAGCAGGCGATGAAATGGATGCCCGGTTGACAGAGTTGAAGCAACAGACGGCGGGAAAGACAGGATCGGCGCCCACGTTTGACGAAGACAATGAACTGTCTCATCATTGGCATGAAATCCGACAGTACCTCGATTGCACCTGGCGGTTATGCACTTCCCTCGAAACAGACCGACGCATGTCGGAATTACGGTGCCGAGCTCAGATTGATATTGTAAGTCAAACAATCTTTCGATGCAATTTCTCGATCTAACCCGATGCAACTTGTAGATCTACTCGAAGATGGCCCAAGAGGACAACAATCTTAACGCCCGCATGGCTGTAGCCTCGACTCGAGACAGTTCCTCGATGAAAGCGCTTGCTGTGATCACGGCCATTTTCCTGCCTGGAGAATTCATAAGTAGTTTATTTGGCATCTCAATGTTCGATTGGGAATGGGGCACTGCTGGCGATGATGCACTTAGCAACGATGCTCCAGATGGATATCCCCATCCAGTGGTCATGCCTCTTTTCTGGGTCTACTGGGCATTTACGCTGCCTCTAACCATCTTCATCATCGTTTTGTGGAGGGCCTGGTGGGTGAATCAAGATCGGTTCTTCCGCCGACATTTGAGCATGGAGCTCAGCAATGAACGATACTGGACCACGGACGGTAAACCTCGTGACTTAGAGACCAGCTTTTTACAAGACTTCTTCAGCCTCTTCGCACGGAGTGGAGCAGGGAGTACTGCAAACAATGCTATTCTTGGCACAAATCGAAAGCGCACGATGAGTATTGAGTCGCAAAACCCAGGGCTTCCTAGACGCCTGGGAACTTTCAGCGCTAGTACCACTATCGGGAAGGATGGAGACGGCACTGGGAATGATACCAGTGAAGGTACTCCGCGTATGAGAACCATATCATTTGCTCGACAGCCTCGGGTAGCATCTCCGTCAAGAGTTGTCTAGCATACCACCAAGCTACTATGATAGATATAAGCTTACGAGTCCATGATTTAACAAGATTCAGATAGTGTTCTAAAATGAGCATTCATGTGTCAAGCTTCAGTTCTTACTTTGTTTTACGAATGTTCTATGAACGACCCTCCTACAGCGCTGAAATAGAATATCTTGGTGAGTCATAATGCGTGCTTTTAGTCATGCAACATTAAGTCAGCAGGAATTCAACTTTGGATGCGCTTGGATTTCTGGTCAAGCATATACCCATATCCATTCAAAAATTCCCCATACAAACTCTTAATCATTACTTCTCCAAGATCTCCAGAGGTATTCCAATTGCTTTGCATTGCTCAGATTCCACGAACGGCACTTGCATGCCGTTCCACTGCAGCACTCTCATGGTCGGCTGCTCTGCATGCACGGGCTCCCAAGGACCAGCGGTTTCGACTTGCGCCAGAGTTGTGTGATAGTCCCTGGCCCGCAAATATGCCTTATCTGGGTTCGGATTGCCTGTGCGGGCAAAGGAACTCCAGTAGTCTACTACGAGTTGTGAGAATGGCACGTCAAAGCCATCACGATCTATCTGTCCAGACCTCCTGACATTTCCAAACACAATGGTCTGCTCGCCTGCATGGCATTTATAGTACGCTCCGTCTGGATCCCCGTGAGGCCGGCTCGATGTCTTTGGCGCGTCGCACCACGTCCGTGTGTATCCTGAGGGATTATAAGTGCGATTGAACTGGAAGACGTAGGTTGACTGGAAAGCTTTATGCTTGGCTCCTGAGTATGCCTTGGCCAGGTCAAAGCAGGTGAATTCGCCATCAGATGCTATGCGGAGAGACGCATTCAAGATAGCTTCAGGGGAGGAAAAGTTTGTCAACGAGAATGGACCAGGAGATATAGCTAGGGAATAGTTATCGGCTAGGTTGAGCCCGTTTCCGACGTGCTCTCGGAAATAGTCACTGAATGAGGTGCCGTTTTGTGGGTAAGCGTCGGCATCGATGAGAACGCCCGATTCGTCACGGTTTGTCCCCGTCATTATGGACACGTTCGACGCTATTCCGGTCTTGTTGACAACAAGCTCGTGGTTTTGGAGATAGATGCCATCGACAACAGCACCGCTGGATCTGTTAGCTGTAGCGACTCGACACAGGCTCTATAATACTTACTTTGCGTTGGTGCTGAGATTCACTAGATCAAATCCGTCTATTTTACTGAGACACGCGACCTGATCAGTTGCATTGAGGCAACCGGTTTCGTTCAGAACTTTTCTTGTTCTATCGCGGTAGGCATCTTCAACTGTTGCGTACTGCATCCATCGGAAGTTGCTCCCATTCGGATAGCCCTGCGGGTCAGACTGCATGATGGCGCGATGAAAGAGTCCCTGGGCCTTGGGAGATCCTAGTAAGATGTGCGTGCCCTGTGCCCCGGCGGATTCGCCAAACAATGTCACGCGACTAGCATCCCCTCCGAAGTATTGAATGTACTTTTGTACCCACTCAAGCGCTGTAACCATGTCTGAGATGGCATAGTTTCCATTGTGGATGCCGTCTGGAAAGGCGAGAAAGCCAACGTTACCCACCCTGTAATTCACAGAGACAACGACCGCGTCACCTCGCGATGCCAGGTTGGTGCCATCGGTATTCGGGTTCTTGCCGGAGCCACTGGTGAACCCTCCACCGTACAGGTACACCATGACGGGTTTCAAGTAAGTTGATTCTGCTTCTAGGGCTGGATTTCTCCCCAAACTGATCGTCGGCGGTAGAAACGGAGTCCAGACATTGAGGAACAAGCAGTCCTCACTACTTCCTGATTTGACTTCCCCTATTGGCTGTACGCAGTCGGCTCCAGCGGTGATGGCAGATATGTTGCCGGTTTCAAGAAAGACAGAGGAATATGTGAAGCGATCAGGTTTCTTAGCATACCGCAACCCCCGAAACTTCCATGTGTGATAGTCACGGTATCCGGTAAAAGTGGATTGCGCAACAGGATGTGTGATTTGCCATAAAGTTGAGTTGTCTGAGTATGAAGAGTTCGATATTGGTGCGCTTTGCGTGCATAGTGCCGGCAATTGCTCCGTACAATCAACCGGAAAAACGTGACCCGTCGTATCAATGCCCTGACAAATGCTGTTGTTCCCTCTTTCCTGGGCTACCCAAAGTAGCTGTTCGGCCGAGATTTGGCTGTTGTACACAAGCGTTGAAATAGAGCTATTGAGACCAGCATTGAAATCGGCCGCGGAAGGATCCCAGAGACGTTCGCTCAACTGTGCGCAACTCTGACTTGCTACGGAGAATGCCTCTGGCTTGTGAACGAGTATCGCTGCTGTGCCGTTGTTTGGTGCGCCTACCAAGAAGTCAGCCGATGTGCCGTCGATACAAAACAAAAGAACTTAACACTCGCCATCAAGATAGTTTTGAGTAAGGATAGAGATTCCGCTGGCCGAGATTTGATAGGAAGTTGCGTGAACCAAAAAGGAATCAGAGAATAAGTGCAACACGCCGAGCCCGAACAGGAAACTCTCCGAAAGCAAGCCCGCCATCTTGAAAATGCGAATCTCCTCGAATAGCTTTCATGGTGACCTTTCTTCATGTGTGACTCTGCGGGGAACTCGTGTGTTGATATATAATCAACTTCGGGCCATGGGTACGTAGTGATCCCTGCTCCTTTAGGTTGATTATATTAGCCGGAGCTTCGGGAGGCATTCATTTGGTACCGCGACGGAACAGGAGGCTCGTGCCTTGCATTAAAGTAACCCTACACCCCCTCATTATGCACATATTGTGGGCTATCACATCACAGTGTACTGGTCTGCAAGCTCACTGATCTCTAGTCTTCAAGTATGAAATGATGGCGGCTTGATCATGTGCCTTGCGCCGCGGCATACGTTTTAGTTCGCTATAAAGCTATAGTAACGCATGTTCCGAAGGGTAACAAGTCACGGGATTGAAGCTGAGGTTTTCGCAAGGGTGAATCTATCTGAGTTTTGTGTTATCTTTACTGTTGATGGTTTGCAAACAGTAAGATTAGTGCAGCTTGTTTCGAGATACTGGCAATTTCCACTCGCTGGGGCTGAAAGATGATTCATACGTAGGTTTCTGGACGAGTTGAGCGGTATATCTTCATAAACATATACCGGCATCTTCACTGTGCGTGCATTATAGGATATAATAATGACACGCAGAATCCCACGAACTAGTAATTCATGCGTCTTTTAATCATCATTCCCGTCGTTCGTTTGGGTACCCTGTACGCGGCTCATTCTATGGTTAGCAGGAACTCATCGAGGATCAGGTGTTGGCTGCTTGTGGACATGGCGCATCGGAACAAACTGGCAGATGAGTTTCGTCAACACACTCTCTTGGGGTAACAAATCGCCAGAAAGCTCCGTGGGCTGTTACAATGTCGTTCAGCATCTTTTGGGAGTACCTTGGTCATTTAGGATAAGTCGATATGTCTACGGAGTGCAAGGTACGTAGATCTACGGTAGCCCCGCCAATTGACCAAACTGGGACTTCGCCGCAGTGTGGGCTGAGTAGGTGCCGAGGCCTGTTTGAACGGCGCACATCGTTTGCTGCTGCACGCAACCCCTTCGAGAGTTCAAACCAAGCACGGCTGGCGGTGCCAACAGCGGCTTGCGTTTGGGTTGCAATTACGTCTTGAACACTGATTAGCGGGCATCCCGGCAGCTTGTCGATTCCCAAGATCTCGTTGGCGCTAGTCCATTAAGTCGTTTGTCTGAGCTCTAGCACCTTGTACCTATAGTCCGGTAGCAAATCGTGGCAGGATTGGGGTGTCTGCTGTTAGTGAAGTCAAACGTTATCACCGAAGTGTAGCGCCACTGTCGTTGTAACCGTTGCTGTGACGAATGCAGGGATGAAGCCCACCTGGCTTCTCCGAGAATGAAGTCCAGCCGCCTCATGTGCGCTCTCCCATCATCCTTTACTCAATGTATTTCCGTTCTGCTGTCACAAAATGCTCAGAGTCAACGGCGCCAGTCATGTTCATCTTGAGGCGGATTCCCGGTGCAGAAGACCGTTCCGAAGGCGCCTGACACGTCGCGCGATTGTGAGCTCAGCCACCATCTTCATCCCTTGGGGCCCTGGCGAAACCCCAGAAACCCATTTCCCACAGCAGACAGTTGTGCGGGTGAACCAGCCTCGCTTCGTCAATCGCTACGACAGCCGTGAAATCCTGATTGTGGTCGATGGGAGCTGCTGGAACAGTGGAAATACAAGTAATTCATCCCAGCCGCCTTCCGGGGGATGCAGCTTCGTATACAAAGGCGGCTCGACCCTTGGACCAGTGACGACTTTCCCCTTTCTTCAAGATGGCACCGAGGTTGGAGGTACCATCGGATTTCCATTAGAGATGACAGGCCCAGGCGGTGAAATGTATGACCCAACTAGCAACAGAGCCAAGCTCCGAGCAGTGATTGCTGCGCTGGAATTCCGCCTCTGGCACCTCGAGGGATGACGCAAAATAGTCATTGCTACGGATCTTGAGTATGTTGCCATCGGTGCCACCGAGTGGCTTCCTCGTTGGGTCAGACAGCGATGGCGCACGGGCCGTGGGAAACGGGTGGCTAATCGCGATCTGTGGGAAGAACTGCACGGTGTTATCGAGAAGTTGCAGAAATCCGGGACGGAAACATCATTCTGGCTCATAAGGAAAAGGAGTCCAGCGAAGCAGAGTTCAAGAATGTTGAGAGAAGCCAAGATGGCAGCTCAAGATGCTGCCCGGCAGGTTGACGAGGTGGCGTTGGAGTTCACAAGACTCTCTGGCATACAGGTCTGAGATGACCTCGGGGCTTGGAATCTCCTTCACAATGTGCGGATACTGTGGGTCGAGTATCTTGATCTCGTCACACGTGCTCGTCACTCTTCACGTTCGGCCCAACGAACGCGGATGGTATTGATGGCAGTTAGGATGCAAATGCCCAGTCGGTTACACACCCCTTTCTAAAGTCATGGAGTGGACGAAAGATCGACGAAAGATTGTCCGGAGGAAGGGCCAAATTATACTGGCCATTGGATTATCCAGGGATCATTGGTTTACCACAGGAAAGAAAGCATGGGTTTCGAGGAGGCAATGTCTACCTTACTTCACAGCTGTTGCCTTTCGAGATGTTGGCGGAAGATTCGACACGCACTTGAACCATTCATGCTGTATACTCTTTCATCTTCTTTCTGCACGGTTTCATTTGGACTGGGTTTGTCCCAGACTGCCAGCTCGTGCGGGGCCAGGAAAAGTTTGCGGCGTATATGCTGTATTTTGGCATTGCTTGGTCACTCAGGTTGACGACATGAGCTATGCCTTGTGATGAGCATTGCAGAAGCGTCTCCGTGATTCCACAACGAATCGGTTTACGGAACATCATTATCAAATATGCAGAAAATGAAGTGACCAACTTAACACCAATGCCTGGGCCGGCATCTGGTTAATCTTAACTATGATCTGTCCCAACCCCCGCCTTAACTTGAACTTTGAAACAGAGTGATATATCGGGCCGACGGAAAGTAGACGGAACTCCAATTAGTAGTGTGCACCTAGGATTGAAATCAATGGAAACTTGATGCAGATCACTGGCGGCGGCATGAGTTTCCAGGTTCGGTGTCAACGTCGAGAAATGCAGTGTAAAGTAACGGGGTCAACAAATGTAGATTTGGCTTAATCACCGAAGACCCTGGAGACGCTTAATGGTTATCACGAACATAGTTGGAGGCTCAAGCATTGCGCACCCCCGGATTCGTGTGTTGTTGGGAGTTCAACAATGAAGCCAGCTATGAGCACGCTAGGCACACTATCCATTCCTGTCTACCAACATGGATTGTAACCATGGAACGACGAGGAATGGGGTTGGCTGTTGGCTCAGAGTAGTCTTTCTCCAACAGCATCCGCAAAAACATGGAGAAATTTCAATAAGTATGCTTCCTCGATTGAAGACTTCTGCTGTAATCAGACGACTGGACAAGCATTGCGACACTGCGCCTCGGCACAATCGATCACGAGTCCACTATCGCGCCAAAGGCAGATCACCCTATGAGCCCTTTCACCATGCGCTTCCGCAACATCATATCTCTCGAGACTTCGTGCAGGATCGCATCCTGTCTGGTGATTGTTAGCATGTGTGCATACTTCGCATTCATCATTAACGACCGTCTCTTGCCTCGTGTTCAGGACGACAATAGGGGCAAGGCCCAGACTATACTCGGCTTTCTTTCCGCAACCATTGCGGTGACGTTCATGGACGCAATATACATAATTCTGGCTGGCTGCCACACCACAAACCCAGCCTTACACCGTCTCTTGAACACCGTAATTAGGGCTCTGCAGCTCATACTAGTCGCACCACTAGCTGTGGTAGCTACTATTTTCTCGTGGGATTGGTGGCATTATTGTCAGGATGCGGGCCTTGATGACTTATCAAGAAATCTGGAAGCCTTGACCGTTATTCTCCTCATAGCACTCTGCTTGGTCGCAGGTCTCCTGGTATATATCCTCTTGCGACACTTACTGTTTGGGTTTGACGGACTCGTACCGTGGTATCAGAAGCATCGTGACAAGGGTACTCATCTCCCTGATGAACGGCAACAACCAGTTACGGTACCATGATGCAGTGCCTTAAGGAAGAGTGTTAAATGCAGAGCAGGGTAAAGGCCGTTGTGATGAGTCAGGCTTCAAAGCAAGACAAGTGTATCTCTCGAATCAAAACCTAAAGTGTCAAAAAACAATAAAGCTCACCATTCGATCCATCCTATGCCAACTAAAAGAACAAAAGCTCGTTTCCTTTCAAATAACGCCGTTATTAGATAGATTATTGTGTGTCTTGAATGTTCGTTCCTGTCACTGATACCTTCATAAAGTTTAGCCTGCGTGGGTTTGAACGGTTGCTTGTTCAGTCCATGTCCAATTGCTTTGACGCGTGTCAATTCATCGCCGTAACAACTAATTCTTCGAACTCCCAGAATTACTAACAGATGTTACATGCTAACACGAAATTTGCTGTCTAACCAACAGTACACCCGGAAACAGTCGACCGATACTACGAACGCGAATCGACACGGGTCGCCCAGACTTTCAAGCCCAACACAAGCCAGATACGCAATTCTTACCAATTTATTCAAGACTAGTCACTCTTCCGGGGAGAACCCTTTCGGTTTTTGAACAGATTCCCTTCATCCGCAGCCATGCCGCAAGCTAGAGAGACCTCCCACCCAATTTTCAGCGCGCTCTTCATTACTATCACCTTCCTCTTCCTTGTTGCGGACACAGTTCTGTGCGCCTATTCTGCAGCCTACGTTACCAACATTCTTCGACCATCCACCGACGCTCGATTTCGAGATGATGCTGACCAGCCAGCGCATAGCAAGGCTGTTGTCATCTACTTCATATTCGAGGCGGTCCTATGGGGATTCTCGGTGCTTTACTTCGCCTTGCAAAGTTTCTGCGGCACACGCACTTCCGACACGAGTGACAGGCACGCTTTCAAGATGAGAAACATGGTTTCGACTTGCATTGGTGTGTCGATACAGCTTGCCTGGTCTATTGTCGCACTGAAGAGCGTAAGCGACTGGTCGAGAATGCTGGCCCAAAACGATGGTGAACTTGCGAAGGCTTGCAAATACCTCATGGGTCTTATCAGCGTCAACCTCGCGCTAGGTGCCCTGATCCTCGTCTTTTGGGTCTTCATGATGGTACTTGCCATATATGTTCACTGGAGCATTTCCAATCAATCCAACATGGACGCACGCCAGTTGGAACTTGACCACCTCCCTCCTCGCGACAACTCTAGGCGTACCTCAAGGCTCGATGAAGGTACTAAAGCATAAGCACCACTGGATGTAATGCATATAAAGAGATTCCGATGGCTATGTATAACTATTTGTGACGATACCAACGTGTTGATTGGGTGCGGCTGGGATCAGTCAGAGCGCGGATATAAGACGGTTGTTGCCTCATGTATGGATAGGCATTGTCGCTGACAAATCAACACTTCCGGATGATTCTCTGTTTTGTCCTGAGATATGTTACCGTAGTTCTGAAATGTATTAGAGGATGTGTCATGCGAGATGGTACCACACAAGGCCTACGTAGACCTTAGCCAATGATATTACTCCTGAGAAGCCGTGGATTGACACAGAGAGAGCCGAGTGCCAAGTTGGGTTTGAGACGACATTCATCGAGGGTGGAGAGATTGTAAATGTACAGTCTCTGAGTAAATGATCGGTATGGCGCCACCCTGCTTATCTGATGAGACTTGGCTTGGCGGGCTGCCATCTACCATGCATCTGGTCTGCATTAAAAAAAGAAGTTGGAAACTCTTGGCTCCTCCTTCTGTGCTCTAGAAGTGGGGTTCATGTATTGGAAGATACTTTAGTGGTGTCCAAGCTTCCTTGTCATAAATATACAATAACTGCTCACAGGTTCTTTCTTGTTGATGGAAATTTTGTCGTCAAGGTACACCAGTATGTCCGATCCCTTTGTCCAAACAATTTCACAGCCTTGGTCATGTCAAGCCGAGCCCCCCGTATATTGGACATTTACATCCTGCTCCGCTGTTTTCTCACCAACCTTCAAGCTCCACTTTGGCTCACCTTGGAACCTCATTGTAAGATTGAGGTTGTCGATCCGGCGGACACCTGCGACAACATTCATACTTTCCCAAGGCACATCAAACTCGCAATCAATGGAACAAAGCTGCTTCACTGAGTGATCCTTCCGGACTGGAGCTTGGGCTGTGTCGCTTGTCATTATCTTGAAGGTTGCCTTCTTTGTGGAGGAGTCTCTGACGTATTGGTAAAAGTCGCAAGTTACCGGATCCTTATTATCGACTGTGTCGCCCTAAAACTGTGTGTCAGTCTTACTAACGCCAAAGGACTACATACCATAGACTCACCTGCTTGAGGTACCAATTCATTCGCCAAACTATCTCAGTCCCGTCCGGGTCCTTTGTCACTCTGTCACAGGACCTATCCACAGGTGGATCTGCCCGGCGGGTAGGCACGCCATTCTCCACTCCATAGTTGTATCGGGACACCCTCGCCGAGATTTCGGGTAATTGGTAGAGAGTGTGTTTAACTTTGGTGTCTGTAGTTCCGGAGAACTCCTTGCTTGAGAATGTGTTGCGGAGGACTGCGATAACAGCCCCACGAGCTACGACGGACCACCTGGAAAGACCTGTCAGCGAGCCAATATATATGACAGTGATCCCTTTACTCACGCTCGTGTCGGTTGCAATACGTTCTGGTGCTCTGCTTGCAGTCTGTTGTAGATGTATCTCGAGGAGCCTAATCCACCCACCAGGAGTATTTTCTTCGGAATATTAGAGACAACCCGGGCTGAGAAATCTTTATATCAACTCACCTTCGGCTCTTTGCCATGTTTCCTCATGATTTCCTTCTTCTGATCACTAATGAGCTGTCGGACTCCGTTTAGTGTCTTGGCATAGAACTGCCGTATGGTCTCTCTGCAACCGATTGTAAGCAGACAGGCTCTATCGTACATTTGCAGGGGCTACTTACTTCTTCAGGGAGTAGCTGTCATTTGTACCCCGCCACCTCTTGACCTTGGAGAATGCTCTCGCGGGTGGCCGAAGGGTGAATTCACTGTTCGTCTCGCTGCCCGAGAAAGCACGTTTCATGGTGTACTCCCACTCGTCGTTCACAAAAATTCTGAAGTCGTGCTTGGGTGCCTTGCACTGATCAAACTTGAGCCCGGACTTGTATTGCATCCATGTCTCAAATGCATCGTCAATCAAGAAGGCGCCGCACAATTTTCCTAAAAGGGTGTCAATTCACAGATTCAACTAGTAAGTCTTGACGCAGAGCCTACCGTCACCCTTTGCAGCCTCCTCGAGCCGGAAGGGCTCGATAGATTTTACCTTATAGCTGATGATATCCTGTGAAGCTGGGTCAATATCCGTCTCATTTATTGCTTCAGTGTTTTTACGAGACTGGGTAACTTACTACTGTACCTCCACCACAGTCGCATACGATGAAGACCTCGCCAACCTAGTTGCTGTTAGCTGACACCGCTCCAACGAGGGTTAGATTGAGGACCACAAGAACTCACGCCAATCTCAGGGTATTTCTTTCTCTCAAGTAGAGTAGCCAAAGCTGCAGCCTCAGGCTCTTCTACCAGATCCAGCCTAGTCTTTCCAATCGGTCTGAATTGCATTATGCCGGCCCTTTGTGCGGCTTGCTTCATCTTCTCACGGGCATATTGTGGCCATATAGCAGGTATAGTGATGGCGACTCGGAGAGGCAGGGCATCAATATCGACCTGAGTCTTGATCTCGCTCAGCGTATGGTCCCAAATCTTGCGCAGATAATCTGCGATGAGATCGACTACATCCAACGAGCGTTCGGCCAGCTTAACCCTTGCGTCTGCGAGATACTCGGAGTTTTTGACGTCATCTTTGGTGTCCTTGGCCTCGAGGAGAAGAAGCTTGAACCATTTGATGGGCAAGGCATCCCGTGAGATCATGTACCCAAAGTGGTTGGCCGCGAGATCGTACTGCGTCGGCACTTGGATCTCATCCTTGACTTGTGACTCAGCGCATGGCCAGTGACTGACTTCGTGGATGAGGCCAGGATCTTCAGAGTAAGCCCACGAGACACCCGAGAACCTGGGGTAGGGTCAAACTAGTATGTTCATCACTGCGGTATGGAGAGACTCACGTTGTACCGAAGTCAATCCCTATTGCGATGAACTTTTCCGAAGATTTCGAGGGTATTTTCGGGGGGGTAGTTCGGAATGGCGGGCTCGTTACACTATAGATCGGAGACCTTGGAGCTGGCGAACCTGGAAGCTCCGCAATATCAATAAGATTGGGAGTTGAATTCGGGTTCATCAGAGGCCAGATATTGTCGGACATGATACCGACTTCGAACACTTTCCTTTACCTGTATTGTATGTATGTTGGGCTGGGACAAACTGAAGTGGGTGTTTTCTCATCATGCAGCAAGGTTCAAAAGGAAATGGACGACTGGGCTCTCTGGGTCCGGCAGTGCAAGATTTCAAAGCTGAGATTTGGGTTGCCTCAATCCCTGGAAACCTTGGATGGGATTATCATCCTGGAATGCAACCTATGTTGACGGCTGAGAGAGGTGGCTTACGCCCCTTCAGGACTGGTCCCAGCCTCGCCCCTCAGCGTCTCGATTCCAGCCCCTGCAACACCCGCGATGCTTTCACTGCATTCTATTTCGCAATCACCAGGGCATTATTCTGACATTACTGTTACCTGCAACGTACTCCGTTCGACCCTAAGGTAACTCCTCCAGCGGTAGGTTTATCTTGTGCTGGCCGGGAGAATGTGGAGACACCCAGACCTCTGACATGGAGGGTCGGCAATGTCGGTACGCCTGGAGGAAAGCCTTGCGTGACAGGGTCTGGACTAGTCATCGCAGCATTGCCATGATAGAAACCGTCCACCAATCAAATCATTGCCGCCGTGAGAGTTGGCGTCTAGATAATGTGCAAACCTTTGGTGGCTTGCAGCTCAACTCGAATCCTGCTGGTAGGAGCCGGCGCGGCAGAGATTGAACTGGATAATCAGACTAGATATTGCGGCTCCAAGCCAATCCTGGGGTTGTCTTGACTCACAGCCTGCCGCTCGGGTGACTGTCAACCCACGTTTGCAGGGGCTATTGACAAGCTGAGCTGACTTCTAGGCCGATCTGAGAACAGCCACGCTTGTCCCATTGGTCGGGCGCGGGATGGCAATTGCGACTTTCCATTTCGGTGTGAAAACCCGCATATGGGGGCCGTTTGAGACATCACTTTTCAAAGTCGCACTGTGACAGCCTTGCGTCTTGGTGCCTAGTTGAATCCCTCCTTTGTACCTCGCCCTGTCCAAAATCTCTCGACGTCTCACAACTTAGTCAACCACTGCCCTAGAATTATCCAATAAACAACGAAAAGCCCACAATGGAGAGGGATGCCGGAATGATACTGGTGATGGGTGAAACAGGAGTTGGCAAAAGTACATTCATCAACGCACTAAAACCCAACTCCGTAGAGGTTGGCCACAGTCTCAAGTCTGGTAAGTAGGCAGATTCGGTGCATGAATCAAGTGCTAATTCGACTCATAGTGCAATGTCGCCCTCAAGCCGTTCAGATCTATCTAGACGAAGACGGCGATAGTTCCGTCACTGTAGTTGACACCCCGGGGTTTGACGACAGGTACGTCGCCTTTGATTTCAAAGACTTGTGCTAACTGCAGTGGAAGCCATCGCCCTGACTCTGAGGTCCTTGCTGAGATCACCGAGTTTCTCGCTGCTCAGTATGCAGGCAAAATACCCCTCAAGGGGGTAATCTATCTTCACAGAATCCAAGATAACAGAATGAAAGGATCTGCGAGGAGGTATCTGGATGTGTTCAAATCCATCTGCGGAGAGGAGGCTCTTGCCAATGTCATGCTGGTCACAACCTTTTGGAACAAGGTACCGGACCAAGAGCTCGGTGAATACTTGCGAAGAGAGCAGGAGTTGATCGATGATTACTGGGCTCCATTACAAAACAAAGGATCGGTGATTGCACAGTTCGACGGGTCAAAAGAAGCAGCGGAGTCACTCATCCTGCAGCTGGCTCATCACCGGCACCCGGTGGTCCTAGATATTCAACGAGAGCTAGTGGATGACGAGAAGGTAATCAGCGAGACGAAGGCTGGACTTGGGATCAGCGAGAGACTTGAGGTGGATCTCAGTGAATGGACTCTGAGCTTGGAGAAGATAGAGGTCAAGTTAGCAGCCGCTCAAGATGAAGAAGACGCAACCAAAATCAAGGATCTCAAGGAGGAGAAGAAGGAGGTGGAAAAGATCATCAAAGACTTGGAAAGATCTAAAAAGCGCATGCAGAGCAGAGTTGGAAACGAGATGAAGGTTCGGTTTGACAAAGAGCGACGCCAGCGGATCCTGTCAAACAGCGTCTCCATCTTCGCCGCGGTCCTTAGCATTACGCTGACGGTGGTCAAGTTCGTAGCATTCGGCGGAATGTAGACTTCAGATACTTCTTCAAGCCCAGACGATGTCTTCCGCGGAATTAGAGATTTTAAATCCGAATACATGTTCTCGAACCGAGTTCAGCTAATGAGCGGCTCTGGCCAGGGTTGGGTGCGAAGTACCGAACGACACTGGGTACCCGGCTGACGAGACGGCCGGCTCCCCTGTAGTCTAGCCTCAGCCACCACTCTGCACACCATGAGCACACAAAGTACTCTTACAAGAGCAGCGTCGGGTCTCCCTGGCCACCGAAGGCCCCCCTCTCCATGGCCCCTCGGACTCCTGCTTCTCCATTTCTTCACGTCGCATGTTTCCTCCAATGTACTACTCTAATGGGCATGTTACAAACCCCTTTCCTGCAGTAAGTCATGGGGCTATGAGTGAACACTTAGTCCAAAGAACCGGCCGTCGGCACAGCTCTGCCGATGGGCCACGTCCTAGTATAGAGCCCAAGTACTCGAAGAATTCGTTCATTATGAGACTCAAGAAGCCTTTCAAGGGACGCAGCAAATTGGACGGCGTGGAAACTCTCAGTAGCGAGCCATCTTCTCCCAAGATGTTCGTGGATCCGAAAGACCTTGACCCGCTTCAAATGCAACCCGGAGATGAGGATCGGAACACGGCGTCAACTGAAGATGGCAATGGTTTGGATCTTTCCAGGGTTAATACAGACCCCGTGAACGACAGGAAACCATTCCATGTTCAGCCACTACAACTCAACAACGAGAAAAAACTGAACTACCCTTGGTCCGAAGCACAATCTGGTATTGGGCTAGACCTTGCGGGAAAAGACAGCGAGCTGCACCGCAAGGCAGTCTCAACCACCCAAGAAAGTCTGGAAGCGTTGGTTTTGTCTGGCAGACCGACACTGTATACTTCTCAGCAAGGCCTCAAGCAGGGACCTATCAACCCTTCGCAGCCACCAAAAGCACGCGGCAATGGCATATCGCCCCAGAGCAGTTGGCCGAAAGATCAGAACAAAATACAAGACTCCATGAGCTCACAGCTGACTCGTGTTCCCTTGGTGCGCAACGACTCAAGTTACACAGTCAAGACGGTAGCTGAGGTCATGACTGGACCGGATATGCCTGGACACATTTTCACACACGGGTCGGCAGAGGTCGATTCCAAAACGAAGAATGCCTCAGTCCGAGTCATAGAAGACGTGTCTGCGGTGAGCTACCCCTCGGGTCCGCGCCAAACCAACCCTACGCATGGGCCAGCGATGGTTCACCAGGCTGCCATGATCTCGACCAGCAGCAAGACACGTGACACAACGATCATCGTCACAGATACGGTCTGTGACACGTGCAACGGCCTTGAGTCCAACGTTCGCAAGCAGAGTATGGCCTTGAAGGACTTGGAGAAGGTCATAGAAGAACTTGAGGGCCAGAACAAAGAACTAAAGCGACAGATCCAAGAGAAAGGAGCAACAGAAACAAGCCTGAAGCACATAGAAGAACACTACCTCGCCCAGATAGCCGAGCTGGAGCAATCCAATGAATGGCTTCGAAATAAGGTCTCAGAGCAGGCGCTTCCGACTGGAAGGCAGGCGATCCCGGGTGTTGGTCTCCTTCCGGATAGCGACATCACAGAGAGGTGGCGAAAGCTGTCCTGGAATATGCGCCAACATGTCAGCAGCAACGTGGTCATGCCCTCAAAGTATCCCGTCTACGGCGAAAGTCGACTTGCTGTTCTGAACAAGATCACGCCAACATATACCCTCTTCTTGCGGTCTAAGAACGACCGCATAGATCTGGCTCAGGCAGTCATCTGGGACTACCTGGCAAATTACGTGTTTGCGTCACGTACCTGCTCAAGCTGGGGATATGGGTCTGGCAAATTCAGTGACCAACTCAAACCTATGAGTAAGCCAGTCTAACAAGCATTCAGCGGATGTTGTATTGCATGCTAACCTCGAGCGAAGCTGACAGTGTCTCGGCCGGCCACCGGCAAGACCGCAATTTCCACCTTTGGAGGAGTCAGACGGCGGCTCTCCTCGCCTCGTACGCGAAACCCGACGATGTCCAATCGCACGCGAGGAAACTTGTGGAGGACATCGAGAAGGATCTGAAGCACCTGCTGCAGAACTGGGGCAGCTGCCTGCGCAAGCAACTCTTTGGCCTCGTCATGGACGCCATCCAGCTCGACGTCGAACTCTCGCAGCAGAAGTCGTGGTGGTTCTGCGAGTACCCCGGGGTCTCGGACCGTCGCCATCGCTACGACATCGAGTTCCAGGGCGGATTGATGAAGGCGGTGAATGGCAACATCGACGAAGGTGCGACGCACGTGACGCTTATGGTCTCGCCTGCTCTCATGAAGGCGGGCAACTCGGCGGGAGACAACTACAACACGATAGAGGTGATCGTCGAGTGCTCGGTGCATCGGGGCAACCCGCGAATGCCGGTGGGCAAAGCGACCCCGGCGACTTCACAGGCGCTGGTGTCAGTGCGCCACGATCCGATGGCCTACCAAAATGCCCTCCGGGACAAGAGGAAAGCTCAGAGCGAGGCGGAGAGCCAGACACTCGGCAGCAAGATACTCAAGAGCATGGGTATATAGTCAATCAAAGTGTTGATGTAGAATGGTTGGGGACCTGAACATCAACTTCGGGGAAATCTCGACTCGCTGTTACTTTCGGGCTGGATGGTATTGTTGAGGACAGGTGTAATCAATAAGCCAAGGCAATTGATGTCCCATACTGCAAGAAATTGACCGTGGATTATGAATACAAGCACTTTTTCCTTTTGAAAGCTGGTCCGATGCTATTGCATGTGGTTGTTCACATAAAAAACTTGATCAGGGACATGTGCACCTAGATAGATGTAAGCCGGCTACGTGCGTCCTTAGGGGGAACTTTACGGCTTTTTGTCATGTGAAGCCCGTAATCGCACATTCCCCAACGCTCAAGGTGTCCTTTTCATAGCGATAAAACTGGACAGACTCCAGGCACCGAGATTTCGTGGTCAGTCTGGACACTTGAGCTGGTAAAATGTTGTTGAAGCCTCGCGATCAGGCAACCAAGTGACCCGAAGGAGGTGAAAGCCGCGTCACGGCTGAGAGTAGAGTGTCATCTCGGGGGGGAATTATGGATGCTTGCAAACGTGTCCAAAAGGGGCCGCCGATAGTTTCGTGGTATTTGAGAGAGCGATATCCACATTGGAAATGTGACCAGGAACATTGATTCCCTTGTCCGATCCCGTTTGTCCGTTAAGGGAGCAAGGCATCCAAGTCCAAGTTGTCAAGTCACGACCCTGCCGGCCTGCTGTGTGTCGACTCGTTTAGTTGGCGATCTGCGCGACCACAAACGGCGGCTGATCGACGCACGGCTCGTTATCAGGCCCCCTGCCCACGGTCGACTGCCCACCTGAGCTGGTTTCCCCCCTGTTTGCCCCTGGTCCGCCTGAGGTCAGGCGCGATAAGCTGAAGGGACTCAAGGGACGCCAAGCCGTGGGGTTCAACCGCGGGGAGGCACCGCAACCGTCATCGAAGGCAGCTCCAGCGGTTCCGTCAGCCCAGCAGCCCCAGCAGCCCCGCAGTACCGCAGTCTAACTAGTTGAAGAGCCCGCCGTTCAGTCAGCTGCCCACGCTACACTCGCGTTAGAGTTGCTAGGCTCCTGGTAACTCATACCTAGGTACCCTTTGTGCAGATAGCTTCGTCACCAGGGCATACCTCGAAGGCTATGTAACCAGGCAGTAAGTGAGGTCCAGTGCTCGCCCGCTCCCACGACGAACTTGCCTCGCCTGGCTTACTCACCAGCATCCCATCCCATCCATCCCATCCCATCCCATTCCTAGCTCCGAAAGAAACCTTGGTTTCACCCGTCTGGCCTGTCAGACACATGTTGGAGCCGAGTGCTGCCGATCCAGCCGGCCTCGTCAGTCTGCATTCCTGCCTTCTTTCTTCTTTCTCGAGACTCCCGGGTTGATCGTCTGCTCCACCGAGATCACACCTGCCGTCGACTTCGCCAGCAGTGGCGCTAGACCCGATTCCCGTCTTATCTTACAACCTCGCTGGCGAACAGTACCAAAGTCCTGGGCGGCACGATATCTCGGTGCTGACCTAAAACGATATACGAACCCTCGAAAACCCCATTCTTCAGACATCCGTCCTCGCGCCGGTCGCCCGTCATGTTCGACATATTCCCCAAGATCCTCAGCTCCATCGCCTCCTTCCTCTTCCCGCTGTTCGCCTCTTACAAGGCGCTCAAGACCTCAGACCCGGCCCAGCTGACGCCATGGCTGATGTACTGGTCTGTCCTCTCGTGCGCGCTCCTGGTCGAGTCCTGGTTCGAGTTCATCCTCGTCTGGGTGCCCTTCTACGCCTACCTGCGCCTGCTGTTCCTGCTGTACCTCGTGCTCCCGCAGACCCAGGGCGCCCGCTACCTGTACGAGACTTACCTGCACCCCTACCTCGAGGAGAACGAGGGCAACATCGAGGACTTCATCGCCAGCGCCCACGATAGGCTCAAGGCCGCCGGCATGGCCTACCTGAAGCAGGCCATCGAGATGCTCAAGACCAGGGTGCTGGGCCTGCCCCCGACCGCCGAGCGCGACGAGGACGTCCGCGCCAAGGAGGCGCCCCAGTCCTACACCCAGACGTTGCTGGCTAGGTTCAGCGTCCCTGCGGCCCGGTGGACGAGCGGCGTCGGCGGCGCGACCGGCGCCGGCCACGACTTCTACAACCTCCTGGCGGGCGCCGTGAGCGCCGCCACTGGGGCCGGTGCGCTAGGCGCCGCCGGATCCGGCGCATACAGAGGAGCCAGCCGCGGCGGAGAAGATCTGTCGGCGAGCGGGACCCTGGTGCCCGACAACATCCGCGGCGCCGACGAGAAGATGAGCTTCATCGCGCTGCAGAAGGAGAAGCTCGGGTTCCTGCTCACCGCCCTCGACAAGGAGGCTAAGGAGCTCGAGAAGGGCGAGCAGGACCGCAAGGCGCAGGAGGCCGCACGCAAGGACACGCGGCCCACGAGCATGAGCCTCGACGGCGGGGAGGCCACCGCGGCCGTCTCGTCGTCGAGCAGGCCGCAGAGCGGGCACAGCATGTTCAGTGCGCTGAGCAAGAGCAAGAGCGAGGTCGACTTCGAGAAGATCGAGGCCGAGAGCGGCGCCGAGGACGACGTCAACGACGGCCTCAGACACCGGCCGCAGGCTGCCAGTAGGACCGGCAGCAGCAAAGCCCCCTGGAACTTCCTGGGCTGGGGGTCCATGACGACGGGCGAGCCGACAGAGGGCCCGAACGAGCCCCAGGACTAGTACTACTAAGCCCCATGGGACGCCAACTTTTGAGAAATGATAGATACCTCCTTTGCATGCACGACGGGTTTGTGATTTTGGGGAACAGGGGTTAGGTAACGGTTCTGGACGGCGGCGCGAGGTGTTCTTACAGGTTTCCCCTTGATTTCGAATGAACCAGGCTCGTCTAGGTCTGAGCCGGTCGAAGAGTTGCATCTGGGCTTGGTCTCTCATGAAGACGGTAGAGAGGAGTGGGTGATGGCCTAGATCTTCAGCAGACGGCCGATGCCGCGTGTATCATTACTGCGCAATCCCAACATTCACTATCAACTCTGATATACTCGCCCCGTCTGGGTAAAACATCTGGCTCGCGAGTCTTGCACCAGTCTTCGCCCTACCGGCGAGGCATATGATCACAACGCGGCATACTGTGCATGTGGCATTGTCATTAAAGGAGATTGGTGTACTATTATTGCACGTTAGTCGCTCTGGCGGAGCAGCTCCCCATTCTAGTCAGGGGTTGTCTATCAGTGTCTGAAATTACCCGTATGTCGTCTTGTACATGCCTTCCAGGCCGCTTCTTTCTATCGTACAGTCCCTGCCCACAGAGGACATATCCTCTATACACTCGCCCACCACCAGACGTTACTCGTCCGGGCTAGAGCCTCATACACGAATGCGTCTGTAATACGTCCGGCCGGGTGGCCGCCCTGAGCAAAACTCCCAAGTCGTCTTCTTATAGGGTCGTCTTCTTGTAGGGGTACCGTATCTCGTCGTCCTTGCGCAGCCAGATCTGCTTCCTCTTCTTGGAGGTGGCGTGCTCGACCCAGACCTGGTGGGCGTGCTCCCTCATGAACTTGCGGATGAAGCGCGGGTCCCACAGCTCCGAGGCGATGCCCAGGTCCTTGCAGCAGCGCATCAGCGCGTTCGACTTGCAACCCTCGGCCGCCGTCGAGATGCCGTCATCGCTGAAGTACTGCATCTCGCCGCGCGCCTGGCCGACAAACCTGTGATTTCCCGCTCACGTTAGAATAATGCTAGCCATCAGACGAGGACCACTCCTCGCGGCTGGATTGGATGGTCAGAAGGGACGGGAATCCTTACCGGCCATGTGCAACCAGGGCATAGTCCCGATACACTATGCGCTCCGTCACAACCAGTTCGCCCCTGGGCGCGAGGCCCCAGCCGCCGGGCCCGAAGGCCGCGTTCAGCACGCGCCGGTACTTGATCTCGGGCAGGTACAGGATGCCATCGGGCTTGACCTCGATGTCGTCGGCCTCGAGCGGGGCCTGCAGCAGGCTGGCGACCTCGGGGTCGAAGGTGCTGGTGCCGAGGCCGTGGAAGGACGAGGCCCAGTCGATGGGGCTGCCGGCGTCGTTCTGCGTCGGCGGCGCGTCCGGCAGCGGCTTCCCCGAGACCTGCGGGATGCGGCGGTGCGTGGCCTGGCCCGGCGCCGGCGCCTCGGCGGCCGGGTTGGGCACGTGGTGGCCCGCCGGCTCGATCTTCCTGACCAGCGTCTTCTTGGCCGGAGCGGCGGGCGACGCCGCCGCCGGCTTGGTCGGCGAGGGTTTGGAGGCGGTCGCTGTGGCGGCCGTCCGTGACGAGGGCAGCGTCTTGCTGTATGTGCTCGTCTTCGGGGTGGCGGCGGACGCGAAGGTCCTCGGGGACCGGTGGGCCAGTCTGAGGTGCTGCGCTGCTATGCGCAGCGGCGTGGAGGCTCGCGAGGCCATTGGATCTGTCGGAGGGGGTGGATGTCTATATCACGGGCGACGAGGACGATAGATGGGCGGGCTGGCTGGCTAGCTGGCTGCGATTGAAGCTTTGGAAATTTTGGACGACGACGACGACGCAGGTTTGCCGCGCCGATGCGCAGGCTCGGGGCGCTGGAGGCCGCGTGCAGGGCCTGCGCGCCTGCGGTCGGTCGGGGCGCTGCGGGCCGAGCTTCTTAGTGGCTGCCAGTGAGAGAGAGAGAGAGAGAGAGAGAGAGAGAGACACACAGAGCCAAGTTAATGGCAGCTGGTGTGATGAGGTGATGTGACATTCATGAAGCTGTGAGTGCCAATTACGGAGCAGGCCCAGGAGGCAGAGTAGTGTCTTGTGATGCATTATAATAGCATACTCAGTTATGTATGTGAAGACGCCGTGTCAAGGTCTACGTTATGCGTCTTTGGTCGACGTCCTCTCATCGTTGTTGTGTTTTTTCCAGCACGCCCTGAATACCTCCATCTAGGCGCTCGTCAGCGAGCTGTTCGCAGGCAGCGTAGTGCGTCATGAGACTTTGCAGTGGTGTCTCGTGTCTGGCTGTACAGAAACGTACCTCTTCTTTGCACGCCCGCCAATCCTTCTTCTCGAAATAGCAGTCCGTCAACTTCATGTTCTCATCTAGATGGAATCCGTGTTAGTCCTTGAATGAGGCGGCTCAAAAGTGCATGGGCCTGGGCCGGCCGCCGCTCAATGTCGTACCTGCGCATCCGGTGCTGAAGATCCGCTTGTCCCTGCATGGCAGTGGCCCGCATTAGCCCTCGACTTCCATGCGCGAAATGTTGCGTGCTGCTCACCATTCGTCCGGTTCGTCGTCGGCCTCGGACGAGTTCGTCTGCTCTGTCCTCTTTTCGTCGTTTGACATCCTGGACGGTACAAGCTAGTCTGGGCTGTTTGTTGAGTCCAGCTCGGGGCCACCCACCGATCGACTTGGTGGGATATTTTAGCGGCCGTGGCGGCTCTGTGCGGCGTTACGGTTACGGTACGGGTCCCCGAGCGCGCGCAGAGGCGGCGGCCAAGAGGCGATAGATGACTTCCCTGCCTCTTCGACAAACTTGAAACTGCTTCGTTGTCCTGCACTTCGCATCCGCCAAGATTTTCTGCCTTCGGAGTTTCTGAAAAGGAAGTGCAGGAGTCTTGCATAGGTGCGGTCTCTTGTGCCTGGGCCGATTTGAAGGATCCGACAAGCCACTTGATCACGACTTTGCTCCTGGTCCTGCCACCCGGATCAACTACTATGACGGCCCGGAAGCTCAATGTCCTGGTATACACCGGCACTGGGACCACGATAGAATCTGTCAAGCACGCCATCTACTCGCTGCGCCGCCTTCTGGCCCCAAACTACTATGCAGTGATCCCCATTACCGAAACAACACTGCTCAAGGAGCCGTGGCAGTCTACCTGTGCCCTCCTTGTCTTCCCTGGCGGTGCCGACTTGGGCTACTGCCGAGCACTGAACGGCGCTGGTAACTCTTTGATTTCCCAGTATGTGCGCCGAGGTGGAGGCTACCTGGGCTTTTGTGCAGGTGGCTATTACGGTAGTCAAAAGTGCGAGTTTGAGGTCGGCAACAAGGCCATGGAGGTCATCGGTCCTCGCGAACTAGCCTTTTTTCCTGGCATCTGCAGGGGCGGTGCGTTCAAGGGCTTTCAGTATCAGAGCGAGAAGGGCGCCAAGGCTGTGAGACTTCACGTACAGAAGGATGCCTTCAAGGGGGCAGGCGTCCTCCCGGATGAGGTGCTGTCATATTACAATGGTGGCGGAGTGTTCATCCCACGTTCAGTCGGCGGCGTTGAGGTGCTGGCCACTTACGCCGATGAGCTCGACGTTGACGGCGGCGATCGGAAGGCAGCTGCCGTCTTCTGTACCGTAGGCCAAGGCTCGGCTTGCCTCACTGGCCCGCATCCAGAGTTCGCCCCTGAGAATCTCAGTCATCAGTATGATGTACCAGGATATGATGAGCTTATCTCCAGCCTCAAAGCGGCCGACGGCGCTCGGTCGACCTTCTTGAAAGCTTGCTTGATGAAGCTGGGCCTCGAAGTCAACCAGGAGTCGTCCACGGTACCATCGCTTTCCCGAATGCATCTTTCAGCAATGACAAGCTCCGAGGTGGACGACCTACTTCACTCGTTACAAGAAGCTATCACCAAGGAAGATGGTGAGGAGTATATCAATGGCGAGAACGATGTGTTTCACTTGGAAAGGCCAGACACTAAGTGGGACATGAACGCTCTCAAGAAAACCTTGTCAAATGAGAGTGGCAAGAACCTCGACGGCATCATTGATTACTCGAGCATACCTAAGCGGGTCATCATCCATGATGAGTCTTGGCCAGACACCAAGGAAACCCCCTATTTCAATCACCATGCTTTCTATGGCGGTCTGAAATCATATCGGGCAGTCGATCCCGACGCTGAGGAATGGGGCGACTACTTCATGTACGGCGAAGTAGTGACCAGCACCAACACACTTCTGGAGAAGAACTACAAACTCTTGTCGAAATTGCCAACTGGCTTCACCCTGGCTGCAACCACGCAAGTCGCTGGCCGCGGACGCGGTAATAACGTCTGGGTATCTCCCGCCGGTGCCTTGATCATGTCTACTGTCATCAACCATCCCGCACACCTCGCCCCGAGTCGACCGATCGTCTTTATCCAATACCTGGCAGCCATTGCCATAGTTGAGGCCGTGAAGTCCTACGATAAAGGCTACGGAGATGTGCCCGTGAAACTCAAGTGGCCTAACGATATTTATGCACTCGATCCGCGAGATAAGTCGGACAAGCCATCGTACGTGAAGATCGGGGGCATTCTCTCAAACTGTGCCTATTCATCGGGGTCCTATCAGATCGTGCTGGGTATCGGCATCAATACAACAAATGGACGTCCGACAACTTCCTTGGATGCGCTGCTCCCGAGCCATTTAGCTCCTTTCCGGATTGAGAGGCTGGTGGCTAGGATTGTCACGCGATTGGAAGTGCTTTACAAGCAGTTCGTCAAGAAGGGATTCACCAGAGAGATGGAGGAGAAGTACTACACCCACTGGCTCCACGGTCGCCAGATCGTGACCCTGGAGGCCGAGGGTGGCGTCCGGGCCAGGATCGTTGGCATCACGAGAGACTGGGGCATGCTTATGGCGGAGGAACTTAGAAATGATGAAAGCAACATGCCTACGGGCAAGATGTGGGCGCTGCAAAGCGATGAAAATAGTTTTGATTTCTTCAAGGGCCTTGTCCGGCGGAAGGTGTAGGGGGTGAGAGTAAGAACGGAATGCAATTCACTGTGTACTCTATTATAGATCAGCCGCATTGGGAATCGAAGAGTTGACCTTTGAATTCTGTCACGTCTGTTGTTGTCGCAGATCTTGTTTGACCAAGAAGCCCGCCATGAAGACAATTGCGTTGTCGACAGCATGTGACCTCGTGTTTCAAGTTGTCTCCGATTATTATAGGAGTCAGCTTGCCAGACATGGGCCTGGGCCGGTGCCAATTAATGCTGACAGGGACAATTCTGTTAGCCTATATAAACCCATTAGTATTCACTTTGCCAAAGGGTTATCATTTTTCTTCTACACGGCCCCTTTTCACACCATCTTTTGTAGCATAAACCAAATTAAGTTGTTCTGGGTCTGGTCCAGTACTTCAAACCATCATTACCCGCAGACATAAGTACCAAAATGGCTACATAGCAGACCGACGAGCAGCTCGTTGCCTCCACATCGGTAACCAGGTACATATTCACACGAACCTCGTTCGTCAAGCGAGAAATTCCACTCAACGAGCGAGAGATGAGTCGCTCAACTGGGCTGCCAGTTGCGCAGCGCTGGGACGAGCAGCGTTTCAGAAACGAGGCTGCGGCTTTAGAGCTCGTCAGCACCAACACCACAATCCCTGTCCCCAAGCTTCTCTCCTGGGGCAGGGACGAGAAGGGACTCCTGTTCCTGGAAACAGAACTTCTCCAGAGGTCCGTGTGTTGTGATACGGCTGGTGACCACTGCAGAATGCCAAAACTCCACGGTGCTACTACTGGAGAGTGTGTAGACTGCAGAAGAATCGCCAGGGACAATGCGAACCGATTCATTTATGACACCGTCCTGCCACAGCTCCAAATCCTGAAGCACAACACTACAGGGTTGAACGGATTCGTGATCCCATCACGTTGGGTCACAGACTGGGATCAGAGAGAGTTATGGAGTCCAAAGCGGTCCGATGTTGACGAGTTTGTCTTCTGTCACCTCAACCTGACAGCTCATAATCTTATGCTTGACTCGGAGACCTTGGAAGTCATGGCATTGATTGACTGGGAAGACGCGGGCTTCTTTTCCCCGGAGTTCCAGCAGTGGCGATATTTTCGAGAGGAGTTATTTGATTTGTATGATGACCACGAGTGGATTCGCAAGTGTATATCACTTATTGACCGGTAAATTGCGTTAAACAATGAGTTGATCCATTACATGTACACCCAAAAGTCGTATATCATCATTTTTCTTCATTCTACAATTAGTCTTTACTTCAGACTCTTACTTCATTCCGTAGCCCATACATTGATCCACGATATCTTACCCCAGCAAGATTGGTGTTCTTCCACAAAATCCAAGATAACCTCGCGACTTACAATCGAGCCCATTACACAGTGGTGCACGCAGCGATTTTGACCCGTCACAGGCACAATGTATCCACCCAGAAGCCAATGTCCCAGCGTGTCCCACGTCTGGTACCGGATGGCCTACGTCGGTACTTGCTGGTGAAAGCATCCGAATGTGTGAACCGTCAATCTGCTCTTTGTCCTTCACCACCCATCGGAGTATATTCACGAAAGCAACAACATCCTGGAATGCCGCTATTGAAATCTAGTCACCAGGTTGACGTCTGCATGCTCGCTGAATCCCCCGAAGGATATATTCAGGATACGAAGTCAAATCGGCTACGTCCCGCGATTCTGCGGCACACTATTGAAATCATACTGCATCTGGCCAGCGAGAGAAATATGCCTGCCTTCCGGGAAGGCAAGGATTGCCGATGTTTGACAACTACACCGCCTCTTTAAAAACTTCTTTGTTCCTCCCTGCATAACCTCCATGCAAGGGATGTTGACCTCTGTTATATCCTACGTCAATTTAAGGATGAACTTTCTCCACGTTCGAGTGCCAACTTCATTAACTGGTCCAGACTTTGACCGCTGCAACCCCAACACACCTCGAATATCTTTTGGCAGTTAAACCCCCCTTACAGTATCTCCATCGCCTTCCGAGTGTTCATAGTATGGCTACAATTCCGCCTGAGAAAGCTCCCAAGCCGGGTCTGAATATTTATGGCCGTGCAGCTGTGAACCCCGACAAGTTGACCATCGCAGCTGAGGAGCTTGGGTAAGTGTTCATCCTTCCAACATTGGCGGACTGTGTAGAAGTATGTATAAAACTAGTGTCGTACCAGTATTCCGTACAACTATATCCATATGGATATGCTCGCAGGCGAGCCGAAAACCGAGTGGTATGCTTCTATCAATCCCAATGGCCGCATGCCGGCCGTGGTACACATCAAGGAGGATGGCACGTCTGTCACAGTCTTTGAGAGCGGCTCTTGCTTGCTTTACCTCGCCAACGAGTTCGACAAAGAGCACACGCTCTCATACCCTATCGCTAAGCCCGAGTACTGGACACAGCTATCTTGGGTAAGCACTTGTTCCCAATCGGCTTTACCACATCCGCCTAACACCCGGCGCAGCTATCGTGGCAGTTTAACGGTTACGGCCCTATGATGGGCCAAGCAGCTTACTTCAATCGGTACGCAACTGCGCCGGTCCCATTTGCTAGCTGGCGTTTCACGTCTGAATGCCGACGATTGAACGACGTCCTGGATAAGCGCCCAGTAGGTCAAACAAAAGTCATTCGATTGCGGTTCGCGTCTTACCTGTGCTGCCTCCCCCTTCGTTGCCGGGGATCAACTGACTATCGCTGACTTTGCGGTCTTCATCTTTGCCCGCTCTAACAAGTGGTGTGGTGTTAACATTGACGACTATCTTAATGTTAAGGCATGGCATGTTAAACTTGCTCAGCGCCCCGCTTTCCGGAGGGGGCTCTTAGTCCCTGTACCATATCCATTTAGTGATGAGGCTGTTTCCGACCCCGAGAAACTTGACTTTTATTTGACGTTCCGAAAATTTGGGGGTCAGATGATTAAAGGGGCGACAGAGCAGTGACAGGCCGACGTGGTATCTGTACCTTCTGACCATGCCAACTATCAGTAGGCATTCCATGTCTCGTGTGCGTTATCGCGCCTTTCTAGAAAGAAGATTAAGAAGACTTGGAGGTAGCGGTATATCAACCACTTCAAGTTCGAAAATATTTAAAGTTCTCATCTCCTCTCGCCGCCAATCTCATCTAGCATCATAATTCTTTCAAACGTCCGCCCCATGGTGGGATTCTGTGAGCCGAAGGTACTGTTCATTCCAATTCGACGCACGAGGATAGATTATATGATTTGAGACGACATCAACCTGATTGCAGATTTATCGTATAACAGCCGTGGGCAAACCCTCCTCAGCTACATCATTACGGCAACGTGGTCATCCATGAACTTGCTAATGTCTCCCAAAAAGAGCGCAGCCACAATGGACACACCACCAAACGCGACGCTGGCGTAGTACACCCACTTATACGACTCAGCGTAGGCCACTTGCCCAGCTCTGACGACTGCGTCATACAGTGCTTGGTTACCAGCTATCCCGGGAATGTCAGCTATACGGTCGATCAGACTCTCCGAGGTAAGCTCAATGACTTCTGCGATGACTGCGGTTGAGTTGATGCCCGCTTCCATCAGCGTACCCCCAATGTGGTGAACTGCCGCAGGCCCAAACTTAGACACGAATATGTTGAAGTAAACGCAGTACCCAATACTGCCCCCAATCACACGAATGCTGAGAGTTAATGCAGCGACTGTGGCAATGAGATCATCTGGGCATATGATGGTAGTGATGATGGATGCAGGGACGACGATTCCTCCAATACCAAGTCCAGCAATGACTAGAATTCCCCAGAGTTGAGACAAGTTGTCGACATCTGCAACGGCAATGGCGCCACAGCCGGCTGTCATGAGGACGGACGATGCTATCATCAAGGTTTTGTTCTGACCCCTGAAGACTGAAAGCAGCACCAGGACGACGACAGCGCCAACCATGATTCCGAAGCCGACGGGGAGACCTCGGACACCAACTCCGATCGGGTCATGTCCGTAGACATTGAATGCCTGGACGGGCCAGAACATAAGAATCGAGAAAAAGTTGGCGCCTGAGATAAAGGTGATGACCAGTGTCCAGATCAGAATGGATGGCGCTTGGTTAAGGCGGCGTGGGAACATTGGGTATTGTGCGAAGTAGGCTTCCCAGACGACGAAACCTATGAGTAGAGCGAGTCCAAGTATCAATGGAGCGAGGACGTGCGCAGAAGACCACTCGTACTGCGTGATTATTAGCTTGTTGCGCCGTTGTTAATATGATTTTGAGCTTGGGTGGGGTTTACCTGATAACCACCCCATTGCATCCCAGCCATGAATAAAATCATGCCTGTGATACTCAAGAACCCTCCCATATAGTCAATGCGACTGAGCACCTCGCGTCGGCTTAGACCTTCCGAGTTGACTCTTGGTGGGGGAAAGTAGAATACCACAGTCAGTACCAACCCAATAAAGGCCCACAGTGCACAAAACAAGCCCAAGTATCTCCAAGAGGAGTGATACGCGATGAGTTGTGCCCATAGAACCGAGGGACAGAATGGCACGATGGTGAATATCAGAGCTCCGACGTATATACCTCGCTTTGAAGTTGGAGCTAATTCGGATGTGGCAGCCAGGGCCGTAAGCTCGTTGATACCAGCTCCAACTCCGGCGAACACCATGCCACCTATAGACAGTTAGTTTTTAGGTATTCATCGGCCCATATCATCTAAACTTACAGATGAAAGCATTCATATCTTTGGCTGTAGAGCAGATTATCATGCCCAGCACGATGAATGATGCACCTATCCCTGAATGAGCTTCATACTGCGAGAAAATAGCTGCTGCATGGTGCCAAGAGTGCTAAGCCACTTGCTGTAACACGCACAAATGTCCCGTGGGTGTAGGTGTTCTTACCCATGATAGCTACATAGCGCCTACCGAGAAGATCTGACATTGAACCAACGAAAGGGCAGACGGCCGCAAGCGACAGGAGATTGGCAAGCACAAACCATACCCAGCGATCAGTGCCACCGAGTTCCCCGTAGATATATGGTGGCACCTGGATATAGTGTCAGCAGTTGGTGCTTGCTGGTATCTGTCATATACATACGCCGCCGAAGAGGTATACAGGGATCTGAGACCCGGTCCATAGGAAAGCCTGACCAAAGGTTAGTCTGGTCCTAGCGATGCTTGAATTGCTCGCTAGACATACCTGGGCAACTAGAGCCATCTTTGTCTTATTGGTCATCTTTCGATAAAATGTCAATACTTCTTCGGATAACTAGGTTCGCAGTGACTTACGGGTAGGTCTTGGTGTGGAGCACCATCTCCTGATTTGAATACTTCAGTATACTTGGTCATGTCTTTCGCCATAGTATTCAGTGCGCTTACCTTCTGTTCGCAACCCATCTTTCTCGTAATAGTTGCCTTTGCCAGGGACATTGTCCTGGGTTGAAACATGTTCAAGCTGGGAGACTTCACCCTTTTCTTGGTCTGAGCTGGTGGGAGCCAGGTCTGATCCTTCCCCAGATTTCGTTGCCATGATCAGTTCAAGGGTATCAATGGTACGACTTTGGAGATAAAAGTATGATGGTATGAGATATATTTCCTGTGCATTTAATAAATGGTACGCCGGAATATGGGAAAGGGGAGATGCTGATATAGATGTACGGAATTTCTCGTCACAAACCCCGCTTCATAGCTGCAACACCCATGCTACTGGTTTACACCAGTTGTAGCAAGGCGGCGTCGTAAGAACACAGTCTAGCGTCAGTCCTACTATCTGTACGGGATATCGTTCGCTGACAATGACGCTTTTTGACTGGGATATAGGGGTAGTTTCCCCGCATGGCGCACATGTGGTGGGGGTGAGTATCGAGAATCTGGGGTAGATGGGGCTCGATGTAACGTGCAGCACGACCAGGGACCGAGGTATCCTTTCGAAATCGTCAACAATCGACGCGAACCATGGACCTGGTACGACCGCCATGCCTGGAACTCGATACATGCGGATAAGGTTTCCGCAGATGCATTTGTCGGTGACAAACCTATACGCTCGACACTGGCCTTCGGGGCGATGACATGCACCGTCAGTCCGAGTATTCAGACTCATGATTATCCCGTAATGCTATAAATTGGGTTGCAGGCTGCTTGTCTCAAATGTGAATACCCCGCAAATCATTTGCTCGTCGGACTACAAGCCGCGCCTTTTCGTACGGACCACAATTATCGGCCGAGTCCTGCGACATTCCTCCGCACATCTTACATTGTTGCGGGAGCAGCTGGCCTGGTAGCACCAACTTTCACTTGAGCATGCGTAATACGTTGCTGAGCTGAATGAGCACGACTAACTTTACTATATACGGGGTTATTATCGAAGTACTGCAACTTGAGATGTCGAAGGAGAGGTGCTGGATAGCGCGACACAAACAGCGATTTGAGAAGAATCAGCATAGGCCGGTTTCATGGATGAATGGCTTGTCCAGAAAGTCTGCGATCTCACTCGCCTCGTTAGAGTTCCAATTCTATTGCTATGAGGAGTTCTGTGCTAAAGACGAACTCATATTATTGGCGCATCCCTAGGCCACGCCTTGTACTGCAGTCTTAGATTCTTCGCGGGGCTGCGAATGAAGCAGCAAGTTCTAGCCCAGTCCTTCGGGCTATGGCCAGCTGTCCTGGTTTGTTTCGTTACTTTATTGGCCGTAGCTTTGTGCTACGTCGGGTCTTCCAGGGCCTTGTGGCGGACCAGTGTCGTCCCCCGTACCATCAACGGCAACCATTCGCTGAAGAACCTGTCCTTAGTATATCTGCGGCTCATGTCTTGGCATGAAAGGGTTTCCCCACTGGGAAGTGATGCATACTGACTTTGGCAGTATTGAAAGCTGTCAGGCTGAACCTAGCATCTTGAGCTAAGTTGGGTGCTAGGACTAGGAAGATGATAGGCGTGTCCGACTCTGCCTGGCTTCTCTTATATCACGACGGGTCAAATCAAAGAGACTTCCCAGGGCGTGTAACCCTGCCCTGACAGTTTCTTTTGCGCGTCTTTGTTCGAAGCAATCTTTCTAGTCGTACTCGGGCTGTTGAAAGAAGAACGCGAGGTTTATTTGTTGCTACATCGAATACCTAGTCACACTTTCGTTTCCGTCTCGATCTTCCATGATACGGCAGTACGATTCCTGAATCTGGGAATCCTGGAACTCCCGTTGCGGCTTAGATATGAGAAAGGCGAACTCGGTTGTTTGGGCCACAGGCAAAACTTGGATAGTGGGATTACACCGGTAAAGCCCCACCAAAGCCGCCCTAAAGTCAGCCCCCCCCCTTCCGCAATCGGCCGCCGACGCAAGCCGGCCCTAGTCCTAGTGCTAGTAGAACATTGAGAGAGCGTTGCTGGTCATTCACAGGTACGTACTCCGTACATGTAGCAGTTAAAGACATCTAAACTCCCGTCTGGAACTCTTCTTCGATATCGTATATCGCAAAGTCGACTCGCAAAGATGGCATCTCAACTCCAGAACAGCAAGATCTGCTTCATCGGTGAGTAATTGGACTGAATTATCATGACCCACGTGCTGAGAATGACCTTGCAGGCGGTGGCAACATGGCTGCTGCCATCATCGGTGGCCTAGCTGCAAAGGGCCTCGACAAGCAGAACATCTGCGTCTCGGAACCCTGGGATGTCAACCGGGAGAAGATGGCCGCCCTCGGCGTGCGCACCACAACCTCCAATGTCGAGGCGGGGCAGGACGCCGACGTTCTTGTCCTGGCCGTGAAGCCCCAGGTCGCAAAGGGCGTTTGCCAGGAGCTCGGCGCATCGTGGGCGGAGCGCAAAACCCTTCCTGTGGTTGTTTCCATCGCAGCCGGCATCACGCTGGTCAGCCTCGTCGAGTGGTTCAAGCTCTCCGACGGGCGGACACCCCACGTTGTCCGCGTTATGCCCAATACCCCTGCGCTGGTTGGTGAGGGCGCGTCGGGCCTCTATGCAGGCTCTGACGTGACTGCCGCCGAGAAGGAGCTTGTCACCTCCCTACTGAGCAGTTTCAGCAAAGCGACGGAGTGGGTGGATAAGGAGGAGCTCCTCGATGTCGTCACCGGCCTGTCAGGTATTTTCTGCACTTCAGACCGATTTCTCTCAAAACTGCATTCTAACCGCTTCGTGAAGGCTCTGGACCTGCCTACTTCTTTGCCATGGTGGAACACCTGGTCTCCAGTGCTACAGCCCTGGGACTCTCGGAAGAGCAAGCTACCAGATTGGCGAAGCAAACATGCTTTGGCGCCGGCAAGATGATGGTTGAGTCCTCAGAAGACCCCGCACAGCTCCGTCGCAACGTGACCAGCCCCAACGGAACCACGCATGCTGCGCTTCAGAGCTTTGAAGCTTCTGGCTTCAAGGACATCGTGGACAAGGCTGTCAAGGCAGCTACCAGCCGAGGCGAGGAATTGGGCAAGATTCTTGGCCAGTCATAACGAGGTCGAAACGATCCTGAAACATAGATATGTTAAAAAAGTAAAACTAAGGCGCTGGAATTAGAATAAGAATGGTGGACTGGTATTGCCACAGTCTATGCAGCTTCAATCTTAAGCAGTTTCTGACCAGGCTTGATCTCAGATCTCAGATAAGGCACACTTGTAAGACTGATCAACGCCCATCAACATGTGCAGCAAATCCTAATCCGCATCACTAGCAAGCTGAAGAAAGCAGTATTTATCGCCTGCAGGGCAACGGATAGTTATCAATCACCACGTAGTCGTAGCCAAGCTTAATCCATTGGTACATTCGCACAATGTGGTGTATCTCTTACGTGCTCTCTCCTTTCGCATCTGTCTGACCAAAACCATTCTTTGTGCTGTCCTTAACCGGCTCTACTATCCTCCTTGGAGGTTTGACCCATACCCAATCATCATCGACAATATCGCTCCTAGGATCGTTGATGGCCGCTATCGCCTCTCGAAATTCCTCAAGAGTTCCTGGTTTCGAGATGCTTTCCAGCCACTTCTGGCCGTCTTTAGAACTTGTCGACCAAAAATTGAGCGGATTCCAAGTCCTCCTACCATTCGAATTCTCGTTGGGTGGCATGGTCAGAATGTGGAAAAAAGAAATTGAGTCGTACTGTATGCCGGTAAAAGCTCAAATCTCCACGTCTTCATTCTCTTCTACGTAGACTGCCAGTCGACTTTTTAAAAGGGCCGGAACATATGTTTGAGTGACACTCGGTCGAGTGTTGTCAACGGCCACTTGGACTACACGTGACGAATGGCGAGTTCCAGCTAGTCAGTCAGACTCAACGGTGCTCCAGGTTGCAGTGCTCAACTAATCGTGGTGCTTTACTCATGGGCAGGAGGCTTCGTAAGAGTTGCAGAAGAATTAATCTATACCGCCTGCTGAATAGCCAATGACACCACTTTTCTATTCCTATTCCTTGCTGTTACCCTCTTTGATACCACGAAGTATCAGCCAACACGCACTGCCGAGCAAAAGACTGTAGATAACATTGATCGGCCTCATATTTCCTCTAATGGCTGTGATTGCCGTGATGACCTTGGGCAACAGTTGTACTACAGTGAATTCAAGGACACTTATCAACGTTTGATTTCTCCCTTAACCACACGGTCCCGGTACTTTCTGCAGCCAATTTATTCTGATCGTTCTTGCCGTTGCTTTTGCGGTGGCTTTCAGTCTACATCCTCAACTTGCCACCATCAGCTACCATGGGTCATCTGCCGTTATCTGACGTTTCGACTTCTTGAACTTTGCACCTGGTTGGGGTGCAATTTGTCTATGTTGTCTGTGGTATCGTTAGTATCAGCAATTCAGTTGCGATCACATTAGAAGCTGAAAGAGGGAACAGGAAATGAATACAGCCACTTTCCCTCCGAAGCTCAAGGCACGAATAGACCGGCGACAGTCCGTTGGGCGATTATATTACTTACGCCCAGAAATGCGCAAATTTGCATTGCTCAGCTGATTTGTTGCATCGCTCACCATCTGCCCAGAAACAGCAGATCAGTGGATCTTTCACACCATCGGGGATGTCTTCATGAAGCCATGCGCATAGTCCTTGTTCCGATTCTCGGCACTTAAAGTTGGGAGTGGACCACCACGGACAGACCACATCCGTCCGCCGTGGTTTGGTTTCATGAGTTCTCTGAGCCGAAATGTCGCTAGACAGCCTAGGCCAATGTGGCTCGTTCAAGGAATGCGGCGAGGCAGTAGAAAATGTATGACGCGGCCCCCTCGGAGGTTTGTCTGCGAGCCCCAGGTTCCTTTGTTTCCCATGTTAGCCTGGCACTGTGTATCATGTCAAAATGATGGGGAGAACTTGCCCAAACCCGTCAGTTAATCCGTTGGATGGTAATGACACAGGTGTGTCCTTGCCAAATACAGTAGAAGCAGTAGAGTTCTCCTCAGAATTAATAAGGGATACGATCTGCTCATGAGTAGACTCTGAGATGCGCCCAGTGCCAAGCAAGATCCCTAAACCCTGCATTCAAATCAGTTGTTATGAGCTAATGCTAGAGATATACTCCTTAGGATAACCCACTGTGTAGAATTGACTAAGGCCTCGGGAGACCATAATTTCGCGCTGGCGATCCATACTACAGGCTACTCTTAGGCAGTTGATAGACGGTGTGGAGTACGCCCCGAACCGTCCGGTCGGTAGTACAGCAGCTAGATGCGGCCCTTCAGATGGCTGCAGCCGGCAGGGAGCACCGGGTCAGGTGAATGGCAGCCTGGACACCAACCAACGGTCAAATGAGTTATCGCGGTCAAGGCCACATACCAATACCTGGAGATGACACGAGGTCATCCAGACAGACTGTTTGTGCCTGAAAGCTCTGACACTTCAGGATGGTCACAGACCGTTTAGTGCCCGTATGTCACATGACCTTGCTCCACTGAGCAACTTGCCGACTGGGCCGACCAGCAAGGGGGGGTTTAGCTTTGGATTGTTTGGCTTTATCAAGAGCGCTTTGTCCTCTTCGATAGCAAACAACGAAACGAAGCATTGGACAAGCGAAGGAGGGTGGTCCTGTGACACGCGGCTTCTACAGCCAATGTGCTCCCCCTTGCCTTGCTACTCCTTCCATGGCTTCAATTTTCATCCCTGTAGACCGGAATTTCGCCTCCGGCGTGTCCGGAAAATGACCAGCCAACACGGCCAACCCGGATTTACTGCATGTCGGGATCCTAAACAGGGACATACTTTTCATGCTTGTATCGCATCCCCGCGCAGCACGCATGTCTCGTTCATGGCTTCCGGGGATAAATTATTGCACTGGGTCGAATTCACCGGGGCGAACCTGAAGACATAATACAAATGAATGTTAATATTAGAGAAACTCAAGTTCTATCCAAGGAGCACAGTAGCGCTGAAGGCAGCAGCTGTGTGCTACCGGGTTGGTGTCTCACCAAAGACTATTTTACCGGACAGCATTAATATACAAGTATCCGTTTGCAACACTACGACGCAGGCTCAGCACCCTGAAGATAAATGCTGGGGAACAGTCCGCGCTGCCGAGCGACACTGCATTGGCTGTTCATTTCCAAACGCTGGCACTCTCTGTGCCCTCTCTTTTCCCCTCTTGGTACGTCTCGCTCAAGTTGTTATAGAGAGCCTTCACCCGTGAAACCTCCTCAGTCCACTTCTCGCGCTCGGTGCCATCCGGAATCTCTGCAACAAGGTCCGCAAAACTCTTCGCCGTAAAGAACTTATTTCTTCGGTTGTAAAGATCCCTCTTGCTGAGGCTCTCCTCCGTATCCCCTTCCACCTTCACACGAAAGACTTCCTCTAGAATCTGGATGTCATACGGAATGGCAAAAAGGTCTCGGCTGTCCTCGTAGGTGAAAAGGTAGTAGAAGTTGTCGAAGCCAGACCAGGTGATGCCACTAAGACACAGAGAGCACGGCTCGTGCGTGGCCACGAAGATGCAGTCTTTGGTATTTGGCCGTGGAGAGCCGTCTAGGACTGTCGGCGATGAAAAGAACTGCTGGATGCAGTTGATCTCGCCATGGAGCAGCGGGGAAACGCGCTCGTTGTTAGTGGCGATGGTTAGAGGTGCCAAGCTTGACTTTGATAGAATGGCGGCACCAAACAATTTGCTCCCAGACGAGACACCCTTAGCTGTCAACGGTACTACGTGATTCTCGATGATAGAAAGGAGGGCGCTCAGGAGACTGGACGGGTCATGGTGTTGAGCGGCCATGATTTGCAAACAGATCAAGGTACCGAATTATGCAGCGCAAAGACGAATGGTTTGGTCAATCTCAAGCTGGTCTAAAAGTGTTGGCTTAAAGCTATATCAGCCCCGAAGCGGAGTCTGCCGAGATACGCAGCCCGCTTTGCTTGGCCGGTGATCTCCGCTAGGTTGGGCCGAACACGGAGTACTATCTTCACTCGAGCCTGGATATACAGGCTACAAATTTCGACTTCCAGTGCTGAAGCTATCAATAAGATCTTTCAGCTTGATATTCTAAGAGGTTGAATGTCTATTCGACGTAATTTTGGAAGCCAAGTATGCCTTGTTCTTTAAGCGTTGACCACAACGAGAACAGTGATGCGGTAAACGAAGCATGAGGTTCAAAATTAGAAATCAATACTTCATTGAATTCAACTTACTCTCGTCTATGTTACAGGCGATTATCCCTTGCATTTTAATCCGGGTGGTGAGAGGTGAAACACCCCCTACGCCAAACTTAAGATAATCTGACGGGAGTGTGCTCACAATTTCCAGTGGGCTCATTGATTCTTACAGTTGCCCACTATAGCAGTGTACTCAGTGATAAATTAGACGTTGCTGAGTGAAGAATATCCGCCCGCCGTAGGAGACTGGTCATCAAGACAATTTATAGATAAACGATGAATGTGGTATTATGCACATTGTAGAGTAAATGCATCCAATCAGTATAGCCCTAATGATTACATCTTATTCAAGAGCATAGCCAACTATTAAGGCATAAATCAAGTCAAGATAGTGGCTTAGTATTATCTCTACCTTTGTGGCACACCCGCAGCGTAGCATAGCTGCTGCGAAGGCTACATTTCCTCCCACCTAAATTTAACACCATCCTCTTTCGACAAATGTATCTGCGTTGCGTTAGCATTGACGAACTGAATATATATCAGGCAAGACTTTACATACCTCGTCGTCACCGCCTGCAGTATTGCTTGCTGAAGCAGCACCGTGTGCTTTGAGTAGCTCGATTATCTCGGGCTTCCCCATGGCTATGGCTACGTCAAGTGGCAAAGTCCGCCCCGACTGGCTCACATTTGCTCCATGCTGGAGCAGTAATGCCACCGCATCCACATTTCCTATCTGCACCGCCTGTATGAGCGGCGAACGACCCTTCTCTTCGTCCATCAGGTTGGCATCAGCCCCATGTTTTAGCGCCATCCCCGCAAGTTTCCATAGCTTTCGTTCGAGTGCGTATGAGAGCAGGGTCGGCCTGCCGGATATCTTTGTCATACGCTGGTCCGGATCTGCCCCTTGTTTCAAAAGTAGTTCCGGTATCTTGAATCTCGCGTTGCCCGAAGTAACATCGACGCTGTCCCCAGCATTGGCCAAAGAGTGCTCCAGCGCCGTGACTCCCCACAAGTCCATCTTGTCACCTCGAGCCCCGTGGTTGAGGAGAATCTCAGCCAAAGCCTCCCGATTGGCGGTTGGTAATTTGGTATTTCGCAGAACAGTTGTAATCAAGTATGATCCATATATGTCCCGCGCATTGGGGTCAACCCCACGCTGCAGCAGAGCCTTTACAAGTTGGAGGTCGTCGTGGTCGACTGCAGTGACGAGCAATGACTTGCCAGACATGTCGCAGGCGTTGGGATCCGCTCCCATAGCAAGCAGCTCATGCACGAATTCATAGTGCTTCTGCTGCACGCAGATGTGGATAAGGGACGTGCCAGTCGCGTCGCTAGAGTCGGGCTTTGCACCGTGGCGGAGAAGTAAACGTACGACCTCGTCACGGTCTTCAACATTCTTGCGCTTCTGCATTGCCAGTATGACCAGAGGTCGCCCAGACATATCTTTAGTGGTGGCATCAGCGCCGTGCGACAGCAACAGCGCAATCCATTCCGGTGCCGTTTCGCCGGTTACCAGCGCCGTGAAGTATGGCTTGCCCCATTCGTCGCTCTGGTTGGCAGCGGCGCCATGTCTAAGGAGCAACTCAGCCATTTTTCTGTTTTCGGAATCAATTGCATGGAACAGAGGCGGTTTGCCTTCGCGGCCAGCATTACAGACGCAGTGGTCGGCCCCAGCCATCAGCAGCATCTGGACGGCGTCGAGCTGGCCACCAATTATGGCACATATGAGGGCAGTCTGGCCCTTTTCGTTTCGCCCGTTGATGTTGGCCCCCTCGCTAAGCAACGACCTTATCTGGACTACATTGCCCGTCATGGCAGCGTGACAGAGTGGCACTACTAAAGGCTCTGGCTTGGCCCGGAATGCGGCGGTGGCAGCCATAAATGGCCTTGCTAGAGAGCTAAGAAAGCCACTGGACGATTGGTTGTTGCTGCTGCTACTTCCACCGACGCCGTCGCCTGTGTCCGCTTCGCCGGAGCCAGTATTTGAGTAGACAGAAGTGGACGGTTCATGAAAAGGCGGAGGTAGAGCCTCTCTTGCAGCATATGCGGGAGGTCTCATGTCAAATGCATCTGGTCCCGAAGACTCAGTGTATCTGATGGTATCTGCATCTAGGAGTATACCGGCTGACCTTTCAGTATCTTGACACGCCGATGATACTGCGGCTAAGAGCAGTCTGGTGTCCTGGCCCCCGAGATGCGCTCGTTCACTCTGTGCAGAGCCGCTAAACACCGCGGCATGTTAACGAAACACTAATTGAAAGAGAGACAATGGTTTGATACTAACCTGGAGGCCAATTGCGTCGCAATGAAGAGGAGTCTCGCAGTCGACTCCGCGAACAACTCATACTGCATGATGACTGCCCTGTTGATTGCTTCTCTGGGTGTGCCCTTTGCGAGTCTCATAACCTGTTTGATGACTATGGATGCTGTGGCATCGCATTTTGACAGCTGGGTCGATAACGTTGCTTTAAATTCATCTGATAGAATCGAGTGCGGCTGTAGTGCTTCCTGTAGCGAGGCTGCATCATTGCTCAATTGTTGTAATTTTGTCGCTAATAATCGTAGGTTCTGCAACTCTGCTGTCTCGGCCTCATTAACCCTATCAACTAATATGTTCTCGATCTCCTCAGCTCCAGACGAGGCCTGTTTTGCCAGGCGCAAGCACGTTGCGATGAGAGCTGTCGCACCTGAATTGCTCATACTGAATTACGTCGAGAAGGGAGTCTATAATCAATAATTATAGTCTGTCCCACTCATCAGACTTAAAGTTGGTTAAAAGCTTGAGACCAAGGTGATGCTTATACAGCGTTTTAGGCAACAACAGAGGCCTCCAACGATGTTCCCTCCCCCAGTCCTAAAGCTTACGCAGCGGCTGACGCGTTGGGGAATCCTGCACCGCAGCAAGAATTGAACAAATAGAACCGCGGCAGCATGCCCCGCACCCTGGATAGGCTGCCCAATATCTGACGGCTAATAGTGACGACTATTGTCGTTGATCTGCCTGGATTCTACCATACCAACACCACTGGTGGAATCTTTAACACAGCGGTCCATGTTCTTCAGGCTATCAGAAATCTGAACAGCGTCCATGGCCAAGCCAACTGGTTTTGGAAATTGGGCCGGGCTGTTGGCTGCAGGTCCTGTTGCATGTCATGCAGCCGTACGGCACGGATGGAAATCTAGCCCATAGGTCATTCCTCTCCTTGTTTCTTTCCTTACCACATAGATCACAAACGGGCTGAACATACTACCGACTGAAATTATTCTCTATCTCTCAATTATGTCGCAAACAACTGCTCCCCAAGTCTCCAAGAGAGGACCTCCGGATACAATTGTCTGGCGCTTCAATAACGACCCTATGCCCAAAGTGTCGCACACAGGCGGATGCCATTGTGGTGTGGTTCGATTTCGGATTCAGCATGAGATTCTAACACGGCAGCCCGGTTATCATATCCCAGTGAAGATGTGCGACTGCAGCATATGCGGGCGTTTGGGCTACTTGCTGATATACCCACTGCGCGATGAGATCGAGTGGATTAGCGGAGAGCATGACATGGCAGAGTACAAATTCGCGACAGAGAGGAAGGTTCACAAATTCTGTAGCCGGTGTGGTAGCAGCATCTGCATGGACATGACAGGGTCTTGGAACTCGTGGGCAGGAGATGTCGTCGGCATGAACGTAAGTGGGATGTTTCCGGTGATGAACGTACGCTAACTGGACGACCATAGGTCCGTATGCTTGATGATTTCGATATTGAAGTGCTAAACCTCCATAAGAAGAACGGCAAAGATTTCGAGCCAGGTACATAGTGCAACGAGATGGATTATCCTTGGTTGTCCATTTACGTTAGTTACAATGAAGAGGCTTCGGTCACCGGGTTCAACGAATATAATATTTATTAGCAATGGCCCCATGCAGTCTCCCCATGTTGTGTCCAAACTGGCAAGGTGATCACCAAGGCCCTTTGCTGACTGTCGCTTTCGACAGTGTCCAAACGTCCGCATTTTGGAAGCAATACACTGAATTCGATTATGACTACTGGTCTCTAGATCGAACTTTGCGAGGCAATAGGCACACCATTCATTTCAAGCCCAGGTGGAACAGAATTCGACAGTTTAAATAAGGATATCTTGTTTGCATCTATGCTAGACGAAGCTAGCTTTTATGCCCGTCCCAGTGTGCCCCAATTCATCCCATCCCAAACGCCTTTTGCAATCGTGATCCGCGTCGACCTTTCGTTGGTTGATCCTACAGCAAGCTTATTTCTTCCACTGTCCAGCGTTCTCGACCCCCTTGGCAACATTGCTTGCTCCCCCTTCGATACCCGAGCCGACCGAGCCGATTGCATCGCCAACAGGCTTTCCAGCGGATCCGGTTGCGCCGGTGATAGTGTCGCCGACACCTCGGCCTGCCGCTCCGGTCACGTTTCCGACGGTTCTTGCAACGCCGCCAACGGCGTTACCAAGAGAGCTGGTGACGAACTTGGCTGCACCTGTGGCGCCCTGGTTCTGGTTGTTGTCAAGCGGCATCGTGGTGGTTGGTTTGCGCGTGGATTTTTGGCAGCGGATGTTGCAGGTGTTTTGGAATGCAGTTGTTGTCCTTGAGAATGGGTCTGTCAGGGTTTATATATCCCTTTGTTGAGCTGTACCGCCAAGGTGCCGATTCAAGTTCTCGACTTATGACGTCACAGGTCAATGCCAGTCCCTCACGCGCCATCCAGCCTCAGCCACGACCAAGCCCGGGTTTCTTGTTTTGGCGACCTCTATATCAAGATTTCAAAACGTTGCAAGTTGAGCCAGCCCGGTCTGGTGGCGTTCGTTGTCTATTATACTTTTCCCTCAGCGAATCGTGTCCATACAGAAATCGGCAGGCTTCGTAGGCAGCCCTTCTTTCTTTGGTTGACTGAGTTGGTATGACACAACCGGCAGAGGACTGCAGGATAAACCCAGTGGTGGACGCGCAAAAGCGCGGAGGGTGCTTCGCCAAATCGTCACAAACAGGTTTGAATTAGTTGATAAGTGCATAATGTGATTGGATATGGACGTATCCTATGTTTGCCGTAGGGAATTCTACTTCGCACTGGTGGTCTACGGTTAGTGCTACTCCTCCAATTTGCCTGATCAACACCAACAGAGGCTTGATCCAATCACTTTCGAAGCCATGAGTTGAAATCGCCACATGGTCTCAGTCACAGGACCTGGCTGAGGAATTCGGAAGAGCTTGATTGTACTGATCTGACTCTGACTTCTTTCCCACTTGTGTATCTCCAGTATTGATGAACTTCAAGTCAAATTTGGTCATCACCCTTGGAACAGTGACGTATATGCTTTAGGGATCAGATAAAGATTCCACCAGTTCAATAACTTGATGGTCAGGAAAGCTGCACTGTAGCGCTCAACCACGGTAACAACATTTTCGTTACGCTGCATATCGAATGGCGTCAGAACCTAGCCTATTCCAGCCGTCATTATCTTGCTGTATTCCATCATTACGCTTTTGTCTTGAATTGACAAGGGTGGTCCCCCAAACTTAGCAATTCAGCGCAAGTAGTGTTCGAGAATAGCAAGTTCGTAAACCGTCCGATCGCCAATCGCCATCGTGCCCACAACAAAGTATGCAATATCATGACAAGACGAACCGACATACAAAAGCTGCCAGTCAAGGAAGCACGGATTGCCTTCTTGGTCGATGAAATTGTTGCCGATGTGCGGATCCCCGTGTATAAGGCAGAGAACCATTGGGCTTTTCGTGGCATGATGCTTTTTATAGCTGCCACGGTCCGTTCCCGGTTCTTAATATTGTCCGGGATATGTGGACGGGCAGTGCCGAGTACCCCTAAGTCCCAGTTCATCGTAAGACAGAATAAAACTTGCTCATAGGTTGGGGTGAACCTAAGAAGCTCCTTCAAAGAAGTATTCCAAGTGTCTTATTACCAAATCGTTAGCCTGAAGACCATGAGACGATGTGTAGACCAGCCGGGACAACAACCTTCAGACTTTGGCTGTCACTGGAAAGGAAATCGGAATCGTAGGCTTACCAGCGTGCAGAGCTGCGAGCTGATCAACACCTGCCATGATTCGTTCCAGTGGCCAGGACTCTGAAGGGTGGGTGAATGTGCACCCGTTCAGACTGAGGTCGTCCATGACAAGTATGCCCTGTCGTGGTTCGGTGCTTGCGACAGCACCCCAGACCTTTGGCAGCCTCGGTCTAGGAATTTTCGGCGCTGCCGGTTGGAAAAATTACACTTCTCGCGTGTACATGATGAAAAGGATGTCGCCGTATGATTCCGTCATCGAAGGATTGAACGTGCCTTAGAGACAGAGATGTTTCGGGCAAGCAGTGTTTGCTTCATCATCATACGTGACTCTCACAAATACCTTACTTGCAGTTTCATTCAAGATAGTCGAAGTTACAGTAAATGACTTCACTCTTTGGCCTAAGACACTAGCGAGCCAGGAGGTTGAGATGCCCTCTGGGGTGGTGAGTGAGGTTTGGAGATAACCACTAGGCTTCATCGTGTTAGCCTTAGGATTTGATTCAGGGAGATTTTCGTTTTTGGGGGACAACCATAAAGTACGGCTGCTCCTTGCGTATTACAGAGTTTCGATAAGTTGGCTGGTCATCGTCTCTGTGCACATATATGTTCGCACGGTATTAGCGTCTGGCTATACTGATCATGTGAGCTCTGCAGCTAAAGTTGACCGATGTAGTTTCAGCCAATTCAGCCTGAGAAGTTGGTACCCTTTGCTGCACTTCTCCCTCGTTCAGTTGCCCGTTGGACCTTTTAAAGATGTAAAATCTTCGATATTATACTATTTGCGTCATGTGAATCTTTCGTTTTGCTTCCAGAGCTGCCGGGGAATTTTTGTGTCAATCGTCGGTAGTGCTTTGGTGTTGGATTATTATTGGCCACATGCAATCTGCTTCGCTCGTGACTTCTTCCTTGTATATATATTTGGAGAGCTGGTTTCAGATCAATCCTGATGAAATATAATGATTTGGTATTTGTAACCGATCAACGGCATTGATCGTGGTCGGCTTTACAAGTAGTTGTTGTAGCTTGCCGTTGCTTAATGGTAGATGACAGTTCTGGAGCATATAGCGCGCCAGCAGTGGCCTCTGATTGCACGCGGAATAGTATTTAGCCAGGAGCTTTGCGATGCCCGTTGTGCATTGGAGCTATGTATTGTGAAGCAAGTATAGGGTTGCCAGACTGGACTGCTTGCACTATCGAATGTCGCCTGGAGCATCGTGGCGCTACCGCGGACAACTGAGCACAAGTGAAGACATGAATATCGACGGCTTTCGTCCAATCAATATATTATCGGTCCTAAGCCTACTGCAAGATGTACAAGCAGTGGTTAGCACCGTTGCGGAGCATTTCGCCCGCTTTAGGCATGTGTTCCTTCGTTGTTTTACCCCACACAGACGGCCATCCTTTAGCGTGGAAGCGACGTCATGTCCATGCTGTGGGGGAATATGCCTTCGACTCAGGATGCAGAACTCTAAGTAACGTACAGTCGTTATCAAACTCTATTATCCACACTTTTGGCAGAAATTCACCTGACGCATCATGGATGAACGGGCCCAACTCCTAGAGTCGAACGTGTCCCACGCGGCTAACGTCCTGTCGCGCAAGACTCGGGACAATGTGAAGGTGAGTTGGTACCATCAGAGGGCGGCAAGGCCCTTGTACATCCTGCATATTCCGAGACAAAACAAGGTTGCGAACGTGTGCTTAGGCCGGCATGTCTTTCCTGGATATCTTTCGAAGCGGACTCATCGCACCCAACGAGACTACTTACGGGTCGCTGTCGATTCTACTGAACGAAGACGACCCCGACCGCAAAGACAGACTGACTGAACAGTGGCGGGATCACAAGCTCCAAGAGCTTAACTTCATTGGCATTGTGGTAAGCACCCTGGCTGTTTCCTACCAAGGCCGTCTATATGCTTTTCTGAACTTGACGCCGAATAACAACAGGGTGCTCTCCTTGCTGGGGTTCTGACAAGCACGGGCAGCTGGCCAACTGTCCTTGCCAACGGCAACCGCCAGCCGTGGGCAGTGAGGGCATTCTGGTTCAGCGGCGTCATATTTGCGCTCTTTTCGGTCCTTATTGCCGCTCAGCAGACCCTGCGACTCCATCGCCTCAGCGGCCATCGTGATGGGCTTGTGTATATCAGAAGCTGCATGTCCGGACGGGTCGATCATAATGGACAAGTCAAGCCTCGGCGGGCCCAAGTATATGCCTGGCAGGCGAGTATCGTGCTGCTGACGGCTGCCGTCCTTTGCATGGTCATTGGCATCACGATCCTGGTCTGGATCAGTACCAACTGGGGCCCCTACAAGAATCCCCGGGAGCAATGGTGGGACGAGAACGCCAAGGTATGAGAGCCAACTGATACCGACCAAAAAACCGATGCTAATGAGAAACAGCTCGCTGTCACCTTCACGGTCGTGCTGATTGTAACAGTAACTATTTTCCTGGTTGCGCAAGCTTCTCTTGCAGTTGGCTTCAGCAACTCGGATGACCGATGAGAAGCATGCAGCTGTGCACTGCGAATGGCTTTAAAGGAAATAGATTTCCCCAGACGTGGGCAACAGCTACATTTTGCAGATATTTAATTCAAACCCTGAGAGAAGCATCGCAATTGACAGAAAAGACAAAGCTGCCCAGTGCTGGATCGGATATGTGATAGTTTAACATCGAGCACGGTGAGTGACAGCTAAGTATCGAGTACTACCAAGTGATGGAGAATTATGAGCTGATGGTATCCCTCCAAACTAGGGCGAAGTTGGTTATCAAGGTCCTTGCTTCGATGCACCCGGAGTATTATGCTATACATTTGCTTACATTAATTATCTAAGTACTGTTCCAGAACATAAGGTATCGGTCTTAAATGATCAGGCTGCTGGCGAGTAGTCCTCCGATGAGGGACAGGACGCTGACGCCAACGTTGGATCCCATGCTACCTGCTGTGCCTGAACCAGTCGGGCTACTTGAAGCGCTGCTGCCAGTTCCGCTAGCTCCACCAGTACCGGTGGTCGAGCTCTGCACATTCGTGGTCTGCAAGACACTAACTAGAGCGTTCAATACACTCAGTTGCGTACCGGCGTTGGAGTCATCCTGGAACTTGCCGTCGGCCCATTGGTATCCACACATACGGCCATTGTCACCGCCCGTGCATGTTGACGCGGCGGCCTTTGCGCTGCTCTTCAATACCGGGAGAATCTTGGCAGCTGTGTAAGGGGCTACTCTCGTGGTTGTGCTCAGCGATCGGTGAAGGATACCTAAGTGAGGTCAGTATGGAGAGCATTATCGGGAATGGGCCAGCTCGCACCCTTGTAGAAGTACATATCCTTATTGCAATTGCCATTCTTTTCGCACGAGACTTCGGTTGCGACCCCGCCAGGAAAGAAGAGCTCGATGGTTCGATCAACGAGCCCATCGAGGCGTGTCTTCCAGGTGTCGTCGCCAGTCTAAAGTTAATCAATATCAGGCTTCATTCTGGGGTACAGGGTAGAGCGTCGGATCAATAAAAAAATTTACATACTTTGTTGTACATGTACGCCGCGCCTTCCAGTAGAGTGCCAGCATTGCTTGAGAATTGGAATTTGTTGGGATCTTCGCATTTGATTTGCTGTTTATCGGACGATCAGCTGAATATTTCAGCCCGGTTTGGTCAGTGGCAACCTACATCTATACCATCGTAGACTTCATAGTCGTCCGTCACAAGGCCTAGGCTAGATAAAGCGTCGTATGTCTTGCTGGCCGTGTCTGCAAACGTTTGATTGTTGGTGACGTGAGCCAAGCGAGCTCCCAGGTTGAAAAACAATGCATTAGATAATGCTGGGGCAGCACGTCAGCATGGTAGTTCCATGAGTGAACATTGATCAGTGTTAAAAACATACTGTTAACGTAGTTATACCCATTGTTGAAGGCAAATAGCTGCCATCTTAGCACACCAGAGCAGTTGCCCTCACCCGATAGTAGGCGGGCCGCTTGTTCGTCGAAAACATTCTGGGCCAACGTCAACCACTGAGGTTTGTCTGACCCAGCGTCTGCAAAACCGCTCTCCTTCGCAATAATTGCTGCGTGCGCCCAGAAGCCTTGATCATCATTGCCTGCGGTAGCAGTCCAGTTTGCGGGCAGAAAATCGGCGTTCTCGCCAGTCTGAAATTGCAGGCCTTCCGAGATGACGCTATCGTACTTGTTTTCGCCGGTGTGTGAGCGTAACTCGATCAGCGAAGCCCACAGTTCTCCGCCAGTCCACCAATAATAGCCCTCCGGATCATTGGAAGTGGGAGGACCGGGTAGAATCCCGACAACGGCACCCGGCTCATCGCCGTGGTAGAAGGAAGACATGAGATCATCGGCGACTTGAGCAGCCGCAGCCTTGACAGAGTCTATGGTATGGCACTGTTAGCCCTCAAATTCAGCCTCGAGTACACGATGACAACCAACCTTGATTGTCAATGTCCACAGTGATGGCAGCCAAGACGGCCGGGGTGGAGAGGAGCAGCTGCTGAAGCAGCCCCGGCGACAATTTCACCATGCTGAATCGACTAGTGATAGAACACTCCTGAGCGTGGGTCTAGGCGGGATAAGGACGGCTAGAGAAAGGAGCGAAAGTACACGCGAGAAAAATTATATGTAGTTGCAGGAAATGTAACGAGAGACGTGACCAAGGGTTGAAGCGGTAGCTAGCTACAGTAAAGTCCGCGATGCCAACACGCTAAAATAAGGCCGAGATCATCCCAATAATAGACGTCCAACGTCTTGGAAAACGAACGCAGCCTGGTACTTAAGTAAGGGGTGTGACAGCTTGGCACCGGGTGCCTGCGTGAGATTCGTATCCATCAGGCCAGTCGGCTGTGCCGCTAATGAAATTTGAGGCGAATCCTTCGAGCCACAGTAGCGTGCCAAGGCACTGGGCATTCCCGGGGCATTTTAGGCTTAAATTACGTAAAAGTTCTTTGACTGGTGTTTCCAGAATAATATGAGACAGCTATTACTATCATAGCAGGCAGCATTCATCCACAGCTCTTCTTGTCAGTGCATCACTGGTCCATTGGGTGTGTGTACATCACGTAAATTTTGGGATGGGCTCTGGGCTTGCAGTCAGCATTGGAAGCTCAGTTGAGCTGCAGCTGCCGACAGCGCAGCGCCAGCTGCCTGAAGACTCCCCTTTCGACCACGCATCGTAAGAATCGATTAATGTGTCAGAACTGCAGGCCCGTCAACTCCAGGACCATGCCGCTGGTTAGCAGGTTGTGCTCGGAATACCGTTGAGACTCAGTAATCTACTACGCGTTGACACGGACCAGTTCCCATACATAGAAGCAAAAAGCACTGACCAGTCCTTATTTGTGAAGGGAGGCCGGTAATAGCGAAGGAAATAGAGACGATTTTAGGGATAGGGAGAAGTTCTGTCCCTCTGATTGGACATTTTTGGTACTTGGTCCGTGTCAACGTGTATCTAGATTACTACTGAGTTTCAACGGTACCGGTGCAGAGGAGGAGGACCTTGGCGCCAAGCGTCCGAGATCGTGTTCGGAATCTTCAACATGTACGGATCCGTCTGGGAATCGCATGAGGTGGCTGCAAAAGACACCAAAGTCATGTCAATCGAAGTGATTTAGACCACGGACAGCAGAGTGCTGAGTTATACATAATGATCGAGTCTTGGCAGTAGAGATACCTGTGCTCTAGTCCTACAGTCTTGTCACTGCCCAGTATTGCACCCAAACTATTTGTAAGTGGTGGTATTAAGTCCCCTTTCCATCTCCCATGTAGTGTATTGATATGCCCCGGGGTGGCGCCAGGGGATGAATTCATGCTACTTTGAGTCTGCCAATATACGGATATGGCTCGGGAACATGCCTAATGTCACAATGATATGCAAAAGGCTTCAACCTCGACTCTATGCTGTATGGTGATCGGCTGGTTAGTTCAGGTGTGCTCACGAGTCTGATTTCAATGTAGAGTACGTTTTCTCCCAAGTTAGACTCTTGCAATTGCGAGACGCTGATGTCCTAGTTCAACGGTCCATCAATCCATCAGCATGATTAAAACGATACCAAAGAACACATTAGGCGATGCATTCCCCCTAGTACAAGCAAGGTGGATCTTAACCCAGGAGGAGTATCTGTGCAGCCGGAACACTAGAGGTTAGAACCTGTATGTATAGAGGTGTTTATATCTTCAAACCATCCAGGATCCATGGTAGGCAAGTAAATATTGTGGATCGGGTGGCCACGGAACGTAAATCCGGACAATGGCTGGCTCATATCTCATGCCAGCCCACCGAGGCAAATAAGTCCTCCATTGACGGGCAATATGATATCGGGTTGACGGCGGGCGGGCAGGAAGGATGCTGCGTCCAATGCACCAAAATGGGATCCTTCCTGGAGCCGCCGTTACAGCATTGCTGGAGCGTTGCGGTTTCCACGCGGTGAGAGCAACAAACAAATCAGCAAGACGAGCCGGCGAAGGCGAGACATCGCTTCGCGGACACGCTGCTTGCGCCTCTGGTTACTGTGCTGACCGCGAAACCACGCACTACGGATCCCGATCAACAATGGAGGATTGGGACGAAGTCCAGTGCGAACCAGACCGTGGTGACGAACTCAACCAAGATCAGAACCCTACCCGAGACTTCTCAACTACACGCCTGATCAAACAGACCCTCCTCATCCTGCACACTCTGCTTGTCGGAACTTTGCGCGGCTTCGTTGGACTCGCCATCATCCACGCGGAGGCGTGGGTTAGCATCGTCAGCATTTGGAGTCGCTTCGTCTTCTTTCAGCTATGTCGCTACGTCCTGCGGATCATTGGGGCTCGCCTCCATCGCGGCCGCGTCGATTGAGCATCCTCTCCCGCAGGAAAACACCAGTATCGAGGACCTTGCCTCAGCATCCAGACCCTGTTCCGTTCCATCCCACCAACCAACAGGCTTCGTCAACCCGACGAATATCAGCAAGCTACTCCATGGACGAGCCTCCCTTTTGCCAACCGAGTGTTGCCACTTCAAATTTGACGGCGTCCAAGATCCCCGCATCCCGCACATATGGTGAACTACCCGCCATCTACACGGCGATGCGTCACTCACGCAAGGCAACACCAACAAGAATACCCCTCCCCGAGCCCTCCACAGCAACGACCTACACCACCGCCATGGTTCCTCCGCACGGCCCTCTGAATGATGAGAACCTACCCCCGGCCCAGGCACTCGGCAGTCTTCAACATAAACACAAGAACAGCATCGACATAGCTGCTGCTAAGCTTCGTGGTAAATCCAAGCTGAGGCCCCTCGCTCCACTGCCTAAGTCCAGCACCCTGAATGTGCTTTCTAACTTGACGGCTTCCATATCCCGCACTTCGCTGTCCAAATTCAGTAGATCAACATCCATCTCGTCCACTGCCGAGTCCGAACCTCGAACTAGCATTGCATCAAGCTCTTCGGTAAGGCTACCGGGGGTGAACGCGAGCAACCCCTTGCAGATCTCTACAGCTCAGCCATCAGCATACTGGACTGGTCGGTTCATGGCCTTGCAGGACAGATTCCGCAATGAGATGATGTTACCGGAGAACATGACGACCCTTATCACAGCTCACGCCGAGCGGTCGATCGTCCCGGATTGTGCGTCTAAACCGTCGTCATCTCACGTGCCTGCATCCTCATCTAACCCCAGCCTTGTGCGGTCCAAAGCCAGAAAGCCGAAGCACTCGTCATCAAATGCGGCAAACAATGCTAAGCTCCGATCAAGGCTTGCACAAGAAAGCCTGGATGCAGCACGTCTTGAGGACGAAGATAACAGGGCACGCAGGGTCTTCCTCCATCTCGAGGCCATGTGTACTACGAGCGAGGCCAAGCGGAGCTTGCACGCCTGGCAGCAGAGCTATGCAAGGCGCATGGGCAGGGAAGAACTCCTTCCTCGAGGAGGTACCATGGATGACAAGGGCTGGGTTGGTCGCTTCCTGGGACGAAACAGCCACGACGAGAGCAAGAGAAGCAGCGTCTCGACAGTGTTTTAAAGCCATCCAATACGACTGGGGCATTCTATGGCAGAGATAGGGAAAGAGTATCGCAGAACAGATCGCATATGGCTATGTGGAAATAGCAAGGACAGGGGTTGTACGATACGGAGAGGACAGCATCTGTATTACTCGGGTTTGATGGCCCCATGTAAAATCATGGTACACTAGAACCATGGGAATAGGCATATATATGCAGTAGTGAGAAACGAGGAATGGACTTGTATGTCACAGAATTATGCCTTGCTGCTTCTGAAGATAGTCAATCGATTCGTAATTGTGGCAAACTAGGCAGCCATTGGAGGCCTTTGATCAGTACGATTCTCGATAGCCAACATTTTTTGTAGTCCTTTGAGCATTCCATTCATCTATGGGTTTTCTATGTGGGAGGTATCTCGATCAATGACGGTGGCAAATGGGCATTCAAGACATTGACTTAGATCTGCAGTGGGAACATGCCGACTACATCGTGAGTGCGTCTCGCTGAGCCATTGAGGTTCTCTGGGGTCCAAATGTACTTCAACTGCCAGGCAACTAGGTGCCCTATTTCATTCGGCAAGCGTTGATTGGCCACGCAATGGATCAACCATCATCTCAGTCCTTGGCCCAGGGGGCTTTTGTGATCGTAATCTGCGCGTCTGTGGAACCGGCCGGCTGTGCAGGAGGTCTTGCCGAAGTCTGGGAACCTGCCCATGGCGCGCGTGTCGTCGGCAATTGCGTAGCATTGGGAGGAGGGGCTCGCATGGTAGGCTGGCCTGCCCACGGCGCCTGCGTCGAGGGTGGGTTATTCCCTGGCTTCGCCCAAGGAGCAGCAGTTCCGGCTCCAGTACCGGGCGCATTCTTTATGGCGGCGGCAGCGATAGGCTGGTTGACCATGTGTACGGACTGCTGTGGCGGCTTCGCGTTGGGGTCTCTATCCCAGGAAAGGAGAGACCCGAAAGGGAGATGTTGCACTACGGGGAACTTTGAAAGAACCTCGCCGTTGAACATCTTCATCATGCCCTATCCGATTTGTCAGTAAATGATGCCCCGAAGGCTCAACGATGGAGTCCTCACCGAGTTGATTTTGCCCCAGCCAAGTTTGACCTGTGACAAGGAGTGTAGTACGGAGCTGTGTTCCCCAAAGGGCCCCGTCTTGACGTCGTAGATGAACCCAACAGCAGAGAAATACATGTTTGTTCCCCGGTAGTCTTCAACACGCTCCGCCTTGGAAACGGAGTCCAGCTTAGGTGCTCCGAACCGAGACCCTTCGGAGGGCATCTCTTCATCCTCTGTAATCGCCTTCGTCAGCTGTGCAGAGCCGTAGATGTAGGGCTGGAAGGAGTGGTCGTCCAAGCCCCAAACGCCGTGAGACCCCGCAGGCTCCAGTGTGTAGGTTAGGATGAGTTTACGGATGACTCGCAGGTATGGTTCGAAGATGCCAAGGATGATGTCTCGCTCTATTTCCCCGCCCTGTGTGCCATCTTGGAACGCGCCGAGCTTCCATAACCCGATGAGAAAGGCGAGAAAGCTCAGCTCATGGCCGGTGCCGTAGTCCAGTCTTTGAGGGCTGCCGAAGGACCCAAGCAGATAAGCCCCGAGCTCGTCTGCGGCCGTGGCACCAGTTCCTTGTTGGGAGCCAAAGTCCAACACCGACTCGGGGAGATACTCTCGGAGCAGAGTTGAGATCCTGTCCTCAAGTAGCTTATACCACTGGCGAAAGCTCACGTTTCCAAAACGCCTAGGGCCGGTATCCGGCGGGGCCTCGCTGATATACGATTCTATCTTGGCCAGCATCTGCTGGAGTCTTTTCACCGACTCAACCGGCTCGGACTCGTATTTTGAGCCAATATCAAAAGTCTGCACTTTTTCCTTGCCGTCTTCAGTCTTTACCTTCCTAGGGCACATGGCCCGGTTGAGTTGCAGGACAAATATGCCGATATCTCTGTACGCCTTGGAGACGAGGAAGTCGGACACATCAGGGCCCTCGTTGATCCGTTTGCTGGGCTTGGCGAATTCATGAGGTGTGGATGGATCGAGGGTCTCGAGTGTTGTGAAATGCGGCCCTCCACGTGGTGCTTGGGCGCGAGGCGGCTCCATGGCGATGTTGGAGCTGTTGCTTGCCTACCTCGCGGTCTTGTTTCAGGGAAGCAGCAGACACCGAGGTACTGCCTATGAAACCTTGCCTGGATGTAAGTTGGGTTGAATTGGACTTGTTACGAAGGCAAGCTCCTTTGTTCACCGGCTCTGCGTCTGCTCTCTGTCCTGGCTCTTAGTTGTCATCAGAGTTTCGGGAAGTTGCATGTGCCGCCATCCCACCAGCTTTAGTGAAGCTTCACGGGCTGGCAATGTGCCCCACGCTGGCCCAAACCCCCACCATGGCGCACAGACAGCGATGTGGGTGCAACGCTGGCACGTGGGTCTCATCGGCCAGTCATCACGTGCGTACGTGCGCCGCGTCTTTGTTGTACCCGGCTGCGCAATGCTCCATGTACATTGTACTAAGTGCCGCAAGACTTGTGACTTATGGAAAGAGGTTGAGGTTTTGATCCCATTGTCTGAATAACTTCGACCCTTGTCCACGGTATTTGCGAAGAATCTGGATCTGTAGCGACTTTGAGAGATGATGACGAATGTGCCAAGCATTTAAGTCTTACTATTCAGGAGTCCATTCTGATAGAACATGGGGCAAAGGAGTGCAAACTTGGGATGGTGCAGCAGCAGTTGGCTTGGCTTGCCAGAGCCCCAGTGGAAAGTTATTCAGACTCGTACTGAAGAAAATGGACACCTCTCGAATCAACGAAGTTTGGCCTTCGGGCAACACGCTGCTTGACCAGTTTCTCTCTGGGCGAACACGGGACAACCGAGACGAGATCAGCCTTCTGACTAAGTCAAGGGCGAATCTCAGCTAACTTCTAAGACTCCCAGAGCACACCGGTATTGGTGACGGCTGCTAGAGCGGCCTAATTGAAGTTGTCACATACGTAGTGCACTAAGGGATGGACTTTCACATGAGCGCAGCTGGCGGACGGAATGTGCTCCATGGTGCTGAAAAGGCTGGTGAGGTTGAGATAGTCGGGCGACTTTGTGACCTCGACCAAACTCGAAGTTTACGGACAGAGACATGCATTTTTGCTGGTTTATCATACAAGTTGGCTGGTTGGAGAGCGCTGCATCTTTCAGCGTGCAATGTTCGGGCTGACGGGTGAGATAAATCCTCAAAATGAAGCTTCTCAGCACCGAGTACCAAACGACACCGGTACACCCTGCTGCTTGGAAAGGCTACTCAGATGGCACAAGACTACTTATCTTGCATGAAGTCGTCATAACACAAAGAGAGCAGGTGGCTGGTTCTCGATCAATTGTGCTTACAACGACCTCCAGTCAGATACTGTCAGCTTTCTCTCGGAATCCGATTCAAAGAAATTGTCCAGTTCTGTGTGAGTCGGCTACCCCGGGGTCGGGATCATTGGCTCGAAGCCTTGTAGCTAGTTCGATGCAGATATATCTCGTTTCGATCGTGCCCAATCCCTTGGTTTCAGCCCACCTGCAAAATAGCTCCATGCCGACCTCAGCTTCAAGCAGGGTACGCGTGGGGAGCCCTGGGCCATCTGACGTACTTAAGTAGGTAGGTATTTACAGGATGGAGGAAGGAATTATACGCCTCAAATGGCGCGCGACATGTAGGGAGAAATCCCCACCATATCCCTGATGCTGAATGAGCATCAAGTTGATTCCAGGCTGTTGTCGTCAAGCGTGAATTGCATGTTCCCAACTGCGGTCGTGGGTAAGTTGGCTCGTACCTAAGCAGTGTTGAGCGAGACGCGTTTATTTTTAGTGCGCATTTGAAACCGCGTCGTGTTGACGGGTCTTCCCGAGGTGAGACAAGCTTTCTGTTCAACGCCACATTTTGTCAGACATCGTGTGAGGACAATCGACAGGGGTGTTGGGTCAGCTCTGCATCGACCAATTTACTTTCTCAGGTGCCTCCCCGCCTGGTCGCACTGCAAGACTCTGGTTCGCGAACTCTGCGACAGTCACGTCACATCGTTGCCAGCATCACTTTGCCCCAGGGAAACGATGATGGCGCGCTTCTAATCTGCTACCAGTCATTTCTTCGAGTCGCACAACTCCGCCTGCGCTCACGGCGAACGTAGTCATGTCGCCTGCTACGACACGACGCACCGCGTGCCGGGGCGCCGAAGCGCAATATGCGGCTCCGGAACCCAGCGACAACGATGACGACGCCGGGTCTTCAAGCTCGGAAGACGACGACGGGATTCCTGCCATATCTCCGCACAAGAGGGTCGCGAATGCGCGCACGAACGAACCCACCCTGTCTTTGCGGCCGAGTTCAACGAACAAGCGGCATATCGAAGGGGAAGCAAGCCATCAGGAAAGGAATGCCAAACGACAGAAACCTGGCGAGAATGAAAGAGCTGGGGCTTTGCGTCAACCAAGTAACGCCAGTTACCCGACTCCAGATTCGGCGCGGAGCGCAAAAGGCGCCCCAGCCACGGACAAGGCCTCTAGTGTTGGCAGTATCCTCAACAGCATCGAGGACGACGATTACCACGCTGTGGCTCCAGGGGTGCTGGACATGGTCAACGGCATGGTCAGTGCAACGGTGCGCCACAGCTCACCCGGCCAGCAGCTGCGCAGAGAAGAGGCATACATTGATGATGATGAGGATGGAGTGGTGTCTGACCTCGACATCGACGCAGGCTACGAGAGCGAGGACCAGGGAGAAGACGAAGAGTCAGAAGTTGTTGAAGGATCGAGATCGCCTGAGCTGGACGACAGAGACCCTGGTGTCGGCCCTTTTTCAGATGAGGTTACGCAGCAAATCCACCACGAAGCTGCCCAAAACCAAGAATACGATAGGCTCGCGAGGATGGACCAAGGCAATATCAGCCTTGCTCAAAAAAACACGGGAGAAACTCCAACCGACTCCGCCGATCCCCGTGGCCATGGAGACCATACCCGCCAGTCGGCAGAACTACCACCCATAGACCCCTATGAGATTCCAGACTCTCCTTCGGAAGGGGATTCCAATCATATTTCATCGGAGTCCTCAAATCTCGGCAGATTGCGAAGTCCCGACTCCGCAGTACAAACTGCTATCAGACGGGATCAGTCGGACTCAATTGAAGAGGAGGTCAAGTCAGGTAGAACGCCAGGGCAATCCAATGCCAGAGTTAATCGGGAAGAGGTGGACGACTTTGAAGATCCTGCACTGCCAACATTGTCACAGCTCCGTGCTCAACTCCATGTACGCGACACGCAGCCACAGGGATCCCGAACCATGGCAGTATCCGATCTGGAACTTGAGGTGGACCGAGCCAGTAAAAGGGCTATCTTACGAAAAGGTCCTAAGTTACATTCGAGAACCACCTCTGACCATACTCCGGAGGATGTGGGCGTCAGTGAATTTACGGCCGAGGTCGTACTTTCGTCCGATGACAACGAGGTTGATGATGTGGGTGGCATCAAGAGACAGTTTGCGGAGGACCTACGTGTGTTCAGGGCAAAGCAAGTGGTACTCGATGACGACTCTGCATTCGTAGATGCGCCGCTCACCGCACCTTCGGCTACGATTTCTCTCCCTGATAACAAACTCAGATCTGCCTGCAATCTAATGACAAGGCTGGGATGGTCTGCCATCTCTAAGGACTGGGAAGAGAAGCTGACTCTCTCCTACCGGCCCGGCACGGCTGCTGCGAGGCAGTTAGTACATTACCTGAAGAAGTTCGAGCGCTTCTGCGTCATGGTATCTTTAGCCACGGGGATCTCAAGCAAGAACAAGTTCGTGGGGGAGCATAAGGACCTCCTAAAATACCTTTTCACCAAGATTGATGCGTGCATCGACCTGATTCGGTCTGAGCAACTCTCTTTTGCTCCTTCAACTCGGTCCCGACAACCCGATCCCGAATCCCGCAAGGATATAACGCGCGACCTCATCCGGCTCGTGATCCCCTTGCTCATCCGAGTGCTCGGTGAGGCATGGGCTGTCGGCGGGGATGAGCTCTCCTTTACCGAATGCACCCTGCAATTGCTGAGCAAGCTAGTTGGATGGACTCGGAAGCTCTACGCTCCACTCATGAGAGAAATCCAGATCCGACCTTTTGTCGAACAGGCACCCAACCGCCAGCGTAGAAGTATCCAGGGGAAAATAGATCAAGAATCACGAAACGCTCTAGGCCCAATTCTAGACCAGCTGCATGAGCTTCTCAAGGAGGCGCCTAGTTGCCTGCAGCAAGTTGAGGAGGATGAGGCCGAACTGGAGCGCCTAAGGCAACATAGCCTGCTCAAAGCAGCAAAGCTCAAGGCCGCAAGAGAACGCGAGGCCGCTCGAGAGGAAGAAGCAAAGCGGCTGCAGAATCTGAACGTTGTCCGAGCGATTCGGGGAGAACCTCGGCTACCTCCAACAAGGACGATTCAGCCCATGCAATGGAGGCACGAAGAGGAGGTTTGCCTCTGCAATAAGTTGAAAGAAGCGTTCAATTACGATCCCCCTCGGCTCCCGGACCTTACGCTTATTGCGGCAATGGTGGGCCACAGCAGGCCGGACACCAAGGCCAAGGCAGGAGATCTGCTTACCCAAATGCTTCGCACAGTATACCCACATAGAAGTCGCCGGGATATTCAGTCCCAAGTCGATGGTCTGATAAGACGATGGGCATAGGGGCTTGAACATGATGTGATGAAAAGGCGAGAGGGGGATATGAATTGGTGAATGAAGTAGCAAGACTTGATTATTTGTCTTGCCCGTGTTGTTTGGCGTTGCTGAGATACCCATATTGCTACAGTCGTAGGCCTGCTTCCGAATCATGACTGGAAATTTCAACTGTATACGACCCGATGGCTACGAGTTGGCTCATCATGTGCATATTTGCCTATGTATGTGACACGTAAACGCGTCGGGGAGTGAACCAATACACCCAAGTAAGAACCGCGCTACACACATCACGCCAGCATTGACCCTGGACGGGAAGATCGCACATCCCGCCCAAGAGTCCCCAGCCAGACATCCGCCTCGCCCAAATTAAGCATTGATATCTCCATCTGCCCCGGTGGTCTCTGGTCCCATACGGGGGAGGAAGAGGGGCTCGAAAGGGCGAGAAGGGGTGGCTTTGGGCAGCAGTTCGTCACTCTGCCAGCGTAATGCTGGCAAGCGCTGGCGGCCAACGCACCAGGGAGTGTGCCGTGCAGACGTGGACGGGTGTCTGCCGGCGGGTATCAAGGTGTGTTGTCTTGCTGGCCTCCCTGGGACCCTGCAGAGATGGAAGCTGGAAAGCTCCAAGCTTTCCCCACACGCACTGCTGAGCAGTCAGGGGTCAGCCAGATGGATGGCAAGGTGGCACTTACTTTTTCGTCTGATAGAGATTGACGGAGATATCCTCCCTTTTTGAGGGTTTGAGTATTTATGAAGACCTGTAATGTGATTTGGAGCGATCGACAGGTCGATAACATTTGAGGGGGGGAAAGGAAGTCCCTATTCAAGCTGAGGTGCATCGAGCATCAGACTTAGCGGTTTACAGTCTGATCGTTAAGCTGTGTGGTCAAGCCGCTACGGTTGCAATTACAGGAATCACAGCGCTTTGATTAAAGAGTTTAATGAGCTTCACCGTTGGCGTTTTCGCAGGCTGGGCTATCAGCCATCGATTCCACCGGTGACTGGCAATCAAGGAGGGAGCTCCTGATCGATATGCAGGCTTCTATGGACTGCATCATAAGAGTTCCCGAGCACCTCATCCCGGACTTGATACATCTATCGAAACGGCCATGCATAAAGAATCGCAAGGACGGGCCCCAGGCATTGAAGCTTGATGCTCTCGCCGCTGCCCGCCTGAATTGCCTTGGGGATTTGCAGCCCTGATTGGCGACCACGCGCACCCGGCAGCGGTAGCGGGAACCCCTGTCCGGCCTGTCGCCAGTCGGCTGGACCCTAGCAAGCCTAGTACCCATAGGCGATGCCTAGCAAAAGCCTAGGGAGGCCGTAGGCAGGCCTTAGCACTAGCACCAGGACCCCTGCCCATTAAACCTGAGCTGTCGATCTCCAGTTGGCCAGCCCCATCGAAACATTCTGCCCCAGTTCCAATTTCAAGGTCGGCGGCAACTCGACTCGACCGCACCGCACTGGCATCTTTCTTCCTCTTTCAATTGCCTCATTGCGCGCATCAGTGAGCGACCCGCCGCTGTGCAAAGGATATTATATCGCTGCTTGTTACGTCCCGAGGGTTGCGAGATTCGCGTCCAAGCAACCGCTCGTCATCTGTCCTGGTGGTACCTGGACTAGGCGCTGATTGGAGAGAGCAAAAAAAAGGAGCTTCGTTCTGGTTAGTAGAACCCAATTGACTACCACCCCCCCTTTGTGACGTGTCGCGACCTTGCGAATCACCGCCTTTTTGACGCCCAAACTCCTGCCTCAGAGACGGGACAGAGGGGAGAACAAGAGCGGCCGGGAAGACATTGAACTGGTTGCGCGACCGCTTGGACAACCGAGTTGCTTCCTTTTCCTTGATATTCCCCTCCATGCGATCTGCACATTCGCCAGACCGACGACGTACATTGCTTGACGCTGATAGTGGACTCACTCTCAGGAACATACAAGGATACGTTTGAATACACCGATTAGCAACGGAAGCCGTCCCTGTACAAGTTCGTTGTAATCATCGTTTCATAGACCGCCATGTCGGAATCTGAGGGTTTCGAGGTCGTCAACCGCGAGGAGTCGATTCTCTCGGGCGAGGAGACGGCGGGCACCGCAGGCACTGGCGCAAGCGCCTCGCCCGCGTCTACTCCCAGGAAGAGCGCCCCAAACGGTTCCAAGCCCCCGAGCGTTGCCAGTCCTAGGGCGAAGGTGGGCGCATCCACGACAAGCACCGTCCGTCGCCCAACAACCACTGGCACCGCGGCTGCCAAGACGACTTCGAGCGCGGCCACCAAGCCAACCAGCGGACTTAAGCAGCCTCCGACTCGACCGCCTGCCGGAAGTACCGTCAGAAAGCCCACGGCGACAGGAACCACCCCGGCTGTTGGCCACAGATCGCGACCCTCCGTCTCGGAGAGCGAGAAGAGCAGTGCTTCTATCAGCGGCCCTGCTCGTCGCGCTTCGGTCGTGCCGGGGAGCACCTCGACCACAGCAGCCAGAACCACGAGACCTGCGGGCACAACCGCTACTTCTGGTACTGCTGCGTCAGCCAGAAAGCCCGCGACCTCGACAACCTCTGCTTCGCCCCGAACAAGCACGGTTTCGAAGCCAACGAGCGCAAGCGCTACCCCGGCTACTCGAACAGCGACCAGCCGTCTATCTACGTCGACAGCAACCCGACCCACGGCCTCTAGCACGACAACTGCGAGACATGCTTCGCGGCCCTCTACATCGTCTACAACGACCGTGGCCGCCGGGTCTGCCAAGGCTGTCGAGGAGTTGAAGTCGCAGCTGGCCGAGAAGGAGTCCGAGGTGGAGGCACTCAAGGAGCAAGTCGCTTCTTCCCAGGAGAAGATTACTGAGCTGGAGGAGAAGATCAAGTCCGGCGCCGAGGGTGGGGAGGCTGCTGGTGACACCGACAAAGCAAACAATGACGAGTTGGTCGAGTCCCTTAAGTCTACTCACGCCTCTGAGAAGGAGGCCCTCAGTGCCGAGATTACACAGGCCCTCGAGAAGCTGAAAATTGCTGAGGAACAGCTCGAGTCTCACAAGACTCAGCTCACCGACGTCACTACTGCTCAAGAAGCCAAGAGTGGCGAGTTGACCGACCTGCAGAGTAAGATTGACTCACTTCAGGCCGAGAGGGATGCCAGCCTCCAGGAGAGTGAGTCTGCATTGGCCAAGGCCTCGGAGGAGCACGCTGCGAAGCTCGAAGAGGTGCAGAAATCCTTGGACGAGCAACACCAGGCGGCGCTAGAGGCCCTCAAGGCGTCTCGAGAAGCTGATGCCAGTGAGAGCCAAGCTGCGCTGGCTGATGTCCAAAAGTCCCTGGCCGATCTGCAAGCCGTCAACGAAGGGTTGCAGAAGAAGGTCGGCGAGCTGGAAGCAGCGACAGAGAACGAGGACGCTGCCGCTTCGTCCAAGTTTGCTGCCTTGGAGGCCGAGCTTGCCGAGCTCAAGGCGACTGCTGAACAGGACAAGGCAACTCTGGCCGCTTCACAAGCCGAGGCCGAAGACTTGAGGGCCAAACTTGCGGAAGCCACCGAGGCCATGGAGAAGACCCAGGCCACGCTGGACTCCGTAAGGGCCGAATTCACGACTTTGAAGGAGGAACTCGGCAAGGCAGAGGCTGCGTCTGTTTCGCATTCGGATCTTCTCGAGGAACTTGAGAAGATGAAGTCGGAGCACAAGACAACAGTTGAAAGACACGAGAACCAGCTCAAGACGATCTCCAAGGACTACGAAGACGAGATTGAGAACCTGAAAGGAGAAGCTCACTTCAAACGCAAGTTTCACGATCTTGAAGTCCAGCATGGAGAGTTGGAGGCAAAGCACAATGAGCTCACCAGTACTCATAACGATCTTACAACTAAACACACCGACTTGACCGGAACGCACGCAGACCTTGAAGCGAAGCACAGGGAGGTGGCAACTAACCTGGCCGACTTTGAAGCCAAGCACGGTGAACTGACCGGCACTCATGCGCAGCTTGCTGCTAAGCTTCAGGAACTCACCAGCACGCATGCAGATGCGACAAAGAACCACGACGAGGCACTTGCAGCAGCGAAAGCGGAACACGAGGCTGCCCTTGCCGCCTTGGCTGCCAAGGAAGAAGAGCATCAGAAAGCTCTTGATGCTCTGCAAGCCAGCCACGCCATGGATCTGGAATCGGCGAAGAGCGGCCTATCTGCGGACAAGGAGGCCCACTTGTCGCAGCTGGAAGAATTGAAGACCAACCATGCCAAAGCTATTGAGTTGTCGAAGGCCGAAAGCGTAGCTGCCCTAACAAAGGAACTTGAGGCGCTAAATGCAGCGCATGCCGAGCAAATTGACCAGCTCACCCAGGACTCGGACTCCCGTATTGCAGAACTAAAGGCCACGCACGAATCGGAACTTGCGAGCAAGGCCGCAGGCGAGAACACACACGTAGAGAAACTGGCTGCCCTGCAGGAATCACTAGAGAAGGCCCAACAAGACGCTGATTCTCGCATCGCCGAACTCAAGGCTGCCCACGAAGCCGAGTTGGCTACCAAGGCTGCAGGGGAGAGCTCTCATGCCGAACGGCTTGCAGCTCTACAAGAGTCACTCGAGAAGACACAACAAGACTCCGATTCTCGCGTGGCTGAGCTGAAGGCTGCACACGAGGCAGAACTGGCAAACAAGGCTGCTGGTGAGAGTGCGCACGCCGAACAGCTAGCAGCACTAAAGGAGTCGCTAGAGAAGGCACACCTGGATACAGAATCCCGTATTGCTGAGCTGAAGGCTGCACACGACGCCGAGTTGGCAAGCAAGGCTGCAGGTGAAAGTACCCACGCGGAGCAAGTCGCAGCTCTGCAGCAGTCTCTTGAAAAAGCCCAGCAAGACTTGGCTGCCGCCTCCGCAACCCACGCCAGTGCTCTCGAGGCTTTCAAGAAGGAGAGCGACGAAGCTCACTCCGCCGAAGTCGAGAAGCTCATTACTTTGCAGTCCGAGTCGTTGGACGCCGCCCGGCGGGAGGCTTCGGGTTCGCATTCTGAAACCATCGCGGCCCTCGAAGCGAAGCATATCCAGACCATTGAGGATCTTACCCGAGAGCACGAGGGCAGATTAGCTGCCTCGGCTGCCGACTTGGCAAAGCACCAGTCTTCCTCCTCGGAGTACGAATCGGCGCTCGCTGCTGCTAAGGGAGATTTGGCCAAGGCACAGGCAGAAGCCGAAGAGCTCCAGTCCAAGTTGACGGCAGCCATGGCTACCAGCTCCGAACTCGCTAAACTTCAGGAGGAATCCGATGCGCTTAGGCAGCAACTTGCGGAGGCCAAGATGAACAACGTGGAGTTCGAAGCCGAGCTGGATGCCATCAGGAGCCAGAAGCCCGATACTTCAGCTGCGGATGCGCTCAAGAAGGAGCTTGAGGAGCTGAAGCAGAAGTCACTGAGCGAGCTTGAGGCTCTCAAGGCCGAGAAGCAGCAGCTCTTGGACGAAAAGGAGCAGAGGGCTACGGATCACAAGACCTTGCTCGAGAACCACGCCGCTGACCTAGCTGCTGCTAATGAGGCAAAGCAGGCCACCGTCCAGCAATTTGAAACTCTCCGAGCGGAACTTGATGCCAAGGTCAAGGAGTACCAGTCAATCCAGGAACACTTCCAAAGCATAGCCGAAGATGGAGAGCTTGCCAAGAAGGAGCTGGCTGCCCACAGGGATGCCACGGACGCCAAGTTGAAGAGTCATGAATCTGATTACCATGACATGTACGAGAGCATGACCGCTATGGTCGAGGAGGAACAGAAGAAGCGCGCAGCCGTGGAGAAGGAGGCTGCAGGTATCAAGTCCAGATTCGCCGAAATGGAAGCCCAATTGAAGGTTAAGGACGCCGAGATTGCTGAGGCCAAGGTTCGTGATCCCCAAATCCAGACCTAGCTAACTTTCTTTTTCACTTACAAGGAGATGCTAATAAATTGCAGGCAAATGCGGCAGCCCCCGCGAAGCGTGGCGGTCTGGCAGCTAGTAGATTTGCCAAGTCCCCATCCGACAGCAACGATGATAGCGCGACTGAGAAATCGGAACCTCCCGAGGCGGAAGGTGAGGACGATGATCCATATTCAGTTGCCGTAGCCTCAGTACGCAGGACCCCTTGAATTGGAGCTTGTATACAGGTTGCTACACATACTTGCACGGACTCCTGTATTACCTGCCCGTTCATGTTCTCCCTCCCCGTCGTCCGACCCACTGTTACCAAATTTCATTTGTACATCCCGTACTGACTATATGATCTGCAGTTAGCACAAGCTAGTATGACCGTCCAGCAGTTACGCCAAATGGACGAAGAGCTTCACGAGAAGAACAAGCGGTAAGCTCTCAATAATCGACATGTCGATTGTGGCTAGAAGCTAATTACTTCACCGTCATAGCATGATGAAGTCCATGACGGATCATCTAGCGCGCCAATAGTCAGCTTTACAGCCGCCGCTTAGCTGCCTCTCCCTTCGTCCTGCATATACCCAGCTCAGTGTTTTCCCGCCTGCAGACCTTGACTAGCAATCGACAGATACTTGCTAGCTACCTGCAGCTGATTGCTCCAATTAATACCCGCTTTTCTCCAGCGTCTCAGCTGTTTCTTTAGCTTGCCATATACTCGTGTCTTGTTCGTCTCCCATGGTGTATATACCCCTTTCGCGTTGACTGGTATTTCCTTCGATCAGCGAGGCCCGCACTCTTGTCTTATGGAGCGGGTCCTTGCAGAGAAATGATCTGGCTCGGTGCCTGATGTGGAGGTAATGCAGATACCCTATGCAGATTGGGTCGGTGTACATTCAGGCTTTCATCTTCAAGTGAGACCAGACGCAGCCTCTGGTGTGTTGTTTGTTCGAGCAGTCGTTCTGGTGCGGTTCGCCTTGTTTGCAAGGAGCCGGCGGTGTGTTAGAAGCGGAACCCACGATACCGTTGGCTTGATGCGCGGGATGGATGATTGTTCATTATATTTCTATGATTACGCCTTAGTTGAGAATGCACGATACCCTTTTTCTTCCTGCCGATCAAAGCCTGAGACGCCGGCATGTACTGTGATAACCATGTCCCTGATTACGAGACTGCTTGTTCCGGACACTCCATGTCGCAGGTCACGAAGTGTAAGGTCTCTTTCAAACATCACACCGCCCTTTGACTTTCCAAGCGGAGCAATCGTTATGGAGTCTGAGAATCCCGAATTGATAAGACGGCCACCCCCCTCTCCACCTCTGCTTCATTTCTCCTGCCACTTCACGGTTCCCTGTACTCCTTCCGGCTTTCTTCATTATGTTTGTAACGCAGTAGAACTGCAGCCCAGATTAGGCAGGACATAATGTCTGAGCTACTGGTCCAGCGGAAGACTGGGGTCAATTGATCCGTTGTCTCGAGGGTCGTTTTTACCTTTTTCCCGGCTTGAAAGAGCTGGTCTTGGTTGTGAGCTTTCTCTGTTCCATGTCGGACTGCATCATCTTCCGATATATTATGTTAGCAGGCAAGCAGACTTGTGCAAACAGCTCGTCCGGCTAGCGAGAGCCGCGTGAAGTCGAACTTCCCTGATCTCCAAGCCCGGCAAAGACCCGGGCCGCGACCTATCAAGCATGGCATGGATTCCGACCCATCCAGTGGTGTGGATTCCCTCCATGCTCCACAGAGAGCGATACAGGTACACTGGCATATGGGGTTGAAACACTTGGGCCGTGTAGCCGTGACTCCGCTAGATCCCAACTTTGACCGGACTGGTCATGTCCAGGCGTATACAGGCCCGGCATACCCTTTCCCAGAACACTAGAGAGTGTACACCCATGGCAAAGGCTGAATCACAAAGACCGAAATCGCGATTGTCATGCTGCCCCGTTGCCATCTGAGGCATACGGGGGCTGAGGTCGCTCAGCACCTCGGTCTGTAACGACGCCAAACCGGACCAAGCGATCGAGTAGGACTCCAACGTCGGCAGGATTGATGATCTCACCAGCGCCTGCCGCTATACGTGGAGTCCTCAATACCGAAATCAACGGCTATCCATGCTGGGCATCGAACAAGTATACTCTTAGCGCCCATGGCCCCTACGACACTGCAAGTCGATGTCACTCACTTGTCGCCAAAAGCTGCAGCGGATGACATGCGGTTGCACAACGAAGAATCGTTGTGTTTGCCCCGGATCGGGCCGCAGACATGGGACTCTCTCGCGAGAAAGGCATTTTCCCGTCTCGGATGTGATGTGAGAGCGGAAATCGTCTTCCACATAGTGGATCTGGTGAAAGCTTCCGATATTAAGGGCAGCCAGAGAGATGTACATCTGGCTTCAAGCAACGACGGAGTGCTGACAGACATGATCAAAGACCAGAGGTCATACCGTTCCCACCGGTGTCAACGTTCGACCTTCACGGGGTATTGTTGAGATACTTCGCACGTAGAATCGCGGAGAGGCACGTGGACACGCGTGTTTCGATGCTGAGCAACAGCGTCTCGGTGGAGACCCAGAGACGGCAACGAAGAAGGGCTTATGTCGAGAAACTGATGAGCCCGACACCTATCGATGCATTAGGATTCCGTTGGAACTAACGACATAACCAGTCGTGGATTCCGACTGCAGACAAGTCTCTCGACGATGGACCTGCTACGGGAAAACTACTCGCAGAGTCGCGCCAAAATGACCACACCACAAGGAGACATAAGGCAGGTGGCTCGGAGCCCTTGGGTTTGATGGAATCTCGACCCTACCATCCAGCTACCATGCCTCAAAGGCCTGACTTTGAAGAACAAAGCTGGACGTCTCTGTGAAAGTCATGTAAACACTGGAGGATCCCGGATTCAGATTTGTCGGCTACATGTTCTTCTGTACCTCACTCCCCATCTATCATTTGAGCTGGGCACCTGGGTTGATCCTCGCATCATCGGTGATGTATTGTTGAATGAAAGGCAGCCATGGGAAAAACCATGACACACTGCGACATACCCCTTGCAACGCTCACATGTACACTATTGTCCGAAAGATACGTATAGCCAAGCAAGTGCGATTCTATCCAGTTGGTGTCAATCCGTTTAACGAGGTCCGATCTTAGATTTCGATGCGAACGCTTAGTGGCACCCAGGCACGTACCGCAATGAACACATCTTATGTACAGGTGCACGGGTGAGACCTTGCTCCCATCGTGCTTGATATTACTATACGTGCAGCACTTACAGTCCGGGCTGTTCTTCAGGTGAGAGAACCACTGGAGTCCCTCTCGGAGAGCAGCCGAGAAACGGAAGCAAGGTGACCCACTGCAAGGCTGTTAGCTCAGAAATCAAGCTGAGCTAGGTGCCGCGCGCCAATCGAACGCTGACTGTGAACGGTGGACAAATTGCGGGCAGCTTCACATGACACTGGGGTGCTCCCTGTGGAGACCCCCACTCCCTATTATATATGCGCGCCAATACGATTGCTGCTTGCTGCCAAGTCAGGTCGCTCGAGGGGGACTGAGGCTGTTGCAATTCAATAAAGGCTCGTTGACTTGTCTGTAAACTTTTATTCATATGTTCACTACCTGAAGAGAAAGCTATTTTCCCAGGCGGTTTTAAGGAAGATGACGACTCTCACGATCCTCTCAGACGAGGAGGCCAAGGCCCCTCTCATCTCCTTGAACCCCACCCACACAATCGCCGATATCGACCCTTTGATCTATGGAGGTTTCACTGAGTTCGTCTTCCTAACGGGTCTTTTGAGGAGCAATCTGAGTTGACATCCATCAGGCACATGGGTCGTTGCATCTACGGCGGCATCTATGACCCGGATAACAAGAACGGCCTGATCGACGAGAAAGGGTACCGGAAGGATGTAATCGAGAGCTTTCACGAGCTGAAGGTTCCCGTGGTGCGGTACCCGGGCGGTAACTTTGTCGCAACTTACCGCTGGCAGGATGGCATTGGTCCCAGGGAGAACCGGCCCAAGAGGCCGGAGTTGGCGTGGAATGGAATCGAGTCAAACCAGTTTGGCACCGATGAGTTCATGGAGTGGTGCAAACTCGTGAAAACGGAGCCATACCTCTGCCTGAACATGGGTACTGGAACTCTTGAGGACGCACTGGCTTGGCTGGAGTACTGCAATGGTGACAAGGACACTTACTATGCCAACTTGAGAAGGAAGAACGGTCACGCGGAGCCGTATAACGTGAAGTACTGGGCTCTGGGTAATGAAGTCTGGGGTCCTTGGTAAGTGAATCGACCATGATTGGCTTTGCGCAGTTCATTGCTAATCTAATTTACTTGCAGGCAGGTTGAACAAAACCTCAAAGAGGATTATGCGAAGAAGGCTATCCAGTGGGCCAAGGGTAAGTCAAGACACTTATGCAGCTCTATCGAGAAACAATATTAATCTTCCTCAGCTTTGAAACTTCTCGATCCGTCCATCAAGTTGATTCTGTGTGGTCGTGACGGCTGCTCCGACTGGGACCGCTATGTGCTGCAGGAGTGCTCACGCTACATCGACATGCACTCTATCCATTTTTACCATGGCGACTCCAGGTAAGGATTGTTCCTTTGATTAAACACTCGAAATATAGTTCCTAATACACCCCATAGTCACTATCCTAACATTTCAGGCCCCTATGCCGCAGAACGTGCTATTCAGATCACTTCAGCGCTAATCGACCTCGCCCGATGCGAGATCGATCTGACTCCCTTCCCAGATTTCAGCAAAATCAGCACTGGGCCGCGAACTGCCCACAGGCCGACAATTTGCTTCGATGAATGGAATGTATGGGACTCGGAAAGGGCACCTGGAGACAAAGGTGCCGAGGAGCTCTACAACCTGTCGGACGCGCTGGCTGTGGCCATCTGGCTGAACATCTTTATTCGCAATGCCAAGGATCTCGGCATGGCTACCATAGCGCAGAGCGTCAACGTCATCTCACCCTTGATGACCTCGCCGACCGGCATCTGCAAGCAAACTACCTACTGGCCTCTGCTTCTGTTCATGAAGTACATGCATGGAAAGTCGGTCGCGGTCCATGTTCGCACCGGGGCGTATAAGGGCAAGACAAACCCAGAGTGGATCGAGAGCACGTGCACTGTACCCAAACTCGACGTCAGCGCAGCCGTAAATGGGGAGTGGATGAATGTTGCAGTGGTCAATGTCGACGAAGAGAATAGTTTTGAAACGGAACTGTCCGGTGTGGCACCAGCATCCGGAGACATACAGGTCTTCAAAGTCGGCGGTGAAAGCTACAGTTTGAAGGACGTTAATAAGGAGGGCAATGAGACCATCAAGATCATGGAAACCAGAGTCAAGGGAGAGGAAACCAAGAAGTTCGTATTCGAAAGGCACAGTTTCACTTTGTTGCGGTGGAAAGTCTGATTATCTTATCATGGCCTGTTTTCTGGCAGGGTGAAATAGGTAAATACCTCTTCTATGATAACTCAATCAATATGTTTTACTGAGGATGCAATGAAGTGCCCGACCAGATACTGAGAGATCCTCGGTCGGTATCACTAAATGGACAAAGCGATGTGTTTCAGTATATGATGAGATCGACCCAAAATCGAAGAGCATGCCACACACGCACATAGAGACAAGAAGAGATAACTCAGAAATGGGTCTTAAGTCAAGAGAAACAGATTTGTATTAAATCATGAGAAGCTAAGGGGGTTCACAAACCGTCCAAGTATCGTGGGAGTGCTGTGGCTTCTTCAACCACATATAATACCTGCCTTATTGGCTTTGCATTTCTTGCTGCTGGAGATATTGCATGCACCTGTTACAAATCCCATCCTTTAGCTCCATTATATACTTCCTCCAGAGAAATGGGCACTTGTCGGAGTAATTCTCTTGGTGTGTACATAGTGTCTTCTTGTCTGGGAGGACTGGGTCAAAGTGGTAGGTGTCCCAGCCCCGCCCTATTTCTCGGTTGCAGTACTTGCATCGTGTGATGATTAGTCTACCGCCACACATGCTGGCTATGTTCAAGTGCGATATGCGACTGTTTATTTTATGGTGATCTTTGGGTTTGGCGGCATCAAACGTAATGGTTGCTATGGGTTTAAATGTCCTTTGAGGTTACGACAGTAGTTTGCAAGTACGTTGTGTTGGGCAAGGTTTTCCCAATATATGTTATTACGCAGCAGTGAATTCTCGATACTCAAACGATCGTCTATAATAAGAGTGAGGTCAAGGTTAATCAACTTGCTAGATTCACTGATCCCGGAGTGAATAGCTCAGTATGTTCAATAGGGTGATCAGAACTTGCACCTCGAAACTCAAAGCCCAACTGAAGAATGGTTCACTTCACTCTATAATATTAGCCTCCCTAGTTATGTTTACATTGTCTGTGGTCAATTTAGTTAATGGTCAGCGAAGATTACAAGATGGAGGTGAATCTCAACTCGTTCCAGGTTTCTCATACGTGGTCATGATTGACGATGCTGAATGATGCTACTATTTATGCTGAGTAAAAATTCGCCGAACTTTTCTCTGCCGCTTTCCTCTGGTTGCCTATTCAATTGCAATCAATTCGCTCGCTTCAAACCTTTAGCCTTGGGAACCCTGAAAAGCCAGTAAAGCCCGAGCGCCAACAGAATATTTACTAATATATAAACCCAGAGTAATCCTTCGTTTCGCCATCTGTCCGCGTAGAAAATCTCGAATCGTGCGAGATAACCATCTGTGGTGGCAATCGAACAATAGGAGCAAGTTTCCATCGCCATGGGATTCAGCACAATACCGCCAGTTGCCTCGGCAAACGGGCCGAGGAAGTCGCCACAGGTCATGTTAGTGGTAGGCGGGTTGACGTGTAGTGTTTCCTCCACTGAGCACGTAACGGTTCCGCCAGAAAGAGCTGACGACATGATCCCGCTAACTAAGTATGTGGCGGGCGAGACACGGTACATGAACTGCCAGAACGACGGGAGGTCGGAAGGTGTCACACCAATACCACAGAAGGATATGCAAAACATCCACAGCAGAGTGGCAAGCACGCCAGCTGTCTCTGATGTCTCGATCCAGACAATGGCGAAGTGTGAGAAGGTGCTGGTGAAGAGCATGAACTTCCACATGAAGAGGAAAACGAGGAAACCGCGGATGGCCACTTCGTCCCCATCTGAACCAGCATTCTGGACGAATCCCACAGGATAATACCAACAGAAGTAGGCGATTGCCGCCATGAGGGTGTTCCAAGCAATTTCGACAAATATATTAGAAAGGAGGAATGCTGTGAAAAGTCCGTGATTAGCTCTGCTGATTCACACACACTGGCCCAAATGAGGGCAAAACCGGCTCGCCGCTTACCTGTCCATCGATACATCTTCGATGGCCGCTCCTTCGCCTCATACAGATCACGTTGCGGTACGAACATGGGCATAATCTGTTCGTTGATATTTCCAAACAAGACCAAGAACATGTATATGGCGTATAGTTGGTTCTGTAGGCCTTGAATGGAGTTATTGGCGCTGAAGCTGAAACCTAGATAAAGAGACTGAACAAAGCGTTAGCATGCATGGCTGGACTCGACTTGGGGTGTCCAGCGGCGACGTACCGAGATGGAAACGAGAATTATCTTGGACCATATATAAGTTGGTGACCGCCAGAAATGCTTTGAGGTCCGAAGAAGGACTTCCCAGAGCTGTACCCAGAATGATGTCACGAACTCTTCTTGCTGGGAGGGATCTTCATTTCGAGAATCCTCGGAAACGATGGCAGAGCGACCCCTCAGACGCGCGAGCTCAGACTTAACCGCGGTATACTCAGGCGAATCCCTCCAGGATTGGAACCAATTAATACCAGCGGAACCGTCAGCTGGTGGTTGGATGGTCTCAAGCATCCACTCTGCAGGATTGGCCTCGGGTGGACAGGTTAGAGCACCACTTCGTTGCATATACTGAATCAGTGTTCTAGCATTCTCACCAATTTCTGCAAAGATAGCTTGTTAGATCACTTTTCATTTCGACGAAAAGAAGGAAATAAATAATGGGTAGCATTGGGGATGACCAACCGCCAAAGTATACAGTTTTCCCTCCAGCTGCGAGCAAGAGGAGTCGGTCGAACCTCTGGAAGAGCATGGAAGACGGCTGGTGAATAGTGCAAAGGATTGCTTGGCCACTGCTGGTCAACTTTTCAATAAGGTCACAAATTGACCAAGACGTCTGCGAGTCAAGGCCGGAAGTAGGCTCGTCCAGGAAAACAAGAAGCTCGGGGCGTGCTGCGAGTTCAACTCCGATCGTCAATCGCTTGCGCTGCTCCACGTTCAATCCTTCGCCGGGAACGCCAATCACGGCACCAGCGAACTCCTGCATGTCGAGCATGGCTATAACGTCTTCGACGTAGGCCAGCTTCTCTGCACGTGAGAAGGTTGCCGGCTGGCGGAGTACCGCGCTGAACTGGAGAGCTTCTCGGACCGTCATTGTGTTTAGATGGATATCCCTTTGTTGCACATAGCCGACACAGTGCTGGAAAGAAGGATCGGTGGGCTTGCCATCGATGAGAGTGTCACCCGACACGACGCCCATCGTGACACGAGTAGCCAGCACGTCGAGCAAAGTTGTTTTACCCGCACCGGAGACGCCCTGCAATTGTTAACTTCGATATCAGCAAAATAGGGTTTATTGGCCTACCATGAGTGCAGTTGATGTTCCCGGTTTGACCCAGCCATCAACGTGATCCAAGATTCGACGTGTTTCGCTCTTGATTTGTACATCATAGCAAAGATCCTCCCAGTGGAAAACCGATGTGCTCTTCGTAAGATTGATAGACCCGCTAGGTTTCTCCTCGTTGATAACGGCCATGGGAATTGATGAGTGCTGGGATTCAGCATCATCCATTTCCGCGTTTTGAGCTTTGCGTGGTACCTGGTTTCTTCGAAACACTAACACTTCCCCCTTGCTCATGGGTGGTTTTGAGAACTCGGCCGAGACGACATAGGCAATGAAGAAGCCAACCAAATATGCCACAAGAATGCCCACGTTCCTATGTCAAGTTAGAAAGCCTACATATCTCTGAGAGTCCACAAAGAATAGCATACCTCCACTTATTCGAATTATAGTAATTGAAGGCTTGGCCAATGTATCTGTCACCGTTGACAGATGTCGCCCCAACTTCTGCGCCAACCACAGAACATATCTGGGAGTCGGATGGAAGATTCCCGTACCCAGGGCCCTGAGGGACCATTGAAGCACATTCGAACAGTCTGTTGTGGAACTCATTTGCCATGAGCGATTCGAAGGCGTACGACAAAGGGTTGATATTGTTCATCCATCCAGACCAACCCGGGAGATAGCTGGGTGGAATACAGAAGCCAGCGTAAATGATCAAACCGAGACTCAGAATGGCGCTAGGGACCATAGCTTGAGCCGGGGTTCTCGTCAGGCAGGCCAGCGTACGGTATATGGATGACATGACCAACGTGGTAAGGTACGAGACAAGGCAAAAGAAGAAGAAGTTGCCAGCCTCGCGTCGCAAATTGGCCATGAAATATATCGTGACGTTAAAAATTAGCATGTTGATCGTCTTGTAAGGAAGGTCCAACAAGTAGCTGGCGATTGCTTGTGTCGACTGGCTATAGAAGGCGTATTTATGATGTTTTTCGACTACCGGGCGTTCCGCGTATACCGTCAGGACCTATTAGGGGACATTTAGTTCAGTCATACTCATACGACTATTGATTAGATAGATAGGACCAACCTCTAGTTGACTCGCAAATGCGTTGAAAAGTAATGAGAAGAATACGAGACCGCCACGGTAGTAGAAACTGGATGAATCTGATTTGAGGTTGTAGAACATACTTCCCAACATCAGTGCTATTACCAGATTGAAGAACAATGAGGCAACTGTGAATGACGGATCTGCAAGAAGACGCCGCCAACCGCGCCAAATGTTTAGTGAGACCTGCTCAGTATATGATATCGTGTACGGAGATCTGGAAGGCTGGCCCCTTGCTTGTTCAGCGCTCCGGGATACTTTATATTCCAGCAGTCTGTCACTGGGAGAATGCTTCAGCTGGTAGTCCTCGATCTCTTGCAGCAATTCGTGTCGCTGTTTGCTTTTTTGCCATCTGTCGGCAAACTCCTCGGCTGACCGTGGAGCGAGGTGCTCGTAACCCAGTCGAACGCGTCGCTCATTTGCGCTCGTCATAGATGTGAGGAAATCGGGTGTAGTTTGTCGATCAGGACCTAGTCATTTTGTCAGACATACGGAAAGTCTTTGGAGTCATGAGGAAAAGAGAACAAACATTCAAACCCTAGTTCTTCGAAGTACTGTTTTGCTTCTCCAACCTTGCCAAAATAGATCTGTCTTCCCTCGTACAGAAGAATTACGCGGTCAAATAACTAGTAAAGTCAGAACAATTCCTGTGATGTAGCTCAGTAGTTACACAACTCTGTATACTTACCTCATAGGCGCTTTGAGGGGCTTGGTAGATGGCCACCAGCGCGGCGATGTTCAAATAATCTGCTTGGGAGCGCAAGCTTTGGCAGAACTTGACGGCGTTCGCACTGTCCAACCCACGGGTTGAATTATCCCAGCATTGCAGTGGGGCGCCTGTCAAGGCAGCTTCTGCAATACTAACACGCTTGCGTTCGCCACCACTGACCCCCCTGACGAAGTCATCGCCAACTCGGGTGTTGAATGTATGGGAAATGCCAAAAACAGTCATCACAACATCTCGTAGCATGTTGCTAACGCTTTGACGGCTGATACCAGACGGCATGTCCTGCGTAGATCGGGCTTGAGCTGCAAATGTGAGGGTTTCGCCTACCGTAAGGTGCGCAAGGTGCGTATCCACCTCTGCATTGTATAGGACATCGCCCCGAAAACGCGATCTGACATACTCAGTGCCGATTCCTACGGATAAACGGGTTAGGTCTAGCTGCCAGATTCGAATTGAACATGGTCTCTTACCTCGGAAGTTGATTTCAGTGCCCGCACTCAGGTGTAGTCCTGCCGTCTCGCCGGCGATCGTTTTGAGCAAGGTTGAACACCCAGAGCCTGGAGGCCCCAGAACGAGCAGGAGCTCCCCTTCGTTCACGACACCCTCAAAGTCTCGCAGGATTTGAGTTTCTTTCTCGTGCGCGTTACGTCCAAAGCACCCAGCCAAGGACGAGACGGCGTCAATAAGTACATTGCCCGCGCTGCTTTGGTACTTCGCTCCGGTGCTGCTACCAGAGACTGACAGGTTGCGGAAGGCCACTCCGAGCTTCCGTGACGGAGCACTATTGGGATCTGATTCAAAGAGGTCGACGAAAGATTTCACCCAGGCTCGGGCGTCAAAGACTGGGCATTGCGGATCTAGGACGCTGTCTGGCTCTGGTTTCAGGATGTTGGGGGTAGAAGTGGTAAAGTTCGCTTCCATAGTCAACCTCCGGGCGAGTTGGCTAATCTCTGCAGTTATGTCCCCAGACAATGGGCTTCCCATCGCTCTCGTATCGTTGGCTTGCTGGCTGCCGTCGTGTACTTGACCAGCACGGTCGTCTAGTCTCGTCATCTTGTCGCCCAGGTATGAGGAAGACGGAACTGATACAGCACAGTAACAGGCATACCACTTAGCGAACAAGAGCACTCGCTGCAGTAATGTTTATTACATATATACGGCGTTGGTTTCTCGTACGGCCGTCCGACGGCCTTTGCATGCCGGAAAGCACTACAGCTACCTAGGTACGTACCCAGGAAATCCGCGGCCCCCGACCGCCCCGGCCGGAGGGGCTTGTCCTTGAAAACGGGCAGTGAGGACTAATGGTTGCTGCGCCTCTCAACCAAAGTCTAGCGGAAAGGTTCAACTGCCTTAAAGGTCCCATTATTGTTTGTTTTTAATATGGTATTACATGCGATAATTTATGCCTTCTGTTGTGCCATCGAGACTCGTCGACACCGAGGCGCTGCGTCAACGATCGGGCCCCGCGGGAGTGGCGCTTGGGCGGGAGCTAGTCCTAGCACAATGGAAAAGGAGGTTACAGCGAGCGCAAGTCTAATAACACGGCAGGCGGCAGGTTTGAATCGTGATTCGTGCATAGGCAACTGATCCCCCCCGC